ATATTGATGATTAAAATTATATTAAAAATAAATTAGTGATTAAAATTGTTATTCTTATAATTATGTTGAAATAGTAATCAATCTCATTTTTATTGATAATTGAATAATATTTTTGATGTGTGTATTTTTATTTATATTATAACTGGGAAGTTAATTATAAAATATATAAGTTACTCTAAACAATTTAATTTACCAAATTGAATTCAAGATTAAGAAATACTTTACTAATTAATTTTAAAAGCAGATTTTTAACTAAAGTTAATAGTTAGTTGTAATTATTAAAAATAAAATATTTAAGATAATAGTTAAATAGTAAATTACAAAATAAAACATGAACTAATAAAATAGCTTTCACGAAATTGAATTTTTGAAGGCAAATCAAAATTTCAATAATTTATAAACTGCTGAAAATGAAGAAAGAAACTTCATTAAATATTCTCCAAAAAACAAAGAGTTATAAATTATTTCATTTATTTACTTATCAGCTAATCGAATAAAAAAGGTTTGAAACATTTAAAAATATTTTTTTTTATTAGATAAAGAAGAGAGAATAGTCTAAATGCTATTAAAGATTTACAGAACTTTTCTTCAAAATTTAAAATTGACAATATCAAAAAACAACAATAGTAGTTAGTAATTTAAATGATTAATTAATTAATTATATGCCTCAGTTTATTTCAAAAAAAAAATAGAAGTTTCAGAGTCTAAATAATTTGAGCTAGTTTACAAAAAAACAAGAATAAAATATCCATTTTAGCTCAAAAAAAGGACAATCCTATAGAAGTGAAGATAATCTGCTAAGATCAAATAAATGCTTTGATTAAAATAAATCTTAAGTTTCCTATCATACATTCTCCTTTTTTTACAGGTTTATGATGTTACTTTTTGTTACTTTGTTTCTCGTTAGTGGTATCTTCAATTTATATACAAATCTGCAGGGAACTTAATGTGTAGATATATCTAAATTTAAGGCTGCTCTATAATTATAAGGGTTTCTTGAAAGTTAAATAACATCAAAAATTTCAGGAATGTGCTTAAAAACTTGGATAACTTAATAATCTATTGGAAATATTTAACATGATGAATCGGCTCTAAAAAAGTAGGAAACTGCAAATTTAGTATCATCCTGTGTAGCAATTATTTTTTTGATAATCTATATCCTGAAAGCTATCATAAATTAAGAGGATGAAAACGAATAAGATTAATTAAAAAATTTTATCCTTTTCATTTCAAATATTGAGAAAATCAGACCACAGGAACAAAGTAAATCCAAGGATTTTTAGAGTTATAAAGAACATATGATGGTAGTTTTTTTTAATTTTGTTAATTTATTTTTAAAGCTTAGATTGATAGATTTTTAAGTTTTTCTTAAAAGTAAAGACAATTAATTTTATTATTTAAAATAATTAGAATTTTTTTTCCAATTTAAAATTGAAAATTGATGATAAATAAGACTTTTTTCTCAAAGATAGAATTTACGATATATCTTTTTGCTTTAACTTTAAATAACTTCAAGAAATGAAATAAGAATTAATCAAATGGAGAAGCTTTTAATCTGTTGATGAAAATGCATTCGAAGTATTAGTTGAATCTCAAAATAAAATTTTTAATTAGGAACAAATAAGAAAAATAGTTGAATAATATAGAGCGCAGGTTTAATCTATTGAGCAATAATTTTATAATTGCTACACTGGAATAAAAGAAGATAAATATTTTATGAATCAGCACTTTTTAGGAAGTGCTTTCCTAATATTTAAGTATTAAAAAGGTATGCTCTATATATTTATAATAAGATTTTATTTTATAGCTAAAGTTTTTTTTAAAAGATGCTTAGATTTTTGAGTAACTTACTAGGAGTTAAGGAATATTGTACTAAAATAAATAACTGAGAATTGAAGTATTTAATTTAAATTATTAAATTATTTTTTTTGATTCACATAATTAAATTTATTGTTTGTTTATATTAAAGAAAGCAGAAATAACAGATCATATTAAATGGGAAAACCTTTCTGCAAAAAGATATATTTACTTTTTTCCAGTAAAAAAACTATTTGGATTATCGTCAATTACATATTGTTTGCTAGGTTATTTTTCTTACCTAACTTTCTAGAAAATGTCTTTATAAAATACAAAAGAACTATATTCTTAGGTTGAGTTGTAACTTATGTCTATAGCAGTCTCGATAGGATTTAGCATAATAAATAGCGTACATTAATATTTCACCAACGATTTTATTAGGTAAAATATTTATTTTAATTTTATTTATTAAATTTATTTATGAAATATTTTCAAATTTAAATAAATAGCAAGGTTAAATTTCATTTTGATAGTGAAGAAATTTATTTCTCATTTAAATTCTCTGTGCTTTCATATTTTCTCTTCTCTATTTTGATTCCGCCTCTGCTGATTCAATCAATAGAAAATTACTCGCTTTTTACAGTTTACTTCAGTCAAAGTAAATTTTTACATGAATTAAATTGTTTATATTAATATGAAATAATAATTCTTAAAATTTGTTTAATCGTACAGATGGGTTAATGCAAGCTTACTATTATATTGTGATTGGCAAAACTATTAATAATTTTGTTTTTTATTCCATCCTTTTTATATAGATTAGATTCAAATAAAATTAATCTAAAACTGTTTAGTTTATCTTAAAGCTTGCAAGTTATATTTAAAAACCAGTATTTGATGCTCGAACTAGATACTAAAATGCTCTTTCAGTATCAATAATTGTTTTCGGATTAGCTCCAGTCTTTCCTGCTTGCTTTTTATTTGGGGCTTTTTACTTTGCTTTTGAATTTGTTGTAGTAAAAGTAAATAAATTGCAGTTGAATTATATTATTTAAAATATTAACTAAAAAATTGTTATTTTATTATTTAATTAATCGTTTAATTATTTATAAAATCTATTTTATAAATGAATGAATAGTTGATGATCTAATATAAATATATTGAATTGAACAAAAATTAATTCAGAGATCCTTGCTTTTTTATAGTCTTTATTGGGAAAGGGATTTTAGTTTATACTAATTGTATTTACCTCTATTTTAAAATGCTAAACAATATAGATGCTTTGTTTGAATAGTTGTTAGCAATTTTAGTAATTGCTAACGTTATAATACTACCTTTTATGTTCTTTTAGTTCGTTAATTATGTTAAAAGTGTAGCACAGAAAAAATTTAAATTACGAGATATAGAAAGCACCTAATATACCTAACTTTCTTATGAAAGTGTACTTTAAAATAATCTATTTGATGTAAAATATTTCATTTAAAAGCATTAATTTACTCTTTTTAAAATTAACTAGAATTACAGGTATTAAAACCCTCCATTAAAAAGCCAATTCTATATTTAAACATAGATAAATAAAAAGTGAAAGAGTTTTACATTTAAAAACAAACAAACAAATAATTACTAAAAAATTCTGATTTGAAAACATATAATAAAATTAATAAAAATTTAATACAACTAAAATTAATGAGATAAATATTTTAAAAGTAATTCTTATTATATATTTCTAATATTTATCTTTATAAAAGTTTAAAATTAATTATCATTTTACCAAGCAACTTATTATTATTCTAATGATTAAATTAATTTAAAATGTTAGTAAATATAAAATACATCATAATGCATATAAATTAAAAATTGTACGAATAAATTAGATAATACAGATAAATCATTTATATTTACCACTCTTTTTAAACTATTTTTAGCACATATATCAAAATAAATACCCAATAATACACTTCTTTTATTCTTTTAATTAATTAATTTAATTAAAAAGTTTTACAACTAATAATGTATGTGTTTATGTTTTTATGCTTGTTTGTACTTTACACAAAAATATAAACGATTATGCAAAAAAATTATAATATTAATCTATATAGAAATTTTTAATTTTTATAATATAAATTCATCATTTCATTTAAATCCAGGACATGAAGAAATTTATAAGTTACTATTTTTTTTATTTTAAGAAAGAAGGTTTGCAGTTTTTTTTTTGAAAGAAGTAAAGAATAATAAAATACAAGAGAGTAAGTAATATAAAAGGCAGTGTTTTAATTTAGTATTAAATTAGAATTATTTAGTGAATATTTCATTTATAATATTTTAATTGAATAATTTATGAATAGAAATAAATGGCTTTCATTATTAAATCTTCAATAAGAGCTTGCACAATGATTCAATCCTTTTAAAATCAAGTTTTAGCATTTATAGAGTCTCACAAGTAAGTAATTTTGTTTTGCAACTCAAAAGTGAAGATATTCAGCAATGTAGAAGAGCTTACCGAAGAAAGAATAAGCAATCTTGAACACAGAAGTAAACATTTTTTCTTTTATTTTTTTGAATGTTTGTTTGTTTGTTTGTTTGTTTGCTTGCTTGCTTGTTTTTAATATATTAGAATCTAATTAATTTATTATATTATCGAATTAGTAAAAGGATGCTTTTAATTTGAATGTAAAAAAACGTAAATTTACTAATAAGGATATATTTTGGCGTTAGGTTTAATTTATCACTTCTATTAACTTTCTTATTTATTTATTTTTTCTTTTCTATTTTAATTATTGATCAATCAATTTTAAGTTGTTTGATTAATTAAGTTTCTTAGTTTGCTGATACGATTTTTTCAATCATAAAAAAGATCATTTGTTTAACTACCTAACTTTTTTATTTACCTGATTTTTACGAATACAAATTTTAGTGATTAAAATGCTAATTAATCTTTTTTGCAGATCAAACAATATCAATTAAATGCTACACAAATAGCCATAAATTTAAGATAAAACACTTGAATTAAAATATATAAATTCAATTTCATGAATCTAGATTTATTTAAAATAATAGAAACTGGAAATTCACTAAAATAATTAATTAACTTTAAAAGAAAAACATTTTTATTGCTGAAATTTAATTTGAATATTTGATTCGTTTATTTATTAAAAAGCTTTCAATCTCAAATTTTGAAAATATTTTGCAAATTAATTAAATCTAAAATCATTCATTACCTTATTTATTATTTCAATATATTTTTATTCAAGTTTGCATATCTTTTTTTTGCTGATCTCATGAATTAGTTTGAGGAAAATGAATAGGAATTTATTGAAACGAAGGAATAAATAAAACGTTTACTAAGAAATTCAAATTCCAGTAAAAAATTACATAAAAACAAATTGTTATTTATTTATTTGTTTGTTTGGTTTAAGACATTACTTCATTTTATAAAATTAAATTGTATTTAAAAGGGAATGTAGAATAGTAAATATAATCAGAAATGAAATAGTTAAAATTTAGCTTAACAAGTAAAATAAATATTCGAATAAGCAAGAAAATTAAAAAGAGATTTTAACAATAATAACAATAGGTATGGAATAAGAGTCTATTAGCATAAAAAAGCACTAATAAAAAGTAAATTAGAGGTGAAATAAACATTTTTTTAGATTAATTATTATCTAAACAGGTTAAACAGTATTAAAATGAATATCTGTAGCTATAGCAAGAAATAAACTAGAAAGGAATACAACTTGCACAATAGGCACTTTTCGGTAAATAGTTTGATGCCTTAGTAATTTAAATTGATAATAATTTTATTTTGAAAAAAAACAAAATAATGATGAATAAATAGTCTTAATAAATTTATTAAAGGCTTAATTTAGTAAATATGAATGAATGAATGATTCAATAAATATTTTTTATACAAAAAAATAAATTTTAAATATATGAAATAAATAGATGCTTTTTTTACAAAAACATGAAAATCATTTCAGCTTTTAAAAAATATTTGATTGAGTTAATATTCCTTAGCAAAAAGTTCAACCAACAATGATTTTATGAATTTTGATATTTATATTTAAATATTTTATTTATAATTTAAATAGAGGGTTCAAGAAAAACAATATTAGTAACACAATATGAGTGGAAATGATGACAATGAAATATATATTAGCAATCTAAGATCTAACAATACATTAATTGGAGCTAAGCATGATATTTACAAAGCTAGCCAATATGCTGACTCGATGTAATCTAACGTTAACGCATAGAATAAATAATTAGACAAAGTAGTTCAAAGAACTTAACATAACTAGAGGGAATTCGACCAAGCTGAAGGCGATATTAATACTATGTAGAGAAGGATTAACCTAAATAAATGCTTATTATATTCACTATTTGCTTTTATAGTTGCTGGATTTCTATTTATAATAATTTATAAAGCCTTCTTGTGAAAAATAAGAGAAATGGATGGTTATATTATTTATTTACTTATAAAGAAAAGATTTATATTAATGCTTGATTGATATTATTGATTTATTGAGTTATTAAGCTATTTAGCTATCTATTTAAGTAATTGAAGTTATAAAACAAACTTAATTAATTAATTTATTAGAGTTAATATAAATAGAAAAATAATTACATTTAAATATTTTATAATTTATTTATTAAATAAAATTCATATTATAAGCTCCAAAACTTTATTTTTCTTGAAATAAGCACGCAAGTCTTGCTCAAATTTCTTCTTGCTTCCTTCAGTAAACTGGTTTCTAAATAAAAATTTTGGTTGTTTTTTATTTGGGTTTTAATGTAAAAAAATAATAAATACGATTCCAAGTCTAAACAAAAGTATTTCAGTTTTTTAAATGACTCTCCCATTTTAATAATTTGATCTAAAGTTTTATCGTCAAGTTGATTGCTTTTAATTTAATTATTTATTTATTAATTTATTTAACTTAAGAAATAATTTATTTTTACTTTCTTGCACTGTAATAAACGCTATTTAAGAATTTTCCTTGTAACAGTTACTTCCAAATTTAAAGATGACTTGGACCTGAAATATTTGAATCACTCAAGTTCAAATTGAACTCCTCAATGCACTTAGAATATTGTAATCCTGAAGCTATGAATAGAGCTGCTTTGTCATCTAATTTGTTACTATTTAAAAAAATAAAGAAAAATTGTTAATCTTTTTTTTGTTAATCTATAATAAATTCATTTTATTTACTTTTATATATTGAGAGAAACAGTTTTGAGTTGCTAAATGCTCATGATTCTTCCTACATAAATCATATCTTCTGACACTAAACCACATCTGAAATAACAAATAAAATATTGAGTTATTTTTATTTTTTAAAAATAATAAATAGAATTTACCCTTCCATTTAAAGTCTTATTTTAGTAATTCTTTTTTTATTTGTTAATCCTTTCTCAATTTCAGACAATCCCAGAGAAGTAACGCTATTACTGTTAATTTTCAATATCATATTTATAGATATTTTGTTATAAAATATAAAATTACTTTGTTAAATTCATCTGTATAGATTCTAAACTTTCTAAAGCTTAAATAGCTTTTCCAAGTTATTCAAATCCTGCTCCTTCTATTTAGTTTCTTTAAAAAATTTATTAAATTAAAAAAAACATTTATAAATAATTAATTGTCTATTAATCTATTTACCCCCAAATGTAAAGATTGAAATGTCTAAGATTTACTAAGTTTTATAAGCATAAAGAAAATTCTTTTAATCCTCTATTTTGAATAGAATTCCTTTTTTTTATTTAAATTACTTATATTAATTTATAAATACTAAGTAAATTTTACACTTAAACTACAATTGTAAGTTCTCTCAATTAAGTGCTATTTTCAATAAGATTTCCGACTTGAATGAAGCCTTAGTCAGCAAAAAATTAATTTTAACTCAAATTTAAATAGAATGACTGTAGCTGCTTGAGCTTTTCAAAAGAATCTTTCATTTATTTTACACCTTTATAAGTAATGCTGTTATTGGCTAATTTTAATTCGAGTTTTTTAAGTTAATTGCAAGCCTAAAGCACATTGCAAATAGTATCTACACATTCTAATCCTAGTTGATTTTGACTTAGATCTAGTATTAATTCACTCAATTAAGTCAGTTTTGCTAAATTTTATAATCCTGTAATAATCCCCTAAGAACCAATCATATTACTATATTTTAGAATTTTTTATTTTTATTAAATAAGTAATTAGATTAGATTAATTAATCATTTACTTTGAAATGTTTATTTTTAAAACTTTTAGCTTTAAGCAAGCAGATACCCCTTATAATAAGTAAATGCACCCCTATTCCCCTAAAGAACTCCTATTCAAAATTATTAATTTTATATTTATTTATTTATTCTCTGACATAAATATAGAAAAAATAAATAAAATTAAAAAATTGTTTAAATGAGAGAAAATAGTTAAAATGAAAAAGGGTGTTTTAAGCACTTCTAAAATAATATTTGAAGTTATTGAAATAAGAAAGCGAATAAATAAATACTCAGTAAACCATAATAATTGATTTTAAATACTTTTGTTTTCTTTAAAAATATAATTTCGTAATTAGTAATAATAAGCTTTTATAATATAATGCATTTAAATGTATTTGAATTAACTAAAAATTTTAATTTACTAGAATAAAGAGAGCTCTAAATTTACTAATAGCTGTGATTTGGATATAGCTTCACCTAGCAGTTTTGATTACTCCACAGTTAAAAATATTCTATAAAAATATTAAATTTTTAATTTTAAATGACAATATCAATAAATATACTAATCCAGAGATAGAAAAAGCTTTTTTAGCATTATTCTCTTGATTGTTTCTTTTAGCTTTGTGAATTATTCAATTAATTATTTTGGCTAAACACTTTATTCAAACAAAAGGTTTAGAAATCATTTTGAGAATTGTTTGTGTATAAATTTTACGAGTTAAGTTCTATACGAAATGAGGATACATTGTTTTTAACAGAGTCCTCAAGCAGCTCCATAATATTGTCTTTATTCATTACTTCTTCCCATATACTTGACTGTAATCTTTCAAGTTATTACTGTCTGCTACTCAACTATTGATTATATTAAAAAATAATAAATTTAATTTGGTTTTCTTGATTTAAAATTTACAATTGTAAGCCTGTTTTCTTCAAAGACCTGCTAATATAAATCTTAGAAGGTTACTCTGTCATTTTAATTGTAAACAAGCATTTGCTTTAGAATTTTATTTAATCCGAAAATGTATTTATATCTTTTTTTGGCTTCGTGTCTCAACTCCTTAACCTCTGCCATATATTTATCTTTATCTAGTCTAACTTTTTTATCTTTATCTACCAATTTAAAAGTAAGGAACTCCAAGAATACAAGTCCTAAAGAGAAAACATCGCTCTTGAAAGGATTATATTAAGTAACTGTATTGTAAATTCCTGTATATACTTCTGGTGACATGTAAACTTCTGTACCAGCAACAGTCCTTGTACGGGTGTATTAGCTAGAAGACTCTAAACCTACTCCACTACCTACGTCACAAACTTTATAAACAATATTTTGATCATCATCTTCTACAATAAGAATATTCTAAGGTTTTATATCTCTATGAGCAATATTATTTTTTTGCAAGTGATAATGAACATCAATCATGCTTTTCATAAATTCTACTACCTCTACTTCATTAAAGTATGCACCATCAATCTATTTATTAAATTTATTTTTTCAAAAATAATCAATTAAAAACAAACTAATGTAAAGAGGTTGCTGCAGATTAAAAATAATAATTAAAAACCCTGTTTTATTTATATCTTAATATTTAATTTCTGTTTATTAAAATCAAATTATTAACTTTATATTTTTTAAAAAGTTATTAATTCATTCCATAAAAGTTGAGTAGCTATTTAAAGTTTTAAAAATTAATATGCTTTATTTGTTTTTTACCATAATTTAATTAATTAATTAGAGTTAAACACTTCTATCAATAAATTCTTCTTTATACATTTAAATATTTTCTAATGAAATTTTTGTTTGCTATTTAATAATAAGATTTGAAAACTTCAAAAATATTTTGTAGTGTTTTTTATGTTTGCTTTCTAAAAACGAGAGAAATGCGAGATATATTTTTTTAGGAATTTTACCTCTGATTGATTTTAGATTTATTTTGACTTAGTTGTTTCTACCTAAGATATGCTTAATTCTTCTTGTTGCTTTTTGTTTTAGTTTTAACGTTGCTGCATGAACATTTTTAAAGACTGCTTTCCTCTTTCCATGACTATATTTCCAATTAATATTTAGCTGTCATTATTTTCCTTTGTTATAAAGTATCCGTAGAATTTAATCATATTTTCATGAGGGAAAAGCTTTGTTTTTTCGAGAATATTACACTCATTTATGAATTATTCATAAGTACAGTCTCTTTCTGTTATTCTCACTTGTTTGACGCATTCTGTCAAAGAGTCATTTAAACGATTTCTAGCCTCATAAACATAGCTATTGCTTTTTGCAAAACACTTTTCAAGGGAGTATGTTTCGAATAGGGACTCATCTCCTTCATAAAACTTACAATTTTGTTGCTTCATCTATGTCCTTGTATTTGAAGAACTACTCCTTGCTCTTTCCTAATTTTGAATATATTGCTATTACTATTAATTTGGTGATTTATCTTAAACTTGATTATTATTCTTGAAAAGATCGTTGTTATTGTTGTTGTTTAATATGCTGTAATTTACTATTTAATTTATTTTATTGTTATTAATATTGATAAAGTTTATTGGACTATCGTTATTGCTGCTACTTTGCTAAATTCTTCCTTTTCTGATTGTTTAATTCTCACTAGTAATAGTATTATTTTCTGCTTTTAATAAGTGCAAATCTACTTATGATTCCTCTGCTTAATCACTCAATTCTATTAAATTTAAAATTTAATTGAATAAATTTGTAATGATTTGATAAAAAATTAATGATTTATTTATTTATTTACTATTTATGTGCTTGAATGTATATAAGTGGTGAACATTATCTGAGCCAAAGAAATCACTATAGTAATTCTAATTATTTTTCTTCTAATCTGAATCTTTTATATCTCCTGCCATTTGCTGATTTCCCAAATTAAGTTTACAATCATTTTCTTTATAATTTTTTTTTATTTCATATGAACCATCTTCAAAATTAATTATCTCCATGATAGGGTGAAGATCTTTGAGCAAGGTATACTTGAAACCCTTAAATTATTAGTTTTTTTGTTGAATTTCTAATAATTTGTCTTTTTCTTGGTTATTATATCGATTCTAGCAATTATTGCTATTTATCTAATTGAACTCATTATCTAATGATTCATTATACTCATTTTCTTTAAAGATATAATTAAATTTATTAAACTATTAATTTTATTCATTTTCATTAAGAATAAAATCCTCATTGCTATTCTAAACTTGTATGTCTTAGATGTCATCAAGCTATTTTTCTTAAAAATTTTAGAAAATAAAATTATTTCTTTGGGGAGAGCCATCTTATTATTTGAACAGTTATTAAATTAAATTTTATTCTTAAAATAATTTTTTCTTTGTTTATTGTTAATTTTTTAGCCATCTTGTTTATTCTAATTTGTTTTTTTATTGTAAACAATTTATCTACGAATTATTATTTTAGGGGGTCATTTAAGAATAGACACATTTTGTCTACTCTTCTTGTTGATTTGATTTTTTTATTTATTCTGATAAATTATACTTGCTCCTAAATTTTTATTAGCTGCTGAGTTATGGTAATTAAGGTAATTTATCTTATTTTCCTAGCTATAAACTCAATTGAATCTATTATTTTTCTTATTTTTATTTAGTAAGCATTGAATTGAATTTCTTCTTTATAACCTATTCAATTTATAGATTGTTTTGTGAATTACTTTTTGATGATTAAGGTGATAAAAAATATTATCTTATAGGTCTTTAAACATTTTCTAAGCTTTCTAACTTGCAAATTGATTTCCTTTAGTAAAATGAATCATCATCATTTTCTGTTAACAAAGAAGGAATATTTTTAAAACCTTTATAAAACCTTTGTTAAGACTTAGCACTAAAAATTGAAGGTTCTTCCTCAACTACAGTTTTTTTTGCGGCTTAAGTTACCCTCCTATTAGAATTTGATTTCTAATCCAACACACTTTATATTTGCAGGTCAATACAATTTTTATTATCTTATTAAATTCTACTAAGACTTTTACTTGGATATAGAATCTTTGAGCTCTAAGTAATTTACTATCTATCATTTTTTTATAATTCTTTCTAACTCTTTACAGAAGTTATAGTCAAAATAGATGATTATTAATTACTATCCAGTAATAGAATTAGTCGTTTATTTTTGTTACCCCAACAAAATTTTTTGGTATTATATTAAGTTCTATCTAAGAAGATCATTTTATACTTTAAATTGTATTTATAAGATTTGAAAACCAATCAAATAAACTAACTATCTAACTAACTAAAATAGTTTAGATGTAAATATCAAAAATAAATGTTAAAAATTGACTGATTTCTTTTATTTTATGAAAAAAAATCAAATTATTTAAATAAATTTTTTATTCAATAAATTTAAATAAAGAATGATAATTCTGATTGAATAAAATTCATATTAAGTAAAAGATATTCATTCAACTTTTCTATATAACTTATTTAAATTAAATTTTATTAAAAAAAGAATTAGAAAGTTAATCATATTCATTCAATTATAAATTATTTCTTTATTTTGTGAGTGACATCTATTTTACAAATTACAATAGCCGAATTATTTATTTTCTATTCGAGCAAGTGAGTGAGTTTGTGGTTTAAATTAATAATTAATCGTTACAATATATTTATTTTTATTTACTTCAATAAATAATTATTTTACATCACTTCAGCATTTTATAAAATATTTTATCTTTACTCCTTAAAGTTTAGGTTTTTAGGTATGGAGGGGAGGGGGATACCCCCTTTTATTTTTATGATATAATAGAAAAATAATATTAAATATGAATACACATCTATAAGCCTTAAAATATTTTTTTCAATTTCTTACCTTCGTTATTTATTAGATTTATCTCACTTAAAATTTCCTACATAGATAGATAGATAGATAGATAGATAGATAGATAGATAGATAGATAGATAGATAGATAGATAGATAGATAGAAGGAACATGAGTAGAAAAGTTTTGGTCTTTTCAAGGTTTAAATGATAGCAATACTTTTAAAATAAATTCTATTAAAAATAAATAGGATTGATCTTTGTTTGTTTTTTGTAAACTATGCCACTCTAATTTAAAAATTAAAAAATTTTAGTAGATAATGGTAAATACATACTTTTTGAATTTGGATGAAAATTAACTAGCTCAAAAAAGTAACTCGAATATATTTTTTATTTAAGATTTATTCTGAACTCAATGAATTAAATACATAATTAAAATTAGATATAATTATTTTATTTTAAATTCAGATAATTAATTTTTTACAAAATTGCTATTTTTAATTAATTTTATGATATAAAAATGTTTACTTTAAAATAAATTTATAATTATAATAATTAAGTAATCTTAATAATGCTAATAAACAATATTTATACAATAATAACTTTAACATATCTTTATATTTTATTTTTATTACTAAAGTAGATATTTTCTTTTATGAGTTTACTCAACAGAAACTCTTTTGTTTTTGTAGTTAATTAATTTTTTTGGGATCATAAAAATTTGATTTTAATGTTATTGTTATTTTTTTATGTTTTATAAAATATTTTATTAAAAAAGTAAATTCAACAGTTTAAATAGTTAAATAGTAATAATAAGATAATACAAATCGCTAAAAGTAGATTTAATTTTATATAATAGTAATTATTTTTAATAAAAATGATGGATGTTATTAATAATATATGAATTAGGATTCATATTAAATTTTGTTAAATTATTATGGTTGTTATTTTGATTTTGTTTTGATTATCTGTTACTTGCTAACTACTTCATAGTAATTTCAATTCTCTTTTCTTTATTACTGAGAGCATGTTATCCACATTGGTTAAAAAGTCTAAGAAAAATAGAAGCTGTTTTCTTTTGCGTATTGTGTGCAATCTTCAGCACATTAGTAAAAACTATCAGGAAGGGTGTCTTTACCTTGAGAAGACTCAAAATAAATCCACCAATGCACACATGAAGTAGAAGCTTATTGTGAAGTTTCGCTATAACACTAGCTTGTTTTACTAGCAGCAGAGTAGCAATATTAACGATCTTATGGATCATCTTAATCACATGTCTTTAACATTATCCTTTCTATGCAATACTGCCAATCAAAAATAGTTGGCTGGTATTCACTTAGTATTCTATGCTAATTTTTTGTATTTTAAAATGTATAAAGTAGGCTAATTACTGTTAAGAATAAAATTGCTGCGTATTTCATTTCAAATATTTTCTTTTATAATATGTAGAATTTGATAGATGTTTTTTAAAAACTTTTGGTGATAAATTAATTAATTAATTTTTTTTGTAAATTAATCAATGATAATAATTTTTCTTCCTATATTAAAAGTAAAGAGTAGAAATCAAATAAACTGAATGCAAATATTATTATTATTCTAAATTTTTTTCATTTGAATTAGTTGTGTAGTAGTAACTTTTCTTTTCATTTCAAATGCTTTTTTAGATTTTTTAATTTTCTTAGTGAAATCAAATGACAAAGTTGTTCTATTTCAATAAATTGCATAATACTAAATGATATGATGCAGATAATTTTATTATTATTTATTCATTTAAATAAATTACTTAAGAAATCTTGTAAATCAGTTAGATTAGCTTTTTTTGATTGATTAGATTAATGGATTCATTTTTTTATAAAGTTTTAAGAAAAATGAATTATTTATAATTTTCATGATATTATTATATATTAATAAAGATAGAGCTATGCATTTATGACAATCTAGAAATTGCTACGCAAAGATTTGTTATATATTTAACTTAAGCAAGTAGAAGTTAAGCAAAATTTATTATCAAAAATTGTAGGGTCCAATCAATTAAAGGATCAGTTAATATATCAGTAGAAAAAGATACATCAAAAAGGAACTCCACTTATTTATCCATAAAAAACTATATATTTTATTTAGATAGATTTAAAATGAAAAATATTATATTTTGATAATAAAGAATTTTTGTTTTTATTTATGTTCGTTCTTTCATATTTTTATTTCTATCGAATATAAAATAGACAAAATAAATTTCTAAAAAGGAAATTTATATAAGGATGAAAGAGTAATTTATATTTGAAAAACTTTTAAAAAAACGTACTAAAATTTGAATATTTTATTCATAAAAAAAGTTGCTTTCTTACAAAAATCTATAAAAACATGCATTTACTAAAATTATATATAGGTATTATTGATTTATTGATAGAAAGATAGATTGAGATTTTCATTTTAAATATTTTGATGTTGTGTTTTAGTAAATATATTTGATAGTAAGTGCTTCAATTAATTCTCTTCTATACAGAAAAAAATAAAATGCCAATATCTTTATTAAGGAATTTACTCTTAATAAGATAAAGCTAATTTGATAGCTATTTCATCTTAGCTCAAGATATATTTTTTAATTTTTTCAGTTGTTATGATGAGTTGGTAAAGCACAGTTGATCCACATAGGAGAAAAGAATTTTTGGTAATAAAAATTGTTTTATTAAGCAAAATTAAGGCAATCAGAAGCACATTCATAAAAGCTATCAGGCAAAGCTTCACTAGCTAGGGAGGTTTCATAGAAATACCACCAATGAGTGCATGATTGTGATGCTGTAGGTGAAGATTCACTGTTGCAACTAGAAGTAGTGGTTGCAGCAGCATTACATTCATCAACATCGAGAGGATCATCATCTTAATCGCAAGTTGAAAGGACAGTGTTCTGCAAGCATGATTGCCAATCATAAATGGTTGGTTAGTCAGATTTTAGACTGCTTTTTTTATTAAGGAGAAGCAATGAACTCAAAGCTAAGGTAGAAATGATAGCTATAAGAATAATAGTTTTTGAAGTCATTGTTTTTGTTTACTAAGTAGAATATACAATCTCTGTTTTTTATAGTTATTAATTTTTAATTATTTTTGATTTTTTTCTAATTATAAAATGAATGCCTTTCTATTTACCAAAGTGTTTTTTTATTTGTATTTAAATATAACTAAAAAACCAACCTTCTGTCTAAATAAACATTATAACATTTAAATAAGTAATTAGATTTAAGATTATTATTATTTTTATAATAAAAAAGAAAACATAATTTAGAGTCGATTTACTCATTTCTTTACAAAGAAATAGCATACTTTACTATTTTAGTAAGAATTCTAAATATTATTCTCAAATAATAAGTTAATGAAAGAAAGAAAATATTATAGTATTTTAAATTACATTTTTAACTTTTTCTTGCTTTTTATTGATTATAATATTTCTTTTATCAATTTAATATTAACTAAATAAAATTATCTGTTTGTTTAATTAAAATAAAATTTTTTAAGAAAATTCTATTCGAAAATTTCTTCAACTTTATTAATTTATTTTTAAAAAAAGTTTTTATTATTTGAATTAAAGATTTAAAATAAAAAAAATAATATTAAATATATATTTTAATTGTTTATTATTAAAATCTAAAGAGATAATTTAATTTATTTTATTCACTTCAAATGTTATTTAATAGCTTTTTCCATCTTTTTACATAGTTCTTTTTTATTTTAAATGATGCATCAAATATAAATCATACTTAAATTTACAATTATTTCTTTGAATAAAAGGGTTAAATTGAACTAAAATCAATTAATTGTCATAATTTTAAATGTTAGAATTTAAATTTAAAAGATTAAAAATTAAATTACCTCAAAGTTTTTCAATAAAGTTGAATAATATTTATATTTTTGATAGATATTTTTTTAAAAATTAATGGAGTTTAAAATTAAACTTGAATTCCTTCATTTTATAAATATACCTAACTCATTAGTACTAAATATAATAAATTGAATTTTATGAGGTCAATCTTATTTAATTTAACAATTTATTTAATATTATGTTATTAGATTTTAAAATTTAAATATTTTATCTTTCTAATGGAGGCAATATTCTAATCAATCTGAAAAGAACTAAAATAGTAAATAGCAATATATAGAAAAGTTGATTAAACATAAATAATTTTTATGGAAATGCGATTGATTTGTATTTGCATTTGTTTACATTTAATATAAACTACCACAAAAATTAATTGATAAATTAATTAATTAATGAATTTAAATTTATTATTGTTTATATTTATTAATTTTTTGGTTAGTAAAATTTTGCGAAAGTTTGATTAAAGAATTAATTCACTCATTCATATTAATTTTTAATTAATTGGATTGTTGCAATAAAAACAAACAAAATATTTTTGTTAAATTTATACAAAAGCGAAGATATAAATATTTTAAAATGATAGATGAGGTGAAATATTAATAGGAACGATAGAGAGATGGTATCGACATTCTAAAATACGTGGATTCGTGGAATTTCATAAAATTTAGCAATAATTCTATTTTCGAAGTTGAGATTTCAGATGTTTCTCCATTTATTTAAAATGATCAAGATAAATAATTTTTTAATGAACTAAATGAAAGAAGTTTATAAATGAATTTGTCTTTAAGTTCTCCTAACTCTAATTAGTAAGAGAAGCAAAATAGCTAAAGCAAAAAACTTATTTTGAAAGAGCTTTTTGGGTAAGATATTAAATAGGAGATAGAATTTGTCAAGACAATAAGATAGCTTAATTATCGAATACCAGGACTTATTTATATGATAAATTATGCTATTTATCAAACAGAATCGTTAGAGGTAGGCTATATTCTCATGGAAAAAGGAGAAATGAATTTGCAGTAGTTTTTAGATGAAAGATTAAAGCAAAACTTGCCTATATAATTTAAAGAATTGGTAAGCATAATGAGGTAGAGTATTAGTGCATTGGCTAATTTGCAGGAAGAAAAGATAGCTCACAACGATATAAAATTAGCAAATATATTAGTTTTTAGGAAACCTATTGCATAGTTAGCTCAGTAATAAACTAATAAAAATAATGAACAGATGAAGTAAAACAAGAAATAACCATTATTACCAAATTAATTGTAATTTGATTAAAGTGCAACTTTTTCTCCTAACAAATCAGCCAGGCTTAGCAGTCAAAAAAATAATAAAATAGCTCCAAATAAGTTTCTTTTTAATGAATATGATAAAAACTAATGTTCTATGTAAGAAGAAAAAGAAGCTAACTAAAATTAAACTAATCAATAGGATAGTTAATGCATAGACTATGAAATTGAAATCAAATTTTGCGATATAGGTAGCAGCCAAGCAAATTAAAGCACTTTTAAAAAAACTAAAAAGCCAGGAACCGATTCATATTTAGCCCCAGAAGAATTCCTAGGTGATAAAATTCATATTTATAAATACGATGTTTATAGTCTTGGACTTTGTTTTATCAATCTAATAATTCAAAAGACTAGTAACTTTCACGTTTACATGAAAAATTCAAATTGGAATAATCTTATGAGTAAAAAAGATTGGCTTGAAATACTTCAAGATATTTTAGAAGAGTGGATAAGGATAGCCTCCTTGAGGATGAATAATTAAGATGTAAAAACTATCTTGACTAAAATGCTTATAATAGATATTAATTCTCGTCCAGATTTTATTGAATTAAGAAATATTTTTGATGACTTATTTAAAAATTAAATTTCTAAAGAGCAAATGAGCCCAAACAGCTCATCTTCTCCTAATAATATAGAAGACATATGCATAGAAAATCAATTTGAAATCAGCAAAAGTAAATATCAAAATATATTTTAAAATGTTTTTTTAAATAAAATCATTAAATAAACTTAAAATTGCTTTGCTAAAAAGCAAAGATATTAAAATTAAATCTAAAATAAACAAAATATTGCTAGAATAATTGATTAAAAGCATTCTATACAGATAATATAGAGTTATTTTTTATTTTTCAAAATTAAAACAAAAATGGTTTTATATTTTTCATTATCTTATTTGTTTTTGGATTAATTTAATTAAAGTTTTAGTATAAAAAAAAATATTTTATTAAATAAATTGATTGATTTAAATTATTTTGAATTAAATAGATGACTCTAAAGAAGATAAAAAAAGATCTTAATAAGAACTAAAAAATCAGAGAAATTTTGAAAAACTAGCTTTTTAACAAAGAAAATTAAAAATTAATGATGGAAAAGCGAAGATGATTCAATTGATATAGAATGGAATATGTGATAATGATTCTCCTTCTTAAGTTACACATCCAAAATAATAATTAAGTGGCTTTAATATGAACTCTTCTTAGGAAGAATAAATAATTAAGAATAATTAAATTCCTGCATTAAACTATTTGTAATCGAACGAGTCTTAGCTCATAGCAAGTATTTCGCCAAAAGAATTGTAAAATAAAGAGTCAGAAGAGTCCCCTTCAACATTTTAAGATAGTATCAATGAAAACCCTAAGCAGCAAATTGTTCCCACGTCAATTTCTCGTAAGTAATTAACAAACTTCAAAATTCATTAACAATCTACAAAGAGAATTCCAGTAAAAATTACAGATTCAAATTCTATTGCTTCCTCTAGTTCTGTTTCTTCTTTACCTACTAACATCACTTCTATTTCCTCTACAAATTTGTATAATAGTGAATAAGTCTAATAAAGGAAGAAATCAAACACAATTAATGATAAAAAGAAAAATTTAAATAACTAAGCAACGAATTAAAACAATTTAGTAAATTTTGCAGAATCAATATTGATTAGTTCTGATTAAATAAAGCAGCAATAGCAATAATTCAGATAACCTAGTAGTGATTCAAATAATTTTAATATTTCAAAGCAGTCTACATTAAATGGCATAAATAATCAATAGAGCTCAGCTTTCTTTTAGAATCTTCATTAAAATTAATAAGTATATTAATAGTTTTCATAGTAGCAATCTTTGTATTTTCAATAACTTTAAATTGACAGCTCAGATAAAAAATCAACAAATATTATTACTGCTGATTAGAAATTGAATTTTTCTTAATCGACAAGAAATCAACCGTAAACAGGAACAAAAAAGATTGATTTTACAACCAACCTTTCAGTAAGAAATCAACTTATAAGTATGAGCTCAAAAGTTAGTAGAAAAAGTTAGCAAGATGATTTAGAAAACATCAATCACAACAACACAAACAAAAACCCTCAAATTTCTTCCTAAAAAAGTTAGCTTGATATACAAAATCCTGCAAGTTTTAGCAATATTCCTAATACTAATTTTAACACTAATCAAATAAATTCCTTGACAAACATGTAATTTAAAAATCCATTTAATCAAACCATTAATGGAAAAACAAGCAAATCTTTTAAAGAGCTGCAATCAATTAATTAAATTGACTCGCCAACTTAAAATATAAAAAAATCAGTAGATAGAAGATAGAAAAATGTTTCTTCCTCTTAGTTTAAGCTTCCGCCTATTTAAAATCAATAGAATGAGTAAGATCAAAGCCTAGTTTCCAACTAAGAAAAAAAGTAAATTTGTTTATTTGAAAATAATTTTTTAATTGAATTTAATTCATAAATAAAAAAATCAGCTAATTAATTTTATTTCATTAATTATTTAATATAATTTATTTATTAAATTAAATAATTGAACAAATTCTTTAGCAAATAAATTATTCTTTAAACTAAATATTCTATACTTTTGTTAATTAATTATCAAATTAGAATTTTGTTGTTTAATACTTTTTTAATTTAATTAAATTATTATTTTAAATTTATTGATTTCTTTATCATTTTATCAAATTAATTTGCACCTTTTAAAAGGAAAATTTAACTTTTAATTAAGATATTTTATTTTATAAAGTGATTTTGAAGGTATTTAAAAGAGAGAATAAGTTAGATTTAACAGCATTTAAGAGAATTTTTCAATTAAATAAGTTTTCGATTCTGATTATTCAAACCCAGCTAGTCCTCATAAATACTCTAAAAGCTACACAAACAAAGGAGATTTGACACCTCAACTTAAATAGATGCAAATAACCTCCAGTTAAAAGTCTAAATTCAGTAATTAAAAGTTGATAAAGCCTAATTTATCATCTACAAAATTATATCCTTTGCCAGCTTAAAATAATGGAAATCTAACTTCTATAAATACCTCAACAATGCACTTAAAAGTCAGTTTTCCTTCTTAGACAACTTAAAAATAACATCAATAACCTTAATAAATGAATATTCTTTAAAATGGGATTTCTAACAATAATTAAAATAATTTCTTATCTGTTAACAATAATTTAAACTCAAATTTTTAAATCAAGGTATCACAAAAAAGTTTAACTGATTAAGTTAATGAAAACTTTGAATAAGTTACAATCACAGAGTATTCTGAAATGCTAAAATTTTATGATAATTTTATCAAAGTTAGCGATTCAAACAAAATTTATAAGTATTTAACTCTCATTTTAAGTGGAACAGACAAATCAAATATTCACGGCATTATAGATTGCCTCTATAAAATGGATGGTTTAGTCCATTTAAATTTATAAATAATATAATAAAAATCAGAAGTAATTGATTGGGCTTTGGATGTAATTGAAACAATAGGTTCTTCCCTTATAAATCTATGTATACTTTTTAAAGATTGCGACTATAAAGATCATTTGAAGTCATTATAATCTGACTTTTTAAAACCAGAGTAACTAACAAAAGTTTCAGAGGATCCTTTTCAGCTGATTGTGAGATTAGAAGGTAAACAAAGTGATCCTCTGGGAATACTTGATTCTTTAATTTCTAAAAGTTCTTCATTTTAAGACAGAATTGCCATATTTAACATAGACATATAAAAAAAAAATTTAGACAACCCAGCAAAGCTGGTAAATTGTTTAAAGCAAATTTAAAAATTCAAAAATATACATTCCTTTGGATTAGATATCTCAAATAATAACATTCCTCAAATAGATTCCAACAATATATTCCTAGCTATTGAATAGCTCAAAAATATTCATACCTTGTCCTTCAACATATCTCAAAATCAACCAAGTTTATTTGATGATACATCTTTGCTTAATTTACCTCATTCGCTGCAAATACTCTATTTAAACCTTTCATATAATAAGATTTCTACTATTTAATTAGTAAAACTATAAAAGTCTATAGAATCTTGTAAAAGCCTGAACACTATTTATTTGTTTCTAACAGGCTGTGTAAACAAAGTAAGTCTTTTATTTACATTTTTCCAAATTTACTTTTTCAATTGCTTAAAAATGCACATAAATGAAAAACAAAAATCTTAGACTTTTTTAGTTGCCATCTATCATAAAATCTTAGATAAATTTAAGATTAATATTTATAAATAAATAGGATGACACAAATTTGCTTATGCTGTTCTTTCCATTTTTATTTAAGCAAGTGAAAAAAGTAGGAATATTTTTAGACTCTAATCAGTTATTTGATTAAGAATTCAAGTTATATGAGAGTGAATTACTCAACTAATTCAAGGTAGAAGTACTCACTTTATCTCTAAATAAAAACATCCTCTCATTCGAGACATTTAAAAGTATTTTAATCAATCTATTTTAGAGAATATTTTAATCTAATCAAATAAATATTTTAAATTTAGTTTTATGCAAAATGATCAAAATGCAGTAAAAGCTTAAGCAAGTTACAATCACATTTCCAAGGACTATTCGCAAACAATAAATATTAGATTAATTTACTAATTTAGAAAACGAGAAATATATTTTATAACTGAAAAATGAGGAATTCGACTACATAACTATTTAAATAGATATCATCAAAAGAGCTGTTGCAAGAAAGCAAAGCAACTTATCTGTAAAATTATTATTTATAGAAGAGTATAATATAAATTTAATTATTTATTTATTTGTAAAAGATTCAAACTGGCAAAAATGCTTCGCTTACATTTATCCCATTAGAAACTATTTCAAATAATTAATGTTGGAATACTTCTAAATAGAGTGTAATATTTTAAGGGTTTTATTGCTTAACTTGCTATGAAAAAAACCAAGTCAAAAATGATAGCTACTATTGTTTATATTGCATTAAAAATTGCCATAAAGATCATAAATATATAGAAATGCATGATTTTCCCTCAGTTTAAATTGTATGCAGCTGCAATGATAAAGGTTAGTTTTGCGAATCCTTAAAACACTTACAAAGTATAAACAATAATTTTTAAAATAGCATTCAAAACTCTCCTTCAAAATATCCATAAAAATGATAAATTACTTTCATTATAATAGAAACATAATCAAAAATATATTCAAATTATTGAGTTTTTCAATAAAAAAAATTAATCAATTAATAAAAAGAATTTAATAAATTTTAAATAAGTAAAATAAATATAAAAAATTTAATATTCAAATAATTTTTGTAAATTAATACATTTTACTATATAAAATATATATGTATTTAATTAATTGCTGCTTAAAATAATGAAAAGAGCTTAAAATTGAAAATGGTTTTTTTAAAATACCTTTGATATTATTATCTAACATAAATTATCTTAAAATCAATTAATTCATTAAAAAATTCATCTTAAAAATATATACATTTTATTTATATTTATCCTTGATAACTTGATTATTGGAAGAACTTTGACTAAATTACTTAATTATTAGGATAATTAAAGTATTTTTTGACTTAAATCTTAAAGGATATTTAATTTTATATTAACTTCATGTGGTATTTTATTTACAAAAATGAATAAATAGTTTTGTAAATACTTTTGCATATATGAAGAAAAGGAGAAATGGATTAAATAAACAAATGAAACATATATGAATAATGAATGAATGATTGTATAAATAAAGTCGTGTGTAGATTGAATATTTTAGAGAAAATTTAAATATCAATATAGATTTAGAAATAACAAATAGCTACTTGTAAATTTGAAAAAAACTTAAAACGTTAAGTTTAAATAATTTATATTTATATATGTAAGTAATATTAGGTTCCTCAAGCAGACTTCTTGGCATTCTTTCTCTTGGTTCTACCTTCGCGACCACCACCTAAGGGAGAAGTAGAAGCAAAATCGATAGACTTTTCAGAGTCAGTTCTAACCATGAAGGAAGGAACATTGACTAAGTTCTTACCAACCCTATTAATAAATTAAATAAATAAATTAATTAACATATTTAACAAATAATGGTAATTAGTTAATTACTTGATGTGTCTTTGTCTAATAAGGACTCTGGAATGGTGGATAGAGTTAGCCAAATTTAACTTGAAAACTCTGGTTTGGAGTCTTCTTTCCATGAGCTTGTGAATGGTCAAACCCAAGACGTAATCCAACTTTCTTTCTTATTCACTGAGGAGACCGTATTTGAACATTCTTCTTAAAAGGGCGGAACCTTCGAATAATCTTCTGGGGTCCTTGGGGTCTAAGGTGAGCAATTCTCTAGCAGCCTTTCTGAACTTAGCCAAGATCATTTAAACTCTCCAGACTTCTCTCTTGTTCTTTAAACCGAAAGTACCGATAAGCTTCATTCTAAATAAAAAAAATATTAAAATTAAAATTTAATTTATAAAAATGGGTTTTTTTCTTTCTATTTATCATTCATTATTTATAAATGCTTATTTTATCAACAAAAATCATTAATCATTTTAGTATTATTTGTGGATTGGTATTTATTTCTTAACAAGTTTAGGACAAGCTATTGTAAGCAAGTAAAGAATCATATGAGCTAATTAGTAGTTGACAGGTGTTTAGCGAAATAGGTAGGATATTAACTGATATATTAATCAAACAAAGAATTTATATCATCTAATTATTAATAACTATGAATTTGAAAAGAAAGTGATCAGGAATTTTAAAAAGCAGTAGGAACTTAGTTAGAAAATTTATCAAAAAGTACACATTTATTTTGAATTTGGTTTGTATCAAGAGAGCTTAATTAAAAATTTGTTTGTTTTAATAATTTTAGTTGTTCGTTTATGATGAATATATTTTAATATTTCATACAAACTCTTTTTAATTCTTTTATTGCGTCTCTTTGGCTTGATAGATAGCCAATTCTTTTTTTGACAGATCAATAGAGTGAGATTGATTGATCCTTTGACCAAATTGATTAAATGATCAATCAATCAATCATAATCATTTTTTCTGCTATATATCAATAAAATATCCTAAATAAACCTTTGGTTTTTAATTAATCTTTAGCATCTTAATTGTTTTAATACTAATGCTTTGGTTTTTATATTGTTTTGGTTTGCTTATTTAAGATATTTTATACATAATCACTCTATTTTTTTAAGAATTGATTTTAAACAAATTTTTTTACTGCTTCTCTCTATTGATAGGATATTATTTGCATCCATCCTGCTTTCTAATTTGGTTTTACCTAGATATAGCTTGATTAGTTAGCGAATTAATGCCTTACTATTTTCATATGGTTTATGGTTTGTTTCTTCTTTTTTTTTCTGATTGATTGATGGCTTATAATTAAGGATATATAATTAATTACTTCCTTAAGCTGCCATTTATTTACTAATTAATCTACTTCGTTTTTTAACTTGAGGCTATTTATTTATTTTTCTATTGATTCACATTTTCTAATCAATTACTTGCGAGAAATATCATAATGCTAAAACTACAGTAAGAATGGTTCATAATTTTTAGAGAAGCTACTACTTTCTCATTAAATTCAACAAATAATTTGCTTTGGTCCCATGGATATAGGAAATTGTGCTAATAAATCAAATTTCGATAATGGATTGGGATGTTAAATTAAGGGTTTTGTGAAATTTGTGTTGATAAAATAAGAATGAGTAAATAATAATTTGATAGATAGATTAATGGATTGGATGAAGTCAGAGTGGATAATTAAATGAATATTGTACTCATTATCGAGTCTTTCCTTTTCATAAGGTCTTCTGGGGGTAGAGTAGGTCTTGGAAGCTGTTGTGATAAGAGAATAAAGCAATTAATATGGAGATCAATTATTAAAAAAATTATTTACTGTTGATGTAGGTTTTACCCATTTTTATTTATATACTTTTGGTTTTATATATCTTTTATTTGACTTTAGATAATACTTTGATTTAGATGCTGTACTTTTCTCTTTAAATTATCTTTGTACTTTCCTCCCCACACGCCCAAAATTTTTCTTTTAAATTTATTCCAACTAATTTTCTCCCCTTATATTTTATCATTAATTTCCATTAATCTATTAGATAGATCCATCCCTTCCATTTTTTTCAAGCTTTTATAATTAAAGTAAAACCTCCATTTTTTCAAATAAACTCTCTTCTAGGTCATATTTTTTTGGGAAAATGAAAAAATTGCCATCTTTGAAAATGTCTTTTTGCTATTTGTTCTGAACATCCATGTTAAATGTCATTCATTCTTTCACATAAATTCATGCATGCATGGCAATTGTAATTTTTTACTATTTTTTATGTTTAAATTAATTTATAAGGCAATCATTTATTATATTTATAAAACGTTAACAAATATTTATTTCAAAAATTACATTTAATGATAAAATATTTTTTTTTATATTTATTAATTAAACTTTTTTACAAATAAAAAAATGATAAACAAAAATAGTAAAACATTATCAAAAAGTTAAAAATATTGAAATTAAAACAATTGGCTTAAATCCAAAATAGTTTATTTATTATCTAAAATAATTATTGGAAACAAAAACATTAAAAATCCAATTTAATTTTAATTTAAATTTAGCAAATTTGATATGTGTATTTACTTTTATATTTGAAATATTTGCATATATATTTGATTTATTTTATTTGATATTATTTGTATTAATTTTGTTAATAATTTTATTCTTTTTTATTGTTTTTATTGTTGTTAAACTATAAAAAATATAAATGGTACAAATGTATGTATTGAGATATATGAAAAGTATTTAAAAATGAGAAGGATTTAACTATGAATTGATTGATTGATTGATTAATTAATTTAAAAAGATGTTTGAGAGAGTAAATTTAAATAATTACTATATATTTTCATTTACAGTTAATAATATATATTAAGGCAAATACTCTTTTTATTTAATTTATTGGAAGTATTATTATTAATATGCAGCTCAACGCTTTTCCTTCTTACCCTTGAAAAGAGCCAAGAGAGAAATACCCTTGACACAAACAACTTTGAATCTAACACCCGGAATATCACCGACGGCGTGACCTTGTCTACCAAGACCAGCAACCAAGACTTCGTCGTTTTCAGCTAAGAAGTTAAGGCAACCATCCATAGGAACGAAAGCAGCGATCTTCTTGGAGTTCTTTCTGAGCAAAACTCTAACACACTTTCTGACGGCAGAGTTAGGTTGCTTAGATTCAATACCGATCTTTTCAGTGACTAAACCCTTAGCGTGAGAAGCACCCATAAAAGGATTTCTCCATCTGGAGCCCAAAAGTCTCTTGTTGAAATCGTTATCAGCCCATCTTTTTATTTAAAATTGAATTTAATAAATTTATTTTGAGAGGAAGAGAATAATGGCAAGCAATCATTTATTTTTTTATTAATTTGTTTATGTTTTCATATCCGCTTATCTTTTAAGATGATATTTTTATATCCATCCATCCTTCGAAATAAATTAAGCAAAAATCTTTATTAGTTTATATGCTTGTTAAAGTTAGTTGAGATCTTTCTTTCAAAAGACAAAAATTTCAAGTAAAATTTATTTGGAAATTACAAACAACAAACCTATTTATTATTCATTTTTAAACATTCATTTTTCAAATTCGTTATAAAGCGTTAATGCTCTTTAATTTTACTAAATGCTTTATCAAACCATTTGTTCATTTATTTATTTATTGCTGCTTTTGTTATACATAGTCTCCTCTATTTAACTTCTATTTTATATATAGTTCATAATTTTTGTAATTTGATCGATTAATATTCAATCTGAGAATTTCAATCAATCATTCTAGATAAAAACCTAATTATTTCAAATAATCTAATTTAGGGGTTTGCTTTTTATTCTATTTCTTAAATCTTTGCAACAGCTTTGTTGATTGAAAGTTAGCTAGAAACTTTAGAATTCAGATTCTAACTCAAAAAATAAAACAAAATCTGTCTGCTTTTATTTATTAAAGATTATTTGGCTTTTTGAGCTATATACAAAATATTTTCAATAGGTCCGTAAGAAGGATAAAGCAAACTAAGCGCAGAGAAACGATTATATCTTAGTAGAATTGTTGGTTGAAGACATTAATTAGATGCATTTAACAAAATTGATGAGAATGAATAAAAATAATTTTTAAATGTTTGTCAAAATTGGGGAATGTAATGGAATGGATTTGTAATTGATTTATCATTCATTTGAGAGCGTTTTGAAAAATAAAGAGAAGGATTGCTATAGCTTTGATGCAACACTCCTCAGATTCATGCTTGCTGTAGATTGATTGTTATTAAAAAAATATTTCACCTTTGGTCCTTTCTGTGTCTAGCCAATTTTCTACCGGCTCTAATACCTCTAGGTTTACCAACACCCATTTTGATTTTTATTTTCTTTTTTATATTTTTTACTTTAATTATTTTGTTTTCTTTTAATTTTAATCTTCCACACCGCTTTTAAGTATCTTAAATACAAATGCATATTCAAACCATATACACATACATTTATTTAATTAGACTTCATTAAATTTCCCCTTTATATATTTCTTTTCTTTATACTATTTCTTCTTTTCATTCTAATTTATCTTCATTATTTTACTTCCTTTTCTCCTCTCTCAATGCTAAATCTTGACATTTTCATTCATTCATTTATCTTCCTATTTATGTCACCTACTTTCCTTCTATCAATTTTTCTTTGCTTGCTAGCTAGCTTACCTGCCTACTTTATTCATTTATTTATGTTTCGCATCTTAAATTTGATACTAGCCTATCAATTAAAACAAATAACATTTCTTATTTTCCCCTTCCATTTCATTATTTTTATAAGCATTTCTTTTTAATTTGCTTTATTTTATAACTACATAAATACATCTTTTAAATTCATTAAAGTATTTACATACAAACCTAATACAATTCAGCTTAAAATAAACTGTAACTAGAATAAAATAATTATTTTCAATTTAATTTATAATCAAGTAGAAAATAAAAATATTAAAATTTTAATATCCAAAAAAATAGTAATCTACAATTTCAAATTAATAAGCAGTATTTTCATTAAAAATAACAAAAATAATTAAAATATTTATGGCTAAATAGAATAATTTTATAGTCTAATTATTTAAGAGCTAAAATAATTAGTAATATTCGAAAAGAGTCATTTTATTTTTAAATCGATTCAAAGAGATTAAGTTGTTTCCTATAAATATAAATCAAGCAAATAATTTAAAATTTAAATTAAAATTAAATCTGTTGAACTCTATAAAATAATTCTTTTTTGAAATAGAAAAATATATTTGTTTGTTTCAATTATTTTAAATTTTTAAAAATAAAAAAATAATTTTAGAATATTAATTCTACAATGTTTTTTATAAAAAATATTGAATATTCAAAGTTAGTTTTAAACTAGAATTAGTGTTTATTTATAAGTTAATATTTGCCATTAATTGATTGTTTAAAATTTTACCTTTCTCAATTAATCAATAAAATTAGTTAAGAATTCTTAAAAATTAGAACAACATCTCTTTTTTCCATAAAATTAAACATTCTGAGAATTTCTGTAAATTTATTCTTTTTATTTCTAAAATAATATTTTTTTATTTTATTGAAGTAGATTTTGACTGCTCATTATTAAAATTTAATCCAAATATATTTTACAAAACAATACAGTTGAAAATTTATTTTTGACTGCTATAAATAAATAAAGATGGTAGATCTTTTGAATAATTTAAAATTTTTTAAAAAAAGCCATGGAATAATCTTATTTTGACTTTAAAATGAATGAAATAGAAAATTTAAAATTATTGTATACAATATAAATACTGATAATAGCTAATAAAAAATCTTTTTATTTGATAAAGTAGATAATTTAATTTCTATTTTTTTTGCTCTAATTATTTTTATCTTTCTCAATTAATCAATAAATACAAATAAAAATCATTTAAAATTCTACCAAAATTTTTATCCTTTAAAATCAAACAGACATTCTAATTATTTTTATAAAATTATTCTTTGTATTTCTAAAATAATATTTTTATTAAAATTGTAGTAGATTTTGACTGTTCATTATTTAAATTGAATCCAAATATATTTTACAAATCAAAATATTTGAATATTTATTATTCACTTCTATTATAAATAGATGTGGTGGATCTTTTGAATAATTTTAAATTTGAAAAAAAGCTATTGAATAATCTTATTTTGACTTTGATATGAATGAAATAGAAATTTAAAATATTTTTTATTAAATGTAAATGCTGATAATAACTAACTAATAAAAATTTTTTTTGATAAAGTAAATGATTATATTTCTATTTTATTAGTTCTAATTATTTTATCTTTCTCAATTAATCAATAAATACTAATAAAAATCATTTAAAATTAATCCAACATTTTTTATTATTTAATATTAAATATTCTGATTATTTCTATAAAATTATTCTTTAGAACTTTTAAATTAGTATTTTGTTAAAAGTGAAGTAAGTTTTTAAAGTTTCTCTTTATTTTAAATGAATCCAAAAATATTAAACAAAACAAATCAGTTTACAATTTTTTATTCACTACAACAAAGATGATGGATCTTGCTTTAAAAAAAATGTTTAAGCTTTGAAAAAAGCAATTCAATAAAATTATTTTGACATTTTGAAATAAAACAATTCAAATATTTTAAATTATTCTATTATTTTAAATACCGATAATTGCTAATAAAAAATCTTTTTTCTTGATAAATTAGACAATTATTGTTTTTATTATATATTTTTTACCTTTGAAATCACTATTAATGTAACAAATCTTAAAATAAAAATTTAATAATTTAAATTAAATAAAATCAATGGGTATTTCTCGAGACAGCACTCACAAAAAAAGATCCACAGGAGGTCTTATGCCAGTACATAGGAAGAAAAGAGCCTAATAAAAGGGAAGACCACAGTCTATGACTAAATTAACTACAAAATCCAACATTTTAGAGGAGAAAAAGAGAGTTAGATCCATCAGAGTTAGAGGTGGTGGCATAAAGTAAAGAGCTTTGAGACTTTTTGAAGGTAATTTCTCATGGGGAACTTACAGTATTACAAGAAAGACAAAAATTTTAGACGTGAAATATAATGCTACTAATAATGAATTAGTAAAAACAAATACCTTAGTGAAAAACTCAATCGTTGAAATAGACTCAACTCCTTTCAAGGAATGGTTTAAACTCAAATGTGGTTTAGATATTGGCCCAAAAAAATAAGATCCTGTTACTCATAATAACTCCTCAAATAAGAATGATAGTAAATCAAATGCAAACGAACTAACTATTGAAAAGAATATTTTAGAATAGTTTTAACATTAAAGAGTTTTAGCCTGTATTACTTCAAGACCTGGATAAAGTGGTAGAGCAGATGGTTACATTCTTGAAGGAAAAGAACTTGAATTCTATATCAAAAAGTTATAATCTAAAAAGAAATGAAGCTTTGAAATAATATTAATAAGTAAATTTATTATGTTTAATATTTTATTATTTATTTGATATTTTATTTTTGCTTAAATTTATATAATTAAAATTTCTTTTAATAATGATTATTATCACTTCTCGTCACTTGTGCCTTAATAAATATTTTAATGTTAAAAAAGAATTAATAATGAAATAATAAGATTAATTTTAAATATTTCATTTGAAATTATGAGAGTATAATTTTACATTTATCATTAATTTTTATAAAAATATATTGTTTTAATAACTAAATACTATATTTTATAACTTCTGTTAAATTTAATATATTATTGTATAAAATATCGAAAATGGTAAGGTTAAAAACTATATCGTTTAATTAATGAAATAAATAACTCAAATTTTAATAAAACTGTTGTAATTAATTTAATTTTAACAATTATAAATTTGTTAGAAGAAAATAATTTAATTCAAAAATTATTTATTTTTTTTATTAATGCTTTGTTTTATAAATATAGTAAGTACCCTAGGGTACTGCCTTTTACAAGGCTTACTGTCCGTACAACAACAAATATTAAAATACTATTTATTTTACTTTTTTTCCTTCGTTTTTTTATATTCTTTTAGCAAATATTAGAAAATTTATACATTATTTATATATTATATATTTTTAGATATCAATAAATTTCACAAAAAATGTAAAATTTATAGCTTTAAATATTAAATTAACTTAAATTTTTAACTCTAATTTAAAAGATACTTTAACAATTAAAATTAAAAATCAACGAAAATCACTTACTATAGCTTAATTTAAGATAAAATAATATCTTATTTCATTTTTACATAATTTTTATTGAACAATTTAATTAAAAAAATAAATTAAAAATAGTAAAACAAAAGCAGAATATTTATTAAATAAAAGTTTTAAATAGCAAATCAAATAGAATTAAATGATTTTTTAAAATATGATAGTATAAATTAAATATGAAATAAGATCTTTTTAGTTTTGAAATCCATTTCAAGTTGAGAAATAAAGAGATTATTACAAAAATAAATAAAAATTATTTTTTTTATTTTAAACAAAACAAAATCAATATATAAAGTTTTTATATTTAAATAAGATACAATTTATTGATAGGTTTAATAGGTGAATATTTTTTTTGTATTATAACTTTTTGATTACTCTAATATATTTTTATCTAATTAGAATGATATAAATACTAACTGACTGTTATTTTTTAATTATTTTTTCAAAAAATATTAAATTATATAATCTTTTGTTAAAAAAATTTTTATCTAATAATGAAAGAATTACTCTACTTATGATGTTGTTATATCTAATTACATCAAAAATATTTAATTTACAAATAAAATTATATTTATTATTTAAAGATGTTAAAAATATTTTACTTTTTTTTGTTCATAAAATATATTTTGATTTAAAAAGATATTAATAAAAATAAAATATGTATGCTCTCTAGAAATATTGATTTAAAAAAGCTCTTTTATGGTGATGCTATATCGAAATACTAAATCATTTATCATCTCTATTGAGTTATCTTATGAAATCTATTAAAACCATGAATATTACAATAGAAAATGATGAAGTATTTTTATCAAATTATATGATAAAAATTATTGACATAAATATTGATTATAGTAAGGTAAGCTTTTAATTTACATTTGCTTATAGTGCTTGTTCTAAATTAATAGAACTTATTTTATTCGTTTCATTTCTTAGTATTAACATATTTGAATTTATTTTTTAGAATTTTGATTAAATTTTGTCTAAAAATTTATAAGTTACTTATTTTTTCAAAAATGAAATGCTCTTTAAATAAACATTTTTAAATTGCAGATTATTTATTTTTTAAATAACTTTTTCTTATGTGACCAGATTACTCTATTACAAAAGCTCTTTGAGTAATTAAGTTTGATAAATTTTCTCAATGTAATGCTTTGTATCTCTGTAAATTTTAGTTCTCGATCATCTTAAATAGCGTGAAAAAAAATAAAACACTATTTCAAGAAGGTTTTTGTGTTATTTCTTAAATTATACCTACCAAATTTATAAAAAAATATGAATTGCTTTGAAATAGCGTTCAATTAATCTACAAAAATTATAAAACTGCATATTTTGTAGAAGTTTTTGTATTCCTATTTGAATTTTTTAAAATAAAAAATTGGTGAAGATTAATGACTGAAATTAAATTTATAAAATATTCTATGGTGCAAATATAAAAAATAAGATATTAGACTGGAAGGAAAGATATATCAAAGAGACAGAATAATTATTTAAGCCACAAACAAACAAGGATTAAATTTAGTTTAATTTCTTGCTTTAATTCCAAATAAAATCATTTAAAGTTTTTGCATCAAATTTAAGAAAAGATTTGTGCGTTTTTATTTGTTGAAAAACAAAGAAATAAAAGAACATAGGATAATTGATATCAATTTATATTAAATAAAACTTATTAATCCGAAATCTGAACTAAAGTGAAAGAAAATTCTTTTGAAAAATAATAAATTTTTACTAAAATAGTAATTTATAAATTATTGTTATTTAGGTGATGATTGGATTCACTCAAAATAGTAAGAATATAGAAGAAAGTTGAGTGAATTAAATAATTTATATGTCTTAAATGATATCAATTTAAAAACTATTCAATTTCTTTCGTGAAAAATGTTTTTTGATAATGTTGAGGAAGTGACAATAAGTAGAAATCTTTTTTAATAGAATCAATTTTTAGTTTGCTTGATTTTTTTTGTTTGTTTGTTGAGAAAGTTTTTGAATTTTGATATTGCTTTTTGAGCGGGAGAGAAAGGAAAAGAAATATGATTGAGAAAAGCTGAATTACTCTCAAATATCTAAAGATATTATTTATCTTTCTGTGGATAAAGTTAAGGAGAAAATTTTATTAGAAAGATATTTGTTAGGTAGTTTTTCCAGAAATAAATCTTTATCAATTTATTTATTTTTTGGGGAGCAATTTTTGATTGATAAATTAGTATACACACACATACTCAATCACTAATTTGCTTATACAAAAGTTTGTATGTAAAATATTATTATAATACTAGATAAAATCTTCATTGTCTTATTTTTTTCTTTGATTGTTTGGAGAAGATTGATTGCAAATATCAAAATAGCACAAATAAAATTTTATTTAGATTTATTTTCTTTCTCAAAAGATATCATGAATCTAACAATAACTGTATAAGAAAATATATGTATTTTTCTATATAATATTATCTTTTTTGTTCTGTATTGTCTGAATAATGTAAACACAGGTTATTTTATAGTAAAATATCTTTTAAGTTGATTAATATCTGGTAATTAGAATGAATCAATAAAAGGATAAATATTATTTATTTACTTAGGTTTTAAATTTATTTATTTTTCTTAAAATCTACACTATGAAATCAGCTTGTTTTTATTTATGAAAAGAGATATAGGGAGTAAGGATGCAAATGGGAATTAATAATATTAAAATTTTTTAATTTAGAATATTGTATGTTGATTAGCTGAAGAATGAAATTGAAACATAGAGAATGAGACATATAAAAAATAATGAAAATATGTGATTTAAAAACTGGGTATCATTTAGTATTTTATCTGTTTGATTATTTTCTTGGATATTGTTGAGTTTGAGTTATCACAAGAAAGACTAAATAAAAAAATTATATTCAAAACAGTATTTTTACATTATATTTTGAGCTATCTCCTTACATATTAATCATAATCAGTAATATTTATTTAGTTAATCACTATAGCAAGTTTACGAATGGGTGACTTAAATAGTTCAAGTCTATTTAGCCTTAATTGATTTATAAATACTGTTTGAATTTAAAGAATAAATATTCTTTGCTTTATTGAGGCTACAAGCTAAGCAATTTAGTAAGTTAATTAGTTGGCTTTTAAGTATTTGAATAGGCGGATATGTGCATTATTTGATTAATTAATTATAATTCAAAATATATCACTGCAGAGTATATATACAAATATCTTTTATATTCTTTATTATCTATCTATCTAATTATCAATCTATAAAATCAATTAACAAGTTTATCAATTCCTTAATTAAACTATGAGTCAATCAAAACTTTCTTGCATAATTACTTTTCTATGCTTTAAAGAGGCAATTCGAATACATCACTGTGAAAAAATGTATTCATAAATGAATGAAGAAATAGTTTATTTATTTATTTTGTGTATGTATCTGCGAGCGAAATGTATTTGATTGATTGAGTAGACGACAAACAAAAATCACCGAAGAAAGAAAAATTAATCAAACAAAAACTAACAAACAAACAAACAAACAAACTAACAAATATTAATTAAGAAAAAAGTGAACTTTTATTTGAAAGGAATGATTTGATTTAGGTAGTGATCACTCATATGACTATCTATATTGAATATTTGTTAATAAATAAATAAAAAGAAAAAAAAGAAAAAGGAAATAAAAAATATTTCTGATAGATAGTTGTAGAAAGCATGAAGACCATTATTGCTGTCGCCCTTATCTTGGGCTTGGCTATGTCCGCTACTTTAAATATTCCCTTATAAACTTCCTAAGTTTATCATAATGATGCTAACAACGTTAAGCAACTTGTTGATGAAGTTTTATCTGCTGATGTTGACTTTACCAAGCAAGCTCAAGATTAAAGAACTGTTATTGATCTTGAATCAAATGTTAATTATCTTCTTTCTAGACAAACTTAATACAACCAAGTCGCCGTCAACCCCTTCGCTTTCGACTGCACAATTCCCTGCGCCTAAGGTGTTGAACAAACCGGTTCTTTCACCGTTCTTGGTGGAAAGGTCACCGTCAATGGTAAATATTTCAATTTTTATTAACTAATTTTGAGATTAATCAAGACATTATGATAGTTAGTTAATTTATTAATTAATTAATTAATTTATTTGATTTCATAAAAAAACTCATTTCGAATAATCAGCTTCATTTTTGTCGATTTATTCGAAGCATAGTCTACCTCTTCTTTCTGAGGATTGAATAACCTGTGAAATAAAAACTGATAAATAAATTCAGATTTAATTAGAACAAAAGCAAATTTTAAGAAATAAAAAGTTAAAATATATTTTTGGTTGATAGATTGATTGATAGAGGTATTAATTCACACTGAATATTTGATTGATTGAAGATTGATGTATCTTTCTTATAAATTGAAATTCTTTCTTCTTGAAAAATTCATGAAATTTAAAATCAAAACAAGAATCATCTCCAAGAAACATACATATAATCATAGTTTTATAATAAGCTCATCCAATTACTTCATATCATAATTGCTTTTGTTTTTTCAAATATTATATCATTTAAAAATCTAATTCCAACTAACATTTTTCTATCATTAGAAAATAACCTACTAATACACAAGTTAATCCAATCTAATTCATAAAAATTCAATATCAATCACTTAAAATCCTCATTTAATATAATAAAACATAATAAAACACCTACCTGAAAGCCAATTATAATGATTACTGGTTTGAAAAAAAGCATTATTCAAATATAAAAATGTCAAATTAACTTAAAAAGCTTCAAAAATTTACAATTTTTCGAAAATTTTATTGCGAGGTAATTAAACAATTATAAATATTCATAAAAACACTCATTTAATTACAGAAAATCACTATTTTATAGACATAAAGAAGAGGAGATAATATCAAAAGAACTTTCGTTTATTTTCTATAAAAAAATTAAAGATCATACTACTAGTTTTAGTCATAAAATATTTTTTCTCTTCCAATGTTTGTTTAAAAGCATATCCATAACATCTTTTTATACCTGCAAAATGTTTATTTAGATTAGTAATAAATAAGTAAAAATATTTAATAAGTGACTAACTCAGGTAGCGAAAAAGAAGAAGAATTATTTAAAATTTAAATTTTCAACATTTAAGTTTAAAAAATTTTTAATTAACAATTGCGTTTCGCTAACACAAAGCAGGAATAACAATCAATCAACAAAATCTAATTTAAAAAAATATTTTAAAAATACTATCTTTAAATAAGATCTGACATTTTAGTTTGACTCTAAAAACAGTCAACAAAACCAAGCAATAAAATTTATTTAAAGATATTTATTTTTCTTAAAAAAATAAAAGATATTTATTTATTTCTCAAGTTTTAAAAATAGCAATGAGTTTACTTAATTGCTGACTTTATTTCAAAATTTCAAAAATTTATAACACTTTTTCTAATTTAAAAAAGGTGGTACCGTATTGAAGGGAGATGCTGCTATTCAAATTCAAGATTCTGAACATAAAACCTCTGCCAGCGTACCTCTTTACGTTCCTGGTACCGTTGATCCCAGCACTGCTGCTTAAGAAAGTGCCATCATCCAAACCTTCAACTCTGGTCTCAGCTTCTCCAAGGGTTCTAACAATGTCCTTGCTATCCTCAAGTAGAGCAGCAAGTTGGTCGCTAATAACGCCTTCTCCGTCTACGTTCACGACACTATTGCTTAACTCAATGTCGGTGGTTACAGAGAATACTTCGTTCAACCTTCAAGCACTGATTTGGTTATTCCCACTGTTAACTCCAACACCTGGACTGTTACCATCAACGGAATCAAGATTAAGTCTGAATCTCAACTCCAAAGTGACTCCCAAACCCTCACTGCTCACTTTGATTTGACCTCCAAGTACATCTACGTTCCTCACGTTGATGCCGTCGCTATTTCTTAAACCGTAAAAAGATATTCAATAAAATATGCATTTAGAATTAAAAAATCTATCAAAACCAAACTAGAATAAACAGAAAATTAAATCAAATAAATAAATAAAATAGCTAGAAAATAAAAAAAAGACAAACTCAATTAATAGCATTCCTACTTTAGCCAGCAAAATTATAAAATAAAAAAGAAATAGCCAATATTTCCTAAATAAATTTATTCATTTAGTTAGTTAGTTAGCTAGCTAGCTAGTTAGCTTGAGATAGATTTTAAAAATTCAAACTTTACCATATCCTAAATTAACATTCTATTTTAAAATAAAAAAGCCTGCCTTCTACTATTTCATGAATTCCAAGCAACTCCCCTGCTTCCAACCCTCCAGCAATTTGGGTAATGCTTATAACTACGTCTGCCCTGCTGACTAATTCCCTGGTTTCGATGCTTACAATCCCATTACCTTCTCTTTCAAGGGCCAAGGCAAAAACAGCGTTTCTATCGTTCTTTAACCCACTGATTACATCAATAAATTAGATAACGGCAACTACGAATTATTATTCAAATTCGCCTCGTAATAATTTTTTTACTTACATGAACTTTTTATATTTTTTAGAAAAACATATAATTAAAATTTGTTTAATTTAAAAAAAGTGCTCCTCAAAACACTGGTGACTTCTACTTTGGTACCACCTTATTGAAAAAGTACTACGCTACTTTCAATGCTGATACCAGCACTGTTGTCTTAAGAAACAGATATGATGTTGCAGTTGGTAACCTCATTTTAAATGATAATTACAGAATCCCTGTTATCGTTGTTGGTCTTGTCTTAGCTTTACTTGCTGTTATTCTTTTAGTTTTCGTTATTTTAAAGAGAGTCGAACTCGAAGAACCCACCAATGCTATCCCTATGTACAGCGTTTACAAGCCTGCTTCCCCAGTAGTCTACCAAACTAGCGTTAATGCTAGCAACTACGTTCCCACTTATACCAACAGTATTATCCCTGCTGGTTAAAACGTCGTTGTCAGCAGCTCCCAACTTAGATAGAGCTAAACCTAAGTCAGACAATCTCAAACTCTTGTTAGAAACAGTCAACAATAATTCAGACAATACTGAGAGAATTATTGATTAATTTCGCAAATTTAAATCTCTTTTTTTCTGTATGAAAAAAATGTATAAATTTGCTTACTTTTTTGGAGTTTTTCCTTGAGGTTATTTATGTATTATCTACCCATTTCTGCCTCTAAATAGTTAATTATAGAAAGCTACCATCACTTTGCTCTACTATAGAATAAACTTTAATATAATTTTAGCACATACATAATCACTAAGTTAGCTCATTTATGTGATTATTTATTTCTTTCTTTCTATAAATAAATAGCAAAAATCATCTAGTTTTTTATGTAAATTAATTATTTATATTTGATGTTAGCAATCTATAATTCATTTTTTTGTACCTTTAAACAAATTCTAATTATTCATTTTAATAATTCCATATTATTTCAATTAAAATTAATTTATAAAAATTTTGTGTAAATTAATACATTAATTATATTTTAAATTATTATTAAACAATCAATAATTAATTAATTATTTTAAACTTTTCATAAGCTCTAAATTTTTAATTTATTTTCAATGAAAAATACATTTTTTGGTATTTATTACAAATAAACTAAACTTTAAACAAGTTATATTACATTTAGTCTAAATTTCAATAAAAAATTATTTACTTTTGGATTGAAAAATTTGTGAATCAAAAATTAAGTGCATGTCATTCACTGAATATTTGAAAATTATGTTATAAAAATATCAATAATCAAAATAAATTGATTATCAACAAAATAATCTTTTATTTTTTTTGATACAAAATTATAAATAAAAAGATACTCATCATTAGTAGTTACTTTTAATATTTTGAATATTTAAAATAGAATTAAATTATTCTAATTACTTTGAATCCTGATAATATAATTACCTACCTCTTTTACCAAACATAATCTAAATAGTTTAGTTAAATTTAATATAAAATCCAGCTTTTATCATTATTAATATTATTTAATTCAGAAAGAATTAAAGTATATTTTAAATTTTGAAAGAGAATCGATTAAAAATTATATTGATACTTATTTTTATTAATTTTGAAATTTCTTTTAAAAAAATATCTAAAAAAATTGATAAAAGAATTACAACATTAGAATCATATTTTTAATGAACAAATGAAATTTAATTAATTTATGTTTATAAATTTATTTTTTAACAGCTATATTTACATCCAATTATTTGGATTTTAATGGTTTTAAAATTAATTTTGCAATGAATTTTATAATATTAAGTAGAAATATACTCATAAATTAAATTTATTAATTTAATTTATTTTCATTTAATAAAACAAAATACAAGTAAAAAAGAAAATAATATATTAGCAATTTATTAGAAAAACAAAAGTGGAAATTCTATTGTAGGAATTATAAATAAATGTAGGAAATACCTCAGATCAGTGCTAAATTTAGCAAGCAATAGATAAATAAAGTATCAGCATTAAATATTAAAATTTTAGGCACTCATTCTAGACTGATGCTGTAAAAAAAATAAGGATAGAAAGTCATTTAAATTAAAAACAAAATTAAAGCGAGTTTAGTCTAATCAAACTTAAAGAAGAATAGAAAATTGAAGCTTTGCTCATTTATTAGTGCTCTTTCCTTAGCCAAATTTAGATTTTTTAAAAGGATTTGAGCTATTTGTATATTTTTTTTTTATTTAGCCCAAGTTAATACAGCTCTATTGACTCTAAGTTGCTGAAAAACTTATCTTATAGCTTTTTTTAGAAAAAAGAAAAAAATATGGAATATCTAAGATGAATGTTAGGTTTTAATTTATATATAGGTCTAAATAGAATTAATGAGCCAAAAAATAAATATAATGTATAAATATTTGATTAGGATTCTTAGCATTTAGCAATAAGTTAATTTACTCGAATATGTTTAATATAGTATATTTCATCAATAATGAAATGTAAAATGATATTTAAATAATAATTCAATTCAACAATATTAAGGTTTTTTTATTTATTTATTAAAATAGTTTTGTGAGACATTTCTTAAAATAGCTTTTTCCGCAGATATACTTCTAGAGTGCAATTTAATTAGAAAAAATGAAGAAGTGCAAAATATAAAATAATTAAAATAGGGGGTTTCTAGAAAAGAAAAATACTAGAAGAACGAGCTAGTTTACCATTTATAAATGCTAATAAGATATAGAATGTAATCTCAGAAGTTGGAATAAATTTTAGCGCTTATAATAGGATTATACTTTATTAATAAAAAAAAATTGATATATTTTGTTATCTTATAAGCTATTATTAACGTTTTGCTAATTACTAAAGTAAAATATCTTGCTATCTCGATTGATGGAAAAGTATAAGGTCCAAGTTAAAATAATTTAAAGATTAATTTTATTATGCTTGAGAATCTTAAATGTTTAAAATAGTAGAGCAAGAAATAATACTAATTAAAAGTAATTCAAAAATAAATTGATTTAATTTTTAAATATTTATTATTTTTTTTATAAATAAATAAATAAATAAATAGATATCTTTAGAAGCTTTTAGTCATAAAAAATAGAAACATTTTTTATAGAATTAAGATTTCAATTCTTTTTTTATGGTTAAATAGAAGCATTAGTAAATTCCTTCGATTTTGCTATGTAGTAATGTCTTTAGAAAAATGTTTTTAGCATCTTTATAATTTTTACTGTCATATTTTTTGGTTTACTTATGCTAGCATAAATTTCTTTGTGTAATAATTGCAGCAGGAGTAGAAATAAAAGTATGGCAATCAACTTTATTCATATGTTAAAAGCATTTCTTTAAATTCAATATTATATTCCTTCTTACTAACTTAATTGCTGACTTACTTACTTACTTACTTAGTAACCAATAATAATAATAATCACATAATTATAATGTTAATAAAGAATTTTTGTGAAATCAATATAAACCTAACAATATACATAATAAAATATAATGGCTAAATAAATATAAATAAATAAATAAATAGCTATTTGCTGATTTTTCTTTTAGATTTACAGAATTAATTACCATGCAATAACTTTCTAAAATAGAAGTAAAAAATATATTGGTAATATATTAACCAAAATTTTAATAAATTAATAAGTATGCTTTGAAGGATACTTCGAAATCATTCTTTTATTAAAAATTAGAGCATTAACAAACACTACATGAAATCTTACAACTTGCTAAATAAATAATTAAGTATTCAATTTATTAATAAAACACATAGAAGTATTTATATATTAATCAACTTTTTTGTTTCTTTTTGTTTCTAAAAAGTATTTGTAACAAAATAACAATTTTGATTAAAAAATAATATTAGAAAATCTATTTAAGTTTGTTTGTTTGAATTGATTTGTTTTGGATTATTTGTCCCAATTAAAAAGATAAATGCATTTTACACAATAATTAAGTAAATACAAAAGTAAAATCCTTTAAATAACATTTTGAAAAAATTAATATTGATATTTAATTGCTCTAGCAAATTTGATATTTATAATTTACATTTATTTGTTTCATACAATTTCAAAATAATTTAACTTTTAATTTTTATCCTGAAATAAAGAGTAAGAATTTAATTAAAAGCATTCATTAGATATCAATGCGATTTCAATTGACTATTTTTATTCAAATACTTACATCATCAATAAATACTTTGGGCAGGAAAGAAGATGGCTTTTTATAATCTATAAATTAAAAGGTGAGCAGCATAGCAAATAGATTTATTACATAAAAACTATCTACAATACTTTCTATCTCACTTTAATTAAATAAAATGCTTAACTCCAGTAAAGCTAAACTAGTACAATTTCAAATGTCTCTAGATAGATTTGTTACATTGACCCTTTTTGAAAGGTTCTATGCAAAATTTAAATTAATTCATACATAATAAGCATATAGCATATATTTTTAGTAAAAATAAAGTTTCAAGAATATTGCTTAAATAATATTTGCTATTGCGCTTTTTATAGGTTTTCATCCTTTTAATTTGAAGAGAAGCAATGCTAATTAATAATAAATAACTATATTGAGGTATTTTGTAAAAGTTTCTATTGCTTATATTTTATTCTTTTACTTTATTAACTCTTCTATTACTTCTAATTAATTTGATTTTTCTGTTCTGAATAGTTTCTAATCAAAATTGTTTGTTCCTTAATGAAAACATATTTATTTCTGCTCAAACTAAATAGAAAAGGTTTTATATTAAATTAAATTACTTTCTTTTGCTTATTTGAGTTTTGATATTATAAAATGAGTGTTTGAATTACGCTTGCTAGATTTTGCTAAATTTAGAGATTTAATAGATTTATTTTGAAGAGTAAGGTAAATAAATGAATTAATGATCGATCTAATTGATTAATTTATTCTTATGGTGATTGATATTACCAATAAATTAATTTAAATTTACAATCAGAAAAGAAAAGTTTATTATATTATAATTATTATTCTTCCAAAAATTAAGATTTTTGAATAAAAATTAAACACTAAAAGAAGAAAACTTAAATAATCTTCAATCTGAGCTTCCTTCATTCATTGATATTTCTGACAACTTCTTTCACTGATCTTAAAATGAAGTAAACCGATATAAAAGAAGACAACAGCAGTAATTCTAGTAAAGATACAACTGATATAGAGGCAAACACTTTTTCAATTCTCAAAAAAATTAACGTCGATAATGTAATTTGGAATTTTTTCTAAAATAAACAAATTAATACTGAGCTTTTGCTAAATTTAAGTTTTAATGAATGAACAAATTTAAGCTATTATTTTTAACTTAAATAATTAAATAAATAGATAGCTCCTACAGACATTATGCAGTTTTATCTATGGGATATTTCACCTTCCTAAATAAATGCTTCACTTTATCTTTCGAAATAAGGTATAAAATCTTTTTTTTTTCTTCAAAAAAAACCCATTAAAATAACAAATACACTTCACAATGATAAAATTTGTGCTCTTTGTGACTTTATTCGAAGCAAATTATTTTTAATCTAAAAATTAAGATAATTGATAAGAATGAGTTAAAATTAAATAGAATTTTTTTGAACATTTAAAGATATTGAAAAAATATAAAGGGAATTTAATTTATAATTTACAGAAAGAAAATAAATAGTTCTTGGACATATTATTATAACTATTAGTCATAGCTTTTGATCAAGCTAAATCCTATTTGTTCTAATTATATTCTTTTTTTAAAATATCCCGCTTACACTATATACAGTCATATATAAATAAGATTGTAATTGCATAGAATTAAAAAGAATTACAAATGCTTACTTAAAATAAATACAAAAAGATATCATATCAACTGTATATTATTTAAGCTAAAAATCTTTACAATTTAATACAAATAAAGATAAGAGATAATTAATTGATTTATTCATAGATAAAATTAAGTTTATTTGGTTGAAAATTTTAATATTTTAAATTTAGATTTAGATTGAATAAAACATAAAATCAAAACAAATAATGTAAAATCGTATTTACCAATTTAATAAATCAAAATATTCAACCATTAATTAATTAATTAATAATTTTTATTTTACAAAAATTTTAGAACAAGGTTTGTTTGTTTTTTTGTTTTTGTTAAAAATTTTTTAAAGGCAATATTTGGTATAACAAAGAAACCAAATAAATAAATAAATAAATAAATAAAATAGCTAGTTTAGTTTTTTAATAAAAGATAATGAACATATTCATTTAAAAACAAAATGAAAAGACAATAAGGATTAATAAATATTGGAGAATAACTAATTATTTTTTTTATTTAAATTTTGCTTCTTAAAAAAGTCTTCACAAAGTAAGCTTTGCAAAAGTTAATGCATATTACAAAGATTCAGATAAATTCATTAATAATATTTAATTATCAGAAGATATAAGCAAATAATTTATGCTTCCTTCTTTGCTTAAAAAAATTAAAAGTTTGCAAAGTCAATTAATATTAAATAAAAAGGCAGTTAAGAGCATCAAGGCTAGATGGAAAAAATGAACAGTGATTTGAGCTTTAGCAGGCCTTTATCACTGCCATATTACAACAGTGGAAACAATGAAAACATTTTGTAAAGATAGTTCTCTATCAGCATCGAAACGAAGAGTAGCAATAAATTTAGATTCTCTCGCATTAAAAAAAGCGATTAATTAGAAGACTGCTTACCTATTTAAGAAGAGGACGAATAAAGCAGAAAAATTTGGATTCTATACAGACTCTACGAAATGCAGCTCAATTTAAATGATGCTGAACAATACCTAATGAGAATTGACTTAATGAATAGCCCAAAAGAATACATTTTGCAATAAACTGTAGAATACTGTCTTTTAATTAAAGAAATGCATTTCAAAATATGGAGTCAATACTACTCTAAATAAAGCGGATAGCAGAGCTCTAAATATATTTTTCCATAGTTTTTAATGAATAATAAAAAGTAAAATGAGTCTCTACCAATATCTAAATCGTCTTCGCATTCGCACTTTTAGTCTATGACTTCACCCAAAAATTTCAAATAAATCTAAATGTAGACTTATTGTAAGCAGTTTAAAAGAGAAAACTCTCTACAAAATTCAATAAATTTCACTAGAAAGTTGATTATAGATGGAATGACTTGCTCGATTTGTTGTGATGAGAATATAGATACTTCTTTCATGATTCAAGCATCCAGCGAATGCAAGCACATATTTTGCTAAAGTTGTCTCTATTTGTATGCTTAGACTTAAATAGAAAATGGAAATGTTTCAAGCCAAGGTATTTGTTGTCCTTAGGAAAATTGTTCCGCCATATATTAAAATGCTGAATTAAGGACTATAGTTCAATAAGATCCAAAGTTATATAGTAAATATTTGAGATTCAAATCTATTTCCTAGCTAAAACTTGAAAACAGTATTTTATTTTGTATAAAACCGGATTGCCAAGGATACATGATTTAAAAACCAGACTGTCTAAATTTGGAATGCTCTGTTTGCAAGAGGTATTAATAATAAATAAATTTATAAATCTATCAATTGATATTCAAATGTAAGCTAAACTCATGATTTACATTATTTTAATAGTAAATAAAAATAAATAATTTAATCTTTCTAATCAAAATGTTATAATTTTATAGATTAGTAAAATATAAAAAAGGGAATCAAAAGCTTTTTAAACAAATAGACATAATCAATTAAACAAACTAGCTAAACCATATACTAAAAAATTAATTTTTTTCAGATATTTAAAAATCTTAGTTAAAATTAGAAAGTTTTTTTCAAATATTTTTATCAGCAATTCAGGACCATCAAAATAAATTTCTGAAATATTTACACAAAAGATAAAGCTTTGATACAATTTAAAGATTTATTTTTAAGCTTAAAACGAGAACAATAAATGTGTTTATTTAATTGATTTGCATTTTTCATTAAAATTATTTAAACCACAAATTTCTAACCAATATTAATGTTTAAAAGCAAGGAAGAATAAATAATTGACTAATTTATATTTAACATAGAAAATATTTAATAGAAAAAACTTATTGTCTAACAAATTTGAATTTAGGACAAAATCAATAGAGATAATTACAATAAGATCAATAATATTTATAAACTAGAAAGCATAAAAGTTAAAATAAATTATTGATAAAATTATGTTTACATTAAAGATTCAAATTATTTTAATATTGTTTGAATCTTACAATCCACTAAATTATTACTAGAAAAATACAAAATTAATTTAGGTTTTTTGTTTTATTTCTTCTTCTTATTTATTAATTTATAAATTTTTAGCTTACATTTTTATTTTTAATAAATTTTTAGCTTTTTTATGGTTATTTTTATCTTATTTTTTATTTATTTTTCTAGTGAGATATGTTCAAGATGTTTTACTTTTTGGCACTAAGGTTTGACATGCTAAGATGCTTTGCTTATAAAGTATGGTGAAATGAAAAGCAATGAAATTCAATGCCCTAAATGCAGCAACACTGTGCAGCAATACGCTAGGCACTTGAAGAAAGATAAAATTTATTGCACCTGGTGCCACCATAAATTTTGTAAACTTTGTAGATAAGAAGCTACTTACTTACATTATAACAGATATAACTGCTTAGGTAGATGTGGAAAAAAATAATTTTTACCAATTTCTATCCTGCACTTGATATTAATGACTTTAAAATACCTATTTCTATTCATAATTGGTTGCTTAATATATCCTATCTATCTTATTGCTATGGGAATTTGTCTTCCCTTAATTTTCTATTTCAATTATAATGAATCAACTTTCGGTTCCTATCGTATGATTAAAATACCTCTATTGATTACGATTGGAATTATATTTTTCCCTATATGGGTGCTCCTCTCGATAGCTCCAGGCACTTGTATATTAATTAATAAAACAAAACACAACATGCTCATGCAAAATCAACCAGATGAAAATGATGACTACTATTGACAGACAAATCATTCTAAACGATTTCTTGATAAAATAATCTTTTAATATAAATAAATATTTTTCTAAAACTATAAACCATCAATCAATATTAATAATAAAACCTCTTTAAAATTTTGAACCAACTATCTTTTTAGAACTTAATAATTAATGGCTTAGCACTATAAAACAATAATAGTGATTTCATAAGAAAAACTGATAGTTATTAAAAAATAATTAATTTTAATTTTAACAAAAATATTAAATGAATCTCAAAACTCAAAAACAAACGACATTAAAAAATTTATTAAACATAAAAATTATATTAATTAAATTATAATAATATAAAATCAAATAAATAAATAAATAAATAAATAAATGGTAACAAATTTATATTAAATATTTTTTTCTATAACAAAATTTATTATTATTATTATTATTTTGTAATCAACTAATGAAACAATTTCTTTTTTTGATTTTTAAAAAACTACTTTATTGATTTATTTATTCATTGACTCATTTCACATCATTCGTCATTTTGATTGCTTTTGAAGAAAAAAATTATAGAAAGTTTTTTTAAGAATTATTTAAATATTTGAGCTTAGCTATAATCATTTATGCATATTTATTGCATAAATATCAATCAATTTTTTATTAAATATGGTAAAATTATTATTATTATTTTAAAAATATCACCCAAAAAAAATGAAAATTAAAAAATATAATATAATTTAATTAATTTCAACTATTAATAAATATCTAAATTTCTTAAATATAGCAATTTTTTTTGATAGATAGATAGATTGATAAGTAAGTAATTATTTTAATATAATTAAAACAGTTTACTAATAAATAAAATTTAAAAATACTATCTATATATATTTATAGATTATTGTTAAGACAGTTCAATTCATTGGATTAGGAACGTCGTTTATTGGTTGTTGAGGATAATTATAATTAGGTTGCAAAGGCTGTTGCATATTTTAGTTTAAAATACCTTATTATTGTTACTAAAGTATTTACTGTTGCTAGTTAATAATTTATGCCTAATTATTCATAATAATTTGTTGATATTATACATTTTACCTTACCATTTCAAATTAATAGACTTCTGGGTTGACCTTATTTAAATCCATATATACCTTTTTATGTACGCAGTGCTCAAGAAAGGAAACTCTCTAATTTAATAAAATTCTGTATAATAAACTTAATCCTACAAGACAGTAGATTATGTATACAGGTACAGAAAGCATGGGATCAAGTTTGACCCCGTCTTGGTAAGCAAGTAAAGTTGTTTTCAAGCCTTGACAATTCTAATCTTCACTTTCTGATTGAAAAGTATCTCTGGATTTAGCTTTGTTTCTTGCAAGTTTGATCATATCATCATAGTATCTTGCACTTTGCTAATCTCCAAAAGAGTAAGTAACGAAACTGTGTATTCTAAAATATTTGGCTTTTTCGAAAAAGACTGTAGAGTCTTCTGTCTCATCTACAGTCTATCCTACTGGATATTCAAATGTCTCATTGTAGGTATAAACTGTTTCCTAAGATCTTACGTTTCTCTTTTTTTCACTATCATAATGTGAACGATACTAATAGTGATAAGAAGAAACATTAAACTTGAGTTCAAAATTCATCTATTTTATTTCGTTTAAATAATTTTGGAGTTCTCTCACACTCATTTAATTTCTCAAATAACCTACTACTCCATTTGTACAACACTCTATGATATAAAGGATCAGTGCAATAGATCCATAAATTAACTTATCTTTATCAGCTTCTAATTATTTTAATTTTTATTAGAAATGAATCCTTGCTTATTTTTTGATCCAAAAATAAAATTTAAACTGAATATTACCTATTCTGCCAGAGAATAAGAAGCAAAAGTAAATGGCCAATATAATCAGTGTAATTACACCTAAAATTGGTGTTTCTAAGTGAAAAGAGTTATTCCATTTAGGCTCTAAGAAAACATGACCTTTGACATTATTTTTTTCTCTTTCTGTTAATCTTCTTTAGAAAGAATTCGATACCTATCCTATAGTTCTTTACTTCTAGAATGATTGAGGATTGAACTCCTCCTGTTGGCATTGTTGTTGTTAGCCTTAGCTAAACTAATCGCCTCTCTAATTAACTCCTTCTTGATTAAATTACATATTTAGTAAGATATTAGATTTTATATGATAGTTCTATCTTTTATTTAATTTTAATTATTAAATATGTATTTAAAAATTCTTTTTAATAGCATTCAGTAGAACTGTATTTCAAATTATGTTTGTTTGTTTGTTTTTATATCTTTTCTATTCTTTCCAGTTTTTTTATTTTTTTTGATCAGGGATATAGTTTATTTATTGATGCCTATAGGTAATTAGTTAGTTTTCTTCTATATTATTAAAGCAAACAAAACAATAAACTTAGATAAAACATACACGTAAAAATATTAAAATAAAATCAATTGTATTACCTAAAATCCATCTGATTAGCTAAGAATTATTAAATTTTCTCTTTTATCACCTCTTCAATGTTATTTTTTGTAACCAAAAGAATTTACTTTTTGAGAGATGTTTGAGTGTCTGACTATAAGTAAATAAATAAAAAATTAAACAATATATCTTAAATTAAAAAAAAATGGTAATCTAAATATTATACTATGAAAGATACTATTTGTCTATCTTTTATATTTTTTATCTTTGGTTTCTTTAATCCTACAAAATGAATAATAGTTAACTTAAAATTAAAAAATAATACCAAAATATATCAAATAAGCTGACTTGCTTCTTGATTCAATAACTTCTATGATATAAATGGACAACGAAACTGAAAACTAAAAATAGATAAATAATAATAAAATAAATATACTTTAGGTACTCAATCAATAATTAAGGCCTCCTTTAATTAAGATTAATTTCTGATAAAAAAAAATTAAATTTTTTGCTAAAGAAATTGTTTATTTTCTAAAAAGCAAAAATATTTATTTTGGAGTAAATATAAGTTTAGTATTTCTTTATTTAACAACTTATATAAAATATTATGTATTTTTACTTCTAAATAGATTGAATAAAAATAAGATAAATTTTTTATTTTACTCCAAATTACTTTTTTTTTGTTTTATTAAATTTGATTTTAAATTTTCATTCATCTAAGTTTCGATTTTTTGACATTAAAATTATTTTTTATGAATAAATTTGAAGTATAAAGACATGAAATTATTTTATTATCTGATTCTAGTTAATCAATCACAAAGAAATTTATGTGAAATTTTAATAAAAAGTTTTAAAATAAATTTAAAATCAGTTGTTTAAATCTAAATGGAAGATAAAATTTATCAAATTAAAATATCTACTATCAAAATCTATCAGAGTATGTATGTATGTGTGTGTGTGTGTGTGAATATATGAAAATAATATTTTATTTAAGGAATCATTTATTAAATCTAAAATACCAACAAATTTTTAGCTGTTTGAGTAATAAAATAATTATTACTGAGCTTATTTATTTATTTATTAGATAGCTAGTTAGTCATAATAATATTTTGGAAAGTTATTTTTTAATCAACATTATTTAAAATATAATTTGAAAATCTTAAATGTAATCAATTTAATTATCAGTAATATTTTTTAAAAATTGTGAAGAATTAATTAATAAAAAAGAAAAAGACTTAATAATTAATATAGGAAGTAGAATAAAATAAATACTTGTGATATCAATCTTATTTTATTTAAAAACACTAGTCTATCTATCTACCAATCCATCTAATTATAATTAATAGTTTTGTAAACTTTTACTGAATGCCATATCTATTATTCGTTTTAAATTTTTGATATAATCAATTTACAACTATTCTAGTTCATTATTTTGTTTGACTATTCAATTAATCTTCCATCTTATATTACAAAAGCATGCTTCAAACAATTTATTCTTACAATCAGCTTGAAAAGATTACCGCTTAAGCAAACGAGCTTGAAGCATTAATGATAAATTTTATGTATTAATTTTTGTTAGCATTTTTTTGCATAATCAACTTAATTTATATATTTAATAGAAAATATCCATTGAAAAGCAAGGAGATCTTAACCCTCTCAGAATAAATTACAAAATTTTCTGTGTTGAAGGAGCTTTACATAAATTTCTAGTAAATTCCCATTTCTATTTTTAATAAAATTAAAAAATATTTTATGACAATTAAGAGAATGTTTAATAGGTTCAGATGGAGTTCATAGCTTGATGCATTTTTTAAACGGTATGCCTGGTTTAGAAAATATATCAATAAACCTAATGTAAAATATAATACATACAAGCTAATGCAAGACTATTTTTGGCAAAATTTAAAAATTCAAATTAATAGGTTCAACAAAATAAGATAAGAAGGAGTTTAGGAATTAGTGTAAGGTCTGAACAAGTGTGAGAATCTAAGAAAGCTTATGATCAATATCAGGTTTCATATTTATGATTATATTAATAAAGAAAGCAATAAATAATATTTAAATTATTTAAAATTTTAATGATAATATGAAGCGATAACTAAATTGGGAGTGAAGGTATTAAGATATTCACATCGAATTTTATTCCATGTAGAAAAATAGAAAACCTTTCAATAAATCTAGAGTAAATTTTATGAATAAATAAGCTTTGGATACAATACATGTATATATAATATAAATAGGAACAACTAAATCTTGTAATCTAATATAAGTGGATTGACAAAAATATTAAACGGAATAGAGTAATGCTTAAACCTGCAATCTCTCAACCTCAACTTGGCGTAAACTTTCATTAATTATTTTAGATTTATTTATTTATGATTTATTTTTCAGTAACAATTAGTTAGCAGAAATCGGAGCGCAATCGATTTCTACCACTTTGTAGAACTGCCCAAACCTTATTTCCTTATCACTTAATTTGTGGTAATTTAGAATTTAATTTTCTTTATTACTTATCAGATATGTAATTAAAAATCAAGAAAAATCTTATCTGAATAACTACCTACTTATCTATCTTAAATAAATAAATATTATAATAAGATCATCAAATTGTTTTTCTATGAAAAGGTTTAACAAAATAAAGTCAATAGGTGCTAGACATCTTGCTCAGGGCATTTAGTATTGTTTCAAACTTCAAACACTTTTCTTAAATTTAGAGTAATCTTTAGTCAAAAACCATATGAATTAACTATTTAAAAATAATTTAATAATAGATACAATTAGCTTGAAGACGAAGGTGTTTTGTAGATATCTGATTCATTTAAAAGTCTTTGTTTTTTAACAAAACTTACTTTACTTTTATGGTAAAAAAATATTTCTTACAAAAATAAAAAATATTTATTATTAATAATTCTAATAATAAAGACACATTAATATTTTAAATTCAAATAAACTTGAATAAAATTTGTTAATTTATTGATTGTGTTTTAATGACTATTTATTGCATATTATAAAAAGGGGTAATTAAATTAAATTCAATGGAATTTCTGTTTTGTCATAGGCGATTTCTAAACTGAAAATACTTAAAAGCCTCAATCTTGGATTTGAGTAATTTATTTTTATTTTTTTGTTTAACTAAATAAATTTTTTATTAGAGAAAATGAAATTTGTAGAGAAGGTTCAAAACAACTGTCTTAAGCAATCAAAAAAAACACAGAATTACAATTTCTTTAGCTCAACTTTTGGTAAATTTTAATCTAAAATTCTCATCTTATTAATTATTTGTTATTTTTTTTATTAGTTTTTAAAAATTTTGCTATCAGTTAGTTATATTTATTCATCATTTTTTATATTTATCTAATTATTAATTTGCTGTATTTAGTATATTTATTTAAATTATTTCATTCAAAAATGAACTTTTTTCTAGTTATTTAAGATAATTTAAAAAGAATATTCAAGCTAATTTAATGTCTTTTATTTTTAATTTATAGGTTTAGCACTTTTGATGAGTACAGCTGCCAAGAAATTTCAAAGGGTTTTAAATATTGCTAAAATTTAGTTAGTATTTGCATCAGCTTAAAGTAAAAATAAAAATATCCTAAGAAATGAATTAGTAAATTTGTTAAAGTAATAATAAGATTAGATAAGAAGGAGTTAAATCTATTGTTGATGGATTAATTGAATGCAAATCTTTGGATTAGCTGAATTTAAATATAGAGTATAAATTATTTTTATTAATAATAAATTATTTATTTTTTAATCATCTTAGAGGCAATGGAGTAGGAGTTGAAGGTGTTCTAGAACTTTTAAGGTTATTTTAAAATTTATATAGCCTTAGAGATGTTTGCTTGAATTTAGGGTAACTTTAATCATTCAAATTACTTTTATAATAATCAAGCTTATTAACTGAATTAATTAGATTAAACTAAATTGGAGAGTAAGGATGCGCTGTTTTAAGTGAAGCTCTTTAACACTTAAAGTATTTAAAAAAATTACAGCTAAAATTATAGTAAAATCATTTTTTTTTAATTACCACCAAACAAGTTAATTATTTTAAGCTTTAATGAAAAAAAAATAAATTTACCTTAAATATCAAAAAAAAAAATTAATTCATTTGAAAAATAATTTAAATTCAAAGAAATGTTTTATAAAAAATAGGGGAAATTCAATAAAAGAGACAGGAGTGAAAATAATTTAGTTAGGGATTAACAATTTAGAAACTATTTCAATACTAAATTTAAATCTATAGTAATTAATATTTCAGTATTTAAAAACATATTTATTTACTCTTGTTAGTAATAATGAAATAGGATGTAAAGGGGTTTACAATTTTTGTTAAGGTTTGAAATACAATAATAAGTTAAAATAGCTAAATATAGATCTGAGGTATTTAATTACTTACTTACTTGATAAAATTTAATTATTCATAATTAATTCTATTAAATAAAAAATAAAAATATTTTATTTTTATTTAAGGTGGAATTAAATCAGTTCAGAGTATATCACAAAGGTAAAGCATGTGTTGCGCAAGATAAAAAGATTGGTTATCCTATAGTCATATATTTGAAAAAAATATTTCAAAATTAGATAAATATTTAATTTAAAAACCAATGATCAATTGTTTTTTTCTAGTATTTGTTTAAGTTAAACTTAAAAATAAAAAAGCTTTAATTACTAAAAGTTGAGAAAATGAATTTACTATTAATAATAATAGAAAAATATCTCTTTTTTTAGAATATTGATAATTTAAATAAATATATGTATACGTATGTATGTATATATATAGTGGAATACCTGTTAATTTGCAAAAAAAAATATCTGAGATTTTGCGAATTTTTTCATTTTTTCTTTAAAAGAATAAATTAATGATATAGGTTTTATTTATTTGTTGTAAATAATAATAGTAATACAATAAATAAATAATTTTTAATTTTATGATATTAATATTTAATTTAATATTTTCTTTTTTTTGATATGAATATAAAAATAAATATCATATAATAATTAGGTAACAATCAGTAATTTCCATATCATCAACCATCATATATTATAAATAATATTTATATTACGCCATAAATTTATATTTAACCCAATTTGAATATATAGATAGATCATTGATAATCTAATTAAACATTTTTACAACCAAAAACTCTAAAAATAAGAAGGCAGAAAATACATTTAATTATTTTCAGACACCATATAAAGAAATATTATATTATTTTAAGCACATTCAAACTTTTAAGTTCATGCTCATTAACTCCCTAACTCTATAAAATAAATAAACCAACCAATGAATTGAGATATTTGTTTAAAAAATATATAATTGTTATTAGATCTTTGATAATCTTATTTAAAATTCTTTCAACAAAAAACTCCAAAATAAGAAGGCATACATTAAATTATTTTCATAAAACAAATCTCATATAATTTTATGCACATTCAAACTATCAAATTCATGTTACTTATTCTCATGCTCTATTAAATAAATAAATCAACATATTTGTGTATAGAATTTTATTATGATTGATATTTACTTATTATTTATTTAAAAGAAATAAATTTTTTTATGGGTCAATGATAGTTTAATAAAAATATAAATTTTTGGAGAATTGCAATTAATAGAAATTAAATTTTATTGTCTAATTGTAGATTTATTTCTATTTTCATATCTTGCTTCTAACTAACTAACTTAATTAAGTAAAGTTTTAATTTTTTCAGCCAGCAATAACCATCTAGCTGAATATTACTTATTATCCTTTATGGATAAATTATTGGTTCCAAATATAAAGTGTAAGTTTTATTTTTAAATGAGGCATTCGTTATTATTTTATACACATAAACTTTATTGATATCATATCTGAATATTTAAGAAGAGATTTTATTTCAAATAAAAATTGAATAAAATATTTTTGATTATTTCAATCAAGCTGTAAATTAGCAAAGTAATTTCTAAAATATTAAAAATAGAAAAATTGATCATTGAGAGAAAAATAAGAAATTAAATTAAGTATTATTCAAAATACAGCTAGTTTTTAAGATTAATTAATTAATTAGTGGATAAAAACTTTTGAGTATGATTTAATAATTTTTTTCCTTAATAGATTAAATAATTTTCTTTTATATTTACTTCTGAAGGGGCTTTAATCATTCAATAAATTTATAAAATCAAAAAAGTATATTTATTAATCTTAATTAAATGTGTCTTTTATCTTAAAAACCTAATGTCACTTGCTATTCAATAGCAAAAAATTGAAGCTAATTTATTTCAAGCATGAAAATTTGTTTTATTTTTAATTTACTTTTCAGCATTTCTTTTTTACATATTTATGATTAATAATTCGAATATTGATTCATTTAAATTTAAAGTAAAAATAAGATTTTATATTATTCTCTTCAATTATACTTTAAATAAATCAGGCATACTTAGTTAGGTAAAAACTTATGAAATAAACTATAATATTAGAATAACTATTTATAGCATTCAATAAATCTAGTTTTCCTATTCTTAATTAATTTACACCGGCTTATTTAGTTTTACTGCAGAAATACAAATTAAATCAAGAGAATGTGTGGTGTTTAATGTGTTTGTTCAATTTATATTAAATTTCTCCTTCATGTAATAAAAGTAAAATCTCTATAAAGCACAATCTAAAATAAATTATAAAAATAATGACTATTTTTTGTTTAAATTAGATTTATCTAGCATGGGCTATCCATTTCCAATTTATTCTTCATATTCTATTAAGCTTAAATATTTACTTTCATTTTATTTTAAAATGAGGAAATATTCGTAAATTCGTACTTTAATATCAAAACTAGTCTTTTTAGTTTACTAAAAACAATGATTGAAACAAAAGATTATTATTACTCCGTAATCTATCAAGAGAAAAAAATTAATTTGGCTTTTTTCTTCTTTTTATTAGTAATTTGAAGCTTTTGATATGATTACAACATATTTATATTACCGATGAAATTTAATAATATTTCTATTATGAATCTCAAAATACTATTTGAGTGAATAAATGGTTAAAAGGTTATTTATAAATAAAAAAAGTTAAGCTGAACATATAAATTTATCTTCTACTCATTTTATTTCACTTTTATATATTTATTTAAATATTGAAAACACACTACTGTATTTTTGATATAAATTTTAATTTTGTATTTTTTTACCTTGGATTATTTACAATAAATGTGTGACAATAAATTAATTAATTTTGATTGTCAAAATAATTTATTGTAAACACAAATTATGAGGCTGTCTATTTCTTAGATTATTACAAAAACTTTGAGATAAGCAAGCTAGATGTGCTTAAAATATGTAGCGCAAAATAAGAATAATTGAAATAAATATGAAAAATAGAATTAATTAGTTTGAAAAATAATTTTAGAATATTTATAAAGCATTCAAAATATTTTATAGGTTACAACTAATTATATGACTGGGGTGTAAGAAATGTTTGGATTGATGATTTAATTTTGTATTAATTGATTGATTTGATTAATTTACTTTTCTCAAACCAGAAAAAAAAAAAAATTATGGATAAGATTTGTTTTGGTTGATAAACAGGATTTTTGAAATAAATTAATCTAAACTAGTCATATTAATCTTCTTATTATCTCCAAAGATTTATTTACTTTAACAAAAAATAAGATTAATTTTGTCTTAATCAGATTAGATAAGAGGAAATAGGAAATTAATTGTTAGACTTTATCAATCTCAATTTATAATAAAAATCAACAATGGATATCTGCTTTTTTCATTTTTTTTAATGGATTTTAAAAATATTTATCAAAAGTTTAACTTTCTCTAATTGTGATTTCCTTTATGCTACTTTTATTAATTATTCCTACATTGGGTTATCTAAAAAAAATAAACATAAATCCTTCAAATGACAAGTTTTCCTAATTTCCCTAATCCTTTATCTCATTTTAAATTAGCTCAAATTTACTTCAGGATTCAATATAATAAATATTAAATAAATTAAAAAGTTAGACTTAAAAAAAGAAAAGAAGATGAATAAACAAATCATTGCTCTCTTTATGATTGCTACTTTTGCAATCGCTTAAACTCCTGGTGCTAGAATCCACTTAACTGCTGGTTTCATGAACAAGGCTAAGGACTGGGCTTTACCCACTCTCATCCCCGGTGGTAAGTTAGACCTTAACGCTCCTGACACTGATGCTTCTGGTTTCCACTTATCAAATATGCACGGTGAATTAGAAATCCCTCCTGAGACTATCTCTTTCTCTATCACTGAAAATAACTTCGAACTCTCCATTAATGACATGCACGTTTCTTTCCATTTCGAAGCTAAGTTAAACAAGTTCATTAAGGGTTCTGCTTCCCCCTCTGGTACCTTCTCCACTGATGTTACTGTTAGTTTCGGTATCAACGGTGCCGGTCAATTATAAGTTGCCTCTTTCGGTATCCACAACTTCAGAATCGGTCACACCACCGTCGATTTACCCGGATTCGTTAAGGCCATCCTCAACTTCTTCATTGATCTCCTCTCTAGAATCGTTCAAGGCAAACTTAACGATATGGCCCCTGGTATCTAAAACTAAATTAACGCTATGTTGACTAAGTCTCCCACTGAAACTGGTTTCGGTAACTTACCCATCGGTTTGGACCTCACCTTCAGCAATGCCATCCAACTTACTTCTGGACAAATGATTGTTGCTTTGAATCTCTTTGCTTACAACAACCAAAAGCCCAAGGTTAGACCCCCCTTCGAAAACCCCACCCCCTTCCCTGCTGGTCCCGCTGCTCAAGACTTCACTTTCTTCTTAAGTGAATACACCCTTAACTCCATGTCTTTCGCTGCTTTCGACACTGGTATGATGGCCAAGGACTTCGGTATCGATATCCTCTAAAAGCTCTCCTCTGTTGAATAACTTAATGGTATGCTCGGTGGTATTGAAGATGTCCTCAAGAGTGCTACCGTTACCGTTAAGGTTCATGCTGGTAACTACCCCTAATTCAACATTGCTGGTGGTGTCTTCTCCCTCGCTACTGACTTAGTTGCTGAATTGGTTGCTACCTATGCTGACAAGACTATCCCCATCCTTGGATTAAACATTGCTACCAACTTTGGTGTCTCTGCTTCCGTTGTCAACAACTCCTTCCTCGGTTTCCACATTGACCACGCTCAATTGACCAAGTTCGACGTTACCCTCTCTACCTTCAAGACCATTAACTTAGAATAAGTCACCACTTTAATCAACAACGTTTTGGCTTTCTTCTTACCTGAAATTAACGAAAAGTTCTGCAACGGTCAAATCCCCATGAACGGTGCTAACTTCGTCCTTAGCGGTGCTGCCCTCGAATTAGTCGACCACCACATCATGGTCCAAGCTACCCCCTAATTCGGTAACTTCGCCCTCTGATAAACATTTAAAATTAACATAAAATAATAAATATGAATATTTCATATATATTATATATGTGTACTTTATAACAAAACGTGTTAAATTTATAAATAAATAACAAACTACTATTAAATTCTTTTCAAAGTATTTTAAAAATTAAAAGGAATATTAAATAACCAACCATTTTTTTAAAAAAAAACTCCAAATAAAAAAATATATTTACAAATCTAAAGTAATCAAAAGATAATAAGCACGTACTAACTATGATACACTGCTTTATTTAAATTTAAAGAAAACATAGATTTTTAGCGAATATTTTTCTAATTTATCAACAAACAAACAAAAATTATACAATTCATAATAAAATATAAAAATTAAGTATTTAAATTATCAGATTATTATTTTAGGACATAATCCAAAATCACGATTATCTCTTAAAATATTTGAATTAAATAAAATAAAGTGTAATATATTTATAAAATCTAATTATATGACATTAATATTATTTGTTTGGAAAGACTTTCATATTATATAATCTTTTTGAAAATTAAAATTTCTTATGATATAAATTGATCAAATAGTATTATTAATATAAAGTCACTTTGATATTTAAATTATTTATTGATACATGCAAAAATAAACCAAATAATTCCTTAAAAAGAATACCTATTGCTCTAGTGAGAAATTTTAAGATAGTTAATCCTCTTTCTATGATTTGCATATAAATTGCTTTTTTTCTTAAAAAAAACTAAAATTATTTAAAATACCTTTACTTACAACATTTCAGCTAACAGTTATAAGACAATCAATGTAAATATTAAATAAATGATCTTAGTTAATTTCAAAAATTTTTTATTTTTTTGAAAAATAATATTTAAAAATAGATACTCTTGTTTTTATTTAAATATAATCGGAAATAAATTTATTTTAGAAAATATTTTTACCATCCTTATATTTCTCTATATTTTAAATTTCAAGTATACAAAAATTTCAAACACTACCACCTACGCCCAGATAACTGACCTGAGGAAACTCCTAACTATTTCCTAGGCTACATCAGATCACTAGCATTATTAAGAAATACATGTTAGTGACTCCCAAGCATATTACTCCTCTCGATCGAAGATACACGATTTATAGATGGTAAAAGAATCAACTTTTAAAAATTATTTGATATGATCATTTTAATACTGATAAAGCAGTCTTACTATTTTAACCTTAAAATAATTTATCAATAGCTGATTATTTTTATTCTAGAAAAAAACAGACATAGTATATTTTTTCTGAGTGATTAGTTACCATAAACATAGATTTATCATTAAATATAAAGCAACCTTTTTTATTTTCCAAAATTTTCATAAATATATAATATAAATATCAATTAACTAGTAATTTATGTTTTTAATCTATTAGAAAGGACAATTTTACTTGCTTTGATTTACATTTTACCTTAAGATTTTATTAGTAATAAAAATATTATTGCTTATAAACACTTTTTTTGCTAAATATTTCTAAAAAACTATCAAAAATATTTAAAAAACTTTTTTACCACTCAAAATATGATGTGGGAAATTCCTTGCATAAATTACATTTAAAACCAGTAAAATGATATTCAGGTCTTGCTTGCATAAATATTTCTTCAACTTAATGTTATTATTATAAATTATAAATAGAAATTGCTTGTTTTACCAATATTTTACAATTTTAATTAATCTATTGGTTGGCTAAGTAAGTAGATAAATAAATAAATAAAAACTAAATTCATACATAAAAATACAAAATAAAAAAAATATTTATTTTTTATATTTTATGTGGATGAAACAAGGTGGATAATTATTATATTTTTAAAATAAATTAAAAATATTTTTACCCAAGAGCATTCAAAATTCTACTGATGATATCATAACATTAAGGCATATACAGATGTTTCAAATTTTTATTTATACTAGTTCCTATTTATATGCTAAATTAATGTTGGAGATTTGGAAGATATTATATTAAACAAGATTATCAAAGACGTATTTTGTATCTGCAACTAACATCAATTACAGTGTTAGACAGATACTCAATTTAACTAATTTTTTGTTATACTTTTATCAAATAATTTTAATAAATTTCTACTTCAGCTTTTACTTTACATTTTATTGCTCATGACAACAAATGAATCATAATCCTCATATTGAGATCTATAATAAGACCTTCTATATTATTTTCAAATGCAATTATTTAATCAGTTTTAGCTTTTCTTATAGGAATTAAATCTGCTAAACAATTTTTAAAGTAATTGATTGAGCTCTTATAGATTTTACTAATTAAAAAATTAAAAATAACTGTATTATTCCAAACTATTTGAATCCAATCAAGTAGAACTTATTTTTTTATTATAAATTGAAGATTGGAAATTCAAAGACCTTTAGAAGATACCTTTTTCAGATGAAACCTATTTAAATAGTAGTAAATAATGAATAAAATAGATAAGGAAAAGAGATAATTAAGCATTTAACGTCTAATTAAATAAAATAGTATTGATTTAGTAATTTATTAATTAGACCTATTTATTATTTTTGATTTTTTTTTTTTATCTATCTATCTATCTATCTATCTATCTATCTATCTATATCTTTTTACTATTATCATTTATTATTGATGTCAATTTCTTGTAAAAAATTTTAATTTTAAGATTCTTGAACAAGAGTTTTCAACAATAAAAATAGGTAACTCTTCTACAATAAATAATAAGTATTTGATGTTTTTTTTTTTAATTAAACAGGTTTTACCAACCAACTTTTTATATATTGATAAAATATAATCATCTCTATTTTGTGTGAAAGAAAGTATTTATTTAAATAGTTTACAAATTAAGCTTTCCTTACTTAAATAATTTTTAAACTTATCTTTTTATAACTCTAATTAAACATTTTTAGGATAAATATAAAATTTTCAGTTTTAAAACTAAATATCTAATTATATCCTTATTTAAACACAATTAAAAATATTCAAAAGTATCAATCAAGACAATATTAAAAACTATATTATATTAATTATTTATTCAATTAGTAAGTGAATTAGTTTACAATTAATAAATCTGTTAACTATGTAGGTAAATTTAAATATTTTATTTTAAAATTTTTTCAAAATATTTTTTTAGTAGAAATTGAGAAATCAAATCTTTAAAATTAATTAAAGACAGACATGCAAATAATCTTTTGTTGTAATAATTTTAATTAATCATAATATAAAAATTTTTTATATACTCTATCTATATATCAATCAATAAAAGTACTAGCTACTTTTTGCAACTATTTTACTATCAATCTATTTGTAAAAAACTCATATTTAATGGTCAGGTTAGACTTTTATGGAACTGGGAAAGATAGTAGATTGATTAAATCGATGCAAAACTTTCCTCCTTTAATGGCAAGTCCTGTAGAGAGTTATTTTATTACTAGATTAATTCTTTAATGTAAAAAATATAATTGTTTCAATAGGACAAGAGCTCTTCATTGGAGCAAAGAAATGAGTTAGATAAGAATTTTAAAGCTGAAAGCAGAATCTAACATGAAAGTTAAATTTACAGAGATAATTTTAAGCAAAATAATTGTAGTTATTCATAAGACAAGTAAAATTTCTTGAAATAAATAAATAAATTGAGTTTATCCATAATTAACACTTATTACTTTTAATTTGAAATAGGAAGTATTTTTAAAGTCATTATGACTCTTTGAAATAAAAAAGTTAAGCTTATGATACAACAAAATAATAATCTTTAAATAGCCCATTTCATTCATCCAGCTTAAAGCTCTTCAGTAATAAAGCCTATGCAGAGTAAATATAACACATATTATTTCAATTCTTTTATTATATATAAATTATATTAAGTACTTATTAAATTATATTATTTTTGTATGTATGAATGGTCATTAAGTAATGAGGACTTTTAGTAGAAAAAAGAAATTTAGATTTTTTTGTTATATTTCAAAATCGATTAATTAATTTAAGGGTTTTTAGAAAAAAATGACCTTCTTATTGCTTAAAATATTCTAAATTAGATCTCCAAGAAATAACTAAGTAAATAAAAGTAACTTTTCAACAAGAGTGCAGAGCTTAAATGCTACAAGAAATAGTGATAACAATAAGAATTTTCATGATTAGATTTCAAACTAAGCAAGTCCAGTTGCATAAACGAAGTCTAGCTTAAACGTGAATAATATAAATGGAAGTATTGAAAAAGATCATTTTTATGTGACAAGACCTTTACTTAGAATAAATAAAGATTTTATTGAAAAACCTTTAATTAAGAATGTCTAGTAAATATATTTATGTTGATAAGAAAAATGTAAATTATATTTTTAACTTTAATTATGTTATCAAAAAAGAGTGGTATCAGATGATCTGCCTAACTGGTGCTAGTCAACTAACAAGTATTACACTCCAGAAAATATTGATAAAACTAAAAAGTCGAAGATAGTTATAAAAAAAAACCAAGATATTTTTGGAAACGATATTAAAATGTATCCCAACAATTTTAAATTTTTCTGCGAACCACCATCTGAAGGACAAAGATTTGTGAGTCTTTTCTTAAATTTATAAAAAGATTTCATTTTAAATTAAAGTTTTTTTTGAGGGTGTAATAATTCAAATTTATATTTTTCATGCTTTGTTTCTTTCTATATTAATTATTCTTATTTAATCAGGAAAAGAAAAGGATGGTGATTGCAGACCGATAAGAAGATTCTAAAAAAACATAAAGTAAGAATATTTTAAATTCATTGTTTGTTGATCGAGTGTTTGTTTGTATAAACAAATTTTATGTAATTAATCATTAATAGCTATTTTTAAATATTAATTTGAATTTCTTCTTATTTATTCATTTAAATTCAATGAATATTTGCCATCTTTATTTAATTTTCCACAAAAATTAAGAATTGTTCATGTATTCATAATAAACACTGTTAGCTGTGCATTTATTTACCATGAGAATAATACTTTTTTTTCGATCAGAAACGTTGCTTATAAACTTTTCTTTTATACAATAACCTATAATTAGCAAAAAAGGAATTAATGCTAGGCAAACTTAGACTGAGATGGGATGAAGATGTAAAAAAGTAAAAATATGAACCTCGCTTGCCTTTGAAGATAGGACACGAAAACGAAACTCCATACATTAAAAAATTAGAAATGAAAAGAAATTCATCCCTTAACGAGTTTAGAAAGATAGGTGAAGTAGATCAATTCAAACGCGAAAATCGAGATAAACCTGTATAGCTTAAAATTGGACATGGCATACCAGAGATAATAAATCCAATAAAATTTAATTTATCATGAATACAAATTTAGAACAGGTATATATTTCTCTAAGTAAAAATTTTGAACTGTAAACAATCAATTTGTTGAGTAGAAATGAATTCAAACAAAAAACTAGTTAAAAATAAATTGAGAATAAATAAAGATGACAAGCAAATAAATAATTAAATAGATTAATAAAATAAATAGTTTATAATCATAAATAATTTATATTTATCAAAATAGTTTATCAATTTATTTAAATTGATGGGAGAAACTGACCTCTTATCTTCTTTCTTTCTTTGTGTTTGTGTTTATTAATTTATATTTATCCATTTAAATATTTAAAATAAAGTGTAAAGCAAAGCAAATATTTTCAAATCACATTCAATCATTAAACCAATTAAAAAAATTTTTAATTTGTTAGTTTAAAAGAAAGTAAACACTTTTGTCTTTATCATATAAACAAAGAAACACTGCATGCTTTTTTGTTTGTTTTATATTTTGATATGATTATTTTAAAGAGACTATTAAAATCCTTTGAGTGTTAATGTAAATTATTATAGCACCGGTTAATACTATAACTGATAGAGCAAAATAAAGAAAGGATTTATTTTTTTAAGATTTTGAATCTTTAGCTTTCAGGAAGATGGCATTGGTTAACAACAATTTATGAATATGAATGATTTCTTTAAAAATAAAATAGACTCTGAAAATATAAAAAATTAATCCTTGGATTAAAAAAAAATTTACTTAGATTTGTTGGTAAGAAGACCTCGTTAAATTCAATTTATGGCTTTGATTGTGATAACAATTCTAAAAATCAACTATTGATTGTAAATTTGCAAAAACATTGCATAACATAGGATCAGAATTCTGATATTAATTTATTAAATAATTTTTTAATGTTACTAATTTACCAGCAATTAGTAAGTGTAAATAAGATGATCAAAATTAAAATTGAAGGAAAAACAAATGTTGGAATTAATTTATTGGATTGGTAAAGTTACTAGGTGAATGTATAAATCTAGCTTTTGTTTTACCCAATTAATAGCTTCTTAGCATTTTATGATTACTGCCTTAAGATAAATTAAATAAAGATAACTTCTGATACTATAAATTTCTAATCAATCAAAAGCAATTTTATTAATTTTATTCACTTGCTCAGTTCGATTTCTTTTCCCAATAGAAACAATTATAAAAGATAAAAAATTAGAATGCATAATCACTAAAAGTCTGTAATGTAAGTTATAATTTGGCATGCAGTGACAAGAAAGGATTTACTTATAATTATTGCGTAAATCAAAAAAGAGTTTATTGTATAGAGCTAAATTTTATTTCACTTTTTGAAGTATGAAAATTTATTTAAATTTTAAATTATGAAACGAAGTGTAATCTTTTTTAATTTAATAAATCCACATAATATCAGTACTTATTATTTACTCTAAGCTGCATTTTAGAACTAATTTTATTTTGGCTTTTTTTCTCTTTTGTATATTAAGTTAAGGATATTGACAGCTCATTTAATGAGAAAGATTGATTATTTGATTATTTATCTTTGCGTTTATTTTATTTTAATCACATTATCGCTACCGCTTGCTTATTATTTTATTTCTTTCTTTCATTCTTTCTAATTAGCTTTCTTTCTAAAAATTGAGTTAGTAAGAAATAAATTGAGATATTTTTAGTATCTCATAGGATAAAATATATATTTGGAAATAAAATTCCCTTTGCTAATTTTAATTACATTGATTGAATGCGTGTGTATTACTTTAGATTTCAAAATTTTTTGTTTAATTTTGCTTGATTTTATCATGGTTTCTTTACATTTAACTAGTGATGATAAATTAATTCCATCAGATTATCAAAGAACTTTTTTTTATTTTAAAAGTTAAATATGACAGAAATCCTCTATTATAGATTCACTAAACTAATAGGTTGTAAGGGTTTAGTATGAAGAAATCCTTGATGATAATAGGATTTGAGGATGAAGTAGAATGCAGTGTGTAATGAAGAACAAAAAACATTTTAAGAAGTGGTATTAAGATTTACTTAGTGTGTAAAAAGAGATCAAAGGTTCCTTTTAATCCCAAGAAATTCTTACTTAATATTTGCTAAAGAATATTTTGGTTGTGGAGAATTAGTTTTTGTTTTACGCATTAATCAAGATAAAGAGAGAGAATAACACTTTTAATAAGAAGAATTTTAACTTAATTAATAAAAAAGTAGATTGATTGTAAAACAAGATAGTCAAGATTCGTCAGATTTATTAATTCGCTCATTATTTTAATAGCTTTTACATATAAAAGGAAAAATCTTGATCAAATTAGATTAGACAAAAGATAACCAGAAATCAAATCAAATCTGTGTGACTTTTGTAATCGCTAATTCACTCTAGATCACAAATCAACTAACTATTTGCAATTAAAATTAGCTCTTATTCACACCAGGATTCAATATAATTATTATAAATTAATTAAAAAGTTAGACTTTAAAAAAAGAAAAGAAGATGAACAAACAAATCATTGCTCTCTTTATGATTGCTACTTTTGCAATCGCTTAAGCTCCTGGTGCTAGAATCCACTTAACTGCTGGTTTCATGAACAAGGCTAAGGACTGGGCTTTACCTACCGTTCTCCCCGGTGGTAACTTAGATATTGCTATCCCTGATCAAGATGCTTCTGGCTTCCACTTATCTAATATGAATGGTTAATTAAGTATCCCCCCCGAGACTATTACTTTCTCCATCACTGAAAATAACTTCCAACTCTCTATCAATGATATGCATCTTTCCTTCCACTTTGATGCTAAGTTGAACAAGTTTGTTAAGGGTTCTGCTTCTCCCTCTGGTACCTTCTCCACTGATATTAATGTCAGCTTCGGTATCAACGGTGCTGGTCAATTATAAATTGCTGGTTTCGGTATCAATAACTTCAGAATCGGTCACACCACCGTCGATTTACCCGGATTCGTCAAGGGTATCCTCAACTTCTTCATTGATCTCCTCTCCAGATTCATCCAAAGCAAGCTTAACGATGTTGCCCCCGGTATCAGAGATTAAGTTAATGCTATGTTGACCAGATCTCCCACTGAATCTGGTTTCGGTAGCTTACCCATCGGTTTAGACCTCACTTTCAGCAATGCTATTGAACTCACCTCCGGTTAAATGATCGTTGCTACTAACCTTTATGCTTACAACAATCAAAAGCCCAAGGTTAGACCCCCCTTCGAAAACCCCACCCCCTTCCCTGCTGGTCCCGCTGCTCAAGACTTCACTTTCTTCTTAAGTGAATACACCCTTAATTCCATGTCTTTCGCTGCTTTCGACACTGGTATGATGGCCAAGGACTTCGGTATCGATATCCTCTAATAACTTTCCTCTGTTGACCAACTCAATGGTATGCTCGATGGTCTCGCTGATGTCCTCTCAAGTGCTACCGTTACCGTTAAGGTTCATGCTGCTAACTACCCCTAATTCAACATTGCTGGTGGTGTCTTCTCCCTCGCTACTGACTTAGTTGCTGAATTGGTTGCTACTTATGCTGACAAGACTATTCCCATCCTTGGATTAAACATTGCTTCTAACTTTGGTGTCTCTGCTTCCGTTGTCAACAACTCTTTCCTCGGTTTCCACATTGATCACGCTCAATTGACCAAGTTCGACGTTACCCTCTCTACCTTGAAGACTGTCAACTTAGAATAAGTCACTACTTTAATCAACAACGTTTTGGCTTACTTCTTACCTGAAATTAACGAAAAGTACTGCAACGGTCAAATCCCCATGAACGGTGCTAACTTCGTCCTTAGCGGTGCTGCCCTCGAATTAGTCGACCACCACATCATGGTCCAAGCTACCCCCTAATTCGGTAACTTCGCCCTCTGAAAAGTGTGAAAAAAAATTTAACTTATCATAATAAATATTAATTGTTCATATATATAAATATTTTATATATGTACTCTATAATAATAATGTGTATTAAATTTAAAAACAAAATATAAAATAAATATTTTTTTTTAATTGAATTTATAAAAAAAAAACTAAAAAAACAAATCAAAGAAAAAAATCTACATATTTTAAATTAAAAAAAATGAAAAGAAAACTTTTTATAAGTAATTATTTTTTGAAAATTAATTAATATATGTAAATTTAGTTTGTAAATACCAACGTATAAAGAGAGAATTAATTGCATAGACTATTACTAGAATTTGATAACTAAAATGGATAAATTACCTCATTTCAAAGTTAGTTATTTATTAATTAATTGCACTTCAACAAAGAAAAGAGTGAATCAATTTAAATATGTTTAGTAAATAAATAATTGACTAAATTTTTAAAGAATTTAAAAAATTTATGATATTTGTTGGTAAGTATTGCTATTGTTGTTGATTTTTTGTTTTTGAATGAACTTTTGCATGATAAAAAAAATTAAGAGAAATTTAAAAAGAAGTAGGATTTATCAAATCAAATTTTATTGATTTTTTCTGTTTAATTAAAAGAAGAAACAAAGTACAAACAAATATTAAAAAACAAGCAAATAAGCAAATTAAGTCTGGTTAGTAAACTGAAAAAATATTTTTATAACTCAATAGCAATCTGAATACTTACATTATTCATAATTTTCAAAACAAATTTAGTCACAAGCTGAGTCTTTGCATTCAGAATAGCAAAGAAGTAATTCATTTTTGCATAGACTATCGCATTATTTAATTGATGCTGCATAATCTTCTGAATCATAATTCTAGCAATTGAATAAGCAATTATCAAGAAAAGGGAAACATAACATATTTTTTTCCAATTTATTTTTATGTTTTGAGCATTTTTCATAATGAGCAGTGCAAATTTTAAAGCAGTTGCTTTTTTGAGCATCCTAGCATTTGATTTCTTGAAAAGCTATAAGAAAAATGACCAAGATATAAAAGACTCTCATTTAAAAATTTGAAGTGTTGTTAAATTATTTATTTATTTATCTCTTTATTTCTACTATTTTTAAAAACTATCAATTTATTTATTCAAAGTCTCAAGCTAATATTAGTAATTTAAATAAAATAAACTAAACTAACGTTCAAATTCTTAAAATAGTAATTAATTAAAAAGGCTTAAATTTATTTCAAATAATCTAAGATAAATAAAAAATTAGTATTTGTTTTAAAAATACATTTCTTCTATTCATTTTGTTGAAATATTTGAATTTATATTTAATTAATCAATCAATATTAAATGTCTTAGATAAATTATAAATTAGTACTTGCTAATGAAATTCAGTTGAAGAAAGGAAACTATTATAAAGTATACCATATTATTATTATTATTCGTGTATATAGCCTTGAAAAAGGCAGTACTCTAGGGACTATATTTATATATTAGTACTTGCTTTTAAAATAAACTTCTACTATTAATTTATTGAAATATTTTATTTATTTTTTTACTTAAATAATTAGTAATTTCATCAAATATTTGATTTCAAATCATTTAAGATTAATTGTAATAAATTAATATTTGTTTTAAAAACTTTTTTCTTTTGTTATATTGAAAAATTATTTTAATACAAAAAATTCTAAAAATATTTTAATATGTTTTTAAATTTCAAAATATTTTAATTATTGAAACAATTTTAGATGAAAAAATTTTATTTATTTATTTAAATTTTTTACTATTAATTATTTGTTAAAAATATTCACTTAAACAGATAAATAAAGGCTACAGCTAATACCTTTATATTTTATGATTGATATATATATTGAAAATATTTTCATAATTATTCAATTTTAACATTTTCTTGATTGATTGATTGTTATTATTTAATATATTTAATCACATTTGTTAAATTTGGAAGACCACAATAATTCTATTTGATTTATTTCTTACCTTAAATTGAGGATGCTAGCTAGATATATTGAGGTAGTAAAAATTATATTATTTCATCACAATTTGTTGTACTATTTGAATGAAAAAAAAAAAAAAAATAATGAATAAAGCATCATTTGGAATAATTTATTTGGATGAAGGCAACTTAGCTGGTAAACTGGTAATATTTTTGATAATTTAATATTTAGTTTACTTTTAATTTATATTTTTGTAAGTCCTTAAAAGTTATTAATAAGAAAAAGTAAAATATTTATAATGATGATCATATTTATTTTTTACTAAAAAACAAAGAGTTTTATATCTAATTAATGTAATATTTACAAAATAATTTAATTATTTTTATTTTAAAATTTAATTTAAGTAAGATAAAGCAGTACAATTTTGTATTGCACATTTATATAATGGTTCATTTTAGGTTTAATATTTGCTAAATTACTATGTGAATAAATAATTCTGAATTTTCAATCAAGAACATTCATAATTCATGCAATGTTTCAATCCTTCTACGCACTGTTTATCGCATTACTGGTCTTTGCACTAAATGTTGCAAACAAAAAAATCGTTTTTGCATAAGTTTTTACACTCTTTTGAAATATTTAAATCGCTTCTTTGCTCAGGATGGGAACAATGGTTCAAGCATAATTATAGCTAGGGTAAACATAAAATACCGCTTTATAATTTTGTTTTACCAATAACACAGTCATCATGAGGAGCTTTGCATATTTAAAAGCACTCATAAACATCTTGCTTTTAACATAGTACCATGTATTAAACTGCTAATAAAATAAAAATGTTTATAGCTACTTTCATATCAGGGAGAAGCTACTAATTTGTTTATTTTTTTATTTATGTGTGTATGTATGTATCTGTTTCTACTTATTTGCTAATTTATTGTTAAAATTTTTTTATCCTAAAATGATGAGGAACAAATTAAATTATTTAATAGAATGTGAGATAATAAATTTGTAAAGTTTTTAATTCAGTATTGTTTTAAACCAAAATAAAATTTTTTGCTTAGTTTTAATTTTAAATAGATTTAAGTCAATATGTTTTTAATCACAATTTAAAATTTAATTTATATAATCTAATATTTATATTCTAACCAATTAAATTCAAGCAAAATAAACATAATAGCTCTATCTTATAAATTTTTTAAGCATTTTTTATTTTCTGAAAATTTTAATAAAATTTTTAGCTCAAGTGACTAAATTTATTTAACAAATAAGTAGATAAAATATTTAGAATTTAAAAGATTTTTAATTTTTACATATTTAAATAAAATACTTATTTAATAGAAAAAAACATTATATCATTCAGCAAAATTTAATCCATAATCAGAGAATCTATAGAAAAATTAATTTCATAATAAAAATCATTAACAACTATGAAATAGTTTATTTTAAAAATAATATTTTAATTTAATTTAATTAAAATTAATTTATATTAATTTTTTTTGTTTCAAATTAAATATTTTTAATTTTTTTTTAATTTAGCACAAACTCTACCTACACTTTCATTTTTTAGTAAAATAAATATTTAAACAAGCAAACAAAAGTACAATTTAATAAATAGATAAATATATTAATAAATAAACAAATGAACTAGTTGATAAATAACTATATTTAAATATATAAATAACTAACTAATAACCAAATTAGCAAATATTTAAATAATTAAGTTAATATTCAAGAAAATAAATAACTTAATTAACGAATAAGTAGCTTTAAATAAATAAATTAACAAATAAATCACTAAAAAATAATAAATAATTAAACAAATGAAGAAGTAGATAGATAGATAATAACTAAGCATATAATTAAGTAATTAAATTTATAAATAACAATTGAATAAACAAATTAAAACATATATTAATAAATAAATAAATAGTTTAAATTTTTTAGAACCTCTGTAAGTATTATGAGATATTTTGGTAAATTGAAAAAGCTCAATTTAATTTTATAATTGAAAATGAAAAAATAGATTGGAAGTATTTTAAAATTACATTTAAATTGATTAATGACCAATTTAGCTTACAATACAGGATTGTCGAATATATGTAGAAATATAAAACATTTGATTTATTCATTTATTTGCTTGAATTTGTGTTAGAATAGAAAAGTAATCTTTTAAACAAATATAAATAAAAGAGAATGAAATATGATAGAAACCGCTTTAAATGGAATTCTAGAAACTTTATATTTTTGTACAGTACTTCTATTTTACAATTTTTAAAAATAGAAGAAATCTAGATTTTTGCTAATTGTAATTAAATATTAAGACAAAAAGAAAGACTTATATGATTGATAGCTTATCAGATAGACAGACAGATAGACCTTGCTCGATTAGATTATTAAATAATTAGTCAGAAAGAAACTAGCAAACAAATAAACAGATAAAACTGATAATAATATTTATTAAAAATAAGTAATTTAAGTAAAATGGATTAAAATCTAAACAAAATTAAAGAATTAAAGCATTACATTAAAGCAGTAGAAATAGAGAAGAAAATTCTAGCTCAGAATTACAATCTAGATAATGAGCTTAGAATTTTTGATGTAGAAGTTATTCTCAACGGATTGCCCACATTTATTCATACTTATGTTATTGGAGAGAATAATCAAGAAACACTTGTTATGCTTCATGGATTTGGAGGAAGTTCTCTAACATTCTATAAAATGTATAAATAATTAGCAACTAGATTTAGAGTATTCGCTCTAGATTTTATTGGAATGGGATTATCAGATAGATAAAACTTCAATGTAGTTGAGAATGCCACCTAAGTTATTAATTTTTTTGTGAATTCAATCGAGTAGTGGAGAAAAGTTTTAGGAATATAATAATTTAGAATCGCTGGTCATTCTTTTGGTGGCTACATGGCTGCTAATTACACTGTGAAGTATCCTAGTTAAGTAATTGAGACATATTTGCTCTCGCCTATGGCAGGAACCAAAGTTACTCCTGAAAACGATTTGCAAAGTGAAGAAAGATTTTAAGAATTTGTAAACAAGCAACCCTTTTTGAGGAAATGGGCTATGAAATATATGAGATGCCAAGCAGAAAATTAAAAAATGACGCCAGGAAAGCTGCTGAAAAAATGGTTTATCCCAGGAAATTACCTTCTAAAAAGAGCAGTTTAAAGCAGATTGAAAATATCTGATAAAACAGAAGCAGAATTATGGAAAAACTTCTTAAAAAATATATTTAAATTACCCTAATCAACTGAACATCATATTCATGATTTAGTTAGCATGCCAGGAGCTTAAGCTAGACTCTCAATTGAGTAAGTAGTTATGGAAAGCCCTAACAAAATAGATGTAGAATTTACAATAATGTTTGGTGATGATGATTGGATGAATAAAACAGGATGCTAAAGATTATTTAAAGAAAATTATTTATAAGGTAGAGTAGTAGAGATTAAAGATGCTGGACATTAGTTGCCTTTTGATTAGCCAGATGACATAACCAATAAAATATTAGAATAAACAAAAATTAACATTTAAGTAAAATGAAAAACCAGCCTGTCTATTTAGCACATAACAAAAGTTAAAGTAAAAAAAACATAAAAAAAGGAAGATTAGCTTAAAATTTGTTTTGATAACAATTATAAATAAATAAGTAAATACATCCATAAATAATGTGATATATACTACTAATTAACTAACTAACAAATAAATAAATAAATAAATAAATAAATATAATAAATTATTTCAATATTTAATGTTTTTGAAATCTTACTAAAAAACATTTTATAAAATTTCTGTGGTATTAAATATTATATAAAAAAAGATAATTAAATAAATAAATATATATTTATCTTTAAATTAGTATTTTATAAATAGTAGCAAATAAAATAATCACTCTATTTTTTTATAAATAAATTTCATATTAAAGCTAATATTAGAAAAACTAGTATTAATCTTTTAGAAAAATAAATTAATCATCAAAAAATATTCAAAAATTTAAGTTTTACTAACATAATTATTATAGCTATATATTGATTGATAAATAAATAAATAAGTACAAAGGTACTCTTCTATAAGGTTTGTCCAAAAATAACTAAAATTTTACTCTCCTTATTGGAAAATCATCCTTTTTATAAAATATAAAAATAAATAAGAAATAATATTTAAATTCCCATATTTTTTTTAATTATAGCTATATGAATACTTCTTCAAAGTATATTCCTTTATCTTAATATTATTACTAATTTTAATAATACATTAATTATTTATTTATTTATTGATATTATATTTGAAAATTGTAAAATATTTTTAAAATTCTAATTAATTAATTAGATTTATGTTTTTGATATGTTTTATTTAAAAAAATGAAAAATATTCTTTAAGATGAAGTAATTTTATAAGGAAAAGCCATCCTTATAGGCGAGTACCTAAAATAGATAGATAAATAAATAAGTAAATTTTATCATATCTTTGAACATAAATTTTAATTGATAAATAGATTTAGAATATAAATAAATAAATATCTATTAAATAATAAATAAAGATAGTTTTTTATCTTTTTAATATTTTTGTGGTATTAAATAAAAATATAAATAATAATTCTATCAATATTCATTTCTTTTTTACTTTTTTGCTCAATTAGACTAATTAGAATAAAGCAAATCAGTTTCTTTATTTATTGCTTTGTCCAATAAAACTTACGTTTAACTTATTTTCTAACTTTTAGATTGTAAAAAATTGACTATTTAGTAGATTTTATCAAGCTCTACCTTTAAAAAAACAATATTTTTAATAATATAAATAAAAATATTTCTTTTGTTTTGCAACAAAAGGCAGCAATTTTTAAATATATCATGAATTTCAAAATATCTGTCACCCTCATTTAAAAACTTTCATTCAGGAGAGTCATAGAATGTCGGGTATTGAATTTTATAGGGTGGTGACAAATATTTTGAAACATATGATATATGATGATATTTTATATCAAATTATCTCCAAAAGAGTGTCGTATTAATTACTAATTTGTTTACAATTTGAAATTGTAGCTAATTTTAACTTTTTAAGCTTATTTATGTTCAATATATAATTAGCATCCATTTAATAATATATTAAAATATAAAAGTGAACTAAATAACATTAGCTAATTGAGAATGTCTGTCTATACTCTTTATATATTTAACAGAAATTTAATAATATTCAAAAATAAAAAATAACTAACTTATTGGGCATGATTATTTTCTCTTCATAACGAACACCAATTAATTTAAAAATTTTACTAAATATTTAAAAAGAAGAAGTATTCATGGATTTAAAAAATAATCTTGTAGATTGAGATAAATTTAGGTATTATTATAAATTTATTTCATTTCTACATTAAAAAAATTAAATAGTGAAATTTATTTAGAAATCTATTCCAAATTAAATCTTTTTTAAGTTAATATAAATTATTTAAAAATTGTTTGTCTATCTTATTAAATTACACAAAAATTGATTATTAAATTATAGATTAGATTACGCAGATTCAGGTTAAATTTAGTCATCTAAATATAAACTACCTGCATAAGTAAATAAATATATAAATTAACATGTATAAAATTTTTATAATTTAAAATATCCATCCACTATTTGATTCTTATAGATACTTACATTAATTTAAATTTCATAAAAGCTACAAATTAAAGAAAATTAAAATTAATCCATATGTAGACCTTAGGTTTTCTAATTACTGTTGCATACTTTGGCTATTAGATTTCCAACTAAAATTTAACCAATTTTTAAAAAATAATTTAAGGAGCAAAAGTAACAAATTCATGAAGGAAGGGATGAAAGTAATCTGATATTCTTGAAACAGACAAACAAATGGTGATTCATTTAATTATATTGATAGCTTATTCATCATTTTAATAATAATTCAATTTAGCTTCCAAGCCAGAAATTATGAGAGAATTACAGCTTAAAATTTTTTTATTTACACTGCTTGATAGAATTCTAATTAAATATAATATAAAACTAATTATCCAAATAAAGTAAATTTAATAAGTAAAGTGATATTGATAATTTATTTGACTTACTTTTGGTAGAAATTTTAAGAATTAATTAGTAGTTTTTATCTTTACTTTTCCTTGAAGAATATTAATTACTTGTCAATTTTAATAAATTTTATAAAACAAAAATGAAGAAAATTTATTTATTTATTTCCTTATTTTGTAACAAAACCAAATTATTGTTTTTTAAAAAATTATTTTTGACTTACACTTTATGAATTAATTTATTTTACAAATGACTCTTTGAAGCAAAAAAATGATTGGTTGTTCTTACATTTATGTAATTTTCTAGGGTTTTTACTAGCTTAAATTAAAACAAAATTAATTAATACATTTTAAAAATAAATTTTTTACATTATTTTTATTATTTTTACTTATGAAATAGATATAATTCAATATTTATTTTTAAATTAAATTTTTTTTCTAAATCTATATTAAAAATTAATTGACTTTTGTTTAAAAATTTTTATAGTCCATACATATCATTCTGTTTTATTCTGAACCAAGCCTGTATTGCTCTGAATAATGTAAACTGAATAAGTTTTTAAATTCTTAAAAAGTACTTTTGATTGTCTTTTTTAAAATTTAAAAAAATTGATTTAATATGGTTGAAATATTTAAAATAGCATAATTTTTATTCTAAATTCAATGTTATAGACTCACTAAATACTCAATCAATAAATAAAATCAAATATTTTTCAAATTTAATTAATTTAGAATTTATAAGAAAGAGATTTAATTAATGGATAAATTTATGCACATTTAATTAACCTAGATATATTGAGAAAGATGGACTCTATCCTAGTAAAAAAATATCTAAAAAATATTATTCTTCAACCCATTTTGGTCTCCTAAAATGGTTTCATAGTATAAAAAGTTGCTCTGAGTTAGTGAAATAAGATATATATATATATTTTTATAGAATCTTATAAGAAAATGAATAAGTGTAAAATAAATTTTTTTAATAAAAAATAGAGAGTAAAAAATAAAAATATAATTGTAATTTCTGAGGAGAGTGGCATTTGTTAATGTTGGTATATGTAATAGTTGCAAATATATTGTTTGAAACACATAAAATTTATCTTGATTTAGAGTAAAGAAAGATTGTAAAATTATAAATAGAAGATGTATAGAATTTCTCAGATTGATCTTGAAATTTATAAAATAGAGCAAAATAGACAGGTTAATTAAATTAAGGACTGGTAGAAGACTAAAAGAATAACAAATCTCTTCATTCATTTTAGCAAATAAATAAATTTACAAGAATAACCTAAAAATAACAAACATACAAACAAGCAAACATTAAATTAATAAATTTCATAGCATCTTTCGTACATAGATAGATACACTGCTAATAAATTAGTCAAAGATATACTTTAATTATTTTTATAAATTTAATAATAACAAAAAAATTAATAACTTCTTAAAAAGTCAAACAAATATTCCACAAAAAAAACACAATTTTTAATTGAATTCATTCAATTTTCATAAAAATAACAAATAAAAATCAATCAAACAAATAGAGAGAGAAAAAAAGATAAAATGACTAACTTTCAAACTGGAAGAGATGTTCGTGATCTCCCTGAATATAAACAAGCCCTAATTAATGAATCTAAAGTTCTTCAAACAAAATTTGAAGAGAATTAAATCCATGTTTTTGATGTCGAAATTGACCTCAGAGGTAAACCTAGCTTCATCCACACTTATATGTGCGGAGAAGACAATGAAGAAACAATCGTTCTTTTACATGGCTATTCGGGTAGTAGTCTTTCTTATTACTAAATGTTACAACCACTTTCACAGAGATTTAAAGTATTTGCCCTGGATTTTATTGGAATGGGGCTTTCTGATAGACAAAATTTCGAAATTGATAATTCTTGTCCTTAGAATGTGATTGACTTTTTTGTTGAGTCAGTTGAACAATGGAGAATTACCCTCGGTATAGAGAAATTTGTTCTTGCAGGGCATTCATTCGGAGGTTACATGGCTGCAAATTACGCTTTAAAACATCCTGAAGTTGTCTGTAAGCAACTCTTCCTCTTTTCACCAATGGGAGGCACAGAAGTAACTCCGGAAAATGATCTATCAAACGAAGCTAATTTTAACAACTATTTAAAAAGCAAACCTTTCTTACAAAAATTAGATCTATTATTCAGTCGTTATTAAGGAAAAAAGAAAATGACTCCTAAAAAATTTTTTGAGCAATGGTTTATCCCAAAGTCTTTTGTCCTTGGTTAAGCAGTTTAGTAGAAATTAAATGTAAAGCAAAAAGACGAAGTTCATCCTTGGATTTAATACTTGCTTAACTTCTTCTCATTACCAGAATCAACTGACAAGTAAATTCATTCCCTTGTTGGTTTTCCTCGCGCTTAGCCTAAGCTCTCTTTAGAAGAGATCATAAGAAATAACAATTAATCAATGAATGCTAAAGTACATGCCTTATATGGAGACAATGACTGGATGAACAGCGAAGGCTGTCTCCGTTTATACTAACAAAAATATCTTAAAGGAACTTTCTCAACAGTTTAAAGTGCAGGCCACCATTTGATTATGCAATAACCTGATTTAATTGTTAAATTTATTATCAACAATTCAAATTCTGTCTGAAAAAGTTGTTGAATGAGATATCTTTGTCAATATTTTATTGGAAAATAAATGCTTTGACTCTAAAATAAAAAAAATAAATGCTTTAATAAAGAAAAATTTCAATTAATGTAAATAAATCTAAGAAATGAGCTTAAATAAACAACAAGCAAATCCTGTCAAGAATAAAAAATATTTACAAATATTTTCTCTTGATAAAATTTATAAAACTACTACAAACTAACTAAATCATACTTTTAATTTATTAGCCAATAATTTCAATTGATCAATCAATAAATGAATTAATAAATTGCTTCAGTATCGCTTATCCTTATAATTTCTATCTTTCTTTAGGTAAACTAAAAGTAGATTGATATATTATTAGTAAGCTATTTAGATAGATAGATTAAAATTGTATTCTATCGTATTAAAGTAGACAAAAAATAAAATAACCATTAAAAATAGCTTGCTAAATCTAAATTTAGATGAATAAATCTACTTATAAGAGAAGATTATTGGCTGCTATTATCTCATTTATTTGCTCAATTTCCTAAAACTCTTATCACACACATTCCTCATACAATAACTAATAATATATTTAAACAAAACAATTATCATCTTTAAATTAAATAATTTGTATTTAGCTCACATTTCAATCAAAAAAAATAAAAAATTTATTTATATATCTATCTATTTGTATAATATTTTCTATAAATTTCATCACTTTTCGCTCTTCATTTACGCATTTGTTTTTTTCTAGTTAAATTTCAAATTTCTTTTATATAAAATCTGAATGAATCTAGATTTTTTTAATTCATTCTTTCATTAGTCGACAAATTAATTTTAAGCAATTTCCTCTCAATAAAATTAAAGACTCTAATTAATATTTAAATGAAATAAAATAAACAAAAGAATAAATATTTATTTACTTACAAATATTTGAACTTATTCAAATCTTTTATTTTTTGGAGTAAATTTATTGCAAAATAAAATTGATAACTTTTTAGTGAATTTAAATTTATTTCTTTAGAATTGGAAATATTATTCATATTTATTTCAATTAAAAAAAGGAAATATTTAACATTAAATCATTAAAAAATATTTATTTATTTGATCTAATTCAAGAATGAATTTAACTTTTTTCATGTTCTAATTTTATTTTCTTGCCTAGGGATTTTCGCAAAATATTTGTTCTCATTCAAATTTAAGCTTTAAAATAGTCAAAATCTTTTATTTTAAAAAATGAATTTAGATTGCTATATTTTGATTTTAAAGTTGAGATTTTTGTGAAAAATATAAATAGTATTAAATTTTACTGGAATAATAAAATTTAAATTAGTGTAGAATGACATGATGTTCTTAGATAATTCATTATCTATATCTGTTACAATTTTAAAATTTGAAATAGAAAAAATATTCATCAAAATTTTTAGATATTAACAAGATAATTTAATTAAAATATTAATTGCATTAAAATAAATTAAATTTTGTATTTATTATTTTGATAAAAATATTTTTTTATTTATTAAATTGATAAAATATTATTAAAATATATTTTTATTATTGAAATTTAATCATGAAATTAATTAGCTTTATTAAATGAATTTAAATTATAAGTAATTGAAAATATTAAAATACAAAAAAAATAAATAAATAAATGAAATCAAACATTAGAAAATATGTGAATTTAATTAGTATTTAATCACATTTAAATTTAAAATAATTTATGTAATTCAGATATTTAATTTTAAATATGTAATAGATTTAATCATATAATATGTTTAATTATTTCAAAACAAAATATTAATTATTTATTTGTTTAAATGATAAAATTCTTTATTTGTTTTATCTCATATATTATATATTGTATATTAAAACATTTAAAAATTTTATAAATGATAAAATTTATGTAAAAATAAGAAATATTTTAGCAAAAAGTTTGTTTAAAATATTAAACTTGCCTAAAAATATTGAATTTATAAAAATATTTCTTTTAAAAAAAGTTGCTTTAATTTTTTTTAATAAAGTTATTTCTTAAAATTAATCTAAAAATAATAATTCATCATTAAAATAAAAATGTAAATTAGTTAAAAAAAATGTTCACACAAATAAATACACACACATAAATAATATTATATCATATTAAAAATACATTCATAAACATGATGTTTAAAAATCCATTTTATTTTATTGAGGTTCGTATTTTATTTAAAATTTTTGATAGAGTTTTTATCTTACTTACTTCATAGAAATATTCAAGAAAAATGATAGGAAAATACTTAAAAGTAAAAGGTTTATAATTTGTATTAATTTTACAATATCTGAAAATATTGTCAGAAATTTATAAAATGTTGGAATTGCTTTGTCATAAAGTGTGTAATAATATCTATCAAAAGTAGGTGGAAATGTTCCAAAAAGATTTCTTTGATGCGAGATTTGTTCGATTAATAAAGTAATTATATTATAATAAAATAAAAACAACATAATTTGTTAAAAAGAAATACATATTTTTCAACTTTTAAAAAATTGATTAGCATAGTATTAAGCTTAATAATGAGAAGGATAACTTAATTAAATAGATAGATCGTATCAAATTTCTCTAGCTCCACTGATAGCGTCCTCTTTACTCAAGATAAATTCAAAGCTAAGGTAGTTTTGAACAAACCAAAAGCATTAAACGCATTAGATTTGGCTATGATTAGATAGATTCAAGGCAGAATTGTCCCTTGGACTTAAGAAGGTATTAAGGCTGTATGGATTAATGGAGCAGGCGGAAAAGCTTTCTGTGCAGGTGGTGATATTAAATCTCTTTACGATGCCAAAAAAAGTGGTAAACCCGAAGAACTCCCTATTCTCGATACATTCTTCAGAGAAGAATTCACACTTGATTATGAACTTGCTAACATGAAACCTACTCAAATTGCAGTCATGGACGGTATTGTTATGGGTGGTGGAGTAGGTATTTCAGTCCATGCTCCTATTAAAATTGCAACTGAAAACTCTGTATTTGCTATGCCAGGTAAAAACCATTTAAATAAAAGAAAGTTATTTAATAAATCATGCAATCAATTATTTTTCTGAAAAAAATAATATTTATTGAAGTAAGCATAAAATAAATAGCCTGATTATAAGTGGCTACATTGAAAATAGAAGCTTTGTTTTATAAAATAATCAGATTGACTATTTAAAAAATAAAATGAATAATCTAAATCCTCAAACTAAATCTAAAAGCATAGAAAAAGAGATGCTTTAAATAATAAAATAAATATTTAAAACTATAAAATTGATTATAAAAAAGATCTAAATACCTAAACTCGCTCTAAAATTGAACACAAAGATGAAAACATATATAAAATTATTTTTTAGATTTATATTTAGATTTAGGATTATTAAATAAACTAGAAACTAAATAAATTAAATGCTTTATTAAAAAGTAAATAAACATTTTTATAGTCATTTTTCACAAGGAAGCAAAAACATAAAAATCATTAAATATACATTTTACTTATTTTTTAGATATAAACAGCATTAAATGAATATAAAAAAGGTTTTTAAAATACTTTAAACTTAAATAAATTTTCTAAAGGTATAAAGATGCAAATATCTAAAATATTATTTTAAAGCTGTTCTTTTATAGATAAATTGTAAATAAAATATAAGCTAAAGGCTAATCTGTCAAAATAATCTCTGTGATTAGATAATAAATGAATACATAAATAAATAAATGTGGATAATTTACAACATAAAAATGAAAAAAAAACATTTTAGCATATTTCCTAAAATTAATTAATTAATTAATTATCTGGCAATTTATTTAATTAGTTTTTGTTATTGCATTTTAAAAGCAGAAAAAATAAAAGAGAATATTTTTATAATATGAAATTTTTAACTGAAAATGAAATAAATGAGAAAATTAACTATTATTATGTATATTTATTTTGAACAAACATCATTTTTCTAAGCTTACTAGCTAAGATTCTTCTTCATAAATTAAATATAAATGAACTTTTTAATTTTCATAATATATATTTCTCTTATAATATATTTTTTTATTAATAAACAAATTTAATTTAAGAGGCAAAAATTGCTTTTTTCACTGATGTAGGTGGTGGTTACTTCTTATCTAGATTACGTAGTAACATTGGTTTATATTTGGGTTTAACAGGTGCAAGACTTAAAGGAAAAGAATTAGTTGCAACAGGTGTTGCTAATTACTATGTACCAAGAAATAAACTTGATGCTCTTGAAGAAGAAGTCAAATCAAGCTTAAATTAAAATAGCACACCTAATGATATTAAAAATATTGTTGCAAAATATGCTGAATAGGTTCCTTTAACTTTTTCTAATGAAGAAGAGATCAAGCAACTCTTTAACGGTGAAACCTTTTAATCTATTTATTAAAACATCTAATCTTCAACCTCTGAATTTGGTTAATCAGTAGCTAAGTTGATTAATCAATAGAATGCTATTTCTCTCAGAATCATTTTTGAACAAATTAAAAGAGGTAAAAAACTCAATCTCAAGGAAAACTTTGTCTCAGATTTCCGTTTGACATAAAGGTAATTAATTAATTAATTAGTTAGTTAATTTTTTTTTGCCTAAAATTTAAAATATACTTTCAAAAGCTTAGTAATTAATTAAATAAAGAAATTATTTTGTAAAAAGTATAAATTGAAAGAATTAACTCATTAAAAATTAGTTATTTATTAAAAAATTTAGCAATTAAACAAAATAAATTTAATGAATTATAACAAAATTAATTTATTTAATTAGATTTACAGAGGATAATGACTTCTTTGAAGGTATTAGAACAGTTTTAATTGATAGATCTGATACTCCTAATTGGACTTATAAATCTCCTTTGGATGTCCCTTAAACTCTAATTGACTAATACTTTGCTCCTCTTCCTTATGAAAAAGAACTAAAAATTTGAAAACTTTAAGAAAACTAAATAAATTAAATTAATTGATTTTTTTTACATTTTGTTTGCATTAAAATATGTTATTATGGCATGTAAGCAAGCTATAGGTAGCTAGCAATTAAACTAAAAAAAAAAATTAACTATCTTATCAAAATAATTAAAATTTTCCATATTTTTTAAGTAATTATTTTTAATTTTTTATTAATACAATGTAACCTGTTTTGACTTGACACATACAAGAGCTTATAATTTGTACAAAATATTAAGGTGTTAAATTTTGATATTTTTTAGAACTGCTTAATTAATTTTAAATCATTTTTTTAATTTTTGAGTTATAGTTTAGATTTTCTATTAAATAAATTTGTTAAAAATAACTAACTTAAAATTAAATGGTTATACTGAAGATAAAATGATAAAATATTAAAAATCTATTATAAAATAAGTAAAAACAGTTTATGAATAATTAATTTTGCAGTTAATTAATAGCATATAATAGTTATCCATAAATACAATTAATATAAATTTGTTATGTTATTATCTTATATAAAATCTTAAGAAAACAAGACTAATCGATTGATTATTATATGTAAACAAAAACTTCTTTCTAGACTTAAGGAAAAAATAATGTATTGAATTCAATTAATAATCCATTTCAATTGAATATATAATGTGACCATAAATAAAATATAACTAATGTTGCTAAGCTTAATTGCTGTTAACTTATTGTGCATTTTTATTTAATTTTTTATTAATCATATAAAAAAAGTTTATTTTAATATTAATATTAAAAGCAATTAATATTCTATTCTTTTTATTTATTTAAAGATATAACTAAAAAATTATATAAAAAGTTAAAAAATATATTTGTATTTGTTAGCTTTTTCGCTTGTAAGTAAAAAATGTAAAATAGATAATGGACTTAAAATTTTAGATTTTTAAAAATTAATAATTTTACAAAAAAAAAGTAAGCTAATAAATCTAAATAACAATAATAAAATTTAAATGCATAGATAGAATGATTGAAATTAGTTTACGATTTTACAAAAATAAATAAATGATTTACTAAAGAATATATTAATTTGTTTTAGATTTTATTTTGTTTGGACCAAGAAGATATTTACAAATAAATTAGAGAGAGAATGACAATATGATTTGAGTATGAAGCATGTGTTTGAATGTAAGTTTTACATAATCTGATTTTTTATTGTCAAAATCTTTCTAGAACAATAAATAGATTACAGTACACAGATTTTGTATAAGATCAGTGAAAAAAAATTATAAAAATAATAACAACCACTAACCACTGATAGATGATTATTAACTTCCTTAATGTGAAAAATACTTAGATTCAAGAATTTGATTTAGCAAGCTTGAATTGATTTAGAAAAGAAAGTAATTTATTTATTTATTTATTTAATTAATTAATTAGTATTTGTATACTTTATTCACTGATTTTTTGCATAAAAAGGAAAAAAAATAAAGAAATTAATTAGAATAAGAAGATTTATTGATCAAATAAGTTTTGAATTCAGTAGATTTTTTGGTAAACCAGTATTTTGTAATTAAATTTAATGTAATCTAATTAAATAATTTGATAAATTAGTTAAACAAACTAATTAGATCTGTTTTAAATCATATATTTTTCCTATTTTTATCATAATATAGTCAGCGGTATCATTTAATATCTTTCCTGAATATTGTTAAATGTTCGTTCTAGAAAAAAAGTAGTATTTTTTTAAACATCAGCTTTAAATCAAAGTTGGATATGTCCACAATAAAATCTGCTCTTTTTTTGAAATAGAATTCAATATTTACAATACAATACAATACAAACTTAATAAATTAATTCAATTATTAATAAATATTCAATGCATTTTTCTTAAATTAATTCTTTTAAAACAAAAAAACTTTTCAAAAATTTTATTTATTAATAAATAGATATCCTCAATCTAATTGGCCACAACCTATGAATGAGTAAACAAGGAATTACGGTAATATGAATATAATATTTGGTTAAATCAAATATTATTGAAATACTATGAAAATAAATCTTGATGAGATTTTTTGATTAGCAATCAGTATTATTAATAGGCTTTTAAGATTTATTTAATAATTTAATAGACAGCTTTTAGTTTACTTTTGCTAAATATTTCTTTTAGATATTATTTATTCTCTCAAACACATTAGAATGATGACGCAAGATAAAGAGAAATTGTGTTATTTGAATTTAAATCTTATTTAAAATAGAAAATATCAGATAATTAATTTAATCTGTGTTAATTTTAATTACACATTTATTCATTACACAAATGTTTTAGTTATTAATTATTAATTTATTCATTTATGTATTTGTAGTCTTCCTTGCTTCCTTGCTTATCATAGATTAATTCAAATATCTCGAAATTCTAAGCTTTAATTAAATTAATTATCAATTATTTCTTTTCAGATTTTTGTAATTAAATGCAAATCTGATCAAATACAATTAAAATATGTTGTTATTTCAGTTTCCTAAGGACATTTTTTTATTATTATATGAACATTACTACAGTTTGCTTTTGCTATTCATGAGTATAATAAATATTTGCTTTGCTTTACTTTGTTTACAAAATGAAATAGAAGTATTAACTTAATTCACATTTTTAAAAATAAAAATTAAGAAGTGTAAGCACAAATATTTATTCTTTTATTTTTTTTTGGCTTTTGATAAATATCAAAATATTGAGAAGAGAAAAACAATAAAAGTGAAATTTTAAGATTGTTTGGTAGCATTTAATAATTAAAAATAATATACTTAGCTCTTGAAAAAAATGCTTCAATTTTAAATGTTCTAATATAAATAATATGATCGTTTGTAAATAATATTTTTGAATATAGTTTACTTCAGTTATAATAAATGTATTTTTTAATCGTAGTTAGATTCCTATTTATTTTGTCAGATTTCCCTAACGCATATATATTTTATTTATTTATTTATTTTTTAAAGAGAACATTTTGGTTATAAACGCAAATAGTTTATTCTAAATTAAATTTACTATATAGCAGTTATTTAGTAACTTAATCAATTAACACGAAAAGGACCAAGCGTAACTCAAATCTAAAGAGCTTACAAGCACAATATTCATAGTAATTAACTGTTATATACAATATTATAAGCAAAAACACTATGCTTACAGATTTATTTTCAAATTTAAATGCAAATTAAGTGAAGATAGTAAGCACATTCTAATTAAATTTAAATTTGTTAATAGCCAGTCAGTCAACTTGTATGCATGCTTATTAACTAACAATCAAACAGCTTATATTTATCAAATACAAATTTTTCTTTTTGCAAAGATTTTTAAATAAATCTGTAGAACTAATTAGTTGCTCCTAAAAAATTAAACTAATTGTCAAAAAGATAGAACAGCCTTTTTTTATCTTTAACAATCTGTAAATTTGTAAGATTATTTCTAAAAAAAATAAACAAAAATAGATTTTAAATGTAATATAAATCAAACAGAGAAAAAATGCACATCAATTTATGGTTAAAGCCAATAATCATATTTACCTTTTTTATTTAAAATCAAGTTTATCAAAAATAATTTTCTTGTTTTTGTTTAAAACCCATACAATTTAATTGACATATCAAACCTTAATAACTTTACTTAAAATATTATCGAAAATAAATTCATGTAAAGTAATTTATCTATTCTGATAAAAGATTTAAAAATTAAATGTAGAATTGATTGATAGATGGAAGGTTCTATCTGTTTGCTTTTTATTTGTTTATTTGTTTTATTTGATTAGAATAAAATATAAATAAATATAGGTTTGAGTTGACACTTATTCAAACTTATTAGTAAAGAGAGTAATAATAGATTGGAACATATGTTAGCTTGATAGCTATTTAGATAGATTGAATAAGAATATCAAATAACTATCAAAAAAGATACTTCTTTAATTTTAGTTTTGGATTATATTGATTTGAATTAAAATAGATAGACTATAACAAAACTAGACCTAAATTTTCTGTAAATTTAGCAATTGTGCTGACTTATCCACTTTCAAAAACTAAAAAATATCATTTATGTATTAGTAAATGACTGCAATCTCTCCTTTGATATTTATCAGCCATTAATTTAAAATTTAAATGTTTTTCCCCCTTTTAATTTAGAGTTTTAATTTGAGAATAATTAGAGTTTTGAATGCAAACGAAGAAAGAATTATAATTATCATTCTTATTAATTGTGTATTTCCTTTACTCAATAATAAAATCATTCGTGTATGTTTTTACAAGTAAATATATCTAATTATATTTATATTTCTTATTATTATAATAAATAAATAATCTTTGTTTTGTGAGGTAGCTAAGGATTTAATTAGAATCATACATTCAAATTTGTGAAATTGTAAGCAATCCCAATCAATTCAATTTATTATAAATTTCTTTGCTTACTTAAAAATTTCTAAAAATAAATATCTTTATCAAACCTGAAGCTTATTGATTGAAGGACATTCAATTTTGATTGATTTTAAATCTTTTTCTCAAAGTTTTAAAAAAATAATATCCTTTTTTTAGTAATTAACTTACAAAATATCATATTATCCCTTTTTATCATTTGTTAAGAAATTATCTAAGAAATTCTTACAGATGTTTCTTTGTAATATAGCAATCTTTTATCTTTTCGAACAAGGTAAAAAACAAGAAAGAAACAACAAACTCCCCAATACAATTTAAAATTTCACCTTTAAATTCTTTGATTTCCAAACCAACATACCAAGAAGGCTATTTTGGCTAACAAGATGCATGCTTATTTTATTTTAAGTATTTGAGTTTTATGACCTTACATATACAATCGAGAATTATGTAAATAATGTGGAAAATTCTAAAAATCATAAAAAAATATAAATATTTAGTAAAGCATAAAAAAATCGCATTTTTATGCAAATTACATACAGATTTTAATCTTAAAATAAATTGGGAAAAGAAAAAAATAAATAAATTAAAAGAAAAATTTTACACAAGACACAAACCCATTCAATTAATTTATTAATTTAATAAAAAAAGTGTATTGAATTTCGAAATGTATAAATAAATACAAAGAAAGAAGTAAATATACTTTCATTCAATGATAATTAATTAATAATAATTGATAAATAAAAAAAATCAATAAGGCTAGACAGACCGACAGAGATAGATAGATAAACAGTAAATAACAAAGGAAATCGATTAATTATAAAAAGAAAGTGGGAAATTAATATAATTAATAAATATTAAAATCATAAAAATTTCCTAGAATAAACTCACAAAAAAAGAGAAAGCAAAGGTAATCAATAATAACAAAAAATATATACATACATACAGCTACTCCTAAGCATTGAAATTAAAGCAGATTATTAATCAATCAAGGAATAATAATAAAAGCAAACATATAGTTGAAATACAAATAAAAACCATAGTAAACAAACCTCAAATATATTGTACTAAACAATTAATATTTATAGCGAAGACAGACTGAAATGGGATTTAACAACTCCAAAGTTGTAAGAGTTAGTTTTTCTTTACTTTTCTTATTTCTTATAATGAATGAGAGCATCTATCATTATTAATTAATTAATTAAATGCTCTCAAACATTATCGCGTGATTAAACCTAATCTATTTTTTTAAATATAGCTTAGTCCTTACTTGGAAGATAAAATCATGGGCGTCTTTAAAAAGATTGACACTGACGGCTCAGGCACCATTGATAAAGATGAAACAATAAAATTCTGGTAAATAAATAATCATATTTTACTAAGATTTATTTGCTTGATTATCTATCTGCTTTCCTCAGCTATTTTTACTAAAAATTAAAGTTTTTTTGAAAGGTCCAAATACTAACAAATTCAAATTAACAATTTTCAATTATTTTTTGCTGCATTTAACTACAAAGAAACAAAGTAAGTAAGTAAGCAAAACAATCAGCAAACAAATAAATAATTATGCAAAAAGATAAAAAAATATATTGTTTAATACATCTAACAAAGAAAGCAAGCAGCACATTTAAAAATAGAATTGAAAAAAAATTAGAAAATTGATAAAAAAATATTTATTTTTCATAGATTGTTTGGTTATTAATTAATTCACTAATTTACTAATTTAACAAGCAAATCCCTTCTTTAAAAAAGAAATCGAACCAATCAATTAATTATTTCATCTATTTTTTAAAATCAATTATAGGAAATCCAATTTTGCTAAAGTTAATACCGAAGAATTATTCAAGGCAGTCGACCTCGATAACAACGGTACCATCTCACAAGATGAGTGGCTTGAGTTCTGGTAAGAAGTGAAGAGAGTTGGACATTCTGAATAAGAAATCGAAGACGAAGTAATAATCAATTATTTATCAATATTTTTATAATTTTTTTCTTATTAATTAAATACTAAATTATTTTTATAATCAATTATAGCTTGAGAATTTATTGGAAGGTTTCTCATGGGTTAGTTTCAATAATGTAGAAGATGCTTCTAGACGTTGCCACAAATGAAAAATACAAAATTTATGAAATAAAATAAATAACTCAATTGACAAACCTGATAACTAACTAACAAATAATTAAAAAATATAATAATAATAACAATAAATAAATAATTCTAATTATTTAAAATAACTCATAAACAATTTAAAATCTAACTAGTTATATATCAATCAACGGACAAATGTTCTCTTTCAATCTATCATTCATGCTCTCAATCACAAAACCAAATCTATTCTTTTCTAATCCAATCCAATCCAATCTAACCTAACATACATACATAATTACAAATCTTTTTAAGAAATCAAAATTTTAAATCAAATCCTACCTTCAAACCAACCAAACTACTAACTAACAAACAAGGAAATCAAAATTCACTCAAAATCTAATTAAACTGCTACAAACAAAAAGCCCTACTAAAAATAAACCCTTTTTCAATTTTTAATAAAAAGCATGAATTTTATAAATGCCATTTCAGCTAAATTTCAGTAATAAATTTTAGGAATATTAATAAAAAAAGAGAATAATCTACAAAATTAAGGATTAAGAATATATTAAAATGCTTTTTCGATATTAGATGCATTAATTCGAAAGTATTTATTGCTAATATAAGCAAAAAGATAGATAAAACTAGTTTTAATATTGATATAAAGATGGAAATGGCCAGTTTATCTGCATTTATTTGAAAAGGAGTAGACAGATAGGTTATAGACAGATTGAAACAAAGAAAACAATATAAAATAAAAAAACATAAACAACACAAATTTATATAAGCCATAAAAGTAATAATTTATTCACTGTGTGAACCAATAACTCACTAATTAACTAACTAAAATAAATTAATAAAAAAGATCTCATCATGGATAAATAAATAAATATTATACTAAACTGAATAACTAACTAATTAAATAATAACACTTTTATTATACCTGTAAACAATTTGTAATTGATGTTATTTATTTATCAATTTACTTTCATCTTGTAAATAAATAGAATATATATAATTTGCATAACATCCCAAACTAAATCTTTCTTTAAATAACTATGCAAAATAAACGATTAAGATCTTCAAATAGTTCTAATTATAATTCATTTAATTTCGCCTTTAATTTTCTTTACTTAATCTACACTGAAATTTGTTCTAGGCATATCAGTCTAGAACTAGCGCTTTAGAAAAAACAGAAAATAAATTAAATATTTTAAAACTATTACTAATAAGATAAAGAAAATACTAATAGTCTCTTCTACTGATAATTTTTTTATTTTAAAGAGAAAAATTAGTTCTTAAAAATAAGAATTAATAGTTCTTTTTTTTCCAACAAAATAGCAATAGACTTAATTCTCATAACAAGTTTTTTTTGTAATTAAATCTTATTTAATATGAAAAGTTCTGAATTATCTTTTTCAAATTTTATTATATAAAAAAGTAAAATAACAGAAAGTTTTTATTAATTCTTCTTTTTTTTTGGCTAATTGATTTATTTATTTATTTGCACCTAAAAATTAATCAAAAAATACTGCTTGAAAATATAATCTGTCTTTTTTATAATTTTAATACAAGTAGAAAAATGAGATATGAAATAAATTTCTATTTTTTCAATAATTGATTAGTTCAAGAATAGATAATAATATTTATTGTTAGTAATTTATTTTGGCTCTTTAATTTAATGTCAGATTAAACATTTTCTTAAGATTATAGCAAGTTATTCAATCAAAACATTTTCTAAAGACGTTTGCAAATTATCTAATCAGTAAATTTTTATTATAAAATACTGAAGACTTCACATCTTAACTTCATTCCTATTTTCTTTTGAAAATTAACAAATTTGGATTCATTAAATAATCATTTAAAAGTCAATCTTAACAAATATAATAATAAAACTCCAATTAATAACAAAACAGTAGTTAACTAATTTTTTATCTAATTAAAAGCATGGAATATTAAGTAAATATAAAGCTCTATATTTAATCAATAAGCTATTAAAAAAAAACTTATCAAAACTAACTTGGTTACTTAATTTATCAATTTATATTTACTTGAAATTAATTAAGCAAAAAATTATCTAATATTTTTATGTTATAGAAAAAATTGGTTGAAAATTTAAATTGATTGATTTTATGATTTATTTCCTTAGTTATATCTAGATAGCTAATTTCATCCAAGCACCTATAAATTTTGATCGAAATATATCAGAAAATTTTTAACATTTATATAGCTAAAATATTTCGTTTTTTTGAAGCATCAAAGTTGTTAAAAATGGTACTATCAATCATTAATAAATACTTTTAATTTTAAATAAAAACAATATTTTTGTAAATTGTTGATTTATATATGAATGAAAGAAAAATATTTGACTTTTGTTACAACTTAGGGCTGATTAATTTATGGGTTTAAGTGGCCACAAATAATTGACTAACTAGCTAATTAATTATTTTAAGGAAAATATGATTGTATAATTAATATTTAAGGTAAAAAACTGTATGCAAAACTAAATTCAAGCTAAGAGTATCATCCAACAAGCAATTTGTTTTGATGTAAAAGGAATAAGTTAAAAATCATCTAGAGTATCACAATCTAGAAAAATTAATAAAAAATATACCTATAACTAAAATTACATAAAATATTTCATTTTTGAGAGTTATTTTTTAATTACATATCTAGATAGAAAGTTTATATCTAATTTTTTCGATTAGTCAAGTAAAATTATTTCTAATAAATAAATTCTCAGCCTATTTTAGCTCTTTTTTCTTTTGATATTTCATATTTTATAAAAAGTATATTTTTAAAGCAAGACGTGAATTTGTTATTACTGATTTTTTTTATTTAACCATCAGAACAAGAAATTATTAGATAAATGGATAGAAGAACTAAATTAATTTCTAGTAAGTAATTTGTAATATTTACCTTCTCAATTTTCAAAATTATTCTCTGAAAGCCTGAAATAATTACTATTTTTTTAGCTTGTTTGCAAGACTTAAAAACGAGGTGTAATAATTATGATACACTAAATGCACATTGCTATTTTTTATAAAGTTCTATTTCAAATTAATATATTAATAAATAACAAAGCTCAAAATAAAAAAATTTAATTTTATTCTTTCACTTTTTATTTTAGATTTTTTTATTAGATTTCAAAATACATTAAAATACTATCAAATTACTGATTTTAAAATCCAATCTTCATTAATTGTTAACTATTTAAACTATATTTTTATATTTAAATAAATATTAGTAAAACTCAAAGTATTATTAATTATTAATACTTTAAACAAACATATTTATAATATTCTCTATAAAATATTTTTAAAATGAATTTAAATAAAAGAAAGCTTTAAAATTAAGGTTATTGAGTTTTAATTTATTTATTATTTCTTTTGATAATTTATTTTCTGTATTTACAAAATTAATTAATTTTTAAATCAAAGATTTGTTTGAATTTGAATAATTTATTTTTTATATCTATCTTCTAAGAATTTAATCATAATTTTTAAAATAAAAATATTTTATCAAATTTTATCTATCTATCTAATGTTTGCAAGCAAAGAATAAGTAAATGAATGTTAACTATACTTATATAATTTTAATTATATTTATTTAAATGATTTCGTATTGATTTTGTTATATTTTATATTTAAATTTAATCAATTAAAAGAAAATAAGTTTATATTAAAGTGTTGATTTTAATTAATTAAATGGTTATTAAGGAAAATGATATTTTATTTAAATCAATTTATTGATTTTGATTTTAGTTTAAATATAAATTTAAAAATAAAATTAAATGATGAAAAAGCTAGTAAACTATTCATTTAAAATGTAAGAAATATAGAATAGTCTTATTTGGTAAGATGGATAATGAATGATAAATTAATTAACTCTACTCAAAGTTTTTTTGTGCATATGTAATTCTGAGTAAATTATTAAAACTATATTAATGATAAATGTCAGAAAATAAAGAATTTTAGTATTCTGTTTTTGAATTAATTTCATTAATGATAAATTAGCTAGCAATTGCCTATTTATTTATTTTAAGGATTCAAAATAATTTGAATTATTGGAAGCTAATGCCTCTAAATTAATAAATAGATATATATATAAATAATAATTAAATTAGTGTTAGATGGATGCTTCATGTAAGATGATAATTTATGGATGATGGATACATGATAGTACGTACATTGGTATAACTCAAATTGGACTAAATATGTAATTAATTATCTTCAAATATCAAAACGAAGAAGCATTTATTTATTTATTTAGCTGATTAAGTTAATGTATAAGTTGAGTATTTTTAGCAAAAAAGTGAATTGAAATATTTAATATCAACTATATGCTATTAATATTCAACAGGCTTAAATTTAAATTAGACAGATGATCAATCAACCAAGAATTTATTGCTTGACGTGTTCTTCGCTAACACCCCATTTTTCATAAGGCTTGTTGTAAGGTCTCTTTGAAATGAAATGAGCATATTCCAAAAGGGCACTGTTTATTTTTAATAAAATTAAAATCAAAAATATGAAGTTAAACAAATAGATATAGAAATCAGTCTTTTAAGTTGATTTAAACAAACAAATAAAAAACTAAGTAATTTTTGTAATTGATGAGTGATGATGTTATTTTAAATAAAACAGTATCATCTTATTTTATATTAAATTATAAAAATTAACATTAATTTTTAAATTATTTAAGTAAAAAAACAAACATTAAATTAATCAATCAAAATTAAATTAATTACCCTTCTTCTTCAAGTAAGACTCTAGCCTTGAGCTTCTCAAGTCTGACAAGTTCGGGGTCATAAGCTTCTTCGTTTAATTCGATCATCCTATTTTAAAAATAAGGTTGTAAGCATTTAAGTAATGATAATGATTAGCAAGATGAAGATTTAATTATTAATTCATTATTTTATTTTCTTCTCTTTATAAATAAATAAATATATTTTAATAATGAAATCTTTTGTAAACATATTTAACCAATTTAATTAATCAAGGATACTAATAATTACTTTAGGAATTTATTTTATTTTTTAAATTTATTTCATTAATTAAATTAAAATTTAAAATGTTTTAAAATATCAGTTTTAATTCTCAAATAAAATAATTAATTTTAAGATTCTTTTAAGAAAAAAAATACTTAATTCAAGTATCTAAGATCACTTTTTGTTAATATATTTTGTGTAGGCATTTATTTTAACAATAGTTATTTTTGTAAATGTATGGTTTATTTATTTGTTAATTTCTCTCTCTCTTTGTTTATTTATTCATTCACTTTTTTTTAGTATTTGTTTAAACTATTTCTTACTTAAGATTCTTGAGGACTTGGATTCTGTCGAGTTGAAGGAGAACATCTTGGGGATCGACTAAGGAGTCGTGTTGACCGGTAACGTAGTACTTTTTAAGGATTTCAAATTCAGCTCTGTCTTCATCAGGGATCTAAGCTCTAATGACATTAGCCATATTATCGATTTCTCTCTACATTCTAATTTTGGAATAAAATAGAGTTAGTAAGGTTGAATGAGTAAATAACTTTTTTCAATTGATTAAAATTAAGAGCAATTAAAGCTTTTGGTTTTAAAACATGCGCATTTATGGTTGTATCTTTGGTATTGTTTTGCTTAATATTATTGCTTATTTTTTATTTATAGCATTTTCAGAAGATATTTATCACTACTAAGCACTATTTGAATGAAGCCCATTCTATTTTTTTTGATATGCTTGCAAATTTCATATAAAAATAAATGCAATTTTCCTTTACGATCGAAAGATAGATAGATAGATTGATCAATCAATACTAAATAAATAAATAATACAATAGCTAACTAACTAACAAACTAACTTAGATCTTTGTGCTCATACATAAGTGAATAAATCAATTGAGGAAAGAATAAATTTAAATCCTATTTAGATGTAAAATGAATTACTGAGTAACTTAGTCCTTCATGTTGATGGTGGCACGAGAAGGAACAGACTAAGAATCGATTTAGTTCAAGTAAGCTAAACTTCTCTTGGCAGCTAAGCTATTTATAATTGTATTTAATAGTTTAATATGATTAAATAAAAGTAATTTTAGTAAGAAAATATGGCAACTAAGGAAGTAAAATAAAGGCTCTTTTGCAATTAAATAAAATTTAAAGCCCCTATACTCTTATCCCAGTCACCATATTTGCTATTTTAGCTTTATTAGTCTGTTTTACTTTTAAATCTAGTTGCTAATCTTGAAAACGAAATTTCTGATAGCCATTTCCTAAATTAATTAATTTCCCTTTTTTGTATTATTTTAATTTGCTTTATTATTCTTTGCAAAGATAAACTTCTTCTTATTTCCTTTTATTAAATACTTTTTCTCTTCACAAGCTCAATCAATTATTTATTAATATATAAAATAAATAAATAAACAAATAAATCATATAGCTGATTCAAAGAATCTATTTACTATTTTATTAATTTCAATGAAACAAAAAAATTTATTGACAAAAAGAAAGATGGCACATAAAAAAAACAATCAAAGATATATAGATAGATAGATTCTTAACTAAATTTATTAAATCTTTAATTTTAAATAAAAATAAATAAAAAATCTTAAATTTCTAAACAAATTTAATTCAAAAATTATTTGTTACTCAGATCAAAATTATCAATTATTTTTAAAAATTAATTTTAAAATATTTTTTATTTTCTTTCGTTATATCAAAATTTAAGAATTATTTTCAAGGTTAAAAAACTTCAAAGTAATTTTTTATAATTTTAATTGAATCAAATTTTAGAATTAAAAAATAAAAAAATGAATAGTTTGAATAATGGATGTAAACAATTTCTACATTTTCACCTATTATTCAACAACTAAATTCAAACAAATACGATACAAAAATATTAAATACTTTAATTTAAAAATAAAATATTTTTTAATGATAAATATTGTTATCCTCCTCAAATTTATACAAATAATAGCTTATTTTAGCATACAATTTAAATAATCAATTATTATTACATAGAAAAACTCTAAATTTTAGTTTATAAATATCATTTAAACATAAACAAATAAATATTTTAATTTATAAAAATCTTTTAATGATGATCAAAGTAATAACTCTTAAATATATATAAAAATAATTAATTAAATTACAAAAACCTATGATAATTTTTAAGAATGATAAAATATTGCTTTATCTATTCTTTATATCATAATATTTATTATTTAGGGAAACTGTAAATTTATAATAATTGATTTTGTTTCAATTTTAAACTTTTCTTTCTTAAAATACTATATTAATTCTATAATTTATCAATAATTAAAAAATTAATTTAAGTTATTAACAATATTTGTTTCAATTTAAAAATTAATATTTTCAATGAACATAATTCTTTAAATTAAATAATAAATTAAAATGTTTACAGCACTTTTGATTTTTATTTAATGTTTAATGAATTATTAACTTTTATTGTTATAAGGAAATAAAATAAATAAATATACAAAATTTGCTTAATTTAAGAAAGTAAAATAATCCAATCAGGTTTTTATGATTTAAAATATTTTAAATGAATAATACGAATAAATAGTATAAAATCTACAGCTTATGAATATGATTAATTTATTATTTTTAAAGATAGAGTTAAAAGTGAAGTCTTTGAAATTATTTATCAAGGTTTTGGATAAATTTAAACATATTAATTATTTTAAGATTTTATTGTTTTTAGTTAATTAAATGAAGGAAGTATTTTTAATTTTTTTCCATTTATTTTGTAATGCTTCAATAATCAATTGTATCTTCTAATTCTATTTCCTCTAAAGCCATTTATTGCTAACCAAGTTAAATTTTTTAGGAGAATAAGTTATCTGCAGTGGAAAAACTGCTATAAGTGGTATCTTTTGTGGAGAAACAATTATCGTTAGAAAAGTAATATTGTTATTATTGCATCTTTACATTTTCAGAATCGCTTTCAAGCTAATCTTCATTTTCTTCATCTTCCATTTAGGCTTAATAATTGAGAGTGACGAAAGATTCTTGAAAATTGAACTAATTTTCATGTACCAAAAACTCAGAAATATTCTGGATGTAGGTTTTAAGTTTAAAGTAATCACCTTAAATTTACCAATTACTTGATATTGAATGATTTTGCATTATGCGAGAGAGAGTAGTATAATTTTAGTATGAACCATCTTCGAATTAATTTTACTTATCAGTAATATGCAGAATATATCTAATTAGAAATAAAAAATATTTAGTCTCAAAAAAGTATTTAAAATCTATTTCTTAATAAATTAAATACCTGATACTGTCTACTACTTCTCTTTGAAAATGTTATTCTTTACTCTCAAATGGGTACAGAATTTAACATACTTAACGAATTTCTCCCTCTTGAAGGTTGCTTTTTTCAGTTAAAAAAATAATAATTAAATAAACTATTTATCAATAATTTTTACAAGAAAGCAAAGTTCAGATACTTCTCTTGTTGGGTATCTTTCTCAAATACAACTATTTGTGTACAAAAACCGTTCTTAGTTCCTTCTGTTTTATGTTCGCCTACTCCTGTCAACTCTATTACTTTGTATCCTAAACAAATTAAAAATAAATAATAAGTTCACTTAACATTTAGTTATCTTCTTGTTTTACCATAATTTTAGCATACTTTTTAGGCCCAAATCTAAAACTAGTTTTAGGACCACTCAAATTTGTGATCTTTGTCCCTAAACAATACTCCTTATTCTCTAGAAAATAAAAAATAATTCATTAAATTTCCTTTATTAGAATTGTAAGATTTTACTTAAAGTTAAAATAAACATTAAAATCAGAGTTAGGTGTAGTCACAATCACAAATTGTGGCCTCAAAAAGCCAAACAAATTTTACTCAATAAGAAAAACATCTTCTACTTATAAGTGCTCAATGAGTTCAACTAATATTACAGCATCGTATTGCTAATCCTTCAAATGTTAAATCTTATTCAAAGCACTGCCTTGGTATAGATTTACCACTAGCTAATGGTCTCTCATACTGGCATATTAATTTTATATCAAATCTGGCTTCGCATTCTAAGTTTTATGTTTACTATTTATTTTATAATCGTATTTAAAATTATTTATACTTGGATTCCTTGAGTCTCAAGCAATTAGCCATCGATATCTAAACCATCCTAAAGAATAAAACTAATTAATCTATTCAAATATTATTGAAAAATGATATTTTACTATTTAAGTGAATTACAAACTCCTTGAAAGTCTTTATATGAGCTTGCAAGTATTTGTTCCCATATCCAAAACCTTAATTTATTAACAAAATATGAAATCAGGGTTAATAGCAATCTTAATATCAAATGTGTTTTTAATCTTACTCTTTTACAATTCAGAGCCGATAACTTAGTTGCTACATATTAGTGCCTTTTTTCCCAAACTTTCATACCAATAGGATCCATAAACACATCTGTTTCATAAGCTTCAATCATTTTTAATATAAATAAATTTTTTTCTTTCTTTCTTTTTGTTTATTTGGTAGATTTCTAATTTTTTTTTTTTGCACTTTTAATTATTTTTGAAATTAAAAGAATATCAAATAGCTTAAATAAAAAATCACAAAAAACCGGCTAGTTTTTACTTAGCAAACAAATAAATAAACAAACAATAACTATTTTTGGAAATTTTTTTCTAAAATTTAGCTAATTAAATAACTAAATGCTTAGATATAGCTTGCTAATTTTAGTTTAAACTTTCTAATAAATAGAAATTAATTTTAATATTTGTTTCAAATACTGAAAAATATAATTTTATCTAAATAAAATTAATTGATTATAAATAAAAATAAATTATTTATTCAAAAAGAAAATATGGGTTTAAAAAACATGTCAAAAGATAATAAATAAGCACTCAATCACATAAAGATCTAATTAAGATTTTTATTTTTCAATATTATTAACTTATTTTATTATAGCTCATTTTTAATTGCATATAAGATAGTGTGATTTATTCTTTTAAATTTATAAAAAAAATAAAGTTAAAATAAATCGAAAAAATACTATTTAAATTTTTTTCATTTTATCCAAACATCAATTAAATTAAAGTAAAAAATCTTTTTTTAAAAAGAATTTATTTTATAAATAAAATAATGTACTCATATGATCTAATTAATAATTTAAATTTATTTCTAATATCATTTTTTTTCACCAAATAATTAAATTTTTTAAATCATTAAAACAAACTTTTGAATTAATAATAAGCAAACAACTCATTTTTATCATATTATTTTTTTTTAATAGTTTTTTATAAAATAAAATATCTGATTTATTTAATATAATTAGTATTTCATTAATTTTTCTATTTTTTAAATTATTAAAAGCTTTCATAATTTTGATAGATTAATTTAAATATAGGATTAATATTTTATGTATATAAAATGTGCATGTGTAACAAAAATATGAAAGATAATTTATTTATTTTATTTATAGAAACCATTTACTTATTAAATAATAAGTGATATGAAATACTCCTCTTCATCAAAGGTTTATTTTAGAAATAGCTCAATGAAATATATTTAATTAATTTAATATCTGTCTATCTAATTATTATGATAATCTAACAAATTTTAAAACTAATTTATATATTTACCCATTTATTTGTTTCAATATGATAAAAAAGAAAAATTTTTTTTAAATATTGTTTAATGTGTAATTTTTTATTTCTATTTATCTATCTAACCATTCATCATTAATGTATAAATATAAGCTATTTTGTTGTAAATACATTTTTATTTTTAATTATTTTTATAAAACGTTTAATAAATATTTAGGTTAATTTTTTAAAATTTGAAGATTTAAATATTAAATAAAGAAAAACATAAATAGATAGATGCTTTAATTTTCAAAATATAACTTTTTCAATAAGAAGAAAAATAAGAGATTTTATTTATTAATTAATGGTCTATTCTGACTTATTTGAGTTATAAATGAATGAAGAATGAATATTAAATATCAAAAGGGAGATAGATATATAATATACAAATGAATGAAAAATCTATGTATTTGATTGTATTTGTGAATGACTCTTTATGCATGATTAAAAAAAAGAATGAATTGAATTGAAATAATATTAATAATAATAGTGAATGAAAAGGGTGTGTATGTATGTATATGTGTATTGTGAGATATAATGCAAATTTAAAATTAAAAAGGAATTTTTGCATGAGTATTATGAGTTGTAATTATTATATTAAAATATAATATAGTGATAGTCCTTGTATTAAAGTCAATAAAAAGAAAAATAAAACACTGACTGACTGGTATAACAATACATGGCTAAGAGACTAAATTTTAGATAAGATAACATAGATGTAAAGCTCTCAATTTACGTCAATTTCAATTTTTAATTTCTTTCTTTACAAATAGTATAAAGAGCTTCTGAAAAGAAGAGAGGAGAAGCGTAAGAAGCTTGCTACCAAGAAAAATCCTTTCATATTATGTACACTATTAATTACTATTATTTCTTTCTTTCTTTCACTTTCAGGCTTTTCTCCTTTGATTGAAACAATAGCTACTTTTTAATGCATCAAATCATCCGACTTTATATCAAAAGTATATCTTTAGGGGAAAGTGAATTTTATTTTATAAGGATGATAAAGAGTTTTTAAATAAATCATTTTAAATTTAATGTTTGATTTTAATATTTATCAATAGCGGTTTCTGAAACGGATCATGAGACTTACTCAAAGCTTTATAAATTCAATCCTGATGTAAATAAAAATAATTAGATAGTTTTGATACAATCAAGAACATTCACCTTGGCTTAGGGCATTTATAAAGCAAAAATTTATTAAAATAGGAAATCTTAAATGAATTCAATAAAGGAGGAGGTAGCGATGTAGTCGTAAAGACTAGTTAAAGTGATAAAAAGGCATCACTTTCAATGTCGAAAAGTAGATAGACTGAAACTAAATCTCCCAATAAAAGCAAAATATCAGGTACTTATTATTGTTAGCCAAATAAAGCAATTAAGAGCAGCAAATTTATCAATTGCAGTTTTAGCATTAAGAAAAAATACACATTTTTTAGCATATTATTGATTGCATCATTGTTTATCAATTTGGGTTTATGCTTATTTAATGAAGTGTTTATAATCAAGAATAGCTTTGAAAATTAACTATCTTTTATTATAAAATTAGAAAAAATTTATAGAGAGCAAGAAGAATTTGAAATGGATGACCAACAAATCTTTGAAGGAGATGAATATGAAAATGGAGAAAATGGAGAATTCGAAGAAGGCGATGAAAGCAAATATACATAAATAGTGCAGAATTTATTCAATGAAAAAATGAAAAAACCTGTAAATAAAATTTAAAATGCGTTGTTTGTAGATTAATATGTAGCTGCAGAGCTCGCAAAAATAGTTACAGGAGAATAGGCTATTTCATTCTTCGCTAAGGTATTAATTTCTTAACATTATTATTTCTTTTTACAAAATATTTTATGGATTGCCTGCCATTTGTTGATAAAAATTATGCAATTATAAATATATTATTGCATTCAACGCAACAACAAAAATTAATTGTTTTCTTAATAAACAATATAAATTTTGTTTGATTGATTCTTTCCTTGTTTGTTTGTTATTTTATTAATCAAAATTTTAATTGATTAATTAATTAATTAAAAAATGAAACTCTATGAACAAACAAACAATCAAACAAATATATAAACAAATCATATAGAAAAGTTAATGAATATCTTTCTAATGTTTTTGAAAGCTATGAACATTTTAAACAAGATATTGCATTCATTGACACATATATTTATTTATTCATCCATCCATCTTAAATAATTAATAGATATAATATATTCAATATCTAATTACATTCAAAATATAAACTTTTTTAATTTTACTTCATTTTCAAAATTTTTGAATTTTTGTTAAATAAAAATTATTTGAATTATTTACAATTGGCTTTTAATTTGCTCAGATAATTCATAAAAATCAATTTTAAAAACTCCTTTTATTCTACTTAAGATAGGCCTTTTATTTTATTTTTCAATCATAAAATATATGTTTCATATAGATTATTTATTTATTAATTATTCTTTTAAATTAGTATGGTAACACTACTCCTATTAAATTTATCAATTGCGTTAAAGATGATCAGCATAAACCTGAAGAGTTTAAGCCTTACGACTTAAAAGTTAATAATGTTAGTGAAAATTAAAAGGAACTTACCCTTGATGAATACTACACAATTTCTGCTCATGGTATAGTCCATGTTTTTACAGCAAAAGGAAAAAAAGGTTTGTTTTATTTTAAATTTAAGAAACATTAATAACAATTCTTTTCTTAATTTATCCACAATTAGCATTGGGAAATAGTGATACAAGCACTGAAGTCATCTCACTGTCTGACTGGATGCATGAATCTACCATGTTTAACATTATTACTAATATTTAATTCTTTAAAAACTATGCAATTACAAAAATCTTTAACATTTGGAAAGCCAACGTTCATTATCGTATTTTCTGCAAGACCCGTAAGAAATTAATTCATGACACTTTCATTGCAAAGCCTGCCTTTGCAAACCACCTTATGTCAATTAACCAACACATGTATGAAATACAAAACACTAAGACTGTTTCAAACAGTATCGTCCAAAGCAAGGTAAATATTACTAAATAAATAAATAAATTAAATTAAATAAAACAATTTGTATAAAATTAGATTTGGGACTAAGAAGAATTTAAGCAAGATTAAAAGAAAGCTAGATAAGAAGCTCAGAGAAATTACGAATCTATTGTAGAAAAGGTTATTACTTTAGTAGAAGTAGTATGTAAGGAAGTAGATTAAAGAACAAAGATTAAAGAATAATCTGAAATTGAAGAAGCAAGGTTCGGATAACAAGTTAAATCCAAGCCTAGATACGAAATAGCTTTAGAAGCAAAGGAAAGGGCTTATCTTTTGGAAAGAGCCATTAAAGATAGAGAAAAATTAAGAAACTTTATCCGTTTGGTGGACTATTTGTGTGTCGAGACTCTCGTTCACACTAACCTCATCTCTATGCATACTCTTTTAGAAGAAATGAAGAAGGAAAGAAAGCAAGGTCTGTTTGGTTCAACAGTCATAGTAATTATATTTAATTAATTTTTTAGTCAAATATTTAAGCAATTAAAATTTTATTTTAAAAGTTCGATGTAGCTAAGATGAGCTTCTCTCCCGATGAGAAAGAAGTCACTGATTCTTTAGTTAAGTTACTTGAAGATATGGTTAATACCATGTAAAGCAGCTCTCTAAGAGTTATTCACCATTTCGAATCATACATCAAAAATCTCAGCACAGAAAACATCTGTGATGTTGCTAAAATCATTTTTGACTCAGTTGAATTCTAGTCAATAAAGGAAGAAGTGCTACTCAAAATTTCTACTGACTTTAGAAATGCCCAAAACTATGTCGATGAAAAGTAATTTTAAATCAATTAAACATTAATATAAGAATAATTTAATGCTTTTTTAATTGCCTTTTTATTTTAGATTAAATCAATTTTACAAGAAAGGAATTTTGTTAATTATGTTTATATTTACTTAAAAATAGGTATGAAAAATGCAGACCTGTACATAACTTTAAGACAGAATGGAACTTCGAAGCTTTCAAAGCTGAGGAATAGAAAATTGAAACTATTAAATAGAGAATTACAGAGCTCAATAAGTGGTTGCTCGATATCTAACATTATATTAAGGATGTTGTTTAGGGTGTTGTTCAAATTTAGGGTTCAAAGATTAAGTCTAATTTAGATGACTTCGTTAAGAAGTAGTTGGAACTTATTAGAGTTTATTTGTACGATTAAATGAAAAGAAAGGCTGAATAGTTGTATAAACAATTGTAGCAATACAATGGCAACTTGTCAAAACCTCCCTCCAATACTTTAAAAGATTATGCAACATACATTAATTTCTACAATGAAGTGCTCGATGCTGCCAAAGACAGCAAGTTAGAAAAGAAAAAGCAAGAAATTGAAGAAATGCACTACGAGTTAAAGATCAAGTTTACCAATATTTCTGGCAGCAGCAGCACAAGTGGTGTTGATGAACTGCTTTTAGAAAATATTCAAAATGAATATTAGAAAATAGGTAAATCAATTAAGGAAGCAGACGCTAGTATTAAGGAAAATCAAGCTTCTATGATTAAAAAGTTAGAAAATGACTATCAAAAGTTAATTTAAGATATTAAACAAACTGCTTTATCTGTTAATTAACCAATTCTTTGTTCAGAAGAAACATCTTCAAGTTAAGCTTTGAACTTGTTACAAACAATTAAAATTCAAATTGAAGGTAATCAAAATAAAACTGGTGGCGAATACGGAGGCTTGCAAGGAAAATATAGAAACTTACACTACTATGCATCTCTTATGTAGTTCAATTTACAAGAAACAAGAGATCTTAAAGAATTAGAAGCCAAATATAATGACAGATTCATGTTATGGTCTCACTATGATGAATTCTAAACTAAGGAAGATGAGTGGAAAAAGAATCCTTTCAATCAACTCAACTCTGAAGACGTTGAAAAGGACATGAGAAAATACAAGTAAGGTATTGCCAAACTCAAAATGAATATCCACAATCTTACTACAGAAGAAAAAGATAGAGTCTTGGAATCTTATGAGAAAAAGTAAATTTTGAAAATATTTTTGTTAAAAGATTAATAATTTTTATTTGATGATAATAAGGTACAAGAGCTTTGAAACTAATATGCCAATTATTATTGCTTTGGGTAACAAAGACCTATAAGTTAGACATTGGAAGAAGATATTTGATATATTATAGTTGCCCATTTCACCTGGATAAACATTTACTTTGTTAGATTTAATGAGCTCTAACGCTTCTGAAAAGATTGAAGAAATGGAAGAAATATCTGGAAGAGCTAGTGGTGAAGCAGGTATCGAAAGACAAGTTGATGAAATCAAGAAAAAATGGTAAGAACTAGCCTTCATTGTCATGCCCTACAGAGATTATAAGGATAAGTTTATTTTGGGTACTGTTGAAGATATAATAGCTGCTTTGGATGACCATTAATTAAAAATCCAAACTATGCTTGGTACCAAATACGTTACAGAAATTAGACCTGTTGTTGAAGATTGGGAAAAAAAATTGGTCTTGATTTCTGATATTATTGATGAGTGGTTGTATTGTCAAAGATAATGGATGTATTTGGAAAATATTTTCTCTGCAGAAGATATTTAGAAGTAACTTCCTCAAGAAACTACCAAGTTCATGTAAGTCGACAAGTTCTGGAAAGAAACAATGCTTAAAACAAATAAAAGACCTCTCGTTTAGGATGTAAATTATTTATTTATTTTTATCAAAAGACAAATTAATTTAAAAATATTTATTAAAAAAAGTGTTGTTCGAATGAAGATTTGTTGAAGAAATTCTAAATGTTCAATAAAATGTTGGAAGACATCCAAAAATGCTTAGAAAATTACTTGGAAACAAAGAGAGCTGCCTTCCCTCGTTTTTACTTCTTGTCAAACGATGAATTGCTTGAAATTCTTTCTTAAACAAGAAATCCTCATGCAGTACAAAGTCACTTGAGAAAGTGTTTCGATAACATCAATCGTATTTAATTTACAGAGGAAGACGAATCTAAGGAAATTGTTGGTATGTAATCTGCTGAACCTGAAATTATGCCTGAAAAGGTTCCCTTCTTTGCCAGTGTTTTCGCAGAAGGTGCAGTTGAGCATTGGCTATTCAGAATTTAAGAAATGATGATCAAAACTTTACATGACATTACCAAAAAAGCCTTGTTAGATTACCCAGAAAATGGTTTAGAAAGAAGAGAATGGTTATTTAAGTATCCTGCTCAACCTATTTTAACAGTTGATTAAATAAAATGGACTCAAGGCTGCACAGAAGCAATAGTCAAAATGTCAGAAGGAAAAATGACAGGTTTATCTGAATATAACGAATTCATGAAAGTACTTATAGATCGAATGGTTGACATTGTTAGAGGATAGTTGAATACTCTTGAAAGAACTTTAATGGGTGCCTTGATTGTCATAGATGTCCATGCTAGAGATGTCGTTGCTACTATGACTTAAATGAATATTAGTCATTTAAATGACTTTGAATGGAGCAAGTAGCTCAGATATTATTGGGAAGTTGAAGAAGATAACTGTTTTGTTAAACAAACCAATACAAGATTTAAATACCGTTACGAATATCTTGGTAATGGTCCCAGATTGGTTATTACTCCACTTACAGATAAATGTTATATCACCCTTACTAGTGCAAAGTATCTTTCATATGGTGGTGCACCTGCTGGTCCTGCAGGTACAGGTAAAACTGAAACAACTAAAGATTTGGCTAAAGCCTTAGCTGTATAGTGTGTCGTCTTTAACTGTTCCGACGGTCTTGATTTTAAGACTATGGGTCGTTTCTTCAGTGGTTTGGCCCAATCCGGTGCTTGGGCTTGCTTTGATGAATTTAATCGTATCGATATTGAAGTACTTTCCGTCATTGCTCAACAAATCTTAACAATCCAAGTAGCCATCAGAAGAGATGTAGACACCTTTGAATTCGAAGGAAGAACAATCCCACTTGACCAAAACTTTGGTGTCTTCATTACTATGAATCCTGGTTATGCTGGTCGTACTGAACTTCCTGATAACTTGAAAGCTCTTTTCCGTCCAGTAGCGATGATGATTCCTGGTAATTTCATATTTATTTATTTCAACTCATATTTTGATTTTAAAATTGATTTTTATGTCTAAAATATAATGTAAATATAATCAATAGACAAGATTTTATTTATTTATTTAAATTTTAAATAGTAATAATTATTAATTTTATATTTAACTAATTATATAGATTATAGATTGATTGCAGAAATTATTCTTTTCTCTGAAGGTTTTTCAACAGCTTCTGTTTTAGCCAGAAAAATGGTCAACTTGTATAAACTTTCTTCAGAACAATTAAGTAAATAGGATCACTACGATTTTGGTATGAGAGCAGTAAAGTCTGTCTTAGTTATGGCAGGTGCTTTAAGAAGAAAAGAAGCTTAATTATCTGAAGATATTGTGCTTATTCGTGCCATGAGAGATTCTAATGTTCCTAAATTCTTGGAACACGATTTACCCCTTTTCATGAGCATTATCAGTGATCTCTTCCCTGGAGTTGATATTCCTTATATTGATTATGGTAATCTTTAAAAGGCTATTGAAAACTAATTAGAACTCTAGAACTACTAAAAGCCTGCTAAGTTTATTACTAAAATTATCTAACTTATGGAAACTATCATGGTACGTCACGGTGTCATGGTTGTTGGTATTACAGGAACTGGTAAAACTACAAACATTCACACTTTAGCTAAAGCTATGTACTAGTTAGAGAAAGAAGGCTCTACTGATTATTATCACAAATAAGTTAAACTTGAAAGACTTAATCCTAAATCAGTCACTATGAATGAGCTCTTCGGTTACACTAACATCTTAACCAACGAATGGACTGATGGTATCGCAGCTAAAATCATCAGAGATAATGTCGCAGAAGGAACAGATTTAAAGAAGTGGGTTATTTTTGATGGTCCTGTCGATGCTCTTTGGATTGAAAATATGAATACAGTCTTGGATGATAATAAAGTAAATTTTATTTTTATTTTTGGTTTGAGAAAAAATTTATTAATTCATAATTATTAAATAGATGCTTTGTCTGAATAATGGTTAGAGAATTAAATTGCCTGCTACTTTTACTATGATGTTTGAAGTTCAAGATTTAGCTGTCGCCTCACCTGCTACTGTTTCCAGATGTGGTATGGTTTACATGGAACCTGTTCATCTTGGTTGGGAGCCTATTTTAGATACCTGGTGCATTAAGTTCAAGGAACACTTGCATAAGGATAAAGAAGGCAAATCACCTTAATATGTTACAACTCTAGTTGAAAAAATTAGAAACTTTTTCAAGGATAACTTTAAATTCCTAAGAAATGATTGTAAAGAAGTCATTCCAACTGTTGAAAATAACTTAGTAAATTTTTGCTTTCAAAAATTAAATTTTCTTATTTATTTATGATTATTAATTTTTATTAAAATAGGTTCAATCTTGCTTGAATTTTGTTGAAATTGTTTATCACGAATGTGCTGAAGTTCACAACTTTGAAAAGATGACAAACAACGAAGCCGATCATTTATGCTCAATGATTTTCATATTTTCATTTATATGGTCTGCTGGTGGTAATCTCCATGACTCAAGTCGTTAGAAATTCTCTCAAACAATTAAGGGTAAAATCTTGAAGATCTTATCTGGGTTCCCCTTTGATGGTGAAGTATTTGATTACTACATCAACATTGAAAAGAAAGAATTCAAGCCATGGACTGAATTAATTACTGAATTTAAGTTCAACTTAGAAACACCTTATTTCAATATCCTAGTCCCAACTGCAGATACAGTCAAATATAAAAATTTACTTTCTAAATTACTTAAAAACAATAGAAATGTTCTTCTATCAGGAGAAACAGGTACAGGAAAGTCAGTTATTATCTAAGAATTCTTGACAACCCTCTCTCAAGACCACTTTGTCAATTCAGTTCTCAACTTCTCTGCCCAAACTAAATCTTAAAACCTCCAAGATCTTTTCATGGACAAAGATAAATTCTAAAGAAAGAAAAAAGATTTATTAGGTCCTCCTGCTGGTAAAAAAATGATTGTATTCATTGATGACGTTAATATGCCTGCATTAGAATAGTACGGTGCTCAACCTCCTAATGAGCTTTTACGTCAAATTATTGATCAGGGTGGTTTCTACGATCTAAAGAAACTCTATTTTACAAATATCAAAGACTGCAGTTTTATTGTTGCTTGTGGTCCTCCTGATGGTGGTCGTAACCCAGTAACTCCTCGTCTTTTCAGACATTTCAATATGCTTTGGGCTCCAGAATTGAGCTAGAGATCTATGGAAACAATTTTTATGCACATTCTTAAAGGTTTCCTAGCAGAATCTCCCTATAAAGGTTTAGATAAATTGGCTCCTTAAATCGTAAAAACAACTATAGACATGTATTTGAACATGAAACAAAAGTTCTTGCCAACACCCAAAAAGTGCCATTACACATTTAACTTGAGAGATATTTCCAAAGTTTTCTAAGGTATACTCTAAGTAAAGTTTGAAAATTGCTAAGACAAGGAAACCCTCCTCTCTTTATGGGCACATGAATGTCAAAGAGTTTTTGCTGATCGTCTTGTAGATGACCAAGATAAGAGTGCTTTCTTAGAGTATTTAGTAACTCCTCTTACCGAACACTTCCAGTTAGAATGGGACAAACCACATCTATCATCCATTCTATTCGGTGATTATGCTAACAATTAGAGACTCTACGTTAAAATTGAAGAGAATTTTACTAAGCTAGGAGAAAAGGTATTGATTAAAATAAATTAAAAAAAATCATTTAATTTGTTTAAAATGATATTTAATAAATTTAACTAAAAATCTTATTTTTACAATAAAAAAGCTTAACAGAGACTACTTGTAACACTATAATAATACAAATACTCAGAAATAAATGAACTTAGTCTTTTTCTAAGATGCCTTAATGCACTTGACAAGAATTTGCAGAATTATTAGATAGCCAAGAGGTAACTCACTGTTGATTGGTGTTGGTGGTTCCGGTAGATAGAGTTTAACAAGAATGGCTACATTCATTTGTTAATATAACTGCTTCTCAATTGAAATAGCAAAGAACTACAAAGAACCTCAATGGAAAGATGACTTAAAGAAACTCTTGAAAAACGCTGGTGCAAAGAATACTCCTCAAGTTTTCTTATTCAGTGATACCTAGATTGTTATGGAATCTTTCTTAGAAGATATAAATAATATTTTAAACACAGGAGAAGTACCAAACTTATGGGCACCTGAAGATCTAGAAGAAATTATTGGAGAAATGAGACCTCTAGTCAAAGAAGCTAAAATTGATGAAACTCGTGATAAAATGCTCAAGTATTTTGTTTAGTTAGTAAGAGAAAACCTCCATATTGTACTAACATTTTCACCAGTTGGTGATAAATTGCGTAATCGTTGCCGTTAATTCCCTTCAATTATCAACTGTTGTGGTATTGATTGGTTTGACAAGGTAAATAATAAATTTATTTTTTTATTTTCATTTCTTATATAAAAATTTTCTTAACATATTATTAACAATTTATCATAAAATTAAATCAACAGTGGCCTGAAGATGCTCTTCAATCTGTCGCTGATAGTTAATACAGAGCTCAAGATAAGTTAGGAATATAAGATTATATACAAAATCTTTCAAATATTTCTGTGATAATTCATTAGAGTGTATAAGATAAATCAGTAGAGTTTTATGAATAGTTAAGAAGACATAATTACGTAACTCCTACAAGTTATTTAGAATTAATTAAATTGTACATCGAAATGATGAAAGAGCAATAAGGTATCCTTCCTATGAAGATTTAGAAATATACTGTTGGTCTTTAGACTTTGGATGAAGCTAACAAGGAAGTAGCCAATCTTCAATAAAAAATTATTGCTTTCTAGCCTGAATTAGAAAGAAGTGCTAAGGAAAATGCTATTCTTGTCAAAGAAATTGAAGGAAAGAAAGAAATAGCTGCAGTAGAATAAGAAAAATGTAAATAAGAAACAGATGCTGCTTAGATAATTAGAGATGATGTCAATTCTCAGCGTTAAGTCTGTAAGAAAGAACTTGATGAAGCCTTGCCTATTCTTGAACAGGCTAATAATGCAGTCAAAAAAATTGATAAGAAAATGACAGATGAAATGAAATCTTTCAAATAACCTCCTGCAATGGTCGGTGTTGTTATGAATGCAGTATGCTTATTATTCAACGAAAAAGAAGATTGGGATTCTGCTAAGAAACTGCTCGGTAATATGAAATTCTTAGATAGTTTGGTTGAATTTAAACCTGAAACAGTTCCCGAAAAAAGATGGTAAAAATTAAGAGCTAATTATTTGAATGACCCTAACTTCACTAAAGAAAAAGTCTCAAATATCTCATTGGCAGCAACATCTTTGCTAATTTGGGTTCTAGCCATTGAAAAGTTCGCTAAGGTACAGAAAATTGTTGCTCCTAAAGAAGCTGCTCTCAAAGAAGCTGAAGCCAAATTAAAGGTAAAAAAGCTTTTGATTTTTTGATTTAATAAAATAAATAATATATTTTGAAAAAACAGAAACAAAAAATAAGATCAAATAAATAAAATATTTAATAAAATTAATCAAATAACAAATAAAATTTATATTAAAATTGAAATTTTTTAAATTGATATTATGAAGATTATGCCTTTTAGTAATTATTTTAAATGTCATTTTTAACAAACAATAGGTCGTCGAAGCTTAACTTTATGAGAAAGAATCAGCCTTAAGAGAAATTTAGGAAACTGTGCAAGACTTAGAAAAGAAATATGAAATGTCTGTTAGAAAAGCAGAAATGCTAAAATAACAAAAGTAAACTGCAGAAATTTAGTGTGGCAGAGCAGAAAAGCTAGTCAGTGGTTTGGCTGGTGAATCAGAAAGATGGAAAATCTCTAAGAAGATACTAGAAGATGATTTTCAAAACATTATTGGTAATATGATCCTTGCTGCTGCTAGTATTGCTTACTTGGGTCCTTTTGTTTTTAACTATAGAAAAGAATTACTTTAACAATGGATTCAAGAATGTATTAAATTACAAATTCCCGTTGCTAAAGATTTCAGTCTTCAACGTATTCTCACTGAAGAAGTACAAATCAGAGAATGGTAAGAAAATGGTCTCCCTGCAGATGACCTTTCAGTTGAAAACGGTATTTTCATCTTTAATTGCAAGAGATGGCCTCTTGTTATTGATCCTTAAGGTTAAGCCAATAGATGGATCAAAAATTTAGGTGCTGACAATAATCTATAGACAACTAAGTTAACAGAGCCTAATTTCTTAAAAACTCTTGAAAATGCTATCAGATTTGGTTAGCCTGTCTTGTTAGAAAACATAGAAGAGGATCTAGATCCAGCTCTGGAGCCCATCTTACTCAAGCAAACTTTCAAGAAGAACGGTTAGCAAACTCTTCGTTTGGGAGATCAAGATGTTCCTTACAACAAAGATTTCAAATTCTATATGACTACTAAATTGCCTAATCCCCATTACATTCCTGAAATTTGTATTAAAACTACTATTATTAACTTCACCGTCACTCCTCAAGGTCTTGAAGACCAACTTCTAGTCGAAGTCGTTCGCCATGAAGAAGCACAATTAGAAGAAAAACGTGTCTCTTTAATTATCTCAGTCTCTCAGGATAAGCGTTAACTACAAGAATTAGAAGACAGAGTAATTAAAATTACTTTTATTAAAAAAAGATAAGTTATTTTTCTTATTATTAAATATTTTTTTACTAATTAATCAAATAGATTTTGAAGTTAATCAGTGAAGCCTAAGCTCAAAATAAGATCTTAGAAGATGAAGAGCTTATTAATACTTTAGATTAATCTAAGACTACTTCTTAAACTGTTAACTAGCGTATTGAATAATCTAAAAAAACCTAAATAGAAATTAATCAAACAAGAGAATTGTACAGACCTATTGCAAAGAGAGGATCAGTGCTATATTTCGTTATTGCTGGTCTTTCAAATATTGATCCTATGTATTAATACTCTCTTGAATTCTTTATAAAACTCTTTAAGCTTCGTCTAGACAAAGCTGAAAACCCACCTGAATTGTCAGCAAGATTGGCTGCCTTGCTAGATGATATTACAAAGTCTTTCTATATTAACATCTGTAGAGGTCTTTTCGAAAAAGATAAACTCCTTTTCTCCTTCCTTATATCTACATCAATTAATCTAGAAAGTAAAGCAATCAACATTAGAGATTGGAATTACTTTATTAAAGGTCCAACCTAAGAACCTTAAATAGATGAAAGTTTAATCCCAACAATCTTCACTCATAAATAGTTCATATAATTAACTGCCTTATCAGATCTCGGTCTTGCATACAAACCCATCTCTCCCTCACTTTAAGACTCCTCAGACAGGTATTTGTGGGGACAAATTATGGAGTCAAAAGACCCTTGGGTAACTAACTAACTAACTTACATACTTTATTTTTTACTATTTCAATTAAATTTTAAATTGAATAAATAAATTTCAAAATGATATTAATTTTAAATTGATTGTTAATAAAATAGAAATGCTAATTCCCTGATAAATTACAAAACCTAGACCCCTTCTAGAAAATGCTCTTGTTAAAGCAAATGAGAGAAGAAAAACTTATTTCTTTTGTAAGATATTATGTTCACGAAACATTGGGAGAGCTGTTCACGAAATCACCTCTTTTCGATTTGAAGGGTTCATTTGCTGATTCAACATGCACAACTCCTATTATATTCGTTTTATCTCCTGGTGCAGATCCTATTGCCTACTTGTACTAACTTGCTAAGGAAAAAGATTTTGATTAGAGATTAAAGAGTTTATCTCTTGGTTAAGGTTAGGGAGAAATTGCTAAAGAAATGATAAAGACAGGAAGACGTAACGGAGATTGGGTTTGCTTATAGAACTGTCACTTGGCTGTATCATGGATGACTGAATTAGAAAGAATCTAAGAAATGTAAGTTGAAGCAGATACACATCCAGAATACAGACTATGGTTAACTTCCATGCCCACCACTAAATTCCCTGTTCCAGTCTTACAAGTAAATATAAATAAAATTTAATAAATTATTTTTCAATAAGGAACAAACCATATCAGATGAATTTTATAATTCTTTATAAATTCAAAAATTTATAATAAATTTAATATTTAATTAAATATATTTTTATTTTTAAAGAGCGGTATTAAATTGACAAATGAACCTCCTAAAGGTTTGAAAGCCAACTTAGGAAGAACATTTAATGAAGTAGATGAAAAAGAATATGAAAGCTGCACTAAAAGAACAGAATACTAAAAGTTACTCTTCTCATTAGGTTTCTTCCATGCAGTTATTCTAGAAAGAAGAAAATTCGGTGCTATTGGTTGGAATATTCCTTACGAGTGGATGAATTCAGATTTTGAAACATGTCAAAAGCAACTTATGGTAATATTTTTTTATTTTTTACTAATTAATTGTTTTCTTTTACAAAAATACTTTTATTGCTTAAAAATGCTCTTCGAATATCTCATTTAATGTTTAAAATATTCATCCAATTTTTTATTTTAATTTTAAGTTGTAAATTCTGGAAAAATTCCTTCGTTTTTATTTATCAAAAACAAAAACAAAAACAAAAATTAAAATTATTTTTAATAGCTGTTTAAAATTACTTTAATTGAAAAATATTTTATTTATTAATCTTAAAGATTTATTTGAATGAGTAACCTGAAATTCCTTGGGAGACTTTGAATTATTTGATTTCTGAAATCAATTATGGTGGTAGAGTTACTGATGATAAGGATGTTAGATTGATTACAGCTCTTTTGAGAAAATACTTCAATCCAAAGATTATGGGTGAAAAGTTTGATTTCTCTCAGTCAGGTATTTATCACTCACCAATTGAACTATAATTGTCAGCTGTTAGAGGCTACATAGATTCGTTCCCAACAGAAGACGATCCTGAAGTTTTCGGATTGCACACAAATGCTAACATTACTTTTGAATAGAAGACAGTAAAAGAATTCTTTGATACACTGCTTTTAGGATAGCCCAGAAGCGCAGGAAAGAGTGCTTCAGGAGAAACTCCTGATGATATTGTTTTCAAATTAGCAGATAAAATTTTAAATGAAATTCCAGATACTCTAGACCAAATACGTGTTGAGAATCCTAACTCTCTGGATGTGTTCAGATACCAAGAAGTTCTTCAATTCAATCGTTTGATAAGCACAATTAAAAAAACTCTTGCAGAATTAAAGAAAGCCATTAAAGGTTTGGTTGTCATGTCAATTACTCTAGAAAAAATGTTCGATTCCTTCCTGCTCAAGAGAGTACCTGCTAATTGGGAAAAGGTCGCATATCCTTCTCTGAAACCTCTAGGCTCTTGGGTAGCAGATCTTACATAACGTATAGAATTCTTTAGAAACTGGGTTAAGAATGGAGTCATGCCTTCTTATTGGATATCTGCTATGTTCTTCCCATAAGGTAATAAATCTTTCATTCATATATTGATTTTATTTTTAAATATAAATAACTTACGATAAACTTATTTAATTTATTACAATAACAAAAATTTAGGTTTCATGACTTCTGCTTTACAAACATATGCAAGAAAAACTCATATTGCTATTGATACTCTTACATTTAAAACAGATGTAAGAAATATAAAACCTGAAGAATGCTTAGAAGTTCCTGATATAGGTAATTAATTGATTAGAATAATTTGATGAAATTCATACTTTATTTTATAAGCTTAACATTTATACAAAATTATTCGATAGATATAAACACAAAATTATTATTTTTGAAAATTGATTGGTGTTTCTATTCTATTTAAAAATATTTTATTTATTTCTTGAAATTCTAAATTAATTATTTTAATTTTTTCTTAAAATTAATATTAATTTACATTAAAAAGGTGTTAATGTACATGGTTTGTTTGTAGAAGGTTGTGGATGGAATGTATAGAAAGCTATTCTACAAGAATCATAGCCTAAGATCTTATTTGTTGAAATGCCAGTCATATGGTAAATTATTTTTAAAAATTAATTTAATTTTTTAAATAAATAAATAAATGAAAATAGGCTCGAACCAGTTAAGATAGAATCTTACAATCCTAAAAGCGTATACAAGTGTCCTCTATATAAAACAAGTACAAGAAGAGGTACTCTAAGTACAACAGGTCACTCAACTAACTTCGTAATGTATATGGATTTAAAAACAGAAGAAGAACCAGATCATTGGATTAGAAGAGGTGTTGCTCTTTTGTGTTTACTCGACGATTGATTCAAATAAATAAAGAAATTAAAATATTAGAATTAATGCTAATTAATTCATTAAAATCATGACAATCATCATAAAACTATATTCATAATTCACATAAAATTATTTATCTCAATTGGATTTTACCAACAAAAAGGAAAAGCAAAATCCGACAATAAATCTTTGAATTTACAAATAAATAAATAAAAAATAAATAAATTAAAACGATTTATTGATCCATTGAAAAATAAATAGGAATCGAAACAATAAAATATATATAATTTTCTTTTAAATTAAATAAATTTTCATAAAATGTATTTGTATATCTTTTTACTTTGAAGCATATAATTTACTATACAAATTATTAATAAATTAATTCACTATTTTTTCATTTAGTTGTTTAATTATTTATTTACTTACATACTTACTTACTTAATTTTTTGATTAATTAATTAGTTATTTCATTAATTGATTAGCAGATATTTGTATTTATTAAAAAATGAATTTTGTTTTCTATAATTAAATAAATTTCATAAAATATATTTATTTATTTTTATCTTTTTATTGAAGATTTAAAAATACAAATTAATTATAAATTAATTAATTATTTTTTAATTTTGTTACTTAGCTGTTTGATTAGTGATCTTTCTGCCTTTTAATAAATATTTTCTTAAATTAAATTAATTTTCATAAAATTAATATTATTTATTTATTTTTACTTTAAAGTATCTATTCTAATATGCAAATAAATAATAGTTTAATTCATCAATTGTTTATTTGCTAAATAATTTACTTAATTTAATTAATTAATATTTGTATCCTTACATGAAAATATAAAATTTTTATAAAATATACTTGCTTATTTATCTATTTATAGTTTAAAGCATGTAATCATAAATATAGAATATAATTATAACTATTTCTTTATTAAATTAATATGTAAAATTTGTTTCTGTGTTCATGTATGATTAAAATTTTTTTTTAATAGCCTCTTTGAATAGAGTTAAAATTTTTGTATTTAAAACAAAATGTTTTAAGATGAAATTATATTTATATTTTATACTTATTTATGTAATATTTTTATATGATTTATTTCTATTTTTATTTAACAAGATATGAGAAAATAAATAAAAAAATCATATCAATGCTTTTTTATGAATATGTGTCAATATGATGATCATTTATTTTATTTATATTATGACAAAAATCCTAAATTATTATGTTGGGTTGGATTAATTTCATAAGCTTTCAGTAAATATTTTTCAGCTTCTTCAGGGATATTTAGGTTTAGGTAAAGATTCCCTAATAATTAACATGCTTTAAAAGATTAAGGTTCTATTTACAAAGCACAAACTAGGTATGATTAAGCTTCTTCGTATTTACCTATTTCCAAGTATATTTCTGCTAAAGCATAATTTGTGTTAAAATCAAAACGCTAAATTTCTTTTGCTTTCAACAAATATTTTATTGCTTCTTCAAATTTTTTACATTGAAGAAAAGCAACTCCTAAATAATAATTTTAGTCAAAATCTAAAGGTGAAATTTATTCTGCCTTCAAAAAATATTTAATTGAATCTTCTGATTTACCAATATTAAGGTAAAAATCTGCTAATTTGATAAGTGAATCGAAATCTTAATGATTTATTTCTAAGGAGCTCAATAAAAGAGCTTCACAACATTAAAAGAATTTTTGAGCTTTTTCATTTTATCCCATTTTTTAATAAATAATCCCTAATTTATAATTAACTTTATGATCTTTAGGGTTCAGTCTTAATGACTTCAATAAACATTATTCTGCCTGATGAAAATTTGCTTTGTTCTCATAGATGTTTGCCAAAAGAAAATAAGATTAAAAATGGTTAGGATCGATATTTACAGCACTCAAAAAGCACTATTATGCTTCATCAATAAGCAAATATGAATAAAAGATTATACCATAGAAATAACAAAATTTAGCATTTCGTGGATATTTTAATAGTGAGCGTAATAAAATTTGTTTAATGGACTATTAAATTCCAACTCTTTGCTAGAAATTCTTTGAATCTAAATCAAAATTAGCTACATTGTTATCTTCTTAGATGTCCTTTTGATCTTGCATTAAAGGCGAGGTAAATGTATTGCCACAAGAGATATCTTGAGAAAAGAAATATTTTTAGTAAAAAGGGAAATATTTAGGCTAAGGTTTATAAACTCCTCTTAATGAATTGATTAATTTTTTCATTTTTTTCTTTTAATTTATTAAGTTTTATAATTTAATTAATTAATTATAAAAAACAGAATCCAAAGTTGATTATTTGTAGCAAGATTTAGAAAGATTATTATAGCAAATTTTATTATTATAAATTTCTTACTGCTTTTCAGTAAAAAGAAAAATAAAAAAATTATTAGAAATAAAATCAATAGCAATTTCATAATTTTTATTAACTTCTCAGATAGATATATAGTATGGTTCATATAATTTAAATTTCTGATCTGAGTTTTAAATATATTAATTTTAAATGTTTTAAATATTATTGTTGAAATAGTTAAGAAAATTTATGATGAATTTAATTTGTTTGAGATCTTATATTTTTATTATTTGAGCTCTTAAAATTAAATGTTATTTTGTTAGAATCCATAATTATTTAAATATTTTTGTTATCTAAAAAGATACCATAAAGATTCTATTGATCAAAAGTCAAGTATTTATTATATTATCAATAAATTAAATTTATATTTTGTCATTAATCGATTGATATATTAACTAAATATATTCTTTATAAGAAGTAAAATGTTTTTTTATTTAATAAAATCTAAATTCTTAAACCCAATAAATTTCTTTTTGTTGTATTAAAATTAAATAATTAATTGTAAAGTAAATTAAAGATACAACGAATATACAATTTATTATAGTAAAGGAGCTTTTTATATTTTTATATTAAAAAACTTTTTGATTTTTTATATTATTATTATCAAAAATATTGTCTATTTGATATCTCAAACAATTTAAAATAAAAGATTCGAAATTAAAAAAATTTAATTAAAAATAAAAGCCAAAATATATTTTTAATTTTTCAAAAAAATATTTTTTATTCTATTTTCATTTTTTCTAATAATCAATAATGATCATCTTTCAAAAATTTAGAAATAAAATAAAAAAAATAAATTTATATTAAAAATTTAGAATAAAGATTAATAAAATTTTTTATCCCTCTTATCTTTCTAATATGTTTGTTATTAATTCAACAAAAAATATTTATTGAAATAATATTATTTTAATTTATAATTTGGAATTGTAACTAAAAAAGAATACTTTCTTAATATACTTATGTGTTTCAAAATACTATTTTGCTTACTTGCCTGATTAATAATTAATTATTTACAAATTTAGTCAAATAATAAATTTACTTTGTACTCATTTCATTTATTATACTGAAATAAAAAATGTAATAAAAAACAAATAAATAAATAAATCATTTTATTTAATTTTGTCTTGAAATTCAAACAACAACTTATTCAGCTACCCTGGAGATAGAGTTTATCCCTATTAACTTTTAATACAGTAACGAGAAGTATTGCTTCTCTAACATACTCATTAGTGAAAGGAAGCTTGAAATTTACTTTAGCTTCTTTTGAAGTTTCTAATAGCACTTATGCAAACTTTGAATATTCCAATTCTTTTGTTATCTTGGAAATTTATTGCATTATATAAGCGGTGTCAGTGCTGTAACCTGTGTGGAAAACTTTTTAGGAGTTTAAGTAACAATATGATGGTTCTACTGCCAATTTAATCAGCATTTTATAGGACTCAATAGAAAATAGAATTGTTAAGATTAAAGAAGTGACATATTGAGCAGTAGTGTAGTTATCTCCTGTTAGATTTAGAGTCACAGATGTATTATTAATACAGTTTACTGTTTGATTATCTTAGTCGGCATAAAGTCTAACTATTTTATTTAGGACAACTGCCAGACAAAGCAAAAAAGTGTATAATGAAAATCCTATCCAGTGATATTTCAAAGCACTTAAAGTGTTTCCAATTACTTTGATCTAGAAAGAAAACATACCCATGATCAAGTTTGATTCTTTTTTCATGCAAAAGAAGAAAAAGTAGTAAGCAACTACTACAATAATCCAAAAAATATATAGTAATATGTTATAAGTCAGTGATATATTGTAAGTATAACTGTTTCCGTTGCAACTCACACAAACAGATAATGGCTACTCTACTCCACTTTTGCTGCAGCTGGTAATGTATTTAACTGTGCTGAAAGTCTCAAATCCAGTGATTAAGATTGGTAAAAACGACATAAAAATTGCCTTAATGTATAAACTAAAACGAGCTACTCTCCCTTAAATACTTATTCTCTCCTAAAGTCTTTCGTCCCTTATTGTGTAGTTATCTGTTTAGCGACAAGCTTCTTTGTAAAGATTTTTAAAATCTTCAGTAAAATTCTTTGCAAGTTCGGAATCAAGGAGGATGTTTGAAGAAATCTTTTTGATCGAACTACCAAAAATCGCATTATTATTTGCTCCATATTAAGAATTAGCATGTTCTCTCTGCTCAAAATAGAGAGAATCTGGTCTTTCTTCTGTTTAATTAATACTATTTGGCTATTCTATGTTTTATGAATATAGTTCAGTTTGATCCATTATGCTTGCTGTTAAATATTTTGCTAAATGTTATATTTGCTTGCTATACTTATTCGTATAATCTCCTACTGCTATTTTTATTTGGTGTGAAAATAATATTAATTATCCTGCTATTTATTTAATAATACAAAGCAAATTTGTGTGATTGAATGTGATTAAATTATTTAATTTATAAAAATAATAAGCTTATCCTATCTTTCAATTTATTAAATATTCAAAAAGAATAAATTAGTATGGGTGCCTATATGAATTAATCAATATATTTATCTATAAATGTATGTATCTATGATAAATTTGTATATTAACATGATAATATAATTATATTTGTAATATCAGCTATTGCAAATTAAATAGAAGTAGTTTACTATCAAATAAACAACATTTTTTTTTCTTATGATTTTTTTTTCTTTTACATCCTTACATTTTGTAAAATAGTAAGCTTTTCATTTGTAGTGAATAATTTACCACATACAAACATTTTGTTCAAAACTGAATTTTTAATTTTCAAAAATAATCTTTTCTAATATTGCTAATCCAGGAATTAAAATATGATGAACTGGATATTATGATATTTTTATTCCTGGATTATCTTTCAAAATAATAAAAAATATTTATAAAAACAATTCCAAAAAATATAAACAATAAAATCCTTAAATTAAGAAAAATACATGTGTTCATATAATTATGTATTCATAAAAAGTTTTTTCTTTTTAAATAATTTATTTTTTTATTTATATAATTAATGTATTTAATTCAAATATTATATAATATCAAATGTCCTTTCAGAACAAACTGCAAAAAAATTTTTTAGAAATTTTCATTCAATAGTTATTGACAAACCTAAAACCCATAGTCGGATTATACGAAATATGAGGACCTGGAAAAAGGGAATACAGTAATTTGTATTTAATAAAAATATTGATATTTAAATTAATAATTTGATCTCAAATTCTAGTCTTAAAAATGCTGTTAACATTAAATGAAAAAAATAATAATTATCTTTTACTTAAAAATATCAATAAAAAAAGAAAATAAAATAAAATAAAAAGTATGATGAATTATAGAAAGTTTGTAGATAAAATAAATGATGTGAATATTTATTTTCTCATTTTCATATATTAATAATGCTTTTTTTTTATTAAAATCTAAATAGCCTTATTTGAAGGTTAGTTCTGATATAAGTTTAAATTTTGGGTAATATACTTATTTATTTTGAAAATTAATACACTTTAAAATGTTACTTGAAAATAAATTTGATAAATTAAAGATTTTGTGATCTTAGTGCAAAATTTGCTACAGACATAGGTTCTGCTTTAGAAAATTTAGATAATATCAAAAGATTAGATCTAACTCTAAGGTAAGTAGATAAATAATTTTTTATATTATACTTATTAAATTCTTATTTATGTTTTTATAAATTTTCGGAATTAAAATTATAAAACCATTCATTTATCAAAATATTTTTAATATTAAATTCCTTCAGTTAGATTGCTGCTACTGGTGTATATGATTTTTCAGTAGTATCATCAGCAATATAAAGATAAGCATAACTACTAGTTACTATTCCAAATCTTTAATTCTTTTATTTATCATAGCTTTCTGGGAAGGAAAAAGTTAATGTTTTTTTAAATTTACTATCAAAAGTTAAAATAAAATAGCTTTGAGTGGGGCAAAAGATATAATTTCTTCGTTATCTACATGTAAAAATCTCTAAGTTTTGAAATTAAACCTCTAGTAAAATAGCTCACATATTTTTACTTGTTTGATTTAGATTTTTTTCTAAGGAAAATTTTCTAAAGCAAACTAACCTTACAAACTTTTATATTTACTATAAATATATAATTGTAATTTTTATAAAGTGACAATAAGATCGCTGCTTAAGGTAAAACTGGAATAAGTGAAGCATTTGAAAACTTCGAAAGTTTAAATTAGTTAACTCTATATTTAGAGTAGATTTTTCTTTTTAAAAATATTAATTTTGTTTTAACTTTACTTAAAAAAATTTTAAAGCTCTAACAGAATGAGTGCATCAGCATTATCAAAGCTTGGTTCTGATATTTCTAAAATAAAGAATCTTCAATTCTTAGATCTCGGATTAACGTATATTTTTAGTTTTATATTAAATAGTGTTAAAGTTTTCATATTTTTATTAATTTATTATTTCTCTGAGTTTATGAATGCAAATAAATTTTGTTTTTAATTAAGAAATTGTTAAATTGATACTAAAGGACTCTCTGGTTTATTTTCTAGTCTAAAAAACAGCTAAACTTTGAGATAGTTAGCTATCTCGTTAGGGTAAATAAGTCATACAGTTATTATTGATGCTATTTTTTTTTCTTTTACAATAAAATAAAAGATAAAATAAACTTACTTCAAATGGATTATCTGAATCAGGAAATCAAATTGCTTAAATATCAAATCTTCAAATTTTAAACCTCGATTTAGCGTATTTTATTTTTAATTAATTAAAGAGTTTATTTTTAAATTTTTAAAGTTTATATTAATAATCTTAAATGCCTATAATATATTTAACATAATATAAAAGATTATGCTAAATTGATGAAAAAGGGATATTTGATTTCTGTTCTGCTTTTTCAAGTATTCAAAGTTTGAAAAAATTGACAATCTCTCTTGGGTAAAAAATTTTTTAGACATAATTTGAAAAAAATAATAAAATCAAATATTTTGCTTTAAATTTAGTTAATAAAATATTTAAATTTTAGCTTGCAAAATATTAACCTTCTTTCCACATATCATATAAGGTTTTAATTATAATAATTAAAATAAAACTAAATGAGAATAGAATAACTTTATAACAATTTCAGAAATTATATTCAAATCATAAAAATATTATAAATATGTTGGATTATTTAAATAATGTTTATAAATCAGAATTTTTCACATTTCTCCAACCAGCCCTTAAATTTGTTGGTAATTTAGTAAGTATGTTTTCCATTAGCATTTTTGAAGAGGGGAGGGAATTATATTTTGCAAGTAACTAAATAATTAAATAATTATTTCACTCATTTAAATTTTAAAAAAGTTCACTTTAGATTAATTAAAAGTTTGCATCTTAATTGGGTAATTCATTAGGTAATTGCAACAATATTTCTGACTTGACTCTAATAATCAAGTAATATATTTATTTATTTATTTATTTTTTAACTAAATTTATAAATAAAAAAAATCTTTGAAATAAAACAAATTTACAATATTAGAATTATTTCTAAAAATAAAAAATTAATTAAAATAAAAAATAACTTTCTTAAATTTTATTTGGAAAAAAATTCATTTGGTAATTTACTTTTCTATTTATTGATTTTTATATTAAATAAAGTTCTTGTTAACTTGGTGACGTGGGCATTTAGAGCTTAGGATTAGGTTTAGCAAACAACTAAAGTTTAAAAACTTTGAATTTTGAACTAGGGTAATCAAAAAATTAAATTAATTTTTATACTTTAAATATAATTGACAAACAAACAAACACACTGTAAAAAAAAGACAGACTGACTTCATTTAGATTTTTATGAAGTTTAAAGTCTAAATTATTTTAATATATATTCAAATTTAATTATGATATTAAATTAGTTTAAAACCTATAAAACGAAACTATATTTAATAGCTTTAAATATAATTTATTAAATAATGTTTATTAATAAAAGATCGAACAACATTTCCGAGAAAGGATTTTCTGAATTAAGTTAATCATTAGCTAAATGTACAAGCATTTAAACATTACTATTAAATCTTAGGTAATTCATATTAAGGAATATTTATTTTTTGAGATCTTTTTATATTTATATAATTATGTTAAATATTTAAAAAAATTTGAATTAGATTAAAAACTTATTTATTTTTTTTGTTTTCATATTTTTTCTATATGTATATTTGATAATATTTTACATTTATTTATGTAATAAATAGCTTTAACAATCTCGGAGAAAAAAGTTTAGGAGCCTTAGGATCTGTCTTGCAAAAATATCTTTAAAGAACTGCAAAAATCTTTTAGATCTATAACTGAAGCTTGGGTAAAATAACACTAATTAATTAAACAACTATATTAAAAACCTAAATAAAAGATATAATTCAACATTATTTTGAGTAAAAATAATGATTAATTATTATTAGCACTACATTATTATTGAAAAAAGAAATGATAATCACCTACATTTTTAAATATTTAAAAAATGAAAAACTTGTTAAGCCATAAAAAACCTAAAGATAAATTTAAAAAGTTTATGGTTTAAATAAATAAAAACTTAGAAAATACAAATAAGAGAAATAAAATTGAATGATATTTAATTAAGAAATTTTATAAATCTAAAATAAACTGTTTCAAAGAATATTTTATAAAGTATTACTATTATTTAAAAGATAAAATAAAATTGGAGATGAAGGAGTTTCTAACTTGTGTGGTTGTATAGGAAATATTATTTCTCTCTAAAACCTAACTTTATTATTTGAGTAATCAATATTTCTTTAGTTCATTTTTGATTTAAATATTCATTCATTATTTTATTATTTTTAAGTCTATTAACTAATTAATTTTACTCAATTTAAAATTCAATATTATAATATTATTGTATGTATAGTGATTGCAAACTCACAAATAAAGGAGCAATGAGCGCAATTTAAAATATCTCTGGCTGTATTAATCTTATAACTCTTCATATTCATGTTACAGAGTAAATAAATATTACCTCAAAATAATTTACTAAATAATATTCTTAATATTCATAAATATACTTAAATAATAATAAATATTTTTTTAAATAGCTTAAATGAACTTGACTGTGAATATGATATGTTAAGAAAGGCTAAAAAATTTAATAAAAAGTTATTGAGGATTGATTACTGATTTTATTAATAGGGATTCAAATTGTTTATTTAAATTAGATAATTATTCAATTTATTTTAAATATTTATCTTTATTTTAATCTAATGTTTTATGTTCATGTATTTATGTTATTTAAACATATTTATTATTAATACTTTTTCAAATTTACTAAATAAAAATACTTAATTTTTTGCTTTTTATAAGTTAGGAAATATTTTTTTTAGCTTTTTGATAAAATTATCTCATTAGCAATCAGTTTAAAAAGAAAAAAGAGCAATAAATATAATTTATAAAAAAACTTCACGTTTCAAATGAAAAAAATATTTTTATTTTACATAAATATTAAACAAGAAGCAAATATAAAGAATTGGATAAAGAAGAATTTATTATTAATTCAGAGTACTTAGCATTTAAAGTTCTTTAAAGTTTAAGAGATGCTTATTTAAAACCTTTAGGTTTAGGTTTTCATAGGATATCTATTTCATAAATTGAGATACGTTTCATTTAAATAGATATATTTATTTCAGAATAAAATCAAAGAATTTTTATTTTTAAAGATTAATTTTATATTATGAAACTGGAGACTAAATTCTAAATAAAATAAAAAACTAAAAGAATTAATTATTAAAGAATCTTGACTAAAAATAGGCATAGAAACAAATAGATATTACCATATAAATTCTATATATAAAATTTAGCACTTTTTATTTTTTTTTTCATTGTTTGCATTTACCCTTTGTAGTATAGAGCATATTTTTAATTGAGCATGTCATACAAACGTTTCTCCCATCTTTTACACAAGGAGGTGAAGTACAGCTGACATCCTTATTAAAATATCCACATCTAGGAGAGTCTAAATATCTGCAAATTTCTTATTTAGATTCTGTAGGAGAACAGAAATGGCCATCTTCAGGAAATTCTTCACATTTTCCTTCAACAGTGTATTCTACATGCCCAATTTTACAAGCAATGCATTAGTTATAATAAGTCTCTCTGATTTACTTATTATTAGAGAAGCCTCTAACACCACATACAGGAGAAAATTCACCTGAGCAATTTAATTCTGTTCCAAAAGGTGGGCAGTCTTCTACTTTCTGTGCCATAACAAAGCAAAATATAGCAGCTAAGAAAATTAATTTTCTCATTTTTTAGGAAATTAGTTTAATATTTTATTATTATTTTTTTATATTTATTATTAAAGTAAATTCGGCAGATTTTAAATTGTTAATAAAAATGTCACATATGATTAGAAACATTGAGATGATATAAAAATAAACAAAAAGTATTCTGATTATTTCTTATTTTATTTTGTTTAATATAAAAGTAAGCAAGCAATATAAAGAAAGATCTTAATTTTGTTTAAATATTTAATAAAAAATTTTCTATGCTATATTAATTACTCAAATAAAAAATTTATTGAAGAGAATTTTCATCAGAAAGTTTTTAAACATCTATTCTTTATTATCAAATTACTATTCTTTGAAAATAAAAAAAATTTTAGTAGTCATAATTGTTTTGTTCAAGTAGAATTGGAAGATTTAATCATAAAATTAAATTTTTATAAATTTAATTAGAATTTAGCATTTGAAAGATTTAAGCTGAATTATAGTACAAAGTTTAGATACTAATAAATAAAAATTGATTAAATAAATTTAGCACTTACCTACTTACAAATTACTTTACAATATTAAATAGTGTTCCGTAACACATTTTCTTTATTCTGTCTTTCTAATAAATTTTTATATTTTAGATTGTTTTATTCAAATAAAATAAGAAAGCTCATCTATCAAAAATTTAACTCTTAATAAAATTTTTAAACATTGAAAAATAAAATAAATTTATTCAATATATTGATTAATATCAATATCATTTATTTATTTTTTCAAAAGAAAGATAAAATAAAAATGCAATTGTCACATTAAAATTTAATAAATTTTTTTAAAACAAATTTTAATTAAAAGCATTAGAAATAAGAAAAAGTATAAATATATTAAACTAGAACAATTATCATTATGTATAATTAATAGAGATCATAAATAACCAATTGTTTTTATTTATTAATATTTACTTATTTGATTAAAATTTATTTTGTTTTTAATTAGCAGATAAGATAAGTAATCTTTCAAAATGAATACATCCTTTCTTATTTATTTACTTATTTAGTGAGTTAGTTAAAATAAACTTCAAACTAATTCTACAAATTCAATTTTCGTACACTAAACCATAAAAACTTAATTATGCACTTTAATAGCTTAAACTTAATAAATATAGAGTTATTATTATAGCACTTTACTAATTTAAAATATTGATTGATACAAAATATTTAATAAATTACAAGCAAAATTATTTAATAAGATTATAATTTATCATTTAAATTAAATTTAAATAATCAAAGCTTTTTTTTTACTTTTAATTAATTTTCATAAAAACTCAAAAAATAAAAAATAATAATGTTAAGAATTTTGTTTTTCTCAATATAAAATATTTATTTTTTTGTATTGTTTTTAATTATTTTTTTTAAATTTTATTTAAAAATGTATAGTTTTATATAAAAAGAGAGGGAATTTATTTATTTATTTAAATCTTTTTAGTCAATTATCTTATTCACCCAGCTTATGGTTAAAAATTTTTTAGTGAAAAACTTAAAATATGACTTTTAAATATTTAAAAATTTTTTAGAAAATTTGGACAAAGATCTTTACCATAAATATTATTGATAAGTTAAAATAACTAAAATGGGATTTTAGTATACTATTTCTAGTTTTGCTGTAAAATTTTCTTATTTTTTTGGGTAAAATGATAAGGGGGATATTTCTGTGGCGTCAAAGGTGTGAAAAGCTACAATCTTCTGGTAGACATTCATAATCTAATCATATCTTAACTTTTCGTAGTGATCATAAAAATCTTGTTAAGCTCCAGCTAGTTCTTTGCTTAATGTTATTGAAATCATCTATTGGAGATCAAGTTAAGTTACTTTAAAAATATTTAAAGGATTATTCTAAAGGTCTTAAAAATATTTTATTTTTGTAAGTGCCAGTTTAGGATAACCAGTCCCTTTGATAGAAAATAGTTCATAAATTCCAAACATAGTATTGTTTAGTAGGATCCTATCTTTGTTTCTTACTAATTGAAAATAATATTCTAGTATTTAAATGAGCTAGCTGAAATTAAGTAAAGGAATATAAACTCCTCTGATTTGACTGATATATCCTATTAGAATAATTTATAAAAAAGGATTGTATATAATTTGTTAAAATTAATTTTTTTTTAATGATTAATATCACTTTAAATATTTCATTTTTTTATTATTTAATTTTAGCAAATTTGTAAAGAAGTTTTATAAATTTAAGAATATTCCTAAAAATGATGATGATATGAAATTTATAATGGAGAAATGCATTAATAATATATTAATATTATTATTTATTTATTAATAATTATTTTTAAGTATTTGCCATGAGTATGTATAAAATATATTTTAACATAATTTATAGGAAAACTAATATAATTTGTTTCAACATCTTTAATATGTAAATAAATAAATAAATAAGAAAAACAAGTAAAGTAGCTAAAATGTGATTAATATATATTGTTTATGTAGATCATATCAAATTTATATTTTTGCAATAAATTCAAATTGAAATTTGAAAAATAATTTGTTAGAATTAAATCACCTGATAATTTTAAAAAATAATAAAGTAAATAAATAGGTTAGTAAGTAAGTAAGAAAATATATTTATTTCATTATTTTTTTTAAGATCAGATTTTAAATTTGAATAGAAAATAAGTGGCTAGATCTATTATTTTTTATTAATAAAAATTTGAAAATAGAATATTTAAATTTTAAGAATAGGTATTATATTAATTATCAGAAAATTAAACAGACACACAAACAGACAGAAAGACGCTGATGCTGATGATGATAATGATTAATATGTTTATCAAAATTTGAAATTTCAGGTTGCGTCAGTAACAATTAATAAGTAAATTAATAGTAGTGAAATGAGTATTAATAGTGAACATTTAAATAATTTCTGACAAATCAATCAATTAAAAATTGAAAAAAATATATAATTATTTGGTGTTTTGTAAATTTTAATGAGCATTTATAATAAAATAGAAAAATATTAATTTTTCGTAAAAAATTCAAACTTATTTATTTCTTATTAAATTAAATTGTTTTGATTGATTGATTGATTTATTTATTTATTGATTAATTATTTTAGTGATCTTATCAAATAAAAAGAGGTGCTTTTATGTATTTAAAAATCAATTTTTAAATTAAGTCAGTAATTTGTGTGTTGAGGATACAAATCTTAGTTGAATATATCACGATTTGCTATTCTTTATAGGGAATTAGAAATGCTGTTCTAAATTCAAAAATAATGGTATTAAATAAATAAATATTATTTTTTAAAATTTGTTAATTAATTTAAACAGATGGCTTGGAGTGTGTTTGATTTTATAAATAGAGATTTATAATCAGACCAGCAAGCGCATCTATCTTTGAATCAATCAATTTATCTATCTATCAATAAATCAAATAATAGTTCAGATAACTCAACTATTTTTCAAAATTTAATAATTAAGTGACTTTTTGTATTATTATTATTTCTAATAGGAGAACTTTTGATTAATGCAAAAAGTTGTTTGTTTGGTTGGTTGGTTTGATATAATTTTTCTATGTTGATATCAAATTTATTTTAATTCAATTCTGACCACTTCAATAATTTGAATCTGAAGCAGCTAGCTAGTGAATCAACAAAATCTGATTTCTTTAAAGCTCCAATCAATCAATAAATGAATTCAAAATATATCAAACATATTTTTTGTAAAAATAAAAACACTATTAAAATTTTTGAACATATGAGTAAATGTGTTGTATTGAAGGTTATAAAAAAGACAAATTTAAGCATAGAAACATAGAAAGGCAGATACATAATCTGTAATTAATTTAAAAATATAAAAACCCTTATATATTTATTTCTTTTATATCGATTAATCAGATAATACGATAAATCTGATGACGTTTGCTTCAAATTTCACGAAATAAAATAATGGTACATTTTTTATTTATATAAGAAAGAACAAAAGTGATTTGCTAGCTTGTATTTTAATCAAAACCTTAAACAAAAAACTTCTACTTTTATTTAAAAACTTTGCTAACTAACTTACTTAATTTTTGTTATTCTCTGAGATTTCTATTTTCAAAAACAGAATAGATAGATAGCACTTATTGTCCATTTTAAATACTAATTCTTAATAGCTTCTGATTTCAGTTCTACTAATTAGAAATTGCTGATATCAATTGAATTCATTAGAAATATATAAAATGTCCATCAATCTTTCTCATTCATTCTTTAAACAAATAATTAATTACTTAATGACAAATGAATTAAAAGTGCAATTAATTAATTTCTTAATATAAAATAAAAGTGAAATTTTTGTGATGTTTTTAAGTTTAATTATTATTAGTTAAGTATTCCATTTATAATTACTTAAAACAGCAAATACACAATGAAAAATATTAATAAATTTATAAGAGAAACCAAATAATTAATTTATTTTTATAAGAATTTAGAATTACCTATTCTTTCTTTTTTCTTAACTTTTCTACAGTAATTTAATTTATTAAATATTTAAAAACGTTTTTATCAAAATATATTTTTTAGAAATAAATTATACATTATTTTAAACCTGAATATTTAATCATTTTTAATAAATTTTGGATAGACTTTTGAATTCAGAGTTAAGATTAGTAGCATATATCTATCAAAGCAAAATTAATAAAATTAACTTAAAATTTTTTAGTTATTATTGAGTGAAATGAAAGAAAAAGAGAAATGAAGGTGTAAAAACCATAAAATTTTTAGTAAAATTCTAGTTTTAAATAATACTTGTTTGTTTTACTTTTAACTAAAATAAAATTAATTAGTTATCATATAATTATGTTGAATGACATCCTTACCTTATTTTCACTTTTTTATATTTAAATTTAAAGGAGAAAAATACTAATTAAATGATTAATCAAATAGACGAATTTAATTAATAATAGGAAGGGAATATCAAAAACAAATCAGAACTGATAATATTCATTAGCAAAAAAAAAAATTTAGAAATAAATCCTTAAATCTAATGAAAATATTTATTTATGTGTATTGTATTAAAAGTACTAAAATTTAATGAATAAATCAGTGATTAAACAAATGGATTATGTGAAATATTGAATGAATAAAAATTTAAATATAGAGAAATTTCAATAATAATTGGAATGAATTAAATAGATAGATTAGATGATGTTTAATATAGATAAAGTATTATTAAATCGATATAATATAGATAGAAAATTTAGAGTGATTTAAAGTACGTTTATATAATTTTTATTTATTTATTTCTTTAATATTATGACAATTAAATAATAAATCGTTGATTATTCATGGTATAATCCATTTATTCTTGATTGAATTACTAGTTTATTTATTTTTATGTTTAAAATAGTATTCAATTAATAACTTAAGTATATATTTATTTATTAATTTATTTATTTATTATAAAGTAAAATATTGTTAGATATATATGACTAGTTTTATTTTTTAGTATTTATCAAAATTACTCCACCTCTGGCTTTGCTGACGAGAGCATTCTTATATTTCAACCATATTTTAATATTTACAAGAAATCTATTTATTTAGGCTTAAATTTGTCTGCTTTTAATCAGATATCGCTAACTTATTTAATAAGGTTTAAATTCTTTTGCTATTTGTTTACTAGTATGGTTTATATCAGTACTATTTTTAAATATTAGAAATCTTAGTAATAATAATGCAGAATTAGATCAATTATTTATTAATGCAGATTTTTCATGGTTAGGACTGTTAAAATGCATTTTCTATGTTCGTCTTTATTAGAAAATATTATTATTAGAAAGGAGATTATGGTAGTTCACTATGAAAGTTTGCTAAGAAATCTTAATGAAAAAGAAAAGAATGAGTGCCTTAGTGATAAATTTTATTAATCATAAATTTTGCAAATTTAAGATTTGGAAGAGAAATAGTGAGTATTATTTAATGTTCCATCATCTATCTTCCTTGAGGCTAATTTGAATGAAATTTGCTAGTTAGTTTGCTGATTTTATTAATTTTTTCAAAAACTATTACGAAATTTACATTATTAATATTGATTAATTAACCAGATAATTAAATGTAGATTTTCTTCTCTCAATTTTCTTCGCTTTTTCTAGTTATTGTATTGGCTGAATGAACCAACGAAAGAACTCATAATTAGTATTTTTCAAAATTATTTTGTACTATTAATTAATTAATTATTAGCTAGTAAGCTTTCATTATTCGACTTTTCAGATTAAATCCTTGTCTGCGTAAAGCTAGCAGAGCTTATTTATTGAGACTCAAATAAAAAATTCAAATAAATTCCTTAGAGATTTGGTGTCAAATTCAAATTATTTTCTGCTTTCTATTTCGATTTATATTTTTGATATAAATCTATTTTGATAACAAGTGTGCATGCTCATTCATATAGGTATTTTTAATTAATATAGAGTAAAGAGTGAGTGAGTAATAAGCTTGTTATACTTGTTAGAAATGAAAAACTTCATTAAAGTGGTATGAGTTTCTAGCTCATTAAAGTGCAAGATTTTTTAGTGAAAGCAGTTTAATTTTACTATTTTTTATGTTTGAATTAGAGTGGAGTTGAAATGGAGGCGGTTGGTTGGTTGGTTTGTAAATTATGTTTGTTGTATTAATATAATATAATAGAATTCGATTTTAATTTATTATTTAGAATAACGATTATACTTCAGAAAATTAATATATTAGTAAATTATTAAGAGGCTGTTTTGTTTGTTTGTTTGTTTGTTTGTTTGTTAGGTTGCTTATTTATTTATTTAAAATTTTAGAAATAGATAAAATATGATGAACAAATGAATGAATGAGAAAATGAATAATAAAATTTTGGTTTTCGAATCATGATTCATTCATTCATTTTCATAATTATTGTCCTGCTGTATGCTCATTGGCAAATAACACTGCATCTAAACAAGCGGGTAAAAAATGAGGCTTTCTTTTTGGGAGCACAAGCTGAAGTTTGATTATTTGCTTGATGTGTTTGATTGATGGTAGAAGTTTAGCTTGAGCGGGTAGGCTGGGAGAAGGAAGATGTGCTGCAATGATGGTAATTTGTTGGGAGATCAATTTCCTTTTGAATAAGGCTGTCTTTGTAGTGGGAAGTGGCTCTGGCAATGCTATGTTAGTCATCATCTTATTCTTGAATAGGACAGACATCGTAAGGGAATTCCTTAATGGCTCTGGGCTACTTGTTAAGCAATTTGAAGATGGTAGGGTCGATGGCAGCCATGTCTAATACCTTAAGGCAGATTCTGGACTTGCATTTGATAAGTCTTAAGGTCTAATTACGGTCAAAAGAGCATCCCTTGGGCTCACCATTTTTACTGGCTTAGGAGATTTCAAAACATTCTTCTGAGCCGTTGACAGGGTGGATGAGTTGACAAGACTTGGGAGTGGTGGATGGAGTCTTATTCTTCTTTTGTAAATCCTTGACCATCTTTTAGTTGAGTTTGTCAATGATTTCACGAGTGACTGACTCAACAGTAAGATCGTCTTCAAGGGTCATTTCGACCTCAGGGAAGCAACGATAGACAGCTTCTTCGTCTTGGTCATCACTATTTATTCTGACAGCTAGAATTATTTGATAGGATATGCATGTGGAAGAGATGCTGCTTCCTCTTTTACCAGTTGAAGACATTGAAGAGCAACCCATGGAAGCGGAGCTCTTTGTATTTGGATTATTGTTGTTTTGATTGGTATATTGAGAGGATAAAAAGGATTTCTTTACTTATTAAATATCAGGAATTTAGCGAGGTTCAAAGCGCGAATCGTATTAAGTCTATTGTTTTTACTGTTAGTTACTTGCGCCGTCACTAGAAGATGAATTAGTAGAGATGCTATCGAATCTTTTTCTCTTAGCTACCTTTTCAGAAGCAAGGTTCATCTTAGGACAGCCTTTTTCAGTGCCATAGTCGTTAATAAAATATTAGTCGGACATTCTTTTTTGAATCTTAGCTCAATTTTTGTCTATTGTATTTATGTATAATTCAATCAATTTATGATTAGCGGAGAGATAGTCAAAGTAGACTAAAATATTTTTTGGACAGAGTTTCTTTTTGTAAGGAGGTTAAAGTAAAGTTATTTACTCGTTAATATGTTTTTAATGAGTTAGTGGTTGATTGATTTTTGTTTGTTATATTAGAGGGTAGGCGAATAACAAATTTTTAGGAGGGGGACACACTGTGTAAAATGTAAAAGTCAATCAATTAGTGAGTGAGTGAATGAATATTTTTTTGCAAGAATGAATGAATTTATATAAGAAATTGTAATAAAGCTTTCAATGTGAGCTATTTACTCTTTATTACTAAATTTTTTAATTTGATTTCTTCTTTTTTTTTTTTCTTGTTTGAATGTTTTTGCTGAATATTCACTTATACTAATTAGCAATAGATTCTTTCCTTTTTAAATTTTTCTATGCAAAATGTTATTTATTTTTCCTATTGTTTGTTACCTACTTACCTACCAATTAATTTTCTCATTCATTCATTAATGCATACATATATAATATTAAAACTAAATAAGCTAGCTTTCTTTCATTCTTTCTTTCCTTATTAGTTTACTTGCATCAAAAATTATTTATTTTCATAGTTTTTGTTTGTTTTTTTTTTTTTTTCGCATAAAAACTTTTTTTTTACTCCGATTTCCCATAACCCAAGCAAATTATCATTTTCATCAACCAAAAAAAGAAACATACAAACAAACAAATAAATAACAAAAGAAATATTAATTAATTTGTTTGTTTTTTTATATTGATTGCATACATAAATCAATTAAATAATAATTTACATTTTTATAAAACTTTCTATTGAATCATTTTTCATTGACATCATTGATTCATCATAATTATAATTGATTTGCTTCATATTTTAACAAAAACTATATTTAACAATTGCTCTCTATTTGCAAATAATTTGCCATGGGAGAACAAACAAAATGCCAAATTAATAAATAAATCAATTAATAAATCTATCTTTCAATAAATCAATCAATCAATCAACCAACCCATTCGTTTATTAAAAGTAATAAATAGACTTGTCTGCTAAACAAGACTAATTTATTAACTTATTTCTAAAAGGCTTGGATATGACAAGATTCTGATGATTTAGTTCTATTGAGTAAGTCAATTAGAAATAAGCAAAAGTAAATCATCCTAAATACCAAATTGTTATCAATAATTAAATTAGTGCAAGGAGGAGGGAGGATTCAATAATTAATTTAGCAAATGATTTCTATCCAATTAATTAATTTTAAAAGCTAAAGTAGTTTATTTCTCTAGTAAGTATTTTATTTACAAGTATTAACAAACAAAATAAAATAAATCACATTACTAACTAACTCGTTATATTTAATAATCTGATTTCAAATAAAGAAGTATTCACATATGGGAAGATCAGTTTATCTAATAATAAACAAATAAACAAATAAATCAATCTATCAATCGAATTAATCACACTCAATTTTTGAGTATTATGGGCATTATATAATTAATTGAATAGAATTTACTTATTTTAGTAAGATTATTTATATATTTATTATTTATTGTTTACAGACTCTACATAAAACATCTTCCCACTTCAACTAAAAATGCTAAACTTTAACACTAGTTCTCCCCATTCTAAATGAAATGCAGAATAATGAAGTTACTTTTATTCTATCAATCAGTACTTAAAAAGTACAAAAATGTGCTGTTACCATAATAAAAAAAGTAATGAGAGTGATAATTATAAATTTCAAAGGAGCAAATAGACAGACATCTATATTTATGTATATAATTTACTTACTATTTATTAATTTTTCTCTCTATCAAAGAAGATATTAAGATAGATAGATAGGTTTTTGGTATGCAATTAATTAATAATATTGAATGAGCTTTTAATAGAAAATTTATCGAATTTTAATAATGCTTTTTATGGTAGATTGATTTAATTAAGTATATTCTTTCTAATATAGCTAAATATCTAAATGATCTACCTATGACTAACTATCTAGCTATCTATCTATAAAGCTATCATTCTTTCTATTTATATGTCTACCATTCTTATTTGTGCAATAAAATCTCTTTTTATATTATTAATTTGTTAGTACGAAATTTATCAGACTAGTTTTATTAGATATTACGAAAATCTTCGTTTGGGTTTGACGATGAATTCTATTAATTTCATTCACTCTCAAATTTTTTACCAATAAATTGTCAATAAAAGTTGCAAGTAAGTACTCACACACTCAGTATCTGAAAGTAATAAAGGTTATTTCAATTTTAGAGAGCCAGTTAAGCTTCAACAAATAAGCAAATTTTAATTTCTCTATCAATTAAATTAACAAAACCAACTTACCTCAGTTATGTAATTAATGCAATGCTTTTTATCAATCAGCAGCCAAATAACATTTTGCATCTATTCTTTCTAAATACTTTCTTTATTCTTTAATGTCAATTTCCCTTTTCTTCTCACTTTCTGAAGAAAACACAAGGCAAATAAATATCGCATATATGTAATAAATAACAAATAACCTTTCCACAATTCTAAAACTCACATAAAATGCATTTATAATCATATAATTATTTAAAGTTGTAGATTAACTGGTAGAGCAACAATTAAATAAATAAATTAGGGATTACTTTAAAAAATAATTTAAGAAAACACGTTTACGTAATAAACTACCTTCATCTGGATACAAATATCTTAATAATTTACACTAAAATAAAAAATCCCCCTTTCTTTCTTTGTTTATTTATTTATTTTTCTTACAAACTTTAAGCAAATTACATAAATAAATATCAACTAATTACTTCAAATTTTCATTTGTTTATCACTTCCCGTTTCGCTTTTGTAAATCTTTAACTGATTTTTCGCTTTCCAAGCCCAAACTGCCTTCTAAATTTTCGCTTTGGAAATCAGCTCATTTTCAGAGAAAAAATGAAAGGCTAAAATTTAGTGCGCCTAAAAGATCTACATTTCGCGCAAAATAAATAAATTATTATAAAGCAAGCAGTAAATCAGATACTTTTTTTCATGAGTGAATGAATAAGCAAATCAATCAATCAATCAAACAATAAATAAATAAATAAAATATTGCGCATTTGTATTTTAATTTTGTTTACAATCCAGAAATTTCAGTACTGAGAAGAAAAAGATATTTATTTATTTATTTAATTCAACCTGTATAATCAATCATCTAATTAGTATACATGAATAAAAAATGAAAAGAAATCAAAGAACTATAAAAATATGAGTGTGTTTTTTGATTTTGAGTGAAAAAAATTAATAAAAGAGATAACGACATTACTAGATAACTTAAAATATAATACAAATACTTTAATACTATTTATAAGATATAACAGATGTAAGCACATGCATCTATGTGGTTTATTTTCTTTTATAAAATTTATTTCTGATTTCTACAAGTCAGAAAGAAATAAAATTTTAATTTGCCTTTGTAATATATTTCTTACTGTGGATCTATTAACTAATTAATAAGTAAATCAATCAATCACACTTTTTAATAAATGCACATAAATAATATCAAACATTTAGATAAAGAAAAAATTGTAATTATTAACTATATATATTTTTATTTATCTTTTGTTATACCCAATTTTAATTTAATTATCTTTACCCCAAATCTGTAGAAATCAAGATCTTTAATATCTTTGCTGTATCATGTTTTTTCTTTTTAACTTTTTTTTCTCTTATCCTGTATTTCAAATCTGAACTAGCTGGATAAATTTCAATAAAAACAAATTTATTTTCTTTTAATTTTAAATTCGCATGTTTGTTTAATCTGAATCCAAAATTATCTTTAATCCAAAAAGAGTAAAAAAAAGAGAACTAAAAAATTGCTAAACTTGAATTAGATTATTTTAATTTTACTAGTTTTATTTGCAAATATGCGATTTAAAGACTATTTATAGATATTAAAAAAAAAAATTTGCAAGAGTATAGGCCAGGAATGGAATTAAATATTATAGAACAATTACTAGGCGACCAAAATATTATTCTTGTAAAATGCCAATATAAGGTTCAAACAAATACGAATACCCGCTATGAATGTGATTTTTTTGTTAATTTAATTCGCTCATAGAAAATCTTTTATTCGGTATTTTAATTAAATTACTCATTGCAAGAAATATTTTTATTGGAAATAAAATATTCATACAATTATTAATTTTATTGGTTTATAAAATTAGTTATTTTTTCTTCAAAAATTGAATTCGCTTATTTAAATAAAATTATAAATTAATTAATTAATTGACTCTACAATCAACTTTCACTCACGAATTTGCTTTTTGAATGACCAACCAAAAAAAAATAATAACTAAATAAAAAGCTTTAACTCTATATTTTGACGTTTGATAATTAATTACTAAGATTTTCTATTAGGATTTGAGAATAATATTTTCTCTTTTTCCTATTATTTTGAATAGTTTATTCGTAGAGATTCCTCTCTTTGTAATTAAATAATTAATATGAATATATCTATACATATAAGTATACTGTATTTGCTAAATGATTACTAGAAATTAAATTCTCCTTTGTCATTTCTTCTTGTTAAATTATTTCAAGTGGTGGGCATAAAAATCCCTATTTGAGTAATGAAATTCACTTTCAAATGATTGTTTAAACATTAATGTTATTTACTAAAATTTTTTGAGCTTAAGTATTTTGAATATTAAAAAAAACCAATTGATGAGTGAATTAGTAAATTTGATGAAAGCAAAAAAAAGATAGATTAATATATATAAAATTTGATAAATAATTAAATAAATGTAAAGTAAATTTCTAGTAAAGAAATAGGCTGAAAGAGTTTTTTTCTGTTCGCATAGACTTAATACTCTTTTTATTACTAAATGCTTAGTAAATTATTAACAATTTTGCTAGTGTTTTCTTAATTAATTTGAATGATATCACTATATTTACATTAAAACAGAAGAATTTTACAATTGTTTTGATTTAATAAATTAAAGTAAATTACTACTATAAACTGTTACATATCTTCCAACCAATAAATTAATTTCATTAAAAATTTTAAACTTTAATTTCATCATTTAATACCAAAATAAAATAAGCAAAGTAAATAAAAAGATCTTTTCAATAAAAAATTATATTCATGAAGCACTGTAAAAAGATTATTTTAAACTAATAAATTTTTTATTCAAATTCTTTGATAATTAATTTACATAAATCTTTAAAGTTAAAAATATTTTAGCAACTAATATATAATTGATAATTGGCCTATTTTATTTTTTGATTTTTACAGATTTTTCTTTCTTAAGTTATTTCACTTTTACATATTTTTTAATTTATAAAAACCATTTCAAGAAATACTCAGTTCCTTTTACATATTGATGCTCCTTAGCTAGGTTTATGTAAGTGCTTTGCTTTTTTGTTTAATTTACACTGATTAATAGAAAAAAAAGAGAGACTAACTGACTAATTTAAGGCATTCAATAGCTCGGACTTAATTATTCTTTTATATTTTAAGAATTTATAAAAATGTAATGAAATCCAATTTCGCTTAACTTAAATATAAAAAATTGATAAAGTCGGCATTTATAACTGATAAATGATTGCATTTTAATTTAATTTACATTTTTTTGTAATTTTTAAAATAAGAAATAATCTTAACCATTAAATTAATTTTTAAATTAGCAATTATTTTTTTTTTTCTATTATCAAAATCTTTTACACAACAATAATTTTTAATTGTAAGCTTTTTAAGCGAAGGGCGAACAAATAATTTATGTAAAGTATGTCATAAATCATTGTACATAAATAATTTATAATCTCAATTTTAAATAAATAGTAAGTAAGTCAATCATTATTGTAATTTATAAGAAATTAATTACATTTTTTAAACTCAAATTTAAGTCTAAGAAAACATTAATTTTTATTTTAGTAATAGTTACCTTATCCAATAGCTTTTAAAGTAAAGAAATCTAAAAATTTGATTTATACTACACAAAAAATATTATTTTTTCCATTTAAATTTGTTAAAATTTAATCATTTTACTTTAGTTTTGACGAAATTGTTTTCATCATATTAGTTCTTTTTGGGTTTTATTTCATATTATTCATCAAACTAAGAAAAAAGAAATTAAATAAATGGAATTCAGAAAAACTTGTTGGTTCATTTTGAATAAATCAAATATTATTTATTTAAAATATACAACAAGAATATTTTTAATAAATATTTTCTGTTACTTAAATAAATAAATAATAAATATGAGCTTTAATTTACGAAATCAGTTTTCATTTTTAAAACCATTTTAACTTTACTCTACATTATTAAATAAAAATATTTTATTTACAAGTAAGTTTGTTTACAATTAAATATTTTATTTAATAGTAAAGAAATTTTATTTTCATTTTCAAAAATAGTTTATACTTTTTTTTAATATAAAACCAAACTAAAATAGCTAATTTATTTTGAATAAAAGTGCTTTTAATTTAAAAAATATAAATATTTATTTTTAAAAGATAAATTGCTTAAATTTGTTTTGCTTAATTCAACCTAAATATTTGTTTATTATTACTGTCATTCTTTGTTAAATTTCATATTGGCCCTTAAAAATTTTTTTAAAATGATAATAAAATCATCAAAAACAAACAATATTGACAAAAAAAAATTTTCTAAGGTAAATTTTTTCAATTTCTTTGATAGAATTAAAAAAAATGATTGTTAAAAATCAAAAAAGCACAAGTTTTCTTACAATCAAGAAATTACTTTATCTTTAAATTTAAAATGTTTTGTGATTTGAATTAATTAATTAAGATGTATTTAAGATAATATTCTTGAGTGAAATTTATTTATTTGATTTTATTTTTTTCATTATTGAAATCAAAGAAATATATTTTGCTTACTTTAATTACAACTAAACTGTAAAAAAATTAGATAAAAATGAAAGTAAAAATAAATGAATAACTTGGATTTTAGTATAAGCAATAAATGATAATAATTATTTATTTATTTATAATTTAATTTAAAAATTATTTTGTTATTTTTAATTTGTCTGTGCATTTATTTTACGTGAGAATATATTTTGTTTTTAAAAGATAAAGTGCGTTTGAATATGTGATATGACCTAAAATAAATTAAAATAAAATACATAATTTGTTTATTTAAAGGTAAAGAAGAATATTCACCCTAAATTATTTGAAAAAAAGAAAAAAAATGATAATTAGTGATTGCTAATAAATGTTATCAAGTTTCAAGTAAGAGCTAGAACTAAATTTTATTGCTTATTTAAGTGATAATTCTTTGATTATTCCTTTTGTAATATTTATCGCAAGTAGTGGCAGATATTTATTTTTAAAATATTAGGTAGATGTTTTAATAGCTTAAATATTTAAATTAAATGTTTTTATAGAACATCTTAATTCTTTAATAATCAAAAGAAATCTCTTAAATAAATAAAAATAAAGTTACATTGATAATTTTTTATTTAAATATTAATTTAATTTTTTATAAATATTGTATAAATTTTATTTAATTTGAAACAAAAAGTTTTAAATTCTTTTGTAATATTGGTTTGTAATACTCATCTATTTTAAGTAGACAGACAAAAGAATATAAGAAATCTTAAACTTAATTATACTAAGTAAACTTTATACATAGATTAATTCTATCTTTAATGGCTAGCAAACATACTTTTCTAATGAAGAAGTATATATGAAAATGTTTGTTGTGTGGTTAAAAAGTTAAGCATTTTATTTAAACTTAGCAATTAAATAATTTGTCTATTTGCCAAATTATGCATTGATGATTTAATAAATCAAGAAGTTAATATATTTATTTACCCATCTATCCATATAAATTAAAAAAATTAAATGACAAATATCCATATCACTAATTAAAATATAAATAAAAATTGCTATTTTTAAACAATATAGATTTTTATTTATTTTGTGATTTTGCTTGAGTCTAAATCAATTTAATTAATTTTTATCCATTAATATTTTATTTAAAGCAGTAACTTCATCAGAAAAACTTGCTCAATAAAATACAAAAAAAAGCTAAGCAAACTTTAAAAGACACATGTTTGCTACTTACTTGCTTTAAATGAACTATTTCAACTAATTTTATCAGTTCAAAAATTTGTTTATTTAGTGAGTGAAAAACTCCTCTATGTATGTCATGGGTTCTCCATTCTTGTAAATAATGTACCCTCTTGCAAAGTTCTCTTTTTGGTCATTACCTTCTCCATTATATGAATTTAATTTATCATCCCACAAAACTGTGTTTATCGACTTTATCTCTCTAAAATACTCCAATTTTGCTTGAGTCATATTATGTCCAATAGCTACCTGCTTGTTTTTCATCACTTGCTCATACTTTGCCTTGGGCCAACTATTAATTAATTAAATTATTATTTAATCTATGAATCGAATGATAGTAATTTTTATCATATTTAATCAAATTAAAGTTATAATATTAAGCTCTAGATCTGAATTTATTATTTATAAAACTAAATAACCCTTTCAATAAATCATTTTTTATTCTAAAATGCGAAAGTAAAACTTTTTAAAATAAAAAATTAAATGAAAAGAGTAAAAAAATATTTTATGTTTAATTTAATTATCAATTTACCTACAAAATTTTATTTGGTAAAAGCAAATAAAAAATAAAAATTTGTATTGCTTGAGAATTTAATTTAAAATATCGAAAAAAATAAAATTGAAAATGATTAATTTATTAAATAAATAAATAAATAAATTTATTACACTGGTTTTAATATAGTAAACAATTGTAGCTGATATTCTTAATAAATTTTTATCATAGTAATCATATATAGATTATTTAACAACAAATTCGGATTATTAAATTATCAAAATATTCCTTGAATTAATTCTTAACATTTACTGTTAATTTTAAAATCTATGCTCTCATATATCAGCATATAATTTTATTAAATTTATTAAAAAAATTATATCTTACAAATAAGTGAAATGCTGAATTGCATATTAAGATTTATATTTTGACTAATAACTAAAATTGGGTTTAAAAAATATCTTTGAAAATAAGAATAAAATATATTTTTAACTTTCATAAATCATTCATCTTTTACTTTAATCAAATTTTAAATATTTTAGTAGAGCTTATATGATGGCTTTTAATTTTATTAAATTTATTTGTGAATTAAAAAAATCTAAATTGTTTTATTTTTAGAAGAAATTGCTTAGATTAAAATTTAATAAAGATAATAGAAGCAAAAAGGATAAAGAAAATCTAGAAATCTAAATTAAAAGAAACGAAAAATGTATTGATATTATGATTATTAAAATTAAGTAAATATTGTGATTTGTGTTAAAACGTGTTATATAAATAAATAAAATTTAATAAAATGAATATTAATTTATTGATTAGACTTAAAGTTTCTCTTTTAAATTAAAATGAAAAAATAAACAGGAAAAATTAAATTAGAGTTTTAATTATATTTTTAAATTCAAATAAAGAAGCAAGTATTTATTTATTTATTTATTATGATTCTAAAAACAAGTTTAAATGAAAATTTAAGTGTTGAATTAAAATTTATTTTAAAATAAATTAGTCATTTCAGTTTTATCTCAAATTAGCAGAATCTTTTAAAATGTTAGCAAAAACGTGAAGATTATATTTGATTTGGGTGATTAGAATTTATATAAACTAATATGGAAATAATTACTATGATCTTGCATACACCAAAGGCTGTTATTTAGAATTTAAGATAACGACTCTCTTAACTAACTCACCTTTTTTAAATAGATTTTTGATAATTTTAATAAATACTTTAATAATTAATTCATAAATTATATATTAATTAATTACTATCAGAAAAAGTCTTATTTTCAAAAATATTAAAAAGTAGGCTTTCGTTTGCCAATGCTTTTTATTCGTTTAATATGTCTTCTTCAGAAACAACCTTTCAAAAATTAAAATATTTTTAAAATACAGCTAATAAATCAATATTTTCTTTACCTCTGTTTTGACTGTCTCTTAGGTTATGCTTTCCAAGTTCTTTGTGTTAGATCCATCAGAAAGAAGTATTAATCTCCACATTCTGTTATATTATTTAAGTGATATATTTTTTAGCAAAAAACTAATATTTTTTTGTGATATTACGTTGTGAATTGAGAATCAGTTGAGTCCCTAGTGAATGATTACAAAATTTTGAGAGAGTTTTCCATTTTTTTTTAGATATTTGTAATATTTGAAGAGTGAGTGTTTTTTGTTTATTTATTTATTATGTTAATATTTGGGTTAAAAGGTATTTTAAGAATTAATTTGTTATATTGATGAAATGTATCTATCTATCTATGAATATATTTTTCTCATAAATATTTTCAAAGAAAGCTTAAAATCTTAAATTGTTTGTTAATTTATTTACTTGTTTGCATTTATCGATCTATCAAACTATCTTTATATTTATTAATCAATCTATCTATTTTAACAATTATTAAAAAAGTAAATCTTTTGACTTTATTTAGAAAAATAAATCCTTTTTTTAGCATAAATTGAAAAGTAAGTAGAGATATTCCAAAAGTAGTCCTTCTAAAAATAGATTTAAGGAAAAATATAAACAAACACAAGAAATAAAGATACCATATTTAGAATGATGGAGGAAGAATTTAAAAACTATAAAATAACTATTTAAGAATAAAACTTAGTGACAAGCATGATATCATAGTTTGATTAAAAATTGATTAAAATATAATAGAATGATTAGAATACTATAGCTTGTTGCTTTACTGATGGTAAAGTGGAGATATTTGGCAAAGAAAACTGTGAAAATTTCGATCTTAAACCAGATGTAACAGATGCCGTTACTGATTTGTTATGGTTCGATTAAAATCACCTTCTTTGTAGTCAAGATAAAGTTATTCATATTTTTGATATAGAGAAGAAATAATCAATAGTTGAGCTTTAGGGCCATTCATAGACTATTTTTTGTGTATGCAAGAACTTCTACAATAATTTAATAGCATCTGCTGGTAATTATTTGATTAATTTTCAATTTTTTAATGCATATTCAACAAAAACATTTATTATTTCAAGTATTTTGTTTAAAAATCAACATACAAGTTAATTAGTATGCAAATTAGCTTATGAGTGAATTAGTTAGTTATTTAGTTTATTGGCAAAGTTGCGCGAGAATTTAAATTTATTAACAGAAAAAATAAAATCATTAATTAGTAGATAAATTAATGATAAAGTTTATTGTGAAAACATTTTTGAACAAAATAATAAGCCAAATGAACTGGCTTAAAGTATATATTTAGGCATATAAATCTTAACTCAATATGATTTATTATCAAATCTATTAAAATTATTTACCAATTTGGTAGCAGGATTATTTTTTCTCCCTATTCATTTAGCAATTTTGTAAATATTCTGAATTTAAATAATTTTAAAGAAAATAAAAGAATGAAAGCTTAAGCACAAATAAATAAATAAATAATCAGTTTAAAATGATTTTGAAAATAGCAGTAAAAAAAAATAGATTTTATGAAAATAATAAATGAATTGATGGAGTTATTAATAGAATTGTAAAATAATATTTAGGATTTAATTAATACTTAATAGGTAATTAACTTGATAAATAAATAAAAATACAGATAGAAAGTAAATTTCCTAGTTAGATAATTAGATAAATAAATAGACACAATATTTTAAGAAAATAATAATTTTTAAATATTTGTTAAATGATGAAATATTAGTGAATTAAATGCATATTAAAATTATTTTATTTTTTAGATATTATTTTTAACTAATTTAACAAATTTTATAATAGGATAAGATAATACGATTATGATGTGGGATATTAGACAGAAGAAACCTATCAATTTAATTTTGGCTCACTCTCGTAGTATAACTTCCCTTTAATTTTCTAAAGATAGTATGAATGTTGTGAGTTGTGGTGCAGATGGCTTTACGAGAGTTTTCAGTACTCACACAGGGTTGTGCAGATGCACACTCAATTCAGACACAACAAGTGTTCCTGCATTTGTTAAGTTTGCAGACAATAATTAGTTTTTACTTGTGGATACATTAGCAAATAAAATTTAGCTTTGGGATTGGCACCAATAAGAACTGAGATAAGTTTATACTGGAATACAAAATGATAAAGCTTACTTAGAGAGCTTCATGATAAGAGATAAGTACAGTAACAAGTAAAGATTTATTCTAGGATTTTCTGAGAATAATTAAATCATAGTCTGGGATCTCCTAACTGGAAAAATACTTAAAAATTAAAAAATTAAATCAGATACCTCATTAAAATTATATTAAAAAGACGGTTTATAGTCAAATGGATTTTATTTATATGGAAACGATACCCACGAAATGTTCTAATATTCTATTGATATATCACTTACCGACTGAATGACTGAGTGAATCATTGACTTACTGAGAATTTAACTAATTTATTTATTAGTTAATTAATTAACTATCTAACTGATTAATTGATTGATTAGGTGATAGATAAAATAGCTAACTAGCTAATGAGCAAATTTAATATTTTAAAAATGATAATTTTTAGAGTAAGTAATTAATTAATTATTTATTTATTTATTTATATCATAATAACCATAGAAAATTATTATAAATAAACTAATTTATTTTCCTCAATTGTTTGTTTAATTTATGAACTAAATCATTAATTCAAATAAGTAATATTTAATGATTGTAAAAAAGAAACATATTACCACTTTTTTAACAGTTATTTACTTTTTTATTCTTTTTATAATAAAATAAGATTAAATAATCTTAAATTATTTTATAACAAATAAAATTGTTTTATTTTAATTACGAATTACATAGCTAAATAAATCAACTTAAAAAATACAACAAGAAAACTAAATAAATAATTAGAAGAATGCAAAATTATTTTTAAAAATCTGCTTAGAATTAATCAATAAAATTAGGTAAATAAAAATTTTATTGAAAGAATAAATGATTGATTGATTAACACATATAGTTTTAAGTTTAAATTTAGATCATTTAATTTTTTATTTTAAATTTTTTTACTATTTATTTATTAAAAGCTATTTTTTTTACAAGTTAATTAATAGAATTATTTTTATTCGCCTAATTACAATAATTGGATATTCAATAATGATACAATTTAAATAATCATAAAAATAAATAAATTATTAAATTTAGAAATTTAGTTTGTTTGTTTGTTTAATTATTTATTTATTTACTTACTTAAGTTAAATGATTACCTAAAAATCAAAATTAATGTAATAATTTAAGAATATTTGAAGAGCAGAATGTAATAAATGAAACTGTTAATTAAAATAATTATCAAACTAACTGCAACTTAAACTTTTGGATTCTCATAAATTATGGCATAAATAACTTAATTATTTAGATCTCTCTTTAAACCTTAAGATTAATAAATTACTGAAATTTTATAAAAAATTAAATTAAAACGATTCAAATAAATTAATAAATAAATGTCTATTTTTGTATGTTAGTTTTATTTTTGAATTTTGGTAACTTATATATATGAATGATAGGTATTTTTTATCTACAATCGTGCTTTAAGTGCAAATTTATATTTATTTATTTAATTTTATAATGCTAATTATTTCATGTGTAAATAAATTTTTTAAGGAACTTCCTGTGGAAATCACTTCTCACGTTGTCATTAATGAATCTTTACTTTTCATCTTTATCTTTCTTTGCTTGGTTTTTAAAAACTGAGTCTTCAAACCATCTTTATTAAAAATTAATTGATTAGTTTTTGCATTTTTATGATAAAAATAAATTACTTCTTTTTGAGGTTGTAGCCAGAAGATTGATCAAGAAGTGGGTTGTGTGTTAATAAATTTTATTGTCTTTGTTTTTCAAGTTCTTCTTACTTCAATCTTAACTATTATATAAATAAATAAATAAAATATATTTTAGATATTATTTTATCTTATTTTCAAATAATTTATAGCAATTAAATTATGATTGTTTGTTTGAGGTTTCTAGCTTGCTTATTAGTATAAATTCAATAACTAAATAACTAAATAAATAAAAACCTTTTCTTTTTCTTCAGCCTCTCTTTATTCTTTTATTTTTTGATATTCCTTCATCAGTAATTCTTCGTCATCGCTATCACTATCACTGCTGCTGCTTTGACTCGAACTATTTATTTATTTTTTTTAAATTTTAATTCTAGTAATCAATCCTTTTTTTCTATTTCTATTTAAATTACGCTTCTTTGTCTTCTTTTTCAGACTCTGATGAAGATGTATTTGCAAAATCTAAATCATCTGCGTCTTAAGGAAAAGGATTTATTGATTCTGCAGCTTTCTTTTTAATTGCTTCTTCATCTATTTCTTCACTGCTACTGCTATTTGAATCACTTTCTTCATCATTATCACCTATTCCACTAATGGGTTTATTTTTTATGTCATCTTCATCATCACTGCCATATTGCTTCAGTTATTAAATGACATTTGAAGATTCTGTTTTCAGCTTTTTACGCTACTCTGGCTCTTTGTATGTGATGGGATCCTCTAAATTACAAAATATTGTAAATGAATAATCACTGATTAAATATTTATGCTTCAATTACTTTTATCTTCCTCAATTTAACTGTAAATTCCAAGTTTTTCATTCTTTTCTTTCTAATATTTTTTCTCTTTTTCCAACAATTCAGCCTTGAAATCTTTATATTTTAAATCATTTCTGCTGTTTTAACCATCTTGCCTCACTTTAAGAGTAAGATGACCAGGTAGATCCTATTTTTAATTTAATAATATTAATTAGCAAATTTAGAATCGCTAAATTTATTTTTATAACAAAATAATGTCTAGTTTTAATTGAATACTCTTGAAGAATAAGATCTTGTAGGCACGCTTAAGCTAGCACCACCGGTTTCAGTTCCTTTTTTAAAATTAATACTTAAGTCTCTATGCAAATTAATTATGAAGAGGTTTAAATAAAATTTTTTATAGTTAAAATACCTCTAGCTGGCTACCAAGTAGGCTTATGGGCAGTAGTCATTTCGCTTTTTGATTTTATTAATTTAACTATTAATTTTTCTTAGTAATTAAATGCTTAAAAATAATATATATATAGGGACTAGACTTGATCTCAAAAAGTACTACTTACTTTGATTATTTTAATTTACTAATAACTAAAAGCTAGTTTGGATAGTTAATTAATTGTCTTTCTGTCTAAATAGTCTATATAAGATTCTTCTTATACAAAATCTAAAATTTTTTTTCTACTTATGAGCAAATCTTAATTTAAAAACAGTAATTTTTTATCAAAAATAATTCAAAATATCTTTAAAAATTTCCTTAAAAATAAAAAAATGATAAAAGCAAAATAATTAGTGTTAGTAGCAATTTTAATTTTAAGTGTCTTCTTAAATGGCTGCAATTCTTAAGTAGAAGAAGAGCTTGTACAAAAGCAGTAAGAAGCTTAACAATAAGGATAATCTAGTGGTGAATAAGGCGATTAGCAAAAATATAAATTAGAAATAGGCGACGAAGAAGTCTTCTTAAGCAAAGAAGAATATAATGAATTGATGACTTTTTTCAAAAATTATGATACTAATGGAGATGGTTATGTTGATAGAGAAGAGTTTATTGTAATGGGCAGATCAGTAGATTCATCAATTTCATTTAGTTCCTCTTCTGATTAAGAAATCTCAGATTTAATTAGCATGGTTGATTTCAACTAAGATGGATTGCTTTCTTTTCCTGAATTTATATCTTTGGGATTTTTGTATGATGACTAAGAAACATAAGGAGATGATGGTTTGGATGGTATTTTAAATGGAGATTATGAAGAAGAAGGATAGTATAGTGGTAATATCAATGATTAACAAGGATAATTCATTCCTGATGATCTTTGAAAGAAACTAAAAAATAAAAAATTAATCAATAAAGTTGTTAGATAAATCAAAGAAAATTTTTTTGAAGTTGCAAATTGATTGTCAATAATTTAATGATTTAATGAATGAATAAATTTAATTCATTTGAGTTGTAATATAAATATTTATACAAATTTTTGTTAATAACTAAAAAATGATCTCAATTTTTGTTATTTTAAATAGTTTGATTTTGCTAAGTTTTTAAAAATTTTAAATATTAAACATCAAAAATAAATAAATATATCATCATTTTAAAAATTATATTGATTGATTTAAATATTTATTCTAAATTAACCAAAAAAGAAAAATAATAATAAAATAAATACTGTAAATGCTCATAAATTAAGGCATTCCCTATGTATCTTTTTTGCCCAAAAAAAAATGCCACAGATAAAAAATAATTTGAATTATATTTAAAATAAAGAAAGAAAATTAGATATTTATAGATTATATAAAAATAAGCATAAAATTTTATTGGAATAAAACTTAGAAAATAATAGATTTTAAACTAAATTTATTTAGGCAGTTTTACATGAGTAAAAAGAATATAAAAATTTCGTCAGAAGTAAATATTTATTTAGATTTTATTTGAAAAAATGGTCCTAAAAATATTTTTTATTTTTTATGAATTATTTAAATATTTATTGAGTGCTTATTGATTAATTAATTAATTAGTTAGTTATTTAATCTTATAGAAAAAATTTATTAAAGATTGTTGTAAAATGATATTAAAATATACTTAGTTCTTAAACTAAAAAAACTAGTCTTTCTCAATACTAATTTTAATTTTTTATTTATTTTTTGAATTTCTATACAAATTATAATCAAAATCAAAAAAATTTAGTAATAAATAAATAAAGAGCAAATTTATAACTTAAAATTTAAAAATAATAATTTATATTTAATATATTGAATTCAAATTTAAGACTTAATACTATGTATTAGATTTTTATATTGCTAATAATTTTATGTTTTAATTGACAATTTTTCATAACACTTGAGGGATTTTTCATAGTCTTGCTTTTATTTATAAAAAAAACCTAATAGTTCAGAGGTATCATCATCTAATTCGATTTTTTTTGCTTTCTTTAAGTAGTATGATCCTTTCTAAAACATATTTTATTAAAAATAAACTTAACCTAAATTATAAAAGGCAATATGCTATCTTGGATTGAACTCTACAGATTTTTTAAAGTAGCTTTTTGATGTATTATAGTCATTTAAATTAAAATAGATATCTCCAATATTATTATATACTTCGTCATCCAAAGTGTTTAAGTTAATATATTTATTATAACAATTTAAAGATTCTTATATAAATCCTAACTCTCCGTATGCTAATCCCATTCCAAACACAGCAGCATCGTTTTAATCGTTTAAAGCAAAAGCCTTTTTATAAGAATCTAGAGATTATTGAAAATCTTAAGATATTTCATACAAATGACCTAGAAATAAATAAAGAATATCACAATTTTAATTCATTTAAGTAAGGCATCTTGTTTTCTCTATAAATATATCAACATCATTACTATCTTCAGATTTAATTTGTTAGCTTTCTTCTTTAACTTCAGATTTAATTTCTTAATTTCCTTCTTCATCTTCAGATAATTATTCTTTTTCTTGTTTAATATTATCAACAAAAGTAGCAATTTCTTAAAACAATTTTAAGTATTGAACTTCTTCATCCTTACTCATTTAAAACTTCGCTTATCCTTAGCTTTTATCATCATTTTTTTTCTATTGTTTATTTAAAGATTCAATAATTTGTTAAAATGATTTAATAAAATAGCTAGGGGAAGGAACGAAACTACATTAATTTCTAAAGAGCATTAATTGTAATATTTAGTTTACATCTACACCAAGACTTATACTGACTTAAAATTTATCACCCCAAATGTAATTTAAAACTTCCATATATGAAACACCAGTTAGACAATAAAGACATAAACCGATTGTATACATATCTTGTTTGCTACTCAAAGTTATCAAATCTTAATTATCTCGCTTATCAATTAAAAAGATTGGGAAGTATATTAATTAATCATTTTCAAGTGCATAAATTTATTTATGTAGTAGATATTTCACGCTAACTTCTTATTAAACTGTGAAAGTTGAGAGTTTTATATTCAAATCTCTATCTAAAAATATATTTTTTAAGCTTATATTGCTCAAAATGTACTTTTTTTGATGCAAGTAATCAGCTGCTTCAACCATTTACAAAGCAAATTTTAAAAATTATTCTTTTTATATTAAATTTTTCTTATTATCATTAATCCACTGCTGAAGCGAGAACTCTACTTTTTCCATAACAATAAAAAAGCTGTCCTCGATTTAGAAAGAATCGTAATATCTTATAATGTTTTTATGAGAGCACTGTTTTAGTCTATTGACTTTTTCTATAGCTATTTATAACTTTTTATACTAAGATAATTTTTCATCATTTTATACTGAGATTATTTAAATCATACAACTATTTTGCTAATATTTAGCAAACAAATATTTACCAAATCCCTCTTTATCTTTTCTTATATCGGTTACTTCTAAATCTTTAATTTGATTAAGTTGCTAAACAACCTGACTTACATACTAATCCACTTAGTCTTCAATCATTTTTATCAAAAATTAAGTAAAAGATTAAAATAAATTACAAATTAATTTTTTTGAAATAAAAAAAGATTTTTTTTGTTGAATTTAAAAGAAAGAAATATTAAATAAGTAAAACGATATATATTCTAAATGAAAATATAAAGTTGTTTTTTTGTTTTTATTAATAATATGGTTTTTTATTTAAAAATACAACGATTTTTGAAATTTAATGAGAATTAGGATGATTTGAGGTATATTTTTATTTACTTATTTATTTTCAAAATTAAAAAATTATTAATAATAAAGATAATATTAATTTAATAAAATAAAATAGTTAAGAAAATGAATGAAAATAATAGATTTTTAAAATATTTTGACAAAAAACGTTATTATAATGTAAAATATAAATTTTGCTCTTAAAAGTACTCTCTAGGCTGTTCTAAACCTTAAAAATAATCCCATTTAGTTGATTCTTGAAAAGAAATAATATCAATAATATTGATGATTTAAATTGATTGATATAACGTTAAATATTATATTAATTAACATTCAGTTACTCGGCCGGCCATATAATACAATTTTTTATTTTATATATATTCAGTATTCAGTTTTTTATTTCAAGGAAAATATGGTATTCGGTATAATTTATAAATTGACTACAGTATTATTTAGTTATATCGCTGAATGAAAAAAATGGCCATGCAGTCGATCCTTAATATTTAATGATTAATTAGTAAGTTTATGTTATAAAAAAAATTATTAAAGGTTGGAAAATGATAATAAAATCTACTAAGTTCCTAAACTAAAAAACTAGCATTTTCTTAATACTAAATAATTTTGATTTTTATTAATTTTTTGCATTTTAAAACAAAATTTAATGTTAAATAATTTAAAAATTTTAGTGGTAAATAATAAACAATTTTAATTATAACTTAAAAAAAAATAAATATTTTTTATTAAAAATAATTTATATTTATTTTCTATTTATTATATTGAATTCAAATTTAAGATTTAATATTATGTATTTGATTTTTATATTGCCAATGATTTTATATGTTCATAGATAATTTTTCATAGCACTTTAAGGATTTTTCATACTCTTACTTTTATTCATAAAAATAACCTAATAATTCATATGAATCATCATCTTATTCGATTTTTTTTGCTTTCTTTAAGTAGTATGATCCTTTCTAAAACATTTTTTATTCAAAATAAACTTAAGCTAAATTATAATAGGCAATGTACTATCTTGGATTGAACTCAATAGATTTTTCAAAATAACTTTTTGATGTATTAAAATCATTTTATTTCAGATAGATATCTCCAATATTATTATATACTTCATCATCGAAAGAGTTTAAATTAATATATTTATCATAACAACTTAAAGATTCTTATATAAATCCTAAATCTTCGTATGCTGATCCTAATCCAAACATAGCAACATCGTTTTTATCGTTTAACTCAAAAGCCTTTTTATAAGAATCTAGAGATTATTGAAAATCTTAATCTATTACATACAAAATGCCTAAAAAAAATAAAGAATATCACAAGTTTAATTTATTTAAATAAGGTATTTTGTTTTCTCTATAAATATATCAACATCATCACTATCTTCAGATTTAATTTCTGAGCTTTCTTCTTCATCTTCAGATAATTTTTCTTTTTTTTGTTTAACATTATCAATAAAAGTAACAATTTCTTAAAATAATTTTAAGTATTAAGCTTCCTCATCCTTATCCATTTAAAACTTAGCTTATCCTTAGCTTTTATCATCGTTTTTTTACTATTATTTATTTAGAGATTAAATAATGTGTTAAAAAGAGTTATTAAAATAGCAAGGGGAAGGAACAGAGCTATAAGTATTTCTAAAGAGCATTAATTGCAATAGTTAGTTTATATCAACACCAAGACTTATATTTACTTAAAATTTACCACCCTAAATGTAATTTAAAACTTCCATATACGAAACACCTGTTAGACAATAAAGACATAAACCGATTGTATACATATCTTGCTTGTTACTCAAAGCTACCATATTTTAATTACCTCCTTCCTCAATTAAACAAATTGGGAAGTATATTAATTAATTATTTTCAAGTGCATAAATTTATTTGTCTAGTAGATATTTCACACTAACTTCTTATTAAACAGTGAAAGTTGAGAGTTTTATATTCAAATCTCTATCTAAAAATATATTTTTTAAGCTTATATTGCTCAAAATGTATTTTTAGTGATGCAAGTAATCAGCTACTTCAACCATTTACTAAGCAAATTTTAAAAATTATTCTTTTTATATTAAATTTCTCCTATTATCATTAATCCACTGCTGAAGCGAGAACTCTACTTTTTCCATAACAATAAAAAAGCTGTCCTCGATTTAGAAAGAATCGTAATATCTTAAAATGTTTTTATGAGAGCACTGTTTTAGTCTATTAACTTTCTCCATGGCTTTTTATAACTTTTTTTACTAAGATAATTATTCATCACTTTATATTGAGATTATTTTAATCATACAACTATTTTGCTAATATTTAGCAAACAAATATTTACCAAATCCCTCTTTATCTTTTCTTATATCGGTTACTTCTAAATCTTTGATTTGATTAAGTTGCTAAACAACCTTACTTACATACTAATCCACTTAGTCTTCAATCATTTTATTAAAAATTAAGTAAAAGATGAAAATAAAATACTAATTTTTTTGAAATAAAAAAAGATATTTTTTTTGTTGAATTTAAAAGAAAGAAATATTAAATAAGTAAAAAATATACATTATAAATGAAATAATAAAAATTTTTTTTAGTTTGTATTAATAATTTATGATAATATTAATAAATACCATGTATCCATTCTCTAAATAAAAATAAACAACAATATTTAAAAAAGAAAAATTTTAGTTTATCAAATAAATAAGAAAGAATATAAAGAAAAATTATAATTAATATAATTTATTTGTTAAAAGCTTTAAAATTACACAATAATTTAAAATGTTATTCTTTATTATATGAATTTATATAATTTTCTTTTTTATTACTTTAGAAGGTTAATCTAAAGTATTTATTCACAATAAATGACTTGAGTGTATTAGTCTATTTCATTTTTCTTTTTATGGAAACAGTGTTTAATTTTATCACACAAAAAATATTTTAATTCTTTTATTTTTGTTTCATTTAAGCGTTAAATATTAAAAACATTCCTTTTTGAAGAACAGTTTTTATGTTAAAAGTTAAAATTTGTTTAAATTCATCAATTAATTTAGTAGGAATTTTAATTGAAAACAATATAATTTTTTCTATCTCTTTTAGTTTATCGATAACATTTGTAAAATTTGATTTATCATTTTCATATTTTCAATTCATCAAAAATAAACCAATTTTAATTTTGATTTTCTTTTATTTTATTTTCTACAAGGTTTTATATTTTTTTTTAATTTTTTTTACATTTAAGGAAATTTCATTTATTTTATTATCAACTTCAATTTTATTTTTCTTATTGGTTCTCTTGCTGAACTTAATTATTGATTTAATCACCTTTATGGCTCATAAAGCTTAAATTCGTTTGAGAATTCAAAAACTAATCAAAAAGACTCTTCAAAGTAGGGTCTTCTAGAATATCAATTTTACAAGAACTTTATGAGTTAACTGATTGGCGGCTATCAAATTTTTTAGACTTTTAGAGTTGTTATGAGTTTTGCTAGGAACTAAAAAAGTGGTCTATTCTTTTGTTATTATTCGTGCTTTTAAGTCTATCTGAAATATCAAAGAGAGATTCCTTTTTTTCTAGCTTAAGAAGATTGTTTTGGTATATAAAATCCAGCTTAGCTTATTCCTCTTCTGATATTTCTTTTCTTTTATATTTTCTTAGGTTTCTATCAGGTTCAACATCCAAACCTAAGAAGCTCATGAGCTCTTATTAGGATTCAGGGTTCATCCACCTTCTGAAGTCATCACTTAGCTTATGCAGTCTGGTATATTTCTATTTGAACTATGAGTAACCACCTTCTCCTTTTCTTTTAAGTCCATTTACATAACTCAAGTAGAATTTAATATTGTCAATCACCTGGTTTTTTCTAAACTGAGGCAATTTATATATTTCTAAAACTAGTCTCCGTAAAATTGATGGTGAAATTGCCTTTACTAAACACTCCATTTCTTTAAAGTTAGAATGAAGACTGTATGGGACCATATAATTGATCCCATCTGGATCTTTATGATCCAACATTAGAAAGTCTGTAGTAATCACAATAAAATCATAATTTAGGCTTTTAAATTCTTATATTTTTTGCTCTCTGTGTCTTTTTTTTATTATCTCAATAAAACCCTAATCTCTATCTGTAGTAAAAATATCTGTCCTGTATGTCCCTATAGCCTCCAATTAAAGTAGCTTTTTTTTGTAAAAGTAGAGCATAAATAAGTTAAATCAAATTTGCTAAAAATATATAAAAAAAATATCTATTTACCTTCGATTCACCAATTATCAACAGTGTTTGAAAATATTCTGATAATTTTATGCAAATGTCTTCTTTTCCTAGTGCTCCCATTGCTATTAAAACTCTTTTATTTCTATTCTTTTCTATTATTTCAACCATTCTTTTAAAGACCTCATCTCCTCTAGGAAAATTGAATGCAGGATTGCAGTAAGTGTTGTCATAAATCATTTCATCTATCTGGTTTAAACAAAAGATTTTCGATATGCTAATTAAATTTCTATAAAAATTTACTTAAATTGAACAGTTTTGGAGATTTTTGGTCCTTAATTCAGGAGGAAACAGAATCGGATTGCAGTCAATCATGGATTAATTAAACCGAAAATCTCCAGTATGAAAAATAGTTCCCATATAACCTTTAAATAGAATCATAACAGACCCAGGAATATGGTGAGCATCGAAGAACCAAACTTCAACTTTTAAACTCTCTATGTTGTTTAAGGTAAACTCATACTTTGTATTCAGCTGAAGAGCATGAATATTTTATATCTTTGGATATTTTTGTAAAATTAAGTTTTTTGATATTTCAGAGCAATAAATTGGGGAGTAATCCCAGAGAGGACTTAAGCCTTCATAATGGTCCTGATGAAAATGAGTCAAAAAATGTATAAAAGTGTTTTTCTTAAAATTTTTACAAAAATCAAAATCATCAACAATTATATTTGTGTTTGTGATGCATCTCATTCTATGCTTAAATTTTAGAGCTTAAATATCAATCAATCAATTTATTAATTAATTAATTAATAAATTAACAATTAATTAATCAGATTTAATTTTTTTAAATATTTGCGGATAAAAACTAATTACAAAGATATTTTAGAATGTTATTATATGAATGGCTTAAATGCTTTTATTCTATCTAAAATGATTTTTACTTTATTTCTAAAAATTCTTTTATATTTATTTTAAAGCATAATATAGATTTTTATACATTTTAACTACTTTTATAAGATTTGTTTGTTTAGCCTACATTTTATTTTATTTAGAATCAAAGTTTAATTCATATTTAAAAAAGCATTAAAAAACTGCTCCGGGAGGGGCTTGAACCCTCGACCTTGGGTTTATTAGACCCACGCTCTAACCAACTGAGCTACCCGAGCTGAATGATATATATCAAAGGATAAGTAAGAAATGTTTATTTTTAAGGATAATTTGGATTGATATTTGTGTAAAACTTAAAACAAGAATCAAAGCAAAGAAATCTATTAATTAAATAAAAAATAAATTTTTTAATTAATTTAATTAACTTATTATGAATATTTAATACCACAAACTCTCTATTTTAAATATAATTTTTAAGTAAAGCTAGGATTTTTGAAAATAATTTTTAATTAAATTTTAAAGAAATTTTAGATTAATTTTAATATTAAATAAATAATTTAAAACCAAAGTATAGCTTATTTTTATTAATTAAATGTTTTTTAATAAGTTTAGCTTACTTTTACTTATCAAAATCTAGTTTATAAATTTTACATGTAAAAAAAATATTGTAATTAGCAACAAGAGAAGATTTAATTATAATTTTTAAAAATAAATTAATTAAATAGTTTATTGAATCACTTATTCATCCACTCCTTGCTTCGATCATTCTTAAAATACTTTTACACATTTAAAAAATAAAAATAATAATCAAATTAATAAAATGTCTAACAATGAATACACTAAAATGATTAGCATTTAGAATTAAATAAATAGAATTAAAAAAGAATTTAACTTTGGATTTATTGAAAACTTTGAATTCAGTGGTAAAACTTATGAGCTAACAAACTACTTGCTAAAGAGAAAATTTGGAATTAATTGCTAACAATCTTTATAAATTATTTGAGAAAAATAACGATTTTTGGACTCTCTATTAGCCTCAGTATCCTCAGGTTAAAGAAATCATAGAACACAGAGTAAGATGGTCACTTGCTTCTCACTTATCTTTGAAATTAGTTATTTCTCGAATTTTGTTATGTAAGATTAAGTAAAATAGAAAAATTACTAATGTAAAAGTATAAAATTAATGAGTTAAATTTTATACTGTAAATTTACTTAGATAACTTCCTCATAAAATATTTTATTTTTTCTATTAAATATATTGTAAACAACTTACTTTATATGCTTGTTAATTAATTATTTATAAGTTGTTATTTCTTCTTCTTATAATTGTGTTTTTTTAAAAATATTTTCAAATAAATTATTATTAAATTTATAATATAAAATTACCTTTTATTGTAAAATATTATTTTTACATAAATTAGAGAATTTTGATTCTTTTTTCATATATTTTAACCAATATTTTTAATTACTTTTTACTTTTTATTAAAAAGAAATTCAATTTATTTATTTTTTTACAAATTAAACTTAAATCTTAAACAAATGTGATTTAATACTATTTAGAATTATTGAGCAAAATTAGTTCAATATTCATGTTATTGTTATATTAAAATAAGATAAATAACAATTTATGAATTATATTTAAAAAGTATCAATTGAGAAAAAAAATAATATTTTGGGAATAGTGTTTTATTTGTTTGATTAATTTGAAAGATCATATATGAGTTATATCGAAAAATCAAAAGAATTTAATAGATGATATAAAAATTGCAAGCTATTTCCAATGAAGCAAGCTATGAGATCAGATTTCGTAAAAAGATCTTTGAGCTATCAAAAAAGATATCAGAAGAAAAGGAAAAAAAAAAAAATAATAAATAAATGAATGAATAAGTCTGTTTGCTTGTTAATTAATTATTTTTGCTTGCATATTAGGAATAAATGAAGTAGCTATTAGCATCAATGAATCTTATAAATGCTAATAATAAATCAATATATATCTTTTCATTACTATCCATATTCATTATTAATTGATTGATTTATAGATTGTGTCTTCTCATTAATTCATTAATAGAAAGAAAGTTTTGATATATAAAGATAAATTAAAAGATTCATCAATATTAATAATTAATAAAATAAAATCTGTTTTTATTATAAAATAAACAAGCAAACAAAAAACAAGAAAGTTAGCTTCGTCAACAAAAATCTTAGCAGTAGCATTAAAATTTGAAAAAATGGTTCAATTAAGTGATATTTTGAGTTGCCCCGATAACACTGACGCTTTAGCAAATTAAATTATTTCAGGATAAGAATACGATGTCCTCTAGAAGGCAATTTAAAATTGTAAATTATTTATTGGAATTTACTATATATGGCACATATGAAAGCTTAAAAACTACAAAAAATCCAATTATTAACTATAAAATAATGACGATATTTCAAATGAATATTTAAATATCAATATTTTACCTAAAATATCAAATTATTTGTAAAATAATAACTCATTATATTTTCTAAAATTAGTAAGCATTGATGATCAAAAGCTCGTTTTTACTTAAAAGTTCTTAAAGAGCTTGATATCTATGTACTCTAAAATAGACATTAAAAATATGCAGACCATCGGTGAATTTATAGTTAAAACTCTCAAGGACAAAATGTTTTTCGAATACGAAGTAATTAATTAATTAATTAATTAAAAGCTTTTAGAAATATTTTAAATAAAATAATTAATTTATGTTTTAGCAATAGTAAAAAATAATAATTTGATTAATCGAATTAATTTAATAGGTATATCAAACTCGTGTTGAATTGAGTAAAGTTTATGAGGGTATGAACCAACCCTATCTTGCAGGTCAAATATTGGCTTAGGTTAATTATGACTCTCCTAAATTGTACATTATTCATTATTAATTGCTATTTAAAATATTCTGCTTAGAAAATTTATTAATTTGATATTTTGTTTGAATAAATAGACAATTAAGTGTTAAAGAAAAGGTTGATAAATACCTTTCAATTATTACCTTCTTCTTTGAAATGGAAGAATAAACTGCTGCTGAAACTTGGATCAGCAAAGCAGGTAACATCAACTATGATTTAATCGATGATAAATATTACAAATTCAGATACGAGAATTTATTCGCTGTCAACTTGGATTTCCAAAGAAAGTTTTTACCTGCAGCTCAAAAGTATTACTATTTATCAAACTACCCTGACATTGACTTTGAAGAAGCTAATTTGCTCTTAAATGCTGCTTCTCAATGTGCTATTTTGGGTAATGCAGGTCCACTTAGAACTCGTATCCTTGCCACCCTTTATAAAGACGAAAGAATTCAGTCTATTCCTAACTTCGAAATGCTTGAGTTGACGTAAATGATAAATTAATTCTTCCAGATTAAATTCAACAGTTTCCTCTTTCTTACATAAATAAAGAATAAAGGGAGTGTTTGAACAAAAATATTTATTTTTTAAAGAAACTAATTGAATGCCTAATATTAATTTGTTAAAATATATAAATAGTTACATGCAAAGAATAGTTAGCAAGGAGTAAAAGGATAAATTTGCTGGATCTTTGAAAAAGCATCAATTATAAATTTTAAGAGAAAACTTCACAGTCTTAGATGAAGCTATCTTACAACATAACATCACAGCTGTATCTTAGGTTTATGAATCTATCACAATGAAGTCATTATCTCGTTTGGTCTACATCGGAAGAGATATCGTAAATTCAAAAAATAAATAAATAAACAAATAAAATAAAACAAATTTTAAACAAAGGTGGAAGTATGCATCCAAACTATGATTGAAGAAAAAAGAATTAATGCCAAGATTGACTAGTTAATTGATACAGTAAGTTTCTAAAGAGGTAAATTAAACAAATAAACTTAAAAATAGATTAATAATAAATAAACTCCTTTTATATCAAAACAGATGAAGATATCCCTGTAGATTTTAATGACAGAATTAGCTAATTCTGTGGTAGACTTAATGAATTCTATGAAAAAATTACTGCCAAGTGATTATTTGAATAATAGTTTGTATGCATTTTGCACTTAATCCTTTTTGTATAAAAATATTATTCTAAAAACTCATTTTATAAATAAATTCCAACTACAAACAAATAAACAAAGTTTTTAAAATTTTATTTATTCATAATACATCGTATTAAATTTTAAACAAACAAATATATATATATATATATAGAATTTATTATAATTTTTATGAGAAAAAACTATTTTATTGATTCAAAAAAATAGAAAGTTAAAAAAAAATAATAATTGATGAATTGATAGATACTTACTTATTTACTTACTTGATTGTCTTTTAAGTTATATTTTATAAATAAGTTTTCCATATTTTGTTAATAATTTAACTAAAATTTAAAATGTGTGTTTATATTTATTTATATAAATAAATAAATGCGTACTACTTTTCATTTCTTTTGGAGTGATTTGTTTGAATTAATTCAAATATTTATTTGTTATTTATTACAGAACATAAATATTTTAAGATAGATTGTGCTATTGTAAAATTAAATAATTATATCACTGATTGAAAATTAATAAATTAAGAAGCAATCAATTATTTTTTATATCCTGAAAATGAAAAGCACTTATACAAATAGTATTATTAAAATAATATTAACAGTACTTATTTTTACTCAAAGCACGGTCGTTGCTAAAGGAAATTTAATAGAGTTGGATCTTATAAAGCAATAAGTAAATGGATAATAGCTATATAATCGATTATAAAGGGAATTTAGTAATCCATAAAAGGTTAAATAAGAATAAGATAAAATCATAAAGCAGATAAACCATAAACACTATAATGATAAATAAAATGAACTAAATTCATTTTAAAATTCTACAGAAAATTAGAGTGCAGATTAAACATAAATTCCAGAGCTGCTACTGAGAAATATTTAAAATAATTAATATATTGTCAATTTATATATTGGATCTCAATCAGTTAAGTAACCATTATTGATTGACACAGGTAGTCCATATACTCTAGTCGATGGCGTTGACTGTGAGAAATGTCATATTTAAAATTCTAAAAACTCTCTTTTTGATTGCAATTAATCACCTACTTGCAAATTAACTGATAAATCTTCCTATGAGCTTACATTTGTACAAGGAAAAGCTCAAGGTTTGTAGGTAATAAGATTTAAATAAATTTTATTTTTAATCTATAAAAAACAAAAAGCTTAAATTTAAATAAAAATGTTCTAAAAAGCAACTGGAAATAATGAAGAATATTATAAGGTCATACATACATTCATAAACAATATCTCAATAAATAAACATATCATTCTTTATTTTTATATAACTTAATAAATAAATCATATCTTAATATAAAATAAATTATTCATTTATGAAATGTTTATTTTAAGTAGATATAATATTATTAAGCTTGAAACCAAAAAGCAAGCAACAAATAATTTATCAATCAAGGAAAAAAAAACAAACAAATAAATAAAGGAAATAAGCAATAAATCAAACAAATTAATAAATATAAATAGGCAATAAACAAACAAGCAACCTTTTTAGCAAACAAGCAAATAAAAGTTATAAAAATAATTTAAAACTTACAAAATTAGCTTAAACACAAAGTAAAATTGTTTTGAAGATGTCAAATGAGTTTTGAGCTTTATGTTAAGAATTAAAGAACAGTAAATATGTTTCTATCATAAATTTAAAGTTATATTTTAAGAGTTTAAATCTTTTATAAATTTCGAAAATTGAAGAGGAATTTATTTCGATTGAAAAGACCAGTCAAAATTTCAAAAAAAAATTATAAAATTTTAGCAAATAAATATCCATTTTTTAATTAATAATTTGTAAGGGATTAACAATTTCCATAAAATAATATTTTTAAGCAAATAAATAAGGTTTTTTTAATAATTTATTTAGCATTTTTCTTTAAGTTAAAATTAATAAAAAAAAAGGAGTTTTAAAATTATTTTTAGCAATAAGCTTTTTAAATTGAATTGAATTTATTTATTTATTTGAAACATTTTATTTAATAAAAAGTTTAATTAAAGTTTTAATTTTTTGATAATAGGTTAAAGATAGAGTTTGCTTATAAAGTGGATTAGCTCAGTGCACTTCTAATGAGTTTACTTTCATAGATATATATAATATTACTTATTCAATGGAAAATATTGAAGCAGATGGAATATTAGGATTGGGGATGATAAAAAAGAATCCTAATTTTTCTTTTGTTTAACAGCTGTTTGCAAGTGGACAAATTTCTGAACCTTCATTTTCTCTTTACATTAACGATATTAGCTTCGATATGAGGTACTAGAAGGATATTTCTAAACTTATTTTGGGAGGTGTTAACATGAAATATGGAGTTGAAAATTAGGTTATGGTTTATCACAGTATTGCAAATTCTGATAGTTGGGCATTAAACTTAGACACAGTGAAATTCAATGATAAAAATATAAAATAGAAGGATTCTAAGATAGCAATAATTGACTCTGGATCATCCAATATTGTTCTTCCAAGAGAGGACTATAATTATTTATTGAAGTATTTAACAAACGATCTTCATTTCATTTGTCAACCATAAAACAATATATACCTTTAATGTTCATGTCCAACTGGAGAGATTGGAGTCTTTCCAGAGGTAAAGATTAAGTTTGCAGGAGTTGATTAAATATATGTATTAAGTCCAAAGGATTACATCATACAAGAAAACCACCTTTGTAATATGCAAATAAGCTACTACTCTTCAACTGATGGTTCTTGGATCTTAGGTGATGTTTTTTTGAGAAAGTACATGTCCTATTTCAATATTTAAAAAGAATAAATTGGACTCATTCTCTCCAACAAAAAAAGTCTTGAAAGTAGAGAATTTCTTAAGGATGTTATGCTCATTTTAGAGTGTATCTTAGGCTCTCTTTTCTTGGGTATCTTAGTCATTTATTTCATCCGCATGATTAGTGGTTTAAAGAATGCTAAGGATGAAGAACTTAATTTTGATTGATTACTGTATTAATTTTAATTTAATTTATTACTGATCGACCTATGTATGTTTTTTGCAAAAATAATTTTAAATCAGGTTAAAAACAAACAAAAATTCTTAAATTGTATTCTTATTTTTAATTAAAATTAATTAAGCTGTTTTTATAGCAAGCAAGCAAGCAAACAAAAAAAGAAATTAAAATTATTCTTAAAATGAACTTTAATTATTATTCTAGGAGAAGTACTCTCATTTTCTAGAAAATATTATATTTTAGAGTTTTTAATTAATTCATCACACTTAATTAATTAGAAAAAGACTTAATTATGTAAGAGGATTGTTATAGAATAAATACGATTTATTTGTTTATATGTTAAATTTATTTTTTTTATTAACAAAATTAAATCGCTTTTTACAAAACAAATTGAATTCATTCTAAATAAAGCAAGAAAAGAATATGAGGTGATTTGTTATTTACATAATACAATTTTGTTTCGAAAGAGGAAACATAAATTATTTAATATTAATAAGAATTTCAAATATTTTGAAAAGGGAAGGAAAAATCATTTAATGGAAAATTGGGGAAAATTAATAATTTTTCATAATTTTATTAATTAATTTGAAGAAAAAGCTTTTGTTTAGTTGTGAGGAAAAAATATTAAGATTTAATTAATTTCAAGCGAAAATGAAAAAAATATAAAGAATAATAATTAAAAAAATTATTAAAAAAAATTCAAAAAAGAAAGAAAAGGATTGCTATCTCTATAATGTCTGTATGAGGATAATTTAAGTTTTTAAATCAACACAAAACTCCCACATAAAAGCCACTCCCCTTACAATTTTTAATGCAATTAGCAATTATCCACATACAAACTTAGAAATAGCATCCTAAAAAGCACATAAAAATCAAAATAAAATTGATTTATTATGGAGCGATTTAGATTGTCAAAAAAAAAATAAACTCATAAATCTAATAAACTTATTCTGAAGGAATATAGTTGATTCTCTCTTAGAAAATAAATAAATATATAATTAGTATTTTTTTATAGGAAATTTTAAATGCGATTGAGACAAAGATCATGTAGAATGAATTAAAACAAATCAACGAATGAATTAATGAATGAATGAAATATTTACTTTTGTGCAATTTAATAATCTATCAGCTAAGCAAAAAAATATAAATAAAATTAAATTAAATAAAATAAAAACTAAATAAAAATATCTGATAAAAATAAATTCAAATAAATAAAAAATACAAACAAAAATAAAAATAAAAAACAAAAAACAAATAAAACAAAGATAAATAAAATAAAACAAAAAATTAAATTAAGAAAATATATTCAGGAAATAAATTCAAATTTTTAATTTTAAAAGCTGAAGCTTTTATTTAAATAACCATTTCAAATTTGATTTTATGTTTGCTTTATTAGTTAATATTTGAAGCATTTTGTTTAATTTTTGAATTTATTTATTGTTGGAGAGATATTTATTTATTTATTTATTTTAGTTAATGATTTGTCTTTAAATAGATACATATATAGATAAATATAAAGATATATAGATATTGGGTAATTTTAATTGAAAAATATTGTTAAATAATTTTGAGTGAATATTCTTACATCTCAAAAAAAAAAATAATTGTTATTTTAATTTTCTATCACGTGTTGGTATTTTTGCAGAAAATAAATCAATAAAAAGCAATTAATAATAATTTATTTATTGATTAATTGAAGTATTTACTTATTTATTTGATATAATTTAGTTTAGCTTATTGATACTTTGAAAATAAAATATAAATTAGAATCCATCTTCTGAAATTATGGAGCAAAATAACAGGTATGTATTTTAGTGATATTTATGGCTTATTTTAAAATATTTTTTGTAAAATGCGATATAGTTTATCTCAATTCTTAAAAGTAGATCAAACAACTTTACCTAAAACTGTAATTGATAACAAATGTAATTAGAATATTTTCAATTTGATTCCTGAGCCCAGCAGTTTATTTTAGGTGAATTAAATACAAAGTCAATAAAATCAGAATAGTTAGCCTATTCCTTCATTGGATTAATTTTATAACAAACAGCTACAATAAGCTATACAATTTTAGATTCAGAATTATCTAAAAAAGAGTTAATATAATTAGAAAATGGGAAAATTTAATCATAGCTAAAATTTTTAAGCTTAACGGGGAAAAGGATTTCGCTTTTAAGATTAAGAGTAAACAAATGGAATCAATATATCTTAGAAAAATAATGAATTAAATATACTAAGCAAATAGTCATCTTAAAAGGAGCAGTTTTAAAAAACTCGTGATAAAAAAAATCAGCTGACTCTTGATAAAAAGTTAAAGAAATTAGAAGTATTATAAGAATAATAGATGATATTAAATTAATTCTAATAGCAATAAATGGAAAAGTTGAAATTAATCTATTAACAACTTAATCATATTTAAGCTTAAAAGCTAAGCAAAAGTACTGAAATAAATTTTGAAATATAGTAAAATAGCACTACTATAAATACTGCTGCTCCTACCGATAGCGATGACTAACAAAATTATCAGAATTCTACTAAGCAAGAGGGAGAATAGATTCAAAATAGCAGCTCACTTCTTGATTAAACCAATGAAAAAAATCAAGACTAGATTAATGATTAACAAGAATAGAAGTCAGATGAAGAAGAAGCTAAAAATGAAAATAAAGATAAAGCAGCTGCTGAAGAAATAAGACAAAGTGATTTAGGGTAGAAATAAAGCGAATAAGAATAATCTTTTTAACAAGATGAATAAAATAATTTAGACAAATAAAGAAAATTTGTTTAAGCTAATTTAATGTAAAAAAATGCTAAAGAAAGTGATTATGATTACTTATTTTTTATTGATTATGAATGCAATTAATCTTATCTTGGATCTGAAATAATTGAGTTTCCTATTTAAGTTGTAGATGTGAAATAGTTAAAAATTATCGATACTTTTTCTTCATATGTGCAACCCTGTTCTAAAATTACTAAATTAATTACAAATCTGACTAAGATTGATGATAATAAAGTTTAAAATGCTCCTAAAATATAGTAAGTTCTTCAGTAAGTTCGAATATTTTTGGAAAAATATTTGAAAAATAATTTTGATAGATGTGCTGTTGTTTATGATAACAAATCAGATTTTTTGTTTATTGTTGAAGAATCTATCAAAAAGAATTTTTTACTTCCTGCTTTTCTATAACAATACATTGATCTTGGCACATGCTTTCCAATTAGAAACGAATAAAATATAAATGAGTAGAGAATTTCTCTTAAGGGTATGCTTGATACTTTAGGTATGAAATTTTAAGGCTAAAAGCATTGTGGTGCTGATGACTGTAAAAATCAAGCATTAGTAGCTATTGAATTACTAAAGAGAGGATATAGCTTTACAAAAGATTTGTAAGTAAATGATCTAGAATAAGTTATCACAAACTATTTCAAGAGAACTGAAAAGCAATTTGCTAAAAAACTATCAAAGTTAAAAAATAAAATTTAGACGACCTATAAAAAGGAATGAATGAATGAAGGAAGGAAATTCTGTTTGCTAAATTGTATGTTTAAAAAAAATCTATCTTTCTATCTATCTATAATTACCATTACGACAATATAATCAATCAATCAATAACCAACCATTTTAAATTATTAAATTAACCATCCAAGCAAATACAATAATCAAAAATAGTTTTAACTTATATCTTTACATTTATTCCACCCACTTCCTTATTTTCTATCTATCTATCAATAAATTATTTATAGCTAACTCAAATAATTAATATGATAAATAATATATTAATTAATAACACTTATTCTTATATTTTATCTATTATATTAAATAAAAACTGTATCATACTTTTAAATAATTTAAATTAAAAATAAATAAGTCTTTCTCATCAAAATTTAAAATATGTTGATTTTTATTTTGTCATTTAAAATATATTTAACATACTTATTTACTTACATACAAATTTGTTATCAATCAATTAATATATTTTTTATAAATATATCCAATTTTGATTAGAGAGCATAAAAAATATTAGTTAGATAAATAACAAAAATAATCATAAATTTATTTATTTATTTAGCTAAACTTAATTGCATGATCAAAAAAATAATAATAAAACACAATATTTAACTATAAAATTAGTTAGAACTTTTGGTTTTTTTTATTATTATTTCAATTTTCAAATATTCTTTTTTTACAATAAGTTTATAAAATTTAGAAAATGAGTGAATTTAAAATAGAAAAGCTTCTATAAATTTCTTTTTCAAAATAAATAAATAAATATTATTTGCAACCAACAACTGCAAAAATAATTGGTTGATTAAAAATTAACACTATGCAATTAAGTATTTTAACTTATTTTATGCAAAAGCAATACACACAATAACTATTTTTTATAAATAATTGAAAAAAGATATTCAATAATAAATAAATTAATTTACATTTAGCAGCAATTAATTTCAAATGAAAATAAAAGTAATGTTTCTCGATAGTCAAAAATCATGTTAAGTTCAAAACAAATTATTAGTCCTTAAAAATTAATAATCATTAAAAATATTTTATTAAGGCTAACTATCTTCAAAAAAAAAGAATTTTTACTTGTAAAATCAATTTAACTATAAATTTTTTGCTTTTATGGGCTTATTATTGATTTATGAAACTCTTAAATGAAATTAAATTTCCAGATGAAATTCAAAATCTAAATTCTTTTCTTAATTTTAATTTACACTTAATTTATGAGCGCAAATCTTTTTTTTATATTTCTTTTAGATAAAAATTAAAACTTAATTAAATTCACACACAAAAATGTTTTTATTGAATGACTCATAAATATTTGTTAAACTTTCCAAAAAAAAGTGAAGACAAAAGATATTAATATTAAGTTTAAGCTTATTTTGTTTTATTAACTACAAACATTTTTTAGTCCAATTAAATAGAAAAATTTATTTTACTATTCAAAAATTTAAAATTATTTTTTTGAATTAATTAAAAAAATTTTAAATAAAATGAAAGATTTTATCATAAAAATATTTAAGAATTTTTTATTTAGGTTTATTAAGAAATTTTAAATGTGATTATTTGATTTTTTTTAATATGCAGCATTATTATAAAATAAGTATTTAGGTTACTTAGATTAAAAGGATTCGATTTATATTTAATTAATTATATTGATATAAATTATTATGCAAATGATTAATTTATCAAATGAAATCAGTCGATCGGTCTGTCAGCTCTACAAAGAAAAAACTGTCTTTATTAAAAAGTTAAATTTAATTAAAAAGGTTAAGCAAAAAAATGTAAAGATACATATAAATATATAATTTAGATTCTCTTAATAAGACATACTTTAAATTAGCTTACTTTTTATAACAGATAATTTGTCAAACATAAGTAGTAGCTTTATAAATGTAAATTTAGGTATTTAAAATATCATGAACAAATAACTCTGTAAAAATTAGCTATTTATTTTTGAATGGATTAATGAATGAGAGAAGGAACAAAGAATTTATTTTATTTTTGAACATTTTGATTTATTTCTTATTGTTTCTTATAAGCTTGTAAGACATTCAGTATAAAAATTAATAATTAGGAGTGAATGAAATTCGTAAAAGAATGTAATAGTGTGTAGTGCGCTAAATGGTTTTAACATTATTAGAATTACTTTTGAGATTAAAAGATAAAAAAGATAATTAAATGTGTTGAAAATCAACCAATTAAGAAAGGCAACAGTAAGAAAAAAAAGAAATTAAATAATTAACAAACTTTGCAAGCTATCAAGCATTTTATAAAACAAACAAACAAAGCAAACAACTAATAAAAAGGTTTAGTTATATATAATATTAGTATAAAAGCATCAATCAATCTATTTATCAAGAAATCAATAGATTAATCTCTATATAATAAATAGATTCACTTTGAAATTAAGCATAGTCACTCCCACTCTAAAGGGAAGATAGCTTTATAATGAATCAAGCCCCGGAAGGATATTTTGCTATTATAGGGAATTACTATGTTGGTAAGGATATTTCATTTAAAATTTTTATTAAAATATCAATTCAAACTGACATATTTTTGAGTTTTGGGTTATATGCTCTCAACAAATTATAAAGAAAACTAGTATTTATAAGGAAGTAACATACTTAACAAATTATTTATCAAATAGGCAAAACAATAGGGAGAGGCACTTTCGGAAAGGTCAAAATGGGCCTTCATACTTATACAATGGAGAATGTAATAAATATAATTAGAATTAAGATTAAATTAGTTTAGATTTAGTTGACTTTTTTCACACAAGTTTCAATCAATATCAGCAAAGACAACAAACAAACATTATAATTAATTTTAAATAATGAAAATAATAAGGTGGCTATCAAAATTTTAGATAAAGACAAAATCGTAGATGAATCGGATAAAATTAGAGTTGCAAGAGAGATTTAAATTTTAAGAAAAATTAGGCATCCAAACATAATTTAGCTCTACGAAGTAAATTTTTAGAATCTTTATTTTGGCATTATTTAGCAGTTTGAATAATTCATTAAATACTAGGATTAAATCGTTTTTAATTTGCTATTAAAATAGATTATTGAATCGTAAACATAGCTTTTTCTCATAACTGAATATGCTCCAAACAATGAACTCTTTGATTTCATTGTGAAAAGAAACAGGTATATTTTTTAAATTCCCCTAATTTACATTCAGTTAATTATTTATTAAAAACAAACACAACAGATTGAATGAACGATAATCTGCAAGATTTCTCTTGTAAATTCTTAGTGCTGTTGAATATCTGCATTAAAATAACATAGTTCATAGAGATCTCAAGCCTGAGAATCTCCTACTTGACTGCAACAACAATATAAAAGGTAAAAATCAAATAAACTTTAGATATGGCAAAGGCTAAATCTCTAAATAAAAAAAAAGAATGCATACATGCATGCATGCATCAAAACATATAAAAATAAATCAATAAATAAATAAATATAAAAGTTTTCTGAAATTAGATTACATTCTGCGATTAATCTAATTATTAGAAAGTATGAATAAATCAATAAATTAATGAAATACATATGATAAGTATATTTATTTACAATCATTCTAGCTAGAATTAATAAGCTTTTATTAAAAATCATAAGAAAGATATTAATTAATTTTAACGAATCAGCTAAAAACAAAAAAAGACATTTTTAAGAAGCTCTTAATTTATTTTTAATTGCATTGCTTAGTTATAAAAGCTGAGATTTTCTATTTTATTGAGAAAAAGATCAAATAATTTTCTTAAAAAGTGGTGGAAATAATTTGATTTTGAAATTAAATAAGTAAATGAAGAACTTAATTGAATCAATCATTTTTCTAAATCATAAAGATTTTATCAAATAATTGGCTAGCTAGCTAGCTTTTTAATAAGTTAACTAACTAAATAAGAGTCTCTAATTAATAATATTTGAAAAAAATTGATTAAATAAAATTATATTGAATCATATAAATACCTTAAGTTGATTTTATTCATCAGTCTTTGAATTATTTTTTAAAACAAATTTTCAAAGACGTTTTTGAAGAAAGAAATTTGTTTTTTTTTTTGAAATTTGAGGGTGATAATAAAATAATTTTACAATAAAGATGCTTTGTTTGTTTTTAATTTAAATTATACTAATATAATAAAGTTGTTGATTTTGGATTAAGTAACATGTATGAAGATGGCTAAACTTTAAAGACAGCTTGCGGATCACCATGTTATGCTGCTCCAGAAATGGTGAGTGGAAAAAGATACGAAGGATTAAAGACAGATATTTGGAGTTGTGGAATTATTTTATATGCAATGCTTTGTGGTTATCTTCCATTTGAAGACTCAAATACTACAGACTTATATAAAAAGATTATCAACGATCCGGTTAAGTTGCCAAAATTTTTAACTGATAGATCAAAGAGCATTTTAAATGGAATACTAGAGAAAAATCCTGAAAAGCGCTTAACGATTGAGGCAATTAGAAAACATGATTTTTGTATATTGAACAGCAATCAACCAATTTTAAAAGGAATAATTTTTGGGAAAGATGATATCTTGGTAGATCCTTTAATTTTACAGATTATTAAAAATTAATACGGGATTGATAGTGAATAGGCTAGAGTGATGATTCAAAATAATAAACACAATTAAATAACAGCTACTTATTATTTACTTTTAAATAGTCATATTAGAAATGGAGGAGTCAGCATAGCTGATCTATCCAGACCTCCTCCAAAGAAGACTCTTTCATTGAATTAAGAAAATAATTAAAAAGAAACAAATGAATCTTCGAGTAAAAAGATTTAAGAATAAAATACAATTTTAATGGAAAATAAAGATAAAAATGGTTTATAATAAGATAAATAATCTGTTAATATCAATTATTCAGAAAGGGTCAGTGCTATGAATAAATAAGCTCCAAATAAATCTTCTACACCTATAAAAAAAGGCGTAGATAATAAACCTCCTTTATAAAATTTTGAATAATATGTAGCATTGTAATAAAGGATAAATAAGGAGAAATAGAAAGATTCTACTCCTGAGAGTAAAGGAAAGAATGGTTCTTATTTGAATTCTCCATTGATTTAAAGTCCTGAATAAAACTCAAAGAATGCAGATGCAAGAATATTAAAAGAAGACAAATAGCCTTTTGTCGTAGTAAAATCTCCTCTCAAAAATAAATAAATATCTTACGATGAGAGCGAAAGTAGCAATAAATCTCCAAATATCTCTCCTAATACAAACAAAAGCAAGTATTAGGATTTACAAAGTAGTCAAAAAGAAAAATAGAGTGGAGAAATTAATTTTATAAAAGGTTATAGTTTAACTGAATCAACAGTGAGAAAATAAAATTTCTTTTAAGAAGAAGAGCAAATTAACAATATTTCTGCAACAAAAGATAAATAAAATATTCAAAACATAGATGTTGAAAATTAAATTAACAACTAGCAAGCTTATACATCAACTTTTGGCAGTGGCTTCAAATTAAGCGAAAAAGGAAGTCCAATAAGAAAAGTAAAGCTGAACAACATTCAGCAGTAGTAGTTTTAGCAGTCTTTATAAAAAGGTGATACGAATATCCAAAAATGTATAATTGATAAAAATGAAGAAAATATAAAATTGGACAAATAAAAATCTTAAGAGAGTGAAAATCTGCTTTCTGAAAAAAGTTTATCTAAAAATAACGAAAAATCAGACGATGAGCAATTAGCTGAAAAATCACCAATCAAAGAAACAAAAATGCAAATAGAAGGTGAGAATAAAATAAGAAATTAAAATGTAGTTGCAACTGAAACAAAATCAGCTTCACTAGATAAAAAACAAATCAATAAAACAAATAATTAAAATCAATAAAAGGTAAATGGTGTTAATAATTTATACAATATTTAGATCTCTAAATTGCACTATAACAAGGCAGGACAAAAAGCTAGAAATGGTTAAGAGAGTACTTCAGAGATATCTGCTAATAAAAGTGATAACTAAGTTACTCTCTAAAACAACTCAGATATATATCAAAGGACTGATGCAAATATAAATGTTTAAAATTATAAAATATCCTCTGCTTCTCGGAGAGGTAATTCTTCCAAAGAAGAGAGTGTAACAACCTAATTGTAATTGTAAATAATTTAATAATCTGAAAATCCTTAGCAAATAAATTAGATTTCAAACACAAATTAATCAAAAATCATAGTTAAAATCCATCAAAAAACGAAAAGTGAAACAGGCTTCTCGAGAAAATTGATGAATATAAATGGCATCAATTAAAAAGAAAATGTAAATAACGAATCTGAAGAGATTTCCAACATGAAATCGCCTTAATTAAAATCTTCTGTAGCCGCTTCTTCTGCTCATTCACAAGTAAATAGCTAAATTAAAAACACTAACGAAAAGATTGCAAATCTTATTCGTTCTGCCAACTAAAAGGGAGGAATTAATGCATTTTAAAAAGACGTGTCTGCTTAAAGCCAATACAAATAATATCTCCCTGTATTTTTCAATAATCAACAATATTCTTCTTCGCTTAATGCACCAAATACTTCAAATAGCATCATGTAAGAAAATTTTTTTTAACTTAAAAATTAAGTGTTTTTTTTAATTAGAAATAATACAATCAACAGTAGCAATATCAACAATAACACTATCGAAACAGAAAAACAGCAACAGAACTAATCCTCAAACAATTATTATTCTAAGCAAACCTTAAAAACACCTTGTATCACAGAACCAACTTACCAGTAAATTTAATATCCTAAAATAAATTGATTAAACTTATATTTTTTTATATTTTAGTGAAACAAATTCTATCAGATAAAAACTAAAGATAATAAGCCAAAGAAACAGCACTTAAGGAACTTCTGCATAAGCTTTCAAAGTAAGAATAAGAAAGAGTGCTACTCCTGAATTGAATAACATAAATAGCAGTATCAATAACAACAGCAATTAATCAAATATTTAAAACACACTATTTGTAAATGGTTCACACAATTTAGTATCATAGTAACAAAAAAGAAGCAATAGCAACAACAATATTACTAACAATTAAAACTCTGCAACAGGCAATTCAAGCAATCTCCAAACCTCTCCAGAAAAGAAATTCAAAACAAAGTAGATATCTAGGTCATCAAGAAGATTTGTTTCAGCTGAAAGAGAAAATAATTAAATGATTCAATAAAGTCTTGTTGATGATCCAACAAAAAATAAATTCTTCAGACAAGGTAAAATTCTAATTTAGAATATTAATAATAAATAATAAATATAATGGATAAAATAAATTAGGTTCAAGTAGCATATAGAAAAACATATAAAACTATTTAAATATAATCGAAAAAAATAGTGCAAGCAATATGAACAACATTCATAACACAGACAAATAAAATATAAATGTTGTGATTAAAAAACCAGAAAATATTGATAATAATGGCTAAAGTTTTCAAAGTGAAATGAAAAAGTAAGATTAAACCAATAACTAAACACCTTCTATAAACAAAGAGGTAAATAAACTAAAAAAATTTAATTAACTTTCTCTTTAATTTAAAAAATAAAATTATTTAATTAATTAGGTGAAGGAACCAAAAATAAGAGTTATAAGTGAGTCTCCAATGTGTAAAAAAGACCAGCACTCAAATGAGTCTAAATACTATTTAGGGTTAAAATAACAAATGATTTAAAAGGAACCTTTAATATGCAATTTTAGCATAAATAATGATTCAAATATAAATCATCATTTAACGAATAATGATGGTATAAATTCTACTATTGATGATATTGTGTAATAAAAAAGTAATTAAAAGCTTACTAGCTGGCCACATTCTCAAAACTATTACTTAAATGCCCCAGTAACACATTCAAACAACAAATCTTATCTAAATAATATCAGCAACAGCAGCAGAATTTCTTCTTAACTCAACGAACAATAATTATAATCACTCTAACCTCCAACGATGGAAAATAGCAGAAGTGAACACTTGAAATTCAAAGCTGTGACAAATTCTCTGATAAGCAATTCTTACTCTCTTGTGAATGTTTAAAAATATAAAGTCAGAAAAAGTAAAATAAATTCTGGATTGCATAACATAAGCAACAGTATCATGTCTGTAAATAATGCAATTAGTAACCATACTAAAGATAAAATATGATCATTTTAACAAAAATAAACAAATATATATATATATAAAGAAATCAATAATAAATCTCTAATTTATTTAATTTTCATTCTATTAATTTATTCTTACTTCTAAATCAACCATTAAAATAAATAAATAAATAAATAAATAAATAAATAAAATGTATCTATTTATAAATATAAATTATAATCCATATATTTACCTAACCATTCATTCATTGATCCATCCATCTATCCATATATTCATCAAATTATCTATTTATAATAATCTTCTTTAAACTATATCATTCAGATATTTTATTAATACTAGCTTATATATAATCTTTTACAATATTTTAAATTTCTATTTAAAATTTAACATATTTTAAATAGCTTAAAATTTATAAAATATATTTTTTATGTTTATTCTTTGCAAATGTTAAAATAATTCTAATTTTTATGTTTTTGTTTAAAAAAATTCATAATTAATATTTATTTTGAAAAAGAAAGTTGTTAAAAAAACAAACATTTTTACTAATATTCTATACTAATTTTCATAAAAAAGTATTTCACTGTTATAATACATAAAAACGCAATCATCTTTATCAAAAAATGGGTTTTTATTTGTTTGAATAGTTTTTAATCTGTTAAAAAAATTTGATTGTATTTATAATATTTATTCATTCATTTGTATTCGAGAGAATACATTTTGTGTGACTTTACTTCATATTTTGGATATTTAACAAATTAAAAATATTTTATTAATAATGGTAAATTTAGAATGATAAAAGGAAAAAATACTCTTGATTATTACGTAAATTATTGCTAAATATTGAAGAGAAAAATTAAAAATATGATTTGATTTGTGCTTATATTTATTACTAAAAAATTTGATCTGATATAATAAAATAAAGAATACTATTTTATTAATTTATCAATTTTGTATATAAAAAAAAAATGTAGCTTTCGAATTTCTAAGACGATTTAATACAAAATGAGCACTCAAATATACGTGTCCCTTCCATCATTAAGTCTTAAATTTCAAACAAAAATAGTAGTATCTGTTTAACTTACACAGCCATAAGTTAAAATAACTCCTCAAATATATAATAATTATAGATGAATTAATCGGTTTCTGATTAGTAATAATATAGATTACAACTTTCGGCAAACATAAAGGGATTAATCATTTAGCTAGATGAAGAAGAATTAATTGAATTAAAGGAAAAAATAATAAATAAAATAAAAAATACTTTAAAATTAGATAACTTTAAGTATGAACTTAAATTTCCATAAATTCAAGCAAAAGCTTTAGCTAATGGTTTGATGAACTTAAGAGACGAACAAGTTAAAAAAGACGTTGACTAATGGTTAAACCAAAATATTTTTTCTAAAGTTTATTAAGAAGAAAGAAATAATTAACTTCATATTAATAAATATGATTATATTCGTTACTTTTACTTTAAAAACTCAGAGAGTTTCAAAAAAAATAAACCAGATGTAGACTATGGCTAAAAAATAGTTAAGTACAAAAACTAAATTACTGTTTTGATAGGAATAATTGAAAATTTTTTAAATTAACCTTTGCAATATTTTAAAATATTTGAATAGTTCAAATAGCAGTATGATAAATTTTAATCATCTAATCTAGCATAAGAAATATAAGGAGATCATGTCTAAGAGCTAATGAATTATCTACTTTACCTCACGAAATTAAGATTGGATTAAAATTAAAGCCCAAATATTACCTTTGAAGTAAATTAAAAGCTATACCTATATTTAAATTCAAAGAATGAACCTCTTGAAGTGATGATGAAATTTATCAAATACCTCTTATAGACTCATAAAATTACATACTAGTAAGAAGATATGGAAATATTCTGGAGAGCCTTTAAAGTATCAGTGATCTCCTATTTCGAATCTGAATCACTTTAAACAGGAAACAGCTAACAATAGGAAATGTAATTAAGTATTGTTTTTGAAAATATAAGGTCAGATAAATATGATTTTCTCAATGCCTACTTACTCTACGACAGCATGTTTTAAGATTCATTTAGAAGTATCCCTTTGAAATGCTTAAACTGTAAAATAGATAATCTAACTTCTATTAATTATGTAAAACCACTATCAAATGAAGGAAGATTATGCTATAAGTGCTGCTAATAATGAAGATCACTAATTCATTTATTTTTAATTAAAATAGAATATTAATTACTAAAAAATTATAATTAATTACAAATAAATACATTAATTAATTATAAATTGTATGACAAATTATATCAACATAATTTAATTACTTACTTATTTTCTTTAATTTTCATTCAAAAAAATTTCACTGATTTTATACTTAAAGATGTATTCAGTTTGTTTTACTAAAAATGGTTGTTTATTTGTATTTATAAATAGCTTTAAATATGTTAAATAAATTTTAGTAAATATTTATTATATATTTATGAATTTGAAAGAATACATTGTGCTTAACTATTAATTAACTTTACTTCATATTTTGGATATTTTACATACTAAAAATATTTTAAGTGAAACATGAATTTAAATGGGAAAAGGGAAAAAATTCAAAGAATGAACCTTTTGAAGTAATGATGAAATTTATCAAATACCTATTAGTGACTAATGGAATTTCATACGATTCAGAAGATATGTAAATATTCTGGAGAGTTTTTAAAGTATCTGTGATCTCCTATTTCAAAACTGACTTACGTTAAACAGGGATTGGCTAACAATATGAGATGTAATTAAGTATTGTTTTTGAAGACATAAGTTCATAATATTACAAATTCTGTAACGCCTACTTACTCTACGACAAAATGTTTTAAGGTTCATTTTAAAATATCCCTTTCAAATGCTTTTACTGTTAAGAAGATAATCTAAGTTCTATTAATTATGTAAAACAACAACCATAAGAAGGAATGTTATGCTATAAGTGCTGCTAATGAAGATTGTTCACTAATTCATTAATTTTTAAATAAAATAGAAGATTAATGAATAAAAAATTGTAATTAATTACAAACTAATACATTAATAATTAAATACATGCATGACAAATTATATCAAAATAATTGAAATATATTTTGTTTAATCATTTGAGTTAATTGCAACTAAAATAAAAAGAAAGATTGATATAAAAAACATTTCTTTAGATCTTTAAGTTATCTAATATTTTATTTTTTATTACTTTAGTTTTTTAATATATTTTTGTTTTTAATATTTAAATATTTTTTGTATTTATTAATTATTTTAACACAAAAATAAAAAAATATATTCATTTTTGAATGAATTTAAATTAAAATTCAACAAGCTTTTTTTCTTTTTTATCTAATAAAATAATAAGACAATTCTTCTTAAAAACATATATTTTATTGTATGTATGTATATAGTTTAAGCACAAGACATAAAGCTATGCAATACTAAAAATAGTTATATATATATATATAAGTATTATTAATATTTAATTAATTATTCAAGAATTTTAATAATAACAAAACTTTCGCCCTCTCTCGTTCGTTTGTTCATTCACCTGAAATGAGGGATTAGAGAATAAGGTTTTATGGTATGTATATATAGTAATATATGCTAAAAACAAGCAATATAAAATAATATTCTATACTAGTTTTCATATAAAAAGAATTTTACTGTTTAAATACTTAAAAATGTATTCAGGTTTACCAAAAAATGGTAGTTTATTTGTTTAAATAGCTTTTAATATGTTAAAGAAATTTTATTGCATTTTTAATATTTATTCATGTGAACTTAAGAGAATACATTTTGCTTAAAAAAATACTTCATATTTTATATAATTTACAAAATAAAAGTGTTTTAATTTAAACAAGAAATTTAAAATGGGAAAAGGAAAAATTCTTGATTTATACCTAAATTTTTACTAAATATTGAAGATATCAATAAAAAATATGAAATTTAAATTTTAATCAATCTATTTTTCTATCAATTTATTCATTCATTCATCCAATAAATCATCTAAAATTCTTAATCGGTCAACATTAAAAAAACATTTTATTAATAATAATAGCTAATATAGTTTTAAAATAAATTTAGTAAATACACATCTTTTACATCAGAAGTCTTAGTAAATATATAATATTCATTCACAAGAATTTTAAGCCAATAAATTTTGTTTAATTTTTCTTCATATTTTATATATTTTATAAAATAAAAGTGTTTTATTTTAAACAAGAAATTTACAATAGGAAAACTTGATTTTTACCTAAATTTTTACTAAATATTGAAAATATCAATAAAAAATATGATTTATTTGTACTTATTTTTATTTTTTAAAAATTTGTAATTAAATAAAAAAAATATTGAATTAATTTATCAGTTTTGTAAAATAAAAAAGAATGGAAGAATTTACTTAAGACTAAATACATCAGTTTGAGCTTTCAAATTTAATTGCCTCTTCGCGAGCTATGTCGTATATTTCAAACAGCAGTAATATAATCAGCTTTCATCTTATAAGCACAAATTAAAATAGTTCTTCGAGCTATTAATAGAGATTACAAACTCTAGCAAATATAGATGGATTAATTATACCGCTAGATGAATAATAACTAATTAAATTTAAGGAAGAATAAATAAATAAAATAAAAAATGCTTTATAAATAAATTATTTTTAAAAATAACTTTAATTTCCATAAAGCCACATAAACACATAAGCTAATGGCTTGATGAACTTAAGAAGCGAATATGTTATAACAGACATTAGTTAATGGTTAAATGAAACTTTTTCTAAAGTTTATTAACAACATATAAATGATAAACTTAAAATCTAAAGTAATAAATATGATTATATTCGTTACTTTTACTTCAAAAACTCAGAGAGTTTCAAAAAACAAAAACCGATTGAAGGTTATGGTGAGCGTATAGTTAAGTACAAAAATTAAATTATTGTCTTGATAGGCATAATTGAAAATTTTTTAAATTAACCTTTTAAATATTTGAATATATTTAAATAATTCAAATATTAGTATGAAAATTTTTAATTGTCAAATTTAGCATAATAAATATAAGGAGATCATGTCTAAGAGCTAATTGATTATCTACTTTATCTCACAAAATTAAGATTAGATTAGAATAAAAACAAAACTATTAGTTTTGAAGTAAATTAAAAGTTATACCTATATTTAAATTCAAAGGCTGAACTTTTTGATGTGATGATGAACTTTATCAAATACCTCTTAAAGACTCATTAAATTACATACTATTCATAAGATATGGAAATATTCTGGAAAGTCTTTAAAGTATCAGTGATCTCCTATTTCAAATCTGAATTACTTTAAACAGGGAATGGTTAAAAATACGAAATGTAATTAAGTATTGTTTTTGAACATATAAGCTCAGATAAATATGATTTTCTCAACGCCTACTTACTCTACGACAGACTGTTCTCAGATTCATTTGAAGATATTCCTTTCAAATGCTCAAACTGTTAAATAAATAATTTAAGTTCTATTAATTATGTAAAACAACAACCATAAGAAGGAATGTTATGCTATAAGTGCTGCTAATGAAGATCGATCACCAATTCATTATTTTTGAATGAAAAAAGAAATTAATTAAAATAAAATTGTAAATAATTACATGCTAATGATTAAATTAGTAAATACTTAACAAATTATATAAAAATAATTTGATTAATTTCTTTGAAATAGTTTTATTTTTTAATTATTCTAATTAATTAAATCTAAAATAAAAAGAAATATTGATGTTGAAGTTTGTTATTTAAATAAAAAACCAAAAAATAGGTAAAATTAAATGAAAATTTTAATAACAAATAAAATAAATTTTACTTTCGTTTATTTATATAATCAAAGAAAGAAATCTTAATTTAAACAAATTTTTTTAAATTATCAACTCTTTTTTAAAATAAGATAAGTCTATACTTATTATTTAAATTTTTGACTATGTGTATGTTACTAGTTTGAATTAATCAAAATACCATATAAAACTTAAATCCTATAATTTATTTGATAATTGAATAACGTAAACAACTACAAAACAAATAATTATTCATTTATTTAATATTTCTCAATTTGTTTTTTTTGATAATCAGTAGTAAAGTAATAAATAGTATTTTTTATCTCTTTATTAATATGTATGTATGTGGGTTGTTTTAAAATCTTTGAGATAGAAAATATCACATCGTGATCTATAAAAGGCTTTTCATACTTATTCAATTTATCCTTTAAATGCTCCAAACAAATTAAGCCTCTTTTGGATGCTAGTTTTTGATTAATTTAATCTTATTACTATTAGCCAGCTAATTATTTTTTTCCCAAAGTAGCAAGGGGCTTTCTCTATCTCACATAAAGACTTTTTCTTAACTATTTTAAAATCATATATCTTAAAAGCATTCATTTAATAGAGTGAGCTTTGTTATTTTCTTAAGTAAGATTTCCTTTTACTAAGAGTAGCTCTTTAGTTTTATTATCTTTTCTATTCTCTATCTAAACATATTTTCAATTAATTTATTGAAAAATAAAATTTGTTTGCTTTTCCTCAAACAAATTGAAATATTTTTAAAAATAAGTTAATTCTTTAAACCTATTTTCCAAATAAATCTAAGAAGGAGTGCATCAATGATAAAATAATAAAGATATAAAAAATGATTTAGTTAGTTTCAATATTATTTCTTATCAATATACTAAGTAAGATCTTTAACTATTTCTAATGACTAAAGAATATATTAAAAATATTATGAATTTATTTAAAATAAATAAAATATTTATTTTATATTATATTCATTAACGTATTAATTAGTCATACCTACAAAATTTGTAGCCAACTAATGTTTTAGTAATATTGTTTACCATTTTTGCAAATTACCTTAATTTTTTACTCAATTCTCTTATTATGCCTTTTTTTAACTTGAATTCGAGAATCTTGAAATTTAAGATGAAATTCTGTTGATCACTTACATTTTTTTAAAATAAAAACAGTCATCAATCAATTAAGTTTAATTCTGGTTTGAAAATATCAAATAAAATTCAAATAAAACCTAAAATAGAGGTACTCTTGAGCCTTTTTTTCTATTTTTATTTTGTAAATCAAATCAATTTTAAATATTTATTTAATCTAAAAAATTAGTTAACTTTTGAAATATTTACTTACAATTGGATCTATAAGCCTCAGTAATTACTACTAAAAATGGAAATATAATATCTTAAAAAACAATTTTTTACTTATTTAAATATCCTTATTATTTATTAACTTATTTTAATGAACAATAAATAAATACTAAATTAAAAATCTTCAAATAAAATTTAATTTACATTATTTAATAGATGATAAAAAGAATTAAAATAAATATAAATATTTAAAGTAAGATTCATAAAATTAATTAATTAATTACAGGTTATTATTTTTACTGTAACAAAAAGAATCAGTAATTTTAAATGTTAATCTACAATTATTAGAGTGATTCCTATGATTCAAGAGTTTTTTAGAAAAATCTGATTAATTTTAATCGAAACTTGTGCCTATAAATAATAGATCTTCAACTACTCTAATTATCATAATCAAATAAATAACAAAAAAAGTAACTAATAAAACAATTAAAAAAACAAGTTTAAAATAAATGGACACCCAAACTCAAACTAAGGTCACTGTTGGATGCTCTTGCAACCCTTGCAAATGCCAACCTCTCTGCAAATGTGGAACTACTGCTGCTTGCAATTGCCAACCTTGCGAAAACTGTGATCCCTGCTCTTGCAATCCTTGCAAATGTGGTGTTACTGAAAGCTGTGGCTGCAATCCTTGCAAGTGTGCTGAATGCAAATGTGGATCTCACACTGAAAAGACTTCTGCTTGCAAATGCAATCCTTGTGCTTGTAATCCTTGCAAATGCGGTTCTACTTCTAACTGTAAATGCAATCCTTGCAAATGTGCTGAATGCAAATGCTGATTAATCAATATTGAATTTAAACAATAAATAAATAATTAAATCTATTTATTATATAATAACTTAAAAATAATATCTTAACCAAATCTAAAGTATGTATTGAATATATTTTATTTAGAATACATAATATAAATCTATATTTTAATTGTATCCTTATTTTTTTGACTTTTTAACATCTCAACTTATTCATTATATATTTTGCTTGCATTTGCTATTTCTAATCAACAACATAACATAAATTTATTACATCTTGTTATTTTCATACATTCATTTTTGTTTTTTGATAGCAATAAAATATGTTTTTGTAATTTATCTAAAAAATGAACAAAATAAATAAATTATTTTTGTATATTTTACACTATAGACGAGCAGCGAAGTAACTAAATACCATCAAATAATATTTTTAAAATGATTTAATTTTAATATGATATATTTATCATCAGTTTAATAACATTATTTAATCATTTCTAATCATTAAATATTGTTCAAAACAACTAACTAATTTACATGATTTTGCAATCAACTCAATCTTTTATTTCATATAACATACACTAAAATATGAACTCGTATTTCTTTAGAAATTTTACATTTAAAAAATGTGATATATTTAACATTTTATGTGATTCGTTCATTTATTAGTGAATTCTACTTATTATACTTTTGTTTGATTAAATTGAAAACTCTTGAACTTTAAGAAGAAATTCAGATGATATTTCTTAAGTAGATAAACAAATTTTTTAGAAAATCCTCCAATTGAATTAGTTTATTTAGGAAAGATATTAAATCAAATTCATATATGATATAAAAAAGAAAAAAACTCTTGAGCCTCATTTTTAGTTTATTTTACTTTGAAATAGAAATCTATTTTAAATCTTTATTGAAAATAATAAAGTGGTTAAACTTAATTAAATACTTACAAAAGAGCTTATAAGAATTAGTAAATAAATTCTACTAAAAATGGCTATATATTTATATCAAAAACAGTTGTTTGCTTATTAAAACCTCCTTTATAATTTTTGACATATTTTTTTTATCAACAATAAGTACTAAAAAAAATAACTTCATAAAATGTCTGATTTGCTTTTTTTTTTTCTAGATCATAAATAGAATTAAAATATAAAAAAATAACAAACATAAAATTACATAAATTTAATTACAGATAATTGTTTGATTGTAACAAAAAGATATCAGTAATTGTTAAAGTTAATCTGTAATACGAGAGTGATTCCTGAGGCTCAAGAGTTTTTTAGAAAAATCTGATTAATTTTAATACAAATTTGCATATATAAATAATAGACCATTAACCCTAATTATCATAATCAAAAATAATTAACTAAAAAAATAACAAAAAAACAACTTTAAAAAAAAAAACAAACAAAACAACTATAAAATAAATGGACACTCAAACTCAAACTAAGGTCACTGTTGGATGCTCTTGCAACCCTTGCAAATGCCAACCTCTCTGCAAATGTGGAACTACTGCTGCTTGCAATTGCCAACCTTGCGAAAACTGCGATCCCTGCTCTTGTAATCCCTGCAAATGTGGTGCTACTGAAAGCTGTGGCTGCAATCCTTGCAAGTGTGCTGAATGCAAATGTGGATCTCACACTGAAAAGACTTCTGCTTGCAAATGCAATCCTTGTGCTTGTAATCCTTGCAATTGCGGTTCTACTTCCAACTGTAAATGTAATCCTTGCAAATGTGCTGAATGCAAATGCTGATTAATCAATCTTGAATTTAAGCAATAAATAAATAAAATTATCTGTTATAAATTAACCTAAAAATAATATTTTAACCAAATTTAAATTATTGAATGTATTTTATTGAGAAGATATGTTAAGTCTACTTATTAATTGTATCTTTCTTTCTTAAATTTTAAATATCTTAAATAACTAATTAAATCTCTTGCTATTTCTAATCAATTTCTTACAAACATCCATCCATAAAATTTTGTTATTTTCATAAATTAAATTGTCTTTTTTAATGCAAAAAAAAAAAAAATGCCTTCACTCGGGATCGAACCGAGGACCGTAAGATCTTCAGTCTTACGCTCTCCCAGCTGAGCTATAAAGGCTTAACAATAAATTCAATTTGAATTAAGAATATCTGGCATATTCATTCTATAATTAATCTTTTATTTATTTTTAAACATGTAGATAAAATAATTTTGTTAATATTTAATTAATATCTTAACAAAAAATATTCAATTAAACTTTTCTAATTTTGGTAATTATTTTAATCCAGATATATAAAAAAATGGAATAAAAAACTAGTTTTTAAAAAACACTCTTATACATAACATAGCTAATAGAAAAAATCAATAATTAATAAATTTAGTTTTGGGTATGCTGAACCATTTTAAATGTAAGCAGGTATGATAATTATTTTTTTCACATCTCATTTTATTAATGAAGATTTATAGTATATAAATATTTATTTAAAAATAAAAAAATTAAATATTTATGTGGATCGATATTAAGGATTTATTTTTATTAGAGCTTTAGTTAAAAATAATTTAAATAAAAACAAATAAAATATTGAAAATTTAATTTGATTTTATTCAGTATTTAATCTTAACACATACATTTATTTTATCATTACTTATATAACCAACATTTTTATTTTTTAGTTTTAATAATATTTGAAGTCGCTTAAAATATAAAATTCATTAAAATTTTAATTAACCAAATAGAATAAATTAATAAATTAATATTTAAATTAGGTAATTTATTACATAAGTCATATTTTTTATTTTCAAATAATTTTTTAAAACATTTAGTATGAAGAATAGTTTAAATGCTTTTTTATGATACTGATTATTTATACATATATTTATAAATCTATCTATCTATCTATCTATCTATCTATCTGTTTGTTTGTTTACTTATTTATAAATTTAAATATGTATCTACAAATTCAATTTTAATTTACCGGTTTTGTTTGCAAAATTCAATTTAATTAATTTTATCAGAAATATTTAGAATAAAAACAAAAAAAAATAATAGCCATAATTAATATTAACAAAATCGAGTGAATATAATTTTTAGTATGCGGGAATTTTTTTAATAAATGTTCAGCAAGCACAGTTAACAAATTTAAACAAAATTTTAAATAAAATGAGAAGGAAGATTTTAATTAGAATCAGTAGGATATATTTTAGCTTCCATTAAGGAAAAAGAAAATGTTGTCCGATTCAAAATCAAAACTTTTTTTTGCTTTAGTCATTTTAATAATAATTTTGGTAAAAAATAGTTTTTAATAGCTAGTCAGTTCATTTATCTTTTTTCCATCTTTCTGTCTAAATATTAAAATCAGCTTATTCTTTATCTTCTAATGTGACTGTTTATTGCTCTGACCTAGAGATGAGAGTTGTAGTTTATCTTGACGCTTTTCTTAAATCATTAATTTGATCTGAATAGTAATCAATTTATTGCTCATCTGTGCTATCCTAGCTTTAATCACCTAAGTATTTAAGAGGTTGAGTTTATTATTATATCTATAGACCTTAATAATCATTGTAATCTTATTCTCCAATATTTCCTATCTAGATTAACTTATAGTTGATATGGCTATTACTATTTTAAGCTACTGCAATAAATTAATTTGTCCTTTCATTATAATTTTCAATATTTTGTTGAACTGATCGATAAATACACTTTCTTTTATGATCCAACTGATCTAAATTATTATATGCAGATTGGTTTTCTTATTATGATAGACATATAGGGAACATAATGTTGAAAAACTCACAGTCAAAATTTGCATAGGAGTCATTATTGAAAATGAAGCTCATTTAGAATATTTTTTATAATATTTTGATTGATTATTAAATCTTTAAAAAAATTGTATTTTTAGAAAAGGTAAATTTTTAACTCTAACACCCCACTTTTGATGCAATATTCACCATAATCATGAATTTATAGTTTACAATTATAAGGGGAGGGAGTATCTGCTTATAAAATTAGTTAGATCCTATTAAAAATTATTTAAAAACAAATAATTTGTTATTAATTAAAATTTAGTTGTTCAAAAGGTGAAATATTAAAAACATATTTTGAGATGCTTAATATAAATATAGCCACGCATAACAAAAGGCTATTGATAGATAATTAATTAGTTAATAAGTATTTTTTATATATATTTTAGATTTTTTGAGAGAGTTAAGTTTACTTAAGTTAATATACTATTTTTGATAGAGGAATTCATTTAAAATCATGATTTATTTGGTATTTTAAAATTTTTGTCTGTTTTTTTTAAAAAAGAAGTTGTTTATGATTATTAGTATTGGTATGTAGGCTAATTTTATTATTAATTGATATTTAAATTGCTATTTTGATTAAACAGTTATGGAGGTTGGTAATTATTGTTCTACTGTTCCTGTATCTAACTATCACTAGAGTCTAGACCTTATTCGCCTGTTTAATAGATTAGTTAATACTGAAAATTAGCGTCATTATCACTATTTTTATTATCATGAATAACAATTTAATTTTTAGTTTAATTGTCTTAATTTAAACTAGAATTGCTAGTTTAATTATCAAACATTTATTTACTTGAATTATAATTCAAATTTTAATCATTTGTTTGATATTATTCTGAAATCATTTACTCATTTTTCTGGTTTATATCTTTATAGTATTTATTATCACAACCTAAACTGTCTAAGAAAATGATTTCATTATAATAATTACTACTCAAAGTTTGATAAACTCTTTTTTTTAAATCTTTACTTGAGACGAATTAAAAATAAAGTTAAGGATATTCGTCATAAGAAATTTGTAATTAAATAGTGATTATTTCACTCTGAGTTTATTGATCTTGTTCGAAACTTTTAAGCATTTTAAATTTATTCAATTTTTTTATTTTTAATTAATTATATACATTAATTATGAAAAACAGTTTTTTAACTTTTTTTGGGAGTCTCATCCTTTCTAAAGAGAATCCAAATGCTCTTATCTCTAGTAAAGTTTATTTAGTAATAATATTCTGATAAGAATAATAATATAGACAAAATGATACATTTTAAAAGTAGCAAAAATGAATATTTAAAATAATATAAAATTAAAAAATATTTTCAAAAAAATCCTGAATTTTTTATTCTAAACAAAGTAATCCACTTATTTATTGAAAAATTCGTGATTTTGAAGTATTTGCCTACTAATATTAATACTTTATATACCCTACCCCTTCAACTTGCAATAGCTAAATAGCGTAATAGCGTTTTTATTAAAAGTAGATCAAAATTAATAAATTTATTTTTTAAATTGATATAAATTAAAATATTTATGTTGTATAATAATAAGTGATTTATATTCAGATCTATCATCTATTTTTAAATTATCAATTAATATAATTTCATTTTTTACATCAATTATAAATCAAAGTCTATTTTTAAAGAAAACCAAACATTTTATTTTATGTAAAATAAAAATAAAGATTTTTAAATTTATTTTAAATTGAATTTAATAGTATTAAAATACTATTTGAGAATAAATTAAAGATTTTAAAGAAAGTATTGAATAAAAAAATATCTTTTTAGGTTAAATAAAATGGTGGCACTTAACATGAATAGAAGATATGCTTGATTAATATTTCAAAAATAAATAATCAAAATGAATGAAGGAATCATGAATTTGTTTATTATTTAATTAATTTTGATAAAGAATATGAAAAAATAAAATAAAGTATTGGATTTTGTTATATATCTTCATATTTAAAATAAAGAATATGACTAGATAGATGAAAAAAGAATGATAATTATAATTGAAATATAATATTGAAACAAGGAAAAATAAAATAAATAGCTAATAAAAAATTAAGAGCAATGTCAACTAGAAAGATTTTTGATTCCGAAGAATAATCTTTTATTCGTCTTGTTGATAAGTTCTACTTGGGCTTATCCTTAACCAAGCTTTGTGCTTAGAGTTGTAACCTTCTTAGAAACGATATCTCAGGAAGCGCTCTTACCTAAAAGGAAAAGGATTGTTTGAGTAAAAAAAATGAATAGAATTTTAATAGTTTCCATTATGCATCTATTGAGATAATAAAAAATAAAATGCTCAATTATAAGAAATATTTTATTAGCTATGACACCCCTAAAATAAAAGCAAAATTTTAGAAATAAGCGAATCTCAATTTAAAAAGATATCTTGCATCAATAAATATAGATAACCTCACATATTTCTTTAGTTATCTCACATTTAAAAATAGCATCTTAACTTTAATTTTCTTTTGAGATTCTTCTATTGATAAATTCTTCTTAATCTTTAGAAATAAACTTGTCAAGGAAAGATTTGTTAGCAAACTATTTTTCAAAGTGCTTAAGAAATTTTAACCCAAAAAGAGTTTGAACATAATTTTGAAGACATTTTAAGTTATTGCTTACAATAGCTTACATAAAACATTTTTAATAAAATAATTTAAGGGAATATTTTTGTAAAAATAGCAAATATCATATGCGTATTAGTTAATTAATGATGCAGATAAATGGATAATATTTATATATTGAAATAATATTAAAGAGTTATTTTTAAAATAGGCATTTGCTATAATAATATTGAAAAGACTCAATCTGCCTTCTATGCTAAGGTTAAGACTACCATGAATTTACCTGCTGTAGAAGATGATGGTGAAGAAGGTGGTGACGACGAGTGAGAGACCTAAATAGCTATCTTAAAAAAATTTTCAATAAAAATAAATTAGCTTGAAGAAATAAAAATGAAATAAAGCCAGCAAGCAGCTAACTAACTAACTGCTGCCTTATTAAAAGAGGGATTAATACATATATTAGCTACTTTTATAATGAAATATGCAGGTATATCGAATTTAGGTGTAAAAAGTAGTCAAGGTTAACTTTTCAATTAAATTAGTAATTTTTGTTTGAAATATAATTCTGAGCATATATTAGTAAGAATAAATGTATTAATATCTCTAACTTTGTTTCTGCATCATTTCTTTATTAATTAATTAATTACCTTTCAAGATTCCTCATTGTTACATCCTTTTAATGTTATTCCACAAAAAATAAGATATTTATTCATTTTATGTTTTATTTATAAAATTAATTTACAAAACCAATAAAAATTTATATTTATACAAAATTATAATCAAAAACTTTAATAGAGAGGAGTCATTCATTTAAATATAAAAGTAATAAATAAATGAATCTAAAAACAAATTAACACATCATATTTTTCTATAAAAACTAATAAAATAAATCATAAAACAATTATTTAAATTAAACAATTTAATTTTAAAATATGTCTAACTGTAGATTATTGGATTCTTAATTAATTTAAAAATTATTTTTCATCTTGACTTTTTAAACTATAACTTAAATTATTTGTTACATTTTAAAGTTGATGTCTAATTTATATAAAATAAATTGTAGTATATTGAATTTTCTTATTTATAATTATTTATTCACTTAAAAATTTAAGAGAAGGGGGTAAGTTTCAAGGAATCAAAATCTAATCAAAAAATCCCTTTTTTTATTCTCTTTTTAAGCAATAATAAGAGATTTTGATTTTTAAATAAATCACTTTCCTGTTAAACTTTTTTTCAGAATTAGAGAAGCATATATGGATTACAAGAAAAAATATCAAACAAACTTTAAGTAAAATCTAAAAGATTTAGTAATACTTTACCTTATATTGAATAATATATTTTATTGCTTTTTTGATACATCTTTTTTGAAGGAAAAATTACCAGAAATGATAAAAAAATGAATTTATGTATGTACTTGTGTATTTAAGCGTATATAAATGTAATATGTAAATTTATTTAAATTTAAAGTAGTTAATATAATTAAATTTATTTGTAAATAATTTATTTAATTGTTTAATAACTTTTAAAATGATTCTTTTAGATTGTTTATCCATCAACCTATCTTTTTTTAAGTTAAGTTTTGAATTGTTATTAAAGATAGATAGAAACATTTCTAAAAGCATAAATAATTATTCGATTCTGCTAATTGAAATCAGAAAGTTAAGACTTATTTAAATTTTTTATTAAAATAATAGGTAAGCTTCACTTTTATGATGATTATTGTTATGATTACTATTGTTATTAGCTTTATTACTAAGACTATGAAGATTGAAGCTACTTTCTGTTAAATTCCATACCTGTCTAAGCAAATCCTAGATTGCTAGAGAATGTTTACATAAAATTTGAGGCTGTACTTATTTTACTTTCTGTACCATTAGGAGAGTTTCTTTATTAGCTTACAGCTATTTAAAATTAAAATATTTAGTATATTATAAATAAATAATAATAATACGTTTCTTAAGAGCAAAATTTTAAGAAGTTTTAAACATTGTTGGTTGATTTTTTTAGGTAACAGTTAATGGTCCAACTGTGTCTTTTTTTTCTTAGAAAAGGAAATTTTACACTCTCTCTTTTAACTTCTCTCCATTTATTGAGCTGTCTTCATTATCGTTAATATCTTCTATTTATCTTAGTAAATCTTATATAAGTTGTTTCTAATTTTGTTTTTTCTCTGTGACAGAAAGTGGCTTTATATTCTTTTAATATATAGAAGCTGATGACTATGATTTCCTTTTTTAAAAATTCAATTTTATTATTATTATTATATAAGAGTTTGTATATTAGGTTGATGTTACTCAAATAAGAAAAGATTTAATTAGATGTAATTTTTTAAAATTATATCTAAACAAAATTAATAATTAAAATTTCTTTTATTTTTCAAGAAAAAACTTTTAAAAGTAAGTATAAATATTAAATAATTTTTTACTTTTATTAATATTAGATAAATGGCAATTGATCTTTAATGCTTTGGCTTGGATTATTTTTTATAGATTTAGTTGAATTTTGATGTAAACTGCTATGGAAATTCATAGTAGAAAACGACTTTCCTTAACTTATATTTGCTTGCTATTTATTAGGCGATACGGAAATATGATCTTTTTTAAATTGCTCTAAGGTTTCTTCGTTTTACATGAATTCATCATCTTCTAATCCAAATTTACCTTCTCCAAATTATTTCCTAGATGAATCATATAAATTATCATCTAAATTAGCCTCAGGTTCCTCTAATTCATCATCAACGTCATCTAAAAACGGAAAATTTTCTTAATCTTTTATTTCATTGAAGTTAATTCCTATGTGGGCAGCAAGCTATCTTCTTACTTCTCTGTACGCCTTCTTCTAAACCCCAAGGTATTCTTTGAGCTTCTGCTTTTCTTCCCTCATCTTATTACACTCATTAATCAGCAGAGTGTTCATGTTTTAAACCTTTAAGTAGGCGTCATTTCTCGATTCCATTACTTTTCTATAGTCACTGGCAACTTTAACAAGCTACCTTGCTAAGAAATCGCGCTAACCCCTTAAATCTTATCCAATTAAATATTACTATTCTTATTCTATTTACTCTAAAAATTAATCTTTCTTTAGCTCTCTGAGATTAACTCCAATAACACTTTATTCAATAGCCTTTTCTAATTTATTTGAATCTCCAAAATTGTCATTGTAAATTTCTGTCAACATTTTAGGCCACATTTAGAATTTTTCATTCCTTAGCATTGAGAGTATTTACTATTAAAAAAAAGAATTCAAGTAAATGTAAAATAAAATTATTATTAAAGTAAAGATATCAAAAATTTTTTGTAAGGTAAAATTTTTTTTAATTCATGATTTTTATTGTGGAAAAATAGCAAAACCAATATTTAAATAATTAAAACTGATATCATATAATTAATTAAAAATACATAAATTCTTTTTGATGTTATTTCTTTAGTTTTGCTTAACTTTCAACAAAATCTTCATAGATTCATAAAGTCTATTAAATTCCTCTCAATAAATAAAATAAAAATCTTACATATTCAAAGTTATCAACTAGTCTTTATGTCTTTCTAACTATTTCTTGCTTTTCTTATAACTGAGTTTTTAACTCTTTAACATGATCATGGTGCTATTTGATATCCTTATCAATTTTTTTGTTTGTGCCTGCTTCTTCTAATAATTCATTGTATAAATTTTTAACATGCTTTTCCATATTTGTTAAATGCTCTTTTAAAGGAAGCCTTTCATCTTTGAGTGTTGTAACTTAATAATCATATACTTTTTAGAAATTCTAAAGATGTACATTTTTTGATCTCAGGTCTTTAACTTACTATTCTCTCAAATTGATTATATCTTCTTTCTCACTCAATTACTTGCTCATTATATCATATTTTTCCTTAAAGTTCTGCTAATCTATAATCAAATTTTAAATCTCTTGATTGAGTTGTTCAGATTCCTAATTCAAATATACTTGCCTTTCTTTGTAATTCTAAATCTCCTATAAAATAACGAAACATATTATTGAAATTTAAAATTTATTTGGTTTCAAAATCATTGAAATATTTAAATAGAAAAATTAATTTTTGTTTGTGATTTCTTTTAATTTTTCTTCTTCTTTTGCTGGAACTATATTTACAGACATTTATTCTTCTTAAAATATAGTTGCTTTTATTTATTATTAGTGATTTATTTTAACATATTTTACTTTATTATACTTAGAGTTAGATGATCTTAGGTCTTCTGTCTTTTTCATCTCATCTTACAGTTCTAGCTTTAGATTCTGTTTAGTGCTTGTGAAAAAAGTATCAAAATCTTACTCCTACTAAGTTAACACTTCATGGAATTTTTTTTAGTCATTGTTAACATTCTCTAATGCTTCTCTGTATTTATTGAAAATATCATTGAATTTACCATTATATTCATCTTCCACTTTTTTAAGTGTTACAGAGTATTAATTTTATGCATTGTCTAACTGGAGAGCATATTTCTTTTTTAAATTTAAACACTCCTCCTGCAATTTATCTCTGATTTGGTAGCATTGAATGAGGTCTTTTGAGTTTTTTTCATTCATTTACTCCATAATCTCCTCTGTCTCATTTTTTTAATTTGACAATTTATCTTTTAACTCGTTGTATCTTATTTCATGGTCATTGTAAATATTAGATAAATTTTCTTTCTATTTCTACTTCGAGTCGTTGTGCTATTTATTTATTTAAATGGCAATTAGCTTGCAAATTCAATTTCAAATAAACTAAATTACTTTCTCTTTAAGAGTTTTGATTCTCTATGAGTAGATATCTTCCCATTTTTCTTTTTCGTCTTCAATATCGCTCTTATAATTTTAAAGACGAAATTCTAGTTCCTTGATACTTTCTTTTTTAGTCTCCTAAGAGAATCTAGAGCATAAGCATAGGGTGTTGAGTGAATATGCTGAAGTTATTTTGTCTATGTTTTAATAGTAATTGTTTTGTTCTTTTGCTGGATTCATTTGACTCAGGAGATCAGCAGCTGTTACATCTTCTCCCTCTACATACTCTCTTATCTTGCTAAAGAATATACTATTATCTTCAGACGCAGTAATTAAGTACTAATAATCTGATGATACTTTTATTGAGGTTATCGAACATTGATGAATAGGTATTTCCAAATACTCCATCATCTTAGATTAAAATGTCCAAAATGGCCATAGATATATTCTTACAGAACCTTCACTAGTACCAAATATTATAACTTCAAATCTCTACAAACAAACATAGAAAAAAATTAATTAAAAATTAAAATTAAGAAAAGAAAAAAAACTTTTAAAATAAAAGTATTTTTTTTAATTATATTTTTATTGATGGAATTATCATTCTAAAATGAAATTTTTAATTTGGCTTTACTTCTTTCACCAAGTATTCAATCAAATTAATTAATTTATATATGTAATACTATTTATTTCTTAATCATAATAGCAAATTGATATTATATTTATTTAAGGTAAATAAAACTTTTTGTTTGGAAAGTTAATATTCAAATGTTGAAGAATTTATATTAATTATTACTTTATCAATATTAATAGAGGTAAATTGGCAAGGAGATGTCTCGTATTCACATATTTGAGTCATACCTTTTTCTTTGAATAGTCTAAGCTTGTTATCAGCACAGGCACATACAACAAGATCATATTTTAGATCATAAGTTACAGCATTTAGTTTGTGCGTTTTGTAAGCAAACTCTACAACTCGCTATCCAGTTTGGATATCCCAAACATTCAAAAGTCCATTTTGGCATGTTGATATTATTTTAAGATCGTTATCAATCCATTCAATCTCTTTTAATGCTGCAGCATGACCATTCAACTATAGTAGAGCAGTAAATTCGTATGGATTATAAATGGTTATCATGGAGCCATTTGCTGATTAAAATTAATAAAAATTACGAATTTAAATTGTTTAATCTAAAAAAATGCTTTATTTATTAATTACATGCAGCCAAAAGATGTCCTCCGCTACTATAGCTTATTGCTGTACAAGGCTTGGTATTATTAGTATACACATGTTTTATTTCATCATCTAAAATATAGAATATTTTAATTCTAATTATTATTTTTTAAAAAGTTTAAAATGAGTGAGGCATGCAATCAAATAAAATAGTAAATAATTCTTATCATAACATGATAAATAATATTGTTTTAATAAGCATCATCTATGTTTAGCTTATTAAAAACTGCTAACAAAAAATTGATTCAAATTATTCATAGATTCTTATGATTGTAATAATGATTTTATTAGAAATTTGAACCCTTTAATAGTAATGAGAAGGCATTAAAGTATTAGATGAAACCTTTACTTAAACCTTATAAATTTATTTTTCCATATAAGATTATTTATGTTCTTAATCAATCAATCAAGCTGAATAATATATATCAAAGGCTTTAAACTTATTTTTTTCAATAAAAATTTCAAACAACTTAGTTTTGTATTTTATAATTAATTTAAAACCCTGTAATATTAGTTAAATCTGATGGAAAATTAATTTAAAATAAAAATTTTTTTCATTAATTTTTAATGAATAATTTTATAATCCATTGATTTATTTAAACTTATCTTTTTAAAAAATTTGCAATTATGTCAAAGAATTCATACCCATCTTTATATCCTATGGCACATTGTATGCTTAAAGGGTGAATAGAAACACTAAGTGGACTCTCATGGAAGAACTGAGATATCAATTCTCTAAACTCTGTCCCAAAGTCAATGAACTTGGCTGTACGATCTTCACAAATAGAAACTAAAAAAGATCTTGTTGGACAGACACTTAAATCTAAAATAGCACCTTTATGAACTCCTTGATCAAACAGAGGTTCATAAGGGTCTTTTTACACACTTCTTATGGCATCTACAACGGCTAAGTTAAACATAAATATTTCTAGTTTTCCTTATTGTTCTTTTTTTTCCTCTTCAGATGTTGCAAATACTCCTTCTGACCTTATCTTTGGTGCAACATGATTACCTCTTTGATGAAAGAGGACGTTAATCACAGCATACATGTCATCAGGAGCTATGTCTATGGAGTGTATTTTCATCACATTTTCTTCTTTGAGAGGAAAATTACCTAAAGATATTTTAAATATATTTATTTCTCTCTAATCTGTAAATTAATGAATGATGTTATTTATTTGATATTAGAATATTAAGTGATTTAATAATAAAAATAAGTTTTTTAATTTGTTTTTCACCTCTATGCACAAGATTCTTATCAGTGGAATCTAATTCATATAGAGAAAGCATAGCTGAACCTTGAAACCCTATTGCAACACCTCTTTATAGCTTAGCCATGCAAGAAATGGAAATTGATTTAGATAATTATTTTTGCTACTCAAGTATCTAGGCAGCCATCAATTCTTATTCTTATTTTGATTGTTTAGAGTTTCTCCCTGCATATATTAAATCTTTATCAAAAAGCTCTACCTCTATTGTTTACACATACTTATAATCTTTAAACAAAAAAAGCTTGTTCTCATAACTTGCTATTATGATTGTGTTTGTTTCTTAGAGCCACAAAACTTCTATAATTTGATCATTAAATTACTCATCTAATGCTTCTTAGAGAAGAGCATATATGTCATAACGCTCTTCCATAATCAGGCCTTGGTAGTCAAAAGTGTATATTTTACAAAATGCTTTTCCATAAATAATAAATTCAGATAAATTTTTATCAAAGACTTCTATTTTTGTTGCCTCTTAGTCATCTATTTATCTTAAAAAAATATTTTTAGTTGTTTTTTCATAATCTGAATATATTTTTTGTTTTTTTAAATTTTTATTTAAAAAGAATCTACCAATCTAATATTCTTCCTTATCTTTATTTTCTTAATATTGGTAGATAAATAAAAACGTATTTTTAATAATTATTTGATTCTTAGATATTCATAATATTCTCCTTAATATCAATGCTTGCAAAAAAAATCACTTTTCTAAATAAACTAACTCTTTTAACAGTTGACAAATTTCTTTTTATATACTCAAAATATCCTTTTCTTCAAACTGATTTAAATTATTCGGAAATTATAAATAACTATTTTCAAAATTTGTAAAAAATTTAAAATTCAGTTTTTAATTGTGGGTATATGAAGAAAGAGTTACATTGTACCCTTAATTAAAATTTCATTTTTTATATCATAAATTTATATAATAGAACTTCTATGCAAGATTTTTAATTAAAACATTTTTGGATATAAAATTAATTTTTTTTAGTCCTGAAGTTGGTTTTAAGAAATTTGTTGCAACTACTAATCTTAATAATATCCTTCAAAATAAAATATAAATTTTGAGTAGATGTATTTTCATAATTATATAATTTGTAAAAACCATTAAGTATATTTTATTTAAATTACCTGAAACAAGCTAGCTTTTCTTTTTGAACTTTATAAATGCTGATTATGAATCCCTTATTTAAATGAGTGAGTGATATCAAGTACTAAATATTTTATTAAGAAATATTTTAAATCTAATATAATAAACCAGCTAAAAAGTTAAGAGGTATCAAAGAATGATATATAAATTTATCATTATCTCTAAGCTTTTTCTTGCAAAATGAATGAATTAAAACAGCTTTTGAATTAGTTATTTAATTGATGAATGAAATCAATTAAACAATACCTTGCTTTTTAGAATGAATGCAGTATCTAGAATAATAGAGTTTTGCATATTATGTACAAGAGAATAATTAAACGACTTTGCTGAACTATAAACTTTCACTTGAGGTAATGTGTCACTTTTAGATTTGAGACCGACAGCAACTGAAATTTCTCCTTTTGAATTTGTGAAGAAATTCATAGATGTCAAAGGCTGATCTTCTATGTTTTTCATGATATATTTTTGCTTTTTCCTAACAACATCATATAAAACCAAGTGATTTCCACAACTATATACTAAAGTATCATCAGTGCAAAAAAAAGTATTTTTTCTGATTGGAGTTTGGTAGCAACCAAAAGAACCATCTAAATGAACAGAAATACCATTTTCTAATTTAGTAGAGTCTTTGCCCCACATTTTACGCTTGACCTTAATTATTAAATGCCAAAAGAGTAAATAAATAAGACTTATTATTTTTGATATTTTCTATTAAATGAGAAATAGGAATTCGAATAATTAATGAAAACTAAGGATATTACCACTTTGATGTCATTGATCATAATATAATCTTTCTCCCTCACATCTACGATTTCCATTGTATTGCTTTTAATAATTTATAATGAATTGCTTAAATTTTTATCCTAATTGCTAGTTTTAAAATATTTGTGATTTAGCTAGCTATTTTTCTTTGAAACAAATAACTTCTTATAACTATCTAAAAGTGTTTAGTTTCAGTAATTGAATGTGTATAATTTAAAAGATAATATATGTTCTTCATTTAAGCATTAATAATAATAATTATAAATTTGTTATATTTTTTATTAACTTTAAACATAGCTCAGCAATTAATAAATTATTTTAAAAGTATATTTAAGCATTTAAAAAATATAATTTTGTAAAAAGATTTAAAAAGATTTTAATATTTTCATAATTTAAATAAAATTCATGTATTTGTGTTGAAATTTTAAATTTCTATCAGAAAATCAATGTTATTAATTTGAAAAAGATTTTGTATTATAATATTAAGGAAATGATCTTATAAAATATTATTTTGAATCATTTCTATTTTAAAATCTATTCTAATTTCAAGGACATCTTTTTTATATCTTTTAAAAAAAAAGTAATTAAATAAATTCGATTATATGTTAGAACTAATTTAAAAATTAATTAAAAAAGTATTTAAATATTATTAAAATTTGTTAGGAATTAATTAAATTATTAATTTAATTTATTTATATTAACTTCGTTTTAAATATCTTTTTATTTTAAAGTAATTTAGTTAAATACAAAAATTTTAATATTAAATTATATTTAGATAGTTAAAATCTATTTAATGCTTTATAACTATTTATTTTTTAGATGTTTTAATTGATAAATATTCTAAATTAATTTCAAACAATATATTTAATTTACTCAATAATTCTTAATATAAAAAATATTGAAAATATTTTACTCTATCATTAATAAAAATTTTATTAAAAGCAACAAATACATTAATAAAAACAGTAAATAGAATCAAGTTAAGCTCTCAAAAAGTCCCTTAATTTCTGCTATAAAATTAATAAATATCATTTGATATTTAATTTTAATAATAATAATAATAAATTAAATTTATTTTTGATCTATTTCTTTTTTTATAATTAAATTAAATCCATGAAAATAGTTTGATGACAAAAATAGTTAGAAATTATATTTATTTATTTAGGAAAACAAAGAAATTTGAAATATTAAATTAATTTTTTAAATTAAAAATAATTTAAATAACATCAATTTGTAAAATAGAAAATAAAGTGTTAAAATTTTGAGTTACTTATTAATTTTTTATTTTAATCTTTGTTTGATTGAAAACAAATATGAGGCATTGGATATATAATCAGATAAATATGAGATATTGAATCAAAAATGATCCTTTCAAAAAATTATATTATTGTTAAAATTTGTTTGCTTGCTTGCAAGCTAGTCTTCGTAATATAGATAGATAGCTAACCATTTCAATTAAATTAATTTCAATACTATATAAAAAATATAATTCAATCCAATTCAATCAAAAGAGAAGAGGAAGAGTTTAATTGTGTAATGATAAAGATTTTTCGCCTGATTAGTATAGAAGGTAAGCAGGTAAATGCAAATAAATAGTCAAAAAAAAAAAATTAGTTGAGTGAAAGAGAGAAGCAATAAAAGCATAGGGAATTAAAATAAAAATAATAAATTATTAATTGATAAGAAAAGGAAAAGCAATTAAAAATAAAAATAATAATAACAAAGATAGTATATTAAAATGGATCTTACTGTTTTCGCAGTTAATGATGGATTTGCTGAGGCTATTCTTCGTGGCCTTCGTGCTTCCTTCATTACCCAAGCATAATACACTTAAATGAAGACCAGCAACAATCTTCAAGATCTTAAATCCGTAATTTATCCATTTCAATTAAAGATTAAAGCACATATATTTAATTCTAATCAAATCTATTGTTGATTTGATTTAGAAGTTTTTTTCATTTAAAATACTATTCGATTTGTCGAAATGTTAGGTTGTTTTGTAAAATGCCACTCAAAAGCCAATAAAATTTAACAAATAGTTTCACAAACCCTAAGAGAATTCAGCTTTAGTTTAAAATTTAGTTTTATATAAAATAGCTAAAATATTATTTAATAATTTGTATTTTCAAGCCTTACAACAACATATTAAATGCTATGGAATAGTTGGCTATTTGGCTGAATAAAGAGCCACATCAGCAAATAATGAAATTGTCATAAATTAAAATTATGCGTTATTATGAACAAGCTAAATTAGGTTAATCACTTAAAAAAGCTGACTAGTTTTGAGTAAAAAAATATCATTTAGGGTGTTAAGAATACCATTAGCATTACAAAATATGCAGTGTAAACATAAGCATAAAAGAAAGAAATAAAAGTGAAAAGCTTAAATAAATCAAACCAATAAAATTGTAATATTAAATAGAACCACAAATAAGAGATAAAAAAATTGCTTATTTTTAAAATTAAAAAAAACATAATATAAAATATAGTATTGAAATAGATTTGATTAAATACTTGGCAAAAACAATTTAAGATAAATAAATAAAAAATAAATATTGGTTTACTTTGTCACATGATAAATTAAATAAATCAAATAACAAACTTAAATTATTAAATTTCTTTTATTAATAATATATGTAAATAATTAGCACTTGGAAGAAACTGACTACGCTAATTACTTGTAAAACGACGTCGTTGAATTGACCATTCCCTTATTACGTTAAAAGTTAAAAAAGAAATTAGCTGATGAATTAGAATACATCCAAGCTTAGAGTGTTGGCAAGTTAAATGAATTCATTAATATGATGAAACACAGATACATGATTGATAATGTTGTTAACATGATCGAAGGTATCAAGAACAAGGTAAATAAATATATTAATTTCAAAATCAATTTTTATCTACAAAAAAGCAATTTACAATTATTTAGATAATTAATTAAATTTTGATCAGTTTGTATTATTCTAGTTTAATGAATAAATTATTTAAAATATTTTAGGTTCACAAAGATGATTTAATTGCTGCTGCTGATCCTTTGGGTTTCTTCCCTGAAATGACTTAAATCAGTGTCTTTGATAAGGATGATTATTCTGAATTGTATTAAGAAGTTCTTATTGATACTCCTGTTGGTCCTTACTTCATGAGATTCTTAGAATCATGCATGCACGGAGTCTCTGAAAACTGTGGCATGAATGTTGTCCAAGAAATTTTCAAGGAAATGAGACCCGAACACATTAGAACCTCTCTCAAGAAGGTAAATAAATTTTTCATTTTTACAATTATCAGTCAGCTTTATTTACAATCATAAATATGCATCAAATAATAATTTAATAAATAAAATTTATTTTAGTTTAGTTAAATAAACTATTTATTTGTTTGTTAAAATTTAAACTATCTGAAGATTTTTAGAAAAATAAACATGACTAACAAACTTTTAATTAATTGTTGAATGAAATTTAATAAATAAATAAAATTTATTAATTAGATGTGGTTAGAAGATTTCCATGAGTATTGTGTTGAATAATTAAACTCAACAAGTGCTGAAATTTTAGATGATTTATTGAAATTCGAAGCTGATATGAAATCTATCCAAGTAGTTTATAACACTATCTAACACACTGTTGCTAAGAGTTAAGAAGTCAGAAAGTAACTCACTCCTGCTTTGGGTTACTTGTATCCAGATTGCCAAACTTCCTTGAAGAATGCCAGAAGTTTGGATGAAATCAAGGAAGCTATAAAGGGTTGCGAAAACTATGGCAATATCGTTAAGGATGCTCCTGATCCTTCAAGAAAGGAAGAATAAAACTTTGCTACTTCATTAGAAGATTTGATGTATGATGAAGAAATCAAGAGATACTCTCTTGCATTTGATTAAGCTGCCCAATATGCAGTCTTCTATGCATACTTAAAACTTAAGGAATAAGAAATCAGAAATATTGTTTGGTTAGCTGAAATGATTACTCGTAATTTACCTAAAAACTCTCCTGGATGGAAAAAAATTGTTGTTCCTTTTGACAGTTTACTTAACATTAACTGATGGGTATGAATATTAAATAAATAAATAACCAACTAACAAATAAACAAATAATGATGATTTTAGGTTTCTTTTGTTGAGAAAACATAAATAATTGATAAAAGCTATTTATTTTCTTTTTTATATAAGTTATATAAATAATAAATACTATTAGTTTGTCCATTTTAAGAAGAAACTATTATCCATACATATGTGCATACAAAATTATCATCAAGCATTCATCATTTGTTTGTTTAATCACTCATTTTGTTTTCCTTTTTAGTTTTTATCATATTTAATTATTCATTTATTCCTTTTATTTATTTTTCAACTATCTTTTTTAAAAAAAGATTTATGTTAAAAATTGTATTTCTTTTATTTTGTTCAAGAAATATTTTGTTATTCTTTATTTATCTCTTTATTTTATTTTTCAAAAAAAATGAGCTAATAATTTAAGATTAACGATCATTTTAATCAGGATTTCAAAAAATACTGTATTTTTCAAAATACCCAAACAATTATTTTAAAAATAATCATTAAATCTATAGATTTTTTATTTTAATATAAATTTAAATGTGTTATAATCAATTCTGAATATATTAAAATATGAATTTAATCTCAGCTATCTATCAATAGTAAATTAGGTTGATTATTTTTGGTAAAATTTTATTGTTAATGAATAAATTTTTAAAAATATTTGGTATTAATATTACTTTTATTATTTTTGTAATGAATAAATTTTTTACGATTTTTATACTGTGATAGAATATATTGTTAAAAATTTACATCCATTATTTTAGATAATTCAAATTTTTTAGAAATTTTGTATGAATAGAAGTATAATTTTTGAGATAAAAACTAATCTTTAATAAGAAATTTTGTTAATGTATAAAAGTAATTATCTTAGAATTATAAATGATTAAATTCTTTTCCATATAATATAAAAACAGAAAAATAAAAGAGGTATTTTGTTTATAATTATTTATTGTTTAATTAGTAATATTATTATTTCATAAATTTATTATAAAATTAACAAAAAGTTTAGATTTTTTAAGATTCTATAAGCAATCTAACTAATTTAAATAATATCTAAAATATTAAAATAAACTATTTTTGAAAAAATAAAAAAATTGATTAGTCATTTTATAAATTTATTTTACAAATCAATCAAATTCACACTCATTTAAACGATCTTATTTGGGACTCGATTAATTATTCTTAATGTTTTTTTTATATTAATCAACAGGTATAATATGAGTTGGCTTACTAAATAATTTTTTTGTTATGTAAAAAGCAGGAAGAGGATTAAAGTTATTATCTTATTCCTATCTCTTTTTCATTATATTTGACCATTGATTTAAAGTCTAAGCAGAAATTGCATCAGCCATTTTTTTTGCATGATTGCTATTTTTTAAATAAATTAAATAATTTATTTATTTATTTCTTAAAAAAATATTAAACTAATAATTCTAATTAAAATTTTATCTTTGATAAATATTTTAAATTATTTAAATTAATTCTTTTGATTTAAACGTTAAATAAAATTATTATGTTAATTTTTAAAAATTGTTAAATTAAAAAATAGTTTGTTTACTTGGATGATTAATTATTGTTGCTGTTAGATTTTATTTGTTATAATTAATGAACTTTATCTATACTTTCTTTATAATCTTAAATCATAGACTGCACTTTATTTTCAGGCTTAGGACTGTTAACTTATTATTAGTTATTTTATGCAGCCTTTTTAGTTAATTAGATATCTTAGTTAATATATCTTTCAAATCTTGGACTTAATTAGTATTTTTCATTTTCTTCTATTTGAACATCATCGAATTTTTTAAGTTCAGATTTTGATTTTCTTTGCAATAGCTTTTTTTTTGAATTAGTATTCATTTAATTTTGATTATCTTGATTACTTAATTGATTTGCTTCTAAATTTTAGGTATTCACTTACAGTTACTATGATATTGTTTGGTTATTTTATAATTAATTTTCTTTTATGCTTTTAGTGGTAGTTAGGTCTCTAATATTAGTACTTTTGTTTCTATACATGATTCTGATTTTTTCAGTTTAATTCATATTTTCTTCAACATTTTTAGGTTATCCTGTTTGAATTCTCTCTATTTATTCTGTTTAATTCATATTTTCCTTATTATTAACAAGTGCTTCGTATAGGCTTTTTTCTTTCAACTAGTAATAAGTCATGAGAACATTTAAATCAGTTTTATGTTATCCTGAGTTACTTTTGTTATCTTAATTTATCTGTGATTAAATAATTGCAGTCTAACTTCTTTTTCTATAAGAAACTGAATTAGAGTCTGATAGCTATTATAAAATTTATTCTCTATTTGTTATTGGGTAGTTATATTTTTTATTTCTCAAGTCATCAACTTACTCAATCATTTTTTGAACCGAATTGCATCTTTGGCTACTCATAGCTAAATTGTTTTTTAGGTTCATTGAATATTGACAGTTTTCTTCTGTTTATGTACGAGCATTGCTGCTTAAAAGTCTAAAAATCCCTCTTTGGGAATTATAAAAAGTTTTTGGTTGCAGTACTTTTGCTACTTCCTACTTTGGATTCTAGTAGTGAGAGAGTGTTACTCCATACAATTTCATTAAATCATTGAATGTTAAATCTTCTTTTTTTTAAATTAGTTTATTTTGATTTCCTTAAGTTGGAGAGCTTGCTTGAATCTTCTTCTTAAGCATATTTTTTTTTGCTTTAAGAATGAATATATTGTTTGATTTTTTGGCCTCAAACTATTTTTTATCATAAAGAGTGGTGGCAGTTATTGTCAAGTCATCTTAATCAATTGTTGTTTTATTATATTAATCAATGTAGTTATTTTATTATGGCTAAGGAGAAATCCTAAATTACTGAGTTTATGTACGGTTCTAATTTTGCGATTGCCTTTATAATTTCCTTAGCTAAACTTAAGAGTTATAAAGTCTTGGATACTCCAAATTTTGAATTTAGTAAGGACTCTAAGTATGCTCTTAAAGGGGATCAAGCATTCTTACTGTATAAAAAGTAGGGATAAATAATAAATAAATAAGATAGATATAATTTAATTAAATTACAAATATTTTATAGAAGTATCATCAACAGAATTATTAATTAATTGTTTATCAAAGGTATTTACAAACAGATAAATCGAATATCTAATTACCACTCATTTCAACTCAATAAAATATTTCTACAAAATCACTATTATTATCTTTCTTTATTTTTAATACATCAATGTTACTTTAAAAACCAAGTATTTAACTAAATAAATGGTTTTTTTTAATTAAGCTATAACTTTAAATTTTTAGAATTCATTGATTTTATAACATAATTTATTTTTAAGTTAAATCTCATTTAGCATTAAAATAGGGTATAAAAATTAATATTTATTTTTCTTAACCTGAAATACTAAAAATATTTTTATTTTCTAAAAGAAATTTAGAATTAGGTATCAATTAAAATATCTGCCTCTTAAAATTTAAAATAATTTAAGTATGTATTTGATTATATTTTATAGAGATAATAAATATAATTAACAGCTATCAGAAATGTTGCATAATTTATAAGTAAAATTAATAATTTGTTTAGAATTCTTAGTTATAAAAATATAATAAAAATTGTGTCATTTATTTATTTAATTATAAATTAATTTAAGACTAAACCTTAACAAATATTAAAAATAGTCATAAGCAAAAAAATAAGCAAGCACGTTAGTAATAAGGAGTATAACTCATAAAATAAATAAATAATAAACATACTCAAAAGTTTAAAATAGAAATAACTAAATAAATTTTGAAATGATTAGAGATTTTGTATTGCAATAAACAACAGAGCCAGAGAAGAAATTTAATTCTACAGTATTAATAGGTAAATTAAATATCTTTTCAATATTGATTGATTGAATAATTCGATGGAATCAATATATTTCTAAATGAGTAATTATCAAAATTAAATCCATTTTATGATTAATTAAGGTAATTGGTATGAAGAGAGATGTGATCCTAACAGAGAACAAAGCAAATTTTATAACGAACGCAAGTTTGCAGATAACAATTACTAGAAATATACACTCTCTGAAGTAAATTCTATCTTAAAAAAAGTAAATATAACAACATAAATAATAGAATAAATTCCAAGACACAAGCAACAGCTGGTTAAATTTCCAAGAAAATAAACCAGAAGTGAAGAATGACCAATTCATCACTATGAATATGTAAATTTAAATACAAAAACCTTCAAAATATTCTTTATTTAAAATCTTTTATAAAAATATTTGACTTATTTATAAGGCGTCTTACTGAAATAAAACTCCTATCAAATATAATAATATATTTAATCCAATTGATGATATATTCGTTCATTAATAAATAAATAAATATATTAATTACATCGCCCACTCATTCATATTAACAATCAATATATTAAAGATTTTATTTAGTATTTACTTTCGAAATAAAAAGGTAAGAATATAAAAAGCCAAGTGAATAAAAGAGAAATTCTGAACTAAAGCCCTTCATAGTAAAAAAATCACACTTTGACAAGAATCCTCATGAATTGGAAGAATATAGAGAAAAGTAAATTAAAAATGAATTTATTCTCAAAAAATTAATAATATATTTATCATTTATTCAAATTAGGTGGACTAAATCTGCTCATACTTTTGATAGAATGTACTTGGGAACATAAAAACCTAACTGAAAATTTTTAATAAATATTAAAATTATAAGTTGCTTTAACAAAAATTAAAGCAGTTTCAGTTGTATTTATAATATATATAAATTAAATATTTTATAAAAAGGTTTAAAAATCGATCTTTTGTTGATTTATTAACTTATTTTTATTTGATATAACTTATACCATTTATTTTTGAAATAGATTTTTAAATTATTTAATTTACAAAAGAAAATTTATATTACTATCAAATCACACTCAAATAAACTCTCATATAAATTTATTTTGGCTATCATTACTTTTTATTAGTTATAATAATTTTATAATCTAAATATTATGATAAGTAACACTAAAAAATCTTTTTTATCATCATAATCTATCCTAGCAAGTATATTCACCTATTTAAAATGAGAAAAAGAATAAATTTGGCTGAAAAAAATTCAAAAAAGTAAGGTAATATCATAATTTTTGAAAAGGTCAATAAAAATAAAAAGTTTATTCCAATTCAAAACAAATCAAAAAAAATATTTTTCTTAAAATTTTAAAGATAGTAATTATTAAGATTAAATAGATACTGATTTTCATAATTCCTAATATTATCTTAATTTATTTATAAGATTTATTTTTATGCATTTAATTTTTTGTGTTTATATTTACAGATCAAAATTATTATAAAAATGTAATTCTAAAGCTTCAATACTATTTGGTCAAGTTATAAAACATTTGTCTATATTTTATATATTATTTTAATATAAGAATATTAATTAGTCAAATATTACCAGGAAATTAGTAATGACATATAAATTACCCAGTTTAATTTAAGTTTATTTTATAGAATATTTCCTTTCGTTTTACATTAACATGCATTTTATAAAATTTTAATAAAATATATATGCTAAAAATCATTAAATAGCTTATATTTTAATATTTTACTAATTAATACTGCTATTTTATTTATAGCTTGAAAAGATTTGAAATAAATAAAAAATTAAAAGCAAAAAAAAATTTTGTATTGAAAAATCAATTTAAGTAAATTTATTTCTAACTATAATATTTTGGATAAATAGATCACCACTTTTTATTTAAAATGGTAAAAATAAAAATTAAATGCACTAATTGAAGCTATTCAAGTTGTAAAATATTTAAAAATTTTTATGTATACTTTGTTTTTTTAATTTAGGTTATCCTTGTAAGCTGAATAAATTTATAAATTTAAATCAAAGATTATTTTTTGTAAAGTTGTTTGGGTGTTAATTTTAAAAATAATTAATTTTTTTAAAAGATTCTATTTATTAGCAGTAATCAAAATAATTTGAGAATAATAAGAATCTTCTAAATTTCTTTTTTACAATTTTTTTAAAATTTTAATAGGCTGATGTTTACTTATATCATCAAATCACAATAATCTAAATTTATGAATATTAAATATCTAAATTAGTAGTCTATTAATCGAATTACAAATAATATCCTGGTTTTTTGTTTTGTTACTTTAATTATAAATCATTGCCAGTCTATTTATTAATTTTAAAAAAATTATTATTTCGATATTTCAAAATACTACAAAAGGCTAACTGTTAAATAATAAATAAAGTAATAAAATATCATTTCGAAGTATTTTAACAAAACACTTGTTACCCTTGACAATATATAATGTATTTATAAAATATTTGATATATATAATTTTATTAGTGAAGGTAATCATAGATTAATATCTTTCCTTAAAATGAGTCTGATATAAATTAGATAAAACCTGAAATATAGATTTTGTAAGGTGATACACCAAACATGAATAGCAAGCCAATCTAAAATAAAAAATTTTGGGAGAATTAAGAGAAGCTTGAATTAATTAAGTTACTTGTTTTTTTTTTTACAAAAAAATAAAAATCACTGAATGAAATTCAAGCACTGCATCAAATTTGTGTGCGTTTATAGCTTGTTACACCAAAATTTTATTTTATTTGAAGTAAATCATTAACATTTACTTTATAGTTTGTTTTATTTATTTTTTAGAATAAGTGTAAGGGAAGTGAAGTGAATTAATGAAATAATAAGCCACATTATTTATTAAGTAAAAATTTTTATCTTTTAATATTTTACTGTTTATAATTTAGCAAAAATAGAAAGTTATTTTTCAAGTTAAAACCTTAAACAATTTTTTAAAAATTCTTTTAGATTTCTAAACTTAAAATATATATTAATAAATATGAACACAGATAAATATAAATCCAAATATTTATTATAATTAATAAAATTAAAAATTTTCTAAATATTTTGATTCGAATAATCCTATTTAACATGTATTTAAAAAAGTATTAAAATTGAACATAATTTATATGGTATTTATTTACCTAATTAGAAAATTAATAAGTAAATTTATTAATTAAATATTCAAAAGAAATTTGATGAATTTGATTAAAAGTGTTAAAATCCACTCAGTAGAAGATAAATATCTTACTAAATCATCAGTAATTCAAAAATACTATTATTCAAGATCAATCAAGTATAAATATTAAAAAAAGTGATACTAAAATAAATTATTAGATAAAATCTAATTATATTACATTATTTTTATTATAGTTGGAATGGCTCCATAGAATTTTAAACAATTATCTTAAAAAACACTTTTCAATATCAGCTTAATTATTTTATTCTTCAAAATCAATCAAATTGATAAGATGTTTCTAAAAATAAACTAACTTATAACTTGAGTTGAATTTCAAGTGTAAATAAGCTAATATAACTCGATATAAATAATTTATTGTAATCACGCATTAATTAGAAATCTATGGTTTAATCAAATTATTTTAGTTTTCGTAGACAGTTTGATTTTGTTTTTATTTGATTTAATTTCAAATGAAAATAAATTTTGTTAAATACTGAAAAATGTTTTAAAAAAAAGATTGATAACATGTTAACAATCAATAAAAAATATCTTTAAAGAATAAAAATAAACATCCTTAAAATAAAACTAATTCATAATTTATTAATTTTTACTTACAAAAATAAATAAATTTAATATATTTTCAACAAAATAAGAGGATTCTCTGAATTTAAAGAGTGATATGCTTGCTTGCTTTGGCTGATCATGATTAATTTTAAAATAAACAATGAAAAATAATAAGAATTCGCTTAATAAAGTAAACACAAATTAACTTTATGATAGGGAGAAAAGATTACTAAATTAGGATCTGATACTTCATGAAGTATTAGAACAAATTAAACAAAAAAAAAATTAATTTTGGAAGATTAATTTATTGTGAGAAAAATTAACAAATTAAAACAGTAGGAGAAGATAATGATAATATATATTTAAGTTTATAAATTAAATAAAAAAAATTTATAATTAAATCAGCAGCTGATTGGTTATATAAAAGCATATCACATTTATCAATCTAAATAATTTAAAAAGTGGAATATTGATTACTAAAATGACCAAAGATAAAATGCACAAAGTATCTCTTAAAATTAAAGAATAAAGACTTGAAACTATTTATTCTGAGAAAATTAATAATTTTTAATATAAACAAACATTTTGGGTGCTTTTGGCTATCCTTTTGGTCAGTCTTATTTAGACTGCAAACTATTCTTACAAAAAATCATGTTTACAAACAATTATAGCAGCATTTTAAGTTTTAGTAGCGCTGATAGCTCTTGTGATAAGTATGATTCTTTTAACCTTTTTGCTTTTAAAATATTTTACTAATTATATATTTTTTTAGGATATAGGTACAAGATGTTTGCTATATATTTAACGAAATTTTCAATTGTATATTCTATATCAGCCATTTTATATCTTTTGAAAATTAATTATGGAGAAGAAGTACAACTTCTTTAAGTCAGAGCTTTAGGTATTCATTATAATTCCAGATTGTTTGAATTCATAATATCAATAATTATAGGTTTTTTCACTCTGCTTATGGATTGGTATATTAAGAGATGGACTCTGAAAGCATTTATTTTTATTTGTTCTTAAACAATTTTTATTTAATTTTATTGGGATTCCTCAAAGTACTTCGAAATGCTAAACTAGATTTCATTTGAAGTATTTGTTACACTGATGTTTTACTGGTCTGAAAAGGCTAAAAAACAAAATTTTTTAGAAACTAATTAGAAAATTCAATAACTTTCATTGCATCATGATATCATTAATAAGTTAATTCCCTCTTCTATGATTATACTTCAATTTAAATCAAAATCAGGTATTTAATATTTGCGTTATTTATTTAATCATTAATTTATTTATCTGTATGTTAGCTAGTTATAGATTTCAGGCTTTAGAATTTAATTTTTACCAAAGAATTATCAATTTATTTTTATAGAGATTTTAAATCAAATAAATTTTTTGTTTGATCCATTTCAATTTGAAAAATTTAACATATTTATTCATTCTTAAATTGATATTTTAGATAAAAATTTAGATGAAAGTATTATAGAATACATAAAATTTAAAAATATTTTTAAATGAGATTTATCCACAAATTCTTAAAACAAGCAAATTTTGCTGAGATTTAAAATCTTAAAAAAAAATCAAATAATTGAAACAAAACATTTAATTACAGATAAATTGTTTAATCTTATTCAATTTATTGAGTAACAATAGAAAAAAAATTAATTTCAGCCAGTATACTTAATTTATTAAAGACTTATTATTTTATTAAATTAAGATTATAAAATACTGTATGCAAATCAGTCTTGTTTAGAGACATTTAGAATCAAAGATATCAGCTAACTTGATGAAATCCTAAGAAATGTTACAGTTGATAAAGAGTATAGAGAGAAAAAAGATAAAATTGTTAGCGTTATTGAAGATTCTTACTTATAACTTTTCATACAAAATAGTATCAGTCTTCCTCAAAAAAGAAAAGATATTATCAAAGAGGTAGATATAGTTGATATTTTAACTTCAGATAAGCTATTTCATCACAAAGATATGTATTTCAATGCCAGATACTCTCATTGCTACTTTTAAAATGAACTTTCTGCTCTCATTTTTCTTTCTGATGAAACTATTCAGAGAAAAAATGAGTATTTAAAGTAAATGAATATTTACAAGGACAAGTTACTAGCAAGAATTTCTCATGATTTAAAAACACCTTTAAACTGTATTTTATCTATCTCTTAAAATTTTAAAAATCACCTCAGCAACATCTCATCTTTCCAAAATGATATGGATATAATTTCTAAGAATTCATAACTGCTTATGCACATGATCAATGATATACTAGACTATTCACAAATTAAAATGCAGAAGCTTAAGTTGAATTGTTAATAATTTAATGTTAGAAGAGCTATCCTTGATATTTTTAGATTAGTTTAATAGCAAGCTGACTCATAAAATATACAACTCATTGCAGAAGTCAACAATTCTTTAGAAATATTTAATGACGAAAATCGCTTCAAATAAGTTATCCTCAATTTTATCTAAAATTCAATCCAATACACTCCTTCTGGATTCATTAAAGTAAAGTGTCAGCGAATTGATTTGACAAATGAACTACAAGTTTCAATAATAGATACAGGAAAAGGTATGGATTAAGAAACAATAGATAGGTTATTTTGTAAAATCGGAACATTTAATAAAACTCATCTAAATGTTGATGGTAATTAAAAATATTATTTATGTAAAATTTATTAAAAAATTTCATATAAAAGGTGTTGGTCTAGGTTTAATCATGAGCAAAAAACTTATAGGTTTTATTGGGCATAAAAGCAGTATATAAGTAGAGTCTAAACTTCTATAAGGATCTACATTTACATTTAGTATTAGATAGAATTTAAAATCAAAATAAACATCAAATTGTAAGTTTTTTATTGCAAATTTAAAACATTTTAAAATTAAAATCACAGTAAAAATAGCTTAAACTATGATTTCTGTTTACTAGACAAGAGCTACTTAAAGCTTGAGTTCTAATTAGCTAGAAAAAAATGATTCACCATGCAACATTTCTCCAACTATAAATATTGAGCAGCAATTTAACGAAGACCAAGAAAGTTTAGACAATAATAGTGATTTATAAAATTAAATAGACGAAAACTTATCTCAAATATAAGCAATGAATGAATTTAAAACAAACTCATTCTAACCCAGTATTAACGAAGAAACAAAAAAATTAAAAGTAATGATAGTTGATGATATTTATTATAACATTATTGCTCTAAAGGCCTACCTAAAAAACTTTACAAATTTAGAAATTTCAGAATTTATATTTGCAGAAGATGCTTTTCTTGAGATTTAAAAGAATTAATACGATATAATTTTCTCTGATATTTAAATGCCAATAATGGATGGTATAGAATTTATCACAAAAGTTAGATTGCTTAAAGATAAGATAAAATAACCAATAGTCTTTATGATATCTGCTGATAATTAACAAGCTCACGAAGAGAGGTTAAGAGACCTTGAAATCTAATCATTTATTCAAAAACCTATATTGAACCAGCAATCTTTTAACAATCTAGTGAGTTCCTCACTCATAAAATTATGAAATATTTAATTTTATTTAAAAAAAGATGAAGAAATTTTCACCAAAAATATAATCTTACTAATTAATTAATTATAAACCATAAAAATAAAATAAATTCTAAATAAAAACTTTAATTAATATTAAAATATTTTTAAATAAATATTAAAAATTTCTTAACAATATAATAAAAATTAGTAATAATAAAATTTTAAATTTATTTACATATTAATAAAAAATGAAATAAATTTGTATATTTTTGAGTAAAAATATATATTTATATATTTAGTTTACAAAAAAATATTTAAATACTAATATTATTTTATAAGTTAATAAAATGTTAAAATAATGAGTTAATTATATTAAAGGTATTTATTACTTTTTAAGTGTATGAATTTAATAAATAAAATGATTTATTTTTGAGCTTGAAAATATAAATAAATCATTTATTTTTACTATTACATTCAATTAAACTAAAATTAATTCATTTTATAAATATTTTCAAATAATAACAATTGACTAAAATTATAACTAAATATAAAAATATAAACAGTGTTATATGCATTTTCAAAAATAAATATTCTATTTAAAACATATTTATTTTTTTAGAAAATTAAACAAATTTTAAATAAATATTCAATATATTAATTATTAAATTTAGTTAATTTTATTGAGTTAGCTGTTTATTTTATATGTAAAATATAAACTCTTTTTCTTAAAGGTTAGTAAATTAAAAATATAATTTCTGAAATAAATTTAGATAGTAATTGGGATAAATATAGAAAGATTTTATATTTAAAAACCATAAAATTGCAAATTATTTAATTTTTTATTCATTCACTAATTTTCTGTATCTCATTTTACAATCTCTTTATCTTATTTAGAAAAATTTTTTTGTTTTAGTAAATCAAAAATATGGGAAGAGGGGGGATTACTAAGTTATTAACTGGGATTGTATCAAGAATATCTTGAATTTTACCTGATTTTAAAACCCAGATAAATTCTAGAGAGTCCAGATACCCCCCCCTCTCCCCCCTATTAAATATAATTTAGTTTTATTCAATAAAACTTGAAACTCCAACTCTAGTTAAATGTATTTTATAAAATAATTAATTATAAGTCCTGTATTTTTTAAAATTCAAAAAATATGAAAAATTCAGTGCTTTCAAAATTAAAAAATGAACTTATTTCAATAAAATAGAATAATAAAATTAGCTTAAATGCAGTTTATTATTTATTTTATTTCTTAATCTTATTTTACTAACCGAAATATATAATTAATTTAGAATAAGATTCATATGCAATCAATTTGAATGCTTTTTTTTTTGACAAAATAAATGAAGTTGAAAAATTTTTAATTACAAATGGAGTGAGACCAGAATTTAACAATTTATAATTTAGAAAGATATATGCCAGAAAAAACAAGAAATGTTTAAGAGCTAAATATTAATTGAATCAATAAATTTTTAAGAATTTAAAATTTTGACTATAAGAAATTATAAAGAGTGTGGAGAGATAGTTGATTGAGAGATAAAGTGAGTGCTAATTTGATAATAAACGTTAAAAGAGTTAAAAAATAGAAAAAGTTAAAATCAATCTTTGCATAAATATATAAATAAATAAGTGAGTGTGTGTGTGTGTGATTTATCTATCTATCATTATTTTGAAAAAGCTTTGATTGATTATTCGAACAATAAGTGCGTGCAAGAAGAGGACTTGTTTTAATACTGAAAAAGTAAATCAAAAAATTAAATCTTAAAATTTGTAAATTTTAATTAAAAAAGCTAAACAAGGAACAAAAAAATAGTAGGTAAAATGGCAAATAGAGAATACGACTACTTAATCAAGTTGGTTATTATTGGAAACTCAAGTGTTGGAAAATCTTCCGTACTCTTGCGTTTTAGTGATGATCAGTTTAGCGAGTCATATTTAACAACTATTGGTGTAGATTTTAGATTCAAGACTTTAAACATAGATGGAAGAAAGGTTAAATTACAAATTTGGGATACAGCTGGTCAAGAAAGATTCCGTACAATTACTAATGCATATTACAAAGGAGCAGATGGTATTGTTCTCGTATATGATATCACAAACTCAACATCATTCGAAGACATTGAACGCTTTTGGCTAAATGAAGTAGAAAGTTATGCTGAAAAAGATGTAGAATTGCTACTTTTAGGTAACAAAAGCGATCTTTCTGATTAGCGCTAAGTTGAGACAAACATGGTTTCAGAATACGCTGAAAAAAAGCACATGGATTTTTATGAAACATCTGCAAAGACATCTGATTAAATTGAACAAGCTTTCCTCTCTATTTCTAAGAGATTGATGTCTAAAAAGGATGCCAAGCTAGCTGAAAAGAAGAAGCGTCCCACTAATAGCAAAAAAGGTACTGGATCATCATCTGAAAACTCATAGAAATCCTCTTCAACTAGTGCTAATAGTACAACAAATGCAAATAACTCTTAATAACCAACCCAAACTAACGAAAAAATATCACTAGGCAGCTCATCTAACCAATAAACTACAAAATCAAACAAACTAAACTTAGGATGTTGCCAAGTTTGATTTGTTAAAATTCATTCATGTTGCTTAATAAAAATAATTGTAAAAAGTAATGCAAACAAAATTTATAATTTAAAAATAAATAATTTATTGTTAACATTTAACTTGTTTGAGTTAATTCTACACAATACATGTAAATTTATCTCTGTAATGTTCTGCTATTTTAAGTAAGTAAGTTAGTAATTTATTTATTGCTTCATCCATTTTTATCTATTTAAATATCTAATTTAATAAATAATTAATGAATTTATGTATTTTTATATGTTTATTTTTCTCTAATTAGATAAAAAATATAATTTGATTTTTGATCTATTTAAAATACACATAGGATATATCTATTTTTCTAACTAATCAACACACCTAATTAATTTATAAGTTGTTAAATATTTCTTTAGTATTTACACACTTTTATTTGACATCCCTTTCCTTGTGGTAAATTTACTTTATATTGATTTTATAAAAAAAACCTACAAATAAAAATTAAGTTTGCAGTATTTGATTAATTTATAACTTTATATTCTATAATTACTTGCTTAATTATTTTGCTATTTTATTGACATTAAATTATAAATTTTTTATATCTTAAAGAAATTTATTCATCAAGTTTAATTTGTAAAAGTTATTATTTGTCAGTAAATAAAAAACTAATTTAAGATACATTATTTAAATATCTTAATTATTACTTAAATTAAATTTATTTTCCTCTTTTATCTTTTTCTTACCACTTATTAAATATATTTTTATTTCAGTTTAGAAATTTATTTTCAAATAATTGAGTAAATTTATTGATTTATTTAGATACTTAAAATTTTATTTTTTTATTTTATTGAATTCATTTTTGTTTATGATAAATTTGGAAACAATAGTAATTTTTTTAAACAAAAATTATGTGATAAATATTACATTTACTTTATTATCATTTTTAATATAAAAAATATATTAATGAAATAATCAGATAAAAATTGTTGAAAATAAAAGCTTTATTTTGGTCATTCTTGGTTTATTGTTTGGTATGTAGTTGATTATTTAATTTAAAATATTTATAAAATAATTGAATATTTCAATTTATTCTTTTATATTCACTTGTGTTAAAATAACTTTGAAGTAACCTTAGCTAATAAAGCAAAATATAAAAAATAAAGTGATTGATTAATTGTCTTTTAAAGTAGTAACATATTTGATAATGTAACAAAAGTGATTATTCAATAATATTTTGGAAATCTATTCATTTACTTTAACTTAACATTTCAAAATTAAAATTATGCTAAATTTAAATTCATTCATATAAAATATTAAAAATATTAAATATTTTATTAGTATTTTTTCTTTTTCCAAATTATATTTTATGTAAAATACCTTAAAAATTATTAATAATCTGATAAATTTACTAATTTTTCTTATCCAGTTTATTTTATAATATAAAAATACTTTAACAATATAACAAATTAAATATTAATAAAAGTATATCTTACCCGCAATATATTTTTAATCTATCGCAAAATGATTTTAGAGAAAAAACATTTTTTGTATAAAATCTAAATTAATTTATTGTGTAAATACATCATCAAAAATGTTATTTTGAAAATAATTTTGTGAAATTTGAGTTGATGAATATCTTTAACTAAGTAAAAATTTAGTTTATATAAAATTTTTTTGAAGAATAAGATCATAAAGTTGAAGTGCATAATAAAAAATGTATTAACTTTGTTCAACACTAAAAAATTTTTATTTATTTTTATCAAAATATATTTATAAATTAACTATAAATGAATGGATATAATATGTATAATTGATTGGTTCAAATAAATAAATAAAATTTAAAATAAATTAATTAAATGATCAAATAATTATCTATTTTTGATAAAATAAAAATGTTTAACTTCATAAAAATACCTTTTAATATTATTTAAATTTTATTTGATATAATTTTACAGTAGAAAAAAAAAATTTTAATATGAATTAAATGTAAGTATTTAAAAAAATTATATAAGCTAGTTTTATAATTTAATTTTTCTATTCTAACAATTTAAAGAACTTTGAAGGAAGTTCTCAGTTTTTGTTCACAAAACTAATTACTGAATTGATTTATTTTTCAGAATAAAAATTCACATAGAACATAAGAATTAACTATATGCTAGATATTTATTGGGGTTGTTTTCTGATTACCTAAAAAAACGAAGGTAAATAAAAAAGATACTACAAAATTACAGAACCAGTCTACAATTTATATTGTGACAAACATTATTTTTATGGAATTTCTAGTTAAGTGTGGGCAATAAAAATAAATTCGTGTGTTGTTTATTATTTCATTCATAATCTAAAACATTTGCTGGAATAGTCTTAATTAATACACTAATGATACTTTCTGAAATCACAATTAAAATTTAAAATCAGCTATTTATGCAATTTTTAAAAAATATTATTTGAAAAAGAAAACAGTGAAGTTATTTTCCGTCGAAGTTGATCGAAGTACGAAACGACTCCTAACATTAATGCAAGGGTCGAATTTATAGTTTATAAAGTAAAAGCTGGATAAAATGGTGAAAGTGAAAAAGGTTTTTTATGTGTTAAGAAACGAATGAGAATAGTTTTGAGCAGAAAAAATAATCGTATTTTTAAAAAAGTTTTTTTCATTAATTCGTAAGAGTGATTGATTGACAGTGAATCTCCTTTTTTTTATTTTTTGATTGATTTGTTATTTTTTGACAGTATTTTGAAGAAATAAATACATAACTTTTATAATTGTTAGCTTATTTAGAAATTAAGGCAGTGAATTTTATTTGATTAATAGACAGAATGAATGAAAATCGGAAATTTAGTAATAAATTCAGAAAAGAAAGTAAATAAATAAATAAATTAGAGGGTTTGTATGTATCCCTAATACTTATGACAATAATAATAAATAAATAAAACAAATTAAAAGATAATAAGAAGAAAAAGAAAAAAAATAACAAAACAGATTTTTATTAATAGATTTGTAAAAAAGCTAATAAAAAATGGAAAAAGCTAAGAAGATGAAGCTCTCGGACTACGAGATATTTTAGACTTTGGGAACAGGCAATCATTTTTTTAAAATAATTATTTACTTATCATTCATTCAGCATCAAATTTACTTTATTTTCAATATTATACTGATATCGTCTTTCAACTACCAAGATTCTCATTTTCATAATCTTATTTAAATCCAACCATTGAAGATTATAAACAAAAATACGCTCAATTTAATTTTTTGTTATTGTAAATTCTATCTTTTTTTTCTTTCTCTCTCTCTCTAACGCCCTTTGCTAAACAACCAGCTGCTAGACTTTTACATGAAACTGCTTTTTTAAAAATCACAGCTAATTTTTAAAAAATAAACTCGGCAGTTTTTTTCTTATAAGTTATGATTCTTTGTCATATAAAAAATGAGCCCAATAATCATTTGATTTTAACTTGAGTTTAAAGAAGCGATTCCTGAACATCATGTATAGTTATTTTGGAAAACTTAGAATCAAATCAAAAGCAAAAGAGAAATGAGGCTAACAATTCATGAAATTTTAGAATTTAAATTAACTTGCTCATAACAGTAGAGATAAGTAGAAGGAGAGAATCATAGTTGCCTTTATTTATTATTGTTTGTTAATTTGCTTGCCCACTTCATAGCAGAAAGGCAAAATACTTATTAGCAAGCAGTTAAAGCAAAGCAAATGATTAATAAAAAGGCAAATAATAACAAGCCATTTCTAACTTTAAAAGGAGCTTGTTCAGCATTCCTTTTATAAACTGAACTAATAAATAAACAAAAAATAAAAAAAGAAACATTTTGCAGTTAAAAGAAATATAAAAGTAGGTAGCTCATTAGCTATTACCAGGTTAGGAGAGAGAAAGAATGAAATGGATTAAAGTTGTTATTGAGTGAAAGATCACCCTTTAATTTTTATTAGGATGAATGAATAAAATGCCTTTTATTATTTTTATATAATGTTTTTTTTTACTTTTATAGGTTCATTTGGTAGAGTCAAGCTCGCTAAAAAGAAGAATACTACTCAATACGTCGCACTTAAAGTATTGAAAAAAGCTGAAATTATTAGACTTAAACAGGTTGACCATATCATCAATGAAAACACCATCTTGTCAAACTTAAATCACCCTTTCATTGTAATGCTTACATTCATTTGTTATTTATCTGATCAAAAAAGCTGCCTCATTTTTACTTAGGAGATTATAAATAAAATTTGAACTTTTACTAAAGCAACAATTAACTAAATAAACCAAACCAAATCACAGTGCAGTTTTTTATTATAAGCTTTAGACAACTTTTGCTATAGTAATGGACTAATTACCTTTTAAATAAATAGGTTAAGATGGACGGTTTCTGCTAAGATAGTCGCTACCTTTATCTTGTCTTAGAATTCGTATCAGGTGGTGAATTGTTTACATATTTAAGAAGTGTTGGCCGTTTAGAAACCAATCATGCATGGTAATTCATTAAATTAATATTTTTTGTATAAGAAAATGCAACTAAATTTTGTTAAAGAATGGCATTTTATACCACTCATTAAGTTGTTTACTCAATTTGATAATAGATAAAACAAAGGATTAATTTTTGTCAAATCAAACATTAGTTTGAGTTTTATATTCCATGACTATTCAAGCAATAAAGCATTCAGTTTAAATAAAACTTATCGCAGACTAAAATAAATTGATAACAAATAACAAAATAAATAAATTCCAAGAGCCACTGCGAATGTTATAAATTTTAGAGATAGTTTTATTTTCGTTTTAAACATAGTCAAATAGGTAAAGAGGAAATTTAAGATTTTAACAATTTAGTTATGTTTGCAATAAAATTAGTCATAAAGTAATATAATCAGTTATTCTCGCCATTTATCATCATAAAATAAAAATGTATTTAAAATTCAAATATGTAAGCAAAAGGTAATGATAATAGAAAGCAAAATAGCATCAATATAAAAATAAAAACATCGCATTAATATTAAACTTATTTGGCCAGTTTCAAATATGCTTATAAAAATATATTCTAATACAAAATGATGTTCTTTTCCTATATAATTTTATTAAATATAAAGAAAGAACAAAAAGCCAAAGGAAAGTTTTTTTCTTAATATTAATTGCTCTTTTTTATAACTATTCAAACCACAAGTCTCTATCTATCTTGTAATAAAAATATAGTTTGCAAATAAATTAAAGTTATTCAAGCAATAAATTATTTATTTTATTTCACTGCAATAATTCGTTTTTTAATTTTTGCAAACTCACATAAATAAATAATTGAATTTTCTCCTCTTTCTTATCTTATTAATAAATTATATTCTTCAGCATTAAATTTTATTACCTGATTAATTAATAAATTAAACATCTTCAATTTAAATATCTATCAATCAAATTATCAAACAAAAACAAAAGAGCATTTAGACTAACTAATAAATAATTAATTGCCTTTTACAGTTATTTATTTTCTTTTTATTTTTTATTGATATGATTAAAAATAAATAAGTACCGTCCCCCTTTTATTTTCAAATTTTATTTCTTTTTTATTTTTTCATTCTATTGAATTGATTTATCAAACAAACAAAAACATATTTCTCAATCTTTCTTTTAATTTTTTGAATAAATAAATAAATCAATCAATCAATTGTCTTTTCTTTATACATATCAATAAAGGAAGAAATAAAATTAAATGCTATGAGTGAGTTAAAATATCATTTTTTCATTAAGAAATAGAGAATTTATATAAATATCTATTTTTAAAAATTTAAATATTCGTTAAAATACTTACCTTTATCAGATATATTCTAATAACTGAACTTCTAACAACTTTAATTAATTTTAATAACCCAGACTAATATTTAAATCATTTTATTTTACTATTCTAGCTTTTATGCAGCTCAAGTTACTTTGATGTTTGAATATTTACACACAAAGAACATTATATATCGTGATCTTAAGCCTGAAAATTTACTTATCGCAGATGATGGTTATCTTAAATTGACTGATTTTGGTTTTGCAAAAGTTGTCGAAGGTCGTACATACACTCTTTGTGGTACTCCTGAATATCTTGCTCCTGAAATCCTTCTTAACAAGGGTAAATTAATTAAATTAATAAATTGATCAACTTGAATTTATAATTAAAATTAACTAATCTAGGTCACGGTAAAGCAGTTGACTGGTGGACATTAGGTATTCTTATCTATGAAATGAATGCTGGTATTGATCCCTTCACTGATGAAGATCCTATGGCTATCTATCAAAAAATCTTAAAGGGTAAAGTTAAATTCCCCAGAAACTTTGATAAGTAAGCATTTTTACATGAATAATGATAGCAATATTAAAATTTTATTTTATAAAATAGAAATGCAAAATCTCTTGTAAAGCATTTACTCGTAGCTGATCTCTCTAAGAGATACGGTAACTTGAAAAATGGTAACATATCGCTATATCTATTAATAAAAATTTTATCATAAACAATAATACTGATTCATTTAATAATACAACATTTTCTATATAGGTGCAAATGATATTAAGAATCATAGATGGTTCAGTAGCATTGACTGGGCATAGCTTCTTTCTAAAAAGCTTCCAGTTCCTTATAAGCCAGTTGTTAAGTAAAAATTTAATTGATCCTTAACATTTAAAAATGATATTTATTTTTAATAACAGAGCTCCAAATGATACTTCTAACTTCTCTAGTTATCCTGAAAGTGATACTCATTCACCAGCACTAAAACCTGCTGACGATCCTTTCCTTGACTGGTGAGGTAGCAGTATAAATAAGCAATTTATACAATTTTACACCATATATCATCAATATCAAATACTTAAACTAAGCTATAAACACTGCAAAACACAATTATACATTAATACAACATACAAAAGTATAACACTAAAGAATGAGAGAGAGTGAGTGAAAGCAAAAAGTGAATATATTTACAAATTGGCATAAACCTAGTTAATTAGAAACTTAGCTAGCACCAAATAATTACCATCAAGCATTATTTAAGTGCTATTACAAGCAGATAAACAAATATACCACACATATATACATATTAGGAAATCATAACATAATAAGCTAGAGCTAAAGGTTTTTTTGCAAAAAGCTAGTAGATTTGAGAGGATAAATAATAATTTAATTAGGAGATTCTTCTTTGTGAAATGAAATTATGAAGCAAGATTACCAAGTAAAGAGATAGTTTGGTTTTATCAATATTTATGAATAAAAGAAGTTGCTTTTTTAATCCATCAACAACTTAAACTAAAACAATAACTAAACAATTACCTTAAATTATGCGTGCTTTTTAATGATTGAGAGTTGCTTATTTTTTATTACTTTTTTTTTGAAAAACTTTTTTAATGATACAACTAACTAATAAATAGTCTCCAAAAATCATAAAAGCAAGCAAGTATTTAAGTAATTAATTAAGCAATCTACTTATCTATCTATCAAAAATTAAGCCTAATTAATGCTTCTTAACTAAAAGTAGCATATCACAAATCAATCAAATGTCAAATGCTCAACTAACATGGTTAGTATAAACTATTAACAGTAGTTAATTTATTCCAGTTATCTCACTTAAACAATTCTGCTAGGCTTTTCAAAAACCTTTGAATCTTCATACTGAAATTTGTTTCTAACTAGTTAAATACATTCATTCATACATATATCATTCAAATTACATACACTCATCAACCTGCATAATAAACAAATTCAATTACATTCTTTTTTATTGTTTCATATTTTTTATTATTTTCCTTGTATCTCCCTCAAATGTAATAATTATATGTCACTCCTTTTACTATTATTATAGCTATCATTTCACATATTTCTCATATTTTTTTAATAAAATCTTTCATTTATCAAAACTTTTAATTAAATTACCAAAATATATAATACAACTTTTCGTTTTTATCAGTCAAATATTGATCTGCTTTCTTGAAAAATGTTTCATTTATATTTATGAGTGATTATATTTATTTTTAAACGACATAAAAAATATGACAAAAATTAAAAAGATTATCCTTAAAGCACACCATTAACAATCTAACCATTATTCTTTTATTATGAATTCTATTTTAGATAAAATCATTGATATGTATAAATAGAAAGATTAATTAATTTGATTGATGATAATAAATTCAAGTTTTTGTAAAAAAAACTTACCAAAATAATATTTCAATAATTAATTAATTGATTGATTATAAAGTGATATAAAGAAAATTTCAATTGTTAAATAGTTAGAAAATATATTCAAGTAATAGTAGATAATAAATAATCTATGACTGATAATCCTTAATAACCACATAAAAGTAAGCAAGAAATTTAAAGGGAACAACGTAAAGAGCTTGCTAGGGAACTAAGAAAGGCTCACTTCGATTTAGGATTTAAAGAAGGTTTGAATATATATAAATTAGATTATAATGATAATACTGCAAAATGTTGATTTTATTTTAGCTAAAAGGAAAATAATTTCTGTTATTCAGATAACCTTATTGTTATTCCTCAAAAATTTATGATAATCGAAGATATAAATAAATTATGATTTCATATTTGTTTTATAAAATTAATGTTTTATCAAATAATATAGGGTTTGATGATGAAACCAGGTACAGAGAGTTTTATAAATGGTATGATTTAGAATAGTCTGAAAAAACAAAGCAAGAAATGCTCAAATTAAGAAATGACTTAAGATCTACTCACTATATTTTAGGAACTGATGATCCGAACAAATTATTTGTTTCAACTGCGACCCAATCATTTGTAAAACCTGTAAATCCTCAAGTTTCTTAACTTTCAGTTGAAACTAAAAATGATCTCAGATCTCATCATTTTAATCTAGGTATTATAAATTTATTGTAGTAATTTATGATATGCTTTATATTAAAAGCAAAATAAAATGATTATCGGTGGTTTCATTTGTTTTAAAATAGCTTCAGTAACAAATAAACGAAATATGCACAAAAATATTATTCTTAGTTTAAAAATTGTTTAAAAACACGCTAACATAGAAAGTATCAATCAATAAATAAATAAAGCAAATCTATTAATTCATATAATTCTATTAATATAAAATCTTAATAAATTAATTAAATAGCAGTTGTAAATTTTTAATGGTTAACAGACTAACAAAAAAAAAACCAAAAGCATGACTTTTCTCAAATTTTAAGAACAACCAAAATTAATACCGATATACCATTTATTATATTAACTTAATTTATTTTATCAAAAGGTCATTATAATGATAAAGTTTTATCTGATTATAAATTAAATTATGATTAAAAATAAATCGATCCTGAAACTTTGAAAGATAGAAAAGAGCAAATAAATTTTTTGAGAAAGCATAATCATGACTTTGGAGATAAGAATAATTATCATTCTTCCATGTACAATGAGAACTTTAACAAGTCTTATGATCCTTAATTCTTAAAATAAGGAAAGAGCAAAGAAGAAATTATGTAGCAAATTGTTGATTTACGTAAAACAAACTTGGTTATGGGTAACAACAATCCCTAATTCACTTCCGAAGCTATGTCAGAATTCAATAACAAGCCATAAGCATTTAGAACATAAGTTGATTTAGGCTTAAAGAAATCTCACTTTAAATTAGGTGAAGATCCTAGCTTGTATGAAACAACTACAGCTAAAACTTACTAAGGCAAACAAATGTTTTAACATGACCCTGAAAAAATCAAGGCACTTTCAAAAGACTTGAGAGGTATATTATAAATTTAAATATTTAAATATCTTTATATAAATTTTATGCAACTAATTTGGATTCTGAATTTTTAAGCTGTTTAAAATTAATTTATTTAAAAATTTATATTGATTGATCACAATTTTCAAAAAAAATTTATTTTTTCTGTAAAATTAAATTTTTTCTTAATAATTTTTTTTTTTAAATAAAAGCTGAACATTTTAAACTTGGTAACGATCCTTAAAGCTATACTTCTGAAGCAGCAGCAAAATTTAAAGAATTCGACAAAAATTCACTCACTTAATAACCCGATATGTCATATCTTTATCGTTCTCATTTTAATCTAGAAGGATTCGGAGGCAGTAACCCAGTGTAACACTATGTTTCTAACTATAAATAAAATTATGAACCTAAAGCTGCTTAAAAGTCTGAAGCTACAAGAAATGATAGAGCAGATAGGGGCTCACATATCGTATTTGGTTCTGATAAAATAGACGACCAATTTAAATCAGAAGCTTAGAAGAAGTATACCTTTATTTAACTTTTAAAAATAACATTTAACTAAGTTTTATTTGTACTTTAATTAGCTTTGTAAACTTTGGAAGATAAGCTCCCTCTGCTCTTGAAAAAGAAGTATAAGCAGACTTGAGAAGACATCATTACTAATTTGGTACAGATCAACCAGAGATGATTAGTGAAATGAAAAAGACTTTCAACGATAAAACAAAAGAATCGAGTTAGAGTAAGTTGGATCCTAATTTAATCAAAGACTTAAGAAGTAATCACTTCGAATATGGTACCATGGGCAACGAGTATACTACAACTATGCAAGATATTGGTAGATACTAATGCTAACCCTCTAGATTAAATCCAGAGTTAGCCAAAGACTTAAGATCACACCACTTTAGACCAGGTGATCTTGAAAAATATTATGATACTACATACAGACTAGCCTTCATAGATTTTAAGGCAGTTTGAGCTCAAGAAGAAATATATAATTAAAGTTTCATATACATACATAAAACCACATTTATCTCTGTTATTCATAATTAAATTGCTAATTAACACTTCTTAATCAAAATAAAACTTATTTTCTCTAAATTTTTCTGATTTAAATTATTTTTAATTTGATATGATGTTATTAAAAAAATATAAAAAATAAATTTAAAAAAATATTGTTTTGTTATATTAAAAGGTAATCCAATTTTTGAATATTTAATTATTTCTTTTTATGTTATAGTTTTTGATATTTCTTTATTTGATAGAAATTTCAAACAGCTTATTAAAAAAATATATTATAAATATTATTTTTTTTTAATTGATAATGAAATAGAAATTTAGTCATTTAAACTGAATAAGAATTTTAAAAATTACTTGATGAGATAGCCAATCAGTTTATTTTAATCTGAATTACAAATAAAATCAAGAAATAATATGAATAAAACTTTCAATAGAATTTAAAAAAATGATGTAATCTTCTATTGCTAATTAAAATATTTCTAAAATTAATAAAAGTTATATTTACAAAAAAATATTTTTAATAATAATTGCTCAATTAAAATGTAAAAAATTAATAAAAAATATATTTAAATGGTAAAACCTAAAAATATTTATATTTATGATATAATGAAAAATAAGTAGATAGATTGATAATAGTTAATAATATCTCTTTTCAGTTAAATATATTATATATAATTTTTAGCAAATACTCAAAAGCCCTCATTTGTCCCTTAAACTGGTGCTTTTATTTAATCATATATTTGAAATCAATTATACAATCGATTAGTGCATTCATTTTCAGCATCTTTAAGAAATTTGATACTATTTAAATCTTTATAAAAATGAATTTCTGCTTCTTCTTAATCTACATCTATGTAATGATCAACAAGATGACCAGAGGTTTATTTATTGTGGGAATTCTGTGCTTTAATCATGAATTTTAAACCCTATTTTATATTATTTTGGACTAAAAATATACATGCTAAAATAAAGTAGAAGTCTTTCTCATTTTTATTGAGTTCGATACCTTTAGCACAGAAAAACAAAGCTAATTTATAATCTCCCATATCATAGCATTATTAAGCAAGTTTTAAAACAATTTTATGGCATTTTGGTTAGGCAATTATTGCTAAAAAATACCAATAATAATCATTTGGTTAATAAATTTATCTAAATTTGCAAACTTTTTTGATTAAATCTTGATTGTAAGGATTAACTTAAAGTAGCTAAAGGAGGAAATTATTTCCTTTTACAAAGTTTGATTCAAAAAGAAAGCTGTTTTTGCCTAAATAATATAATGCATATTGATTTCTGCTATCTATTTTTAGAGCTGTATTAAAGGCTTAAACTGCTTAGTGATACTTTTTCCATTTCCAGTAAATAATTCCTATCAAACTGTAAGACTAAGATTTAATTTCAACTGAATTTATTTCTTCTTCTTCCTGATTTTATGCTTTGTAATTTTAAGAGCAGTTATTGCCTTTTAATTTAAGTACCTTATTTTGAATTATATCAAGTGGCTCTTTGAAAAACTTAAAGTATTTAAATAGTATCCAAGCAGTCAATATCCACTACTACAAACTCTTTTCTTTTATTTTTTCTAATTTTCTCCAATAGAAATAAGCCTAATCCTAAGACATATCAATTTTATAAATAGAATTTAACCAGTTAGTTTGATCTTTTAAACAGCTGCTAAATTATGATTAATTAAAAGTATTACTTAAAATTTATTCTTATTCAAACTAAATTTAAAAGCTGGATTTATTGGCTGATTAATTGTGTTATTATTAATCTACATGTCTTTATTCTTATTTAGTTTTTTGTTACTGGTTCGCTGTTATTTGCTCTTTAAAATTTTAATCATTGCTTAATCTAATTTTTGATTAATTATTAGGTTTTTATTAGCTCTTAGTTGATTAATTTATTTACTTTGGACTAATTTAGTTATTTAGTAAATTTTAATTGGATTTTTTTAGATTTCGTTTTTGTTATGTTAGGCAATGTTAGCTAGAGGAAGAGCATTAAATATCAGTTTATTAAATTTTAGATATCGAATGTAGATTTTATTTATTATCTTAAAGAAAACTATTAGATGAGCTGAAATTATTTTGCTATTTCGAGCTACTCATATTTTACAATGAATGAGACTCATTTAATTTATGATTATCTAATTTCTGAGCACTTTTAGAGCTAATTAAAACTTATTTGTTATCGTGATTTTGTTTTATTGGTGCATTTTAAAGGTATTATCTTATCTATTTTTGCTGACTTGACTTAACATCTTAGTAGAGTATGTTAATTAACATAAATTCAATTTATAGAAGATCAGCTTATTACTTTTATTACTTTAGTGTGTAAAGATATATAAGTAAATACTACATAGAATCAGTTATCTTGCCAGAGAAGTTTCTTTTAAAGAAAGATGATAAGATATTACACTCAAGCATTTCTTAAAAATGTAAACTTTTAATACCGATTACATTTAAAAATGTTTTTATAAAATCTTTTGAGTCTTTATTTATTAAATCTAATACTGTTTTTTTGAGGGTTTATTTTTAAATATTTTTATGCTAATTTACTTAAGAATTTCTCATATTAATCAATTATTCTTGCTCAAGTAGAATCTTTTAAATAGGGTTTATAAGCAAAATGTTTTGATTTCTAATGTCAATATAAACAGTTTATAGATTAATGTGCTCTACAAAATATGCCTTTTCATGACATTTACGAATTGATTTCAACAAAAGTAAAGCTAATCTTAACAAAAATGTTTAGCTAATTTTCTAACTTTATATGTAAACTTCCAGAGGAATACCAAACTAACTTAACCTAAAAAAATTGTATTTGAAGCAGCAGTACTTTTCTTCAAAATCCACTAAACAATTATCTCCTTTTAAGTTTAAATAAGTTTTATAAGAGTTAATGTAGTTTTCTTTTGCTTTTGTGCTTTCTAAGAATTCAGGCTTTACAACTAAAAAATATCTTTCTTCATCTAAATTTATGCAAAATGTAAAAAAAGCCTGGCCAGATAAATGCTAATTCTAAGGTTCTTTAATGAACTTTTCTACTTTTTTTGAAGCGAATTCGTTAAATGTTTCTGGTCCAATCATTTTTTTTTCATTTAAAATGTCTAATTCTCTAAAAAAATTGAAAGACATTTGACTCAAATAATAAATTATATAATTTCTTTTTTCAAAGATTTAAAAATTGATCAAAATTTAATTTGTTACTAAAAAATTTATAAACGCTAAATTATGAAAAATATCTCACTATTCTCTACTAATTTTTGATCACAACAAACAAAAATCAATCATTCCATTAATTTAATTATTCTATTAATTATTATCTCATAAAATCTTATCAAATGAATATTTTTTCATTTCATTTTTTTCCCTAAATAATTCAAAAATATTTATTTAGATAAAAAAATAAAGGTATTTGAAAATTTGAAAATAATTTTCTATTTTTCATGATTAATATATTAAATACTTTGTAAGTTTTATTTTAATAAAAATAAATGTTTATTTAAACAGTTTAAAATTTTTTAATTTTAATAAAAAAAAGCAAATAAATTTAAATGAGTTTAGAAAAGATAGAAACAGAGAGAAATTACACAAAATAAATATATATTTGTTAACATTTGTTATATAAAGTAAGTCTTTTAATTTACATTAATAAAAATAGTTTTATAATTTTAATATTTTATATATTTTAAATCAAATAAACAGAAAGGTAGGTTCTTTTATCTTAATCCTAGACCAATCAACCAACACAATATTTTAATTATTATTATTATTATTTATTTGCTTATTTGTTTTTGGTTTTTACTCTTATCCTTCAAAGTATAAATTATTTTTTGTTATAAATTTTATTTTATTAAATATGGTAGCTAATTTATTTGAATATTTTAATTTTTATGTTAAATATTATTTTTTGTTTGTTTGTTTGTAAAAATTTCACACTACTTTTGAAAGAATCGATGACAAGAAGATTATTTTTTTCTATTATGGTTTGTCTAAATTTATTATTATTAGTATTGTTGTTAGTATTATAAATATCTTGTTTTTTAGAGTTGTTTGTTTGTATTAATAAATTGTTTATTTTATTGGTTGTGTTGGATGTGAGGAAATTAATTAATTAAAAATAGATAATCAAATGGCTATCAAAGTAAATTTTAGTAAATGAATGAGGAAGGAAGGGATTTATTAATTATTTAGTTGGATCTTAGATGGTTTCATTTTGTATAGATCCATTAGCTGTATTAGGCTTATTCTATTATAGGAGCATTAATTAGTCTTGCTTCTAGACCATATACAACAGCATACTTATTGTAGACTGATTAGAAGTTTAGTGTGTTGGGATCAGATCTATAATAATGCCAGAATTTTCTAACAAATTCAGCTGCTTCTTTAAACTCATTAATAGTATAATGGTCTAAAAGGCTACGAACTTCATTTAGCTTTTCTTAAGTAGGAAGTTCTCTCTCGTTAGTCAAAAAGCTCAAAAATATACAGCAACTGGCTAGTAAGCTTGGTTTAAATCTCAATGCTTCGTAACTCATAAGTAGCAAGTCGGCCAGGAACTTTTAATTTTCAAATATAAATTTAAATTAAAAATCAAAAAATTTTAAACTAAAATAATATTGAAAAAAATAAAAGCAAAACATAATAAAAAGTAATCAGTATAATTTTTGCTTTTATTTTTTATACGATTTATTTATTTTATTAATAAATAATTTACCATAGCAATAACGGAAACCTAGGAGTCAGTATCAAATAAAGTGCACATTATTTTTAAAAAATACATCATATTTGGAGTATTTAATTAGAAAGAGAGAACTTTTAGAATTTTTTTCTCCATAGCAATGAGTTAAGCTGCATTATACTCTTCTGCTGTTATGTATGCATATTCGATAGCGTTTTCTTATTTGTAATATTCTCTAGATCTCTCATTAAATACACTATTTTTAAATTTTAAATATTAATAAATTCTTTATTATTAAATTAATTTCTTACTCTGCAATTTTCATGCAACTTACTCCTACTAACTGCAGTTTTTGTTTATCAATATTCATGATACCCAAAGCTCTTTTGATTTATAATATTATTCATTAATTTAGTAAAGATTAATTAAAGACGTTTAATTAAAATAATTATTTTAAAAAATAAAATTATAACTTAAAAAAAATAAGAAGATTTGGTTTTTATTTACCTGTCGATGTAAGAAATACAATAATGAAGAGTTTCGTCTTATGCTTCGAAATGAACGCTTACATCAGTTAGCCAATCAATAAGTATTATACGCATATTTTCAGTGATTAAGGCTTAGTCTTTCATGTAATCAGGTTTGATCAAGGTTTCTATCTTTTCTTATTTAACCATAGTTTAATAAATTGTTGATAAATGGCAGTAAGGTAGTGAGAACTAAAAATAGCATGAAGGTACTACTTAGCTGCAACACTTATTAATATTAATGGTTTCATCAATTTGCATGGGAATATTCATTAAAGTTCTTTACTATCTTATTTCATCGAAGAATGGATGGTTAAGAGCCTCTTGAGAAGATATTCTCTTATAAGGATTTAATTGAAGTAATGAGTTCAAAAGCTACATTCCTTACATTCCCAAGATAGTGCCTAAATTTTTAAGTTTTTAAAATCCGTTCTATCTGTTGGGAATCATTGTGGTCTTTAATTATTTGAATTCTTCACTCTAATTTTATTCACAGATATGGGATAAATTGATCATTTTCCATTTTGGGAAGGTTTGCTAGTAATCAGGGTTGTCACACATTGACATTAAGGTTTCTGAATCTGGAGAACCAATAAATTTGAATACCTTGAAAAGCTACTCAATTTCAGAATCTATTTAGTATAAAAAGAATTAATCAATTTATTTGTCATTTGAATGGATCTAATTCAATTTAACAAGTATTATTTTTATATATGATGAAAATCAATCATTTATTTTGTCTATTTTATCTATTTTTCTTTTTGAGTGAAAAAAAACAACAAAAAATAAAATAAATTAAATTGATAATTGTTTGTTGCCTTAATATCTTAATTTTATGAATTTGCATTCAAATTTAAATTTTCTGTTTTTAACTTATGCTTGATATTAATTTAGAAAGCTATCCTAAATCTAGATTATTTGTAAATTTATCTGCTTTTAAAGACATTTAATATATTGATTGCTATCAGTTTCATAAAAACAATTGTAATTAATTAGTTGTAAATGCTCAAAAAAAATTTTGTATAAAATTCTATTTGTTTTAAATTAATTTTTATTTTATTTATTTTTACCTCCAGCAAATAAAGGTTCATTCAAAACAATTTCAGCTAAAAGACAGCCAAAAGACCACATATCAATTTCAAAGGTGTAGATGCTTTTTCTCAAAAGGAGCTCAGGAGCTCTGTACCAAAGACGGCGAGCTTCTCTTCCTGAGCGTTCTCTTTCTTTAGGATCTTCAGGAGTGTATGGTATGTGGGGAATCGAAACAAGTCTTGAAAGACCGAAATCTGATATTTTTACAACATCTTTATCAAGCAAAATATTATCAATCTTTAAATTTCTATGCATAATTCCTTAGTGATGCAAGTAATTTAAACCTTCAAGAATCTAGTAAGCAATTTCCTTAACTTTAATCAAAGGAATTTTGTATTGAGGACGAGTGAGTCCCTTACTGTCATCCTGAACTTAGCTGATATATCTTCTTGTATATTCCTTCAAGTTATACTCTTATCTTTTTGTAACTATTTGAACTATCACATTTTTTATGTCTACTTCGTGAATTCTATTTTTATATTAAATAAAAATTTAATATTTTAGAATATTTTTTCAGTTTATTTATGAAAATCTCCATGATTTTAAGATAATTTTTTCTGATTTGAAAAGAGCAGAATACAATAATGAATAAATATTTAGTAGTTTTTCACTTGTTAATGAATTAATAATTAAAATTACTTTGTGATATTTGGGTGATCAAGAGCCTACAAATAGCTGAGTTCTCTTAAAATACTAGTAGGAACTCCATCATCTTATCCAGCATTGCTTATCATAATGTTCACGTTTCTAATCATAAACTTTTTTTTAATTTAATTGAACATTAAAAAAATGAATTTCGTTCAAAAATTTAAAAGAATTAATCTGTTTCGGTTTTTTCAACCAAGAATTTGTTTTCAAATATGTTTGTTGATTGATTGATTGATTGATTTAAAATTTGAAATAGAAAATTTAAAATGAAGGACAATTTATTTTTTACCTGATTATGATCTAGACGGGATACTGCTGAAAAGAGTCTTCCTTTGGATCTGCGTTCTACTACAGGGATATTCTTCTAATATTTGTCATTAATGGTCAAAGTCTAAAACTTCTAGATATAGCTCCAAAGACGAGTATCTTTACACATTTTACGGAAGTACTAATTTACATTTGCAAGGCGCAGGTAAATATCTTTGGGAGATAAATAAGAACAAATAATGAAGTGAAGTTCGAAGGGTAAAGTCATTAAGCTCTATGTTACTTACTATTATTAAGCAAGTAGAGGTGAAAATTTCAAGCTTTTTAGTAAGTTTGATAAATTTCTTAAGCTTTTATTATTCTAGCATAGTGCTTATTCGCAATTTATTTGGCATGTTTTGTGCTGCTCTTTACCATTCAAACTATTTTAATCACAGTTCAGATTCATTTATCCATGTTTATATCCATATTTTTTGCCTTTTCCATTTACATTTCTCTGCTTTGAACTAGATTTCTCATGACAACTACTAGTGTTATTAATATCAAAGTTATTGCTGCTTATCATACTGTTCAAATTGCTACTGTTATTTAAAGGACAGCACATTTGCTGTAAGTTATGTGAGTGGTGCTAGTGAATGTGGCTTAAATGATTGCTTTGGCTACTGTTGCCATTCATGAAATTTGAAATTCCTAAGTTATTATTACTTGCGATACTTTAATTCATTTAGTTAATATGAATATTCATGTTGTTATTATTTTGGATATTGTTTATGGAGTTATTTGTATTGCTTGTTTATAAGTTTGCAAGACTTGGGTTATTCTCTTGATCATCTGAATCATACTTTCTCTCTTCTTTGACAGGAGAAACACTTCGCTGCTATTGATTTTAAGCAGGTGAATCTTAGTATGAATTTTCATTTGGAGAGCTTAAAAAATTAGTTTTATTTGTATAATTATTTGAATTTCCTTTAAGGACAGTTAACTAAGTAATTTCACTTATAGAAGGAAACTATGAAGTATAAGAACTAGGAGATGATTAAATGGAGGACGATAAAGTAGAATTGGTAGATTATCCTATTTTTTTGTTGGAATTTTAAGCGCTCTCTACTCTTTAGTTATTTATCAATTCTTATTACTAGTTTTGCTATTCTATCTATGTAGCATTATTATTTGAATTCTTACTCTAAGATTTTCTACTGCTACGTCTATTTTTTTACTTGCTTCTCTACTCATTTTTTTATTAATTGTTCATCTTCTGTGATTAGTTCTGTTATCTCCTCTCTTTACCACTTGAGCCCTAGACATTCGAATTAATTCTCTAACTTTAACCTTCCTGATTGCAGTTGAAATTTGTATTTTAAAACATTTTGATTTGATTAGATGAATCAACCTATCTTCAGCTTTACTTTAAAATTTTTACTTTTTGATTGATTTTTAATTTTTGATTGATTTAGAGCAATCAAATTTTCTATTTATTTATTTACTTCTTTTTTTTATTTTTTTTATTATTTGTTTATTTTTTTTTTTGTTAGTTTGCTTGCTTGTTTTTGTTTGATTTTTAATTGATTTGACTGATCCTACCTATCTTTGAATTACGAATATCTATCAATATATCTGTCAAACTATTTAAACTAGAAGCAGACTTTTATTCAATTTTATATATAGTTAATGAAGATTTTGCAATTAATTGTTAATGCTTGTTTGCTTATATGTATGTATTTTTAATTATTTGATTCTTTGATTTTGTATATATTTATTTATAAATAATTAAATGTATGTTATTAAAATATTTGATAAAATTCAAATCAAATAGCAAATTAATTATTAAATTAATTGATTAAAACATATACAATACAAATTTATGTAAATATTATTCTATGATTCTTGTCATGGGTTTTTATTCAAAATCAAATGCTTTAATTGAGAAAAGAAATAAATAAAATAGATATATTAATTAGATTTTCAATCTTTTTCAAATCCCTATCTTTTTAACAAACAAAATTAGTATCAAAAAAAAGCAAAGCAATAATTTAAATTTTTCAAAATTCTAAATTAATCAGTTTGAAAACATGAAAGAATAAATTTATATATCTGGATTATCTTATTTTTTGAAAGCAAAAAGTGATAAAACATTACCATTTTCTTGAAAGAATTGCGTTATTCATGGAAAATACTTTTAGTTCTAGGATTGAGAGGCGAAAATGGAATTTACACAATTTTAATATTTTTCAAATCATAATATATTTAAATAGTAAATGCTCATTTAATTTAATGACTAATCCTCTTTTTAATTAATTTTTGATTGAATTTAAATAATTAGCCAGTTTTTTTTAAAAAATACAAAGAGGAAATTAAAATTCAACAAATAAAGAAAAAAAATAACAAACTAATAAATTATTAAGTAATTCAAACTTTCGTTTTTGTTTTAATCTTTAAATCACTCTGAAATCTCCTACAGATTTCTTCACACTAAATTTATTATCTCTCAATAAACTAAGATTATTTATTAATTTATAATTCATTCATTCATTCATTTTAAAATAACTATTGTTTCATAGTATTTGTTAAAATATCTATCTTAATCAACATATGCACTTACTTACACAACAAGTTTATCTATGCTAGCTCTTTTTATCGGAATTAGACTAAAAAACACCTGAAAATTAATTATCTTGCTACAAATTAATTTATCGCTGACTTTTTTTTAGTATTTAAAAATAAATTTTACCATCATTGGTAAACTATACATTAATATTTTTTCCATTCAAATTTTTAAAAAATATTAATCTATTCTTACAACATAACTAAAAATTTTATAAAAATTATATTTAAGTACTATTTAATAGATCTTACTTATTCTTAATTATAAAAACAATAAAACTCATAATAATAAATTTATTCTATTCAATATAAAGCTAATAAAATAGCAAAATTCAAATTTAATTCAGATTTAAATAGAAAACAAAAATTTTAATTGGAATTTTATTTCAATTTTTAAAATTCATCTAAAAAGCTTAATTTTTGATTTTAAATTATAATTTATATATCTAAAATCATACTTTTAATTATCAAATAATCATAAATACTTTATAAAGAGTTTATTTAAACTAATATTTAACTTTAATATTAATAAATAAATTAATATTATAAAATCTTAGTTAATTATTAGATGTTAATTATGAATAAAATAATTTTATTTTCATTTATTAAATAAATGTGATATATTTTATTATCAAACTTTATTTAATCTGAAGAAAGTTGTAATCAAATTTTATATTTTATCAAATAAAAATACAACTAAAAAAGAAGTATTATATAATGTCAAATAATTAAATTTAATAAAACTAATTTCCTAGATTTTTTAAGGTTATTTGACATTTCCATTTTTTCTTGAGGTTAGATTTTTGGGACTGCAATTCTTTGAATAAGAGAAGCAAATGATATTTATGTCAAATTTTCACAGTTTCTTAAAGCGACTAGTAATCCAAATATACTTTCGTTACTTACTATGTTGAAACTTTTTTTTAATTGAAATATATTTTAAATATTAAACATATGTGTTTTTTTTTAGTAAATTATTTTTACGGTATAATTATATTCAGGGATCTTAACTGTTAGCAAAATTTTAGATTGTTTCCTAAATCAACAATACTCTTATCAATTCTATTACATCTATTTATTTATATTTGATAAAATTACTTTATCCTGATTTTGTAGAAGTGTTGATTAAGTTATTTAAAAGAAAATAAATATCTAAATAAAAAATTTTCAGTAACAAATTTTTAAAAAATATCTTTTACGATAGCTAAAGGAATAATTGAGTTAAATTCTTTAATTCTAGTATCGACATACTCAAAATGAAAAAAACTTTATCTTCCATTGCACAGTCTCTTTTTAACATTTAAAAATTGTGTATTAATTACATTCAAACTTTTAATAAAAATACGAAAAATGTAAATTTAATTTTGTTAGAGTTGAACATTATTTTAACCCTTCGCATAACTAACTCATTTGTTCAGATTCAATCGTGTTTCTTTTTAAATTAATCATAAAATAACATTAACATTTAATTGAAATTTAAAGAAAGATAAACTAGTTTTGTATTTATATTTTTAAATTATGATTTAATAAAATATGAAGAGAAATAAAATAATATGAATAAATACCCTGATAAAGAAACTTAAAAAAACTATAAATTTTTTAAGTTTGCAAGAGAATTAGATAATTCCAAAAGAAGACCTTAGCTTATCTAACTTAACCTTTAAAAAAATAATTATTAGAATATTTTTTTATCTATTTTCTAACCTTAAGAATAGTATCAAGGTTTTAAGCTTTAACATTATCCTTAATGTTTTTACTAACTAATAAATTTATGCTGGAGCTTCTCTGTTAAAACTTTTTATAAGCAAAATATAAATTTTTTTCACTATTAAATTCATTATTTTCCAATTTATAATTTAAAAAATAAACCCTAAATCAAGTTCCAAAACATCAATATTTTAACAGCTCTATAAAATTTGAATTAAGTCAGATGGATTGTGCTCGCTTTTTAGGCTTGATCTTTTTTAATAAAAAAATTAAAAAGGATTAAATAAATAGATAGTCTTCTGATAAATAAATAGAAAAATTTATTAGATTTACTTTAAGTCAAGTTTTAGAGTTTAGAGGTTTTCATATTTTTAAAATACTTTTGCCATTTTTTATAATTCACTTTAGCTTATCTTTTTGTCACTTAATATGAGATAAAATGTATTTAATAAAGCAATTTTATTTTATAATTTTAAAGATACCTAAATAACAATTTTAGACTTTAAGCTTCAAATTATTTTGAATGTACAAACTATTGAGTAAGAATTAAGAATATTAAATAATTTTAATATTGTATACTACTTTTACCTTATGGATATCAACAAATTCTTGGATTTTTTATTGTGCTTTTTTTCCTTAAATTTAATTTTGGCCCATTTAAACTTTTTTATTAATTCTTTGAAAAAAATTAATAATTTAATTTGTCATGAAAATTTGTATTTATATTAATTTTAATTAAGATTTTGATGGATATCAACATAATAAATAAAAATATCTTTGTAATCCTAATAAATAATTTCTAATCATTTATTTAATCAATTTTGTCAATAATATAGTGAATTAATTAATAAAAAATATATTTTTGTGATAAAATTTTAAAAAATGTAATTATGTTAACTGAAATAATATTTAAATTTAACGGATATAAATATTAAATAAATTAAACAAAAATAAGATATATGGGATACTTATTAATATTCTAAATAAGTGTATTAAATAAAAATATAATATTCTATTATTTCAAATATGTTTTTTTTTCTACATAATATTTTTACCATCAATAAAAACTAAATAAAACTAATCTTTTTGATTTAAGACACTTGCTATTTACTTTCATATATGTTGAATGTTCAATTTCCTATCTACTATTTATATAAATTATAAATAAAATTAATTAGAAGAATAATAAATTTAAATTTAAAATAATATTTTTTATAAAAAATTTTATATAATAAGAATAAAAAAACAAATAAATCAAATAAAAAGCAGATAAATAAATAAATAATAAAATTAAAAGAGTTTTATTGTTTCAAATTCATGTTTATATTAAAAATATCATAATCAAAAATAAATAAGTAGTTTTTACTAGAGAATAAGTTCTAAAATTTAGAGATTAGTGCACTTTGCTAAAGCATTGACCAAACATGATTCGCCAGTTTCACCAATTTAATATATACTTTTTAAATATTTAAGAAAATATTTAAAATTAATTTATTAGTTAATTAAAAAATATGATTAAGAAATAAATTAATAATCAAATTAAAATTTAAATATTAAAGAATAAATCTATTTATCTAGAAAAAAAAACTTAATCAAAATTAAAGGGCAAATTAAATAAATAAAATAAAATGCAAAAAATAAAATTATAAAAATATCAAAAGAGTTTTATTTTTTTAAATTCAAATTTATATTAAGAAATATCATAATCTAAAACAAATAAATTGCTTTTACTTAATATAAAGCGTCAATTTTGAGAGATTATTGCACTTTCCAAAAGCAAAACCTAAGTTTGATATACCAATATCATCAATACAATTTTGACTTTTTATTTTGAAGAAAAAATATTTAATTTCTTAGAAAAAATATGAAATAATAACAAATAAATTAATAAAAAATAAAATTTGTAAATTAGAAAATAAGATACATTAAGAAGGAAAAATGTTATTATTAGAATATAATAATAGCAAATTAGATTAAATATGAGGAAATAAATTAATAGAATGAAAGAGCTTTTTATTTTAAATTAATTTTTATTTTTAAAAAAATCACAATCCAATTTAAATCAACTTTTTTACTCAAGATAAAGTTCTAAATTTTAGAGACTAGTGCAGTTTGCTAAACCAGAACCCAAGTTTGATGCACCTATCGCACCAATTTAATTTTCACTTTTTGAATTTTAAAAAAATATCATTATTTTATTTTTGAGTGAGAAGGAAGAAAGGAATAAAAAATATTAAATAATAAGAAATGAATTAATATTGTGAAAATAAAAATATTATTTAAAATAAAAAATTAAAATAAATTAAATCAAATAAATAGTTAATAAATAAATTAATGTATAATAAAAGAGTTATATATAACGTATATTGTTTAAAATTTATTTTTATATTAAAGAATATAACAAACCTAAACAAATAAACTATTTGGAACTTTTTAAATATTAAAAAAAATTTTAATTAATTAGTTATCTTGAAAAAAATTTAAAGAGTTTTATTTTGCTTAAATTCATTATTATACAAATAAACTATTTTTACTCGAGGCTAAGTGTTAAATTTTAGAGATTAATGCTATTAATTAAAGCAGAACTTAAGCCTGATATACCTTCATCTCCAATTTAATTGGAACTTTTTAAATATTGAAAAAAATTTTAATTAATTAGTTATCTAGAAAAAAATATGAAATAACAATAATAATAATAATAATAATAAATGAATTAATAATCAAAGTAAAGTTGAAAATTAAAAAATTAGGTAAAATAAGATATGGAAATAGTAATCAGAAAAAAAAATTAAATAAATAAATTTAAAGAGTTTTATTTTGCTTAAATTCATTATTATACAAATAAACTATTTTTGCTCTAGGTTAAGTGTTAAATTTTAGAGATTAATGCAATTAATTAAAGCAGAACCTAAGTTTGATATACCTTCATCTCCAATTTAATTGGAACTTTTTAAATATTGAGGAAAATATAATAATTATATATTTAGAAGGAAAAAATGTGAAATTATTAGAAATATATTAGTTATAAAAGCAAAGTTTAAAACTAGAAAAGCAGTTAAGTTAAGAAGTAAAAATGCACGAATTAAGAATAAAAATCCAAAATAACTTCTATTTAAAATTTGGTTTATAAATTAAAAGAATTTTATTGCTTTAAATTCATTTTTAATTAAAAAAAACAATTAAAAACAAATATATTGTTATTACATAAAATTAAGTGACAAATTTGAGAGATTAGAGCACTTTGCTAAAGCAGACACTAAATTTTATACCCCAATTCCACCAATTTAATTATAACTTTTTAAAAAATGAAGTAAAAAATAAAATAATTAGTTATTTAGAAGTAAAAAAATAAAAAAAATAGAATCATATTTAAATTAAAAATATCACAAACAAAAAAATTAACTGTTTTTTACCTAAAATTAAGTATAAAATGTGAGAGCTTAGAACAATTTGTTAAAGCAAATCCTAAACCTGATACACCTTCATTACCAATTTTATTGTTACTTTTTAAATAATTAAAAATACATAAAATTAATTAGAAGGAAAATATATATGAAATAATAATAAATAAAAAGACACAATCAACAATTAGAATAAAAAGCAAAATAAATCAAATAAAAAAAACAAATAGTAAATTAATTAATAAATAAATAAAAAGAAAGAGTTTAATTTTTTAAATTTATTTTAATATTAAAAAATATAAAAATCGAAAATAAATAAACTAGTTTTACATAATGTTAAGTGTTAAATTTGACAGATTAGCAAGCTTTTTCAAAAAAAAACTTAAACTTGATGCACCTTCATCACCAATTATATTGTAACTTTGTAAATATTAAAGAATATGTTATTAATTAATTAGTTAGTTATTTAAAAGTAGGGATCGAGTATGGGAGTTTTTAACAGACAATCGAATAAAAGTAAAAATTATTTGGTCTGGCCATATAAATATGGTTATAACGAATATACGATCGAACCCTATTTAGAAGGAAAAAAGTAATAATAATTATAAATTAATAAAAAAATGTTATTAATTAAAGCAAAAATTGAAAATTGTTTTAAATTAATTCTAAATTAAAAAATATCACAATCCAAAACAAATAAACAATTTTTACTCAAGTTGAAGTTCTAAATTTTAGAGATTAGTGCACTTTGCTAAAGCAGATCCTAAGCCTGATGCACCAGTTGCACCAATTTAATTGTCACTTATTAAATATTTAAAAAATTAAAATTAATTATTTAGTAGAAGAAATAATATAAAATGATGATAAATTAATTAATTTAAAAATGAGCAAAATTAAAATATAATAAACAATCTGTATAAAAAAAATCAATAAATAAATTAATAGACATTTATATTTTAAATTTATTTTATTTTAAAAATGATCATAATCCAAATCAAATCAAATAATTAATTTTACTCAAGATAAAGTTTCAAATTTGAGAGTTTAGAGCACTTTGCTAATTCAGCACTTAAGCCTGATACACCTTCATCTTAAATTTAATTTCCACTTTTTAAATATTGAAAAAAATATAATTAATTTATTGGATAGTCAATAATAAGAAATTAATTCATAATATTAAAAATTAGAAAAAGAATTAAATAAAAAAACACACACAATTATAATAAAATAGTAAAATAGATAAAATAAAAACTAATAAAAAAAATAAGTTCTCATGGTTTATTTCTAAAAACTTATTTTTATATCAAAAAATATCATAGTTCAAAGCAAATAAATCATTTATTTACCCAATATCAAGTGTCAAATTTGAGAGATTAATGCAATTTGCTAATGCAGAACCTAAATCTAAAGCACCCTTAGCACCTAATTTATTATGACTTTTTAAATAATGAAGAAAATATAATCAATTTATTAGTTAGTTAGAAAGAAATTATGAAGATATTAAATAGTAGGAATTAATTAATAATCAAACCAAATGTTAAAAATTAAAAAATATTAAAATAAAAATAACAAAAAAACGAAAAAACTAAAGAGTTTTATTGCTTTAAATTTATCACAACCTAAAACAAATAGATTATTTTTTACCGAATATCAAGTGAAAAATTTGAGAGATTATTGCACTTTGCTAAACTAGAGCCTAACTCTGAAGCACCTTCAGCACCAATTTCATTAAAACTTTTTAAATATTGAAGAAAATATAATCAATTTATTAATTAATTAGTTAGTTAGAAGGAAATGATTAAGAAAAAATATGAAATAATTAGAAATTAATTAATAATCAAACCAAATGTTGAAAATTAAAAAATATTAAAATAAAAAAAGAAAGTTTAAATAAAAAGGATAAATAAATATGTCAATCAAATAAAAAACTAATAATTAAAATAATTTATAAAAGAGTTTTATTCTTTTAAACTTATAACAAACCAAATCTATTTAATTATTTTTTACCAAACTACAAGTATCAAATTTGAGAGGTTAGTGCACTTTTTTAAAGCAGAACCTAAGCTTAATGCAACAATTGGATTAATTTTACTGTGCCTTTTTCAATATTGAAGATAAAATATTTATTTAATTATTCGTTCTTTATGAAAAAAAAAAGATTAATAATAATATATTTAACTTACGGAAAATAAATATGGAGATCTGAGTGAGATTATAATGAAGAGTTTAAAAACTTTTTTTTTATAAAAATTATTTAAATAATATTAATAAAAAAATAAATAATAACTTTTTCAAGAATTTTGAAATATTTTTTCTATTATATCATTTATTTTTTTTCAAAAATATTGAATAGCAACTTTTGGAAATTTAATTATTAATAAATTTAATAAGAAATTTAAGTAATAATAAATGTAATAAGAAATTTGATTAATAATAAATGTAATAAGAAATTTATTTAGTTTTATCTAGATTTTATTTGGATAAAAAGAACAAATATATTATTGGGGAAGGTGGTAATTAAAATTAGTGGAAAATGAATGATAGGTGGTAATATATTGAATATTTCTGAGAAAATCTTAGAAATACATCAAAATAAATAATATACCCTCCTAATTTTTGAAATTTTAACTTCAAAAATTCAGAAATAAAGCTAAATTTACAGACAGGGTAATACGAATTTTATTAATAATTCAAATTAAAATAAATAATTGTTTAATTTTAAATCTATTATAAATTTTTTAAATAATTTATTTATTTATTATTTTTTAAAGAGTATTTCAATTAAATTTTTAGTGAAATCGAAAACACTAGATTTTTCTTTCGCATATTGCTATAATATCATAAAAATAAAATTTATATTTAAAATAATACTCTAAATTATAAAAATTTCAACTTAGCTTAGCTTAGCTAAGATTAATTTATTTTTCTCTGAAATAATTAAAAAACTAAATTTTGAAAATATTAATTTACAAAAAAATTAATTATTGTTATTTGTAAAATTAAATAAGATATTAAAATGAATTTACCTTCTTGCTAAAGCGAATTTACAAGTAAAATATGAGATTATATACCTTATTATATATTTTATCTAATTTGTATAACTTTATAGGACAAAATACTGAGTCAAAAACAGATGATTATGATCGATTTAAAGAAAATAGCATCTAGTTTTAAATTTAGTAGTATCTAATAACCTCTCAAAAATTTTAGAGTCAAGATAAAAATAAATCTACTTTAACCTAAAAGAAGTAAAATATTCAATAAGAACATCTAGATTTTTCATGCTTTTAAGCTCTTTATTCTCAAGCTTGCTCGAAAAACTAACTTAAATTACCTAAATTCAAATTAGATTTTGCTAAGAAAAGTTGCTTTGAAAATAAGATCTATGACAATTTTTACCAAAGTGAAGATGTGATGCAAGACTGTACTAAATGTAAAAAGCTGCTAAATATGAGATATATTCTAAAAGAGTTTTCATAATATTAGCTGTTTCGAGCAAATAAGATAGAAAAGTATATGTTCTTGAGAAGAAATCAAACTTAACTTTCAGATCATGAGGTAAAAGACTAAAAAAAATCAGAGGAGACTGCATAGTAACCATAAAAAAGCTTATAAATTCAATAAGTAGTGTAAAATGTATAAGATAATATTGAATATTAGCAAAATGGCTAGAATATTGCCAAGAAAGATATAAAAAAAATACTTTAAATGGATATAGAAGACTTCCAAAAGTAAAAAGATCTGAGTTAATAGCAAAAAGCTACTCAAAATGAAAATAAAAACTTAAAGATAGATTTCAATTCTATGCTTTAAAGCTATAGTTAATAAAAACTAGATAAAGTAGAATAGCTAAATTAAATAAAAGATAAAAACTAAGATTTGAATTAAAACATTTAAAAATAGACTAAAAGCTAATAGATGGAAGTAGAATTTTGTTCCAAAGAAGAAAATTTATTAAAAAAAATACCTTAAAAATAAAAATAAGAAATTAATTAAAATTAAAAAATATTTTAAAGCCTTGCTCTTTAGGTATATTTTAGCAGATTTTACACAAACTAAAATAATTTCACTGATTAAATGGAAATCGAAAGAGTTTCTAGCAAGTAAAAGAAAAAAAATACTAATATTTTTGAGGATTATAAAGAGCTAATTATAAATTTACTGAAAAATACTTTCGAATAAAATTAAAAATAGTGTAATTCTAAGAAAGTTAAATTCGAATTAATATTTAGATAAAACAAAAAAGAAGATAAATTGCAATTATTTGACTAACTCAAGGATTATCTATTGAAAAACTATTAAAGAAGGACAAATTCTCTTTTCAAAAGTGATTAAGGTAATATTGTAATAAATTATACATAAATGAATAAATAAATATACCTTACCTTTTAATAAACATCATTTCCTATTTATAAGACTTCATTAAATAACTCAAAAAATTTGAGTTTTCCATAAAAAAATTTCAAGTGTTAAAACAAAGAGTTTTAATAAATAAAATTTCACAGTTGGTGTTTTTTGGATTATAAATTATCTTATTCTATTTAACTTTAACAAATTTAGCAAGGTATTGAAACAATCTTTATCCTAAAATTATGATTTAAAAAACTATTGTAAAAATAAATTTTAATTTAAAAAACTATTATAAAAATAAATTTTAATTTAAAAAAATAATTTTTTAATGAAAAGACTAAAATTTACAAACCGAATCAAATGACTATTAAGATTTAGATTTTTCAAGAAAGCAAAGCTAAAATAAATTACCTCTTCTATAAAGCAAGATGGATTTTTATCAAGGAAAAAGTAAAGATATAAATTTTGAATGGCTTGAAGACTAAAGATATTAGCTAACGCTCTAAAACAAAGATAAAAGCTAGTATACAAAGAAAAGAGATTTTGATTAATAAAACTCCATATGGTAATAATAGAATACTCCTTCTGTTTCTCAGTCCAAAAATTTAAAATAAAGAAGTATAGATGACTTCTTCAATAACACCTCTCGTGATAAAATTTCTTAAGATATATAAGGTAGCATTAAACAATATAATAATTCAATCATTTAAAAAGAAAAAAAGAAAGATGCTGAAAAATATTTATTCGATTAGAAAAATAAGAATTCCTAATAAGAAAATGTGAAAAATTTAAAAATAAAAAAAGATGAACAAAGTAAAGTTTTTGAAGATTCTATTAATTAGCAGTATATTTTAGAGTCTTTTCAAATAGATGAAACTACAACGAATAAAAAATAGCTTGAAAACTAAGATTTTTTTTATGATAGGCCAATCTATAAAGTAAGAGATTATATTATTGATGAAAATACTTTAATCCAAAAATAAAATGATTCAAGCATTACTTTAAATTTAAAGTAGAATGTTTATGATTATCATGATTAAAATATTATCTAAGACAATTAAAATAATTCAGTGCAAAAAAGCCTTAATTATGATCAATATTCAGAAGTTTCTTTTTCTAAACTAAGCCAATCTTCCAAAAAAAATTTATTTACAGATTTATAAGAACAACCTTAAAATCTAAAAAAGTAAAATAATATATTTAATTTTGAAAAAATACTTTGCACAAATTAAAGAGAGCAACAAAGAAAATAGATATCTGAAACTAATGTTGACATATCTAAAATTTAAAATGAAAATAATTAATCAAATGAAATTTAAAATGCTACTTCAAGTATTTATTCATAATTTATTTAATCTTAATTTTAGTAATAAAATCAAGTTGAAATACCTTCTAAAAAGCTCTATGAAGTAATATCTTAAAGATTTGAAAATAGAGAAAGTGACAATCGAAATTATTTAAATAATTTTGATAAATAAAAGTAGAATTACTTTGATGATTCATTAAATTAAGAGAAGGAAAATCCTAAAAGCATTCAACTAAAAAGTAAAATAAGCAAAAAAGCTCTAAAAATAAAGACATATTAATAAAAAAGCAGTAACACCTTTAATACAAAAAATTTATCAGAACAAATAAAAAAAAGAATGCATATCTAATAAAAAAATAATTTCCATTTAAGATAAGATTAAACATAAGTATAAAATAGTATTGGTAAGTCTTAAAATACATCTGAAGTATAAAAAAGCGATCAGCAAGAAGGCAATTAATCTTTTTAATTAGTAAAATTTATAAATAGCTTCAAACAAAATAAATTTAATTAAAACTGATGTAGATTAAATGAATTAATAATTAATTAATAATTAAAACATAAATGTAAATAAATTTATTTGATTTTCTTATCTAAAAATACTATTTTATATTCTTTTATATTTTTTACTGTTTGCTTACATTTTAAAAAACTTTTTTTTTAATCATCTGAAGAAAAATTAAAATAAATTTGAAAATTAATAAAAATAGTTTTTAAATTATTAATTGATATTTAATTTTATTAAATTCTATTTTGGTTTAAATATTTTTTTAAAAGAAACTTCGTCTCTTGAAACTCTATTTTTGAGATTAATTATCAGATATTTAAATAAATAAAAATATGAGTAAATAAGGAGATGGATGAAGAAGAAAAAAAAAACTAAATAGAAAAAGAAATAAAAATACTTTGCATTTTTTTAATGTTTGTTATTTTTTAGATATAAAGGGATTTGATAATTATCTAATTTGTAAATTAGAGTTGCGAAATAGACTAAATTATAAACTTAACTTTTTATTAATGTGTAAGCTAATTATTGATCAATCTAAATTACTAAAGTAACATTTTCCCTATAAACTTATATAAACAAAAATAAAATAAAACTAATAACTAAATTTTTTAAGGAATGAAATTCGTCTATTTTGTGATTTAAAATACTATTACAAGTAATCAAGGAAATATTAAGTATTACTAAAATATAAAATGTAAGTATTAGTTAACAATAGTAATATTTTAATTATGTTAGATTCCACATATCAATGGATCAATCGATCTGTGAAAGGATTTATATATTTGTTATTTATTTTAATTAGTGAGTATTAACTATATCATGCATTATAGATATTGATAATGAAACTAAATTAGAGAGAGGAATTAAGAAATAATAAGATAGAAAATTAATTAATTAATTATTTATTTATTTATTTAATCTATTGATTAATTTGCAGAAAAATAAACAAAACAAAACAAAAAATAAATCAATAGATTAACCAATAAATCTAACATTCATTTGTTCATCGATTCACTCTAAGTTGGATAATCAAAGAAAAATACAAAAAATATAAAGAAAAGAAAGAAAGATTGTAGTATAATATTTTTGTTGAAAGTAATTAAATTAATTAATTAATTAAAATATACAAATAATTCCCAAAGAGCCTATAACCTTCACATAGGTTTATAAAAGTAGCCAGAAATATCAAGGAGGTTAAGGGAGAATCAAGGAAATAGAAAAATTAGCAGCTAGTTTCAATCTATCCCATATAGCGCGGACCATTTTCAATTTGATTTACAGTGGGAATCAGAAAGTGTTTAGGACAAATCTGAATTGAAAAGTAGACAAAAAGTTATTTTTTGACAATCAATCCAATTAAATTAGAAGAAAGATTGAGTCTGATCTTGTCAATTTGATGGATAAACGATATTAATAAAACAGCAGCAACAGAGAAAATAGTTAAAATATAAATGGAGTGCAAAAAACATATACATATTAAGCGGAAGGAACACAATAGGCACCATAAAATAACATGCTGCAGCGTAGACCTCCTTTCATAAATGCAGCAGCAGGAGGTTAGTAACAATCTTTAGAAGAACTCAACGACTTAATTCGAATTTAGAAAAAAAGATAAGAAAACTACCTGCAGTTAATAGAAGCGTTTCGTAAAAAAAACTCCTAAATGCAAGGATAAACGTAATTTATAAGTAAAGATTAGTTAGTGCTCTTTAGCAACGTTAGGAGCTAAGAAATATAGAGAATACAAGAAGAGAATCCTCTTATTCGCAGATTTTTTGGAATGAAAGTTGATGATCCACGCTAAAAAATGTAATTCAGTTAGCATTAAAGAAATAATTTCAAAGGAAATTTTGTTAAAATTTTGTTTACTGGGTTTAAAATGGGCTTGAAAGATTCTGAATTTTGCGAAGAACGAAAATTTTTTATTATTTTAAGAGAGTAAAAGTTAAAAATAAAGTCATCTATAATTCATTCATTTTCAAGTATCTCAAAAGTGTTAACTAACTATTATTAAATTAATTAGAACTACAGAAGAACAAATACCAAAATTTTCATCTAATTTTTTTAATTCAATTGGTATTTGATTTATTGGGTCTATCAATATAGAAATCAATGAATGGACCTATTTACAGCGTTAAAACTATACCACTCAAATTGCAAACAAAGGATTTGTTTTACTAATTATAAAAATACAAATTTAGCTTACTTCAAAAAAAATAATAAATAAAATATTGTTTTTTTTAAAATAATTGTTAGACCGATTTCAATTTATTTATTTATTTAAATGCTACAAATCTATTTTTTATTTTTGGCTGCACAAAAGTCAAAAAAAATAATTTATAAATCAGCCCAGTAAATAGATAGCACTTTATAGAACAAGCAATTACTTTCAATCAAAATAATCCATATTTATTTATTTTAAATAATATATTTTTATTTAAAGGTTTGTCACAAGATTCTGCATGAGAGTGTGCGAAATTTATGAGCAAGGAAATATGAAGCTGAAATCTTTGACTCTTTATGATAATGATAAGGAAAAACAAACAAAAAGCTTTTTAGAGAATTTACATAGACATTTATAGTTGGATGTTTTAGAGTTGGAACCTATTTTGAATATTTTGATTAGGAATTTTATTAAAAATATTAATGAAGAGCTAGAAAGAGCCAAGTAAATGATGAGCAGCACTTCTGCTGTCATGCTGATGAATGATGAAGAAGAGGAAGAGAGTAATACTGTTGCTGATTATCTAATACTTCCATTGCCAAATGATCCAGAAATGCACCCTGATTGTAAGAGTGTCTTAGAAGAAGAAGATATGAATGGGTTAGCTAATTAAGGAAATGGAATCACTAATTTGCTGTCGATGTAAAACACTCTTGGAGAAAATAATGCTTAAAACCAAAAGAAAAAGATTATCAAGGAGCTTAAGTTTACTATGAAGCAGCAAAAGTAGTTCTTTAATTTTTATGAAAAGAAATTCTTTAAATTATATGACATTCTTACACTTGACAAACCTTATACAAAATAGTAAATATCTTAGCTAAGAGTTGGTAATCTCGATAGGCATTTTTATGAGCTTTTGGCTAAAAACAATTAAATTTAAAGCTGTCTTAAAGACTACATTGAAATTTCTTCTTCTGCAGTTTCTGCTAGAAATGCAAGAAATAATATATCTACACAGTCCTCACCTGATATCTTGCAAAATCAGTATTTGTAGTCTCCTAAAAAGGTTTCAAAAACACATTAAAATTATATAAAAAAGCTTCTGAACACAAGCTTTTTCGGGTTTGAATAAAATTCTCAAGGAAATATAAAAAATAAAGTAAAAAGAAGCTCAAACCAATCAGAAAAAATTCTATAAAATTAGATTTCTAGCTTGGCTTAGATTCCATATTCAGTTAACGTTTTACAAAGTCAAACTGAAATAGCTTAAAATTCATAAAATACATTAAATTAATTAAACAATCCTGCATAATCTTCTAATACAAACATACAAATATCTACTTCAACAACTCCAAATATTGTAAATAACCAAAACGTTTGCAATTCTAACAATAGTTAGTCATATTTGCAGATTAAATTGTACTCTGCAAATGGCTTACTACAACAACCCAATTTAGTTAATTAAAATCTTCTTATTCCTTTAAAATAAAATAAGGCAAACAATAATAGCATTAATTAATTGTTACTATCTGAATCAAATGAGATAAATGGACAATCTAATTAGCATATAAAAAGCTCGGAAGACTGCTCTCCAATCGATAGATAACAACATTTCTTAACAGACATTAATTCTTAGCAAAGGCTTTTGGCTCCACCAATTTATCCTTAACAGCGAATGAGTAACTGTGAAAGTAGGAGTGCTAGTGAAAATACTAAAGTATCTAGCCAAGCTTTGAACTATGGCAAAAATTTTATAATTACTACAACTCAACAGCAACAATATATTTATACAAATTCTCAATTTAATCCTAATCGATATATCGGAGCTTCCGCTTAGTAAGCAGCTACTCAATGCTTAGGCTTCAATGCTAACTCTGGTATCACACTAGTTAACGGAAATAATGTAAATTCTATAACCAACAGGAAGATTCAACCTCGTTCAAGCCCTCTAAAAAATAAAAAAGTAATTGTGAAAGAAATAGAATAAAATTTTTAAAGAGAAAATATCCTACAAGGAATGCAAAAACCTGTTATTTAATATTCGAATATGCCAGCAGGAATAAATTTAAGCAATACTTTGAGCAATATGAGTATATTCAATATAAATAGTAATTTAAACAATAGTAGCAATTAATAATAGTTGAACAATACTTTAAACAATATTGAAGCAAGATAGCTAAGTAATTAGTCACCAGATTAGAAAAAATTATATGATAAAACAGCGAATAATATTGGGAATATTTAGAAAAATAAGAATAACTCAATAGAAAATATAGAAAATACAATACAAAATGAGGGTAATAATAAAAATAGCTCAGCTTCTACTTAGATATAAACCTAGTAAAATGAAATTTATCCTAACTTAAATAATATCACCAAAGTGATATGTGAAAATGCTCTTGAAGATGATGAGACAACAACAACTTCAAAAAACATAAATCAAGAAAATAATAAAATTAATTTATAAGTTTAAAGAAATAAATCATCTCCCAGCAGCAATATTGCTATTAAGAGGGGAACAGAAAATGAGAAATCCTCATTAGTTATTTAAAGCAGTAATGTAATGAGAGGAATCAGTAATAGTAAAGTTGTTGACGAAAAGGAATCGCCTTCCAGAAATAGAAAACTGGTTAGGAGATCAAGTTAGGATAAAAAAGCTTCTGTTTCTCCGTAAAAATAAATGTTGAGAAAGGGAGACAATTAAAGTAAAACTCTTGATAATACTTACAACTCTATTAATAGCTTATCAATGACAGTGGAAAATGCAAAGCTAAGTCAAGAAGCATAGAATTCCTCTTAAAATATAAACATTACAAATGATTTAAGCTAAGTAAATTATTTACAAACTCCTAAATAAGAAAATTTTCTTTGTTTAGAATTAAAAAATTCTGAGAATTTGGATGAAAATAATCCTAAAAAAGTAAATAACAGTGAGTAATTATTAAATAAAGATAAAATTTAAGATCAAGAAAAGCAAAATAAGTGTTTTGAGCAATAAAATGAATAAGAAATTATTAGAGTTTAAATAGAAAATTTGAGACAAAGTGAAGAAGCAAAAATTTCATAGAAGAATTCTGATTAGATTTTCTAGCAATAAGAAATAGAAGTAAAAGAAATTCAAAACAATTTCAATGAGTAATTTAAAATGGATTACGTTTTAGAATAGCGCAAAGATGATAAATCTGAGTTGTAAAGTAATAATGAAAGTGATAGCTAAAATGGATCATTACAAAACGAAATGATTCTTAAAGAAAATTAATCGTAGTAATAATCTTCTCAGTCTTCTACAAAGAATGCTTTAAATTAACAAAAAGAATCATCTAAAAACTAGAGAATAATTTACACAAACCCAAACGGAACATAGATTTTGAAGCTACAAAAAATTAAGAATGAAAATTCTTATTACAATCATTAAAACCACAAAAGAGTAAAGTCAAATCAGGACAGAATAAGGATTTCTAAATAAAAAAATATTGATTAAAAAAGAAATGATCATCATTAAAATTCATTATATTCTTAAAAATAATACAATAGAGATGAAAGTGAAGACAATAGCCAATATGATTTTGATGATAAAGAATTTTTATTGAGCAAGTATCAGAATTCAACTCAAGTTAACTAAATTACTTGCTAAGTGGATGCACATGGATCATCTTCTAGTGAATCATAAAAATAAAATTAAAATAAACCTGTTTTATAGACTACAAGCATCAACGGCAATTAATAGTCAAATGATTTTAATAACACTACAAACTTAACCAATTTTAGAGCCACTTCAAACACATTCGTCCCATCTTCATACAAAAGAAATGTAATTAACAGTAACGATGGAAATACTACAGCTGCCTATTCCTAATTTAGACAAAGCTTTCACTGTCAAGGTAGCAGCAGTGGCCATAACAACTCTAACAGCCACCAAAATAAAAATAACAATAATAATATGTCTAATTTCAATAATGAGTACAATATTAACCCGAACCCAAATAGCTCATTTAATCGAAGCTATTACTCAAGAGCTAAATCTTCCCATGAAAACAACAACAACAACAATCTAAATAACAGCAATAATAACACTTCTTCCTTATCTTAATATCAGGTACAAGATTAACTGTCTTAGCTTCCATTTTAATTGAGCACTAAGCCAAAAATTCTGAGTAATTTTCCAAATTCTTACCCAATAACTGCTTTTTCTGCTTCTATAACTGGAAATGTAACTGCAGAATCTACAAACAAAAACAAAAAAAAGGAGATATCAGCAAATATCTAAGCAGCTAAACCTTAGCAGAGCAATAACACAAGTTTCAATTAGCCAAATAACAAAATTAACCCAGCTACTGAAAATAATCAAATTAGCACGTTTAGCAGCGTGCTTAACAGCTAATAAAATAACATCAGCAATTAAAATGCCAAGCAATAAGTTAATTAAAGCTAAGACCGCAAAGAAATGCATTCTATGGGAAATTTAGATGAATTCGATCAAAATTATAAAATAAACTCTTTGAAGCTTCATTCTAAATTTTACAAAACTCAATTTAAAGAAATAATGGAAAATTTTCATGGCACATAAAATAATGCGTATTAACAGTAAGAAGAAAACCCAATAGTTTAGCACAGTTATTAATAAAATGCCTAAAATATATTTTAAAAGCAGTCTAACTAAAGCTCTGCCTAAAAGCAATTAGAAAAGGTATCTGTGCCTCTAAACCCAAATGGTTTTAACTCTTCAGTGTTTTAATTAAATGTGAATTAAAATAATTAATTTAATATCAATCAAAACAACCCATATAATGTGAACTAAAATAATCCATACTATGTGAATTAAAATAGTGGACCTAGCCAAAATAACAACAGTAATTAAAATACGATAAATGCTAATAATCAAAGCATTCATAGCAGTAGCCTAAATAAAAAAACTAATAATAACGATACTAATGGTGGACCAATTATTCCTACTTAGTAAAGCAAAAGGAGCAATAATTTTATGAAGCAAGCAGCAGCAAAAAGAAAAGATATCAACTTCCCAAAGATCATCAACCCAAATCAAGTAAATTATCGTCCTTCAGGCGATCTCTAAAACATTCATAAAATATACGATTGATTCTTCAATTCTGCCCGCCCCATCATATTAAAATTAATAAATAAATAAAACAAATTAGTAATTAAGGGTTATGCTTATTTATTTTTTAGCAAATTGTTAATTAATTCTATTAATTAAAATCCATCCATCCAAAGTAGGTTAAAAAGGTTTATTTATATCTTATTTAACCTCCCTCTTAAAAGTTACAATAAAAATTATTTAACAAAGCATTCAAGTCAAGCAAATCAAAAAAAAAACAATTAAAAAATGATTCTGAAATAATAAATTTAAAATTTTGGAGAAAAAAGTAATAAAAAACTAATTTATTTATTTAAAAGAATATATAAATTTTTACTTTCAATTGTAAATAAAGAAGAATTAATTAAATAAATAAGTAAATAAAATAACTAATATTAATAAATACTTAATTCTTTTATTATAGTAACTAAGTTTATTTTCTATCTTTCTATTAGCATAATAAAAATTTTATTTCTTATTGCTACAAAACTTCTTTCTATTTATCATTTTATATCTAAAAAAATAAAAACTTCTCATTTATATTTTGAGCAGAGTTTTTTTATTTTCTAAATTTTAACTTTTTGAATTATTTTAATTGAGTTCAAATTTTTCTTAAAATAATAACTTAGATTTTAAATAACTTTAAACTTATTTTTTAAAATATTTTTGATTTCCTATTTTCAAATAATTTTGGCTTTGTTTGAGAAATCTTATTTATTAATTTGGCAGGTCTATTTAATACAAAACTATTTTTTTAATGTTTTTTCAAATTAAACATTTGAAAAATTTGTTTTTATTTTCAAAAAATGCTTTTTATTTTTGACAATTTTTTTACATGAAATAGAGAGATAAGACTCTTAAGATAATTGAGGATTTCTAAAAAACAAACGAAAAAAGTTTTTCTAATCTTACTTCTTAAAAATGCTCATTTGACTCTAGAAATATTGCTCAGGTAATAAATGCTAAAGCTGCCTTTTCACAAAAAGAAATATAATGTGATGATAATATTCAAAGAAGTTAATTTTCAAAAGGTCTTTCTGACACTAAAGGAATTCCAGCTAATTTAATATATTCTTTAGAAAAAATCAACGATTTACAAAATAGTAATGTAAACGTAAGCTAAAATTTAAACAAGAATGCAAAAAATAGTGAGACGTGTAAGAGGAGAAGATCTGAATCAGCTGATAATAAATGTTCAAATCTTTAAAGTGTAGATGTATTCACAAGCTAAGCACAATCTGTTTAAATCTTTAAAGAAGGGTAGAATATAAATTTACTAAATAGCAAAACAGAAGTTAAAAGAAATAAGGAGCTCAAAAATGAATAATATAAAAAAAGTAATACAAAATATTCATATGTCTCAGAGATAGAAGCACTTAAAGAATACGATGATATGAGATAACAAGTTCTAAAAACTATGAATACCTATAAACTTTCTTAATAAGAAACAAATAATTCAAATTCACAATCGTCATATAGAATAAATTAAAATATTAAAACTAAGTATTTAAGATCTTCATTAGAAGAAAAAAAATATCATGAAATTACAGCTAAATTAGATAAATAAAATAGTTTACTTAATAAATAAAATGAACCACAATCTTCACTTAAAATCATCAATAATAATTAATAATGAATATATAAATTCAACGATTGATATTTTGATTAGTTAAATTTAAATTGAATGAATAATTAAGTAATTAACTAACTAATTGAAACATACATCTTAATAAAACAATTTTCAGAGAAAAAGATTTAATTATATATTTTTATAATAAATTTTTTCTAATAATTTATACAAGCTTTGATGCTTTTACTTTGTTTATATTATTTACTATTTATTATATATTTTATTAACTATTTCCTTTATTCCTTCTTACTTACTTTCTCTTTTAAATACTTTTTGAAATTATTTGTTAAAATATTTTTACAAAGAAAAATTTGATAATAAATTTTTATTAAAAAAAAAATATATAGAATGTTAATCTAACTAAAATGAAACAATTTAAAGTTAAACTTTATATATATATATAAATAAATAAGTAGTAAATTATATTCATGTAGATAGATAATAAATAAAAAAGCAAAAGAAGATATTTCAAAATACTCATTCTCTTTATAGACTCGTCTGATTTTAATGAAGCAAGTTCTAAACTTGGCTTTAAAATACTAGATGTTATTTAATAAATATGATTAGGAAGAATTATATATATTCTATGAATCTTATTCTCCATTCAAAATATTCATTGCTTTTCTATTTTTCAATCAGAAGATTTGTAGATAAAAAAGGATAAGTTAATTTTTGTAATAAGATCAAGTTAAACTAAACTAAGAAGATTAAAATCAAAACATAATAATAAAATATATTAAATTTTATTACTTAGCTTATTTATAGGGACAAAATTAAATTTATAAATAGAAATATTGATAAATAGATCAATTGTGATCAAATAAGCAGCTAATAAACAAATTAAATGAGGTTTATTGTTTTAAATTAATTTTAATAAGGAAAAATATCACAATCCAAAACAAATAAACTGTATTAACTCAAGATAATGTTTCAAATTTGAGAAATTGCAATTTGCTAAAGCAGAACCTAAGCCTGATAAATATATATTGATAAATACATCAATTGTGATCAAGTAAGCAGCTAATAAACAAATTAAATGAGCTTTATTGTTTTAAATAAATTTTAATAAGGAACACAATCCAAAAACAAATAAAATGTATATACTCAAGATAATGTTTCAAAATTGAGAGATTGCAATTTGCTAAATCAGAACCTAAGCCTGATACATATTAAAATCGATAAATAGATAGATAAAAAGATATATATATAGATAAATAAATAAATAATTAAATAAATAAATAAATAATTAAATAAATATTAAATAAATAAAGAGATAAATGCCAAAAAAATAAATTATCGTTTAAAATATGTAAACATAAATTAATGAGCTTGATAATGAAATGTCTTAAACAAAAAAAATTTTAATTTATCAACTTATTTTTAGATAAGCTATATTGAATTAAGATATCCCTTGATGGTCATAAGATTTTTCATCAAACTATTGGATTGAGTCTAAATTTAAAATCAATAGAATGAATTAATTTAGGGTGAATTACTGGATAATGAATTTACCTTATAGCTACTTGACTTGTTTTCCTTTAAGGGGAATTCTTATTTGTCTTTTTTAGCCTTTTTCAAACAAAGATCTGATAGCAGTTTGAAATGTTTCGCTTTGTTCTATGTTTTGCTATGGCCAGCTGTGTCTTTTCTTTAGATTTGGAACTTATTTTTTTTATGTATTCTTAGATTATTCAGGGGATTCTAGCTTATACTATTTTAAATTAATATTTAATAAAATATATTTGTGTAAATTTATTACTGAAAGGGATTCTTAACATTCATTAGTTTAGCTATTGCTTGTCTATTTATCTTTATCATCGGAGATATTTTGTTAGAAGATGTCATCATTTTTGAGTTGCTTGCCAGATTTAAAATTATACTAATATGGCTCATACAAATTTTAATACATTCCTATTGTGGTCATACATTTCAATAACATAAAAATATCAAAGACCATAATAACAAAGTAATATACTAATTATTCAAACATCAGAGTACTTATTTATGAAGATACTGAATAAAGTTCAGAATACACGATCTTGCTATATACATAGCAAGAAACACAAGTAAAGCTGCTCAAGATACTAAAAATAATATATTTCATAATTTTATCAAGCTGTTTGGACACAGGATTGTTAGAATCAAGTATGTCGTCGTCTTCTATCTCAAAATATTCTGTGTCATTTTGTTGATTAGTCTAATTTTGGGATTCTCTTGTTTAAATTATTTTTCTTATTTTGAGTTCTTTAACTCTAGTTTACTCTTAAATAATTTTAAAAAAATATCGATATGAAAGAAATCTTATAATGAATTCTTTTGTAAGACCAATTTATTTTAATTCTTGATTAAAAATCTTTAAAATAGCTTGTCCAGCGTAGATATTTGCTCTCATTTTAAGGACAATTAAAGCTCCGTAAATAATTTATATTAAGTAAAATTATTCTATGTTTACCAATCTAATGAAGTAGTAAACGCTCATAAATGGATCAATGAAGCCAAAATATTTGCAAGTTTCTACTGTGAAGGAGACTTTATGTTAAGTTAAACTATTGAAAAGACTGTAGACAATATTAAATATACATACAACTACTCCAAAAGGTGCATACAATTTGATATTAGGAGGTATTAGAGGTTCTTCTGGGTATATCCATAAATTTCTTAAATCCATTTCTCTGCTAATTACTTAAGTGCTGTTTATTTGTTCATTAGGACTCTATGTTACTCCATCAAAGGGTACCTTAGGGTTGCTAATAGATACTTTATCATTAATATTTGGATCTTTAAAGCTGCATTTATCTTATTATTCAGACAAGGTAAAATTATAATAACACTTTAAGCACTTCGATTTTGGATTATTTGGAGATGTATCACAATACAGACAGTACTCTATTCCGCATGATTAGGAATGGTCGTTGTCTGAGCAAACATAACCTTTAGAAGTCTTTACTTTTACTTAACCGTTCCAGCAAGGCTGATTAATGCAAAACAAACCCAAGCTATCATAAATATCTCCTTCATAGCATGACATGCAAGCATCAGGGCTGCCCTAGCAAGTTTTACAATATTAATTACATTCAATATTAAAATTTTTTTAAATATTATCTAACTATCGGACCAACAATGGGTTTGATACATCTTTCAGTAATAGAGATAATGTAAACAGATAATTTTCATAATTTTGAGTTGGAAGCTAAACTTGAGTAAGTTTAATAATTTAGTATCTACTATGAATTAGTTGAATAGGTTAAGTTACTTAAATAGAAATGTAACTGTTATTATTGTTTTATTCAACTGAGAAGCTATAAATTTTTTCATCTAAAATTTCCAAATTTGAACCTAAAATGCTTGAATCTTACCCATAAGACAGCTAAGAATTACTAGATATGCTAAATATCTTAGGAATTTAGATTTCAAAAAAGTAGCTTTAATCTCCAGTAAAAAAAATCTGCATCTAAATATAAATGTCAACAAAACTTGAAACTATAAGCTAACTTGTCTAAATAGTGTTATAGTTTAATAAAGAGTCTTATTATTGTGATAACAAATAAACATTCATTAATTTTGAAGCAATGATAGCTACGCATTTTCCAGGGATCAATGTATCAAGCTATTTGTCAGGAGTGCAGGCAGTACAATAAGTTGAAACGTTTACACATTCCAAGCAACTTGGATCACAAACTAGTGATTGTTAAGAATTTAATGTGAAAGAATCAAGCTAAGCTATGTACGTGTCTGTAACTTGCAGATTCCTCTATACCTTTACAACTGATGCTTGATTAGAGAAAAGTTCTTTCTTGCTTTTTAAATTCTAAAATGTGATTGTATAATACTACATTTAATCAGATAAAATAAAAGGAAAGTTAAGAAATCTAAAAGAATTGATATAATTTGGATTGCTTAGTAGTAGAATGTCTTTTGTTGGTTATCCGTTAATTAATATTTAAAGCTAACTTAAGCTGTCCTAGCTAATAGCTGGAATATTTAAATATAAATCCAAATAATTCTACAAATCTTATTGATTTAAAGAAGAAAAGCTTATTGTGACTACCAGTTACATGTCTTCACCGTAAATAGCGGTTTCAGAAACTACACCTCTTGAAATTATATTAACCGATTAAACAGTCATCTAACCAGAATCTGTTATGATAAAACAGTTTTTTACTACTTAATATTAGAAAGGCTACTAACTCAAGCTATCTATAATTTATATTGTGGAGTCTGAGAGAACATTATAATCTTTTCATTATAGCAAAATTAAAGATTGAAAATAACATTTAAACAAAAAATAAAATAAATCAAATTTTTAAAAATTAAAATGTTTGTTTTTAAGTTGATTAAAAAAAAAAAACAGAAAAAAGTAAATTTTATTTTTATGAAACAACAAAGAAATTCAATTCATTAATAAAAAATTATGAATTTATTTTATAAGTGGTTATAGTATAAATTGAAGTGGGATGTTTTTTTTTATTTATGCCTTTTAATTTTAGATGCAAAGAAATTAATAATAAAAATTAATATTTAAAATTGCTTTATGCAATTAAAAAAAAAAATTACTATTTATAACAGTTGCAGACGCATAGTTAGGAATTTATGCAGGGTTTTAGATATTTTTTACTAATAGGTAGATTTAGGTGCTGGTTAAATAGCTAATTGTTTTAGTTATGGTGAGCTATAAAATAATTACTTATGATAAAGACTAATGAGGAATAAATTAATAAGTAAAACTTTAATCTAATCCTACTACATCTATTGTAGATTGGGCAAAATTATAAAAAGCAGGGAAAAATATCTAAAGCAGGTCATTGTTATGAAGCTAAACTTAGAGCGAAAAGGAAATATAGATGCTATTTGATTCACAGTTTAAAGAGCTTGTTGTTTGCCTCAATTGAAGATTTGGGAAAACATTGATTGGAGGAAGCTTATAAAAATTGTTTAGTTCTTTGATTTGTTTTGTACTTGAGTTTACTTTGGTTAGAGAATCTCTTACAATGTAGGAAAAAGGAGTAACGTCGCTAGGAAAAGGAGGTATATTCGTTCCTAAGGGTTTCATATACCTGGGAATGACAGTGTTATAAATTATGATGTTTTTAATGTTTTAATAAATTGTATTGGTAAATTAAGAATCTGTAATTGTAATTGTGTGAGATGGAATGTCGATTGTGCAGATTGAAGTTGGCAAATAACTTTCAATTAGCTTGCAACTTATTTTATTTTAATAGGGAATTCCTTAGTTATCTATAAAATCAAGAGGTGGTATTATTTCTAGAGGTAAAGTAAGAACTATTTCTTCGGTTGAAAAGATTCCGCTATTAGAATTCAAGGTAACTAATAATTATTCGCAGATGATCCCTCTGAGTTAAATGTCATTCAAGCAGACTGCTGTAGCATTAGTAACAAATTCATAAATGTATGTAGTTTTTGAATTAACGATTTAGTAATATGAATTATCATTATATAATAGTTATTTTTATTAATCGATTGTGAATACATTCAAGTAAAAATCTAAAGCTGAACTAATTTAAGGATTCTAAAATTCCTATTTAAAGAATTTTTTTTATAAAAAAATATTGATATTTTTTAGGTTATTTTTAAATTAAAAAAGAATTAAATAAAGCTTTGGAATAAAAAGTTTAAATTTTCAATTAGATTTAAATAAAAAATGAATAATTTGAACACTTTTCTGAAAATTAATGGCTTTAGTAAGCTCTTAACAAACAAAAAGTGTTGATAAATTTTCCTAATCAGCAAAAAATTTGAAAAATTAATGAAAATAGTTAGTAAGTTTTGATAAAAGTTTATTTTTTTACTGAGAAAATTAGTTAGACTTTCAGAGGATTACCAAATGTATAAGCTAATTATTGCTATTAACAAACCATTTGAGATATAGTAATTAACTGATTTTATATGCTTAAAAAGGGAGCACAAAACTAACTTTAGCCAGGATCAAAATTAGTAAGCTGGATGTTTGGCATGTTCATTACAGTAATCTCTTTAGGTATTTGAATAGTAACATAAGAGTTTTGGTATACTACCTAACCTAAATCTATATTAAAGATGTACTAAGTTTTTACTCTTATACCGCTTAATAGTGGTGTAATTTGCAAACTCATTGATTTGGATTATATAAAATTCATTTTTTAAAAAGTATTAACTTCTTAAATTTTATATCTCATAAAGTCTGGTGTTAATGATTGAAAGAAAATTTTTATGTTATCAGAATTAAAAATTCTATTAGGTGCTCTTAGCTTAAAACTCAATGTAGCTTGTTTCAAACTTAAACTAACAGTTTAAGTTAATGAAAGCAATATTTATACAGTATAATCAGATGATAAAGGATAATGATTAATATCAATTAGAATGAAATTATAAGCAGTATTTTAGTTATCAGTAATAATTCTTCCTTTGAATTACAAGTCTATTTATTTCAAAAAATAATTATAAATTAAAAATGAAAGAAAATTTGATTATTTTAATTTAAAACTCATTCAATCTATCTAACTCATATTTATCAAAAATAACACATAAACAAAAATAATTTATCATTAAAATAAACATTCATAATAAAAAAATGTATATAAATAATACTTTAAATCTCCAATAATTCTAAAAAAATTACTTGATTTTGGAATTTTTTATTAATAATTTAATGAAAGATAATTTTTTTAAAATATAAATTCTTTAAATTAATAAAAAGCTAAATTCAAAATTATTTTTATAAATCAGAGGGCAATTTAGATAAAGGCTTGCTTTTTAAGTAAATCCTTAAAAATTCCACTAAAATGTTGTTTTGGTAAATTAAAAAATTTTGATAAAATTTACAACCCTCATTTATATATTAAAAAAATTGCTTAAAATAAGAAATATTGAATTATTAAACTACTTATTTTTTAATAAGAAAAGGGTTATAGAATATTGAAAACTGTATTTTTTTAATTTCAAAATAATTATCTTGTTAGAGTAAATATTAAAGAAAATGTTTAATCGCTTATTTACTTACCTTAATTAAAGTCAACTAAATCTTAAGGAAAATTTATACCCAATATGAAAATATTTTCATAATAATTAATAGTACCTAAAGTGACTTTAAACTCAAAATCTGATAGTACTTCTATATTTTATGGAAAAGAAACTATTATTGGCAAATTTACTTATTTTTTTGGAGCAAAAAAAGGCTCAGGAGCATAGATAAAATCTCCATCTTTAAAAAGACAATCATTCCCATTATTTATCTTGCAAAGATCCATACGTAATCCAAAATAGGTTGTACTAGTAGAAAAATCAAAAAATCCTGGAATTTATAGAATTAAATCGTAGCTGTTGTAAATGCCAATAGCATCATATAGCTTAGAAATCTAATATTAGAAACCAGAGGATACTTTTATAAAGAAATTCCACTATTTAATAACAAAAAAATGTTCAATTAATTAAAAAAACTCTTTTACTTTAAAATAAGAAATAAAATTTTCTTTTAAATTCTTATTTATGATCGTTAGTTAAAAGAAAATTAACCAAAATATTTTATTTTATTTATTTATAATCTGTTTTTTTATAACTTCTAAGAAATTTAATAAAGCATTCCAATAATCAAAGTCTTTTTAATTCAATAAAAATTTAATGATTGAAATATTAACTTATTATTTTAAGAAATTTATTTATTTTAAAAAATAAAGAAGATTTTTTTAATAATTAGTCATATCATATAGACTAGCTACAGTCACCTTCACACTAATTAACTAACTAACTAACAAACTTACTAATTGTTTTAAAGAAACTATATTTGTATTTTATTTTCATTATTTTGATAAATGAAACTATATATTTTTTCAGAAGATATTGATGATTTCTTAAATTAAATTATTATTTGGTTTGATTGAAATATTTAATTAATAATGGATAATTTTATGATCAAATAAAAGTCCTATTTTGTCGAGATTATTGTCTTATTGAGAAATGAATTATTTTATATAATTGTTTCTTTCTATTTTTTTATTTAATTATAAAAAAAAACGGATTACTGTGCCATCACTTATTGATTGACCATTATCTGATATATATTAGGAAAATGGAACAGTATTACCCCTTCTATCAAATGTACTATAATTTATTGTAAAAAACAAGCTGTATTTAGAGAGATCTAGATTTGTTAACTTATAATAAAGACTAATCTATAACTATGAATCTTTATAAATATTTGGAGTCGTAGGTGGTTGTCGGTTACCGTCATAAGATTACATTTTACATCTCACTGGAACACCACCAAGCATATCTGATAGATAGATAAATAAATAAATTAATTAATAAGTACAATAATTAGAATTTTATTTAGACTCAAAAAAATTACATGCATTTTAAATAAAGGATATGGTGTAATTTACTGATTAACCATCGATTTCACTTTAAATTGTAGAAAGATTTTAAGAAAAACGAGTAGTTGCATTGATGTTGTAGCTGTTTGCTTATGCTCCTTCAAAGAATATTTCGCAATAGCCTGAATATTTACTTGCATAATTCTTCACTTGTAGGATAAAGTAATATAGATCTATTTGATTATCGAATTCTTAGAAAATATTCGCCTTGATTGAGTTAACATAAATATTAAGAGAGGAGTTTGAAGGATGAATAGGCCTAAAAAGGCGAGAGTGAGTTCCTACAAACTAAAACAGAAAGTAAATATCTCCATTTTGACTAGCTTAGCCAGATTGCATACCAAATTGTAATACAGGTAAAGCGGTGGAATACAATTTCACATATGTCTAAATAGGTACAGAAGGACCTTAATACTGAGTTTGCATGTTGTTAGCTGAACTAATTATAAATGCTTTTAATACAAAGAATAAATTGGCAAACATTAGCAGCTTAAAAGAGCTCATTTTGTTTATTTGTTTTATTTTTAAGCACAAGAAGTAAGTAATATTAAGTTAGTAGAACTTTGACTTTTTTGTTATCTTTTTATAATCTTTAATATAAAAAGTATTTATTAAATTAAGAGATCACTTTCTTCTTAATTCAATTCTTCCCTTTATAACATAATTGTGGTATATTTATGGTATCTTTTTTTTGGATATTAATTGTTTTTATTCTAAATCATTGTATCTTATTAATTAATTAGAATTTTCTTATTTTTATTTCCTTTCATTAAATTTGTTACGACCACTTTCATTTAATTATAAAGATAGATTGAAAGACATTTTCAATTGATGCTCAATCATTTAATTAATAAGTTTTTCATAAAACATAATTATTATTTAGAAAAAAAGGCATTATCAGTTTATTAAATTATTGTTTTTATCTTTAATTCAAAACATAAATATAAATTCAAATAATGATGAATATTTTGATTTATTTCAATTAAATAAATGATTTTTTAGAATTTAATTTGAATGTTTTAGTTAGTTAGATAGTTAGTCTATACTAAATATGAGTAAGTAGATAATAAAAGTAAATAAATGTTTTTAAAATTATAATAACAGCTCTTAAATTAAGAATTCCTCTATTTGTTTGAATTTATGAGTAGGAAGGAAGAGTTTCAATATCAAGTAATATCATGAATAGAGTGATAATATTATGACTTAAACTTAACCTTCATCTATAAATTATAATTTCAGTAAAACTTATCAAAACTGGGCATCTAAGGAACCAAGAATTAAGTACAGGTGTCCTGTTTATAGATGGATTTTATAATGAATTAAAACTTTTGCTTATTTTTTAACGAGTGCTGAGTTTATAAAGGTGCCTAGCTTGACAAATATTATGGTGCTATATAAAAATGGTTATTTTAAATTTTAATATAGTGTATATATATATTATATTTTTGTTTGATTGTAATTAACTCACTCAATGCTTACTTACATTCTTGGATTTTTGAAAGCAGTTTTATATATAGTAGGTAAAATTAAAAGTAATAAATGATTTTTGTTAAAAAATAGAATTATTTTAATATTTATAATTTCAATAAAATAACTGATGGATTGAGTAATTAATTTATGTACAATATAAAGAGGTTTGTTTTAATATTCATAAGTTATTTAAAGCAAATGTATTCATGTAATCATTGAATACTTCGTTTTCTTTCTGCAAATGAATATTTGTTTAGAAATCCCTTTTGTTAAAGTCAACAGGGTCAAACTCATCTTTCTTATAAAATTTCATTAAATCTGGTTTTTAAGAGAATATTTCTTGCCATTTTTCACTTATTTCTGGATTTTTTTTAGCTAATTTAGGCTGGTCAGGCTTGATGGAAACTAAATTTGAGTATCTATTTTATTTTACTTATTAATTTAAATATTTTGTTGCATTCATAGGAATTGGTGCAGGCCTAATCATCTAAGGTTATTCGTCTTCATCATCTAAATAATTGCCTTTAAATTCTTATTTCTTACTTAATCCTTCACTAATAGTTGCTTTTTTTTAATTTTTTCCTTCTATTTCTAAATTTTTTTGAGCTTAATCTTTTTTGAATCCAAACTATCTTTCTAATTCTTCAATGTCTTTTTGTAGATCAAAAATTTTTGCGTCATATTCTTTTGCTACTCCGAAATCAGGCTAAGATAAATCCATTTATTTATTTTCCTTAAAGTTATCTCTATTTTAGTTAGTTTATTAGATAGTTAGTTATTTAGTAAATCGATGATGAAGTCAATCCTTTCTTTTAATAATTGATTTATGCCTAAGCTCAAATATTTTGTATATTTAATACAAATTATTAAAAGGGGCTTTGATCTTATTATAAGCAATCAAAATCTATTTATTTTAAAATTTAAAAGCATTATTGAAAAAATTTGAAATAGCTAAATAATTATGGCAAGTTAGTCTAGTCTACACAAAATAATTGTTTCATATTTAAAATTTTTAATCAATATTTTACATTTCTTTTATTCAGGTTTCAACAAATAAAAATTACCAAACATAAAAGATTTTGCTTAATATCAGAGATAAAATAATTTTCAATCTAGCATATATTAATTAATACTTCTGTTTTATTAAATAGATCATTTTTTTATTAAATAAATATATTTATAACAAATAGCAAGAAAGAAAAGAAGTAAAGTGTTTTAGATTTAAAAAAACTAAATTATTTTTATTTAAATAAATTGTTTTAACATATAAATTTAAGATGTTTTTTTTAAATGCATCAATAAATTCACCATAAAATTTTTATTAATTTATTTTGTGATGAGATTGTAAAAAAGCTACTTTAATTTTCTTTAAGTAAATTTAAGATATTTTTTTATCAGATAAATCCATAAATAAATTCACCATCAAATTTAAATTAATTTGTTTTGTAAACAAACTTAATTAAAAACTATATAGATTAAATCCTTATTATATAAGACCCTCTAACCCTTTTTTCTAAATTTTTTTAATAAGATTTTTTGTACATTTTATGTTTGAAATAAAGCTTGAGTGGTGGAAAATTAATGAGGATTTATAGTATATAATTCTTTAGAGAGCTACGTTTCTATAAGAATATTCTTTGATAGCTAGCTCTTTTTGAAGATTTTTACTTGCATCTAATACAAAAGGATTGGTAATAGATTTGTTTAATATTGCAAAGACTTTTCAATAAAAAAAAGAGCTTATAAATCAGCTAACTAGGTTAATGCACTAATATTTGGTTTTTTTCTATAGTTATTTGTTAAATGTGTGATTGAATGTGCGTTTATAAATTTTAAAAATAGTAGATCAATATTTATAGTAATTTATTACACTATTTTTTGTAATATTGTAAGTAAGTAAATCCAAACAAACATTTTTATTGTTAAATAATTTAAAAAATAAAATATATCTATTTGTTTTTCATTCATTTTTTAATTTATTCTTTCTTTTATCTTAATGTAATATTTTTAAAAATAATAAAAAAATTATTTAATTAATCAAACAATATTCAATATTAAAAGTAATTAAAATATGGCTTCAGAATAAGGATAAAACATCAAGGCGTTTCTTTTTAGTTTCGAAGTAGCTGTGTAGAAGATCAATTTAGCTATTAGCTTTCCATGCACGTTGCAAGTAGCTTGGAAAAGAGGTTTATTTTCTTGAAATATACTCGTCTGTTTAAATAAAACACACTATTTTACAAACTATAAATAGGTTCTCAGAAAGTAGAAACCAAAAATCAAGTTTCTCTAAATAAAGGCGAAGGAATATTTGATGAAAAGTTAGTGATTGAATCAAATTTATATTTCAATGAAGACTCAAAGTAGTTTCTAGAAAAAAAGGTTCAATTTTTTACTCATTTCACTTAACTTTATTTGTTTGTTTATGCTATTTCAGCACCTATTTATTCTATTTCATATATTAACAAAACAGTCAACTTTTACTGTCATAATCATTACACCAAAAGGGAATAAAGTAGCTGGCATAGCAAATTTAGATTTGGGGTATCTTGCAAACTAAAAACAACAGAGTAAACTTAAAATAAAATTGGCAACAAATTAATGAATAGCTAATAGCAGAATAAATAAATAAATAAATAAATAAATACATTAATTTATTATAAAAATAGTTTCTCAGTAATCTCTAAAACTTGACAAATGCCCTGATAAATTAGCAACTTTGTAGATTCAAATTAATTTAAATTTAATCAAAGAAGTTGATTTTACAAATATGAGGTAATTAACTATAAAAATTAGATAAACTATTTAGCATTTTTAATAGAGAGATGTTATTTATTTATTGCTCAATTTGCTACTGTTAATAGAAATATTAATTGAACAATATTCTTATTATAAAGCTAGGCATCAAACATGTCTAAAGCAGTAGCAGCTGATATGTTTATTCAAAACGAAGTTAAAGCCTAAGATCATATTTAATAGAGTAATTAGACGCACGCTTAGTAGGTTTAGCAGTAGATTCATCATTAGTAAAATATGCAATAAAATTAGATGATGGTTCAGTCTAACACAGCAAGTTAAGAAAGCAATGATGAAATTAAACAAAAATATTTGAAATACAAGCAATAATTTATGGAATAGCGTTAGCAGTTTACTGATTTGGAAAAGAAATTAGCAGATGAAAAGGAAATAAATGTTAAAAATGTTTCAAGAATAAAAACAGTAATAGAAAGATTAAAATTATTTTTCTTATAATGTTTTATTTAGATGTAGAATACATTTTTTTTTACATAAAGTTAGAGGAGCAAATTAAGGGATAGTTATTAAAGCTGGGATAAGAATCAAAAGAGAAGGAAGAAGCAAAGAACGAGTTGAAAAATGTTTTAACCAAACACTAAAATTTAGAATAGTAAATTTTAATCCTTTAAAGCAATCAGCAAAATGAATAGACAGGATTAAGTAATCAATTAAATGAACTACAAGAAAAATACAACCAGATAGTTTCCTATTTAATTTAAATTTAATAAACTTTAAGTTGTGATTAGGGCAAGGAACTTGATTATATATAACAAGTTATGAACTCTCTCTAAGAGTAGGATGATTAGCAAGGTTAGTATATTATAAAAATTTAGTAATAGACAAGTATGATAAATAATTTGAGTTAGGAAAAGTAAACTTACTTAAAAGAAAACCAACAACTTAAGCTAGAAATTTAAAAACTAGAAAAACAAAATTAAACCATAGTTTTGAATTTCAATCAAAATGAATCATCTTATTAATCCTAAATATAAGTAACTAACTAATTAATTAATAAATTAATTCTTACTAATTAACAGCTATCTTTCAAATCATTCTTCAAATATTTTTCAATTTTCAAAATTATTCATAACAAATTGTTTTAATCTTTTATTTATTATTAAAGAATAAAAATGAATATTACTAATTAATTACTGAAAAATTTTTGATCTCTATTTGCTAGTTTTTATTAAATTTAAATGAATTTCATAAATAAAAACTGCAAAAAACAGGTGGGATAAACATCTTTTTTAAAAAAATTTTAATTTTAGAATAACTTTAATTTTATAAAGATTTTTTTCAACTTTTAGCAAGTTAGTTAAGAATGATTTTGTTTTTTACAATAAATGATTAAAAAAATTATTTTGGATTGTTGTTTTTATAATTTTTTAATAAATTATATTTTTTTAAATATTTAGGAATTGTAGAATTAGATTAGCCAAATTTAAAATGATGCAGAGAAGGCTATAACTGATTTATAGTCTTAGTTGCAGTCAAAAGAATAAGAATTAGAATAGGAAAAGCTATCTATAGTTGAATTTAATGAAAAAGAAAAAGAATTAAACTTAATAATTAATAACTATGAAGCTTAACTCTAACAAACTTAACAAGAGATTTAGTTGCTAAAGGATGATTTAAAAAATAGAGAACTATAGTAAAAAAATTAAGAGCAAAGTATTATCAAGTTTTAAGATGAAAATAAAGCACTACAGAAATAAATTCTAAGTTTGAATGATGTTATTAATTCAAATTAGATTAATTAACAGCATAATAATTAGGAATTAGAGGCCTAAAAAAATTAGTTAGCTTAATAATTGGAAGATAGGAATCAAGAAATTAGCTAGCTTCAACAAAATTTAGATCTTCTAAATCAAGAAAAATCCTAACTTAGTGTTGAACTATAGGAAGCCAAGCAAATTTTATAACACAGTAAATAGGAATTTGAAGATTTATAGACTGAGTTCAATAGCTAATTCAATTAATATCAATTTGATATTTAACAATTGAAATAGCAAATTGATATTTATGAATAAAATAATAAAAACTTATAGGAATAAATAAAACAGTTAAGCAATGAAAATGATTAATTATCTTAAGATTTTAAAAATAATGAATAAAAATTCATTCAGTCATCAAAAGAATTCAGTGAGTTGCATTTATAATTTGATACTTTATAAAAAGAAAATACAAATTTAAAAAATTAAATTACTTAACAAGCTGAGTAAATAAAAAGCTTGAGTCTTTAAGGTGAAGAAGGAATAAAGCAAAAAAGCGTCGAATATGCAGCTTTGTTACTGAAATTTAATAGCATTGACAAAGATCATCAAAGTTTATAAAACAAATTTAGCGATAGCACAAATTAATTTGAGCAAGAGAAAAAGAAGTTAAACTAGTAATTGAAAGATAAGCAGGAATAATTTGATGAAAAAGTTGCTAAGATAACTTCAGATTTGGACTAAACAAGAGCAGAAGTAATTAAAGTAAAACAAGAATTAGATGCAAGTAAAGTGGCTAATTAATCATCCTAGTAAATTATTTCTAACTAAACTCTTTAAATTAATTCTTTGACATCAACTGTTGAAGAGCTTAAAGCTGGAGGAGCTTCTGTTTCAGAGTAAGCACAATCTTACCTAACAAAGATTTAAACTCTTGAAGCAAGCTTGGCATCTTAAACTTTAAAATTAGATGAGGCAAATAGCAAAAATTCAGCATATGAATAATAAATTTAAAGCTAATAGAATTAGATACAAGTTGTTTAAGAGCAAATTAAATAGTTAGAGTAAGAAAAAATTGTATTACAAGAGCAAATTGAAAGTCATTTGGATGAAATTTAAAATCACTAAGAGTAAATGAAATAACTTTAGTTAGAAAACAACAATTTTGAAGATCAGGTTAAATAACTTAGACTTGAAATTGTTAACTAAGAAGAAAATATAAAACAACTTGAGTTCACTAAAAATAGTTTAGAAGAGTAAATATAATAGTTAGAATAATAATTGGATAATAAAGAAGAGCAATTTAATCACCTTAATGAATAATACGATAGTTAAATTAAAGGTTTATAATAATAAAATGAAGGTTTACTTGAAGAGTTGAAAAATAAAGAATAAGATTTAATTTTATGTTAGAATGAAATAAAAAATCTAAACATTTAAATTGAATAAGAAAAGGAAAGCTGTGAACAAATAAATGTATAAAATGAAGATTTAATAAAATAAGGTGAAAAGCATTAAGAATAGATAAGTAATTTAGAAGAATAACTTAAGTTGCTTTAGAAAAAAAATGCTTAGTATTAATAGCAAATATAGGTATTTGAAGCATCATCAAATGAAGAAAATAACGAGCTTTGTAGCAAATTGAATTAGTTATAATAAAATTTAGACGATGTAAATGAATAAGCCTAGCTATAGCAAGGATAAATTTAAAATGCTTAGGAGGAAATAGAGGAAAAAAATCAATAAATAAAATAATTAGAAGAATTTAATTCTAACATGAAGATAAAGCATGATGAATATGAAATGACTATATCTTCTTTAAATATTACAATTCAGACTCATTTAGAAAACTAAAGAAAACTAGATTAATTGCTGCTAGAAAAAGAAAAGGAAATTTAGACTATTCAGGAAGAAAATATTTCATTGACGAAAGAGTAATAGTTGATTTAATAAAGCCTAGAGGAAAAATTAATGGCATAAAAAGAATAGGAAAAACTTGCAATTCAAGAAAAGTAATAGACAATAGATGAGCTATAATCTGAAAATGAGTCACTTTAGCATTAACTAAATAACTTAGAAGAATAAATAAGAAATAATTAATAACTCATAGAATAAAAAGATTAACAACTGTATGAAGTAAGCTAAAAACTGGAGTAAATATAATAAGAACAAGCACAAATTACTTAAGAGGGAGCAAAGTAAAATTAAGAATATGATCAAAAACTTTAGAATCATGAAGCTCTAGCTTAATAGAATGAAGAATTATAACACGAAATAGAAATAAAGCAAGATGAAATTTAATCCTTACAGTAAAAGATAAAACTACTTGAAGACGATTAAAGGTATTAATTATTAAAGCTAATTTATTTTCACAGACCCACATTCAATCAAGATTTCATTTTATTTTAAATTCCTCTCTCAAAGTAGAAAAATAAATAAATTTTTCTCCAATTTAAAAAAATCTGTCTTTTGAAATTCTTTTTGGGATGTCAAATTATTTATTTATCTGCTTTGTATTTAACTGAGAAATAACCTGTCTCACATAAATATATGATAAAACTATGCATTTTTTTTTATTTTAATAAAGTAAATTATTTTTAACTGCAAAATTTTCAAATGCCATTTTTGATAAGATAAATAAAATCATTTAAAAAAGTATTTATTTAATCCTTAAATTAATAAAAATTAATTTGAGAAAAATTTGAAAATATTGTCTCTAAAAAACTTTTAATTTTTATTAATATCAAGTGTTATAAAACTTTAAATAATAAAATTATTTAAATTAAAATGATTGATTGATTTAAATAGAAAATATTTTTTAGGTTTCTATGAAAATTAATTAAAAAATTATTGTAAAGTTAAAATTTTTATCAAGTTAATTTATAAAGATAAGCTTTATTTGTATAAATTATTATTTTTTTAATCAAAAAACTAAAAATAAATAGGGAAAAGCATCAAGATATTGAAGATTTAAAGCATCAATTGCAAGAAATGAGTGAATAAAATTAAGGAACTGAGCAGAGGTACACAAATTAGATGGAGGAAACTTTGGCTTTGCAAATGGAGATTAGGTAGTTACATGCATAGATTCAGGAATCACATGCAGAAAACAATAACAAGGATGGCTTGATTGCCTAATTAAACTCCTATGAGTAGGATAACTAGTGTTTAGAAGAAAAGGTTCAAGAGTAAGAAGTAGAGTTAAATAAGGCTCAGTAAACAATTTCTGAGAATTAGATAGAAATTAATAAATGCAAAAACTAAATTGCAGATTTAACAGCATAGTTGGTTAGCTTGAAAGAACAAATTCAAGAAAACAGCCCAAGTAAAATAGGATATGAAGAGAAATATCACAAGTTGAACAAAGAGTACAAAGAATAAATCCTAGCCTTTAGAGAACAAGAAAGTGAATAAAATGCTAAGATTTATCAGATGAAGTAAGCAATTGAGACAAATGAGGAGACTATTTCCAATTTAAATATCGAAATATCTGACTTGATGTACAAGATAACAGGTTTAGAAAGAGAGCTTGAGCTACAAACAAATGAATTTGAAGCAATCAGAGCAGAAAAAGAATACCTTAATGAAAAATTATCTCTTAAAAACCAAGAACTTGAGGAATCTCTTACATAAAACCAACAAAACTCCCACAACAATGACAACTCTCATACTGACAATACTTAGTCTGATAAAATATACCTTTACCAAGAATAAATAGAATAATTAACACATAAAAACCAAGAATTGTAGAACAGGCTAAACGAAATTCTAAATCAAAACATTATGAATACACCTTAGTCTAAAGATAGGGAAAATAGAAACTCCGTAAAATCTCTCAGCTCTCCAATTAATAATAAGACTTTTGCTAACAATTAGGTAGACTAAGAGCTCTCACAAGTCAAATAAGACTTCGAATTATCCAAGGTATTTTCATTCATAAATTATTTTAATCTTTTCAGTCTAATTTATAAATCTCAAATAAAAATTCAATAAGTCATTCATTAATTTTTATTATGAAAGGAAAAAATGAATTTGATAAGAATAAAATGAGTTTTTTTAGTATTTTATGAATAATAAAAATAATGAAATTAAAAATTTTAGATTGAGCTTTAAAAGGTGACTTAAGAGAGAGACATGATGAAAAATGAATTTAAATAAATGAAATAAGAAATTCAAAAAGCAAAAGACAGCGATAAGATAATTGAGACTTTGACTGATCAGCTAGTCAAATCCAAATAAAAATTAGGTGATATGTACAACATGGCCATATAAATTGGTGGAATGGAATTGCTAGAAAAACTTTAGCAGTTTTGATCAAAAATTTCATTAACAAAAAATAATTTCAAATTAAAGCTATCAACAAAAAAAAGAAAAGACAAAAATACATGTATGTTTTATTTATTTATTTAAAGATAAATTTAAAAAGTGATATTTTTAATCTTAATTTTAAATATATTTTGTTAAAGTTTCATTTTAATTACAAATATATTTACAATTTTTAATAAAAAATTCAATTAGAAACATAAAAATGCAAGTTAGTTATTATTGATTTTTATTATTTATTGTTTTATTTATTAATTTTTATAAGTTATATTATTCTGTAATTAATTTCTATATGTGGTTAATTCCTATTAAAATATATTTATAAATATCTTAATATTATTTTAAAATCTTAGAATTTATTATTTTCAAGCCGTCATGGAAATAGATCCAACACATTCAGTAAGAAATCCTGATCTTCACACTATTTTAGATGGATCCAACTAACTCATAGACTCTCTTACTCTAAAACAATAAAGACAATTTGTATCAGATTTCCTAGCCAATCAGGCACCGAAACTATAAGAATAAGAAATTCCAGTATGATGAAAGTTTATAAAGAACTGTCTAAATAAATAAATGGATTTAGTAAAAATTTTTTTGCATAGCTAAAATTCATGTGTGTAAACTCAATAATAAATAATTATTTTCAATTAATTTTTTTATAAATTGTATTAGATATTTTTCTTTAGCATGATTTCTATGAATAATTTTTTTTTATGATTTAAATACCTTTTTATTAGTTTATTTATTCAATAAATTAATATTTTATATTAGATAATGCAGAAATCAATTTTTAACCTTCTTTGTAATTTCAAGGATTAAATAAAATATGAAGTGAATTATTAATAACCAAGTAACATTATGCTGATTAATCCTTATTTGAGTATATATTTACTACTCAAAATTTTATTAAGTATTTTGAATGTATTTACTAGAATGCATCATAATAGATTTAATGTGTACATAATTTGTGAATTTATTTGTTTTTTTTAATTTGCATAAAATTTGAAATTTATATTTTAAAATTTTACATTTAATGTTAGATGCACTTATTGAATGGTTTTGTTATATTTGAATTGGATTTTAATATGATAAAAGCTATTAGTTAAATAAAATGAGATAAAAAAACTATTTATGATTATTTATGAATATTAAATAAATAGTAATATAGCCAAAGATTAATTGCTTATTAAAATTTTTAGTAGGATTTTTAAAAGAAATGATTGAGTGTTATTACCACAAAATAAAAAAATAAATAAGAAAATCAGAAATTAAATTAACAATTTATTCGAATAATAAAATGAGAATACATAATAGCTAAATTAGAGGGAAACAATTAATAAAAATTCAATGAAAATGAGGTATATAATTTCAAAAAAGCTTTTATTGGAAAGAAGAAATTAATTAAATATATAAATTAATAAATTAAATAATAAATTGACTATTTTGCTATTTTTATATTGAATAAATCAAGGCTAATAATTTTATTAAGTTTTGATTGATTATTTAGGAAAAATAATTAAATAAATAAATATACAATAATCGCCAATAAAAAGAAAACTTGATACAATTTTTAAGATTTCAGATCTTAAAAGAAAAAAGAGCAACGCATCTACGCAAAAGAATGAGCGAGCGAGCGAGTGTATATATGAGATTGATTTTGAATTTATTAATTTATGTACTTATGAATGAATGAATGTATGTATATGTTAATTAATTCATTAGTTCACTCATTGATTATTTGATTAATCCATCCATCCATCTATTAATTAATCATTGATTGATCAATCAATAGATCGCGGATAGATTATTTGTTTATTATGTGAATAAAATAAATAAATAAAAATTTAAAGAAATAATCAAAATATAAATAAAATTTCAAGTAAAAGATTATCGAAATATCAAACAATTAATAAAAAAAAAAACTAGTATCATGAAACAAAATTCAAGATAGCCTTATAAGGACGAACCAAAGTTAGTAGCTTTGGATGCTAAAACCGATGCAGTCGAAATCATTAAAGGTATTTAAATTTAATTTTCGTCTCTGCTGCTTGTTCAGCTAAGCTAATTCATTAAAATGGTTTTTTCATATATTTATGTATGAAAGTAAGTATGCATATAACTTAAACCAAAGAAAATCTATCTCAAGTGGATGAGCCAACAAGCAGCACTTTTTCTAAATTAAAACTATTATGTATTTTTATAGTAACATCTTATTTAATTTAATAATAGATCGTCTATATTGGATTTCCGGAAAAGAACCTCCCAAAAACTAGCCAAACGCATATTTCTTTAATATTGATCAAGTAAGAATTTTATAATAATCAGTTTGTTTTTATTTGACTGATTTTACTAAAATGTCTGAGTGTTTCTCATGGAAATATTTCAAACAAAGAGCAGAAGGTGTGAGTTTAAAGTAAAAAGCTGAATCAACGAACACCACTTTAATTTGCTTTAACAAAATCAAACGAAAGCATTTGATTGAAATTTTAATCTGAACAGCAATTGTATTAAAATTAATTATTAAAATAGGATTTATAATACGAACCTTTTTTCGCTGACTTTGGTCCTCATAATTTAGGTAATACTTATAGATTTGTAACTGAATTAGAACATTTACTTGCAGATCCCGAATTCTCTAAGAATCTTATTTACCACTACACTGGTGTAGATTCTAACAAGAGAACAAATGCTTGTTATCTCATTTGCGCATATCAAGTAAGCATTTTTTTATAATTAATTATGACAACAGTAGTAAGCAATCACACTCATTTTAAGCATTATTTATCGTTTATGAGCAAAAATATATCATCAAAATCAATAAAATACACAAAAATACCTTTTAAACTGCTTTTAATTCATGCTTATCCTAGATTTTGTTGTTTATTATTTATTTATTTATCTCATTTAATCACTTATTCAATAATGATTGATAGAATTTTATATTACATAATATCCATCAAGCATAAATGCCTTATTAATTATAAAACAATTAACTATTTATTTAATTTACCTTAAGTAATAAATTAATTTTAATTATTTATTTTAACAGGTCATCATTCTTAACAGAGGTGCTGATTCTGCATGGGCTCCATTTGCGAAAGTTTAGCCTCCATTCAACGACTACAGAGATGCAAGTTACGGATATTGTACTTATAAATGCACTGTAATAATTTTGATATATTAATCAATATTGATTCTAATAATTCCTTAGATAAAAAAGATTCATTCTTATTTAAAGAAAATATTGGTTGGTATAAATCAATATAAAAGAAACATATTTTATTAACTGTTGAAAATGTTATTATAATCAAAATAAAAGCATGGTATTAAAATTATCTTGACAAATCATACATACATACATAATACGAAGAGAAAAATAAGAAAAAATTATTTATAGGTTTTAATTTAAATAAGGAAAGATTAAATTTTTTTCAAAAGAGAAAGGAAGAAAAATTATATGAAAATAGCACAGTTAGTTGATAAATTCGTTCGTAGTAACACCAAAAGAGAAATTAATAAAAATTAATCCATCTTACAAATTAAGAATTAATAATGTAAAAATAAAAGAAATGAACAAATAAGCAAAATAAATAAGATAAAAATAATTAATTTTTTTTAAATATTTGATAAATGGATTTATTAGTCAGTCGTAGCTATCAAATTAAACAAACTTTAACAAATCTATTTTATTGATTGAAAATTAAATAAAATTATAAAAATAAGATTTTGGATTGTCTTAGAGGCCTTGAATATGCAATTAAATTGAAATGGTTCAATGTAAGAGATTTTAAGTTAAGAGATTATGAATATTATGAGAGAGTAGAAAATGGTGATCTCAATGTCATTATACCTGAAAAATTCATAGCCTTTTCTGGTCCTTCTCCAACCCAAAGAGATGCTGATGGTGTAATAATTTTTATTCATATATAAAATTATAATACAAATTTTAATTTCAACACAAACTAACTAACAACATACAGTACAGAACTTTCACTCCTGAAGACTATGTACCCATTTTCAAGAATATGGGTGTTACACTTGTTATTAGACTTAATAAAAAGACTTATGAAGCCTCTAGATTTACTAACAATGGTATTAAACACTTAGATCTATATTTCCTTGATGGATCTTGCCCTCCAGATGTAATAAATCAAATATAAAATTATTTTATTAAACACTTTAAAAAAAAACAAACAAACATTTCAACAAATAAATAAATAAAAAAATTAGGATATTTTACATAAATTTTTGGATGTATGCTAAAAAGAGAAAGGTAAAATCGCAGTTCACTGCAAGGTAAACAAATTGTTTAATTACTGAAAATAAAATAAATGAATTTATAAAATAAAAAATTTATTAGGCTGGATTAGGTAGAACTGGTTCTTTGATTGCTATGTATGCTATGAAGCACTATCGTTTCCCTGCTGCAGATTTCATTGGATGGATTCGTATTGCTCGTCCTGGCAGTATTCTTGGACCTTAATAATATTATTTAAATGAACGCCAATAAGAAATGTGGAAGGCTGGCGAAAATTCTCCCATTTGGAAGAGTGTAAAGCACTTAGTAGAAGACATAGAAGGATTATAAAATCGTATTAATGTAAATAAAATATAAATATGTGATCAACTAACTATTAACATTTTTTAAAGAATTTAAATATAGAAAGTAAAGGATAAATCTCACCTGAAGAAATTAAAATAGCTAAAATTGGTTAAGAAGGTCAAGGAAAAACTCTCACAAACGCTAAAAGAAATAATTGAAAATAAATAATTACTTAGCCACATATATAATTCAATAGAATTAAATAAATATAATAAATAAATAAATAAATAAATCAATAAAACGATATAAATAAACAAATTGGACTATTCAATATAAAATATTTACAATAAAATAAACTATAGTTATTCATTTACTTTTTTATTCACTAATTCTATAAAATTACTCTCGTTCTTTCAAACTTTACCAATTAGTACATTCTTAATTATTTAACTAACTCTAGCTATCTATCTATCTCATGTCGAAATTTGTATGTTTGCTACTTACTAGTTTGTTAATCAAAATAATATCTAGGTTAACTAAATCCTAAAGCCAAGCAACTTAGTTAGCTAATTTGTTAAAATTTTTCTTCTAATAGTGAAAAGAGCAATCAATAAAATAAATGCATCTAGCAAATAGGGTAAGAAACAAATAAATAGCAAGATTAACTAAAGAAAGAAATGAAATATAACAATTTAAAATTATATATAAATATAAATTGTTTGAAAATTAAAACATCATAAAAATATTTGTGTATTTATCTGGAGGAGAATTCATTTTCTTAATATTATGAAAAATCTTTGGTCAAACAAGCATATATTAATGAATGAATCAATCAATGAATTAACCAACAAAAAATGAATTATTAAAGATAAAAAATAATTATATTTAATTACAAGGTTTTTTAGTCACCAATAAATAAATCCAATTAATTGTTTCTTATTTTATAGTTCAAACTCTTTATTTTTTATTTTATATGCATATTTGAAAGTTTGATAGAATTTCTTTAATTTATCTTACATTCTTTTAATATTTTAATAAACCAACTAATGTAAATAGAAAAATATTAAAAATTAAATAACTAAGTTAATTAATTGTGTGTGCATAATTTTTTCTATCATAGAACTAAAATGAGTACTTAATGCTAATCATGGTATTTGTGATATTTCTGATAACGAATATTATTTAAAATGTAATCAAAGATATTTTTTTGAAAATTAACACAATTTTTGTTGATTTTATTTACTCTGCTTTCAATTGCTTAAAAAGTTTACTTCTAATTTTATTTATTAATATTTAAGATATTTATTTGAGCATAATTATCAGTGTACTAATTTTTTTTTTTTTCGGCTGGAGCCTTAAAAAATAAGATTTAATCGGCTTTCTTAAATTTTAAAGCCGATAGAGCCGAAACCCCCCTCCCCCCCCCCCCCTAATTAAGACACTGATTATTATTAATTGAAATTAATTATTTATAAAGAAGTTATTAAAGATTTAATTTTATAGAAATAGTAGCATTACTTATTTCAAAATTAAGGCTTTTACAAATATCAATCTTGAATTTATAAATATTTTTAATTACATACTTTACTTCCTAAATTTATTTATTTTACACTTTTTTATTAAAATATTATTGATTGTGATTAATGAACAAGATATATTATAGATTAAATTAGCTTAAGATTAGAAGTGTAATTTAATCTATTAAAATACTTAAAGCATCTGAATTAAAAAAAAAATACATTCTAAACAAACAATTAAACAAATAAATAAATATATTATTTGGTTAATTCAAAAATTAACTTTTTAAAATTATTAAATTTAAAAAGATGCCAGTTTAAAAATCTATTAATTATTTAGATAAAAGTCGTCTATCTAAAAAATGTTCTAAAACTTGAAAATATTTTTATTGATTGGTAGATAAGAATAATTTTATGTTATCTAATTGAGAAATTAATTAATTTTCCTTTTTGAGATATACAATTTTAATTTTTTACAATTTTTATTTGTTCGTTTTTTTATTCGTTCATTCAGTCATTTAAGTTATTTCTTATTGATATTTTTCGTATAATTTAGCATCACCTAATATTTAATAGTATTAGCAAATTTTTTGTAGAGATTTAAAAATTGATGGATGATTATTATTTTTATATATTTATTTTTATATTTAAAGGCATTCTAGCATGTAATCTAAAGCTTTTTTATTGTCTCCAAGATTTTCATAGCACTAACCAACATTGTTGAGAGATATAGCAACATGTGGGTGATTATCTTTGTATATTTATTTGAACATTTTTAGAGATTCTACAAAATAATCTAATGCCTTTTAGTAATCTAGAAGATTTTGATAGCAACTACCCACATTATTTAAAGACATTGCAACAGCAAGAGAAATTGGAGTGTCTTTGTATATTTATTTGTACATTTAAAGAGATTGCTAATAATATTCTAAGGCTTCTTTGTAATTACCAAGGTTCATTAAGCATTTACCAATAATGTCAAGGGATGTAGCCACCGAAGGGTGATTTTCTTTGAATATTTATTTTCTCATTTAAAGAGACTCTAACTAATATTTCATAGCTTTTTTTTAATCTTTGAGGTTTAAATAGCATATTCCTATATTAAAAAGCGATTAAGCAATATCAGGATGACTCTCTTTATATATTAGTTGTCTCATTTTAAGAGATTATAGCTAATACTCTAGTGCCTTTTCACTGTCACCAATGTGTATGTAGCAACTGCCAACATTTTCCAGTGATGCTGCTATTTTTGGGTGATTTTGGGTGTAAATTTATTTATCAATTTAGTGAGATTATAGCACATATTCTAAAGCCTTTTTGCTATCTCCGAGGCTTAAATAGCAACTACCTACATTATTCAGAGATTCACTAATGTCAGGGTGATCTTCTTTGTATAATAATTTTCTCATTTAAAGAGATTCTAGCTAATATTATAAGGCTTTGTTTCTATCGCCAAGGTTTTTATAACAACTGCCAACATTATTAAGGTATGTTGCAATTAATGGATGGTTTTTGTTGAAAACTTATTTTGCTATTTTAAGAGACTCCATAAAATATTATAGAGCTTTTTAAATATAACCAAGATTTTTATAGCATATCCCGACTCCATTGAGAGAGACAGCAATATCAGGATGGTTTTCTCGGAATATTTATTTCCTCATTTAAAGAGATTCTAGTAAATATTCTAAACTCTTTTTATAATCACCAAAGCTAAGATAGCAAAGACCTACGTTACTCAGAGAAAATGCAATATTAGGATGACTTTCTTTGAATATTTATTTATACATTTTAAGAGATTCTAATTAATATTCTAATGCTTTTTAATGATCACCAAGTTTTTGAAGACTAGCTCCAACATTATCAAGAGATTCTGCTATTTGTGGGTGTACTTCTTTGAAAATTTATTATCTCATTTAGAGAGACTGCAAAAAGTATTATAAGCTCTTTTTGAAATCTCCAAGATGAAAATAGCAACTACCCACGTTGTTGAGAGATAAAGCAATATCTGGATGAGTTTTTTAATATATCTATTTTCTCATTTCAATAGATTCTTAAGTATACTCTAATGCTTTTTCGTAATCTCCAAGATAAATAAAACAACTTCCAATGGAATCAAGAGCTATAGCAATTTATGGGTGATTTTTTTTGAATATATTTTTTATCATTTAAAGAGACTCTAAATAGTATTATAAACTCATTTAGTAATCACCAAGATTTTTATAGCAGGAGCCAAGGTTGTTGAGTGATAAAGCTATTAATGGGTGGTGAATCTATTTGAAAATTTATTATTTGATTTAGAGAGATTTCAAAAAACATTCTAAGCCCTTTTTACTATCACCTAAATTTGCAAAACATAATGCAACATTATTCAGAGTTGCCGCTATTTCTTCTTATTTTTTTTCAATAGATATTTAATTATGAGTGTCTTCTTTAACAAATAATTACTGAAGTGATAGCAAGCTTTAATTGTAATAAAGGGATATTTATAAGAAGTAAGGAATCTCTTTGTTATTGTCATAAGGCTACAGCTTTAAAATTAGTTTGATTTAATCCATATATTGAATTAAGAATGAATGACATGCCTTTTCCTTTAGTGCTTGTTGAAAAAAATATTAAGATAATTCGAGACATTTAGATCTTTGTTTTGAGTCATTTTAAATCATATTTTACTAAATGATCATATTAAATTTACCAATAATTTCTTTGTAATTTGACTTTTAAATCTTTTCAAAAATATTTAAAATAATTTCAAAAGTTTTTCCCAAAGAAAAAATATCGCTTTAAAAATCAATATTAGAATCTTCTTCAATTTATTCTGGAGAAGCATAATACTTAGTCAATCCTTTAATGTAAATTTATTGATTTTCTCTTTTAATAGAAGATATACCAAAATCAGTGTAAACATAGTTATTTGATTTAGTGAGAAGAATATTTTAAGGCTTGATGTCAAGATGTAAAATATTATAAATTCTAAGCTATGTTAACCCATCGAGCAAGTTAAAAATCACTTATAGAAGCTTATTCAAAGGGAATTATTTTGTCTTTTATATTAAATCTAGCTCATCTTTCAAACTAAATTAGCATTTTTCTAAAACCAAAACATCAACTTCCTCATTAATTTTGATAAAATCGATATATTTAACAACACAAATATATTACTCAAAAAGTTTCATGATTTTGATTTCATGTTCAAGCTCCTTTTTATCACAGTTGAATAAAATCTTAAACACTACATCTTATTTTTCTTTTATAATAAATTTATATCCTTGAAATATGATTCCTTCGCCTCCTGAATTTAAATATTCACATAAATAGTAATTTTTATTTTTTAAACTTTCAAAAATGAATTCTTTTTATTGTTAAAATTTTCTAAAACTGAGATATTCAAAGCACTCTTAATTATATTTGCAGGCTTCGCATTTATTGCATTTTTCTAAGTTGATGACTTTATTTTTATTAATTTATTCAAAATATTCTTTCGTCCAATCATTTTTAATCTCACTTAAACTTTCAAAGCTGTCTTAGTAAATTGATAGAAAAACTGCTTTTTGTAATATGAAAATGTGGACACAGTTATTTAAAATAAAATAATTAATTTCTTCATTAAACTTCTAGATTAAAAGGTATTTTTATATTTCTTTAGCTGCAGAGTAATATTTAATTACAAATATATAGTCTGAGTATTATTCACCTTTATTTTATTAATATCCAATGAAGATATCTTCTTATAAACTTGTAATAAAACATAAACATAATTAGTAATTTTTATTTTTTAGTACTTTAATTATTTCATTTTTCCAACTTTAAAAGGTTTTACTAGCTTGATTTTCACTTTTAGAATTAAATGTATCGATATTCCATTCCCTTTTACATTTTTAGTTATTTTATTTATAGTCTAGATTTAAATCAAATTTATTTTGTACTTGGTAATCTGTAAATTAGTACTCATTAACAAATTAAAGTTTCTTTAATAATTAAATGTTATTTTCTTTTGAAGAAAAGCAATCTTGTTATTCAGAGATTTATTCATAAAATTTTGTTTTTTCTGATGAGGAAATATTTTCTTCACTTAATAAATCTTATTTTAAAAAGCAGAAAACCATTTTTTGGACATAATTTACATATTCAACTACAAATTCTTATGAGTTCAATTAGAAAATTATTCCATCTATGTTTTTGTCGCTGTATTCACAGTAATTGAAATTTCTTTTTTAAAAAAATGGCAAAATACGAGATTTAATATTTTTAAAACAGCAATAGTAATTACAAATTTTATTATCTAAACAATTATTACAGTAAAAGCAATTATGTGTATTTATTTCACAATAATTTCCTATTTAAAATATTTTACATTAGAAATATATGAGTAAGTTTAACTAGTTTTATATTGTAAGAAAATCATTTTTCTGTAAAATTAGAATCGAAATATTTTCTTCATCAAGTTCAATAAATTCATAATTTAATCCAAGAGTGTCTATTATCAAAATTAACTATTCTGTTTCTGATTAATTTGAAATATAAGTTATTTTAAAAATGTAGTCTTCCTATTCTTCCACTTAAAATCCAAGAATTAGATCTTCTTTTTCACAAGAAGTAATTATTTTGCATAAAAAGAGTTATTTTTCCATTAATTTATTAATAATCTTCATTTTTTTACTTTTAAAAACATCGCTGTGAGTTTGATTGCAATTCATGCTATTGAAAGTGTCTAAGTTCCATATTTTTTAAATAATCCTGAATTCAGATTGTTCATCATATTATTCATACTCTTAGAAATTATATTCCTCAATCTCTTTTAATATTCTTTGAATCTAAGAAGCATAAATGCTTTTACCAAAACAAATTTACTGCTATTCCATTTATTACTAACAAATATATTAATTAACTTACTCTTTTTTAATTTTATTGCTTTATTAGCAAGAATTTCTGTAATCTTCAAAGCAATCTTTTTCCTGCTAGTGTAAATCTTATTTAACAGAGACATCTTCATTAACATTAGACTATAGAGATGAAATTTGCTAATTACCAATATTATTTTTTACTTAATACTAAAGTTGTTAAGGTTGCTTCTTCTTCGATTTACTAAATTAGCTCGAAGAATTTTAATCTAAAAGAATATCCTTAATTAACTAAGTTTATTAAGAGTTGTCTTATTTTTGTGATATTGTTTATTAATTTGAGTGAGTAGAAAGACATTTAAAAAACTCTTTTTTTTCTTAAGTCTAATAAGAGATAATCACACTTTAGTTTTCTTTTTAATTATAAACTGAACATATAGTAGTTTAAAATAACCTATTTTATCTCATATCTCTAAAAATCTTGCTTTTTAATTTCCTTGAAATAGTTTTATCACAATTCAATAATATATTTTATTCCTCTTCATAATTTAAAGAAATTGCTGATTTCTCTTAATTTTTATTTTGAGCTAATAAAAAGTTATATAACTCTATGTTATGCTATCCTAGAGATAAAATATTTTTTCCCTCCCCTTCCATAATTATTTTTTCACCTTCTTTTTTTCTTATCTTTTTTAAGCTATTTTTGTTGAAAAGTCTTCTTTTATTTATTTTCAAAATACTTTTAATAAAAAATTTTAACCAAAATTTAAATATTAAGTTGAGTTTATATTATTGATTATAAGCATTTATAAACTATTTATTAATTATGAGATGAAATATTAGATTGCTTATCAAATAAATTAAAATGAAGAAACTCCACGACTAAGTTTTGGAAGACTTAGTATGAATTAAGTGAATTTTTAACTTTTGATCAACTTACAAGAATAATAAATTAGGTGGAATGCTCATTTAAAGGTTAAGCACAAAAATAAATTTTATATAATTTTATTTATTGATAAAAGGACTAAAAGCTAGCTAATAGCAGATATGCAAATCTTGGTTAAAGCAATTAATTATGTAATTTGATCAAATAAACCAAACAAACAAACAGAGAAACTATTAATTGATTAATTTCAAATTTTGAACAGGAGAAGATATAAATCACAAGTTTATTGATAACTAATGGGAAGAATAACCTTATTTTTTTGCTTTGAATAAGAAAGTGAATCTATTTATATATGTATCTATCTATTACTAATAATAAAAATTAAAAAAAGAGAAAAAAGAAGAAATATTTATCACAAAATTTGGCAAACATTATTAATTAATTAAATCATTCATTCATTGATTAATTTATATCATTTGAATAAGATTTTTATTTAGCAAATCACTCATTAAAAAAAAAATATTTATATATTAATAAAAATTTAGCTATCAATAATGTTAAATCCTGCAACTCAATCAAACCACATAAAAACAAGTAGCGATATTCTTTAGGAATTTAATTAGAAGCACTATGGAAGCTAAGAATTTAGACCATCAGTAGTTCAAATCAACCACTAAACTAAAAGTGCAGTGACACATAGTAATCACAATTTAAGTAATCATGATGCAATAAATTAATCAAACTAGTATTTTACTCCTTAGCCTTCCTCTCAAATTCAATAACAAAACAATATAGCAAAAAGCAATGTCTATAATGATACTTACTAAAGCAATAACGGTATTCAACAAAGCAATTACAAAGCTTACGTTTAGGATAATTAGTCAAAGATTCAAAAACCCAATCAATTGCAACAATAATAAGCTCAATAATTTAGCTAAAATAACTAAGTTTCTAACAACATATTCCTTAGTGGCATATAACAAAACTAAAATCCTCCACGCAGTGATAATTTATATTCAATTAGCAGTAGAATTGAAGAACATTAAAGATTATCTTAGAAAAAAGCTAGCAACAAATTGTATGATTCGTTTATTGGAAAAGAAAAAGACTTAGAATCTTCATTCACAAACGGCAACGAAAATAGTAAGAAAGCTAATTAGTTCAATGATAATTTAGGAAAAGATTTTAAGCAGATGACTTCAAGAGAAATTGGATAAAGTTTGTTACAATAAGAATAAAAAAGATACTTTAGTCCTGCCTCTCCTGAGTAGTTGTAAAATATAATTACTTTAAAGAGAAATAGAGGAGTCTACAAAGGACAAGTTAAGTAAATTAAAGGCGAAAATGTTTTAGAAGGTATTGGCCAAATGGAAATGTTTAACGGAGATATATATATGGGCTATTTCTGGAGAAACTATATGCATGGTGATGGCTACCTCTTAAAACAAAATGGTGATTTCTATAACGGAAAATTCTAGAACGATAAAATCCAAGGATTTGGTAGATATTATTATATTAATGGTGATCTCTATGAAGGAAATTTCTATTATGGTGTAAGACAATCAGAAAATGCAAAATTCTACTCAGCAGCTGAAGATGCCTGGTATGAAATCCCTTTCGATCAAGATAGAAAGCATGGAAAAGGATAAAGAAAAGATAATTAAGGCGTCGTTTTAAACGTTGAATTCTTTTAAGATGTGCTATAAACTGGTGACAATGTGAATGTAATAAATAAATAAATATTTTTATTTGAAAAAAAAGCTATTTTTATTTACGTTATTTAACTATAAATAAATTAAAGATAAGTCAAGTAAACTTGAATGATTATTTTGTAAGTAAAATCAAAGAAGAAGTTTTGTAAGAAAATAAATTTATTAATTTATTAGTTTGAGTTAGTTAATTCATGATATTCAATTAATAGGTATGAAAATTAACCAGTAAAAGAAGAAGTAGTTAAACGCACAAAGAAAGAATAAAAGCCCAAAGATATTCACTATTAAGCTATGCAAGAATTAGAAGGATTCATTAAAGAGGGATTGCCAATCTATTCATTTGAGCAATAACTCTCGAATCCTATTTAAGGCTAAGCAATTTACAAGTAACCTATTACAAGATTAGCAATTTTCATTAACTCAATCAATCTCTATTTTAAAATAGATTTTAAGATGGCTCTTATTACGCAGGAAATTGGTTAAATGGTGTCTTCCACGGATTTGGTCATTACTATGATTCAAAAGTTGGTTTGTATAAAGGTGATTTTATTTAAGGATTAAAGAATGGCTTTGCTGATATGTTTTACTTCAATGGTGATGAATATCATGGAATGTGGGTGCAAGATTTAAAGCATGATGAAAAGGCATAATATTTTAAATTTAGTAAACAACAAGCATATGAAGCATATTTTAGCCAAGGAAACTTGATTAAGATAATAAAACCTGTCTAATAGCAATTATTCTGAAAATACTTAATTTAAATTTATCTATCTATCTATCCATGTTTATATAAATATTATCATCTAATTACAAATGAGTTTGATTATTTTCATAATACCATTTATCTATCGTAATTATTTATTTATTTCTCATATGTTTTTTTATATTTTAAATAAAATTGCATTAGACAGAAAGTTAGTTAGCCTAAAATACTCCAATTTTTTATCTTTATTAAATTAATTATATCTAATTTTTTAATAAAATAACACCTAATTATTATTTGTTGAATGAATACCCAATATAATTTAATTTCTGTTTTTTAAGATGTTTAAAAATAATTTTATTTAGATTTTATTTTGTTTTTTATAAATTCATTTTATATATTAAAATAAATTATTATATTTTTATAGAAAAAAGTAACCTTTCCCCTTAAAAAACAAAATAATAAGTTCAAAAATCAAGGATGTAAACCGATAATTTTTAGAAAGAAGGTGCTTAAAGTAATCAAATATTTTAAATGTGCTTGCTTACCTACCTAATTAAATTTATTTAAAGTTATTTTCATTTATCATCATTTAAAATTGTTTTTATAGATTTAATTCATAAGATTTAAAAAAAGTAAACGAAAAAAATAAGAGAATTGTAAAGAGAAGATAAATAGATAATATTGAGATACAAGAATATATGACTACAAAATTTTACTAATTTAATATATTAATTCATTGTAGAAACAATATAAACATTGAAATATTTTATAAAAATTTTTAAATTATTTATATGATTTATATACTTCATTCATTCAATCATTCATTCATTCGATTAGTAGGAAAGAAAGAAGTTTAATCAATCATCGGTTTCATTTTATTCTTTATTTGGTTGTCATTATTTATTTATTTATTTAATTTATTATTATTATTATTATTTTAAGTAATTAAATTAATTATTTTCATTGATGAAATATGATTTTAATCTTATTATTCCAGTTAGTTGATTGTATAGGAGAGTTTGATCAAAGAGAAACATTTTTTGCATAATTCAATTAATTAATTTTTTAGAAAATACAATACTAAATTACAACTTAAATATGTCAATTTGAAATAACAGCATCAAAATTATTTTGCTGATATTTCAATATATTTAATTTTAGAGTCTGTTTTATTTATAATTATTATTATTATTTTTTTTTTTTAAATTTAAACTAATATAAAAGCTTTGTACCTTAATTACAATTTTCAGTTGCTGCTTCAATATAGCTAAAATTATTATTATTTAAAAGTTAAAGTGTTTGCTTGTTTGTTTCCTAATCAAAAGAGTGGTCTTTATAAAAAAAGTAAATATTGTAGTCATTTTAGTCAGTTAATTAGTTATGTTTATTTGAGAGCACTTTTTGATACTCAATAATTTATATACTATTATGGATGAATGAATTTAATATGTGAAAGAAATAGTTTGTTGTTATTTTTGTTTTCTTTACAATAATTATTCGATAAATTACTTTATCCTCACTCAAGATCCATTTTATTTTAATTTTATTCTTTTAAGCTATTCACAAACGAGAAATCTATTTTTTAGATTAAAATTTAATATAAAAAAACTTTTAACCCAGTAAGCAAGCAATTATATTAATTAATCATTTTTATTTTCATTTATTTTGATTGCTTATATTTATTTTATTCAAATCGAAAAACTTATTGAAAATTAATCTAATCCAATAAAAATGATTAATTTATTAAATTTTGCTTTATCTATCTTAATTAATTGCTGCTAACATGGTTAAATTTACAAAATCATTTACTTGAAAATTCATGGTAAATTTAATTGTCCTAGTAAGACTCGTTCAAAGGCTGGTGTACAAAATACTATTATTAATAGAGATTTAATTTAATAAGATCATTTATTTTAATATCAATAAAAATATTGTGTTTGTTTTTAATTATTTGAAAAGTAAAAAATGAACCAATCAATGAATGTATGTATGAAAATAAATATTTGGTTAATTACATCATCAAAATTGCTCACATCAATTTCGTTTTTAAGTTTTGGGACGAATGGTGCATTATATTTTTTTTATAGCATTTTATCCCAATCTACATCAGTAAACCATGGATGGTCTTTTATTTCCTCTGCTCCATTAGAGCCTAGTCTTTGATAAGGATTTTTTAAGAAGAGGCGAGTGAGGAGATCTTTGCAAGCTTTACTAAAATAGCTTGGGATAGTGATTTCTGTATATTTAATTTTCTTAAACAACTCTTCACGGTTATTCTCCACATAAAAAGGAGGTAATCCTGTAAGCATTTCATAAATCAGATTGCCTTTTTAGAAATAAAAAGTTATATGCAATTTATTAATATGGTAAAAAAAGAAAGAAAAAGTCAAAGAATATTTTTTATTTGATTTGATTTGATTTGGTTTGCTTGATAAAAATATCTTTCTCTAATCCATCAGTTAGATAATTAACTAATTAACTTATAAATTCTTTTAGGTTTGTGATTTAATCAGAATAAAGATACACAAACTATTTGAATTTTGTGATTTAAATTAATTTATTTTATGACACATGTCTTAATAATTAATTTAATTTACTATTCCAATATTTTTACTCGATCAAAAATGTATATTTGCTTGAGTAAATTAGTGTATTCATAATTTAGGTCCATCATTAATTACATTTCTAATATCTATCTACAGGAAACAAAAGCTTTCATAGAATAAAAAATATATGCCAAATTTATTATTATCAATGATAGAGGCTATTTCTTAAAAATTCAATTATGAGCAAATAATCTATTTTAATTTTTGTGATATTTTAATTTATTTATTTATATTTTATTGTCTATTTCTTTTCTTGAATGAAATTCATTTGTTTGTTTGTTTTTTAAACTGTAAGGAGTGCTCTAATCTTAAAATTTAATGATGAAATATTAAAATTATCACTAGAACTCAATCATACTGAAACGATTATAAATATTTTTAGGTGAAAGTTTGAGAGCCAGAGCTTGCAAAAAGAATTTTCATGTTTTTTATTGTTTCTGAGGAGTTGTGAACTGTGAGCAATTTGAAGGAAATAGAAGATAGATAAATAGATATTTCATCTACTAGAAGAAAAAGTACCAGAAAAAAGCAATTAAATAAATGAAATTTCTTTGAAATTCAGGATTGGAATAAGTTAAGCTTATTCTTATATAAATGTCTATAGATTGCAGCTAAAAGCATGAAATATTTTGGAAATAGCAAAACAATTTGGTAAAGCTGATTTATTTATTTCTTTTTCGAATTTTTACTGTGAAAATTAAAATTTATTCGTAAATTCCTGCTGTGCTCTTTTTAGAAGTTAAGCCAATTTGTAAATTTAATATTTCATATCAAACGAACCAAAAAAAAATCAAATCAAAAGAGATTATTAATGCAGCTCAAAGCTGATTTTTCATCGAAATAAATAGATGAAACAGACACTAAAGAAATAAAGGTAATTATTACCTAATGCCCACCAATCGACAGGCTTTCCATGGCCTGAGTTATTTAAAATTTCGGGTGCCAAATACTCAGGAGTTCCGCAAACTGAGAAAGCTGTTTAATCTTCTATATTGTCCTTGGATAGACCGAAATCAGAAATTCTAATATATCCTTCTTTATCAAGAATAACATTTTCAGGCTTAAGGCTATTTTAAGTTTAAATAGATATCTTATTTAAGTATTTGAATATATGTAAATCAGAATATTCAGAAAAATAATGAATGAATGAATGATTGCTTTGCTTTTTTTGCATGTAAATTAAAATTCCAACTCAATCGTGTAAATTAATTAAAAAGAATAAAACAGATTCATTTTATATATGAATTTATAATCGATTTAAAGAAATAAAAGCATGTAGCAAGAAGAAAATATTATCAGAAATTAATCGAAAAATTAGTTTAGATCTTAGCTTAGAATGAAATAAATGCTTGTCATAAAATTTAGAAAAATTCGAATTAAATTTTGAATGAAATAAGAATTAGATTTTGTATGTGTTTGTTTTTTTATTTGTTTGTTTGCTTGCTTGCCTGTTTGTGTTCATGTAAGTATGGTGTTAATTAGTAGTGAATTTCAAAATTATAATTTAATAAGATAGGATTTTGGAATGGAAATCTGAATAATGAAAGATAATGTAAATTATATGTTAAGAATTACTCGCGATATATGATATTGTGTTTATGTAAATGTTCAATTGCTAGAACTATTTGTGCAGCATAAAACCTACATCTATTTAATTAGTATTGAAAAAGTATTATTTTGTGAATGGGAATAAATACACTGAAATTATTTATTTATTGATTGTTTTTTTTTTTTTCAAATATCTTTAGTTAAATAATCTCCCACTCTCCTGCTCCTTAAAGCCCATACTGCAGTAAACGCCATATTTAAAGCAGTCATTCAGGTGATTTTTATTCAAAGCAAGCTAGTCCCTTTATTGAAACATTAATATTAGAGAGAGAGAGAAGGAGACTTTCTAATCTAGGAGAAATTGAAATTTAAAATTTTAAAGAAATGAATTACTGCTCCTCATCGAATTTGTGCTTTCTGCTAAGAATGCTGAAGAGCTCGCCGCCAGGACAGAAGTCGAGTGCGAAGAAGAGCTTGGTATCATTCTAGAAGGAATAATGTAATTTAATTATAAATGGATGGGATTCTATATTGGCAAGAATATCTTTCTCTAAAATGACACGGTGCTATTAACCTAATTCTTATATTTTTTTTTTCTTTAAGATTTTTAAAGCATACACTTTTTGATTATCAAGTTTCCTGACTAAATACACTTTGGCGTAAGCTCCTTCGCCAATCATTTTTAGCAATGTAAAATTGTTAATCGAGATGCCTTCACTTTTCTTTAAGACTTTCTCATTACCTGCTGGTTTATTGCTTGCTGCAGGCCAATTCCCTTGCATTTTCTGGTTGATCAATTAATTAATTGCTTGCTTGCTTATCTTGATTTTACTTTTTATCAAATTGAATTTTTTATTAAAAAGCTGATTTTTTTATAATACCTTGGATATTAATTAATTAATCATTTAATTTTTACAATCAAGTTCCGCATAACAATCAAAAAAAAAAAAGCTTTATAAATCAAGTAGAGGAATATAAATAATTAATCTTTATTCCAAAAGCTAATTGCATATTTTCACTTTCAATCAATCGATGCTTATTTGATTTTGTTAGCAAACAGCAAGTAGATCAATCAATCAATCAGCCAACCTATCTATCTATCTATCTATTGATTAATTATTTATATATTTACTAAATAAATCAAAGAACCAATCATCTAAATTAATAAAAATTCAAAGATATTTTTTATCGATCGCTGCTTTTCTATAAGTATTTATCATAATCACTCAGAAGATTTTAACATTTTATAGATATTCCAAAATAAGTAGTAAAATATCTCAAACTTTATGTTCTTAAAATTTTAAATATTCAGACATTAACTTTGACAATTTAATGCTTTGAACTTTTGAAATAAGTAAAGATTTAGAATTAAATTTTTGATGATTTTTGATTCTTTCATAATTAACTTTCTATTTAGTAGAAAAAGACTTCACTCACTCATTCACTCACTCACTCACTCACCCACTTTTATTCATAATTTACAAAAACAAAAATTTATAAAATTTTGTTTCTAGATTATTTATTAACTTTTAACTTAGTAAATCTGTAAGTTTGTGAAAGAAAATATGTAAAATTTTACAATCTAAGAAATTCTAAAAGATACATTATCAATAGCATGTATCCTATTAATAATATCTGATAATAAGTTTTATGTAAAACAGCACGTTATTTTCATCACACACGTTTACATTAAAAATAAATAAAGTTAACTCAATTAATTTATTTTTTAATGCACAATAAGTGAGTTACACTTTGGTAAACAAATAAATTTAATTTAAGAAAGAAAGATAATAAATGGCAAGCAATACTTTTAAATAAATCAAAATTAATTATGCATCTAAAGACAAAAATAAATGTAGTGAATTTATTTGCTAAACTATAACCAAAGTGATATCTTAGCATTATTTTTTCAACAGTGATAAATAAATAGTATAGCGATATAAATTTTTTATATCATGTAAAGTAATTGTTAGTTTTATCTGAAACCAATTCTCAGTTTTGTTTTAGAAACATGAAATTAACACTACAAATAGATTCCTCAAATTATCGATGAATTAGAGTGATTTGCATATATTTCTTAATTGCAAAAAAATCATATTTACTGCATGAAATTATTTACAATTGTGTAATAGAAAGAAAATAAATAAATTTGGTAAGAATAAAAAAAAGTAAAACTATGAAAAATTAATTAAAAGAATGCTAGATCATACATTAGTTAAATTTAACTTTTAAAGAAGTAACTAGTTATCTATTTTTCTGGATAGATTTATGAATTTTCAAATACAATAAAAACATAGAAAATAAATAAATAAATAAATAAAATAATAACTAACCTAACCAACTTAAAATTTATGTTTATTTTTAATTTAAATTCTAAAAATATCAAATTTGAAAAAAATATTTCTTAGCATGCAATTAATTCTTCACTCTCAAATTTTTATTTTTTCATATTTATCAAATAAAGTCGATTAATCCATAAATAGCTTTTAAGTTTATTAGGGCTAACTAAATTTACCCTCTAAAAAGTGGTCTTATTTATTTTCTAGATTTTTTCTCAATTAATTTAGGTTAAAAAAGTTATAAATAAAATGAGCTTTTTACTGTATCAATTTTAGTGAATCTGATAATTAATTAATTTTAGGTTTTATTTGAAATTCTACTTTTGACTATTTCGTACTTTTCTTCTCAATTTCATTCAAAAATACATTTTTATGTTAAAATATAACATGTTAAATTTAATTGCAAATTTAATTTTCAAATATCTTTCTTATTTCTTTACTTCTAACGGATACCAATAATTTTTTATTAATCATTTAAATACCATTCCAAGCAATTTCTTGCTTACCTTCTTATCAATTAATTACCCTTCATAAAATAAATATTTGTTTATTTATTTATTTGTTTTCTTTGCATTTATTCTTTAACTTAACCAAGTATTTATTATTTTATATTTTTTAGCATTATTAGATTCCAAATAAACCAAAATATCAAAAAGAGCCATTAATTTGTCTATCAAAATACTTCATTTATCTTGATATTAATTAATTCTTATTATTTTTTCCAAAAATATCTTTATATCTAAAAAACCAAATAAAAAGAGAAAAATGTTAAATTTATTTTAAAATCTTAAAATATTTTAAAATAATAAATTAATATAATTGATAAATAAAAAAAGAAATATTTTTTATTGTTCTTTATATATCATAATCCATTATTATTTATATTATTTATTAAAAATATTAATTAAGAAAATATTTATATTTTTTTTTTAAATAAAAAAAATAATTAACTTAATTAGAATGAATATTAATTAGAAAGATTAGGATATTAATTAATTATTAAGAAATAACATGATAAAATATAAAATTATGAAAACAAAATCCAAATTAAACGAAAAATCAATAGAATATATTTATATTTTAGCTATAAGTAATATATAAAACATGATTAATTGCATGCATATCTTCTGATTTGTCAATATATTGAAATGAATATACAAAGAATTTTGTTAAAAATATATGGAGATTATTTTTGTAGACTTTCTCTCTGTTTAGGTGATTTTAAATTTCTTTTTGGCAAGAAATTTATTTTTCATTTTTAAATATTATTGGACTAGATATCATTAAAAAAAATACTTTTTTGAGATATTTCACTTTAAAATGCCTGTAAATGCAATAAATTCCTATGAAAAAGGTAGTGTCAAGAGATAAAAAGCCCTAGCCATTTTTAAATTAGGAACATCATTATTAATTTACTTATCTTGATTTTAAAATAGTAAAAAAATTTACTTTCATTTTGGTAAACCTATCTTTATATTTTTATAATAAATTTCGAAAGAAATTACATCTTTTGTGATAGAAAAATAAATCAAGAAAGACATACTTGTAAAAATTCTTTTGGAAATTGCGTTTTAGATTTAGGTAGATAGCTAAATCAAAAATTAAAAATGAGAAATAATAATCAACATACTCTTAGTAAATTTCCTTGGTTCTATTGTTAGGAGTGGGATTTTGAAACTTTTAGAATTTGCCTTGAGCAATTAGGCATAAGCGACTAAATGATTAATACAATCTAAATAAACTCAAAGGGAGTTTAAAATATTTTAAACGAAATAAATAATTAAAATGCATTAGAATTCCTAAGAAATACTCCGCTTTTTGACCAATTTACAGCATGTATTTAATATTTTTTTATTCTTAATAAATTTTTTATACTTGAGTTTTGTTGAAAAAATAATGATTACTTATTTATTTATTTATGATCATGTCTTAATTAGAATTTACACCATGCGAAGAAATTTTAGAATTCTAGGAGAGATTACTTATGGAATGCAATTGCTACTTATATGAGTAATGGAGGTAAGAAGATCTAGAAAAATTCGCTATTTAGTTACAATTAGATATCAATTGGCAACAACATCAAACTCTAATAAAACAAAATTCCTTCTCTTCATCCTCAATTTAATAAAATATAGATACTTTTAACACACAAGATTGCAAAATATATAAACAATGTAATTTTTTAATGTAATTCTTCAAACATAAAGAAATATAAAAAGTAAGTACAATAATTCATATCTTATTTTTTTTAACAAAAGGGATTAAGTATATTGAATAAGAAAATCGAAATACAATACAATCTGAAAGCTAAAATACATAACTTGTCAACACGGATGAATAAAATATAGCTATTGATAATTATATATAAATATTTAGTAATTAGTAGATTTTAGAATAAATTTAACAAACAAGAGATACCCTTAGCTTTGTAAGTGCTACACTTAAAAATGTCGAAATTTTTGTAGCATAACAATAAATAGGTGTTAATGTAGACATCCAAAAATTTAATCTAAGCAATAGCAGCAATATATGTGACTTCTTCGGTTAAGTCAAGTTAAAATCGTTGAAATTAAAGAACTAAGAAGGCATAGAATCAAATCTTCTCCATCTCTAATTTAATACTCTCTAAAAAAATTTATATTATTAAGTATTTAGTGAAAAGTTAGTTATTGGAGACGAGATCTTTATTTAATAATGCTTAATCCACATAGTAGTAACTCATCAATAATACTCAGTTGAAACTTAAACAATGTCTTATACATTAATTTTCTATTTTGAAAAAGAAGGCCGTAATATTGTAATTTCTGTTGATCAAAATGAAGGAGAAACTAAAGTTTTAGGTCGTTATTCCGGAAATAACTCACCAGATATCTTACATTTTACTCATTTAGAAGAGCTAAAGCTTGATAATTTAAGCAGAAATTTAGCTCTGCTAGAGGTTAAAAACTAAAATCTTTATATTAGATGGTAACAAATTATGCATACATATTTATTTTTATTATTTTCAGTTATTTTTAATTAATTTATTATTAAAATAATTTTGACTTAAATGAATGAATTAATTAATTAATTAATTAATTTCCATTTATCATATTTATTTATTTATTTATTTGTTTTTTTTTGATTAACTAAAATTTAGGAACTATAAAAAAGGGAAAAAAATATGGAAAAGAATCAAGTAAAATAACTTGATTTTAGTTTAACCTTTTATAAATATTAGATGTAACTCAATAAATTCTATTATGATATTCCAAGGACTTAATAATTAATAAATTTCAAGCTAAAATAGTAAGGAAAATCACCAAGTTCCACCTAAAATTGAAATAAATTAATTATCAAAATACTCAACCAGGATTTAAAAATTTGACTTTTCCTTAGGAGAATAAGCCAAGTATTTTGAAATCAATAGCTCTAAGTCTGTAGATAAATTTATAGAAAATTATGAAAATGGTCAAATAATAAACGATTAAATCGAGCAATACTTTCCAAATATTAGATACTTTTTTAATGCTACAAATGATAATATTTAACATATCATTAATAATATCAGTGATTAGTGATAAGCAAAATCTAAAACAAACAACCTATATACTAACTATTCCTACTGCCAACTATAAATCCAATCAATCAATCAAAAAATAAAAAACTAAAAAACTAAATATAAAGATAAATAACAAACTAATTAGGTTATTTATTTATTAATTATTTTATTTTGATATTAAATAACAAATTTAATAACAAAAATTTAAAAAAACTATTTAATATATTAAAAATATAAAATTTATTATTAAAGTTCCTTTGTGTAATTCTATTATTTTATTATTTCTATCTACTTTTCTAAAATTTAATATTTTTTTTTAAAGCATTACTTAATTAGCTTTAACTTGATGTATTTATCAATCAATTATCTTTCCATTTTACAAATAATCTCTTCAATTAAAGATCAAAATCTAATTAATACATAATAATCAATAAAATATTAGCTTATTCTTCAGCAAAAAGATATGTTCTTTAATCAAACAAATAAATAAACAAAAAAACAAGAAAGAATTTAAAATCTCTTAATAAATCTTGCAAAAATCAACAAATATAATAATGCTAATCTTATAATTTTTGGATATTATGTAATACAATTTTTCTAAATCATTAAAGAGTTTTTAAATTAATTAAAAAATGTAGATATAATCTATTATTAAAAAAAGAATAGAAAACCTATTAATTTACATCTATTATAAGGAGTAATTATCAAATATAATAAAACAGACCTATAAAATAATAAGGTTCTATATACTCATTTAATTTAAGATAATGAAACTAAAAAGCAAAGTGGTTATTTGTTTGATTTTTTCATTTATCTATGAATGAATCTTTATCTTAATACTAGTTTTTTATTATTTTTAAATTATATTCTATTTTAAAAAATTAAAGAATTTTATTTTAAATTATTTATTGCTTCATAAAATAATTTTAAATAAATATGATAGATGATTATTTATCTTCATAAATGTTAATATACTTTGAAAAAATATATCAACTGAAAATAAAATCACAACCATTCTTTTTAATAATAAGGATAGCTTAAATACCTTTTGTAAAGTAAACCAATCAATTAGTTGCTTGGTTAAATTTAAGAATTAGGTTTCTTGAAAAAATAATAAAATGTGATGTGAATTAAAATATAAGAAATTAAATTATATTCACATAAATTTTAATTATAGTATGTCCATATATTTGGATGATTGTATTTATTCATTTATAAATCTATGATTGGTGGTTTGAGTGTGTGAGTGAATGAATATATGAAAATACATAATACACTGCTGTTTATTAATCTAAATATCTCAAGTAAAATTTAATAAATTGATTAATTTGTAGATTAGTAATAAAAATTAAGGACAATAATTAGTAAGTAAATTTTACATTGCTTGTAATTATTTTGAATAGCACTTTCTGTGGAATAAGGCAAAGTTGGAAGCATATAAATTAGCAAATAAAGAAACAAAGTTGTTAAAAACATGCTTAATATATCTATTTTCGATGTGACTTACTCTAACTATGGTAAATATTTGGAGTCAAATGTTTTTATGCAAAAGCAGAAATAGAAGTAAAGAAAGCAAAGAGAAAACGGTGAATTGGTAGATAATTAATAATATACAAAAAATAAGCATGCAGCTTCTGTGAAATCTAACAATTTTCATTCAACAAGTGTTCCAGGTTCTACAATGAATGCTAAGACTGTTTCTTTTGCTAACCAATAAGCTAAAAAAAATCCTTTTTTTTCTTCATAAAAAAACCAAAATACAACGTTAAATATGTCTTTTGGTGGATCCGTTGGAGTAAAAGACAATAAAAACATTTTAAATTAAACTTATATGAGCAGCTAAGGGTTTTAATGTGATAGACCAAGGACAACTTCATTGGGTACTGCAGTTTTTAGGTCAGTTGAACGTTCCAAAACACCTGGATTTTATCATTTTTTCCATAGAGAAAATCTTTCAGAAATAAAATATTAGCCTAAATATGATTTAATATCAGAAAAAGCACCAGCCTTTTCAATTTCCAAGGCTGCTTATGAGCGTATGATCGATAATATACCTCAAAAAACAGAGCAACCAAGCAGCGATATGGTTCCTATTTGTAAAAAAAATTTACTGCTGAAAGACGTTTAAGAGCTGGAATCACGAGTTCAATAAGAATAGCAAAAAGATCATCAAGAATTTCAATACAAAAGAGAAAAAGAAATTGAAAGCAAGATGATTACAGATTAAAATAGTCATACTGATATACACAATCATTTAAATTAGCATTCTTAAAATTTATCTAATTCTGAAGTTCCAAAAAGCTCCTAATTGAAAAAGAGGCCATCTAAACTGCAGCCAAATATGTTTAACTTAAAAGAAGCAGAAGAAAAGGTGCCTAAATTTCATTTATAACCCAAAACCTACTATGTCTAAAAGGCTTTAAGATATAAATACAACTAATAAAATTACTCCTCAGCTACCGAGGCTAATTCTCCTTCAAATTAATTATATACTAATTAGTCTTAGCTGGTAAAAAGAAGCAGCATTTCACCAACAAATACAAATTAAAATTTTACATCTGCTGCCTTGCCAAGTTAAAATAATGAGAGTTAAGTAGTGGCAGGCTAACAATAATAGTAGTTACAACGATTATCTATTTAAAAAAGGAGGTCTCTATATGAACCTAAACAAGCTAATAACTGTAATCCACCTTCAATGAATACTTTAAACAACATATAAAAAGATTCTAACCAATTTGGAAAAATAAAAACAGCAAGCTCAAATGAAAAAGCAATAACTTAAACAAAACAAACAAAAATAGTAGCTGTAACAGATGGCTAAACATTGGCATATGCAGAAATGATGAACACAAAAGATTCTTTTTATGGATAATCTAACAAAAAAGGTTTTCATGTCAAACTAGACAAATAAACTAATAGACCAAGCACTGTAAAACGACCAATATCTCAAGACGAGATAAGATTCAATAATTTTTAGTTACTTTCTGTAAAATAAGAAAAAGCACATCCATTTACCTCATATACTTAACGCAAAGTTTTTGAGCCTAAAGATAATGCTCCTTCCTATGATATTCACAAAGTAAGCTTATTATTTTTTATATTTCAACTAGGGGTCGCATCAGTTAGTTGACTCAATACAAAATATTTTTTAAATACTTTAAGCAAAATCAAAAGTTTTTAAAAACTATTTTTTGGCTTAATATACCCCCCTAATTTTAACTTGCAATCAACTAAAAAAAAAAAAATGAATTTTCATTTTAAAGTTTATTTTTAAAAACACATTCGAAGAAATTTGATTTGAAATTTTAATTTAAATAATTTTATTTGTTGAATAAACAAAATTGAAATTAGAATTTTATTAAAATATAAAAATAATTAAGTAAAAATAAATAAGTGATATTGTTAAATAAAAATAATTAATTTTATTAAGTAAAAATAACTACTTATATGGATTAAATGAGAATAAAATATTGATTAATTATTTATATTTGATCATAAAATATAAAACTGAATAAGTAAATAATTAATTCAAATAAATATAATAAAATAATTTGAAATTAAACTGAAAAAATTAAAATAAAATAATTCCTTGAATTAATTTGTAAGTAAAAATTAATAAATTAGGAAATTTTAAATTGAAGTGAAAAGTTTTGCAATTTTAATTAAAAGATATTTTAAATTTAAAATTAAGTTAGATAGATGTTGCATATATATTAATTATTTATAAGCATTTTAAATTAAAATTATTTTACTAAATAATTAAAAGGTAAATTATGATAGGCTGTTAACTAATGATCATCATAACAAAGGAAATGTTTAATTGAACTTGAAGCCTGTTAACAATATACCAATAACAAAACATGAAATAGAAAATTAAAATTAATATTCAAATTTGAAGAACAATGAAGTTTTAAATGCTAGTGTAAGGTTAGATTATCCTATGAAAGAAAGAGCATACTTCAAATAATCAGGAGTAAAAAGACCCTATACTGTTAATTTTGGAAAATCATCTCCAAGAAAAAGAAATTTGTTTCCCAAGCCAGAAGGTACATTTAAAGATTATGCAGGAGGTGTCCAAACTGAAGGAATAGATTTAGGACCAGCATTTAATAGTGGAAGATAAAGCTTAAATCATACTATAACATTTTATTAACCTGGTGAAATGTCTTCTACTAATCGCAATAATAATCAAAACAATAACTTAAGTTTTAACTTGTGAAATTAATTTACTTTCAAATTACTTTCTTTTTAATATTTAATTTAAACTAAATTTAAAAAAATTACTGAGTATATTGCAATTAGTGATGGGTATAATCAATAATAAGATTTTAAGACTAACTTTAAGAAGATTGTCTATCTATCTATAGTCATGCTAATATGCATTTTTAAACAATTAATAAGTTTTATAACTTGTATAAATTCGTTATTTATAGTTAAAATATTAATATATTAAGTACTACAATAAAAGAATCAAAATTGTTTCTCTATTTTGTCTAATTTTTAGTAAATTAATTTATATTTTTAAAAATAAAAATATTGAATCAAAAACAATAATATTTTTATTTTATTACATTACATTATGAATATAAAAATAATTACCGTGGGTACATACGCATATTTAAGGAGAATTTCTATTTAAGGAGGAAAAATTTTGAATTTTTATATAATAAGTTACTATTTATTTGTTAAAAAATTGCTCTTTTTTTAAGAGGTTTTAAAGTATTTTTTTATTTTTTGGTTTATTATGTTAAAATACACCTTTCATAAAAAAAGAATTGGGTTTTTACAATTAATTATAATTTAAAAAATGAAATTCTTATCTATAATAAAATAAAATTTAAATTGTAAGATTTAATTTAATAAATGATAATTAGGTTTTTATATTACACTATAAAAATTTTTTTAATTTGTTTTATTGAGTAAAACAAATGTTTGAATGTATTATTGAGATATATTTTGATTAAAATTTTAAGATAATATTGTTAATAATTTATTTTAAAGTCTTGATAAGTATTATGTAAATAATAATTATAAGAATAAATAAAATAAATATCTGTAAATAAATACAATTTATTAACTTAAAGAGATTAAATAAAACGATTTTTAATCTTCTTTAAAAAAATTAACAAATTATTTTTATTTAATTTACAAAATATAAACTTTTTAATTGTGATTTATTTGACTATAAAGAAAAATTATCCTCTAAATATTTATTTATTTGCTCCTCAGTGTTTGAAAGGACGTTTTTCAGGTGCTGAGGGTACATAATTTATTGGTATAGGATCTTATGCTAGCTATTTGATGTTAGGATTACGTATAAATTAGTATTTCTTATTATCTCTGTTAGCAAGATCTACCTTTTAGAAAACGATTACTCTATAGCAGTGAGAGATTTCCCAAAGCTCTGGATCGATTGAAGGATGATCATTAGTAAACTTATCCAAACCCATAGATTTAAAAAGGTATCCGTATTTATTTCTGTAATTTTTATAGAATTCTATGAAGTTAAGGTTTTCTTTAACAACTAATGAATATTCCATAGCTAATTTGTTAAGATTATTCAATTCAACAAGGTATTCAGGAGTGTATTTAATTTATCCAGTTGCTTCATCTTTTTCACCAACTGCATCTTGTAGATAAAATTCATATTTTAAACCGTAAGGTTTTCCGACAGGAAAATTCAAATTCTCAAATGCCATAGAGAAGTATTTGTTTCCAAAGGTATATTTGTTGTTAGTAGAGTCAAGCTTACCTCTAGAACGCATTTTTTTTACAATTGCATTTGAATCAGAGCAAGTAACAAGCAGATAGCCTTAGTCATTTAGTCTCTAAGTGGCATTAGAAAAGAAGTTTCTAGCATGCTGTTCACTGCCAAACATGTAATGCATAGCCATCTGGCAACTTACTATATCAAAGAAAAACCTCTTGGATTTATCTTAATCTTTATCTTTATCGTGAATGTGTTTCCAAAACTCATCAGTAGATGCTGAACCATCTTTTTAGTAAAATCCATACTTAAATTTTTTGTAATTCCAGTGTGGAGGTAACTTTTCCATAATATCTTTAGTTCTACGAGAAGCTTCTTTTAAAGAATTAAAAGAAATATCAACACCCACATACAAGCCTATATCAGCATGAAGCCATTTCTTCAAATCACCACCCTAACCACATGCAATTTCCATGACGAAAAGCTAACCTGTTTCTGTACGGAGATCTTCTTTTTTTTTAATAATTTGCTTCATATCATCAGAATACTTCTTAATAATCACACTCTTAATCCAGTTATGAAAGTTACGTAATTCCGCAGTTTCAAGAACTGAACGAGTGAGAACAGTTAGCGCTTCCTTCTTTTCATATCCTGATTGAATAGTTTTTTATTGCTCTGTTACTCTCTAATTAGTTACTTTATCAATAACAACATTTTAAGGTGCAGAAGAAGGGCCTTCACTTTTTTTATTACTTTGATAATTGCTATTATTGCTGCTAGTTTTTTATTATTTTTTTGTTGCTGAATTCTAATTTCTTTACTACATAGTTGATCTTTTTTTTTCTCCACTATTGTCATGCCTTTCTCTTACTTACTACATTGTCTTACGTTCTTAGATTTTTTTAACATCATTTTATTTATCTTTATGAATTTGCTTCTATTTTTATGGTTTCTTATTGCTATCATCATCATCGTCACTATCGAATATATCAGAAAGTTCTGCATCATCATCATCAGAGAATTTATTTGCTTTTGATGCACTTTTTTGCTATTTATTCACTTTTTAATTATTTGATTTTATGTTTTAATTGCTTTCACTATCTGAAGGTTATGACAAAAATTCAGGTTTATCATCTTGTTCAATAGAAGCTTATGGCTTAAATTTGGGGGAGTTTTCATCTTCATCGAAATTTAATCCATCAGATTCATCCTCGCTCATTTTTATTTCAATCAAAAATGATTTTCTTGCTAAAATAAAAATTTGTTTGCTAACAACTCTGATAAATAACTAAAAGTTTTTTTAGTGTTTTTTTAAGATAATTAAAAAAATATCAGCAATAACTAAAAAAAACTACGCTTTTCAATCGATCAAAAATAAAGAGTGTCTAATAATAAACTTATTCTTTCTTCTAATAAAAATGATTAAAATTATTTTTAATTTTTTTGGGAATCTAAATTAATTTTTTACTTAAAAATTAAATAAAAATTATAATTTTATTTTTCTCGAATTAATCTGCATTTTTTATTAAAATGCTATTTTAAAGTAATCTAAAATAATATTTAAAAATTCTAAAATTAGTATTTTATCTGTTTATTGATTGTAAATGTTAGCTAAATCTAAGTAAATTAAATTAGATTTAATAAATTAAAAAAAAAAAAGTATTTTTAATTGAAATTGTATTATTTAATGTAAGAAAAATCAAATCTTTATGAATTAATAAATTAGGCAATGTAGCTTTAATGTGATGCATAACCAGGTTAAAATCTCCTAATTTACAAATTCTAATAGTAAATTATAAAATTAAATATATGACATAGATTAATATTATAATTAAATCAATTCATTGAGTGTTTGAACTAAATATTAAATTTCTGATTTAAAAAAAATATAATCTGCAAATCAATAATAGAATTGCTTTTGTTTATCAAGTGATCAATATATATGAGTAACAAATAATTAGACAGACCATTCGTTTACTTTATCTTAAAATGCATGATTAAGTAGCTAAATATAATCTTTTACAAATAATTAAATAAAATTTATTATAAAAGAATTCTATGAATAAAAAGCTAAATAATTATTGTTTTCCTTAATTTTTTTACCAAAGAAGATTTTGATTTTAGTTAAATTTTTAGTATTTATTTAAATTTAGATATCTACCTCTAAATAAATTTTGCTTTTTTCTGCAACGTTATTAATAAAATTAATTTTAGAAAAACTGAAAATTTAGTAATTTTATTTAATATTTTATTTCTTGAGGGAAATACAGAAAGAGTGTTTTACTCAATCAATGAAAGATTTGATCAACCAATTGGTGAGGCGCACGTATATTTTAATTAAATACTATTCAAAATTCGTACATTAAGTTTGAAAATTTCCGGATTTATTTGATTAAAAGTTACAGTTGTTGAGGAAATAAAAATCTTGACTGAGGATATTTAATAGTATAAGAAACTTTCTTTATTCTAAAAATATTAAAATTAGTTTGATTGCAAAAGTTAAGTTAAGAGCAGCAAGCAATATTTGTATTATGGTATTATTTAGATAAGGAAATTTACTATATAATAACTAAAACAAAAAAAAAACAAACAATTAAACCAATCTACAAATAAATAAATACATTAATAAACAAAAAAATCGTATTATTCAAGCAGTCAAGCAATTAATAAATCAATTAATCAATGATGATTATTTTATAGTAATCAAAAATTTTGTACTCAAACAAAATAATTGATGAATTAATTAATTAATTAATAAATAAATATATTAAAAAAATTGTTTGTGGGGTTAAGAAAAAAATTAATTATTATTTTGTTTGTTCGCACACATTATATCTACATCTAAGATTTTGAAAATAATATCAACAATAAACAATTAAAAAATAAATAATAAGCTTGTCCAACCAAGCAAGATAGGAGGAATTAGCGTACATAGTAAATATAGTTCTCACTAAAAATCAAAAGGAAAAGATATTCAAAGGAAGGGATATTAAGTTTCAGGTTCAAATAAGCAAGTTCGATAATGGGAAATTGTAAAATTAAGAAACCATGTCATGACACTAAATTAGTTTAGATATTTTTTATCCCTTGGATGATTATTTTTTAATCATTTAAGAATTTTAGAGAATTTTAGTCATGCATGCACTTGACTTAAAAACTTAGATAAAACCAGTTAACATTATTTTAAATCTAAAACAATTAGTATGCTAAACAAAACCTTAGATATAATAAATAGAGAAGATAGAAAATCCTCCTGAAAAAGAAGTATTTACCTTGATCACAGAGAAAAAATATTAATAAGTAATATTTAAGCTCTATGATGGAAATGCAATTAAATATTAAGCTGATGGATTAAGTAAATATTTTACAAAAAATGGCAAATTTTCTTTAAAAAAAAGCTGAAAAACGCATTTAATACTTTACAGAATAGTGGAATATTAATTGAATTGAAGCTTTTTCACCTCTATGCCCTATTATGATATAAATTTATATGATCACTTATAATAATGATAAACTTACCAATTTCTACTTATTATAATAGTAAATGCCAATGAAAACCCATACTTTGTCGATAATCACTCTTTAATGGTAAACACTAAGTAAATAGTTTTTAAGTCTCTGAATTTTTCTAAATCCATATTATTTTAAACAAAGAAAGGAACTGATTAACTAAATTAGCTAAAAAGATCCATGTATTAAATGTTACTTTTGCAATATTTAATTATCTAAGAAAGATTACATTAAAAAACTTGATTAAATTTTACTCTATCATTTATATAAATAATGAATGAGAGTAATTAGGGTTATAAAAGCAATCAATCAAAAAAACAAATAAATAAATGAATTCATACCAACCAACTCTTAAATTAATTTAAGTCATCTTATTTTAGTCTTCATGCTATTCTTATAAAAAAGTGAATCCAGGAGAAGCCAGCTACACATCAACAGGATTACCAAACTTAACTTATTTTATTCATTGCTGTCTTCCATCTTGGTAAGGAGGATAAGATGTAAAAAATTACAAATTTTATTAAATAAAAGAATTTCAATTCAAAGATAAAAGCTAAATGAATTTGAACTAAAATTTATTACTATATATTTTAAATAAAGTGAAAATCATATAATTTGCTAATTAAAAGTAACCTAGAAGTTTATTGCTATTTATTCCAAATAAATATGAATATAATCAGCTTATTAAAATAAAAATATAGAAATTCATTTCAAATTAAAAGTATTTATCATCATTGACTTACCTTTTATTGGAAATTAAATTTTAAAAGAAATGCTAAAGTGTCAAAATAAAATGAAAGCATTTAATTTTACAAAAATTGTTTGGTTACTAAAATTAAAAAGGAGATATGCACAAATTTTAATTTAAATTAGAAAGAAATAAGCAACTTAACTCGAAAATCAATTTTAATTTTTTAAAATTGCTTTTATAAATAATATTAGAATCAATTAATTAATTTCATTTAAAATTAACGTTTTAAGAATAATTCATAATCAAATTTTAATAAAATAACTAAAAAGGATTAATAATTACAAAAATGATTTATTTTAATGCCAATTAATTTTAGAAAATGAATTGTTGCTTATCTTAAAATTTAATTTAATGAGTTAATCTTATTTAATTTTTAAGAATTTTTAATAAAAGATTTTTAATTTTTAATTTAATTTTTTTTTTTAAAGGGTGGAAAGAATGAATTATATTACTGCATACAAGCTTATTATAACTCGTAAGTTAAATTTAATAAAAATTATTAAAGTTAAATAAATAATTTGAATAAATGTAAGATTTAAAATTGCTAATGAGTTGAGTATGAAAAAAATTGTGTTTACTGACCAAAACACAAGTTTGTAATAAATTCCTAAGAATTTGAGTGCTGAGGCTTTTATCAAAGCAGCTTTAAAGTAAAATTGTTATTAAGAAATGTGTAAAGATTCAATTAAACACATTTTAAATAGATTTATAAATGAGAATTAAGAATCAGAATTAGAGGAAGTCATAATAATAAATAAGAACAAAGTTTCAGTAAATTGAATTTTTAACATTAATCTTTGAATAAAATTGACTTATAATTTAATAATAGAATAATGCTATGAAAAATTAAATTAACGGATAACTCTCTGTAGATATGAATGACGAGCTTAAATAGATGATTATACACAAAGAGAGTGCTTTTTTAGATAACACTGAGAGGTCAATAAGAGAAACATTTAATAGAACTGACACACTTTCAAATGCTGACCATAATCATAGTATGGTTAAACAAAATAATAACAATTAAATTTTAACAGATGAGTAAATGAAAGAAATCAACCAAGTTTGAACTATAGTTTTATTTAGTACATAACCAAATCAACAAAAAATCAAGCAAGCAAGCAAGTAAGCAAGTAAAAATAAATAAATAATAATAAGTAAGCAAACAAATAGATATAGATATTTTATCATTTTTAATTTGTTTGTTTAATATATTGTAGAAAGGATTTTTAAAAAATTGAAATAACTAAAAATATAAATAAATTCAATCAATACTATACAAACAAACAGTTTTGAAATAAAAGCAATTAGATTATTTAATGAAGGAATGAATAAATGAAACATAAGATTTATATAAATTAAAGAATTAAATTAAATATGAGTCATATAAATAACAAAATTTTATTATAAATAACATTTTATCTATTTTTCTATCTATCTCTTTACATACATACATGTAAAATACTTTAATTTCGAATATAAAATTTAAATATCTCATTTGTTTATTTTGTTTTATCATTCAACTAATCAAAATCAATCATTTAGTAAATTAAATGTTAATCAACCACAAAATTTTTTAAAGTGCTTCAATAATAACTTTGCAGACTATAAATAAATAAATTGATGTTAAAAACTAATAATTAAATAAATACTTCAATTTTTTTTGCCTATAATTTAAAAATCTTATTTAATTAGTAATCTAAAAGATTTATCATTTTTTTTAATAAGCTATGAGTCATATTTAAATGAATTAAAATGAATCTAATTAAAAGAAAAATATGAAAATATCAATTATGATATGCGGCAACTAAGCAGTAGGAAAAACTTCAATAATTGGATATTATATCAATGGTTCCTTTAAAAATAAGTATAATGTTACCCCATAGTGTGAATATAGCATAAAAAATGAAACCATTGATTAAGAAAATGTTAATGTTTAAATGATAGATGCACCTGGAATGCTAAATGTAATTGATATAACAAGACAACAAATTAGGTCAGCTGATGGATATATATTTGTTTATGATATTTATGATCACGAATCATTTAAGAATATTGATATATGGGTATAATAGATCTAATAACATAAGAGTGAGTTCGAAAAGTGTAAGTGCTTGCTAATTGGAAATAAGGTAGATACAAGGAAAAATCCTTCTGAAGGTATTAGCTATGAAAAAGGTTAGGAGAAAGCAAAAAACTTTAATATGAATTTCTTTGAAACATCAGCTAAAGAAGGAACAAGTATAGTAAGTGCTATTAGAGGTTTAGCAATTAATATTTATCACTAAAAAAAGGATTGTATTTTAAAGTAATAGAATATCTTACAGGAGTAATAAAAAATATCAGGGAGCTCAAATGATTTAAATATTGATGAAAAATTCTTACTCAATAATAGTAGAAATCGATAGCCTAAAAAAAATTGTTGGTAGAAATTTAAATCTTGTTTTTGAATATGATATCTACAGCAACAAACTAAAACAATATTTTTTGAATTTTTAAAAACATAAATACATGCATGCTTAATTAACTGTTATGACTCTTAAGTAATTTAATTTTGTAAGAGAAATTAAATAAAGGTGACTTGTTTATTTGTTAACTTGCTAGAATATAAAACTATTTTTAAAATAATTAATTAAATGTATTTATATTGTTTATTATTTTTTTAAAAGCGAAAATAAAATCAATTTTAAATTTTAAAAATAAAGAGTGATATTTATTAAAAAGCAAATATTGAATTAACTAAAAACTATTTTATTATATTTTATCAAATATTCTTTTTATCTATTATTAATGTAATTATTCTTTAAAAATAAATACAATATATTACATAAAATTGAATATATGGATATATTCTAATTAAAATATTTAGCATATTGAATACAATATGATCTTGAGAGAAAGACTCGTTTAGTAATTATTTAAAATAAATGCAATTTTCATATAAGTATTTTATTTATGACGAATTGTATCAAAATGTAGAAAGAAAAAGAAAATATAATTTTGATAAAAATATAATAGAAATATTATTTAGATTAGTTTATTTTATATTTTTATTTTATTTGAAGTTGAATTATTTATTAATTAATTATTTCTATCAAAATAAATGTTTGTTTTGATTGATATTTAATACTTATTGATTTGATTAAATTCGCAAAATTTTAAGATTTTTTTAGTACAAAGTCATCAATCAGTATTAAAATTTACAGTAAAATAAAATTACAAAAAAAGCGTAATAGATGAAGCAAACTTGCGTTGTTCCTGGTGGAAAACCAGCTTAAGCTAAAGTAGAAATTTGGAAATTCTCAAAAATATAGCATTTTACTAGTTGAATAGATCACTAAATATTTCATTTATAAAAATAGTTTGATATGGAAACGAAAAAAATTTTAGAAAGCTATGAGAGAGAATTTGGTTGCGACGAAACAGATTTTAAGCCTAAAACTTAGCAGCCACCTCTATTTATTAGGGGAGGAGTTCAAGGATCAGATGTAAGAATTAAATTGGCAATTTAAAAAAAGAAAAAAAGAAAAATGTTTATTATTTTGTTCAAACAAAATCATTTTTATTTAATAATATTAGAACAAAGTCACAGAGAATGTTGAAAAAGGGTCTTTTTATACACCAAGCACTGTAGAAAGTTTAAAAAAAATATTAAAATTTTATTAAAAGCAATTGATTAATTAAAGATGGTGATCAAGCATTAGAGAACATTAAAAAGCTAATGCTTATTTATTTATTTGCCAATCTTAATTTAACAATTTATCAATTAACAAATAATATTTATCCTCAGCAATTTGTTTGTGAATCAATCAATTAAAACTTCAACGCAACATTAAAATTTTAAAGCAGCTATAAAAGTAAGCCGAAAATGAAGAACTTAATATGGTCAATGAAGAAGAACTCAATCCTTATCTTAAGTACGAAAATATGAGCATGAGTATGAAGAAAAGTAATTATTGATCAATTTATTCATTCATTCAATTTGTTTGTTTTTATTGTTAGTCATTCAATATTGTTAAATATTTTAAAAATGTAGATGAAAAGACTAAAAACTAAGTAGACGAGTTCTTTTCTCATCTGAAAAACAAGAACGTAAACAATTATTTTACATTGCCATTTCTACCAAAATTAAGAAAATAACATTCAACAAATTTTGTTTAAACCCTTTAAAAATAGTAAAACCCAATGTAGTTGCAATCGAGGTCTAAATCTTCTACTAAGCCTGAATAGAGTAAATTTTTGCTAATTTACTATCAATATTAATTTATTAAATAATTATGTCTAGAAATGCCTATTGTCAAAGAAATGGAAAAAAGAGATTTATTTAAAGAGTCTGCATACGATTCAATTGACAATGTCAAAAGATATTAGTCTCATGTGTTTACAGACAAGAGTATCCCAACTCTCTGCTTATGTAAATAAATACCCACTCATATTTAAAATTAATCTATTTGCTTAAGTAATTTTATCTAAAACCATTAGAAAACCTAGAGCTTGAAGAGGATGAGACTTATCTCCTTCAAATATTTTAAAAGTATGGCAAGATAAAATTTATTAAAAGAAGAGCAATCTACTTCCCTGAATAACTTGTAAGTATTTCATAAAATTATTTATAATTTAAAATTTTTATTTTGAGTTGAATGTAAATATGTAAAATTCTATTCAAAATCCTAAAAATCAAAATTATTTTAATTGAAAACGAAAGAAATATTAACTCAAATTGAATTTTTTATTTTTAAAATTAAAATTATTCTTATCAATTTTAAATAAATAAAAAAATAATTTATTTTTCTTTTAAAATTCAAAAAATAATAAACAAACACTCATAATTAATTTATTATTTTTGGAAAGAGATTTACTTGAATAAAAATAGTATTTTCTATTTACTTAAACTAGCTACCGATTTATTTGCTATAATATTTAATTTTAATTTTAATTAAAATGTTAATTTAAAAAATTAAAAATTACTTTTTATTTTCTAATAAATATTTCCTAAAAATCAAGAAGTGAAAATATATTTTACTCAAATTTCAAAATTTTTTTAATTTTTAATAAAGTATTTACAAAGTTTCTTTATTTTTAAATTAATTTTTAAATGTTAATAAAAATAGGAAGCTGAAATTCTTGCATATATTTCATACGAAGATTTATCTTCAGCTAAAGCTGCAATGGAAGGAGTACTTTAGGCAAATCCTCAATTAAAATTTACAGTGAGGTATAAAAAGCATTTTATTTAATTTAGGATTGATGTTTAAATTTTTTATTATACTTTTAGATACGGCTACGAACCAGAAAGCGAGCTTGGAGATCTTTACAAGGTAAATATTATTTGAGTTTAAATAAAATGTATTTTTTGACATACATTTAATATTAAAATTAAAATTTATAAAATTAGATGCTAGCTCATCAATATCAACAGTTTTAATTTGAATTTAAAATTTAATTCAAATGATTAATTAATATTCAAATGATATTAAAGAACTTCCAATTTTGAAGCTGACTCAAATACAAGATTCAATGAACAACTTAGCAAAATTTCAGTATTCCAATATCCCGAGTAAGGAGAAGAAAAGATCATTCACATTGAGCCTCCAAAAAATGAATTTATACGTAAATTAGTAGACAAAACAGCTAAATATGTTATTCAAGTAAATAAAACTTTTTTATAATGCTTAGAAATTATATTTAATGATTTTATTTATTATTTAGGAGGGATTTTGGTTTGAAGAAAAGCTTAAAGAATCTGAGAAAAAGAATAAAGAATTTGCATTTGTTTTCATTGTAAATATAAAATATTTTTTTTTAATACATGTTTGCCATAATTTTATTTAAATTTAAAAAGAACAATTGCTACGAGCACCAGTATTATAAATGGAGACTTTATTCACAATCATAGGGCGATGATGAAAAATCCTGGAGTATGGACCCATTTAAACTATCTACAAATGGACCTATTTTCTATCCACCCTATACAGAAGAGTATTTATTTCATTAAGATATATTATTTATTGTTTTATATAATTATTTAAACATCAAAATTTATCCAAAAAGTGTTATATAATATTTTTATTAAGAAGTTAAAAAACTTATTGAGGTAAATTTCATAAAAAATTATTTTTTTAGCAGCTTGATAAATTAATTAAGAATCTAAATAATCTAAAAAATAACTGAAATTATTCATCAATTAAATTAGCTTGTATGGATTATTATGGTAGAAAATAACCAAAAAATAAATAAAAATTACTAATTTATTAACTAAATAATATTAAAATAGTTTAAATTATTTATTTAATAAGTTTCAAAATCAAAAATTATAAAATAATTGTTAAATCAGTACAACTGAATTAGGTTATTAAAATTTGAATTAGAATTGTTTAAAAATTATAAGATAAATTAAAAATTTACAAAAATATTATAGGTGATTGCTAAAATTAATAAATAAATAAATAAATAAATAAATAAAAATAGTTTAAATTACTAACTAATATTTATCATCACAATACCAAACTAAAATAGAGTTTATTATTTTTATAAAATATTTAAAAAAGATAAAAATTATTTAAATTATTATTATTTTTATTCACATAAGTCACTGCTTGATTTTTATTGTAAAGATATAAATTTTAAGAGATATGATAAGATGAATGACAAAAATTTATATTTATTCAAGTAAAGATAAGCAAGCAAAGAATAACATAAAATAAATGAAAGAAAATTACTAAATCTCTTTTAATAAGTTGCCTTATTTATTAATAATAAAATAATTTAAATAGGATGTAGAAAGAAAGAGAAAAAAGGATATCTAAAAGAACCCCGTAAGGTCTATCTCCTATTCCTTTTAAGGAAAGAGATGAACTAGAACAAACTTTGAGATAGCTGAGCTGTTTAAAGACGTCAATTGCAGATGCTATGATTTTAGTTATGGATCTACATAATTCTGCTGCAGATGTAGTAAATACTATCTACTAAGCTTGTCTATGCATGAAAAATAACATGAATTAAATGGTAAATTAGTTATTTAAAGGTTACAGTTGTAATTTTATTGGACGAACAATAAATAATTAAGCAAATTTAAGGCAAGATTGTTAATACGAAATAATAGAATGCAATTAATTAGAAATTGTGTTGTTAACCTATCAAAAATTAATTAGCAATAATAATCCAATATTTTTGTAGATAATTATATCATTATTTGATAGAAAAAAAACTTATATTAATTAATTAATTCAGTATTTATTCTTTACAACTTTTTCAGTGTAAAACATTAAAGTGTATTTATTGGTTGATTCTCCTAAGCAATATTTAAAAACAATCAATAATCGACCTTTTAATTAATCAATTTCAAATTTATTAATTTTCTCACTTACTTACTTACTGAATTACATATAGATTGCTTTGGTTTATTTGATTTCTGATGTCTTGCATAACAGTTTTTAGATTGTCTGGTAATTTCGTTTGTATCTTGAATGGGCTCTGCCAGATATTTTGGAGGTTCTAAATTACACTTACAGATATAATTTAGAGAGAGATGCAATTGGGGCACAAAACTTTAAAGAGAAAGTACTTCGTGTTTTGCAGGTGTGGAATGACTGGGCTAATTTCGATTCGAATTATATGAATGGGTTGGAGATTATCTTTAATTCTGAGCCTTTAGATTTTATTTTGCACAAAATGAACTCAGTTACAAATCATATAACCTTTAGATTGTAAGTTTATTGGGAGTAAATTTAATAGATACCTTATGATAAGGTAATTATTTACATATTCATGAAAAATTTTCTATAAAAATATTCCAATTATAAATAATCTTTGATTATTTATTACTTTGAGTCATTAAGCTAAACTAGGAAATTTGATTTTAGTTTAATCGATTATTTTAATTAAGTTAGAAAGAGAGTCTCACAATCAAGGTGTAAGCTCAAGGGGTAGTATCAGATAAATATTCAACCGCTTAATAGTTATTGAGTACTACAGACTTTAAAGACAGCTAAAAGGGAATAGTGAGGATATTCAAAAATTTAGCAAGGAAGAAGCAATTTAGCAGATGCAACGCTTCAACAAGAACGTCATCAATACAGTTGACCATGATTATATGAAAAAGGAGTTAGTTGAAGAGTGGACAAATATTGGTCTCTCTTTGCTAATTTACATTCAAGACAAAAATAAATTTATTGATGAAAACGACATCGATGGATAGCCAATAACAGAATTTGATGAAATCTTCTTAGAAATAAAAAATATTTCAAAACCTCAAGAGCCTGAAGTGTCTAATGATATATTTTAGATCATAGAGGAGGAGAAAGGTGAAGAATACAAGGAATCAGAAATAAACGGTATTCCATTAACAGCAGAAGAAATCAAAAATATTTAAAATAATACCTACTAAGTCATTTCTGAATTTGAAATATCATTCCTCACAAAACCCATACCAGCCTAAAGAGTGCACACAACGCCACTGCAACAAGCATCTTCCAGCTCTTCCAAAAAGCTCTAATCACAAGTAAAAATTATAAATTTGTAAGTAATTTTCATGTATCCTATGTAGATACGAATCTGTAATTTAAAAAATAGCAATATTCAAAAATTTACTGCCAATAAATAGAAAAGAAATTTTAAATTAGATTGTTTAATAAATTGAATGTGTAAACTTTACTTTTAAAAAAATTGATATTGATATGTAAGTACTGTTTTTCAAGAAAGGCTAAATTAAAAATTTACTTAATAAATCAAAACATAACTTAAGATTACAAATTTCGAAAGTAGCAAGTAAAAATTTTTTAGTGGTTTACACATTAATAAAATAAAAGATATTTTCAACCCATCAATTTTATTTTAATTAATTAGCTAACTAGCTAGTTAAATTATTCATTTACTTTTACATTAAAATATTATTAATTATATTTATAGAACCAAGAGGATGAAAGAAAGACCTAGCCAAAAACTACTTAATAGCAGTAATCTTCAAGTACAGCACCTATATAGATTGGATAAAAATATCAAAAGATGAACGTTCCCTCTATTAGCTCTTATAAGTAAGAAAAATCAAACATTTATTCTTAGTCAGCTGCAGGTTTCGCCAGACTTAGAGGAAATAGCAAACGTAATGAGTCTAGTTCATCTTCTAGCTCAAGAAGTAGAAGCAGAGGTAGAAAATAATCAACAAAAGACAATAAAAAGGATAGTAGAAGCAGATCAAAATCCTCCAGAAAAAGTTCTAAAAATTTAAAAAAGGGAGACAGAAAAGGAAAGTATTCTTCAAGTTCCAGCTCTTCATCTTCATCTTCGTCATCGTCTTCCTCTTCTTCTTCTAGATCTAATTCTAAAGACTCCAAAAATAAAGTAATTTAATTTGTACTTTCTTCACTAATTAATAATTAAATAAATACTATTTAAACAGAGAAGAAAAAGTTAATATGATAAAAACTAAAAGAAGAGATGAAAAATATCTGCTAAAAAATTGAGAAAAACAACAAATTTTTATTTATAAGTAGAATTTTTCTAATTTAAAGTATGTTTTTCTTGTGAAGCATATTAATCCATTATTTGTAATTAGTAATTATCAAAATCATTGGTGTTAATTAACTTCATTTATTACCACCAGTCTTAATTTACTGATAACATTTACAAGAATATTAAATTTTTCAAGAAAAAAAACTTTAGAAATTTAAGTTGGAAAATTTAAATTTAATTGATTTTTAATCAAAAACAAAACTATTTTTTGAAATCTATTTTATATTGAATAAAAAAGAAATTTTGATAAATATTTGTTTTAAATTAAAAGTGAATTATTATAATAATAACATAACTTCTTCTTTAATGAGATATTTTATTTAACAGAGTTTATTTTTATTAAAAAATAATAAATTCATATTTTTGGATTATAATTAAATACTTCTTTTAATTCTTTAAATATTTTAAGTAAAAAAATTTATTTTTTTGAAAATGATTGATTTTAAAAGCTTATTTTCATATTTTTTGGATTCAAATATATAAATATTTCATTAATATTTTAGTAAAAGCATAATAAATAATTGTTTTTATATTTTTTTGGTTTTTCTTCTAACTATTTCTCTATTTGGGTTTGATTAGTAAAATAATTCCATTTTTACTGTTTTAAACACTGTAAAATATTTATCAGACAAAGAATCGATAAAGATTTAGTTGAATTTTTAAAAAATTTAAAGAAATTATTGAATTTTTAAATGTTAAGAAAAAATTTGAACAGTTATTAAAGCAAAAAAGATAATAATAATAATTACAAAATAATATAGAAAAATTATAAGCAATTAGAAAATTATACAATATTATATTATTTATTTCAGACTAGCTTAAAAAACTATTTTAACTGTTCTCACAAAAAAGGCAAACAAGCAAGCAGACATAAAATTAAAGAAAAAGGAAATAAAGTTTATAATTATGGCTACATTTGAAGAAGAAGTTAAAAAAGCTTGTGAAAATTGCAAGCAATTGTTCCCTGAAAGCAAAGTTTAATTGCATGAAGCATATTGCTTAAGAAATATCAGAAAATGTCCAAACTGTGAATAGTATGTTGATAAAAGAGAAATGGAAGAACATCAAGAGGAGTTCCATAAGCAAGTAACATGTGAAAAATGTGGAAAAGCAGTAGAAAACCAGACTTTAATGCAGAAACACATTGAAACTTAGTGTTAACTAAGACCTCGCGAGTGTCGCTACTGCAATGTGTTATTTCCAGTTTAAGAATTTGAATAGCACGAATATACTTGCGGCTGCCGTACAAAGGTTTGTGGCTTATGCAAAAAAAACATTTTAATGAGGGATTATGAAAATCACATGGATACATGCGTCGGAATAGTAGAAGAAGATAAAAAACCTGAGAAAATAGAAACAAAACCAAAAGCATCATTACCATACAATAACTAGTAATCATCACAGAATGCTTAACAGAATAAGCCAATAAATTAGAGTGTTCCTAGTGCAATGCCCAAAAATAGTATTAATTAGATTATCAGAAATGAAAGAGAATAAAATAAAGTTGATCAAGAGCAGCAATATGCAGGTTTGAAGAAAAAAAAAGAAGAAGAGGATGAAAGAGCTTAAATAAAGAATTAATATTAGAAAGAGAGTTTAAGTAAACCAAGCAGCATGCCATACCAGGCTTCTTCTTAAAATTAAATTTAACAATAATAGTAATAATAAAAGTTATCTTAGCCTCCATCACAGTCTTCAAAAACTAATATTTAGTCATAGTAGCAATAACGTAATCCTATTCCAACAAATAATTAAGCTTTGAATAACTTAGAAAAAAATAAAATTCCAAATGAGCCTAAACCTTAACTTATTTCTGCCACAAGTTAAAATAAGCCGCAAAGTACCTCATATGCATAGCAAAATGTTTAATAAATTCCTGTTCGCTCTACATAATAACAAGAGAAATAGCTGGTGGACAAATATGGAATAAAACCTCCAAGCTCCTAAGGATAAAGATAGCCATTGGTTGCAAATAAGCAAGATTTACCTTCTTTAAATAAAATAAATTCATAAGGAACTTAAAATTAACAATAATAATAAATTTCAGCTTACTAAATGAGGTAAGATGATATTTATGGTGGTGGTTTAAATAACAAAGTTGAGAAAGACCCTTACTTGTAAAAAAAAGATGATTAAAAACTTAATAACAATATCTATAACAGTAAATTTAGTTCAAATATTTCAGATGCATCCAAATAGAAGAGAGATGATGAGCGTTTAAGAGAAATGAATGAGTTACCAACACAGGGTTATTACGATAACTTAAAAACAATTAAGAATCCAAATTTCGAGTATAAAAATACAGACTACACAAATTAAGATAAATACCAGTAAAAATATACAAATATTAATCAACAGATTAGCTCCTAGCCTCGAACCAATATAACAGCTGACTATAATCAAAAGCCAATTAACAGTCCTTAATATTAAGTACCAGGATCTAACCCTTAAACTAAACCCAAATAGCCAACAATCGAAAAACCATCTTATAGCTCTTAAGCATCTAGCTATCAGCCTTCTCAAGCTAATTAAAAGCAATTACCTCCAAAAGGATAGGTTGATTACAACTAGCCTTCAAGTAAGAACCCACCAACAGGTTATAAAAATCATGAAGAAATTCTAAGAAATGTTCCTTCTTAAGGACTATCAGGAATTCCTAGCTATTAACCTTATACAAAACCAGCTCCTTATTCTTCAAACTCATAAAGCAGTTCTAGTTAAAACTAAAGAGTTCCTAGTAGAGGAAAGTATGATGAGAAGCCTTCTTATCCCTAAAGCTCTTAATAAAATCCAAGTTTGAAAAAACAATCTACCAGTAGTAGTAACAAATTAGAGAGTAATGGAATTGATGACAATGACGAATTACAGAAAGCTATAATGATGAGCTACTAGTAGCAGCAAGATAAATAAAAGTAAGTCTCATCAAATTCAAGACAAAATATGTCAAAACCAGTAATCCAACAAAATAAATAATATGGCAATGAACAAAAACCAAAAAATAATGATGTTGGTATGGTGAATGAAGATGAAGAAATTCAGAGAGCAATTATGGAGAGCATGAAAGGAAATAAGCAAACATCTCATAACAATAAATATACTTAAGAAAAATAAGGAGGACATAAGCCTTCAAAACAACAACAATAACCATTTTATAAACATGAAGGCATGGGCGATGATGAAATTTACGATGAAGAGATGGAAAAAGCCATTCTTTAATCATTAAAAAAATGATTATTAAATTAAAATTAAATACTTTTATTAGCGAGCTAAAAGTAGTTAGTTAGCTGATTAAATAACAGATTTGATGTTTTTTAAATTTGTAAACATATCTAACTAAAAAGATTTAATCAAATTTATAAAAGAAAAAAAATGCTTAAATTAAGATTATTAATAAATTAGCTTACTAATTCTATTTGTTATTTTATGTCGTTTTTTTAGCAAATTAGTTCGAACATAATAATTTTGAAAAAATAGGTTTTTTTATTTTATTTTTTTATAAAGAAATAATTTATGAGACAGAATAATTTACATATTTTTTTAGAACAGAAAAAGATAGTAGATGCATGTGTAAATTAGTGATGAGTACGCTTATATGTGTTTGTATCACATTTTCATTTACTGATTAAAGGAATTTACAAACTGTTCTTTCTTACACTAAATAGATTATATGATTGGTAAATTTTTTGATTTACAGTTGAATATTTATATATTTATTTGAATTTTGCTTGATTGGTTGAGTGATTGGGGTAGGAATTTTTATTGAGTTTTATTATTTAACTTAAATTTGTTCTAATCAGTGCTTGAAAGTATTTCAAAAATTCAAGGTCTTTTAAAAAAAATAATTGAGGAATTCAAAATTTTTTAATCTTTTTTACTTCCTAATTTTTGTTTTCTATAAACTCAGTTTTATTTACAGTAATAATTGAGATATTTAACTTAAAATCTGCGTTTTAGATGGTAGGAGTTAGTTAGTTTTTATATTTAATATTATTATTTTTCGTTTAATTAAAGTCACAAATTCTCTAACTAAATATCAACACACACTGGTTAACTTTTAAAAATGAAAACAACAAAAACATTTTTGAATATGACTTTCAATAATGTAAGAACCTTAAGTAAGTAAAGAGCTAAATATTATAGGCTGAATATAATCAAATTGAGCTTATTAAACAAGCATTTTAGCTATAAACAGTTTTATGCTTGTAATTATGATAAAAACCTGATTAAATATGCTTGCTTAAAGATAATTTGTGTTTATAGACTTTATCTTTAAGATAAACGTATTGTGGAATGTAATCTGCTATTGAAATAAGAATTAATTTCTTGGCAATAAGAAATATAGATAATGAGAGAGAGAGAGATGGTATTACAACTAAAGCAATATAAATTCAAAATTTTTTTGATTAGACTGATTGTAACTCACTTGATAATCAACGATGGATGACTTAGTTGCTTTCTATTTTAAGAATAAATTTACGAATAAGTTAACTACAGTAAATCAGAAATAGTAAACAAATATCAGAAAAATTTAATTATGACATCAACTTCTAAAATTGCTAATGAAGAAAAAATATGCGTACAATTATGTGTAAGCAATAAAATTAATCTTTGATAATTCTCTCCAACTAAAAATCTAAACCCGTAGTTATTTATTTGTTTTTTACAAATAATTTTTTAGTTTAGATTGTTTGGTAGGTTGCTCTTCAATAAGATCACACCTGCTTTTCTTATTATTAACGTTAATGTTTTAAATCAAAATACTTATTTAAATAGGTTCTACTAAGCTTTTTATTCAAATTACTTATTCTTTTAGATTGATATATTAATAGCAATATTGGTTTACTCTTTTCTTATCCTAAAAGGTTTATGTATATATCTATCTTGTATTTTATTTGTATTTTCTTGATTAATTTAATTTAAAGTTAATTAATCTTCAACTCAAAATATCAAATCCCTCATTTATAGCGTATAATTTAACAACTTATCTTAAAATTTTTCTTATGAATTCTTTTAAGCTTGCTCTAATTATTTTTAAATCAATAATGAAGCCTTAAAGCAAAAGGAAAAATAAAAATATCAAAGAGGTTTATTTAATTGAAAAAAACTACTTGCTTTTAAGGTAAATAAAACTTGGTGATTAATTAGATTGCATATGCGTGTAAGCTTATAGCACACTGAATGCGAGTTTTGCTAAGAGATATTAACTAAGGAATTAATTTTAATTTAATCTATTTGAGCTAATAATAGATAGGGTAAGATATTATTGTTTAAATAAATTGACAAATTTAAAAAAAACTAGAAAGTGGTTCTAAATAAATACAAGTTGAGTAAAACTAAAAATATTCCTGAAAGCTCAATGTATTTTATTTTTAGCATTACAAATTTACTCTCTTTAATTAATTTATATGCACAAAATATTTAAATTTTGATGTTTACGAGTATATTCTTTACTCATAATTTAGTTTTACTCTGTTCTAATTATAAAAACCCAACTAAAGACTATTACATAAAATATAAGTAAAGGGGTTGATTTTTTTTTGGTTATTTTGATTGAATTTTATATTGTTAAGTTGATAATTTTACCTCATAATTTTTTTCTTTTTATTCCTCTATTTGTTTGTAATCTATTTAAATTTTATTTTTGCATATAGTAAGATAATCACTATCATACAAATTATGTGTCCAGCAATCTTTTGTTATGTAAATTCAATTAATTTTTTTCCCATTCTACTTTTTTAAATTGAAAACAAGTTGTTCATTTGTTTATGCTTTGTTTTTTTAATTTGAAATGCCTTAATTGATGCTATTACTTTTTGCAATTACAGAAATTTTTAATTAAGGATTTTTTGTTTTCACTTAAATTTCAATCGACAGGCAAAGTAAGAATTTCCCACTTCTCTATTAGATATATTTAAAGTTCTGTATTTTACTAACAATAATAAATATTTATGGGTCATTCATAATATTTGTAATTGAACAATACAATAATTACTGTTAAATATTTTTAAGAGGGGTTCTACTCATCAATCAACTATTAGAAATAGAAATAAATAAAAATACATAATTAAAACATATGAAATCATCTAAAGCTAATATAAAAACTATTAAACATAATTAAGGTCTATATTTATAGTTATAAATTAAATGAAATGTTGTAATATAAATTTGTAATCTTTCATTAATACAAATCAAGTGTTGTTGAGTTTTAGTTTTTTCTGGAACAAATTCTTGTAAAAAGGCATATCGTTATTTATAAATATTTTGATCTATAATTTTTCTTCCAAATGGATTTCACTAGTTATTATAATAAAATTAAGAAAAGATTACTGTTTTAATTATAATAATATCGTTTTATGATTCTAGCATCTTTTCAATATATTCCTCAAATACAAATTACTATAAAATAAAAAAAGATTTACTACTTTAATTAGGTTTTATATCCATATATTTATCTGTCTTTCTTCCTTTTTTTTTTTCAGATTATTATATTACTCACAACTTTTGATTGCTTGAATAGAAATAGTAATTATAAATTCACACTTTAAAAAGTAAAAGTAATTTCAGATTATTTTCCTTAAGCTTCAAAATACTAGCATTTTAAATTTAAGCATTGTATTCAAATTATCTTAAAATACATAAATTAAAATAAATACGTTTTTAAAAAGTTGGCAAAATATTTTTTTTTATCTATAAACAAAGGTTATGAGATAGTGTTTCATTAATTTGAATAATCACTACTCAAAAATTTAAATAATGTTGGTATAGAGAAGCTAATACAATACAAATTGCTATTGTAAAGATGCTGATGTATATATTTTACATCAATAATTCTTTAATTTTTGCGAAGAATAGGTTCTTAATTTAATATTGTCTTTGGTTACTATTTTATAGAATAAAAAAAAATAAGTTAAGCTTTTTTATTATTCTGATTTTGCATTTGACGATTTAGAATGTAGTTTTAAATTATATAGACTTATTTTTGGTCCATCACATATAATTTTTAAATTTTTAAATAGAGTCTTTTTTTTGCTGGCAAATCAATCAATCTACCTTACTAGACTATGAAAAATTGCAAATTGAAAATTTAGATTCTATTGCTAATTTGATTTAATGATGGTTACTTTTTGTAAGTAATTATTTTTTCTCTCTCTCTCTCTGTTCAATATATAATCAAATTCATGCATCAATTTCAATGCTTTTTTGAAAAGCATTTTAGTTTATAAGAAATTAGATTATGAAAAAAAAAAAACTTTTAAAAATCAATCACCCTTTAATTTACTTTCAAAAGCTTTGAAAGAAGTAAAATTTTAATTAGATTGGGTAAGAAGCAAAAAAAAAAAGTTGGTGAGTTGAAATGATGACAGAATTAATTTATGTAAAAAAAATTATTGATTGACTAATTGATTAATATTCAAAGTTGTGATTAATACTATTTGATTTAAAATCTTTTTCTACAACAAAATACGTATAATTAGTAGAATTGTAAGTAGATCAATTAAATTTTTGGATAGATTTTTTTTCAATCCATTCGAGTGTGTTTAATATTTGCTGGTTTTTTAATTCGTTGAACTTTATTTTGATCGATTGTTTCTAAGCAATTTTAATTAAGATTATATTTTAAAAAAGACCATACTAAAGTAATAAATTAAAAGTCTCTTAATTTGTATATGCGTAAGTTAAAGCGACAGATTTTATTGTTAAATTAATTAAATGAATACCGTAATAAAAATGATAGAAATAGCGTATACAAATCAAATAGATATATATTTTTTATATTTCACTAAAAAAGTAATTTATGTTTTATTTTCTAGTTTTCTCTAAACTATGGTCAATATATCGAATCAACATTCTACAATTATTAGCTTTTATAAACAATTTATTAGCGAAATATCCTTTTGAAGCTAAAATTTTGACTTAATAACACTAGGATTTTTATTTTTTTTGATTACTTTTGATTTAGAATTCATCAAATTGCGCAGCAGTTGAATCTTATTATGATAATTGCTCTTAAATGAAATTTGATATATACTACACTGCCTTCTGCTTTTTACAGTAACATATTTGATTTTTGGCTTTTTATAACAAAAATCAAGTAAGATAGAATATCACAAATAACTAAGGAAGTGTTTTCTGAATAATTGACTTCTTAACAAATAAAACAATGAACAAATAGATAGGTAAATCTCAAGGACTATTTAGTTTTAATTTACTTTTACATCTATAAAAACGATTTACCAGTAATCTAAAAATGTATATCATTAATTTATTAAAAATAAGTAGTCTCTAATTTTTAAATTGATGAGAAATTATTAAATAGTATTTCCTTTATTGATACTTTTTGCTTTTCTCCCCACTTCTAATAATGTATTAATGAATCAATCAATTTTTTATCTATAACTTTCTATACATATCAAGATTTACAGTCTCATATACTATTTGAGAAAATAAAAACAACCTATAGCTGGCATTTTCCTTATTACTCTTATTTAGATTTTTCCAAATTAAAAATATATTGTAAGCACTTCCAAAAGAATGAAAAGTAAATAATGCCATATAATCAATAGTATTTTGGTAAAATTTCCTTAAAATATGCTAGTATCAATTCACTTAAAAATAAAATGTTCTTAAAAAGCATCAAACAAAAAATTGAAACTTCTAATATAATTTTTAAGAAAAATGAGAGAGTGAATTAATTATATACGGGAAATAAAATATTGATTTATATAAAAAACATTAAATTTAAAAATATATTTATATATTTATGTTAGTAGGGATTGTAAGAAAGAAATAATATCGTTTTGATGAAGACATATTTTATATTTTTTTATGAGATAGCCTATAAATTCATTGTAATTTTTATGAGAGTTTATTATATGATTAAGCAAGGCTTTTGTGAAGGAGTTAACAATTTTAGAAAGTTAGTATATAGGAGGAAGGTTTTAAGGATTTTAAATTAGTTAATATTTTAGGAATTTAGAAACTGTTATCATTGATTATTAAAATAGATAATGGCTTTTTCATGTTGATAATTACTAATTTATATATTTATTATGCTTACTAGCTTGATTGATCGTTTGAATATTATTTTGAATGTAAATATGGAGAGGTAAATTGATATTCAGATTAATCGATAAATAATTTATTAAATAATTGAATATATTAATATTGAATAAAATGCTATGTGTGTTAATATGAAGATGGTTTATATTGTTTCTTCTTTTATATCAATTTTTGTAATTTAGTAAGCTTCAAAGATGTATTGCATATCTTACTTAAAGAATCAATTTTATTTGGCAAATAAATTTTAGATTTTCTATGAGTAAAAAAGTAAGGAGTTGTTTAGATAATTTATTAATTTATTTATGAAAATGTATGAACGAGTGAATCAATGAAGAAGAAGAAGATAATAATGAAGTAGTGATTAATAATTAGAAATAGAAGAATTATTGTTAATATTTATATTATTATTAGTAAGTGAAGAGGTGGCGGTGATGGTTTAGCATATATTTTAATTTTGTTAGTTTCGAATTTATTTTGTTAGCTAGTTTTTTATTATCAAAATTCCTTAATTTTATATAAATCAACACTTAACCACAGTTTTTCTATGGAATTTAATTCTTAGGTGAAATATTCGCTTATCAGATATGAGTTATTAATTAAAGAAAAAAGAAAAATACTAAGTAGTTTTTTTGCCTTATTTTCTTATGATTTCACTCATCTTCGAAGTTATATTCTTTTTGTTTTTTAGACTTTTTGCTTGTTTTATAACAAACGAAATCGTCGAAATTTGCTTTATCAATAACACATTACTTTAGATAGTTCAGGATACTAACAGCTATATCTTTTTTAACTATTTTACTTTTTTGGAGCCACATCTCACATTCTTTATTGATAAAATGGCTAAAGATTATACTGTAAGTGTCATGAAGAGCGATATATTTCAGGACTTGGTGATTAAAGCTGTGAGTTTTTAAAAAGCGAGCAAGCTGTTTTAATTTATTGTCAATCTTCAATTATTCTTGGTTAACAAAAAGTTCACATATCTTTTACTTTTGTGACAAAAATATTTTGAAAGCATTCATTATGCTCTTGTATATGTTTTGTCTAACTTAGCTATCTTGGGTTAGATTTGATTTTGTTTCTGAGGACTCTTTAGTATTTTCAATTATTGTTCCACTGCAGCTTTTACTGTCTGTGCTTTCAGATATATCTTTATTGGTTAGTAGAATTTTATTTTGTAAATTTAAAATTTGGTAAATTTCTTTTGATTCTTGTTATAGCTCTCTTATCTGATGTGAGCTAGAAATAGTTGTAGGTGTATTAAGATTATCTTATTGAGCTTTTTAAGTGCCCTACTATTGGTAGCCAGCATGTGATTGTTAAGATATTGAATTATTATTATTATTTGGGATATTTAGTTTACCTAAATTGGATTGAGAGTGTTTAGATAATTAATTGAATTAAAAGTTTTAGCTTGTTTGTGCGTTATTAATTATTTTTTCTTAATGGTAATTATCTAATTATTATTATTGAGAGACTGATTGTGGATTATGTGGATTTTAATACAAGTTTTAGCTTTAAATTGGAGACTGTAATTGTTAGCTGTAGAGTGAGTTTGTCTATTGATAATTTTGTTAGTTTTTTTAAAAACATTATTAGTTATTAATAATGTTGCTGTTGTATTGATTAAATTATTGATTATTTGGTTATTATGTGTAGAATTAATAATTTTGATTATTGATTTAATTTTGTTAATTAAATAGCTAATTTTTAAGTTATTAATCTTTAAACTAGCATGATTATTTTATTTATTGGTTTTGATTCTAGTTAATGTTGTAATTGATCATGCTATTTTCGCTGCTTAAATCATCTTCGAATTTTATACTCTCTGGCTAATTTACCTTGTAGACTATTGTGCCATTTTATGAATAGGAGTATATTTAATGTTAGTTATTATTATTAAGAGTAATTTAATTGTTAATATGATTTTATTATTGGATCTTATTATTGTAGATTTGTTAGTTGCGAGAAGCGTCAAAGTAGTTATTGTTATAGAAAACCTCAGTATTACTCATTTGCTCATAATTGTTTGAAAATTGTTATTATGTTGTTTAAATTTAATTATTTTTAGGAGTATTATTGAAATTAAAAAGTTCGTCAACGTTCCAAGTATCTTCTTAATAGTCTTATTACAAACATAATTGAGTTTACTAAGTGTAATATTACTGTTAATTTGGTTAGTATTTGTCCTATTTATCATCGAAATTTAACTCGCAGTAGCTCTCATTCCAGTAGTAGCTTTCCTAATTAAAAGAAGGATAAATAGTAGAGCTTGAAGCGCAGCTCTAAGAAGGGTCTCTATTCATCATATTGGTGTCACACATCTTTCTAATTAACAAGACTATTAGTAATAAATTACCAGGAATTAAGGTAGTTTTAAAGTATTTGTTTAATTTTAGTAATAAATGTAGTGATCAAGAGTTCAGAGAGTGTGAAATATTTTAGTACTTGAGCTGATCTGAAATGTTTTAGAGCAAACAAATTGTTAATAAATTGCTGACTGAATATTATACTTTTTATTGTTTGATGTTATTGTTTGTTTTTTTTTGAATTAATTTATTTTTAATTAATAACAATCGATATTTATAAGAAGTTAATATTATTTACTTTGATTCTTTTATCTTTTTTGTGTTTACTTATTATTTATAATACTTAATTATCGGGTAGGGTACAATAGGGTACTTTATGATGAATGTAATGTCCCATAGCAAATCTCGTTGATTTGATTAATTTCTTAAATTTTTAGTCATATTAAAAATTGATTTATTTTGTTTTGAATTTATCAAAAAAAATGATAAAAAATTTAATATATTTTGAAGAGTTAGTCATGTCATTAAATTGTATTATGTTGATTTAGTATTATTTTCTATTTTTAAAATCCATTAAGTTGATAATATTTAAAAATAGCTTTATATTCTATCTTTGATAAAAAAGTCCTCAATAATATTTTAATAATTTTCCAGTATAAACCAAATTAGATATGTGTTGCTGTTTAATTATTTTTAGATTAAATATCAATTTGTATTTTACTGCTTAAGCACAATTAATTATTCATGCTTAGCAAATTTAAAAATTGATAGACAAGTGATCAATAAGTCACAATAAATAAAATACGCAATGTAATTAATAATAATGTTTTAGTATTTCTAACCAAATGATATCTGTTTTTAAAACTTAACTGAATTTCTGTTTTTCATTTTGTGTTTACACTATTAACAATCAAATTTTTTTAAACTGTATTTTTGACTTGATATTCCAAATAAAAATGTTATTTCATAAGAACTCATATAAAATTTTAAAAATCTTTTAAGATGAAGAGAGTAAGTTAAGCATAAAAGAAAAAATTATTTTTATTTTTGCCTAATAGAATAAATAAATCCAATTCAATAATTAGTGGATTTGATAAATTTTTAGTATTCAATTATTTGATTACAAATAAATAAAACGTAGTATTTGCAATAGTTATTCGATACAAAAGAAATTAAATTTAAAATTATTACTTACGTATTAAAAAAGGAAATTCCATCATATAATTGAATATTATTTTTGTCATAAGAAAAAAATCTCTTATTTTATAATTTATAAAATAAAAGTAATAAATAAAAAATTATTTCAAATATGGACTTCTATATTTAAAAATTTTAGGGAGGAAATTTTTTCCATGTTAAATAAACAAAGATATAAACTCTTAAGATTACTAGTTATTTTATATTTTTAAACTTCTAAGTTTATTTAAAATTACTTCCCTCCTTTCCTTTAAATGAAAACTAAATAATTTTGTTTTCATTTATTTAAATATTTTACCCAAAACTTATGATTTAGGAAAGAGTTTGAAACCAAGCTAACAAATAAGAAATACTGAAAAATATCTGGCAAAAAATGAATAAAAATTTAAAAACTACTCAAATAGTTATCCAATTAATAATTAAATTTCTACCATGGGCATGATAGCATAAACAATTCTTAAATATTTTAAAATAAATTGCTAGTTTGTTTAGGAGAGAAATTATCTTTCAATCTTAAGTATATTTTTAATTTGAATAATCTTCTTTTCTTCTATTTTTAAATAATATTTAATAATAGCTTTTGATAGTTATTTATATTACTTGCATATAAATCTATATTATTCACAAAACACATAGAAGTGCTTTAGTATCCAGAATAATTCAGCTATTTAAAAAAAAATATATTTATAGTTGTAAATAAATTGTTTTATCAACTTCTTTGATTACAAAAGTATAAGTTGTAATTATTTAATTTACATTCGCAACTTCGAAAAATCCTTAAGTATTAATAAAAAAATTTAATTACTCACTAAAATTAATATCCTAGCTAATTAATTTTATTCTTAAAAGTAATTTGCAGTTGATCTAATTTTACAAAGTATATTTGAAAAACAATTATCAGATTTTACATTCTAAAATAAATATTATATAAATATATGTTCTCATTATCCATAATACAAGGGTTTAATAATAATATTCAATTCAATATTTTAAGGTTTAAGTGTTTAAATAAACAAAAACTAAAAATAATAAATCATAGCTATTTTTAATGTTGCACCTACTTATTTAAAAATAAAATAATTAAAAAAATAAATTAAAAATCTTTATTTCATAAAATATTATTTCATTTTCTTTCATTGGTTAATAAATTTTTTGATAACTATTTAAATTTAATTTTTTTTCTTTTGAAGAACTTTATTAAAACAATTCCAAATTATTTAGTAGATTCTTTCTATTTTATTTATTTTAAATGGATAAATAAAAATATTAAAAGCAAATATTTTTAAATATTAAATGATTGTAAATCATATTTGAATACTTATCAATTAATATAACTAAATTAATTTTCTAATTCTATTATATCTGTTTTTTACACTTAAACTAAAAAAAAATAAGTTGATATTTAAATATTAATTTAGCTTAAATTACTTCTTAAGAATAAGGTAATTTTTATGATTTTTTCAACTTTAAGAAACTAAAAATAGAATAAGGATTTCTTCTAAATATGTTTTAAAAATTAAGGCATTTTAAAATATTTTTTTTATATTTTATTTCTTAATAATAGATTTTAATAATATTTTTGCTTAATTGCATAAAATTAAATTTTGAATTGATTATGTAAAACAAACACCTAAACACTATTTTTAATTTAAAAAAAAAAATTAGAAAAAACTTTAATTTAAACTTTTAAAAATAAAATCTAATTTAATTTATTTTGTGATTGATTAATATTAAATATTAATTTTTGTAATATTAGTAAAATAATAAATTGATAAACATATTTTTTATATGAATTTCATGTATATATTTATAATGAAAGATGGTAAGATATGATTGTAATATTTTACCATTCCAACAAATAAATAATATTATCAACAAGAAAAAATTGAATTTTAGAATTTATTTTTCTAATATATAAAGACATTTTTAAAAACTTAAAATAAAATGATAATAAATTTAAACAAAAATTTTAAATAGTAAGATTTATAAATTAATTTTTGCAATTCTTTGATTCAATTTTATTTAATAAGTTCAAAGACATTTTATGTTTTTAATTATGATTATGCTGGTTACTTTTTAGTTTTACTAAAATAAAAGAAAATTGTTTTAGAAAAGTCAAATTTGAAGCTCTGATTGAATAATATTAATCAATAATAATTAAAGTTTAACATTTTTTCTATTTTTAAGGTTGGAATAAAGTAAAAATATTTGTAATTAAATGATTAATTTTTGTAATTTTTTATTTTAAAATACTCGATCAACATAATATCTGTCAAAAAGAATTAAAAATTATTTTTTTTTTTGTCTGTTTGGTTATGGTTAAGATATTTGCTCTTAACCTATACTGTAAATAAATTACTAAAATGAAAAACAGGTCTTGAAGTTTTTAGGTATATGTTTTTAATAAAAATCTTTAAATTAGTATAAATAATATATTATGCAAAAAAAGTGTTTAATTTTAATTATTAAAAAAAAAGAAAATAGTTATCATAAAATTATTACAAAAACAAAGAATTTCCTAATTTAAAGTAATCATATTTTTTGAAACATTTTAATATTTAATCAGTATTTAAAAAATAGTTTTTTTTAAAATTACTGATTGAATTTTATTTGCTCTATTCACTTTAATTTTATTCTATTACAGATGGAGTTTCTAATTATTAATTTAAAAGCCAAAGCTCTTATAGTCAGATTTAGAATATCTTATTCTTAAAAATTGTTTTATTTAGTTAAAAGAAGTTTAATAATTAATTAAAAAGCCGAGTAAATGAAAAAACCCAACATTTAGAATTAATCAATAAGTTGTTAAATTTCCTAACAAAAATTAGTTAAATAAATTATTATAAATGAGCTTATATTTTCTGAATTAAGTAAAATATTCTTTGTTAATTGAAAATGATATACCAATTCTTTTAAAATAAATAGAAATTATAATATAAAGTAATTGATCTAATAATAATACAACAAATAAAATTAAAAATATATTCTTATCAACTAAATATCCTTGAATAAAAAATAAAGAGTAAAAATTAATTAATGCAATTTATTAATCAAAATTTACAAGTTTAATTGCTGATAGAAATGAATTTAATTTATTTTATAAATAGAAAGAAACTTCCTAAGCATTTTTTAAAAATGGCTAAATTAATGAAATGTGTATATATAGATATTCGAGGATAAGAATAATATATAAAATTAATAGATAGATTGGATAATTATAGTGATTTTAAATTATTTAGAAATTATTTAATATTTTAAAAGTTACAATTCTTACTGTAACTGACTTAAGAAAATTTTCTTAATTTGATTTTGTGTTTGTATGATATTTAAATTTGTTACTCTATAAATAAATAAATAAATTAATTAGTTAATTAACTAATGAATTCAATATTTTTTGTAAATGCTGACTTATCAAGAAATAATTGAATCATTTAATTAATTTATTAAATTATTTAAAAATCAGGCTTCTAATTTTTTTATTTTATTTTTTTATTAGCCTAATAAGGCCTCTAGAAGGTGGGGATATTTTATACACTCAGTTAATTATTATATTTTTTAAAAGACATCTTCTTTGTCGTGTAATTTACTTGACTCTATCCAAATTTAGCTTTCGTTTTAAAAGAAATTTAAAAGCATCAATTTGTAAAATTTGTGGTTTATTATATATTTCAATAGAGAGTAATTAAATGAATTCAACTTCATATATCTCATCAGTTGCTTTTTCAAATTAGAAAATTCGTAATCTGATACATCAACAAATTCACTCTTTTTTATTTTTTTGACGTATCCTTTAAAAGCATTCACAATATTCTTAAACTGATTTTACTGTGATTACTTTTTGCCTTTTTCTTCATTTTGAGGTTTAATTTTTTATGTGCTAACAGTAGTTTAATATTATTATTTAAGTTTATTTTCTATTAATTTTTAATTCAAATCTCTATGGTTATGATTCTTTTCTTAAAGCAGTATTTCTAATTATTATTATTATTGTTCTTTTTCATTATTGAAAAGGAATTTATTTTAATCAGATTAATTGAATGTTTCTCCAATTTTTAAGAAGCTTTGGCTTTCAAACTGCTAGTTGATAGATTAATTGTTGTTAAAGCCATGAAAATAGGAAGATGTTTCTTCTATTTTTTATTAATATTAGCATGTATCTACATTTAAATTATTTTATAGTTGGTATTCGTAAATTGGATTTAAAAGCTAGGGCTAATAGGCTTAGAATGAGTTTTACTGATTAAAATTACAGTTTTCTTTTGATAAGTATTCTGAGTTCAAAAAGTACTCTGGTTCATAGATGTTTTTTTGAGAAACAAGTCCAGACATTTATTCTGAATTATCAATAAAATCAGCAGTGTATTGTTAAAAAGAATCATATTCATCAGGATTAATAAAGGAGTAAATTGATATTCTACTTGACATATTTTTAATCTGCAAATTTTTATGTGTGTAAATATATTTTTTTTATATCTGTATTTTTTTGCTTGTATATTAATTTGTAAATGAATATATTAGTTTTTTTTAGTAGCGTTTATCTTTTAATTTTAATTGTTTGTTTTGTAATTAATTCATTATTAAATTTTTAAACTATATATACAAGGGTAATCTTTCTTTCGCTTCGTAATACTATTAAATTCTTACAAATAAAAGTAATAACAATGAAAAGCATAAGGTTAGCAATAACCTTTTTTAAATTTTAAGAATATTAAAAATATAAACACAAAATTAATCTAATTTAAATGAAATTAATTCGCAATAGTTTATTCGTTAATAATCTTTTCTGTTTCATCATATTTTTCTTATAAAAATTATTTTGAAGATTGTAAATTTCTTTGTTTTTAAAAAAGAAAAAACTTGCGATTTACTTTAAAAGAAGGCACTGTTTTAAAATAAGATTTAAATATTTCTTCAATTTCATAGTGAGTAAAATTTAAAGCTAATTAATGTAATAAAGATATTTATGGATTTCTTTATGACTTTTTTAAAAGATTCTATTAAATTTCAAGAATACTCTTTGCCTCCGAATTATGATTCTTGAACGATAATTTCAGGTTAACCTCAATAAAGACTTTTATAAAAGATACTAAATAATTGAAATCAGAATTCTTTAATAAATATCCTTCTTATTACCAAATATAAAATTTAGCTTTTAAAATGAATTTTATAGTTTAAAAATATAAAATTTAACTTATTTTTAAGAAAAATTTGATTTATAACATTTTATTTGATGATTTGGAAGATTATTTTTTATATGTTATAAGTTTTTTGAATTGAATGCTTCAATATACAATTTCAATATATTATTACTTTAAATAAAAAAGATTACATTTTCATGTGTAAACTAATTAGTTTTACAATTTACTGATTATCTCTTATTATTGAAAATCTTATTAAATAAAATAAAATTTAAGCTCGAAAGACAGTTAATCAATCGGTAATAAATAAGCAAATAAATTCCCAAGCCTATTAATATAGTCATTGTCTGAAAATATCTATTTAAGCATTCAAAATTAAAATTTTTTAAAAATAATGTACGAATGATCTATTTAGATAACTTGATAAAAAGATAAGAAAACTAATAATCTCAATCTAAAATTAAGGTAATTGTTCATAGGTTTTTCTTTAATTATATGTCAATAAAAAATACATCTTAATTACTTCTGTTATAAAATCAAATCTTTACATTTTATAAATCAAACGTATAATGATCAAAGTAAATCGTTACTTGTATAAAAAAAAATGGGTTTTATATATAAAAATTATTTTTAAAATTATGAAATGATTGGTAAAAGATAAAAATTATTATCAATAATTAATATATTTAATTTATTTCTATTTAAATAAAATTGATTCTAATCTTCAAAAAAAAGAATGCAAAGCTTAATTTACTGAGTATTTTGATTAATTATTATAGGCTAAGATTTAAATTTTAAACAAAAAATTTAAATAAAAGCACATTAGAAATTTAATTTATCTGACTCTTTAATATATATTTCACAAATATATATTTGGAATTATATTTATTCATTTTAAATAGTTAACTAATTTTAATCAAATTTAAGAGGATCTCTTTATAAACAAATTATATAACAATTTTTTAAAATTTGTTGTAATTAATGCTTTATTTACAGAAGTAAACAAATAATTTTAATCCTGAATTATTCATATAAGAAATAGAGTTTGTTTCTGATATTACAGAAAATTGATTAAGAATATATAGAATAATAATAATTCATATTCATATCCATGTTCAGTTTACATATGAAATCAAATTTATATTTGAGTAATAAAAAAATATTTTCTAGTAACTAAATTTAGATTTTCAAAATTAAAAGCACAAAATATGAGGTTTTCAATAAAGGTTATTACAATTATCAATGTTATTTTAAATTAGCTACAATATTAATCAGAACTAAACATATTGAATCTATTGCACTATTATTTTAAATCATAAAGGCAAATAATTATTAACCTGAATATTATAGTACTTTAAAGCTATTCTTCTATATCTAATTTTATTGTATTAAGCGTTTTTAAATAGAAATTAATTAATTGTGAATGCTTCCAGAAAAGTTCTATAAATACCTTATTAATTAATTCAAGTAAATAAAAAGATATTTATTAATAGATTTATTTATTTACTTAGTTAATAAAGTAACTAAGACATTTATAATGAATAATTTTAGATTAAAAAATTAATTTTTTAATCAGACATTCTTATAACATATTTAATATCATTAATGAGAAAAGTTGTTATCAGATGATGTAATTGCATTCAAATTAAATTGCTGGCAACTAAAATTAATTTTTAGACTTTAACTTCAAATACAATTTTCCTTTATTTTAAGTGTAATATTTATGAAAACAAAGTGGTTCGTTCACATATATTTTTTACCTAGTGTAACTAAAATCGAAAAAAAATAATTTTTTTTTCTAAGAATTAAAAAAAATTTTTTTATTTCCTTGTAAATATATTTGTATTTTTTGCAAAAATATTTAAAAACCAAAAATATTATCATCAAAATTAATAATTTGATATTTTTTAATTCTTGTTAATAAATAATTATAATTTTGAGAAAAAGGATTGATTATCAATATTTCTTTTTAAAGATTCTTTTTACTATATTTTCAATTTTTATATTTAGAAATTAGTGTTGATCTTTCTATTGTTTGTTGTGCTAAAAGTTAATGAAATCCTTATAAATTAAATTTGAGAGGGGAAAGCTAAAAGATATAATTTTCCTTTTCGAAATATTATCAAACACTTTTTTTTGGGTATTATAATTTTTTATGAAAATAGAAAATTGATATTTTCTTCTATTAGCATTTTTTATTTAAAGTTAAATACTTACTTTTTATAAAATATATATCATTGTTTTATTTATAAGAGTAATGCGTTTTAAAAAATAAAAAATAATACATGAAATATAATCAACTAAAACCTTTAAAGTAAATTCTTTTAATTTCATTATAAAATTTACTTAAAAAATGTCATAAAATTGGATGATAAAGGTAAAAAATATCAAATTAAAAGATTTTTAACTCATAAAGAGAGCAAAAATTAAAAAGAAATGATTGATAAAAGTATATTCACCCCTATTTTTAAATAAATGGTAGTCCTTAAAAATACATATGTAAGTTTTCATGTGAAGTTAATTGTAAAGTAAAATTTACATGATGATATAAAAGATTATAAATATTTCTGGTGATTTATATGATTTCTGCTTCAAGTTAATTATACAAAAAAATAAATATAAATAATAATCTTGAATGATTAAAAAATTATCTAAAAACAAAAAGGAAGGAACTTATCATAATTAATTTAAATATTAGAAATTAATTTATATTAATTGATTAAACTAAAAAATAGTGTCATTCTCAACTTTAAACTAAATTCATTTCGTCGTTATCTGATCTAACAATTTAATATCTTTGATACATCTTTTTAAGTATATAATTTGATTGTTAACTTCTTATTTATCTATAACTTTTGATTTACTTAACCACTCACTACTCTCATTATCCAGGTAATTCAAAAGAAGTTATTTGTAAATTTTATGGGTAACTAAATAATTCACAACCGATTAATTAAATGAGTGATGCTTCATGTATCTAACTAATTACTTCTTGATGTTTTAAAATTATCTCTCATTCATACTCAAAATTTCGCTTTTTTTCATTTGTTTAATACTTGAAAAGAATGCAAATACAATATTTTTGAGACCATTTTAAGTGTTTACGGAATATTATTTTTTTGACTTATCAAAAGCTTCTTCAACATTTTGATGACTGCATTACGCCTTTGAATTACTTTTAAAATGTAAAAGCTGGCTTTTGCTTTAATTTTCATATTACGTAAAACCAAAAGATATTTCTTAAAATTAGTTGCTATTATTAAAGTTATTAATGTTGTAATTATTATGATTATGATTATTATTATTATCATTAGTTTTTTAGTATTATTATTTTTTTATTTAATTGCAATTTGAATTGTTTAAGTCTTAGTTTAATTAAGATTAATATTTGTTTTATCTCGCGAATTGTTCCTCTTGTTGATGATAAAAAGAGTTTGTTGTTTTGTTATTTTAGACCAAACTATTATATTCCTTATTTTTGCATTCACAATATGATTATCCGATTTATTAGAATTAGCAAAAAAAATTATCATTATAGTTGGATTATGAATTAAGCTCGTCATTATTAATTATTTTTGACTCATCTAGATTTTAAGTGTTTAAGAAGTACTCTGGCTCTAATATTGTATAATTAGTGTCAGCAAATTGATCTTTCAAGTGACTTTCTGACTAAAATTTATTAATGGAATGATAAAATTCTTCGGAATTCATATTGTTGAACGGGTTGAAGTTTTAATAAGGACATAAATATTCATTGTAACTATTTCTAAAGTAGTTAATTTCAGAGAGATATTATTCCATTTCCTCAAAATTTTTGATTTAGATGTGTTTTTTTAAATAGTTATCTTTAGTGATTTTATTTATTTAATAAATAAGTGTGAAAATGTCCTAATTATAATTTTTTTTTAGTAAGATAGCTTTTCTTTAATTGAACAGATTTAAAAACAATCTCAATCTACAAAACATTCATTTGATTGTTGAAAGCTAGAAATTTTTTAATAATTTCCTTTCATCCCTCTTTTAAAATTTTAAAAAATTAAAATATTCTTATTAGAAAGGTTAGTGATTTATAAAACTCTAAAATGTTACTTTAAAAATATTTTCATAGAAAAGTACTATTTTTTACAAATTTAAATAGAATTTTTTAAAACACAAAGACAGATATTATATTATTAACAAAAATTGAATGTTTGTTTCTAATTATTAATGATAAAGTAATTACGTCTAAATCAAGATGTAATTATTAATATCGATGTATTATTTATTAAGCTGTTTTTTGATACATTTTTTAAATAAAAAATTAAAGTGTGTTGCTAAATCTAATTAATAATCAGAATTACTTTTCTAAATAAAAATGTATCAAATAGATAGTATAATTCAAACTGTTTCTTTTATTTTTAATAGAGCTAGTAACAATTATTATTTAGTATATGTTAATAAGATTAATGAAACAAAAACATTTTATGTTAAATAAATAGCCTTCATAATTTTTGGCATAAAAGAAAAATCAATTCTTAAACAACTAAATAAAAAATTACTAATTATTGTGAAAACTTTTTAAAAAAAAAATTTGACTTTGAGTATTTCTTAAAATACGTCCATCATTTAATTAATTTTCAAAATTAACTCACAATCTATCTAAAGTTAATTTAATAATCACTTCTTTTGGAAAAAAAAAAAAATAGTCTTTTGTTGATTTAAAAAGTTATCATAAACTAAAATACAATGTTTATCAAGAATAAATTATATAGTTGCTTAAATATTTTTCTATAAATATAATTTAAAATAAATAAATAAATATATTTAATAAGAAACATAGGTTAAAAAATGGTCAAATTTTGTATGAATTTTTATGATAAATAGCCATTTATAAACACATTAATTAATAAAAATAAAATATTAAATAATTTATTTTACATACAAATATTTTTATGAAAAATAAAAACTTTTAAGAAATTTACTATTTTTAATATAAAAAATAATTATCAATAATAAATTAGAAATGAATTTAACTATCTCCTTTTAAAAACCCATTAATTTTAAAATCATAAAAAAAAACAATTCAGCAACTGATAACTATTTCTTGCAATTTATAAATTCATAGCTAGCTTTACATAAAGCTAAAGATTATAAAATATTTGGAAGTAGCTTTTTTACTATATATATTGCTTGTATTTAATCACTATTATGATACATTTTTCCATAATTTAAAAAAGAATTTTTTCTACTAAGAAATTGATCATTTTCTTGACTAATTTTATTTCTTTATTGATTACTTTTTTTACTTCTCAACAAATTTAAATATTAAATTTATACAAAAATTAATTATTCAATGAAAATACACAAATAATTGCAATATAATAAATATAATTATCATGTTTATAGTATAAATAAATATATTTTACAAAATGTTTTTTAAAACCCATAAATTTAACTCTAAACTTAGAAGATTTTATCACTCTTAACAAATTATATCTTTATAAACACAAAGATTAAAAAATAATTTTTTATATTATAAATTTAATTAATTTATCAAATTATTTAGTTTTAATTTCTAGATATTTGTTAATTATTTATAAATACCATCATTATTTTAACAGAATTAATAAATCAAATTTATTAAATGATAATTTTAATTTCTAAATTAAGAGTAAAAATTTTTAGGAAAGACAGAATTTCAATGCCTTAAAAATTATAAATAAATTCTCTCTTTAATCATTTTAAGATAAAAAAAATAATTTTAATTCAATTAATTTAGTAAATAAATAATGAAATAGGTCATGCTTAATATAAAATAAAATTGCGGATATTTTAATTTCTAAATTCATTTTTAAAATTCACTATGAAGACATAAAATAATATGAATTAAATTTATACTTTCGTTTTAAATATTTATTTGATTATTGAAATCATTTTTTTTTTGAATTAGTTAAATCATATTATTTGATAGATTTTTGAATTGGTTATTAAAATATATTGAGTTCAAATATTTTATTTTTTAATTTTGATATTTTATTATCCTAAATACATTTAAAGCAAATCAGGGTTCTAAACACATTATTTTAATTATTCTATTTTGTTAAAAGCGTCATCTTTGTCTTATAGTTTACTTGAATTGATCCAAGTTTCGCTCTCACTTTGGAAAAAATGGATTAACATCTATTTAAAAAATTTATGGTTGATGATATATTTTAGTATAGAGTAATAAAAAGAATTCAGTTTCATGTATCTAAACAATTGCTTTTTTAAGTTAATGAACTGCTGGTGAGATACAGATATAAACTCGCATTTTTTTAGTTTCTTAACATACCCTTTAAATGCATTAATTATGTTTTTGAATTAATTTTGTTATTTATACTTTTAAGATTAGCTATTTATTAATATTGGAGATACACACTCCTCTTATTATAATTAATTTTGGTGTGTTTGAATATTTGTAAAATAAAAATTAGTCTTGCCTTGTTAAGATTTAATATCTTACTAAGAACTTTATGATTACAATAAATTATCTTTGAAATAAATCTGATCATCGCTTTAGCAAACATTTTGACTTCTAATTTCATTTTGTTGAAAAGTACTTGACTAACAATAATAGCAGATTTATTCTTCGTAAATTTTATTATCATTAAAATTTTCTTCTACTTGTTAATACATTTAGCTATTTGATTATTCATTCATCATTTAAGCTTGATTTTAGTTTTCATCATATTAAGTCTCTTTCTTAAAATATTCCTCATTCAAAAAATATTCAGGTTCATAGATGATTTATTTAATAAAGTAAACAGAGTTATTTTCATGAGTTTTTTATTGTTCAAGGTAGAATAAGTTTTGGTAACAGTCACCAGTATCAGTTGTTGGAAACTCAGATAAATTAAGAGCAGCAGATGACATTTAGCTTTTTGATTTACAAAACAAAGTTCTAAACAAAATTATATTGTTGAAATTTGATGTGTTTTTTATTGATTATAATCTATTTTTGATTATTAACTTAAGATATTTAAAGCTTGCTTAAATATGTCACAATCTAATACGTATTATTAAATACAAAGTATGTTAATACTTTTCTATAAGATTTATAATCAAATTAATTTAATATTTCGAGGGATAAATTAAATTAAGTGTTTTTTTAACTTCATTCAATAATTCGATAATTTAATTGTATCATCTTCTGATTTCGCTTAGAACTTAGTAAATTCAGTTATTGCAATAAATGATAGATAAATACTTTATATAAAAGTTTAGTAATTTCTTCTATGCAATTTAAAAATAAACAAAATAAAATTAATTTGCTGCTTAGTAATTATTTTGCTTGATTAAGTTAAATTAATTAGTTAATTAGATCAGATTAATATATTAACAAATAAAGTAAAAATGGATGTAACATGATTTAATGAGATGAATTTTGTTATTTTTACAGTGAATTGATTAGGGCATTCATATATACTCACAAAGATAATTGCCCAATAATTTTTTAAATTTAAATTTAACCATTTATCATTATTTCATGGTATTTATTGCTTTAAAATTTGTAATATATTTAAACTCAATTAAAAAATTATTATGTAAAAGATATTTTAAAAACAAAAAATATATAGAAACTTATAAAATTTGATGCTTGAATTGTTTGGATTTGTTTTTAAATCATGTTTTTGCTTATATTTGATTATAATCAAAAACAATATTTACTCAAAATGTTTTATTATATTCTATATTAATTTATAGTAAAGCATTTTGAAGCATTCAAAATTTTCAAGAATTTTTGTTTCTATTTTTTACATTTTAAATTAAATTTAATAGTTAACTAACTCATTTAATATTTATTTAGTAAAAGGTTTATATCGATTCAAATACTATAATTTTTTAACTAATATGAATAGCTATTTCAGATTGCATTTTTTAATTTTCCATCAAATTTGTAATATATTGTCAGCATCCCATAAAATTATTTCCAAATATAACTACAAAAATATTTTTTGTTAGCTTTTTATAATTTAATTTGCATATTTTGTAACACTAATAATTTTTAATCTATTATTTTATTATTATAATTATATTATTTTAATAAATAAAACAGTGTTATTTATATAAAATAATAATAATAAAACATTTTATGTAAATTAAATTTAGTCTTCATTTTTAATTTTATGTTTTTTAGAAATAAAAAAGAATAAAATTTACATTTTTTATATTTATTTTTTAAGATGAGTTAATTTACGATTCGAATCACCTTAGATCATAAATTTTAATTAAAATAAAAAATTAATTATTTACTGATACAAAATGTAATTTATTATCAGTTATTTATTCCATTAAAGCAATTATCTATAATTTAAATTAGTTAAATAATAAAAGCAGTTTTTTATTAAAATAATATTTTAGATAGTCTTGAAAATAAATTTTTTTTCGATTTTTAATTTGTTTATGTGATTTTTTATCTAAAATTTATTTTTTTTTATATGCTGAAAAAGATATTTGTCTGTAAATTTAATAAATAATTTTTTGATTGATCTAATTTCTAGTTTAAAGAAGATTGGTTTTAGTATTATATACTTATTTTATTTGAAATGTTTTTAATAAATGTGAATTTGGTTGAATAAATTAATTTCTATAAAAATTTATATTAATCAAGTTTTTATTTTTTTTGAGTATATTTAAATACCTTATATTTTAAATTGTAAAACTACTTACTGACATACAAAAATATATAGTATATAAATGTTAAAAAATATAAATTTTAAAATTAACTCTCCAATTCGATTTTTTAATATTGAGTACTTAAGGTATATATTTTTTATTCAATTATGAGTTTTTTGTGCCTCTTGCAATTCAATTTTTTTTTTTAAGTGTCAATTATAAAATTTATGCATCAGATAATAATATTAAGAAATTTATATGCTCAAGCAATAACCATTTTATCTAAGCACTATTAATATAAACTTTTCAAATTTTCAGATGTGGAAAGTTACATTTTCATAATTTTATTAAATTCGATTTTTATAGGCTAGATATCTTTCAATAGAGAGCCTAAAATTATTTTATTGTGGAGTTCATTATCTAGTTATTCAAAGAATGTGAGGTTCTTTAATTTTCTACTTTTATTTTCTATAAAATCTATCAAGGGATTAACAATTTCATTTTCAATCTCCTTAATATGTTTTTCTTTTAATTCCTCTTATTTTTTTAAATCAAACTTCTTATAAAAATTATTATTATTACATGAAAAAAGGAAGTTGACTGTCACAGACTATAAAAATGAAGTACTTAAACTTCTAATTAGGTTTCCATATCCTTTGCAATTTTATTCTCTATATGTTTAATTGTAGTTATTATCACCTTATAAATTGATAATTCTGATATTTTTATTTGCTAAGATGAGTTCACTTAACGAATTAAACAAGGTTTCATCAAATTTAATACTCAACTGTAAATCATTTAAGAATCTGAAATTATTTAATTTTTAAAACAAAAGACATTCTTAATTAATTGGAGTTATTACTCCAGTAATTTCTGATTCGTAATTTTATGTATCTTAAATATTAATACTGATCTTCTATAATTTTTCAGATGCTTGTAGAGATGAAAGTAATAAATTTAATTACTCATGGGTTTTCATATTTTTGTTGTTTGAATCATATTTAAATTCTATCAAATTACTCAATTTAAAAAAAATTGGATTATACATATTTAGCATATCAGATTGTACCTTTTGTTATAAATGCATTTTAGAGCTATTTTCAACTTGATTACATTTTTAATATTAAATTTAATAATTACCTAGCTTTAAATTCACCATCTCTAAATTTTACTGGCAGCCAATAATGCCCAATATATTTTTAAAGTCCACTCTAGCAGATTTAATTTATTTAAATTCATAAAGAAATGCTTAATAGTATTAATTTGTTGTAAAATTTTCGTTTGATTTTAAACAAAACTTTTTCAAAAACTTATTTTTTTGAAGGAATTCTAACAAATTGTCAGCTAATAATTAGCTTATCTCAATATCAAGATCAATCTCATGAAGTTCTTTGAGGTTATTTAAATGATTTAATAATTTGTAAGATTAATTATTCTTTAAACCATTCTAATAATTTTCAATTATTTCATCTTACATAATTTCTTCTTCCTCTTCTTCTTCTAACTCTTTCTCCTGTTTATCGCTATCTTCTTAATCTGAATAGTTACTTCCATTATCATCATAATCTTCTTATTAACAGTCTTAATATTCGTCTTAATCATAGTTTTCATCTTGATCATCAACATATCCTTCTGATTCAATGTCATCATCCTCATTATTATCATACATTTATTCTTGATCTGATCTATTTTTCTCATTTTTCTTACTTTTATTTTACTTATTATAATTAGTTAGATAGAAATTAACAACTAACAATTTTAGACTCGAACATGAAGAAATTGATTTAAAAAAGTTGTCTATTTTTCTATTGGTAATTTATAACTTTTAAATACCTAGTATTATTTTGAGATACTTCAAGTTCTCAAATTAGAATACAAAATCAAAGTTTTTAGGTAAGTAATCAATTCTTATATCAGCTGACACTAATTTTCTGACTACACTATTGAAAGCCTGTATTTTTTCTGCTGTATCTAATATAAATCTTGTACTGTCTAAAGAGCTTAAGTATGGAAGCTAAGATAAAATATTTAGCAAACTTAGCTATTCTTATTCACAAATAGAGCTCTATATTGACAAATTCTAAATGTAAGTAAATCCTAAATCAATATTCTAAAGAGATTTTATAAAAGGCTTTGCAAAAAAGGGTATATTTTATATCTAAAAACTTTAAATAGCTCTTTATTAGATTATAGAATCAAATAAAAGTTATAAGTAGGTTTGGTAAGTATTCCTTTCCTACTTTTTTAAATATCCATCCCCTTGTATATTTACTATATTAAAGTTAAAGGTTGAAGCTATGCAATTTGCAGCAAGCAATATGCTAAGCATATTATTTATGTCAAAATATAGAGTTATTACTTTAGTATCAACAGTCGATGGCATTAAATCAAAGATAAGTTCATTTGAATCAATCTTTTCAATAAATTTTTTATTTATTTGACCCACTAATTCAAAATTAATAAAGTTTAATCTTTTTTCATTGCTTAGTTTTTCTTGTAAATTTATTTTAAATTGGTCAGGCTATTTCAAGGTACTCTCGCTGAATTCAAAATAATTTAAACCATCAATTTCCTAATTAGAAAAAAATTAATACATTTAGCAAGATCTGTAAATAGAACTATTTGAATCACCTTCTTCTAAGCTCATTGTGTTGATAATATCCTTAGTTTAGTATTCTAAATTTATTCTATTGTACTGTTTGTTAAAAACTTAATTCATAAATAGAATTGCTTTGTATTTAATATCATCTATATCCTAATGATTGTCACATAATATTTATGAACCATTATTTTCTAATTAAATTTGATTTGTCTTTATTTAATCAGTTTCTAATAATTTAAAATCTTTCAATATGTTTAAGTATTACTCCTTGTTAAATTTGTAATAATCAATTTTTTGCTTGAGTTCTTCAATAAGAATATCTTCTTTGCTTTATTTCTTCATTGAGCTCTTCTCTTTCTATTTTTAAACTTCTCCTGATAGTTTTTCCTAATTAATTTATTATCCATAATCATAATCATAATCTTATTCATATTTGTTAGAATTCTCAAACTCATTAATTATTTCTTACTCATTAAATTCATAATCACTTTCATTATTATCACAATTATTTGAATCACTTTTATCTTCAATTTTTTTATCCTCATCAACCATTTCACTTTCAGAGCTAATTTCAACATCTTAGATTCTTTCATCATTATTTAAACTTTTTATGTTTCTTTCTGTAGAACTATTACTACTCCTAAAACTTTCATCTAGTTGTTAATTATCTGATAAATTATTAGTTATGGGATTATAATTTTCTTGTTCTGTTTAAAAATGTATATTATCAAACAGCCTTGATTATTATTTATGTTTAGAAAGTTCTACAATTTTGCTGACTTCTTAAAAGTAGTTTTATTGAAATTTAATTTGTTCTTTAGAATCTTTTTGGAATCTTCCTCTCATTTTTTTTGTTTGCATATTTATATATTTATTTTATTTTATTTTTTTTATATTTTAAACTGAATGTCCAACTATTTATAAAGCATTTCAGTAATATTATAAACAAATAATCTAGAAATTCCATAGAAAGTTATTTATAAATAGTCTATAAGAAATTTATAATTAATTAGCTAATTTGAATAAAAGCATCTACTAAAAAAATATTCTAAATTTTTTTTTTAAGTTCTATTTTCTTGATTTTTGAGTCTAAAAAAACTTTTATATTTATTAACAAAGATTTTATTCAATATAAAAATATGTAAAAAATTCACTTTTTATATGATATCCTTTAATAAATAATTTTTAACAAAAAAGATAAAAAGATAATATTTTTAACACTGAATCTAAAATTTATTTTATTTTATTGCTCTATTAAATGAAATTTTCAAAAGAAAATAATAGTTTTTCGTGAACTTACTCATTTAATAGACTTTTTTTAAAAAAAATACCCAACAAATAAAATTATCAAAAAAGTTTTATTTTTAATAAAAATTACATCAGATTAAGTTAAAATAATTTTTAGTTAATCTATTAATTTAATAGACTCTTTGAAAAAGAAAGACACAATAAATGACAACCAAACAAACTAAGATCAATTTTTCAAAATTGAGTTAGATTGAGTCAAATATTTGTAAATAAGAATTTTTATTTAATCTACTAATTTGATAGACTCTTTGAAAAGAAAGACATAATAAATAAAAACCAAACACAAGAAATTTCAATTTAAAAAAACTTGCAAGAGAAATTAATTATTTTATAAAATGTAAGATCAAAATATTATTTTGAATCTCTGTATTTGATCTCATTTAATAAAATTAATTTTTAAATGATTTAGTATTCAATTATTCAACCAAAAGAAATTAAAGAAATAGTAGCTATAAATTAAAAGTGAGCAAATATTTATTATTATAAATCAGTGCCTAGAATTTAAATTCAAAAACTGATTTGAACTTAAAAATATTTATATAAAAAATAAATTATACAAAAAATTAAACAAAACTAAGAAAATGAAATTGAATTCTGATTCAAATAAACCACGCATTGGCTTAACATAAGATCAGGTTTTTCAAAATGAATACCTAAGTTATTTAAAGTAGTTATCTAAAGAAGAAGATTTAAATTTGATGTCAGAAATAATTTAACCTGAATTGTTCAACATTAATGAAATTTCTAGTTTCAAAGAATAACTAATTTAAAATAAATTCCAGCCTCTCTAATTGAATTTTCCTATTGAAAAAGGATTTGATGTCATTTCTAACAGCTTATAAGAGCTAGATAATAAAATTGTAAATTTAGAACAATAACTTTGTATTGGAGAAAAGTAAAATGGTGTAAAAGATGAAGAGATATAAAATCTAAGAACAGATTATTTTTTGGACAATAACAGATTATAATTAAATAGATTGGAGTTTAATTATGCTAAATTAAAAGAAGGAGATTAAAAATGCAATTATTAATAAACATAAAAATCTTATCCAGTTCAAGCTTAAATATTATAATTCTCACATGATTTATATCAGAAAGATCATTTTAGTTTAGACAATGATCTATAACAGAAGATTTAGTTTCACATGGTTGGTTAATCTTTGAAAGAAATAGGAGATTTGGTAAAATTAGATTAGTCACTTAATGCTTGGAAAAAATAACTGTAAAATATAAAAATGTTCACTCTAAATTTATATGATTTACATAAAAAGTCTACTTTTTTATCATTATTGAGATATTTGATAAGCATTAAAAGTAATGTGCTTTGCATTTAAGATATTGAAATTAGGGATCGTTATAATAAAATTAAAAAGAAAAAAGGTATAAAAAATTCTGAAGCCTTTGAACTACTTGATGAGGCATATTAAATCTGTTTAAAGAATAGAAATCTACAATCACTTGAAATCATCAGCTCTAATCCAATTAATTTCGATTCGTTCTTATCTGCTATGACTAATGTTGATTTAGCAATTAGCAATATCTGCTTTTTGAGTTTGAAAATAAATGATGTAAATGTAGAGTAGCAGCAGCTTTGCACTTTCTTTTCATGTTTGAAAGAACTTCAGTATTTATAACACTTGACTCTTAATAGTTTAAAAATTAGTGAATAAGAAACATTAAATAGCTTGAATTAAGTTTTAAAAAAGTAAAAATATATAACTCTTTAAATTAGTTATTTAAGTAATTTGGTAGATCTTAATTTAAATTTAGAATAAGCGTAGTTTTTGAATCTTCAAATTGATTTAGCTGAATCTCAGTTAACAAAAAAGTAATAGCTAAATCTCTTTGTTAGTTTATAAAGGGCTAGACATTTAATATCTATTGAATTGGATATATATCATGACTAAGGGTCAAGTAGTGAGCAAGAAAAATAACAACAGAATAACTAAGTAGTGTAATAGCAAGAGAATAAAAAGGAAAAAAAAATAAATGGAACGAGTTAAAAAATAAATAATACCAAAAAATAAAATCAAAGCAAAAAATAAAAAGGAAAAGAAAAAGTAGCAGGAGAAATTGAAAACTTAAATAATGAAAATTTTGAAATTGATGACAAAGACTTATTGTAACTTTTCTTAGATAGTTCTACTAAGTTAGAAAGTTATGATGTTAAAATCAAATACAGTCCCTTAATATTTAAAATTCTAATATTACAACTCAAAAACAGTTAACACTTATAATAAATGTAAATAAACTTTTAATCATATGATTATATTGATGTATCTTAGATAGAAGAAGTTAAAGATCAAAACATTAAAAATAAATCTACAAAGCAAATGATTGAGTAAGAAGTACTAGAAATGGATTTGTTAGATATGTTTGCAGTTCTTAAAAAATGTTAAAAATTAGATCTATTCAAACTAAAACACGATTGCATTTATTTTGAGTACTTTAAAGTTATAAAAGACATTGATTTATACTCTCTGAGGCTAAAAATAAATCCTAAATATAGTAATATTAAATAGGTTTTACTATTTAAAAACTAATTCTCTTTTGATTTTGATAAACTTAAAAGAGTTAGTATAACTTCGCCTTACGATATAGATGATTTGATGATTATTGACAATTTATGCAGACACCTTAGTGCCTGCCCTAAAGTTGAGAGCATAAAACTAAATCTTTTTGATGATTACAGCACAAAAATTTGCAGAGAAAAGTAGAACTATGAATATGGTAATATCCAATTTTTTAGCAGGTTAGAGAATTTAAAATACTTAGAAAATCTGGATTTGAATATTCCAATTAATCAAAATGTACTTGATTCTTTATCAAACTTTTTGAATGCTAGCTAGAATTTAAAATGCCTCACTTTTTGTAGAAATTTATATTACTATCAGTACGAAACAGACTACACTAAATTCTTTTAGGCTGTAAAGAAATGCTAAACACTGAAGCAGATAGATTTAGATTTTTAAATAGAATAAATTAATATTTATCAACAGGTTTGTTTAGAAACTTATGAGCAATAGAAAGTTAACTTATTTTATTAACCATTTAGTGATTTCATCTCATCAACCAAGAATAGAGTAATTTATGTATATTACCATGAACAAATCCTAAATAAGATAAATTTTCTCATGATTCTGAACTCATTAAAAAACTAAAAAGAAGTTATTTATTTTAATTTTGAAGAAAAAATATTATAATAACTATGCAAAGATAGTGATTTGGATAAAATTCTGTAGAAGTGCTTACAATAAGGGAAAATAACTTAAGTACAAACTTTCCCTTATTCAATTTATTTTTATTGAAACAAAAAAAATATTAATTTTTAATTAGTTTTGTGTTTGATTAATTGTTAATGAAAGTTATTATTTTTGAATTAAAAATATAATTTACTGTATTTCTTATTATTTCTCTATAATTTTTTTTTGTTAAAATTTTTATTTTTTTATATCTTAGATTGTTCGTCTTCGTCTATTTTTAACAACTTAAATTAAAAGAATGTTTTGGAGGAAGAATGATAAATATATTTAGAATTTATTAATTAGAAAAAGGAAAATAAATATATGATAAAAAATATTTTAAAGAATTGAATAATAATAAAGAGTTAAGTGGCTTACAAGATTATATAAAACAGAAGAAAGTGAAAAAATATCAATAATTTGAGGTAATAAATTTTTAAATTAAATATACTTTTCAATAGGTTAGTATATTAATTATAGTGATAGTAGGGTAGTAAAATAGTAGAGTTCCTAACTGGCATTCTATCAATAATTGACCTTTTGAGTTTAAAAATTAAAATAAGTTTGAATGAATAATATATTTCAAATTATGTTTTTATTTTATTAATTTCAATTTTAAAAGCTCTTAATAAAGTATTGTAAAAATTCCGTAAATCTTTAACTAAAAAAAATTATTTACAATATTTTTAAATTTATTAATATACTCTATTTAAGAAAAATAAATGTAATATATTTTAGGTATCTGATTAAATAAATTTTGTAATAACAAATATAAATTTTTAAATTAATTAGCTAATCAATCATATATTTTTATTTTGAGTGCTTTAAGAAAAAATTTTGTATTTATGAATGTGTGTCTATCGTCAATTATTTTTAAATATTAATTAAAAAATGAATACATTAAATAATAATATTAATTCAAAATTTATTTAAAATAAATAACTAATAAGAAATTTATATACTCAAGCAATAACCATTTTATCTAAGCACTATTAATATAAACTTTTTAAATTTTCAGATGCAGAAAAAATTCTTTTCATATAGTAACTAAATTCGATTTTTAGAGGCTAGATATCTTTCAAAAGAGAGCCTAAAATTATTTTATTGTGGAGTTCATTATCTAGCTATTCAAAGAATGTGAGGTTCTTTAATTTTCTACTTTTATTTTCAATAAAATATATCAAAGGATTAACAATTTCATTTTCAATCTCCTTTAAATGTTTTTCTTTTAATTCTTCTTATTCTTTTTTATCAAACTTATCATAAAAATATTAATTATTTTATTAAAAAATTTAGTTGACTGTAACAGACTATAAAAATGAAGAAGTACTTAAACTTCTAATTAAGTTTCCATATCCTTTGCAATTTTATTCTCCATATGAAAAATTGTAGTGATTACCTTATAAATTGATAATTCTGATATTTTTATTTACTTAGATGAGTTCACTTAATGAATTTAACAAGGTTTCATCAAATTTAATATTCAACTGTAAATCATATAAGAATCTGAAATTATTTAATTTTTAAAACAAAAGACATTCTTAATTAATTGGAGTTATTACTCCAGTAATTTCTGATTCTTAATTAGTTTAATAGTAATTTTATGTATCTTAAATATTAATACTGATCTTCTATAATTTTTCAGAAGCTTGTAGAGATGAAAGTAATAAATTTAATTACTCATGGGTTTTCATATTTTAGTTGTTTGAATCATATTTAAATTCTATCAAATTACTCAATTTAAAAAAAATTGGATTATACATATTTAGCATATCAGATTGTACCTCTTGTTACAAATGCATTTTAGAGCTATTTTCAATTTTATTACATTTTTAATATTAAATTTAATAATTGCATAGCTTTAAATACACATTCTCTAAATTTTACTGACAGCCAATAATGTCCAATATATTTTTAAAGTCCACTCTAGCAGATTTAATTTATTTAAATTCATAAAGAAATGCTTAATAGTATTAATTTGTTGTAAAATTTTCGTTTGATTTTAACTAAAATTTTTTCAAAAACATATTTTTTTGAAGGTATTCTAACAAATTGTCAGCTAATAATTAGCTTATCTCAATATCAAGATCAATCTCATGAAGCTCTTTAAGGCTATTTAAATGATTTAATAATTTGTAAGATTAATTATTCTTTAAACTGTACTAATAATTTTCAATTACTTCCTCTTACATAATTTCTTCTTCTTAATCTTTCTCCTCTTTATCGCTATCTTCTTAATCTGAATATTTACTTCCATTGTCATCATAATATTCTTAATATTCATCTTAATCATAGCTTTTATCTTGATCATCAACATATCCTTCTGATTCAATGTCATCATCCTCATTTTTATCATACATTTATTCTTGATCTGATCTATTTTTCTCATTTATCTTACTTTTCTTTTACTTCTAATACAAAGATAGCTCGAAATTAATAACTAAAAATTTTAGACTCGAAGAAGAAGAAATTGATTTAAAAAAGTTGTCTAACTTTCTATTGGTCATTTATTACTTTTAAATGCCTAGTATTATTTTGAGATACTTCAAGTTCTCAAATTAAAATACAAAATCAAAGTTTTTAGGTAAGTAATAAATACTTATATTAGCTGACACTAATTTTCTGACTACACTATTGAAAGCCTGTATTTTTTCTGCTGTATCTAATATAAATCTTGTGCAATCTAAAGAGCTTAAGTATGGAAGCTAAGATAAAATATTTAGCAAACTTAGCTATTCTTATTCACAAATAGAGCTCTATATTGACAAATTCTAAATGTAAGTAAATCCTAAATCAATATTCTAAAGAGATTTTATAAAAGGCTTTGCAAAAAAGGGTATATTTTATATCCATAAACTTTAAATAGCTCTTTATTAGATTATAGAATCAAACAAAAGTTATAAGTAGGTTTGGTAAGTATTCATTTCCTACTTTTTTAAATATCCATCTCCTTTTATATTTACTATATTAAAGTTAAAGGTTGAAGCTATGCAATTTGCTGCAAGCAATATGCTAAGCATATTATTTATGTCAAAATTTAAAGTTATTACTTTAGTATCTACAGTCGATGGCATTAAATCAAAGATAAGTTCATTTGAATTAATCTTTTCAATAAATTTTTGATTTACTTTACCCCCTAATTCAAAATTAATAAAGTTTAATCTTTTTTCATTGCTTAGTTTTTCTTGTAAATTTATTTTAAATTGGTCAGGCTATTTCAAGGTACTCTCGCTGAATTCAAAATAGTTTAAGCCATCAATTTCCTAATTTGAAAAAAATTAATACATTTAGCAAGATCTGTAAATAGAACTATTTGAATCACCTTCCTCTAAGCTCTTTGTGTTGATAATATTCATAGTTTAGTATTCTAAATTTATTCTATTGAACTGTCTGTTAAAAACTTAATTCATAAATAGAATTACTTTGTATTTAATATCATCTATATCCTAATGATTGTCACACAATATTTATGAACCACTATTTTCTAATTAAATTTGATTTGTCGTTATTTAATCAGTTTCTAATAATTTAAAATCTTTCAATATATTTAAGTATTACTCCTTGTTAAATTTGTAATAATCAATTTTTTGCTTGAGTTCTTTGATCCTAATATCTTATTTACTTTATTTCTTCTTTAAGCTTTTCTCTTTCTATTTTTAAACTTCTCCTGATAGTTTTTCCTAATTAATTTATTATCCATAATCATGATCTTATTCGTATTTATTAGAATCCTCAAACACATTAATTATTTCTTACTCATTAAATTCATAATCACTTTAATTATTATCACAATTACTTGAATCCCTTTTATCTTTAATATGTTTATACTCATCAGCCATTTCACTTTCAGAGCTAATGTCAACATCTTAGATTCTTTCATTATTATTTAATCTTTTTATGTTTCCTTCTGCAGAACTATTTCTACTCCTAGAACTTCTGCTAATGCTTCTACTTCTGCTTATTCTTCTAATTCTGCTTATGCTTCTACTTCTGCTACTGCTTATGCTACTACCTCTGCTTATACTTATACTTCTACTTCTGCTTCTGCTTATACTTCTACTTCTGCTTCTGCTTATACTTCTACTTCTTCTTCTGCTTATACTTCTACTACTACTTCTGCTTCTTATACGTCTGCTTTTATTTCTGTAAAAATAATTTCTATAAACATAACTTTTGCTTCTTTCATTTAGTTGTTCATCATCTGAATAACAATAATCATAATCATCATTTATTGAATTATAATTTTATTATTCTGTTTAAAAATGTATATTATCAAACATCCTTGATTATTATTTATATTTAGAAAGCTCTACATTTTTGCTGACTTCTTCAAAGTAGTTTTTTTGAAATTTGATTTGTTCTTTAAAGTCTTTTTGGCATTTATTTTGGTCTCTAAAATTTCTTTAATATCTTCCTCTCATTTTTCTTCCTTGGAAATTTATATATTTTATTTTATTTTATTTTTTTTACATTTTAAATATAATGTCCAACTATTTATAAAGTATTTGCGTAATGTTAAAAACAAATAATCTAGAAATTTTATAGAAAATTTATTCATAAATAGTCTATAAGAATTTTATAATTAGTTGTCTAATTTGATTAAATGCATCTACTAAAAAAAATATTATATCTTTAAATATTAAGTTCTATTTTCTTATTCTTTTACATTCTTTAGAAAGTATAAAGAAACTTTTATACAGATTTAATTTAACAAAGATTTTATTCAATATAAAAATATGTAAAAAATTCACTTTTTATATGATCTCCTTAATAGGTAATTAATTTCTAACAAAAAAGATAAAAAGAGTTTTAGAATAATCTTTTTAACACATAATCTAAAATTTATTTTATTTTATCACTCTATTTAAGGAATATTTATTTGAAAGCAAATAATATGAAAATTTTACTTCTTGGGTTAAACCTTTAGTAATAATAGTTTTTCATAAACATGCCTACTCATTTAATATATTTTTTTTTAAAGAAAGAAACAATATATGAATTAGATTGAGTTAAACCTTAGAAATAATAATTTTTAGTTAATCTACTAATTTACTAGAATCTTTGAAAAAGAAAGACACAATAATCATCAATCCAAAAAAAAAAATCAATTTAAAAGAAATCGCGTCAGTCAGGTTTAAATCTATAGAAATAAGAATTTTTAGTTAATCTATTAATTTAATAGACTCTTTGAAAAAGAAAGACACAATAAATGATCACCAAACCAAAAAAAATCTCAATTGAAAAAAAACTGTATTTGAAATTATTTTATAAAATCTATGATTAAATATTATTTTTCATCTGTATGTATGATCTCATTTAATGAAATTAATTTTTAGATCATTTCCAATCAAACAGAAATTAAAGAAATAGTTGTTATAAATTAAAAGTGAGCAAATATTTATTATTATAACTTTGTGTCTAGAATTTAAAAGTTATTCAAAAACTTATTTGGCCTTAAAAATATTTATATATAAAAAATAAATAATACATAAAATTAAACAAATATAGGAAAATGAAATTGAATTCTGATTCAAATAAACCAGGCATTGGCTTAACATAAGATCAGGTTTTTCAAAATGAATACTTAAGTTATTTAAAGCAGTTATCTAAAGAAGAAGATTTAAATTTGATGTCAGAAATAATTTAACCTTAATTGTTCAACATTAATGAAATTTCTAGTTTCAAAGAATAACTAATTTAAAATAAATTCGAGCCTCTCTAATTAATTTTTCCTATTAAAAATGGATTTGATGTCATTTCTAAAAACTTAAATGAGCTAGATAATAAAATTGTAAAGCTAGAACAATAACTTTGTATCGGAGAAAATTAAAATGGTTTAGGTGATGAAGAGATATAAAATCTAAGAACAGATTATTTTTTGGACAATAACAGATAATAATTAAATAGATTGGAGTTTAGTTATCCTAAATTATAAGATGAGGAGCAAAAATATAATTATTAATAAACATAAATATCTCATTCAGTTCAAGCTTAAATATTATAATTCTCACATGATTTATATCAGAAAAGTCATTTTAGTTTAGACTATGATCTATAACAGAAGATTTAGTTTCACATGGTTGGTTAATCTTTGAAAGAAACAGGAGATTTAGTAAAATTAGATTAGTCACTTAATGCTTGGAAAAAATAACTTTAAAATATAAAAATGTTCACTCTAAATTTATATGATTTTAGTAAGAAGTCTACTTTTTTATCATTATTGAGATATTTGATAAGCATTAAAAGTAATTTTCTTTGCATTTAAGATGTTGAAATTAGACATCATAATAATAAAATTAAAAAGAAAAAAGGTATAAAAAACTCTGAAGCCTTTGAACTACTTGATGAGGCATATTAAATCTGCTTAAAGAATAGAAATCTACAATCACTTGAAATCACCAGCTCTAATCCAATTAATTTCGATTCGTTCTTATCTGCAATGACTAATGTTGATTTAGCAATTAGCAATATCTGTTTTTTGAGTTTGGAAATAAAAGATGTAAATGTAGAGCAGTAGCAGCTTTGCACTTTCTTTTCATGTTTGAAAGAACTTCAGTATTTATAACACTTGACTCTTAGTAGTTTAAAAATTACTGAATAAGAAACATTAAATAGCCTGAATTAAGTTTTAAAAAAGTAAAAATATGTAACTCTTTAAATTAGTTATTTAACTGATTCAGTAGATCTTAATTTAAATTTAGAGTAAGCGCAGTTTTTGAATCTTCAAATTGATTTAGCTGAGTTTCAATTAACAAAAAAGCAATAGCTAAATCTCTTTGTTAGTTTATAAAGGGCTAGACATTTAATATCTATTAAATTAGATATATATCATGACTAAGGGTCAAGTAGTGTGCAAGAAAAATAACAACAAAATAACTAAGTAGTGTAATAGCAAGAGAATAAAAAGGAAAAAAAAATAAGTGGATTGAATTAAAAATTAAATAATTCCAAGAAATAAAATCAAAGCAAAAAATAAAAAGGAAATGAAAAAGTAACAGGTGAAATTGAAAACTCAATTAATGAAAATTTTGAATTTGAAGATAAAGACTTATTGTAACTATTCTTAGATAGTTCCTCTAAGTTAGAAAGTTATGATGTTAAAATCAAATACAGTCCCTTAATATTTAAAATTCTACTATTACAACTAAAAAACAGCTTGCACTTATAATAAATGAAAATAAACTTTAAATCATATGATTATAGATATTTATCTTACAGAGAAGTCAAAGATCAAAGCATTAAAAATAAATCTACAAAGCAAATGGTTGAGTAAGAAGTACTAGAAATGGATTTGTTAGATATGTTTGCAGTTCTTAAAAACTGTTAAAGACTAGATCTATTCAAACTAAAACACGATTGCATTTATTTTGAGTACTTTAAAGTTATAAAAGACATTGATTTATACTCTCTGAGGCTATACATAAATCCAAAAGATAGTGATATTAAATAGGTTTTACTTTTTAAAAACTAATTCTCTTTTGATTTTGATAAACTTAAAAGAGTTAGTATAACTTCGCCTTACGATATAGATGATTTGATGATTATTGACAATTTATGCAGACACCTTAGTGTCTGCCCTAAAGTTGAGAGCATAAAACTAAATCTTTTTGATGATTACAACACAAAAATTTGCAGAGAAAAGTAGAACTATGAATATGGTAATATCCAATTTTTTAGCAGGTTAGAGAATTTAAAATACTTAGAAAATCTGGATTTGAATATTCCAATTAATCAAAATGTACTTGATTCTTTATCAAACTTTTTGAATGCTAGCTAGAATTTAAAATGCCTCACTTTTTGTAGAAATTTATATTACTATCAGTACGAAACAGACTACACTAAATTCTTTTAGGCGATAAAGAAATGCTAGTCGTTGAAGCTGATAGATTTAGATTTTTAAATAGAATAAATTAATATTTATCAACAGGTTTATTTAGATACTTATGAGCAATAAAAAGTTAACTTATTTTATTAACCATTTAGTGATTTCATCTTATCAACCAAGAATAGAGTAATCTATGTATATTACCATGAACAAATCCTAAATAAGATAAATTTTCTCATGATTTTGAACTCTCTAAAAAACTAAAAAGAAGTTATTTATTTTAATTTTGAAGAAAAAATATTATAATAACTATGCAAAGATAGTGATTTGGATAAACTTCTGTAGAAGTGCTTACTGTAAGGGAAAATAACTTAAGTAAAAAATTTCCCTTATTCAATTTACTTTTATTGAAATTAAATAAATAAAATGTTTGTTTTTTAATTTTTAATCAGTAGTCTTGTTTTATTTCAAAATTAAAAAGTTCTAAAAAGTACTCAGACTCATAAATCTTTTAGCCTTCATAATTATTATAATATTCGCAATGACTCTATGTGTTTTTATCACCTTTCATTTCATTTTATACTTATTTTTAGTTATTCATACTCTTATTTTCTTTATTTAGTTTTGTTTAAGGATAAATAGAGTTTTTGTTTCTTCAAAATAATCATTTTAAAAATTATCAAATTTTTTGACAAAAATAAATATTATTTTATCTATTTATTTTGTTTGTACTCAAGTCCTTTAAAAATTTTCTTTTTACTTTTTCTTATTATATAATTAATAAAAAATTGATTGATAACTAATTAATATGAATGATAAGTATTAATTTAAATAATTAAAAAGTTTTCATCCATCACTAATTTTATTTAAATAGTTATCAACATTTATATTGATGCTAATTACATTCATTTTAAACTAGACAAAAAACATTAATAAAAATCGTGATGTTAAATAAAAAAATTATATCCTCCTCACTATTTACATCAAAAACTATTTAACAAATTAAATACATCTATCTACACATAATGCATTAAGTAAATATGTAAATTTTGTTAACCATACAGTGCTAGGTAAATTATTATAAATCCAATACAGTATAAAATTAGTAATTACAGTAGACCAATTTAGATAGTATAAACATATATTTATTAAACTAAACAAATCATTTTTGTAATAAGATAGTTTCTAATATATTGATTGATAAGTAATATGAACTTCTTCTCATATAAATAATTAATAATTATTTTTTTTCTTTTGCTTATTAAACAATATATTGATTTTTATGTTTAAAAAAAATAAATTATGATTGTACTCATTTGATTAAATAGAAACAAATACCTTTTAAATAATTATTTTTTATTTTTCATTCTGAATTTTCAAATGATTAAAAAATATTGCTAATAATAGTAGTGATTTTTACTAATTTTCAGATTTTGAGTGAGTCACTTTACTTTATTGAGTAGATGTCTATATTTATTACAAAAATAATTAATATAATTACTTAAGTTAGATAGTTATTTAATTAAAATAAAGTTAATTCGCTGTAGATCGTCATTAATTTAGGGAAGAATACATAATGGGAATTTTAGAAAATATCTATATATTTTTTTAAATAATTATTGTTGAAGATATAATTCTTTATTGAAAACATTTTTAAAAGCATGGTAGATTTAATTTAAAAAATATAATTTATTTTCATTCAACCATAAATATAAACTATTCATTACATTTTTTAAAAATTAATACATTTTTAGTTAATAAGGCTAAGATTGATGACGTATAATATTTCTTATTGTGATCAGAGAGATTTATATAGATATATAAATGAAGTAAGTACAAAAATATTAAAAACTTTAAAAAAATAATTAAAAAATGAACGAGCAAATTAATTTTTTTGCCAATTAGTAATCAATGTGAAATTATTTATTTGCATAAAGAGTCAGTACACTCATATTTTTTTTCAATTTTGTAATATTATGATCGATTGTTTTTGATTTCATACTATTTTAACAATTTTTAAGAAAGTGTAAATAGTAAACAAAAATGAGAAAAGGAAATTTAAAAAAAGAAAGATGATTTAGAACGTATTTATTACTGTCTGATAATAGATATTTAAGATAATAAAAAACAATGCTTTATTTAAATAATATATATTTGCGAATTTTCAGGTTTATTAAGAAATTTTTATCAAAATTAACAAAAAAAGAAAAAAATAATTAAAGAATAGTTAATGATATAAGAAAAGTGAAAGGGATTTTTAATGAACTTATAACAATAAGAAACAAACAATTAATCAATCTATCAATCATTCTTTATGTAAATAAAAAAAATATAATCAATATTAAAAATGTATAATTCAACTTATTTTTGTCAATTACTAATTAATGTTAAGTTATTTATTTTAATAGAAAGGGATAAACATACACCAATTATTTTGTTTCAATTTTTTAATATTATGATTGATTGTTTTGGATACTCACTACTTTACAAATAATTGAGGAAGTGTAAAGAGTAAAAAAATTCAGAAAAAAAAATAATGTTAAAGCAAGTTGATTTAGTATTTATTGTTATCTGATAATAGATATTTTAGATAAAGAAAGACAATGTTCTCCTTAAATCATAATTAGTTTATGCTTTTAATTTTTTAGGAAATTAGTATTTAGTAATAAGAAAAAGAAAAAAATAATGAATAAATACTTATTAATATTTTAAAAAATGAAAGCAAGTTATTTTGATAAATTCTAAACAATAATTAATAAACAATCATTTTTGATATAAATAAAGAAAATACTGTAAATCATAATTAATTAAGTCTTCTTTATATTAAGGTGCTATTAAGATGTTCTGGAGTTTGATACCTTCTTTTTGTCTAAAAAATACCACTATTGAAATTAGGTCTTATCTCATGAGGGTTTATAGTATTAATTTCCCTCTATTAATAACTGATTTTAATCTTTATTTATATCAGTAAATAGTTAACTCTTCAAATTCACTTGGATCTCTAATGCAATTTTGTAAGAATTAAATCTTTTATTAGACCTCTTACTTGTTAACGACTTTAGATCTTTCTAACCAAGCAATGCTCTCATTCTATAAAAAATCCAGAAGCACCAATTTATAAAATTTATGAGTTATTAAATACTTCACCACCGAATAATTGAAAGAGTGGCTTTTCATATATCTTCCTAACTATTTTTAAAGATTTTTAAATTTATTGATTGATACTTCTTTCGCAAATTTATTGTCCTTTATTTATTTAAAGTACTTCAAGAATGCTTATACTATATTCTTAAGAATGTTTTATGTATTTTATTTTTTGCTTTCTGTGCATAGAGTTTCAGAAAAATTTTTATTTTAGCTTTGTGTATCATTATTTATAATAGAAGTAGAGATATCATTATTTTCACTTTTAAAATACTAATCAAATGTGTTTTATTAAATTTGTATAATCTCATTTTTGTTTGAAATGCTATTATAGCTCTGATTAAATTATTAGTTCTCGTAATTATTATTATCATAGCTTTTTAAATTATGCGTTTATTGTTGTTTCTAAATAGCATTTCCTTATATTTCTTACAAATTAAAATAAGGTTAACACTACTATTGATCTGTCAAGTCAACTTGGCTCATCATCTCTTGATTATTTTAATACTAATTAGTCAAGCTTTCTTTTTTTCTTTCAAATGAGTCAATATTAAGATTACACGAGTGGTCTCGTTTTATATCTAAACTAAAAATTTCTAAAAAGTACTCAGGTTCATAAATCTTTTGGCCATCATTATTATAATAATATTCTAAATCTTTCTACCTTCTTTAATCATTTTTAATTTCATATTTTACATAGTTTTAGTGATATATACTTTAATTTTCTTGGTAAAGTTTTGTTTAAGGCTAGATAGAGTTATGTGATACTTCAAAATAATCAGTTTTATAAATTATCATATTTTTTGACAAAAATATATGCTATTTTATATTTGTTTTTACTTAAGTACTATAAATAATTTCTTTTTACTTATTCTTATTACTAAATAAAAAATTGACTCGAAGTTAATTAATATGTACGATAAGTATTAATTTAAATGATTATAAAACCTTCAACACTGATTTTATTTAAAAACATAGAAATCTTAATGTTCAATAAATATAAGTAAGTCCTCACTATTTACATCAAGTAATACTTCAATGAGTTAATATATTTTCTACAAATTTTAGGTTAAGTAAATATGCATAATTTTATTAACCTTAGAGTATAGAGTGCAAGGCAGAGTATTACTCATTAAATTAAAAACAGTATAAAATAAGTAATTATAGAAGACCAATTTAGATAATATAAAAATAAATTTATTATATATTGTTATTCTCGAATAATCATTTATCAAAGTATGAGATAAATATTTAGTAGAGTAATAAATATTACTTTTTAAATTAAAATAAAATGTAAAAATAATAAAAAAAGGTTTATTTAGAAATAAGTTTAGAAAGAACTTATATAAACAAAAAAACAAAAAATGTATAATCAAAGATTTAAATTTTTGAAAATTTTTATGTCTAACACTTACCATAAAACCTAGTTAACTTGCGAACAGCAAATTATTTTTGATATAACGAGGTTTTCATTCATTAAAAATTTGTTAAAAATTGTTTTTAAAAAAGTCTAAAAAGTAGCCCTCCAAGGAAAATACTTGGAAGGCGAAAAAATAGTGTGGCAGAGAGGTTTTTTACCTGTACTGATCTAAAAATGCTCCGATTGTAAATTCTCTAAAATATAAATGAAAGAAAAAAAATAACACATTAGTCAAGTTTCACAAAATTTTTGAGTAAAATATTTGCCTTTAATTTCAATTTAAATTATTATACTTTTAGTTTGTTTACTTCCTCTAAAAAAGTTAATAAATAATAGCTTATTAATTTTTTTTCTAATTCACCAAAAAACTTAGATTGTTAAATTAAATTTCTTCTTTATATTTACAAGTTTTATTAAACATTTATAATATGAATTAAAACAAAACTTAATTTTTTTTTGCTTTTTAAAATATCGCATAGACCATACAATACAATTATTAGTTGAGAAAATTATAAAAAAGTAATAGATCTAACTTAGAAAGAAATAAATGATTTATTAATCATTCAAATATTGTTAGTTAGGATAATAATATTGATGACGTATTATATTTTTTAAATTAACTCTTTTAGTATTCATATTTATATAAAAAAACATGTCTAAAATAATAAAAACAAAAACAATTAAGATTAAATTTATTTATTCAATTATTAATCAATATTAAATTATTTATTTATTTTCAAAAGCAATAAATACAATAATAATTTTTTTCAATTTTTACAACATTATGTTTGTTTTGGGTTCATACTATTTTAAAAGTAATTGAGGAAATGTAAATAGTAAAGAAAAATTGGATAAATAAATTTTATCTTATAGCGAGTTGATTTAGTATTTATTATTGTTTGTTTGGTAATAGATATTTTAGATAAAAAAAAACAATACTTTAATTAAATCAATCATAATTTTTTGTGAGTTTTTTAATTTATTAGTAAATTAGTATTTAAGGTGAAGTAAATAAGAAGAAAATAGTGAGTAAATAAATAATTATTTTTATAAAAATGAAATATTTTTGATAAATTCCAAATAATAATTAATAAACAGTTACTGTTTAAAAAATGAATACCATCAATCCAAATTAATTAATGCTTTTTTATATTATGATATCTTGCTAAAATGTTCTGTAATTTGATTAAGGACATTAAACAAGAGTTTGGAAAATTTTTTTCTAGGTACTTACTTAATATGAAGTTTTTTTAATTTTAGGTTTCTAACTATAAGATACTAAAGATAAAATAGAGTTTCTTGAAAGAAAATAAAATTCTAATTATAAGGAAATAGTAGTGTATACTGAATGATTTTAAATCAAAGGATTAAAGGTCAGATATTATTTTTTTATCAGACGAATTTATCAGAATTAATTTTTAAAAAAATCACCCTTACAGATAAACATTCTAAAAAAATTCTTTAGTAGGATCTGGAAAAAATCCTTTAATTAGTTCCTTGATTAGACATTTTTTAGTGTTCTTTTTTTAGGGTTGCATAAAGTATGCCAAGTGAAATATGAGAGATTATTCTCTAAAACTGGCTTTATTCTAAATAAATAAAACTAAGATAATTAATTTAAATTAAATTTCTTCATTAATATATTTAAAGTTTTTTACAAATTTTATTCAACATTTATAGTATGAATGAAGGATTATAAAACTTAATTTTTTTTTATTTATTTAAAATATTGCTTTTGACCATATATTCATTTTTTGAAAAATTATTAAAATATGATGATAGATCTAACTTCAAAAAAAGCAATAATGCATTAATCATTCAAGCAATGGATTTAAAACTTTTCTATTTAAATTGCCATAATATATTTTTAGTTAATAAGAATATATTATTCATGACGTATTATATTTTTTAAATTACTTCTTTTAGTGGTCATAGATAGATGTAAAAAGAAAACAATTCTAAAAATAATAAAAAGTAATATTATGATTGTTTTGGGATCTATACAACTTTAAAAACAATTGAGGAAATGTAAATAGTAAATAAATATAAGATAAAGAAATTTAATCTAATAAGGTGTTTAGAACTTATTGTTGTTTGATAATAGATATTTTAGATAACAAAAAATAATGCTTTACTTCAATCATAAAATTTTGTGATTTTTTAATTTATTTGTAAATTAGTATTTAAGATTAAGATAAAAGAAGAAAATAATAATGAGTAAATAAATAGTTATTGATTTTTTAAAATGAATTATGATAAATTCCAAATAATAATTAACAAAAAGTTACTGTTTAAATAAATTAATAAAATACCATTAATCCTAGTTAATTAAGGCTTTTTTACATTAAACATCTTACTAATGTGTTCTGTATTACCTGCTATATAAAATTCTATCATTTTAAATTCAATTAGGCCTTAATTAATGAGGATTAGTGGTATTAATTCTTCCTTTTTTTGTTAATAATTGACTGTAAACTTATTTTAAATCAGTAAATAGTCAACTCATCAAATTTCTTTGGATCACTAATGCAATTTTGCAAAAATAAAATTTTTTCTTAGACTTCTTACTTGTTAACGACTTTAGATCTTTCTAACCAATTGATGCTCTCGTTCTCTAAAAAATTCATAAGTACTAGTTTATAAAATTTATGAGTTATTAAATATTTCACCACTGAATAGTTGAAAGAGTGGCTTTACAAATACCTTCTTAACTATTTTTAAAAATTTTTTAATTTATTGATTGATACTTCTATTGTTAATTTATTGTCCTTCATATCTTTAAAATATTTGAAGAATGCATACACTATGTTCTTAAGAGTGTTTTATGTATTCAATTTTTTGCTTTCTATACACTAAATTTCACAAACAGACTCCTTTTAGCCTTGAGTATCATTTTTTATTTTAGAAGTAGAGTTATTATTGTTTTCAGTTTTTAAAAAAAACTATTCTTATACATTTGATTAATTTTGTATAATTTCATTTTTGTTTTCAAAGCTATTTTAGCTCTAATTAAATTATTAATTCTTATAATTGCTGTTATCATAGCTTATTAAGCTATTATTAATATATTGTTGTTGCTAATTAGCATTTATCTATATTTCTTACTAATTGAAATAAGATAAATACTATTGATTTGTCAAATCAAATTGGCTAACAAACTCTTGATTATTTAGATACTAGTTAGTGAAGCTTTCTTTTTATTTTTCAGATTATCCAATATTTAAATTACATGAGTAGTCTTGTTTTAGGTCTAAATTAAAAAGCTCTAAAAAGTACTCTGGTTCATAAATCTTTTGACCATCATAATTTTAATGATATTCACAATTACTTTATGTTTTCTTATCATCTTTCATTGAATTTTTTATATATTTTTAGTGACTTATACTCTAATTATCTTGATAGTGTTTTATTTAAGGCTAAATAGAGTTATTTGATACTTCAAAATAATCAGATTTATAAATTTTCATATTTTTTGCCAAGAATAAATAATATTTTATCTTTATATTTTTATATTTTGCTTGTACGCAAGTAGTTTAAAAATTGTTTTTTGCTTATTTTTATTACTAAATAAAAATTTGATAAAAGAAAACTAATTAATATACTTAATAAGTATTAATTAAATGTTTAAAAATTTTCCATTATTGAATTTATGGAAGTAGTAATTATATATATTTTTATATCAATCATAACTTATGAAAACAAAATAATCAAAGAATTTGTAATGTTTAATAAATATAGGTAAGTCCTCGCTATTTATATCAAATAATACTTAACTAATTAAATATATTAACTACAAGTGATATGTTAAGTAAATATGTATAATTTTGTTAATCATAAATTGTTATGCAAAGTATTAGTTTAAATTAGGTAAAAACATTAGGCTAATTTAGGTAGTATAAAAATTTTTTATCTAAAACTTATTTATTAAGTTATTTCAAAACATTTATAATTAGGATAATTACTAATAAATTGATTAATAATTCGAACTTCTTCTTATATAAATAATTAATAATTTTTCTTTCTTTACCTAATAATATATTGATTTTTTAAATTAAAAAAATAATTAAGACTATCTTTGATTAAACAGATGCATCTATCTAGTTATTTTTAATTTTTTATTCATAATTTTCTGACCAAAAAAATTGCTAATTATAGAAATGCTTTTTAGTAATTTTCTGAATATGATTGAGTATTACTTTATTTCTTAGAAATGTAGTTAAAATACTTATTTATGATAGATAGTTATTTAATTGGAATAAATTTTATTTACTGTAATTCTTCACTAATTAAGGGAAGAATATATTTATTTATGGGTTTTGCAGAAATTATGGAGATGAGGTGAGGAATAAATTTAGAATTTTTATAATGTGAAAGAGTACAACTTTTTCTATATATAATTTAAAACAAATGTTTTAACTAATATTAGTTGAGTAAATAAATACTTACCTAATTATTTGAGCAGTTTTTTTAGATACCATCTAATCCCTCATAGAAAAGAAGTTCGATTTAAATATTTAAAAAAATTAGAATTGAATTCTGAAGAATTAATATAAATATTGATAAAATAAAAATCATTATATGTTTATGAATCTATAAGATTAATTAATATATAACTTACTTAATAACTATTTTGTTTATATTTATTGGCATTTATTTAAATACTATCAAATTTTTATAATAATTAAGATTAGTGATTGAAATATAGGATGAGAGAAAGAAATTTATGTAATAAATTGATAGTCAATATATTTTTGCGAACATAAGATTGATTTACATACAATAAATAAATAAATAGATGTGGATAATTATGCTTGCTTTTTATATTTATCCGAAATTGAAGATTCTTTGACTTTAATTAAGGGAAAACATAGTAAATTTAAAAAGTAAACAATATTTGATATTACAACATAAATTGAAAATTATTATAAAATATTAGATATTAATTTATTTTCAAGGATTTTTAAATTTTATTAGAAAAAACTTAATAATATTTTCTCTTTGTTGATTGATTTCACATAAATTAAAAATAAAAAATCCATCCATCAAACAGTGAGGAACATCTAATTCAATTTTTTAAAATAAAATTTTCTCTAACACTTATTTTTTTCTACTACTTCAAACTTTCCAAAGCATTCAACATTTTCATTCACCAAAAATTAAGAAGCATCAACTTATAAATTCTAAGGGTAACTAAGTAATTTCTCAACATAATAATGAAAGGAATGCCCTTTCATGTACCTCATAAGTTGCTTTCTAAAATTGAATAATTAATTGATTGATATTTAAAATATCATTTTCCCCCCTTTATTTATTAATTAAAAGTGCTTCAAATGTATTTTTAAAAATATTTTAAGAGATTTTTCTGCATTATTTTGATTCTATTTCATAATTTAATTTATTTTTTGCTTATAGTTTTTTATTTTAATTGTTAGTTTCTTTTTTAACCATAAATGAGGGAGTCTAATATCATTTTCTTATTTTAAATACAATTCTAATACATTTTGTTAAATTTCTATATTTAAATTATTGTTTTTGAGGCTATTTTACCATTAATTAACTTTATAAATGTAGTCTAATCCACTTAAATAATTGTTATATAGCTTTTTATAGTCTAGCATATTATTTTTTACTTAACTATCTTAACTATCCTCATTCTAACCGCACTGAGCCTTGCTCTTATCACTTATCTAATTGAAGCAAATCCCTTAAATATTTGACTATGATTATGCTTTTCTATTATCTTTTTAAGAGATATATCCAAGAATACTATTGTTATCTAAAAGGAATAAATAAATAATTTATTTTACTTATTTTAAATAAAATGTTGACATCCTAATTACAATTCTATCAACTATAATTGAATGAAGTCAGGTATTTAAATAGCTTTTATTAAGTAATGGAGATGCTTTTATCCTCATTATTTTAATCTCAGTTCTTATTACATCATAGTAAATGCGATTTTAAAAGATGAATAGAAAAATTAAATTTTTTAAGCAAATTCTTTTAAGTTTTTATCTTTTTAGTTGTCTCTTAGTTATTATAAAGAATATTCTATTTTTATTTGACAAAAAGTAACAAAATCATAAATGGCTACTTCAAATTATTCAGTAAAACATTGTAAAAACATTTCAAAATAAATAAAAAAATAATTTATTTTATAAATAAAAAGTTTATTATTGTTTTTTGTTTTTATTCCTAATAATAAAACTTTCTTTTATTGAAAAATTTACAGAATTTTATCAATATTATTTTTGAATGTTAAAATACAGTTCAAAGATTCTTTTGATTTTTGGTTGTTTGAAAAAATTACATAAAAAAGAGAAAAAACACTTCTTAATTAATGAATTAAAATGACATAAAAATTTGTTCTTTTGTTTGATTTTAAAATTAACTAACATCAAGATTAAATTGAGTCCTTTTTAATTAATAAAATATAAAACTAATTAAACATTTTTAAAATATTTATGATAATTTCTATCCTAAAAAATAGATCTATTTATAGATAGTTAGTTAATTAATTAATCTCTTTTCAATATACTTTTCATAAAATTATATTTTGTATCATTATAAATAGAATATGTCGATTAATTAATTTCTTCTTTTTCCTTTTAATTAATTAATATCTTTTAAATATTTTATCGATGTAATATAATTTTATAAAAATCAAATATTAATTATTTAAGAAGAGTCATCTACTTTTATCTATTTTTGAACACTTATAAAAAGATATAACCCAATTTACTTTTTTGATGCTAAATCTTAGTTTTTTAAATAAAAAACACATAACTGTATTTAAAGCATTATGCTTATAAAATAATTAATAATAAAATTTAGTTTATCATTTTCATTCATTTTCTTCAAGTCTTTTTCTTCTTCAATCTTTAAAGCTTTAATTAAATGAAATATTTTTTAATTTATAATATTTATCTTATTGCATTTAAAAAAAAATAATCATACATTATACCTTACATAATTCTTCTAATTTAAGTGACTCGGATATGACAAAATAAACTCTATGTGTTTAGGGGGGCACGGGGCGGAGGTTGGCAAGAATTAATGAGGATTGAGGAAAATATTTTATAAATTTAGGTCCTAATGATAATAGCAAAAGCATCTAATTGAAGTAAAATGTTAGAACAATTTAAATTAAATATTGTTAGTTTTAAAAAATAATTTAAAATACAAATATTTTCTTATAATAATAACAAATGATTTAAACATACATTAATTACCTAATAAATACATTTAATGATATAAAAAAGGTTATTTTATCATATTATTTTATATCTTAGTTAAAATATTAGAAGCATTTTAATTAAATATTTTTAGTATTAAAAAAATAATTTAAATTAAAAATATTTTCTTATAATAACATTTAAACATACATTAATTACCTAATAAATACAGAGGATTATTTTAGATTTAAGTTGCTTGCAATTTGTTTGGTTTTGGATTAAAAATATTTTTAATTAGAAAGTAATTGAATATGTAAATAAACAAATAATTAATTGATTTGGTCATACAATTAAAATAATTCTGAAATTTTTTTTCTTAAATAAAATGAATTTTAATAAAGAAAGCAAGCAAGCATGCAAGTAATAATTTATTGATTTTTTTATTAATTTATAAGATAATTTATTTTATCAAATTAAGAAGCAATTGAAATTTTCTACGAATTTACCGAAGTGAGTTTTTGAATAAGAAGTTGAATAAGATATTTATTTTTATTAATTTTTGTGTGTATTTTGGTTATTATTAAAATAGTTTTATCAATTTAAATTTTTATTATAAATTTGTTTTGATTTGAAAGTACTTATTTTCTATTTATTATTTATCATTTATGATTGAAGTATAAGGAGAAAACTTTTTGTGTCTAACTAAATTTGCAATTATTCATTCATTCATAAAGATAGACTAAAATCATAGCTAAACAATGTGCTCTCTTATATGGTTTGATATTCTACTTACATCAAAATACTATCTAAAAAATAATTTTAAAATGTAGCTTTTTGCTATATTAAAAATCTTACTATGCAGATATTTTATATAAAGTGGACTCAATAATACTCAAAGGATAATCATCATCAGGTATGTCATCGTCCTCTTCCACGTTGCTTGAAAAAGATGTTAAGGGTGATATTTAAAAGTTTTGGTGTGGAAAATTGTGATCTCCCAATTTTAGATCATCATCAATCATTATATCAGGCTCACTTTGAATTTCTTTAGGAGGACTTGAAACAATAATTTTAATTTATGGGACTAATTATTTTATTTAACATATATTTTTAATCTAATACAATATTAATAATTTACTTGAAATTTTCTTTTTTGCATCTCTTTGAAACTATTATGAGCTATTATTGACGTTATTATTGCTATTATTAATGTTGTTATTACTATTATTACTACTATTACTATTGTTGCTAACTTAATTTTATAGAGTAGGGATTCCATTATGAGTATTTTATATCTGTTGAATTGGGGTTTAATTTTAATTATTCTCCTCCTACTCTTATGTAATTTGTAAATGTTCAGCCATTACCAGCATCTTTTAATTTCATTTTTTGAAAACATTAATAAAAATTTATAATATTAATTAATTAATAAATAATTATTGATATCTTTAAAATATTAAATTCAATAAAAAATTTCTTAAAAATTATAATTTGAAAAATATCATTTTGAAATATTTATTCTTTCTTTTTTTGAATCCACAATATGTTTGTCTTTTAGCTTTGTGTCTAAAATAGACAATGATTTACAAATCAGATTATCAAATAGATTGTAGAATATAATTAGTATTATATTTAGCCCTTTAAATAAAGCATATTTTAAAATCATTTAACTGTTTACCATTTGCATTACATCGTCTATTAACTTTTAGTTGTCTCCTTCATTTAAATTATAAAGCTTTTCATAATAATCTTTTGAGTTGTTTCTTGAGTTTTTTCTGATTGGTTCATTCTGTTTATAAAAAATTATATGAAGTTTAATTTTATTGATTGATTGATTGATTGAGAGTTTGGCTGTAAATTATTCTTTTAATAGAAGTGTCTCTTTTGATTTATAAATAATTGAATCAAAAAAAACATACATTCTCCATGGATTTCCCTGCTGATTCAGCCTTTCTATATGGATATTTTCTTGGATCTTATTACTTCTAATATTGAATTTCTTATTTTGGTCTTTTTATTGCATATTAAGCAAACATATTTGCTTTTGGCTGATATTTTAAAAAAAACAATTTCAATTTTAATTTTAGTATTCGAAAATGATAAATAAATAATTTTAGATTTTTATATTTATGGCTAGTATAAATATTGCACAAATATTATCATTTTACTTTTTATTTGGTTATCTTCTCAAAATTTTTAGAGCACTTCTAATATAAATCTTTGATGTTTGTAACGCCTTTATTAGTAAAATATCTTAATGCTGAAATAGATATGAATAATGAATTAGCAAAAACCTGCATTTTTAATCATTCTAAGCATTTCTAATTTATTGCTTGCTAATACGCTTGTCAAGTTAATTGCATCTTATGCTTTAATCTTTTTATTTTTAACATCCTCGAAATATTTTTCAATAAGAAAAGGATTCTAAGTTTATTTATTCATTTCTGCCTTGCTTTTTAGCCTATTTTGTAAAATAGTTAGCTATAAAATTTAATTTGCAAACTCTAAGGTAAAAAATTAATACTTCTTTTTCTTTTAACTTAACTTCTGGCTCTAAAATTCCTTTAATATAGTATAGAGTTCTAATAAAAAATAAAGGCTTCTGTTGATCATAAATTTTTTTTAATCTTACAAACATTTTTATGGTAAATGTGCAAATTTCAAAATAAAAAAAATATTTAGCCAACAACTATTAATTCCAATTAAGATTTTGATGTTAATTAAAATAACCACATGAATACATATTTAATAGTAATCTCTACACTTTAACTAGTACTAATTAACGTAGACCAGCTAGCTAACTAGTTCCCTCTTTCAATATTGTAAATTTGTTTCATTTACATTAAATTAAAATGCATTACTTAAAATTATAATTTAAACATAAATTTTTTATTCTGTTTCTTTTTAAAAGCATATTTTCATTCATTTTTTACTTATCTAAATTCATTATAAATTGTAAACATTATTCAAAAAAAAAAAATTCTAATAAATAAAAATGCAAATTTATCAATAAAAAAATTATTTTAAATTTAAATATATTTCTTAAAGCTACTGACTGAAATTCTTCTTAAATAACTTTAACTATTTTTAGAGATACTAAATAAAGTAAGTATAAATAAACCAATAACTTATTTGATTATTTTTGGTTTCAGACTACCTCAAAATCTTATAAATTTTAACTCATTTAAGATTACTTTGATTTTATTTATAAATTAATTAATTAAGACGAGAATAAAATTTTATTTTTTAGTAAGTTCAACTTATTTTAAAACTTAAACTCATTTATTTACAAATGCTTTATTTAAAAATGGGTTAAATCTTTAGAGCCAATTTGTTCTAAATATATTTTGATTAAATAAAAAGTTTAACTTGTTATATTTATATTTCAATGCTTTTTGATGACTAGGATGGTGGTGTTTTTAATAAGAAATATCGCGTCTTTTTGAGATACATTTAAATCTTCTAATTAGATAATTTAAGATGTGTCAATGTTTTAAAGAACAGCAAGACCTGACAAACAGCAAGAAGCTATTATATTTTTGGGTCTAAATGAAATATTAATTATCTCTGAAGGATGCTAATACTATTAAACCATTCTAGTAATTACTTTTTCCTTCAATGAAAAAATATATATTGTTCTTACACTCACCAATAATATATTTTCCTTATCAATTTTTTCTATGAGATTCACATAGCCATTAATATCGTTTGTTGAGGATTTTATCTAAATTTGATTAATTTGTTTAGAATTTTTTTACTGCAAATCATTAGTAGAAGAAGAAGAAGATACCTACTTTTAATTTCCTTCAAAGAAAAGATTTATTTTTTCAAACTAAGATGCCTAACTATCTAAATTTTACTCTAATCTATAAATAATAATTGCATTCAAGATGCCAAATATTACAGTGCTTTTGTCTATTATCTTATAACACTTGACTTGAAAGTTCTTTTCAATAAAACCTGCTTTCTCGTCAGAATTAAATATGTTAAATATCCTGATTCCATCTGTGCTTTTCATGTTAAATGAGTTTATGAAAAGCAAATTATTTAGAAAGAAATACCAACTGTTAAATGAAAAAGTGAAATTTTTGCCTTTCAAAGCTACTTTGATTTATTTATATTTTTTCCCTTATGATATTTTATACAAATTAAAACTATTTTGAGTCATTACTGAAAGAATTTTATTTGTAGAAGAAAACTAAATGTTTTTTATTTTCTCATTTACTTTCAATTTAAATATTAACTTTTGCTTCTTTAAATTATAAACTAATATTTCATCATCATTTTATTCTAAAGTCCCCAATAAATTGTCTTCCATAATTATTGCTTTCCATATTTATTTCTTCTTTTTTAATTCCTCAAAATTTACAACCTAAAGCATTCTTTGTTCATAATTAATTATTAAAATTAGCAAAATTCTTATTAATTATTTCAAAATTTAAATTAAAATAACACAAAATTGTCTGTCTTATGAATATTTTATTCTTCTAATTAACACAACATATATATATATATATTTATAAAACTTAAAAAAAACAAAATTTATTTAATCATAAAGTTAATAATAAAACTAATACCTTAAAAATAATTTAAATAAATCTTAAACAAAAAAACCAAAAATTCTAATCAGTTAAAAAAAAATGCAAAGTATGATAATTTTATAAATTTAATAATATAGTGCTAGCTAATGAGGATTTATAGTGTATTAACAAAATTAGATTTGAAATTTTACGATTTTCTTCAAAATATAGAAATAAAATACGAATATAAATATAAATATGCTTGAATGATGGATTGATTGACTATAACTAACTAAAATATTTATTTGATATTATAATAAATTATTTATTTATTTATTTAAAATATTTTTATATATAATTAATTTATATAGGTATAAGTAGTATTTTTTTATTTATTTATTTAAGTGTAAATTTGCTTTCAGTTTTGTTTTTGGAATTTTTTTAAGAAATTGACTAGCAATTGGGGCTAATTAGTAATTATACAGTCAACTCCAATATCATAAAGTCTTTTGTAGATATTAAAGTTTTCGATGACATCAAAATCGAAGTAAGTAGAAAGTCTCATACCTCTTTCTTATGCCTTGAAGATGTAAGGTAATGCAAATTCATCGTAGACAAAGTTGCAAGGGAATGCAAGGATGTTTCCTTTGAAGTTAATCTAATCAAATGTTTAGAAATCTTTGTGTTCCCAGATAAGATAGCCGAATTGAATAGAGTTAGTAGGTAAGTTATGAGATTCAAGAGCTTAGATCAAAAGTGGTTAATGATAATGGAGGAAGGAACTGAAATGAACCTAGCCAATCATTCCACATTCAATGACCAAGTTAAGAACGTTCTCGCACATTTCATTTTCTCTTCCTTTAATTTCAATATTTACATGTACTTTATCTTTGCATGTAAATAGGACATCACGAAGCAAAGGGCACTTTTCTCCTTTAATAGTGTATTTTTCAGTTATTTCTTAGAAACTCATTTCGTTAATCTTTTTGAATGATCCATCATCAAGTTGAATAGTGTCGTCATCCTTTCCGTGAACAACCTTTTAATTTAAATTATTTTATTTTATTATTTAAAATTTTATTTTTTTAAATTCAACTAAAAAATAAGATTAAAAATGATGTCATTTTTTAATTAACTATTTCTCCTAGTGACGCTAATTAAGAATAATTAATTAATCAATCAATTTCTTTTTTACTGATCTTATTTAAAGTGATTAGTATAAGTTCTATTTGAATTAATTAGCTCAAGACTGGTGAGAGAGCTGGTTTTTAAATTTTGGTAGAAAGTTAATAAATAATTCAAATAAGCTCTATCTGACTGCAACAAAATGATCAAAAAAAATTGATTGATTAAAGGTAGAACCAAAGTTAAAAATAAATTAATTGACATCATACTTAAATATAAATTTAATAGTGATTTAAAAATGTATTACCACAATTTGTTTATCGCTGGTCAACCAGACATCTAATTCAACTGAATTTAAGCCTATTTCAATACCTCTTCTAAAGCAGGGAAGAGTGTTTTCAACCATGTGAATACCGGCTCCTCTATGGCCTTCGGCGATAATTTTATTCTTTAATACAAATTTTTGGGGTTTTCTTATGAGCTTTCTCTTTGCTTAAGGAAGAGATTAATTGCTATCAGCCTTTAAGAGCTAAGGAGAAGAGCTTGCACTGCTTGAGTTAGAGCAGTCTGTAGAGTGATCTTCTAGTTTTTGCTTTTTATGGAAGTATTTTTTCTTTTAGCTATCAATGTTGTCTGTTAATTTAAATGAAAATAATTGATTTAATATAAAGCCTAGCAAAAGCAAATAAAAAATTTACTTAGAAGCTTTTGTTGTTTTTAGAGGGAGCAAATCATTTCTTGTTGTTTGTTACGTGTCTTGCTTGCTTGTTAGATTTTTTTTGCTATTTTGCTTGAGTGTTGATTAACTTTTCTTTTTTATATAAAAAGAAGGAGATTTTGATTTATTGAGTAAGAATTTTATTATATTATTAACTGCTAACGCAATTTGTGCAATTCAATTTAAAAAGATTGGATTTAAATAAGATAGTATGTAAGTATTCCAGCCTTTACTTGTTTCAGTTTATAAGTAATTGTAATGCGAAATTAACAATAATCCCAATTTCGTTATCTATATTACGAAGAGTACCCACCTTTTCGCAATAAATTGACAGTCTCCCCACTAATCAATAAATTAGTTAATTACTTAATTAATTAATTAACTAACTAACTAAATAAACACAAGAGCAAATAAACAAAAAAGTGCAGCAATACAAAAATATGTTAGAAATAAAATAAATTACGATAGTACCAAGAGATCAAAAATTTAAGCAAGTGACGTTATCCCTTAAAGTATTTGTCAGAATGAACTTTCGTCAAAATTAACCCTCAATAAATTTAATCAATATTAAATGATATTACCATCTAAGATTTACGTCACCATCATAAAGATGTTTTTCTTTACTTATACTTTAATTTAAATAGTCTATCAGCCTTCCTTCCTGGGCATATTGTTTATCTATTCTTTGAAATTTTTCTCTTTCTGAATTATATTTGTTTTATAAGTAAAAGAAAAAGCAACCAAAAAAGAAGGTATTAATCTTTTATAAAAATACTTTTCCGATGAAATTACATTTGATAACCAAGATAAATATTAAATAATTCTTGGTTGAGATGAGATTCCAACTAAAAGTCGATAAAAGCCCACCTTAAACAGAGAAATACTTAACAAAGATATCTCAACAAAAAATTCAAGTGAGTTTATATTAAATTCAAGCATGAAAAATAAGGTCTAATTAATTGTATTATTTCAAAAAGGAGAGTAATTGATTGAAATAGATCTAAATTAAACTGTAATAAAAAAGTTTAAAGCGATAATCAATTTAAATGTTGTAATTATCACAATATTCTATTTTGTTTTTAAAATCATAAACACAAAAGTTTGCATTACAATTCTATTTTAGAAGATATTAGATTTTGAATATCTTCACATGTCTCTAATTATTTAAAGCGTTAGGATAAAAATATTTAAGTATCAGATAAAAATAAATGAATATCAATAAAAAGAGATAGTTTAATAGAAGATTTTAGCTAATAATTATGCATTATTTCAAATAGTAAATATTATTATACTATAGTACTATTATCACTCAATTAAAATTTTATTTAAAAAAAATCATCTGGGAGATAAAGGGTATTTATATATTTAACTATTTAAGCATTTATCCACCAACAGCCAGTATTTTTGGCTACCATGAGACAAAATTAAATATTTTTAGCTTTTCTTATTAAAAAATCTTCGGTTTTAAGTTTACATTATTTATTAAAGGCTTTTTTGTATTCAAATTTATTTCCAAAATCTCTGCCAAATTATCATAAACATTTAAAGCTTATTTCTGATTGTTTCTATCAATCAAGTATTTTGTAAATTTCATCCTCTATCTATTATTTTTTGGATTCTTTAATTTTATTTTACTAATTAATATTTCTACCTAGAAATTCTCAAAGTAAATATGTAATTTAAACCTAATAATTGGCTAACCATTCTTTTTAAATTTATTCCGACCTATTATTTTTCAATAAAAAAATTCATTATTTATTAAATTTACATAAATTAAAGCTAAAATATAGATTTTATCAAATTTATTTTTGCCATATTTTTTATCTAAATATTTTGCATAGCTAGTTTTATATACATACATACATCTATCTATCTTCAATTTTTAATATTATATAAAATATTAACAAAATTTTTTAATTTCATTAATTATTTTGCTATTTCAAAAAAATAAATATCCAAATAAAAATTTATTTAATTAAAATGATTAAATTTATTACAAAAAATATTTATTATTTAATACCATAGAGAAAACAAGCTGCCTAAAAGGAAAAAACTCTCTTTTTTATTATTAATCAAATATATTTTTAACTTATAATAAAACAGGTAGATTTGATTATAAGATTAGCAAATCAATTTTTTGAAACGGATAAATATTTTTTTATTTAAATTATCATCAATATTTTTAAAATATTTTGAAAGAAAATTTCTTTTAAGTAGTTCTAAAACAAAAAGTATTTGATTAATATTTTATTCATTTAAAAATATTGATATTTTAGCTTTAATTATTATGGCACCCTCAAATAAACAGAATTATTTTGATTAAAATTTTTATAAGCTTGAAATTGTAAGTAACTTGATTTGAAAAGTAAATGAATTAGATTTATTTAATTATAAAAATTAAGTTTTAATTTAAATCAAAAAGGATTTAGTTTTAATTAATTTTTAAATTGTTAACAAAGTAAAATATTTTATTTAAAAATTTAATAAAATTAAAAAATGTTGTTTTACTTTAAATAATATTTTTTTAATTTAAATGGAAATTATATCTAATTAATTTAAGATACAATTAAAACCAATTAATGAATGAATAGAAATTCAACAAAAAACAAATAAGTAGAAAATTTTGATATTTAAAAAGAAAGTAGAAGAATTAAAAATTCTATTGAAAAGAATTATTTTTATGTTTTCAAGTTAAAGAGATATGTAGAGCAAGGTTGATTTAATTAGGATATAATTATTTTTTATCTAAAATAGAGAGTCATTTCATTGAAAATAAATGAATGTATAAAAAATTTATTAAATAACTCATATTGCTTAGTCTTCTTGCTTGAGTTAGACAAGCTTTTTCTAATTAAGGATGAATATTGCTTATTAAATTTGATTTAATTCTGAATAAGATAGAAATATTTAAGCTTAATTAAATAGTAGACTAAATAAATATAAAGACTCAAAGTAAATTAATTAATTAGATAAATAGATAGATATATAGATAGATAGAAATGGACGCTGAAAAGGTTTTTGACACAAAGAAGGAAGAAAGGTGGATTAATAAGCAAAGATGTTTAATCGTAGCATCAAGAGGTATCAACGATAGACATAAGCATCTTATAGATGATCTTATTTCTATGATGCCTCATTCAAAGAAGGATGCAAAGTTAGAAAAGAGAGAGATTCCCGAATAAATTAGTGAGTTGTGTTTTACTCACTCTTGCACAAGTTTTATGTACTTTGAAGCTCGTAGAAAGACCGATTTATATTTATGGATCGGACGTTTCCCTGATGGACCCTCCGCTAAGTTCTTAATCGAACACAGTAATTAAATAGCAACACTTTTTATCCTTATTATAAAAATAATCGAAATAAAAATAAATATTTATTTAGTTAAAATAAATGGCTCAATTTTTAGCTTAATTTAATCTTTTTTATTATATCAGTTCATGGAAGTGGTGAATTAAAATGCACAGGTAATTGCTTAAAAGGAAGTAGACATGTTATCAGTTTTGATAAGTCTTTCTCTGAAGAACCTTCCTTAAAATTATACAGAGAATTATTAACCCATATATTCAATGTTCCTAGATATCACCCTAAAAGTAAGCCTTGCACTGATCACTTATTAAGTTTCATTTACTCCGACAACAAGTTATGGTTTAGAAACTATCAAGTATGATTTTTAATTACTAGAAAAATAGCATCATTTATTTATATGCAAGCTGAAATAAACTAAATATTTATAAATAAATAAATAGCTTTACTAAGAAACTCAAAATAAGTAGTTAGATAATTAGGAACTATATGAAATAGGACCTAGATTTGTTATGACTCCTATTGCAATTATTGATGGTACAATGATGGGCGAAGTTTTATATAAAAATCCTTAATACAAAACAAAAACTGCCGTATTAATTTATTTTATAAAAAAATTGTATTTACTAAATTTAAAATATAAATTTAGATAAGAGTTCTTAAGAAGAGAGAAAAGATGATGTCCACAATGAGAAAAGAATAAAAGAAGGAATAAAAAGTAAAAACTTTATCTATTAAAGACCAAGTAGATTAAGCAGATAGAATCTTCGAAGATCAAAAGGATGATAGTTTCGAAGAAGAATTCTGATATGTTTATTGAAGAAAAAAAAACAGATAAATAAAAAATTTATATAGATTATAAACGCTTACATTTAATAATAAATATTATTTATTAGTAATTGGAAATTAAATAATTTAATTCTACTTAAAATAAAAAGAACTCATTTAATTAATTAATTTATGTATGTATGTATGTATGCTTGCATTGCTCTAGATAGATGTATCTATTTATATTTCCATATTGCATTTTTTGTTTTGCTTTTTCATTAAATGCAATTTTATTTTCATTTTTAGATAAATTTCATAAGTTAAATTAAAATTAATAAATCGTATTATTCTATGATATATTTATTATTGTTTTAAATGTAAACTTTTATTATTTAAAACCACTTTAAATACTAATAAAGCAATTTTAAACATTAAATAAAACAAAATTATTATCAAATAATAAAAACACACTACAAGTCCTCTTTTGTTGAGTCTCAAAAATATATTTTGAAAATTTTGATAACTGAGATCTTTTTACAAAATTTTCAAAGAAAAAATGATTATAAAAAGATTTCCATATGAAGATTTGCAATGAATAAATCAATGAATAAATAAATAAATAAACAGTTTACAAACAAATAAATATAACTAAAAATAAATATTTGAATAAAGTAATTAATTTCCCATTTTAATTAATTGAAAATATTAATGAACCTTTTTGAAAATAAATCTGAAAAAGTTGATTTAATAATTAAATTGCAAATAAAAATTGTGGTTATTTCTTTTGATAATATTTTATATTTTGAATGTATTATTATTATTTAAAATAAATAATGTTTGTTAATAGTAATAAATATATTTAAATTTTATAAATTATTTTACTATTTATTTACAAATACATAATAATAGTCTTGATAAATTTAAAAAAATAAGACTAATAACAAGAAAATAAATATTTTTTTATTTATTTATTTATTTATTTTAAACTTTAATAGAATAAATAATAATATACAAATTTAAATGATTATTTAGAGTAAAATAAATGGATTGATTTCTAGTATAAAAATAAAAGATATCAATAATATTCTTGTAAAGAGAAAATAAAAAAAACATAAAAAATATCTTATTTTTAACATTTATTTATTATTTTTAATAAATTAATTTTTAAAAATAGATAGCTTGTTTTCATTAATTAATCATGATCGATTATTTTTTATGTTAAAGTAATGGTCTTACATTTTTTTCCTATCAGCCTCTATTTCAGGGTCTTTTTAAAAACCATTATTTTATGCTGGAGGACGACCTTAACGTCTATCTTTTTTTTAATTAGTTTATTATTCTTGTTCAGCTTAATTCATTTTTCTAATATTTATTGATAATTAATTATTATAATAATAATTGAAATTCTATCTACTTAGGTAAAATTTAAATTAGTGATTGAACCAACACTATTTAAAACGCTATCTAATAAAATCTATAATTTGATTTTATAATAAATTCTTTTTTTAATTGAGCTTAACTTGATGGGGTAGTTTATTTAATATAAATAAAAGTATTTTTATTGTTTAAATATTCATAATTAATTAATAAATTATATCAATTTTTCTATTTTAATTTAAAATGAAAAAATGACATTAATAATATTTATAATTAATTGAATGATAATTAATTATGATTAAGAAATTTCTACAAATAAAAACTAAATTAAGATATCTTATGCTTAATTAAATATCTTTGATAAATATTATTGCAGACATTATATCAATCAATTAAATATAAAAATATCTATGTATTTGACATTTTAATTAATTAAATTATTATAAATAATTAATTTTACATATACAAACAAACAAACGAATAAGTATTTATTTATTTAATAAACTGAAAATGTTTAATTTTGCTAATAATTTAAGAAGAGTTGCTTCATCCAATTTGAATCAAAAAGCCAAGTTTTTCTTCTCTGAAGGAGGAAATCCAAAGTTTATTCCTAAGAACAACTCTAAAAAAGTTATTGGAGGCTCAATTGCTCTCACATCTGTGTTATTGTATGGAATTTACAAAAAGTCTAGCAATAATAATGAATTCTACAGCGAAGAGGAACTTAAGAAATAAGGAATTTTCATCGATGATTAAAAAGCAATTAATTAGAATAAGAAAGCATTAGATGCTTAGCTCTCATTAGAAGTAAAGCCTTGGGTTTTATAGTCTTAGAATGGCTAAATCTCCAGTGAGGCTCTAAAAGGAAGATATTATTTTGTTCTCTTAGGACATAATTAATCAATGGTTGATAAATTACAACTTGTTTTTTAGAATATTAAGCAATTGGCTTAAACTAAATACTATCTTTCTCCTGAATTCGATAACTATAAATAAGACATTGAAAACCCTATAGTTTTGAGTGTAGACAGTTAAAATATTCAATTGAATGTAACACCTAACTTTCATATCTTAAACGGAGATAGCTAACAAATAGAAAGAGGTTTTAAAAAGCTGTTTATAAAAAATTACGAAAAAAGAATATTCCTTGTTGACGGCTTAAACGGCTAAGCAGTCTCTGTAAAGCTTGATGAAAATAGTGATTATTAGCTTGTCGGTATGTTTATCTTAAACTATCTTAACGAAGCATCAATATTTAGAAACTTTTTATAATGATTGTCATTAAAAAATATCAATCGTATTTATATATTTTATATAAGGTAACTCAAATACTAATTAATTACTTAATTGATACAAGAAACATCTATCGAAAAATTTACAATATTATTTAGGCAATGTTAAAGCTTATTTTCTGAAAAAAAAACAATAATATTATTTTAAAATAATTCATAAAGTTAATAAAAAAAAATTAGATTAAGATATTATTAAAAAAATTAAATTAAAATTATTAAAATATTTTTTTTTTAAACAAACTCAATCAAATCAAATAAATAAATAAAAAGATATTTAAAAAGTTTTAAAAATAGTTAAATAGAAATCTTTTTCATAACACTTTAAACAAACAATTAAAAATTATATCAAAATCTTTAAAAATAAAGAAATTTTGATAAAATATTCTAAATCATAAAAAAAAATCATTGAAATTGAAGCTGCAATCAATAATAAATTTTTTGGAAACCAATAAAATTTTTTTGAATTTATAAAAATAAGATAGAATTTTTTTTAATAAAAAAAAAATAAAAACTTATTATTAATTAATTGGTCTATCGAAACTTAGTTTTTCTTATGATAAATTTACCAACAAATGAATGAATGGATAGATGGAAGAATACATAAAAGAATATATTAGATAAATTAATTATTTCATTTTTAAATTTGTATTTAAAGAAATTTCAATCAGCGAAAGATTAGTCAAAGGAATCCTATTGCTAGTTACCTCCTTTGTTTATGTTGTTGTTTGGATCGATCTTTGATATTACAAAATATTTTTTAACTTAAATTTTTCAATTCAATTAAATGTAGATTACCTTATATGTTCTATCGAAGTTGTTGATTTTAGGGAATAAGTCAGATTGTTAGCTGTCATTTATCAAGGATTTCTAATCTTTGCGCTTATTCTAAACATTAAAAATAATTAAAATTTTTTTTTTTTGAGGAAAATAATGTTTTACGAATTCAATTTCTTTAACGAAAGTTTTTAGCAATGGTTTGTTATGAAGCTCTTTGGTTTCCTTTTCGAGCTCATCGTATTCTCTCTATTCTATGATGTTAGCAAAAATAGGAATTTTATATATTTAGTGTTTAGAAATAATTTAGAATTCTTCTTAGAACTTGCCAATAATTTCTTAAGAGGTATTCAATCTTACAATCACCTCTCTGGTTAAACCCATAGGAATCTATTTATTAAAAAAATCAGCTTAATTTTAAAAAAAAACTTAATAAAATAACTTACAGGTCCTAATTCATTAAGGAAAACTTTAACATGTTGTGTTTGAGGCTATTTCAAAGTAACTCTTTGAGCTAACACATCTTCATTTTTAATCACAAGCTTTGTTTCGTATATTCTATTAGCACACAATACTCCAAATCTTACTGAAGCAGGAAGAATCTTAATATTATATGCACAAATTTTAATAAAATTCACAAAATGTAATAATAAATCTTTACTTAAATGTCCTTACGAAGTTAGTCATTTAAGTCTGAAGTGAGCATGAGATTTTTTCTATTTTCTAATTCGTCTATATTGAATTTCTTATCTAAGGTTTTAGCCAATGTTTGGTGACTACCAGTATTACGTAATTCGCTTATGCTTGGAGCATTTATGTGCATTCTGTTAGCCATCGAAGCCATCTTAATTCTTTTGTCAGTCAAGCTATCAGTCTAAATGTATTTCTAATTCAATTCTGATATCGGGTTAGTTTTTAATAAACAAGGAACCTATTTTATTAAATATATATTAAAAATATGCTTGAATGTTTGTCTGTTTTAAAATCATAAAAATAATCAGCAAATCTAGTTATTTATTTCTTAGCCAGGCAAAAGAAAAATTATTGTCTGCTAATAAAAATAAACATTTAGAATAAAAGGAAAAAAAAAAAATTAAATTAAATTTAAAAGAATTAGATTAATAAATGGGTTTTATCTAATTATTAAAAACAAACAAACAATAAAAAGGTAAAAACTTTTGAAAGAAAACTTTTGCAAAATTTTTATTTTACTTTTTTGGTTTGGTCATCTCTTCTTTCAGTTCCATAAACGTTATATTCTTTTGTTTTAACTTTTCTATGACGAAGAGCTTCTCTTTCATTTTCAATTAATTGCTTTTCTTCATCAATATCGCGCTGAGTGAAAACGCTTGGCTTGATGACTATTGTACGTTATTAGCCTTGTGTGTATCTATTTCTTTAATCTTACTCTGGTTCAAGTTATACGATTGGTTAATCATTCTAGCCGAAATCTTGTTTAGGAGTGAGTTATTATGAGAGTCTTTAGGTTGAGTTTCGCATTGTGGAGTTTTTTAATGTTTAATTTTCGAATTCAATGCCACTCTTTTTCAGCTCATCAATTTCTTTCTTATTTGTGTCCTTTATGTTTGCTGCGACGACAACTGGATTAAATATATCTTTGGGCATTGCATTTAGTGCTGTGTTACCTTCCTATGTTTCGAAATAGTGAGATACAAAGAAATCTTTTTTCTTTTAAACTTTAAGGGATTCCAATTAAGAATCTCTTGGTTTATTCTTCAATTTTTCGGATTTTAACTCTCTCGCTATTTATGTCTAAGACCTATTATCTTCTCTCTTGTAAGTTAAAGGAGCATTTTCTTTTTTAGGAGATTCTAGATTAGCTAAATCAGTGGCACTCAATACCTTGTGAGCACCGATGACAAAATCAGAGCGATCAAGGAAGATCTTGGTAATGTTGTTCTTGACTTGGTCATATTTTTCATCCTTAAATTCTCTCTTTCTACTTTCTAAAATTTTAAGCTATATGTTGAACTCAGCATCTCTTTCTTCCTCTGTTTTTTAAATGATTCCATATTCGTTTGATTATTTTACTTAATCCTTTTTCCACAAGTCGTACTTTTCTAGATCTTGCTTATGTTGTTCACGCTTTTCTCCATTAAATTCTTCGAATTTTAAGAAATTACGGAATAAATAGCTCTTCTTTTCAGGCTCTGTCTTTTTTTATTCAGTTTTTGGAATAATGTCTAAGTTTCTAGGAATTTCAGGCTTAATCTAAATTATCTGGTTTTATATTTAAAATTAACAAATCCGAATTTATTAGCAAATTTTGTTATAAAAAAATAAAAGAATTGATAAATAAAAACATTTTTTTTTTTAATTACTTTTTTATCTTCTAGGTTTAAGAGTTAAGATATAAAGCTGATCGACTTGCAATTTTAGTAGTTAGGCACTTAATCATCGAACAAATTAACGCAAGTTGGATCTTTTTCTTTAAGTCTGAAATAATTTTAAACTTGCTCTTCATTAAATAGCTTTTTTATTTGATAGAATTTTTATTTTTTTAATAATTAATAGAGAGGATTTTTATTAATTTGTAATTATTATTATTGATTTTAGCTAAATTACTTCAAATCCTGTGTTGTCATTGTTGATGGTGAATAATCTTATAGGTACCCATGAAGATGGTTAAGGAAGGAATTTATTTTCTTCTTCGATAAATTCTCCTTCTTAGAAATCAGGGGTTTAAGGTCTATCCAAAGGATTAAGATTGCTATTAGGTCCATCGACTTGATTTTGATTGAGGTTAAGAGAGACAGCAATTTTAGTGTCTATTTCACCATTACTTTTAAGTGCAAAGAAATTGCCTTCGTCATCTCTTGTCCATAAAATTCTTTCTTTCAAGCTAATATTATAGACACCAGCTTTTCTCTCTTCAGGGACACAGAAAAGTTGCAACCAGAAATCAAGATCTTCTCCAAAAGGTTTATTTTAACCATTTTTATTAAGAGCTACTCTATCAACTGCTGAAATAAAAACAACCTCACCATTATCAAGTACTTTACCGACCGATCCATCATCAAAGTAGATTAAATGAATGTGGTTGGTTTAGAATTAGTTGTATCCTGGAAGCTCTTGCTTTTCTCTTTTATATTAATATGAATAATTAATTAGGAAATCAATTGCAGAATTTTTCTAAAATATTTACTTGTAACCAACTACCTTCGTTCCATCAGGTAGATAAGTTTCAATTATAATTCCATTGTTAGAACGTTCGAACAAATTATCAAATCCGACATTCGCATATGCACTTCCAAGGCCAATAACAGTGTCTGTCCTTGCTTTAACTTCATCCAATAGTACTTTGACAGTCGAAAATTCTTTTAAAATAAAAGTATTTTATTAATTTAAAAATATTTAAAAAAATTGAGTCCCCCTTTTCAATAATCAGTAGATTTAATCAGTCATTTTCTGAACTAAAAAGCATTGAAGGGGTAAGTAGGTAAGAATGAATGAATGAATTAATTATTTAATTACCTGGGTGCTCAATAATAATATAATCTTTTTTTGCACTGGTTAGCATTTAGGTTCCATCTTTATGCTTTGTGTAAACAGAACCATCTCTATAAGTAATAATTGTGGTTTAATCTCCTCTAATTATAATTTTGCTTCCAGATTCTGGGTCTATTCTCTTGGCACATGGGACGTGATCTTGTTCAGTTTCAGTTCCATCCTTTGTATTTCTTAATTTTCTTAAACCCTAATTTAATAAAAAACAATAAATTTTTATTAGTTAGTTAGTTAGTTTTTAAATAATATTCAAGTAAAATGAATAATTCACCTTGTTATTTGTTGTTATCCAAATGCCGTTTCTTTGTTGACAGAAGCTCACGTTACCATTTGCGTATAGCACACTTATGGAGCCGTCTTTCATATATTTGATTACACTTCCTTTGCCTGTAATTATACGTTTAATTTCTGTTTCAGAATTGGGTTTAGGTGTATCATGTGGATTAACAATGTCTTCGAAATCTCTAGTCAAAGTCTTTTTATCATGTTCTAACTTAGTTTAAAACACATCTCCGTTTGGCAAAAATTTATTAACCAACCCATTTACAAGAGTGATTGTAATAGAAGCTTTTAAATCTTCGGCAAGTTATTCTTCGTTAGGCACTTCTTTCTCTATCATATCTTGATTTCCTTCATCAATTTAAGCTTAAGTGCCCTAATTAGTGAAATTATAAAATGTTAATGTTAATTTAATAAAAATTAAAAAATGCAAATTACTTGAAGTGATCTCTATCTTTTTTATTTTCCTTCCAATTCAACAAAGAAAAGGGAGTTGTTTTCAAATAGTGCCCAAAAGTTAGAAAGGTTGTTTGACTCTTTAATACCAAAAATGACTCCCTCTTTAACAACTTTATATCTATAAAAAAAAAAACATTTAACTAAAAAACTCTTTTATTTTTTTATTATTTCTAAATCAAATTTTTGCATGAAAAGCTAATATTTTTTTAATGCGTTTATTACCTGTAATGGAATTGATCTCCAACTTGGAACTTAGTTCCAAAGATGACTGAATTGTCATTTGGATACATGTATTTAGTTCTTTCGTGTAGATTTCCAATTAATTCATAATCAATATCATAATATACTTCATTTTTAATATTGTTTTCGCTATTCTTAAAGTAATTGATCCAATTTTCAAGATTAGGCAGCACTTTCCAATCTGCATTCCACTTTTTTCTTAAGATACGGCCAGGAGGATTCTTAAAGTACATGGCTACATAAAGATTATCATCTTTGTCGTTGTATTTTGTAATAATTGATGGTTCATAGATCAAGGCTTTGTATAGTTATTGACTCAAAGTGTTTTTATTATGTCTCTCCATATAAATCCTATTTCCAAAGTTCCATTCTCTCTCGGGCTCTACTTCTTTCATCATTTCCTCAAAGCGAGTTATGGTCAATCTTCTTTCAAACTTGTTGTAAAATGATAAAAATATAAAATTTTATTTAAATAAAATCTATTTACTTCATAAACATTGCAGCCGATAAAAGGATATAATTATGATTTTTCTGCTTTTCTTAAGGGTTCTGATTTATCAGGGATTTCTGGCATCATATTTCTATCAATACCAGGGAAGAGCAGCAATGAAAAGAGGTCACGTTCTCTTCTTGAAATTTAGTCCATATTTGCCAAATAAGCATTATGAGAACTCTTTTCAATTTCATCACATTCATCAATGATTGCTTTGTAAGGAGTATTCTAAGAATATTTAATAAGTATGAATTAGGTTCAAAAAATCAATTCTAAAAATATTTTTGTTTACTTTATCAATTTGATTCAAAAGCAATTATTTTTTATAGCATTACAAGCTATTATTTGAGCTGTAGTCGACAAAATTGGTTAAGTTATTAAGAATTTGGTTTATTTGCTCAGATTCTTCTTTATCCTTTGGGTGAACTTATTCTTAAGCTTGCAGTTTTTCACTTTCAATTTAATCAATAAGACATTCAAGAAGGATGCCAGCAGTTGTCTTTTGTAAATTAACTTCGTTAAGTTGCTTGTAGTACTAGTAGAAAGGTTCTTAGACTGGTTTAGGAGGTTCTTCCTTTTTAGGAGGTTCCTCAACTGGTTTTACCTCTTCTACCTTAACTTCTTCCTTCTTTGCATCCTTTTTGGCATCTTTCTTTGGATCTTATTTCTAAGGAGCAGCTTTTCCTCCTTTTTTCTTCAAAGCCTCCTGCTCTTCTAAGGCAGCTTAAAAATTAAATATAAAATTTTCATTTATAAATCTTTGAAAAAGTTAATTAATTACCTTATTCTGCTTATTATTTTGCAAGTTGTCTTTATCTTTCTTCCTCCTCCTCTTCATGCAACTTAAGAGCCTCCTTAGGGCATAAAGGAACCTACTTTTTCCCTTAAATCCATTCTTGATAAGCTTGGAAATCGAATGAATATTAACATATTTCCTCAATCAAATAATCAATAAAATTTTTGAAGGATTCTTCTTCAGCATAAGGATCTATTTCGAAAACAACTTCTTTAACTACTGACTTTCTGATGCTTGAATTTCTATTGCTATTAGCACGAGTTTATTTGAATTCCTTAACAAAATTTTTACTCTCTTCAATATAAGCTAAATCTTCTTCAGTTAAAACCTCCTTCTTTTACTTTTTAGGTTTTCCTTCTTCATTTTCCTCATCTAAATAAGTAAAAACATAAATAAAAAACAATGCTAAATTTGTAAAATCAATTTTTTATTTATTTATTACCTTCATTTTGCTATTCCTCATCACCATCAATGAATTCGTCCTAACAAAAATATATTTTTTGTAAGTTTTATTAAACATCCAAATAAATAAATAAAATGAAATATTTAATTTTTTAATATATATATATATTTTTTACCATTCTTTGTCTAATATCTTCGTCAAAATTTTCTTTAGGATCAAGTAAACTCATATCAGGTTCCTAGTTATTCCATAAAACTTTTTCGCGAATATCGAACAATAAATCAATTTATCCATCATTCTTAGCAAGAGCAGCAGCATCTTCCTTTAATATATTTTATTAATTTAAATTTAAAATCTGCAAAATAAAAAAGCAAGCAAGCTGAACATTTAAAATAATATATATATATATAAATCAATCAATCAATATTAAATAAATAAATAACAGCCAATTTATTTCAATATATCTAAAATAATAATTAATGAAATACTTGAGTTTGAGGGAAATCAAATAAGAAATAAATAATATCCAAGGCCTTTTTATATTCCTTTTCTGGTTCTACTTCTTCTTTTTTTTCTTCTTCTTCTTTAGGTTACTCGACAACCTTTCCTCCCTTTTTGACGTTTTTAGGATCTTCTTTTTCTAGTTATTAAATTACAAATGCTATATTTATTTTTGCTAATAAACTTTACTCTTTTTAGGATCAACTTTTTTATCATCAACTTCTTCCTTACCTTCCAATTTATCTTTCTTAGCCTATGATAAAAAAATGAATACTTATCCATTTATTATTTTAAGTTTTAAATTTGGCTTTTAAAAATCATCTCAATAATTCATTCATTAATTAATTCTTAAATTAGCCAAATCTAAAGAAATATTTAATTACTTTTCTTCCTTTTAAATCTAATTCTTAACGAAGTGCTATAAATGCTTTAGAAATCACTAATGGTGTTAATTCCAAATTTAATGTTTCCAATAATTTAGGATCCTTTTTCTATTTCTCATTTAATGAGTTGGGATCTGTGTATAATCCTTTTTCTTTTGCATATTCAATAATTTCTTCGCGAGTTATATTCTTTTGGAAGCTTTTTGGGTGCTATTTAATAAGGTTTAAAAAATTCTGCATTCTCTACTTCTTTCCTTAACATTTTATCACACAGTTAACTGGAAACCATGGAGGCAGAGTGCTGATATCTATTTCTTCTTCTTTTTGCTTTTTAGGAGGCATTTTAAAATATATCGAAATAAGAATGAATGAATGTGTTTTAATTATTTATTTATTTCTGCTTTTATTTATTTATCAAAAAACAAAAAAACAACTAAATATATAAGTCTTTTTATGTTTTTGTTTGTCAAATACATAAATAATCAATATAAAAAATTAATGATTTCTATTCAGAAATATATGTTGAACACATATTATTTGTATAATTAATTTAATACAAAACAAGAAGGAGTTATAGATTTTCAAAAAAAATAATAACAATCAATCAATCATTGAAACAAGCAAGCTATTATACTTACATTATTCATTAAAACAACTAAAGAATCATTTATTATTTGATAGATATATAGACTATTGAATATAATTACAAATTTTTTGAAAGATATCTTTTTTAAATTCAATTTGATGATTTCCTTTTTTTTAGAATTAATTTATTTGAAATAATTTTCATTTAAAAAAAATTAATTTTGTAATTGATTTATAATTAAACTTAGAAGCTAAAAGCTAAAATAAAATCAAGAGAGATTTCAATAAGGAATACTTGACATAAAAATAAAGAAAGTGCTTGATTCATTAATTCATTAGTTAGTTAGTTATTTATATATTTTAATGGCTTAGAATATTAAATTTTCTTAGATGTGAGAGGTATGCTTTCTTGCTTGCTTGTTTGCTTATTTGCTATCTGGCATGCTTGATTAGCTTTTGCTGCCTCAAAATTTTTAATTTATTAATTATTATTACATCAAACTTAAATATCTCACAATAAGAAAGGTAAATCGCTGTTCTTAATACCGTTACCAATGTAAGCATAGCCAAAAATTTATGAATTAGCTCTATGATAGCCAACGAATCCTGGCCATAAAAGAGAACGAACAGTAGCCTATTAATTAATTAATTTAATATTTTTTAATTGAAATTAAATTATTAAATAATATAATTATAATTTATTTACACTAGTTTTTGAGGAATCAATTTAAACAGACCAGCAACCCTTAGGTAAATCGTGTTCAATAGGGTCAAGGAAGTTGAAGTGGAAAAGAGCATCGTCACGAGCTATAAATTAATTTATAAAAAACAAAATTTAAAATGAAATTAATAAAATTTATCTATTTTTACCTATGAATTTCTTCTTTTCTTCAGATTGAGGAGCTGTTTTAAATTTAAATTAAAAAGATTTTTTTTAAAATTATAATAAGAAAAATATGATTGATTTTTACCTCTAAAATGTTAATAAGTGTTAATGTTGGCGACACTGTCAAGAGAAGCACCTCTAAAAGAATCATTATATCTTAATTCATGAGTAGGAGTCAATTTAAAGGCACCTACAGGGACCAAGGCGCAATCATTTTCAATAGCACGAACGACATAAGCTAAACGATCCAATTCAGTGAAAGCCTTTGGCTTAACTTTAATATTTTCTTCTTCATCTGAATCTTCAGGCTTTTCTTCTCCTTCAGCTTGTTCTTAGTTTTATTCTTCAGCTTTTTAATAAAACACAAAGCAATTAAAATTTCAAATAAATTATCATTGTTCTAAAATTCATTTATTTAAACCATAGCTTTTCAAAGTTTTAAAATTTGAAAAAAAAATTAGCTTATTTGTTTGTATTTTGTTTTATTTTTTTTGCTTGCTTATTAGTTTATTTGTTTGCTTGTTTGTTTGTTTTACTGCTTGTTTATTTGCTTATTTATTTATTAACTGCTTACATTGATTTAAAAAAAATAATTCATTTAATATGTTTTAGGTAGAAAATCTATCTTGATAATTATAACAAAAGATATATTCTTTTTTTCTTGTTGATTTATTTTTTACTTATCTATCTGTATATCTATTTATATATGTAAATCTATCTATATGCTAAATATTAGTTTACCTTATTAGTCTTCGGGAAGAGGAATCAAAACGAATTTGTGATCACCAGTGAATAAATTACGGAATGAATCAACTTGAGCTCTATATTCTAAATTGATTTCTGGTAATTCATCAAAAACAAATGTATCGCTCCTTTAATTTATATTGGAAATATTATTATATGATTTGATTTGATTTGTTAGCTTTTGTTAAGAATAATTAATTGTCCTGATTTAATAATTAATTTTTTGATGCTATTTAAATAATTTTATTAGGTTGATTACTTTGCCCAGTAGAATTTCTTGGTTGGGAATTCGAACTTTCCTTTGAAGTTCAAGCCAACGGCAATGTAATAATCAAATTTTACTCCATTAATTTTACCCCAGAAAAGTATATTATCAAATTTTTCGGTTTCAGTAATTTGCAAAAGAGAAAGTTCAAGTTTTAACCTATTTATTTATTTAATGATAAAAGATATTTTATAAACTTCATTTAGTTAACAAAAATGTTAATAGCTGTAAAGAATAATGAACGAGCAACCAGCACATCTTATTATTATTAAACTGTTTAAAATACAAATTTATCATTTTTAAACCAATTAAAAAATCTTTGTTTTTTTTAATGTGATATGATGTCCACTACTTCTCTACAGCTCTTTAAATAACACTTCAAATAAAATAAAATTAACAAGCTGACTTTTCTTCTACATTTAAGGTAACTCCAATTTGATTAACGTACTTAATGTCGCTAGATAATCTATAAATATCCATCTTAAAATTAAATTTACAGTTGTTTGTTTGTTTGCTTTTTATTGTTTTATTAATATTTATAACTAATTAATTAATAATATTCAATATGTTTTTATTATTTTTATTTTTATTATTAACTTTTCTATCTAAAATACAAGCAATTTTTCAAAACCTCTCAAAATACAAATGCAATATATAAATAAATAAATAATCACTCATATGTTAGCATACACACATTCATACAAACAAACAAACATGCTTTGAATGGATTTTGCATCCAATTTATCATTCATTTTAATATTTTCTTTTTATTTTTGAAAATATTAAAATTTGATTTTATAAATTCTTTCAGTTTTACAAATTTCATTAATGAGATTCTTCAATCACCAAAATTAATATTCAACTGCAAATAAATAAATTAATTAATTAATTAGTTAATTAAAAATGTAAATAATTTTAGAGTTAAATATTTATAAAATTTTAAAAACAATTTAAAAAAGCTTTCTAAATTTGCATTTATTTATCTTTGAATTATTTGAAATGGAAGTTTAATTAACTTAATTATTTTATAATCTGTAAATGATATTTAAAATAAATGAGAATTCCATTTTATTAATTATGAACATTTTTTTACTCTCAAATATTTATTTTACTAGAGAAATAAAAATAAATTGCATATACCTAAAAAATAAATTCTTATTTTATCAAATGAAAAATTACATTCAAAAAATAAATATGACCATGTTAGTTATATGAGCTAATAATAACTTGGTTAATTTTAAAATATGTAAATTTCATTTATTTCCCTCTAATAATAACAAAGATAATTTTTATAATTTAAGCCTTAAATACTTGCAAAATTCAAATAAATTTTTATATCATTTATGTTGCTTGTAAAGCTTTAGAATAAAATTATTCTTATTTATCTCTTGCAAAAGCAAAACAAAAATTGAAAATTTTTTTATTTTGATAATAAAATATTATTTTTAGCTTTATTAAATAAAGCATTTTGATTAAATAACTAAGTAAACTAATAGTAATCTTGAGCCAAGATTGAGTTTCAAAGTTGGAAGCATGCTTAACACATTTTTCAAATACAACAAGTAAAATTAAAAATATTTGTTGATAAATAAGCTTTTACTTTTTAAACATTTCATAATTTAAAAAAAACAAATATGGAGCTTCATAAAATCTATTAAATTAACTTTAAGAATTTTTCATAAAATTTAAATAAATGGTAAATCCATCCTATAAATTTATTCTTTAAAAATAATTAAAAAATTACAAATTATGTATCAATCTTTAAATATACATAATTTATTTATTTATTTATTTAAAAGTAAAATTTAAAATAGATGGTCACTATAAAATTTAATTTCTTAATTTCATTTTAAGAAATTTTAATTTAAAAGAATTTAGAAGGTTATTGAATTAATTTGTATTTAATAAATAATAATTTAAATTTTTTGATTAATTTAAAATAAATAAATAAATTGTTTTATTTAAATAATATTTTATTAAATTAATTTCTTATATTAAAAAGAGATATTTAACTTAATAATTTAATTAAATTGTATAAATATAAAATAGAAATGAGCCTTCTCTTTTTTTTTTGTTATTATTAGAAATTTCACATATTTATTTGATAAATAATAAAATAAAATGATAATTTAATTTTTTAAATATTAATTAGTAGTGTAGTGTTTTAATAAAAAATTATTATTAATTAATGTAAATCAAAATCTCATAAAATAATTTAATTTGATTTTAATTAATTGTATGTGATCAAGTTAATTATTTAACTGAATAAAATTGGATACATAATATAAAATATAATTGAGCTTTCAGTTTATATTTTACTATATATTTTTAGCTGTTTTATAATATGATTTTTATATTAATTTTATTTAATAATCTTTATTTAGTGTTTGTTTTAATCTTTCATATTTTTTATTAGTTAGTTGTTGGTTGGTTGGTTGGTTGGTTGGTTGGTTGGTTGGTTGAGAAATTATTTTTTTAAATTAAATTGTTTGCTGATTACATTCAATATTCATTGATTCACTCACTCATTTTCGAATATTTCTCTGAGGTCTTTTAAAGTTATTTTTCCTGATTTTTCACCTTTAACGTTTAAGCATTCTTCAAGTATACTAATATCTTTTGGATCTAAGTCGGCATATCCCAACACTTAGAATACCTTTTTAAGTCTACCCATATCAAGTGTGTCAGTTTTATTAGGGTCGAGTAAATTAAATGCTTCTTACAAAGGATCAAAATGATCTAGTTCATTTTATTTTAAAAGTTCGAAAAGCTCCTTTGATTTTATTTCAGATTTACCCTAAGTCAAGGCAGGAATTTCATTTAAAGGGAAGTTAGGATTTAGATCTGGAATTTTTCTCTTTAACTCTTGAAGAGAAATTTTCGATCCTCCATTCTTTTCATCAAGTATTTTAAATGCCTTTTCAATATCTTCTAAACTAATCTAGACTCCTTATACTTTTTCCTTCGAAGATGGAAAATTCAAATCTAAAATAATTTAATAATAAATAAATAAATAAATCAGCTTCAAATATTAGATAAATGTAGAATGGATAAATCTTGGCTAAAAATCAAATATAAAATGGATTAAAAAATCAATAAAAACTTGAAATTATTACTAATTAACCCTGCTTCTTCAAGAGCTTTGAAATTAACCATTTCTTTCTTTTTGAATGGAGATAGTTATTTCAAAGGAGATAATTTTCCAGTTCTCTCAAGCTGCATCTGAGCCTTTTAGAACTAAATAAGAGTTTTCTGTAATTCTTTATAATCTAATCCTTAAGTTAAATCCATCTTTTTAGTTGTTAGTAAATCTTCTTCTCTTCTTCTAGTTACTTTATTGCTCTGCTGGACTAGTTTATTCTACTTTATTAATATATACTGATTTTTCAATAATTTGCTTTGCTTTCAGATAAGTTATTTATTATTTTAATGCAAATTATAAAAAATTGTACACAATCACTTAAATTTTTGATCTTTAAAAGAAAGCCTTTTAGCAAATAATTAATTAATTATTCATTCAATCAATCAATCAATAAATCATTCAATCAGTCAGTCAGTCTTAAATTTTGCAAAGAATGAAAGAAGTCGTTTAATAATTTTAATGTTATTAACTACTTTGAAATTGAGATGAAATTAGCTAGTAAAAACCGATTGATTTTAATAAAACAAATTAAATTATTTTTCAAGAAAAAATAAAACCATTTTAAAGGAAATTGATGCCTATATTAATTATATTTGCGATACAAACTTTTTTCAAATAATTTAAATTATTTAAAATATAGTTGATTAAAGATGATTAGCTTCATTTTAAGCTTTTATTATTTATTCTTTTTCAAAAATAAATAAATACAAAATTTTTTAATTAAAATTATTTTTTTTAATAATTTTCTTGCTTTCTTTAAAATTTATAATTTCTTTTTTACATTCTTTAAAAGTTTTTAAGAAAACTAAAGATGGCTTTTTAGAACAAACAAAGACATTTTTTTAAATTTATTAATCGAATAAATCATTTATTTATCCCATAAATATTTAATAAATTAGCATTAAATTTAAATATATTAATTGCTATGTTTTATGTAAATGTTTATATTTGTATTAAATGTCTTATATAACCTTCTATCCATATTTTTGTATTTAGAATGGCAAATTACTGCTATTAAATATCTCACTTATATCTATCTATCTATATATTGATCGATCTAACTAACTAACTAACTAATTATATGCTAAAAATTTTATTTTAATTTATTCGAAAAATGTAAGTTGATTGTTATCTGTTTAGCTAAAACCAATACGAATAAATGAAGCTCTGAATAACAAACACTACATGAATTAATATTAAAGCTCTATTATAACATATTGAATTGTGTTTAAGCAAATTTTGCAGATAATTCTTAATTGATAAAACCAAATTCCCTTCAAATAATAATTTTTAATTGTTTTATGTTTAATTTCAGTATTTGATAGCCTTGGGAGCAACAGGGCTTTGAGGATCAACGTATTCACCATAATTAGGTGGTTTTGCCTATTATTAAAAAATGATTTAGTTTTAGATATTGGCTTTTTTGCAGATTAACTAGCTATTTTGCTTGTTAATGAGCTAAATTCAAAAATAAAATATGATGATACTGTTGATATCATAGAATTTCTCCAAACCATGAAGCAAAGAATGGCAGTGGGGAAAAACATATGGAAAGTATTCCATTTCCAGTTTTTATTGACAATCCACTAACCAACATGTAAGTAACGAGGAATAGGATATTTCTAGAAGCCACCCATTTCAATATCTTTCTTATACTATTTATTATTCTTTTCTTTTCCTTAACCTAAAATTAAGAGCTTTTATTAATAATTATATAAATATTATTCTTTACTTTTCACTTTGATTTTTCTCAAACTAAATATCTTCATTTTCATCGCATTAAAAGCCATTTCAATAAGCAACATTCCAAATAATCTCACACAACACAGTCTCAGCCAACCCAAAAATATTCATTCCCTATCTCTATCTAACTCATCATCAAAATTCATTTTTAAACATTTTAAAATAAAATAAATAAATTAGAAATATTTTATGAATATTTTTATTTATTTTTTCAATAGAAAATTTTAATTATCAATCTTTATTATTTCTTTTAAAGAATAATTAATTAAATTTATTATTTAATAGATCAATCAATGGATTATAATTAGTCAAACATTCCTCAAAAGCACAAAAATATTACAAAGAACAACAACAACAATTAAAATTACAAAAAGTTTAAGTCATTCTCAAATAATAATAATAAGCACCATCATAGAAATAGAGAAAGGGGAGATGCTAAAAATTATAAATTGAGTTAAGACGAGTAATAAAATTACTCAAAAGGGAATAGGGAAATCTAAGAAAAATTTTAATGGGATTTCGATGAACTTGCAATCCATTATCCTCCTTTGAACGACTATGTTTTTATAAATGAAAGAGGGAGAACAACTATAGACTGGACTAATACAGCTGCTCATAAGACTCTTAACCAAGCGATTCTGGCAGTGTAATTTAAGATAGTTTATTGGGATATGCCATAAGACTAACTCATTCCTACAATACCATCAAGATTAAATTACTTAGAGTGGATTCATAATAAATTGTAAAGTTTAAAAATAAACAATGAACAAAGCAATTAAATTAAAGCAATTGATATTGGAACTGGAGCCAGTGTAATTTATCCAATACTTGGAGCTTCCAAATATAACTGGTCATTTATAGCCACTGAACTAAGCGATGCTTCTTATTAGAATGCTAAAAAAATAATCAACAATAATCCTTAGCTAAAAAATAAAGTAGAGTTAAGGAAATCATAAGGAAATATATTTAAAGATATTATACAAAAATCAGATGGAGATATTTCTTTCACTATGTGCAACCCACCTTTTTTCTCAGAACACGAAGAAAAATAGATTTGGGTGAATGCCTAAATGAAAGAAAATGAGTATATATGCGAAGGAGGAGAGTTATAATTTTTGAAGCAGATGTTCGAAGAGTCTAAAATATTTGCAAATTAAATTAAAATCTTTACTTCTTTGGTTGGTAAATAGACAAATTTTGAGTAGTTTCTTTAATATTTAAAACAATAAAATATACAAAATTTAAATGAAAATCATGACGATAATAAAGAAATTTCGAAGCCATAAATGAATAAAAATGGAGAAGATGAGTTAAATGAATACAATAATTAAAATATTGAAAGAAGATAAATATCTTTTAATTATCAAAGTGAATTTTAAAATGCTAAAAATGATGATAAAATCTAAAATGATATAAGTGTATAAAATTGTTAAGGAGAAGAATTTAAAAACATTCAACCTTAAATATAATCTTAATAAGCAAAAATAGAGTAATAAGATAGCTAGGAAATCAATTAAAAAGGGATTTCAAATAGTTAAAAAGATATTACGAAAAAATGCTAAAATAAGTAAGTGAGTGTATAAATATTTGAAGGAAGTATTGTTCAAGGAAATACAACAAGATGGATTGTTGGGTGGAGATTTGAATGAAGGTGTTTAATTTATAAATAGATAAACATTCAAATATGTATTTGAATATCCTATATTTATTCAAGATTAAAACTACTTTTCAATTTATCTCAAAAATATTTTGAAAACTTAATTATTATTTTTTATTTGCTAAGGTGAAAGTTCGTTTTTGGATGAAAAATCGTTAAAAATAATTAATAAAAATGTTAAAATAAAAATGATTGTGCAAATAAATATTTAAAGGAAGTGTATATAGTTCAAAGTATTGCTGGATGGAGATTTGAATGAAGGTTTTTATTATAAAAGACAATTAATTTATAAATAAATAAATATATATTCGAATATGTATTATGTAAATATCCTATATTTATTTACAACAAACAAAAACTACTTTTCAATTTATTTAAAGAAATTTTTATGTTTTTTTTCATTACTAAATTCAAAAAGTGTTTCTTTCATTTTTATTTGCTTGTACAAAAAACAAAACAAACTAAAATTCATATGCTTATTTGTTTGTTTGTTTGCTTGTTATAGCATTTTATATTTTCTTTTTTAGCCTCATTAGTCTTATTCGTCTTACTCGTCTTGTAGTTAGAGTTTACTAAGTAATTCAAGGAACTCAGATTTTTCTGCACCAGCACCAGCTTGATTCATGCTCTAAAGAGTTTTATAAAACTATCTCCTCTTCTTGAGATTCTTGTAAGCTTTCTAAATCTTAGAAGAAGCAAAATTGACCTTGACAAGGAAAGTCATCAGTCTTGCTTTGTTAATTTTCTAAATGAATTTCTTGTCTTAGCCTTCAGCTTATAGCTCTAAAGTTGGATTGTTTAAGCCCATTTATTTGTGTTTGTTTGTTAGTTAGTTTTTATTCTTGATTTTATTTATATCTTTTAAATATTTCAGTTTTATTTAGAGATATTTAATATTTTTAATGAAGCTTGTAAATTGCATTTAAAACTTTTCATTTAAATTAACAAATCAATGATTTTATTTCATCATTCATTGCTATTGCTGGGTTAATTTGCTTTGCTCTGTTAAAAAATCATAGAAGGGTAATTATGCTGCATAAAAACTACTATCAAAATCTTAAAATTAAAACCAACAAATTTTTTAAATGAGTCTGATGAATTTTATTGAGTAAATTTAATTAATTTTTTCATCAATCTTATAGAAAATTTATTTAATAATCTCAAAATTTTCTAATTTTAAACACACTAAATTAATTCTTTTTACTTATTTTCTATATAAAATATTTTTGAAATTCAATAAAATTTAAAAAATGAAATACTTAATTCGATTTAAAATAAAAATACTGTAAATTAAATATTTAAAAGTCTTTGATTCATCATAATGAATGGAAAAACCTTTTCTGCTTAAAAATTTACAAAAAAATAAAAAAATAACTTTAATACTTACTATTCAATTATTCATCCTTTAAATTATTAATAAATTTATTAGTTATTTTTTTTATAATTTAAAGATGAATTTTAATTAAAATAATTTTTTAATATTCATTTTATTTTATCTTTCAATATAAATTAATAAATTTTTTTTTTGCAAATTTTGTATAACCGTCAGTTCTTAAATTAAGTACAAATCTTAAGTTGAAAAAAAAATTTTTTAATTATTTTGAATGAAACTTAATTATCTTTACAAAATTTTATAATATTTGAAAATTTTGAAAATGTAATATCAAATTTTAGATTAATTAAAAGATAAATATATAAATAAACACAGTATAAATAAATTTAGGTAAATGACAAAGTAATAATTATTTAAATAAACATTTAAATTTAATATAATTTAATATTATTATTTTTTAAAAATACTTAATTTAAGAACTGACGGTATTATTTTTCAAAATATAATTATATAATTCTTAATATCAATCATATAATAAAGATATAGTAAAAACTTGACATTAAATTTATATTTATCAGTTTATGTTAAAAATAATAATTTAATTTTGGAAACTTAAGAGTAAAAAATGAAAAACCAATACAAAATTTTTCTTCAAATAAAATAATCAAATTTAAATAGAAAGTTAAAATTATAGCATTTCTTAATTATTTAATTACTTTTCCTTAGAAAAAAAAAAAATTAATACTATTATTAATTGTAATTTTTTAATTCATTATCATAAACAATTTTTTTAGGAAACTAATTCTTTTAATTATCTTGAAAATAGAAATTAAGTCAATAAATAAATAAAAGAAATGATGAAAAAAGACTAAACGAATACTCCGATAAAAATATCAAGAAATAAAATTCTGAATCAATAAATTTTATTTATTAAAGAGTTCAAAAATTATCTAAAAATAAAAAAAAATAATAAAAACTTATGCCTCTTTTTCATGGAAAAAAAATGTTTAGTACTTTAATAATTAAATTAATTAGGGTTAGGAAATTAATTTATAATAATAGAATTATAAAACTAAACCTCTTAAGAAAGAATTATTTATCGAAATAGTTCAAAATATAAATTCAAGACTTAATTTGATTTTTAGAGGACTAAATAATAAATTATTAATAGAATTTGTTTGTATACTAGTACAAATGAAAGTAAAGCTGGTTTGATTCAATAATGGTTGTTTTTTAGTTACTATTTATGGGAAAAATAACAAAAATAACTATAAAAATAAGACTTTTAATAGTAGTAATAATATGTAAAAATTAGTTCTATGATTGAAATTAAATTATAAGAAATACTGATGAGGAAGATACAAATTAATACTGGTAAAAGCCTAAGTTTAATGTAAAAATGATAAATAAATTAATAAGTAAATAAGAATAACAATAATAATTAATAATACTTTATAAAATTTAAAAAACTCAGTTTATTAATTAAAAGTTAAGTAGGAATAATAAATAAATAAAAAAATTATGAAGTTCAAAAATTTTGATTTGTTTTCCAGCTAATTTAAACTGAATATTAGCAAGGGCCAACATAATAAACGGTCATGCTTCGGAGGGTTCCTTTCACTAGCAGTGATTGTGATTTCGATACTATACTTTGCATACTTAACTTTTTAATACATTTCAAACCAAATTGAGCCTAAATACAAAACTCAAACTTTTCTTACAGAGGACTAAATTTAAATTGAATTTGACAAGGATTTTATTGGTTTTAGCTATTTTGTAAACAATAACACAACGCTTCAAATGCTGGAATAAAAAACAAAGAAAGTATATTTTGTTTATTTAAGTTATTTACTTATATAAGACTCTGTTGATTCTCAGCTTTTTGAAATACCTAATTTTAAATGCACAAATGAAAAATTGCAAGGGTATCGATGCTTGGATGTCTCAAACTTAAAACAAAATTATTTGTCACTAAATGCTAAAGAAAATTCAAAAGTAAATTTAATATTAACAATGTACAGATGTGGTGATTAAGATTCTTATAAAAAATTTATTCCTGAGAACTGTGCCTAAGAAGAAGAAATCGATTAAATAGTTAACAACGATAGTGGTCATATGCATATAAAAATGTTTACTTCACAATATAATACAACTTCTAAAGAAGTTTAAGTCAATTACAAGAACGTTCTTATTTACCTTTAAGGTGATCATTTTATATTCACAAGACTTAAAACACAGAAACAAATTACTACTGTTTAACAAGGTCCTTTTATTTAATATAAAAACTCATTCACTTCTGCAATTGACTACATATAAGAAGAAAGAGCGCTAAACAGAGAAACTTTCATTAAGAAAACAGGACAAAAATTAATGCTCTAACTTACTGTCGATGTCTTAGAGTAAATAATTCTTATCATTTTCCATCATATCGAAAATAAATACTTACTTTACAATTTTTTATATGGTTTAATTTATTGTTTTGAAGTTCAAAAAAATGCTTATTTTTGAATAAAAGTAAATAGAAATGATAGTAAATTAATATTTTTTTTCGTTTTACCAAATATAATTAATAAATAAATAAATAGTACAAAATAGTTATAGTGAATTAATAAGATTATTATTATTTTTTTAATTAATAAGGTCAATAGTTCACATTAAAATTTAATACCCAACTTTCTTAGAAGTTTTGGCTATATTTTACAGCGCCTTGAGTGTTCTACTTGGAATCGGAGCAATAGCAAGATATTATTCAAAAAAAGTTATAATTTAAGATGTTTCTTTGATTTTGCTTTAAAGCTTATACTAAAAGACTTACCTTGAACTCCTTCGTTCTAAGAATTTAGTCAATAGGCCAAAGATAGAAGAAGAGTCAATTGTTCTAGAAGAAGATATATTAGAAAATTAAATTCAAGCATTTCCTGTCTCAAGAGTCAAAAGTTTATAGAATCCGAATGTTTAGCAGTAAAGCGCAGGTGAAAGTAACGCATAAATTCACTAAATTAATACAGAAAGATCAAGCAAAGTCATGTTTTAAATTGGTCCAACTTAGACAAAAGTAATTAAAAAAGCCAAAAAGTACTAGAAAAGCTAGTCTTTGTATGTAGCCTGCAATCCTGCTAAATAAAAAAACAAAATAAAATAGATTTAAGTCAATTTTATAAAAGAAAATAAAGATAGAGCTGCCTTGAAAAAAGATGAAATAATTCAAAATTCTGATTTTATTTAAGAATCACCTAAATTTTACTCACAAAAAAGTATTTTGAGCAATAGAAACAGCTAAATTAATTTTTTTAATTAAAATTAATAAGATAGTAAGGATAAAAAGTAACAAAATTGTGATTAAAATAACTTATTTAATCAAAAGAATTAAATTTATTCCCTTATGTAGCAAACATCAAATAAAACATTTAATGAAAATTAAAAACAAGATATAAAATTAGACTAAGCTATTAGCACTAAAAAGTTAGATTAAGCAACTAGCATTCACAAATTAGATTTTCCAAATAAAAAACAGTTTTATTCTTAAACAGATTCCAAATTTAATTTAAAATCAACCAGTGCAAAAGACTTGTCAATTGATGAAAAAACAAGCTAAAAAGATATAGTGGCATGCGAAGAAGTTACTAATTTCAGCCATTTACAGAGTGAAACCTTGTCAAAAAGATTAAAAAAAATAATATTTTCTTTCAAGTATTAAATATATAATAATCATTAAAAAATAATTACATAATTTAATTATATTTATAGATTGTGTTTACGAAGATAGCAGCTAAATCCTATTTAAAGTGAATAAGGAAAATATAAAAAGTTATAAAGAGAATTGCTGAACCAAATAGATTAATAAGTAAATTTGGTAGCAATTTACAAAGATTTAATTTTCTTAAAAAAATCTATTATGATGATTCTCAGCACAGATCAATTAGCTGCAATTTAACTTACAGGAACTTAATTAAATTTAGAAAGTGATACCTTGAATAATCCTCCTGCTTAAAGTAAATAAATAAATATTTGCTTTGATTTTAAGCTATTTTTTTACCTTAAAATTTGTAATAAATTAAAGATGAAGGGAAAAGTCATTTAGAGAAATAGCTTACTATACAAGACTGTAAAAAGCATCAATAAATATAATTTAAATGTTTTCTTGATAGAATAAAACTAAATGAAAACATAACAGAAACTGATAAGCGTATTTTATCTTCTTTGTCAGTATGAATATTTTTTATAAAATAAATTAAATTTATTTCCTAAAGATTTAATTTACTTTTTTTAACTTAAATAAAATATTAAAAAAATTATTTTGATTAAACTTTATCAAAATTTAAAAAAATAAAATGAGTTTTGAAATTATATTAATTGTAGGTTTAAGTAATTAAGTAAGTAAGTAAGTAATTAATAATAAGTGAAATAATTCAAATCAAAATAAATTATTTGCACACCAATAAAACTTGGAATAAATCAGCAGAAGTATAGTATGGTGCTATAATTTATAGATTTTTTAAAAATAATACAAATCCTGATTGATTAGAATTCCTCTCTCCCTAATTCCTTAAGTTTTATTTAGACAAAAAGTAGGTTGACCAATTAAAATTTCACATTTACAAAACAGTTAATTAAATATTCGATATATGTTTTACTGATTTTATATCGAACAAATAAAAAGTTTAAAAAAAATTTATATATTTCAAAAAATAAATAAATAATGAAATAAAAAATATTCAAATTAATTTCATTTTATATCAGCTTTAATCTATAGTTAGAGTGTTATATATCTATTTTTATAAATAAATGGGTATATTTGTATTCTGTTCCTGTCTGTCCTCATTACTTAAACAATCAATCATTCATTATCCACTACTTATATTTTAATACCTTTACAAAAAAAGAGAAAAGTAACTATTCATTCATTCGTTTATTTAATTACTTGTTTACTTAGTTTTTTATGATAAAAATAATTAATTTAATTGTGGTAAGCAGTATTAAAATGATGGAGAGGCTTGGATTTTTATATTAAGCTAAAAAATAAATAAGCTAAACAAAAATTACTAAAAAGTTAATCTCTATAAATTACGTGGTTTTATAAAAGGTGATATAGTTATTTCAATATAAAAAATTAAATGAAAGTAAGACAACAGAAAATAAATAAAATGGAAAATATATATATATTTATATAGATTGATTTAATGTTTGAAGATTTATCAGATTATTAAATAAAAATAAATAAGTAAGTTTGTTATTTATTTATTTAACATTTATGTTCATATTTATATAGATTATTTACAAAAATTTATTAAAATAATTCAATTATCCAAATAAAAGAAAGTAAATTATAATAGTTTCGTATCTTTCTTTTATTATAAATAAGAACCATTAATAAAGAATAAATAATAGGAAATTAATTTAAATTTTATTAGCAATAGTTTAATATTTTTAAATTATTCTAAATATTCTAGGTGCTAATTAATTTTTTAATTTTTTGGTTAAGAAATTAAAAACCAACAAATTAAAATTTATGAAAATATACATAAAATTATCAAATAATTAATTAACAAGGTATGTATGTATGTATTGTATGTTTTGAATTAATAAATTATTAATAAAATATTTGGTGCAATAAACATTCATTATAATTATTTATTTTATTTATTTATTTAATTAGTTAATTAATTAAAAATTAATAAATATATTAATTTTTAAGAGCATTTCAGTAATATTTATATATTTATATTAATAAGATTATTTTCTTTTTTTATTTATTTATCTATTTATTTACTTTTTAGTTTTTCATAAATCATTAAATTATTTATTTATTTCGTTATTTACTATTTAGGATAGTCTTAATTAACAATAAGTTTGAATTTTATTGTGGAGAAATAGAGATTAAATATTAATCACTGCTCAATAAAATTCATTTTTGTTTTAAATATAGAATTTTTAATTTTGTTATTAATTAGTATTTCTTATTATTTATTTATTTATTTATGATAGATATGTTAGCTAGCATAAATTATAGATCAATTATCTGAGCAAGCTCTATGGTATTCGTATAACTTAAATTTATTATCTAGATTTTCTTAAAGCTTTTCTCTTGAAATTTCGCTTAATTTCTTAAAGTATGGGTGGTTTAGAACGTCAAGTCTTTTTTTACCAAGGAATTTATTATACATTATATCTATACAGGCTATATCGGCTAGATAATGAGCTAAAACTAGACTTTTACGGTTTTTAGTTTGAGCTGAAATTGCTGACATTTCTTTTGATGTCTCAAAGAGAATTGTATTTAATACTTCATCATTATCTATTTCATCTCCTCCTCTTTTTGAGCTATAGATGTTTGTGTTGTTTACATAAATTTGAATGTTCTCTGAGAAATCATCTTAAAATTTCATTAGGTTGTTTTTTAACTCTAAATTTTCTCTCATAATATTAAGCTTTATTTGTTATTTTTTTTAGCTTAAATTCCATGCTTAAAATTATGATTCAGATAAATTAAGGTGACTTAATACTTATTGAGGATTTTCAAATATTTGCATTAAGTATTCACTTAAACCACAAGCCTTTTTGAGCAATATAAAACCACAGGAATAAGCATTTAGAGTATTAACATTCCATTCATCTTACTCCATGCAGTTATCAAGAGCTCCCAATATGACTTATATTTTACTTCTTTTATCCATGATTTCTTCTAAAATTAAATTTATTGCTTCTTTATTAATTTTACTTCCACTGTTATTCACATTGTTGCTAATATTACCATTTAAAGCACTTAAACTTTACTAACCTATTAAATTTAATAAGATAATATTGATTGGATATGTTAGAATTGTATTTATTTTACTTTATCTCTGGTTAATTTGTGGGTCTGTCGAATTTTCTCTTTTGTTATTTTACATCATGCTGCTGGAAAATTCATTTATTTTATATTATGAATTTTCTTTGTTAATTTTAGAGTTAACAGATGCATAAAATGGGTTAACTGGCTATGCTATCTCTTTTTAATTATTTGACTAAGCATTTATATTTTGTTAGGATTTATTGTAAGTCAAATTAACAGTCGCAATAGGAGGAGAATTAGGTGTTTCTTACAATTACTGAGTCATTTCTGAGTTATTCCTAAACTTTGCTTTTTATGAGTTTTAATTGTTATTGAGATTAATTGTTCCTGTAACAATTTAGTTTAATGGATTGTTATTAACTGCCACATTTGATTTAGACTTTTTATTGCTTTTTTGATTTCCTTATCCATTCTAAGAACCTCTGATTTCATCTTCAGTTGCATCTTCTTAATCTGAGTCATTATTGTTAGTATCTATTTTTAAAAGAATAAATTTTGTAAAATTTTAAAATATTGATTGATGTTTTTTTTTTAAATTATAAATGGTATCATGAAATTTATTAGAATAAATTCAAATTCAATTGATTAATTTTATTAAAAATTTACTGCTGCTGTTTTGTGGGTTATTCTTTTAGGAAACTTGCTTCTGTCCTGAAAGCTTCCCTTAACTATATTTTTTTAAATCGCCTTCCTCTAAATCGCTTTTAAACTAATTTATATTTTAATTATTTAAGCTTGATAGCTAGGCGTTGTTCATAGAAACATGTTTGCGGGGAGATATTCCAAGCTAGTGAGGACTTTGCTCGCCTAATTTAGATTAGTTTGACTGTATATTTTTGCTATTTAAAGCTTTTTAATCACCCATTTGTGCTACAATTTCAAATATTTCTTCCCATGTTATCCTTTCATCCTATTCAACTACAAGCATTCTATTCAAAAGTAATTGAATACGCTCTGAAAGGTGAGAAATATCTTAAGCGATTACATCTTGAATGTCATTATTTGAATAAAATTCTGTCAAATCTTCCTTATTGTTAGCATATTTTTCAAAAGGCAAAGAACCAAGCAACATTTCGTAAAGAACAACTCCTGCACTAAAAATATCACAAACAGTCGAATCTGCCTAAGAATTCACAAGCAGCTCTGGTGCCACATAATGGAATTTCTCATTTAGAAATTATTCAAATTTCCTTGATGAAGAACTATTAGAAGATGAACTTTTACAAATAAAGAAGTGCTTCAGTTTAACTTCATAGCTTATTTATTAATTTTCACTTTGATGCTCTATAATATGAACATTATGTGAATTCAAATTTTTCTTAATTATTTTTTCAGCCTACAATCTTTGGAAGCCTTTACATATCTGCTAAAATATTTGAACTGCCTCCATTTCGCTAAGATGGTGACGTTCATTTAAAAGCTTTTTTAAATTTCTGCCCTGCAAAAACTCGTAAATTAGGTAAATATTGTTAGATGATTTAAGCATTTTAATCATACGAATAATGTTGGGATCTTCTAGCTTTTTGAGAGCTTATATTTCATTAATTATCATGTCTCTCAAAACTGAATCATTCAAAAATTATTCAAGTTAGATAGTTTTGACAGCAACAGCTTCTTTGGAAATTAAGTTTCTTCCTTTATGAATTTCTCCAAAGGTACCTTGACATATGTGCTCTAAAAGTATATAATTATCAATAATTTTTGCCATTTTTGTATATTTCTAATTCTATGTGCTCTATACCTACCTACTTCTTTTTTATTAGTTTACAGCCTATTTTCTATTACTTTTGTTAGTTATTGAAGCTTAAACAAACAATATTTTTTATAATTTTTCTTTAGCTAATTTGATTGATGATTTTTAAAAGTGAGTATTTTCAATTTACAATTTCACTTTTAAATTAATTTCAAATGATTAACTTCAAATTAAAATTTGGATCATAAGCAAGCAATATATATGAAAGTTTGTATGTACGTTCAGCGTATTCTTAATAATATCTAACAAAAAATTACTATTTCAATCTTTGTTATTCAATTATTTTGTTGGAAAAATGCCTAGATAGATAAATAAATAGATAACAAAAGATACTTACTTTCTTATTATTTTTACTTATATTTAAATATTTGACACCAAAAAACAAACTGATTACTCTAAATTAAAATTTTTAAATTGTTGTCTTTACACTTCAATATAAATTATATAAAAATTATTTAAATATCTTTTAAATATTAATCAAAATAAGCTCAAAATTATGTAAATAAATATGGTTGAAATGTGATTTTTTTATTTTACTATAATTATTGTTACCTTAATTTAAAATTAATATTAATAATTTAAGATATGGTGAAAAAAATTAAAAAATAAGGAAATAAAGAAAAAAAGAATAAATTAGAGTTTATAAAAAATTAAATGAGAACAATAATATTATTATTTAAAAGTGAATTAATCAATGTAATTTTTAGTATTGCTTTTAAAGAAATAATTATGGAAGGTAATTTTAATTATTGCTTTGGCTAAATATTGAATAAATAAATAAACCAAAGAAAAATAAAACAAAATTCATTTTTTGTAAAAGTTTTAATTTTTATTAACTATAATACAAAATAGAATAAATAGTAAATATATTTATTTTCAAAAATTTATTATTATTATTATTTTATATTTAATGAAAATTTAATTCTATAAATATTTAAATGATGATTTGAGACTTGTTGTTTGTTTGTTTTATTTATAATTTTAATTTTTCATGAAGGGACAATATTATACAAAAATGTAAGTAAGTCCCTTTATTATATTTGATTTAGTTAGTATTTGTCCTATTCTAAAACCTTTTACAAACATTTCATCCAGAAATTAAATAATTCTCTATTGATTTTTTGATATAGAAAGGCTTGATAGATATCGGTTGAGGAGTAAGATCCTGGCGAAAGAGCAGTTTCGAGGAAGAAATGCATAAAAGTCTTGTCTTAGGATTGAATAATGTCAACAGGGAAATCTTCTCCAAGATTAAAGTAAAGGTTTTCAATATAAAGAAATAGATCAGTGATTAATTACTAAATATTTTATATATAATCATATATTGATTAGTATTCTTAATTCTCTAGCTAATAAGATTCTATTTCAAGCAAATAAAGTTATAGATTAATGTCGATTTAGAGATATTAGTTGTCTAAATCTTCTTCTAACTTATTTTCCATTATCTTTTCAAATGCTAAATTGATATGTTACCAAAATTTTTTGTCGTAGTTTTCTACAAACTTGTTTTTTTACAGGAGAAGAAATGCTTCTCTTTTTTCTTTATTTTGGTAAAATACTTAAATGAGCTCTTTTACAAATAACTCCACTGTTTTCAAGGTTTGCCCATTTTATTTATTTTACTTGTTAAAACCTGGGATGCTGTTCAAGAATATACTTATTTAGCTGATTACCTTATCTTCTTTGTAAGGCTAGATTACATTCAAAAGAATGTTACGGCATATTTCTATTCTAGTAAGAATTTCATTTTTGATATAAGAATTTACATAGCCATCTTACTATACTACAACTTCTTTACTTGCATTGTTGTTATAAAAGTCGATAAGCTAGCATGTGGTTTAGTTGCCTTTCACGCTTTTAGCGTGAATAAATTTACTACGAGAAAAAGAAAAAGATTCTATAAAGACCTTTTTGAGAAGATAAAATTCAATCGATGTAAAATTAAAATCAATAGAAAATATTTAAAATATATGAGAAACATTGCTGAAATTATTGTGGATAATGTTAACTACAATCTGATATAACTCTTCAAATTTCTCATTTAATTTACTTGTCTCTAGAACCACAATTTACTGTAGCTTTTCTAATATTATTTTTATCCAATTTTTAATTCCTTTTTCTGACCCTAATTCTTCATAGAGGTTATGTGGCAATAGATGTGTGATAGCCAGCTCTACAAGATAGGCGAATAAGTTGTCTCCGTCAATTTTCCATGACTTCATTAACTAAAAAAGTTCGTGAATGACCCAATCAAGAAGTATTTTAGGAATAATCTAAAATTTCATTGTTTAGACATCATTATTTTATTCATTTATCATTAGAAGGTGGTGATGATGGTGGTGACCGCAAGTGTCCGTATTATGATTAATATTGCTTTGCTGCTTTTCATTTTAGCTTAAATTAGATTGATACATATCAGCTTGATTTTCTATTAGTTTTTTTTTGTTGTAACACTCAATTGAGTATTTAAGAAATCTTACTATTTCGTTAATAAATTCGTGGCTTTTTATCATGCAAAATTCCTCTACAATTTGACTTAATTCTTATTCTTTTAAAAATTGTGTAAGCAGGTGTTATTTTATTTCTTCTATCTTGCTTTCTAATACATAAGAAGCTTCTCTCGCTTTTATCTTAGAATTAAGTGTGAGCGGAGATGAAGTGAGTGAAATTGAGTCTAAGACAAGGCTCTCGTCAGTCATACTTTTAAGTTTTGAATAGTTTCTCCTGTAAACTGGAGAAAGAGATTCTTTACATATGCTGCTTCTTTTTTTCATCTCCCTTTCAACAGAGTCTTTCATGATAGATGCTTTCCTTTCTCTATTTCTTTCAGCTTTGATTATGGGTGATTAAGGTATCGAAAAATCTGCGATAAGGTTCAACTCCTCCTCAATAATAATAGACTACTGCTACTTAATTGGTAGAGAGCTTAGTTGTGGTGAATCTAGTGAAGCTAAGCTTTCTATCTTTTAAAGAATCAACGAAGGTCTTTAAATCTTTGTAATTGGTGTAAACTATTATTGAACCTCAGATGTACAAGAAAGAATTGGAGACTTTTAAAAGAATGAAGCGGTTTAAGTAGAAGGTGTTAATAACTACCCGTTATTATTATTATTACTATTACCATTATAGTTGTTAACATTATTATTATTAAATGAATTAATTATTAATTTATTTAATTTTGCATTTGTGGGGTTTTTTAGTTCATTATCATCGACTTAAACTTTTTGAATATTTAAAAATGAGCCCACTACTCCTAAATTGTCAAATTGTTTTAGGTTTTTGTTAATGTTTGAAATTTAATTTTCTTTTTTAAAAGTTAATGGCTGTTATTCTGAGCTGCTCTTACTCAATGATAAACGAAAAATACATTTTTGATTAGAGTTATTGATATTACAAGGACTTACTTGATCTATTTTGCTTTCTAATTAAATTGAGCTGGTAAAGTTATTAGCGGTGCTTAATTATTTAGAAGGACTGCTTGTTTTCGTAGTTGGCGAAGAAGACTATTTTGATGAAAAAGTCATTAAAAAAGGAGAGCTTTTTACCTTGTTGAGAGATTTGTTTCCTTTCAACTCTTTGAGCTACTAATTCAAAGCATGAGAAGAGCTTAACTTTGTAAGACTGAGTGGTTAAAGATCATAAATAAGGGAAGAAAATGAATTTATTTAATTTTGTGATGTATTTTTATTTGATCTATAAATTTGATTTTGAGTTACTGTTTTTAAGCCAAAATCCTTTTTGACATCATCAGGGCTTGATTAGAATAATTTATGGAATTTAACAGGACTAGCAGGTGATGTATTATCACTATCTATCTATTAATCTAAATTTTATTTTTGGGGAATTTTAAGATTAATTTCTTTTAAATTGTACTTTTAAGGATATCTACAGGTATGTTGGCTGTAAAGATTCATTTCTGAATTTATAGATTAGTGGTGTTTATTATACTTATTATTATTTAAAGGTGAATTTTACGATTATTAATTATTATTCTACGAAATATTTTTAAATATTGCATTTTGCTTAACCTTCCAAAACTACGAAGTGTATTCGCTGTTTAAATTGCTAATTTAAGCCATCACCCCATCTTGCTTTTAATTATTTACAGAATGCATATACAAATTATTTTTTAGAAAAGCATCACTGTAAGAATGACTTTCTTCAGTGTGACTTTTAATCACAATATCACTCAATTATTTAGATTTCTTTCTTGGATATCCTTTCCCTTGGGTAAAATCTTAATTTATGTAAAGTTTCCCTCTATTTTAATTACTACTATAATTTTATTCCGGAAATTGGTAAATTTTATTTTAAAATTCATGTTCATATTCTCTTGTTGTTTTTGATGCTTGTTTCTCCATCAGTTTTTAGTATTTTTAGCTCATCATTTAACTAAAATCTATCTTTTCTAGTTTCATAGCTCCAAATTTGTTTCTTTAACTTGTTAAGTCTTCATCTGAAAGCTAAAGCAAAGGATTGCTTTTTGCATCTATAATTTTATTCTTTTTCCTCATAATAGGAGACAACTTCTCAAAGTAATACTGGTGAGTTGGAGTTGAAAATTGTTAATTTTCAGCAGTATTCATATTTTTTATTCTATCAGTTGATAGCGTTAAATCTAACTAAATCTTAATACTTTTATCAGCTGCGCTTTATTATTTTATCTACTCCTTTTGTCTTCCAAACTAAAATTTATCTGATAAAAAAAGAATATCTGACATATTCAATGATTTATTATGCTCTTAATATTATTTTCAAAGATATATTTCAAATCTTGTGATATATTACTATTATTATTTTGTTAAGTTTCCAACCAATAGCAAGAAAGCAAATGATTTTTGATTTGAAGATTTCTCTGCTTTAGTTATTTTTGTTTTTTTTTATTAATTACTTCAATCAGAATCAATTTCAATTAATGGTTTTTAAATTATATTTATATTTTTGTAATCATGAATAAATAAATAATATTTCTTCTCAAATTATATTAGCAATTTTAAATTTTGAAGTAAACGCTGGTCATTAAATACTAAAAATTGAGGTATTCTTGGAATTTTATCAAATTTACATGCATTTTAGTACTTTCTTTGGCAATAACAAATTTTAAATTCTTAAAAATAATAAAAAATTAAGTAAATTTATAATTTATTTAGATTTTCACTTCATTCCAAAAAATAATTAATTTACTTCTTATTTCGTTTATTTGTTTAAAAACTAACCAGCACACAATTCATAATCTTAATAACTAGTCTCAATATTTCAAAATATTTAGCTAATTGCATATTAAAAAAAGTTCAAAAATATTTTGGTATAAAGTAAATTAATGTTTACATTTTACACAAATCACCTCTTACTTAAAATTAAAATTTATAATCTTATTTCTGAGAACTAAGTTTTCAAATTATTTATATTTAATTACTTTTGCATAAATTAATCTTTTATAGTTTGTTTGGCATTTGATTGCGAAAACCTAAAAAATAATTAATTATCAATTGCCAAGCTCAAAGAGGAGTAACTAAGAAAAATTAAATATTAGATAGATTACGGTGGCTCTTCATATAAATAAATTTAAATTATGTAAGCGAAGGCTAATTTAAGGTTTTTTTCCTTATGAAAATCCAAATATGAAGAGGAAATCTTTCTAAAGTAAAACAAAAATAAAAAATTACATGAAAGAATAAATTAAATTATTTTTTGTGAAAAAGTAAATTTTTGGATATTCAATCCTTAATACTGTAAGATAGATGAAAATTATCTTACAAAAATTAAGTAGCAAGACTTAAGAATATATTTATGATATATATACATTATAATATAATATTTAAATATATAGTTATGAATAGATGATAACAAAAATTTATGAAAAAGTAAATTTAGTTTACTCATTAAAAACTGATGTAAACACACCGACCTATTTATTTGTTTATTTATTAGTCTAATATTCTCCTTAAAATTTTTCTAGTTTTCTGATCTTCAATCAAAAATTTGATTTGCTAATAAAAATAGAAAAATAAGATAATTTACTATGATAATGATTGATCGGTGAAATTTTTGTGATTGAAATTATTGCTATTTATATTAGAAAGTATCTAATCATATCAAATATTGTCTTATTTTTTGATTAATATTTCTTTTATATTAATTTGAAGCCAAATTTATTTTTATTGTTTTCAACTTTAAATCATGATTTTTTTAATTAAAAATTATTTATTCAAATAAACATGTAATTTTACAATTTTTTAAACAAAAAAGATTTAGCAAAATTATTTCAATTATATGATTTCAAAAACTTAATATTATTTAACAAAGTCTTTCTACTGTGTTACAACATTTTTAAGAACTTATAGTACATATCAAAGCAAATAAAAATAGAATTTATTTTTTTATCATTTTTTAGTTTCATACATTTGAATTTTTTTCAGATAAATTATTTATTTATTTAATGGTAAAAAGAGTTTTTTATATCCCAGCCAGTCAGAAACATCTAGAAACAAAATATAAAAAATAATAATTAGTTTACTTATTTTCAATATATTTAAATGTAAATATTAGGCCTAAAAGTATTTGGGTATACTTCTTCTATTCCCTTCATACCTGTCTCAAAATTTAATTTATGTTTTATTCCTAAATAATTAGCTTCAACTTAAAATTTACTGCAGAAAGAAGGAATTCTATTTGCTTTGCTATCCTAAACCCATTCTAAATTATAATAATAATCATTAAAATTATCTTCTTCAAAAAAATGTTTAAACCAACCATCAAAAACTTATTTATCTGCTAATTCAAAACTACAACCTCTATTAAGCTTAATCGTCTATTCTTTCTACTGAAATATGTTATTCCAAAAGTTAACATCAATTTAATTTGGATTTTTCATTTAAAAAACAAATTTGTTGACAATATCTAATAAATTTTAATTTTCAAGTAAAGGAAATTTGTTCATTAAACTTTCAATTTTGTTAGATAAACGTTCATAGTCTTCAATCTTACCTAAAAAATGAACATTTTAAATACCACAAATACATCTCATATTATAGTCAAAGAATTCTTATAACGAAGCTAAAAATACCATTTAAGCTGAAATTTTTTCAATGCTATTTGTGCAAGAGAAGTCATTTTTCATTACTTCTCCGAAATCTGATTTTACATTTTAAGAAGCCTAGTTAAAATAATGCTCAATAGCTTTATCCCATCTATTATCTTTAGATGGAAATCCTTTCCAATCTTATGAATTATGATCAAAATTAAATGATAACCCCATTTTACCATCATGAGAAACAAAAAAATGTCTATATTACTCTGGATTTTTTAAAAGTTTACTTGCGAATTTATGACAAATTGCTAACCAAATATCACTAGCAGATATCATGACATCTCCGTGCAAACAATAAGCTGCATAAAAGGCATCAAAAAAACCATTTCCAGATATCTTATAAATAGTGTTCTCTGAATTTATTAAATTGTTTTTAAAATAGTATGGAAATCTATTGCTTTCAAACTTTTAAATTGAGATTAATTTGTTTCTAAGCTACTAATCTAACAACGGAGTTTGCTAAATCTTTAAAGAAATCATATTGTTAGTCTGTTTTAGTTGTTACTATTACACAGATCCAAATTTATTTCCTAATTTTAATAAATTTCTCATTTTTATTTATTTATTTATTTATTTTTGTTTTCTATTATTTTTTTATTAATTTATTTGTTTGTTTGTTTTAAGATATTTAAACTATTCTTTTTTTATTAGGTTTGATTATGAAAAACAAATTAGTTTTTATTTGATGCCCTCTATAAATTATGTTTACTTTAATATATAAGTAATTTTGATCAAAAAAATTTTTCTAATCAATAAGAAATTTAGAATGTTCTCAAAACAAATATAAAATCTGTTCAAATTACTCATTCTATAAATAAATATTCTTACATTTCATCAATTTATATTAAAAAAATACTGGAGTTAAAATATAACTTTTAAATTTTAATACAATAAATATTAAATGAATATTAATTATTCAAGAAAGATCAATATTTAATAAAAATATTTTTCATATTGCTTCAAAACTATACTAATAACTTATAAATTATTTAGTTAAACTTAGTAATAAAGATTAACTAAAATAATATCAGATGTTTTCAGTTTTATAATAAAATATAAATATAGAACTTACTTTTATATTAGTTGTCAATGAAACTATAATAAATATAAATAAAATAAAATATAAAATAAAAATAATATGATAATTTATGAACATTTTCATTCATTAATGTTAATGTTAATGTTAAAATTAAAAGAAAAGTGTTACAAATAAACTTTAAAAACTTAATTTATTTTAAATATTAAATTCAACTATACCTAATTAGAGCTTTAATACCAATTAAAAGGATTCATTAATAACAATAAAACTTTAAATACAATTAATATAATATTACTAACTTTAAAATCAAAAATATAGTTAAAATTCACTTTTTTTAAATGATTTTTCTTTAAGTTGCTATTTTATTACTTTTGATTATTTTGCTAAATAGTTACTTACTTAGTTTGGAAGGAAGGTATGTAGGTAGGTAATTGTACATGAAATGATGTCATGAAATCATAAATTAAATCACTTACTCTTATTATAGATAGTGAATTTAGATTTATGATAAATAAGCTTTTTGCAGGAATATATATAAAGAAATATTATTAATTTAGTATAATTTAGCAACAAAAATATTAGCTAATCAAGAGAAATGAAATTCTTTAGTCACATGATGCTATGCCTTTTCTTTATAGGAGGAGCTTTGGCAATTAACAATATTTCTGTGAACTTAGAGACATTAAACTTTAAGGATTAATACAATAGAACGAGAATATTCCATGGGTAGAATGTAGTTGTTAAAGAGTATCCTTACTATCCTATGCTAGATGTGTATAATACTTCAATGTCTTTTGTTGAAAAAGATGCTTAAGATTTAAAAAAGTGGGGGTAAAACGTTATCAGGCTTTACATGTCTTGGGAAGGATTTGAACCTGAAAGATAAAATTACAATTACGAATATCTCGCTAAATTAAAGGAAATCATTCTCCTCTGCTAAAAATACGATATTTATGTCTTTTTAGACGCTCATTAGGATTTGTATAGTCGTTTCTTTTGCGGAGAAGGAATGCCTGACTGGACCATCATGAACAACACCAACCACACTTTCCCTGCTCCTTTCAAAAATGTTCAATTAAGAAGAGACGACGAAGGTGCTCCACTTATTGAAGGTAAACAACAATTAAAAAAACAAATCTACATTTTCTTCGAATAATATTATAAGATTACAAAATATTATCAAACCCTCACACGCTATTCAATAATTAAGATATTAGATATATCAACTTACATTTAAAAATGTTATTTAATAAACAAGATAAATAGTAAACTGGTATAATTAATTTGTTTTTATGTATAATCAAATCATTAAAAAATTAGATAAATTATAGAACCTTATTATTTCATTTTACACATTTTAAATCTAAATTTTACCATTAAATTATTAAAATTTTAGATTGCCTAAAGGTTGGATTCTTCGAATACTATTTTACTAAGGATGCTTCTTAATAGGGTGAAAACTTATTCTTAAACTATAATGGCTTAGCAGATGATTTTGCAGCCATGTGGGGAAAAGTTGCTTCATATTTTGCATCTCAAGGAGATGAAATAACTCATCTTTTAGGATATGAAATTATTAATGAGCCTTTTGGAGTTTCTCCCTATAACCACTTTGTTGATTGGCTTTTTGGAGGCAGATAAAACAATAAATATTTGCTTCCTTTTTACAAAAAAGTAAGCCAAAAGATGAGAGAAAGTGATCCAAAGCGCTTGGTTTTCTATGAAACTGCACTTTTTGATTTCTTGGGTGGAGGTTTTGAATCAAATTTAGGAACCCCTGAATATGAAGTTCTTTCTTATCATATTTACTGTGGAGTAAATAATAGCTAAGGAGATCCAAGTTCAAGTATACTTTGCCACATATTGGATACAACTTTCATAAATGCTAAAGAGAAGAATATAAAATCAATGAAAGTAGGAGGTTTCTTAACTGAATTTGGTGCTTTAACTAATTCTACAAAAAGTAGTGATGAATTAGACTTTGTCCTAAATAAAGCTGACAAGCATTTAAGAAGTTGGGCACATTGGTAATACAAAGGTATTAATTAATTCAACTAATAATATTTCTTGTTATATTTTATTTAATCTAATACTTTAAAATTATTTTAAATAATAGGATACGGTGATATCACCACCTAGTCAGATAGCGATTCAGAAGGTTTCTTTGACAGTAATGGAAATCTCTAATCAAACAAAGTCAAACATTTAAGTAGACCTTTTGCATATGCCATATGTTCTTAGGGAGGAGAAATCATTAGCGAGTTTAATCCTTCAAAAGTTACTTACGAACTTTCATATCTTAGTGGAAATTGTGCCGAATAGTAGACTGAAATTTATTTGAGCGAAGAATTTTGGTTCACTAATAAAAAAATAGTAAAGGCAGAAAATGTTTAAGATTTAGTTGCTATTGACGGCTAACCAAAAGGTTACTATAAAGTTGTTCCTCTCAATTAAAACAAATAAGTTCATTTAGTTATTAAAAATAAATGATTGAATAAACAATTCATAAAAATATATAAACATATATATATTAATATCATATTCTCTTAATAAATCAATTTAATAAAATGCTAAATAAAATTAAATTAAATTAAAATTTTTGAAGATGTTGTTTCTAGATATATTCATACACTAATTAATATACTGTATACTCTCTATATTAAGATCCCCCCCTACTATAAGACCCCATATTTTTTAGGAAAGATCAAATAAGAATCATTTTACAAAAATAATAAATTTTTTTCAGGTTCTTATATTATAGAATTGACGGTATTTAATTTAGTTAATTTTTCAATGGAAATCTATATCAAATCAAAGATTAGTATTTTTTATAGTGTTGAGAAGAGAGTAAAATTTTATTAACTTTTTTTGTTTGAGGAATTTTTTTATTAGCAAAATTCAGTCAGCTTTTCACTTTTTCTAACTAAATATGTAACTTAAAAAAATTAAATTTTTAAACATTATTTAAAAAGTTAAAAAAAGTTTTAAAAATAGATTAGATAACTTACTTAATAAAACTAAATTTTCTTTTCTCTAAAAAAAAATAATGAAAATTAACTACAACTTTATTTCAAAAGAAGAAGTAAAAATAACTTTGTAAAAAGCTTTTTTAAAATCTTTAAAAATTAATTTATTTAATTTTTCTAATTTTATTTGTATTTATTTGATTATCCATCTATAAAAAATAAATTAAATTTTTAGCATTTAAATAAAATTTCAGCATAAAACTTATTTTTATTTAATTATGCTTTTCAACCTTGTAATAACTTTAAAGAATTTCATTTTTTAATTTTAACCCCAAACAAACTATTAATTTTTTCTTCAGATAAATTATTTATTTACTTATTTGTTAATTGATGGTTAAAAAGAGCTTGTTTTTAAGAAGCATCTTAAAACAAAATATAAAAGAAACAAAAAACTTTTATTTCAATATATTTTAATATAAATATTAGGCCTAAATGTATTTGGATATACTTCTTCTATTCCTTTCATACCTGTCTCTAAAGTTATTTAATGTTATACTCCTAAATAATCAATTTAAACATTTTGTCTACTGCAAAAAGAAGGAATTACATTTTTTTAGTTATCCTAAATCCATTCTAAATTATAATATTCTTGATTAAATTGTTTTTCTTCAAAAAAGTTTTTAAACCAACCATCAAAAACTTATCTATTTAATATATTATATCCGCAACCCATATCCTCGTTAAGTCTTTATTCTCTTTTCTTGAAGATGTTATTCCAAAAGTTTACATCAATTTAGTTTGGATTTTTTATTTAAGATACAAATTTGTTGACAATATCTAATAAATTTTAATTTTCAAATTCAGGAAATTTGTTCATTAAACTTTCTATTTTGCTAGATAAATGTTCGTAGTCTTCAATCTTACCTATGAAATGAATATTTTAAATACCACATAATAAAACAAATTTGTACTCAAAATACTCTTTCATAGCAGATAAAAACACCATTTAAGATGAAATTTTTTCTATTTTATTTGTGCAAGAGAAATCATTTTTCATCAGATCTCCGAAATTTGATTTGACATTTTAAGAAGTTTAGTTAAAAAAATCCTCAATAGCTTTATCCCATCTATTCTCTTTAGAAGGAAATCCTTTCCAGTCTTATTAATTTGGATCAATAATAGAAAATAGCTCTAATTTACCATCATGAGAAACAAATAAATGTCTATATTTCTCTGGATTTTGTTAAACTTTCCTTGAGAATTTATGACAAATTGCTAACCAAATATCACTAGCAGATATCATGACATCCCCGTGTAAACAGTACGCTGCATAAAATGCATCAAAAAAACCATTTCCAGATATTTTGTATAGAGTGTTCTCTGAATTTATTAAATTGTTTTTAAAATAGTATGGAAACCTATTATTTGCAAGTTCTGATACTGTGATTAATTTATCTCTAAGCTACTAATCTAGCAAAGGAGTTTGCTAAATCTTTAAAGAAATCATATTATTAGTATGTTTTAATTGTTACTATTACACAGATCCAAATTTATTTCCTAATTTTAATAAATTTCTCATTTTTATTTATTAATTTTTTCTATTTTTGTTTTGTTTTGTTTTTTTTCATTTATTTATTTGTTTTAACCTATTTATGGTTATCAGGTAGGTTTTGAATATAGAAAAAATAGCTTTTATTTGATCTTCTGAATAAATAAGCTTTTTGTTTCAGTTTTTAATTTACTTTGATCAAAAAAGTATTAGTATTTCTAATCTGTCAAAAATTTAGAATTTTCTAAAAACAAAGTACAAAATCTACTCAAATTTCTAACTTAATACTGTATAAAATCGATTAAAATTTAAGAATTATGAGGATATCCATAAAATTAGGTTAAAATTTAACTATTACGATTAAAAAGGTTTTTGCTATGTATCTCTTTTTTAATATATTTATCAATTGATTACTTACTATTCCTTATAATTTTTTCTGTTGGCTTGCTTTATATAAAAGTAATAAATGATTTTGTTAAATGGATTTTATTTATAAAAAAATAAACTGAAACTAAACTTTATTCCCTTTAATTTTAAATTTAAATATTAAAATAATCTCAAATATTGACAAAACATACAAAAATTTTATTTACTGTATTAAATAAATTTGTATACTCAAATAAATAATAAAATTTTTGCTAGCTGTATGGGTTTATTTTTTAATTTAAAATTTTAAAAATATTTTTTTTATTTACCATAGAAAAAATAAATATGATAAACAAATTTTATTTTTTCTAAGTAAAAATAAGAAATCTATCTAATAAAAATTAAAAAATATAATTTGAATATTATTTGTTTTTAATTAACACATCAATGTAATATAAAATAAAATATTTCAAGTCAAAATAACAAAAGTAAACCATTTAATTAATTTTTAAGTTGAAATAAATTTATCCAAAAATACACAAAAAAATCCAATTATTTACTTTCTTGTTAAAAATAATCAACATTAAAAATATAATTATTTATTATTTAAAATTTTAAATTGTATTTGATTAATTAATTAATTAATTTGCTTGCTTGCTGCTTCTATTTTTTCAAATTTCTTATACGTCTTCACCTTTCTTTTCTTCCTTTTGCTTATAATATTGATCCTACTTTTTATTTTTAATATTGTATATGTCTAAGAAGTTCTTTCTATTATGGAGGATTCTTTCAATAATTTTATCAGTTGTAATTTCATAAGTGGAGGGTATTACGCTGAACTTTCCTAATTATTTGGGAATTTCATAGGGATCATCTTCATGTTCTGTGGGAGGGAATTCATGTTTGTCAATAGAACCTGAAACAACTAGATCGATTTTGAATTAGTCGATCATAGCCTTAGTTACCTTCCAAGGTGCACCAATGACAACTTCATCTACATACTTAAGAGCTAGAACACTAAGTACTCTTTCTTAAAGATTGAGGAGAGGATAATGTCTGCCTTTCTTTTCAGATATAACATCATCGTCGTGTAAACCTACAATTAAATATCCTAATTCCTTGGCTTTTTAGAGAGTTGAGATGTGACCAATATGAATCATGTCATAAGAACCATCAATATATACTATTTTTTAACCAGGTTGAGGTTCTTTTAAACCATGACTGAATTAACGGATTCTCTTAGTAGTGTTAAGAAGTTTTACTTTGTGGGCTGTCTTTTCATCGACTTCATGTTCTTGAGTTTACTAGATAGATTGGGTTTCGTGATGATCATTAATTTCATTGATTTTACTGGCAATTACGTGAGCACCGTCACCACTCATTTTACGAATCTTTTACATGGCTAAGTTGGGTTCAGTTTTAGTTAAAAGGAGCAAACGACCAACGATATCTGTTGTTGAAATACCTTCAGTTCTCTTAAATGTTAAGAAACGATTAACATTACGGAAAGCTTAATAGGAATCAGTTCCATCAGGAAGCAATATAAGATCGTCTCCATGAGCAACATGACTGCAGTTAAGCTTGTCAAGAAGTTCGATGCTTGGGTCATAAGGGGCATTCTCATAGATTTCATCAACCCATTTGCATGCACGGGCAATTCCAACACGTTCTTCATAAGTCAAAACGGGAGGACCTTTACGCTTAATAACTTCTTCAGTGGAAACAACACCTAAAACTAAAATTTCACAAAGCTACTTAGCTTAACGAATAGCATTGAAGTGACCTGAGTGAGTCAAATCAAAGACACCATCTACGTAGAGACGATGAACTTTAGGTTGTTAGAGGGGAGCAACTAAAGCTTTGTTCTCTTCAGTGATCTTAAGAGTCTTGAAGGATGACTCTATGAATTCGTAGAGTTTTGAAAAGGCTATATCTGCTTTCTTAAGTATTTCATCATTTTAAGAATTCAAGCAAACTAATTTCAATTTTTCCAAGAATGATTCATCATGGAAACGGTTCTGCTTAACAATCTAGTTGAGCATAACAGCAAATAATGTGGTGTTTTCCTATTCCATTTCAACAATTAAAGGTTTGTTATATTTATTGCTTTACCTTATTTAATAAATAAACTATTCAACTATTTTTTAGTTTTATTAATTTGCAAAATAATTGTTTATAAGATACAATAAAACTCTTTCTTTTTATAGTTTTATGCTGATAATTAAGGATGGATCCAGTTACCAACAAAAATTGAATCTGATTAAAAATTAATTGAAATAAAATATTGCAATTATTTTTTTCCACGAATTTTGCTTAAAAAAATGGCAAAAGAAATTAAGAAAGAATAATAAACTATAAAAATCTGCCATTTAATTCAGAAAAAACATATACCAAACCCCAAAAGGAAAGGGAAACAAACTTTTTACTCTTATTTTGATTTAAATTTTCTTAAATATGCTAAATAGAAATTAAAAGATATTTAAGCTGCTAAAGAAATTCAGATATTGTTAAAAATAGATAATATTTGTTGTTTCGACACATCAGGAATAAATCACACGCACTTTCTATTTGATTTCTAGAATAGCTCTGTAAAGATTTTGACGGCATAACAAAAAATAAAAAATTAAATCAAATACAATTTTTTACTCAAATATTTTTACAGAATCTTTCAAGATAAAAATAGAAACTCCCAAATTAGCTTGCTTTCTTGTAAGCATCTTAGAAAAATTAGTTAAATGAAGATATTAAATTTTTATTTATTTTATAATTATTACAATTTAAATATTTTATTCAATAATTTATTTCAATTTAAAATAAAAGTTTTAGTTATTTTTTGAATATTTATTAAATCAATACTTAAAATTATAATTATTATTTTGTATAGTTTTAAATGAAATAAAATGACACCTGTTTAATCTTGTAAGTCGCGTTTCAGAAATAATTTTTTACCCATCTTATAATATTTTGGAAAAATAAATCTAGATTAATTTTCAATCACTACCTCCCTCCTTATTTTTTAATTTTATTTAAAAACAAACAAACCCTTAATTTTGAGAAAAAAAATAATTTATTTGAATATGTTGCTATAAAATATTAAATGGATATATTGATATATGACTATTATTTTTAATTACTTAATTAATCTATTAACAAATTTGAATAAAATTTGAATGGAGCCTTAATTATTAAATAACAAAGGAAATTAAATAAGGAGTAATTTTAAAGAGATAACTTTATTTTATTGCTTGATTAACTTTTGATATGTTAACTAATTAATTAATTAATTAGACAGTATTCTTTAATATTTTTATTTTGTGTCTAGTATTTCATAGAATATTCTTCTCTAAAAAGACAAAGTATTGTTAAAACTTGTTTATGATAGTAAATATTATATCAATTATGATGAAGGAAGGATTCTTATTTTTGCTTGACCATAAGTATGCGTTTCAATAATTTTACTTTTATGCATTAGATTTATACCGAGATAAAAAATCTATTTTTAAAGAGAAAATAGTAGGTTGGATCCCCCTTTTTTTTTTGCTCTATGTGATTAGTTAATTTTTTTAATTTATTTTATTTAGATCTGAAAATTTTATTGGTTTAGCTTTTAACTTCATTCTTAAAAATTATCCGCTCGTTTCCAATAAATCTTAAAAAGAAGTTAGTAGGATTTATTAAATTGAGAAGTATTTAGTCAAATATTTAGTAGAATTAATTCACCTTTGTATATATTTTATCTCGCATTTTTGAAATGTATTTAATTTCTTAAAAAAGGCAATGAAATTCAGTAAATTGCGTATAAATATGGAGTATTACTTACCCGTCATTAAATAAATTTCTCTCTTGGAGTAGAAAGATCAGCGAAGCCACCAAATAGCTCAGCTATGAAAAGGGGATATTAAAAATATAATAGATCTGCTTCTATCTGATTTAGGGAGTTTCTTTGAAATAAGAATTGTTATAAAAAGGGAAGCCAAGTCTCTGAAAGAATAAATTAATATATAAATTAACAATAAAATACTAAGGTATTAAAATAAAAATACAAAAATAAATTAAGAATCTTTAAAGTTATAAAGCAAGTAAAATGTTCTGGGGTTGCACTGTTAAGAAAGGTAACGATCACAAGTTCGAATCTGAAGACCACGCTATTTTGCATCTTTCCAATGTTGCTTTGGGTTTAAATACTAAGGCCGGAGCTCAAGCTTCCGTCTTTGCCAAAGTTGATGGAAAGGAATTCGTCATTACTCACTTGACCTAGGGTAAAGTTGAACACACTACTCTCGATCTCTATTTTAGAAACGACCAAGAAGTCACTTTCGGTGTTAAAGGAGAAGCTGAAGTTCACTTGAGTGGTTATTTCGAACCTGATCATGATGAAGAAGATCTTTATGATGATTATCCTTATGGCGAAGAAGAATTCGACGACGAAGAAGATGAAGAACTCGAAGGAGAAGATGATGAAGATGACGATGAAGAGGAAGAAGAAGAAAAGCCTAAGCAACAACTCCAAAAGGAAGCTGCTAAGAAGCCAGCTGCCTAACAATAAGCTGCTGCTGCCACTAAAAAGCCAGCTGAAGTTCAAAAGAAGGCTGAACCTGCTGCCAAGGCTGCTGAAGCAAAGAAGCAACCTTCCCTTCAAGAAACTTTAGCCTTAAAGGCTGCTGCTGCTGCCAAGGCTAAGGAAGCTTTGTAAAGTGATGAAGATGATGAAGACGATGATGATATGGATATTGATATGGAAGATGATGATGAAGAAGACGATGACGAAGAAGATTTCGATGATGAAGAAGAAGGTAATGATATCGATGACGATGTTTCTGACTCTGACAATGAAAATGGAACTTTATCTTAAATGTTAAAGAGAACTGGTGCTGAATAACACTAAGACTTGAATAAGAAGGCCAAGGCCAACAACAACTAAGCTGTTAACAAGCCTTAAAACTAAAACTAAAAGCCTTAATAATAAAACTAAAACCAAAAGCAAAACAACCAACAATAAGGAAAGCCCCAACAATAACAATAAAACCAAAACAAGCAACAACACAATAACTAAAACAAGCAAAATCACTAATAACATCAAAACAAGCAAAACTAACATCAAAACAAGCAACACAACAACAACTAATAACATCACAACAAGAATTAACACCATCAAAATAAAAATCAACACAACAAAAATGCTCACAAAAAGAACTGAGTTGAGTTGAGTTGAGTGAAAATACGTGATTAAATCTAATAAGTCTATCAATATTAGATTATAATTATTTTTTGTAATAATTATTTTATGTAGCGCACCACATCAAATAAATTGTATGCGTATGTATTTTTAGTAATCTAAAATAAATATGCTGAAAGATAAATAAATAAATAAATAAATAAATAAAAATATTACTATTATTACAAATTAGATTTTTATTACCTTATTTTTTTTAATTATTTTATGAAATATATCTTTTAATTTTGATTCTCAATAATAAAAAAAATATACGATTTAGCAATAAATAAATAAATAATTATTTCTACTAGCAAATGATACGCAATAAGTAAATAAATAATTTAATAGATAAAAACTGATTTTATTTGATATATTTCAAATATACTTATATCTAAGTTGTTATTATTAGCTTAACTATCTTATCTTAATACCTAGTTTATGAATATTTTTTAAATATATGTTTTAATAATTAAAATTAAAATATTCTGATCTTACTTAGATAATATTCAATAAATAAAAATGTAATATTTTATTTAAAATTTATAATTTGTTTTAAATAAATCTAAGGTGAATAATACTTAAAAATTCGTAATCGATCCTAATATGTGAAAATATATATTGATTTCTTAATATATTTATAAAAAATTTTTGTTATTTCTTATTCAAACATAAAATATGTTATTATACAAAAGTTAATTAATATAGTCAGAAATTATATTCACTATAATTTTAAAATATAAAAAATTAATTTAGCATTAAAATTAATAAAATATAAAATTTTATTATCAAAAAATTTTACAAATTAAATAATTTGATTATTCTTTTTATTTAAATTTTTACATTTTATATATTGATGAAATTAAATTTTATATTAGAAATATGAATTAGATTAAATTTAGATATAGATTTAAGTTAATTTATTATAAAAAATAATCTATGTAAAAAAAAAAATAATAAAAATTGAATTTTTTAATTTTCATAAATTTAAAAGTAATTAAAAAGAAAATGCACAAAAAATAAATAAGAAGATTTTACTTTATTTTGATTTCATTTACATAGTGTTGGTGAATTAATTTAAGAATGACTTTAAATAAAAGTGTATTTATTATTTGGAAGCAAAGTGTTTAGATTTTTGCAAAAGAATCAAAAAGTTAACTATTTATTTGAGATAAATCTTTGAATGTATTGGTTTTTTATTTCAAAATCTGATTGATATATTTTGATATTAATTAAAAATAAACTTAAAGCTAAATAGCACACATTTAAAAATGTTTAGAAATATTTTATTATTAGCATTAGCAATTTCCATTGTATCTGCATAGGACGAGAAGTATGACTTGTTAGCTAACTTATCTTTAGGTTTAGGTAAACAGCAAATAAACTAATTACTAATAAATAAGCAAAGAAGATGAATAATAAGCATAAATTAACAAATTATTTATCAAATTACATTATGAATTAAAAGAGTAAATTTTTTGAATTAATAAACAGATGAAAAATGGGAAAAGATCGCAAGCATTGAATTAAATATAAAATTGGGAAGTGGATATATTATTACTGATAATCTCCAATTAATTCCTAGAGAAGTTATTTCTTAGGCAAATGTAAATAAGCATTAAATTCAAATATTTGATTCTATTTATTTATTAAATTAAATAGAACAGCACCAGGTATCTTCAACTTAAGTTAGTTTCTTAAAAGTACCCAGAATAGCCTGAGTTGTTAACAACAGTTGAGTAAATTTTAAATAGATAAAGTTATTCATTTTTAAACTCCCTTTTTAATAACCTTTAGCTTGGTTTAGAGCTTCCCAAACAAATAATTTAAGGAAGTAGTAGAAATAAATGTTGATGAGGATGGAAATATTAATTCTTTTTCTTATTTGGTGAAAAATATCGATGAAAAAAAAAATAAGAAGAAATCAGTAACCACAGACGATAAAGACATTGATGAAGATTTCAAAGTTTACATCACCAAGACTACCCAATCTTTATCGTAAAACTTTCTATTATAATTTTATTAATTCTAATATCTACTTGTATTATTAATAAAGCTCTCACTATCAACCTCCTAAAACTAATACTAAGCAAAAACCAAACCAAGGAAATTAACAAGGATAAAATCAAAATCAAGAACAACAACAATAATAGCCTGAGTAAGAAGGAGGAATCATGGGTTTCTTGAAAAATAACGTATTTTTTTTTATTATTTTTAGAGAAATATTTTTAAAAAAATAATATAAAAATAGTTCTGGTATATTGTCATTGGTTTAATTGTTTTCTAATTCATGTCTGGAGTAGCCGATCCAAATGCTGCTTAGGGCTAAGGATAAGGATAAGCTCAGAGACCTGCTTAAAGATGATTAAAAATTAAAAAAATTAATTAAATAAATTATTGTATTTTATTTTAACAATTTAAATTAAAAATATTAATTTAATTTTAAATTAAATAAATATTAATAGTTAGTTTTATTTTTAAATGAATCATTTTATTTAAAGTTTTCTTTATCCTTATTAATTAACCTTATTAAAATATTTTATTATTCTAATTTAATTTATTAATTAACTATTTATTATTCTTTAATAACTTTCTTTAAATATATTTATTCTAAAAACTAATGAAGCATTAGTTTTTAATTAGCTCTTTTATTTTATAGATATTGAAACCTAGTAAAATGCACTAAATTAATTAATTACAAACATTATTAAGATTTTTAAATGAGTTTAAGAGGAGGGATAAATATCCTAAACTAATTTTAATGAAATTGTTAAATTACTCCGAAAAAATATGGAATTTTAATGCATTTTAAAAAATACTTTTTCAAGTTAAGTCTTTTTAAAAATAGTTTTTTTTGATTTTTGAAGCATTTCAATAAAGTTAATTCCACCTTTAGTTAGAAAGCTATAGCTTATTTGAATATATTTCGTTAGAAATTTCTAAAAATTAAAAAAATGCTGAGATTGAGATGCAAATCTATAAGTTTTGAAAATTTTAAACAATAATTTTTATTGGTTTTAGAGCAAAATTATTTATTTTTTTAATTGATTTAAAAATAAATTTTTTATTTAAAGCTTTTAGATTTGATGTAAATAAAGAAGAAATGAGTAAAATACTACAAATTTATAAAAGAATAATAGATTTTACAGAAGATTTATTTAGTTTTTATAAGATTTTATAATACATTTTATTAAATTTTGTAATTAATTAATTAATTATTTTTTAATTAAGTCTATTTATTTTAATTAAATTAATTAGAAAGATAGATAGATAGATATTTCTTTTTATGCATTTTTAATTGTCTTGAAAAATCAAGTTTGTTTTATTTTTTCTTTGGTAATACTTCATTCAGTCTGTTTTATTACTTCAATTTTCTATTTTTTTCTTCAAAAGAAATGATTACCTCTTTTTATTAGGATCTTCAATTTATTTAGCTTATTATTACTATTGATTTTTTTCATGATGATTATTGTTAATTTAGTTCAAAGAATATTTGTTGTTGTACTCATTTCTCATTTTTCTAATTTATATTAAAAAATTTTTTTAAATTGTTTCATATGAAAAAATAAATAAATAAATAAATGAGATTACTTTAAAGTATCCATTTTTTATTGAAGCAAGTTGTACATGAGGAGTTTTTTAGAAACTATTGATTCAAATTTTTTCACATAGCTATCAATATCACAATCCATAAATCCATCTTTTTAGCAATCAGTTAAAAGCCCACTCTCTAATGAAAGCAGATTAGCATCCTCCTAAAATATTAAATAACAAATATTTAATTAAAATAATTGCATAAATAAAACAAAATATTATTTATTTACTTTAATTGCAGACATGTGAGAAGAAAACATGTCTTCTTGTTTTTCTTTAATTTGTTAGAGAATTAAATCTTTAGTTTTTTATTCTATTTGATGCTGTTAAGCTTTTTCTATGTTTTCTTAAACTTCTTTATTTTTTTGTAGGATGTGGTCATTTAAACTCTTGTCATTCAAGTTTTGGTTAAAATTGTTATTGTTTATTTAGTTATTGTTGTTATTGCTACTGCTGTTGTGTCTACTGTTATGGTTAGCAGAAGAATCTCTATTATTTTTGTTATTAATTGTAGATATGTTATCCATGTTTTGCTGAGTTTTCTTTTGCTATTAATTATTATGACCTTTTTTAGGGAGTTGATTGAAAGAGTTATTGTTATCATCTCTTGTGTTATTGTTTTATGAGTTATTGTTATTGCTAGGATGAGCTGAATTAATCCTAATTTACTGACCTTGATTGTTTTGAGTAGTAACAGGGTTGGACTGAGATATCTATTTTAGTTATTTTAAGCTTAAAGCCTTATTTTGATCAACTCCTGATAAATGATCATGATTATGATTGGTAGCAAGAGAAGCATCAGTATTTAAAATCTTTTACTATAAAAGATTGTTCAAATTTTGATTACTAGTATCAGTTTAATTAGCATTCTTTTTTCCTATAGAACTTTGTCTTTTTTATTATGTTTAAGGTCTTTCATCTCTCTTCTCTCTATGAAGTTGTGCTAGTGCTGAGGCAGAAGAGCTTACAGATGTTGAAGAAACAACCTATTAAGTACTATTCTGTGTTGAAGCTTATTCAATTTATTACACAGACTGCTAAATAGGAGGTATTTTTTAAATTTAAGAAGACTTAGCTTGTTATGCATTCAGCTTTTTTTCCTACTAACTTGGTTTATCCTAATAACCTATCGAAGGAATATTGTCAACACTTTGCATATTTTCTTTATTTTTGGCATTGTTCATTAAATATTATGTGTGATCATATTATCTCTCTTCTTTGTTTTTGTTTTCACCTTTCAAATTTTTTACAGGTGGTGCATTTTAGTTTTTCTTGTTTGAGTCATTTTCTTCTTTTTCTTTTTCTTTTTTTTTTTGTGCAGCCGCCTAAGGAGCAGAAGCCATTTATTATTATGATGATTAATAATTCTATTTCTTTTTTTTTGCTTTTGATTATTCTTCGATAATTTTAATCACATCTTATTTAATACCGTTGCTTTCTTTTAGTCTATCAGCATATCTAATAATTAATTTATAATTTAAATCCTAAATAAAATTTTATATATTGTATATTAAAATTTTGCTACCTTAAAGTATTCACTGTGTGATCAGATGAGCTAGAACCAGGTGATATGCAAGCAAACATAATGATATGAGAATTTGATTGTTTGCTTAAAAAAGAGTCTCTTAGTACCAGAGTCAGCTTTGATCCTCTAAAAGGCACATGCTAAGCACCAGAATCCATAGCTCTGATGCATTCTTTCAGAGCCAAAAGACTCTAGTTAATATTAGCTCCTTCAACTCTCCTTTGCTTAGAATTACTCTAGCAATCTTGGGCTCTTTCACTTCCTGCTAAATCAACCATAATTAACTTACCACGAGTGGATCCATTGGTGTCTTTAACAACAATCTATTTATTTTATTTTATTTTTCATTTGTCAGTATTTAAATTTAATTATATTCTTCTTACTTAACAAATTGCATGAGAACGAGATGATTCTTCATTTGCTTCAGTTGCATGAGTTCTAAATAAATTAATTTCGATTCAAATAAATATATTTTAAAAGAATTATTTTTTTATTGATTGTTAAATTAATGAATTACGTTCTAATTATTGCGGCCTATTCAATAATTTCAATCATCTCTAGCTAATCTCTTACTGGTTTTTCAATCAAATTTTGAATTTAAACATTGTTATTTTTATCTTCCAAAATATTCAATTAGTTTCTTTCATTTAATAGATCAAAACACCTACAATTAATTAATTAATTTAATTATCATTAGTTAATTAATTTGTTTATTTCAAACAAAAGAATCAATCAATAAGTGTTTATAATTCAGTTTTTAGGTTTTAATTCAAATTTTATAATTGTTGTATTTAAAAACAAACTACTTACTTGCCACCGTAGATTTCAAAGTAACTCATAATCAATTAGAATTAGTGATTTTTCTGAATGATGCTGAATATGTCATTTATATAGTGCTACTGAAGTCCTCTCATAGTGAATGTTTTACCACTACCTGTCTATCCGTAAGCGAAACATGTAACAACTCCGTGTTCAAATATGCATTTAATCAGTGGTTGTAAGGAATACTTGTAAACATCTTCAGTTGACTCTTTTTCAGAGAATGCGTTATCAAACTAGAAGTCTTGGTTCTCTACATATTTTGTAATACCATCTACTTTATATTTAGGTTCATGAACTCTGATGATAGGATTTGAACATGATATAGAATCTAGTTCACCTTCCTCTTCTTCTTTTGAAAACAAAGGTCTTTTCCTAACTATTACGCTCAGCCTATTGTTTGAAATAGGCACATGCTATAAACTGAAGTTAAGTCTCTCTTACTCAATGAGCATTTCAAAGTCAATATCGACATTTCTATTGCTTTCTTTGTTCATTTATTCCTTTTCCAATTTTTATTGCTTCATTTAGTTCATCTTTTCTCTCCTTTCTTGTCTTTTTTATTCCATTTTTTCCATGTTTTAAAGGAGAGAGCTCTTTTTTGTCTGCTTCTTTTTGTTGTTATTTTAATTGCCTTAATCTACCACGTTATCAACTTGCTAGTACCTTTCTGAATCGTATTCAAGTCGGCCACTGTCTTTTTAAAAATATTTTGTTTAACATAAAATTCAAAATTAATTATTCATAGTTATTTTCAAAATATATATATATATATATAAAGAAACAATTTACTCTACGAATCAAATGAGTCCAACTACTAAATTTGTACATTCTAAGGACTTTCATCGTATTCAGTCCTAGCAACTATTTTTAAAAATATAACTTAATACAAAGCTGATTCAATTAGCTTCTATTAAAATATAATTCAAAGCTTGTTGTAATTAATTATCCTACTTTGTTGATTTTAAAGGATGTTGTTAATTTGCTTTCTCAGCATTTATATTCACACTTTTAGATGCTTAACTAATAGCTCAGATATCCAATAATTATTGAAAATCTCTAATGAATAACTTTTTTTCCCTGCTAATGAATGACCCAAACAGCTATTGTGTCTTTTAATGATACGCAATTGAATTTTGCTTTGTATATTTCCTTATTTATTAAGTAAGCGCTTTAGTTTGTTTCTTTGATTTGTAAATCTTTTTGTTAAATATATTGAAAAGATAATGTTAATTAATTAATTATTTATCAATCTCAAATTATTCATTCATAATATTTTTTTTGAATGATTAATAAATGACCATTTGAGATTTAATTTAAATTACATAAGATTTGCAAAGGATTATTTAACAGGCAAAAACATAATTAATCAAAACTAAATCGAATAATTTCATTCACAATATTTCTAATAAAGTTTTTAAATAAATTAATGAATGAATGGGTGATTTAGATAAAAAATCAAATATTGATTTAATACTTTTAAATTAAAAGTATAATCATTCACAAAATAAATCACTAGCTCACTCATTAATACTATTTATCTATTTTTCTGTTTAGTTTTTCACATATAAAATTCAAAATATTCTCATCAAATTTTACATCAAACATTTATTTGAAATAATTGGGATTTAAAAATATTTTTTAACTTTTACAAAAATAATTTATTACTGGTTTACTTAATTAAATAATAAAAGTGATTCAACAATTAGTTATGGAATATTCTAATTAGAACTAATAAGATCAGAACATATCACAAAGAATCAAGTATTAAGTATTGATTTATTAATGAATGAATGAATGAATCAACAGAAATTAAACTTATATAATTATTATTTACCAGAATATATATATATTAGTATTATTCACAATAATTAAGTAAAGACTTTTTATGAAAGAACTACTAATGTAAATAAATATTTAATTTTTAGTAAAAATTTTCCTTTAAAAGATCAAGCATATCCAAAAACAGCTAGAGTCTACTTGACTAGATTATTCTTCTTGATAAATTTCTTTTTGAGGAAATGTTCGTCAAATTAGTCGTTAAAATTATATCTTTTTAAAATGAAAATTGATTTATTCAATTTGATAAATAAGATAATAAAAAAATATTCACGCTAAAAATAATTTTAAGACAGTGAGATTCTTTAAGTCGAATATAGTATCTGCTAATTAGCTGAAACCTTCGTTAGTAATTTGATTATAACTTCGTTTTTATAAGTTGAATTTATTCTTAAAATAATTTAAAAAGGTTAAACTTTACCACAAATCAAAATCTAGAATTTTAAGAGATTGACATTTTTATAAAGACTAACAAAAAGAAACAATGCCAGGGGCGTCTATTTAGTTTTCTCTAGAAATTATAAATTATTAGTAAGTAAGTAAATTATCTTGTCAAATAAAACTTTGGCAGTATTAGATTTGAATTTAATGTCAAAAAAATTTTAAACAAAATAAGGCAGAGAAAATGATTAAATTATTAAATTTATTGCCATCAAAATTTATTGTTAAATAATTGTATTTTTTATAAATTAATTACATTGCTATAATTTTAAATGATTCCAAATTGTAGCATCTTTCAAACACTTCCCCTAAGGTTAATTAAGTCAGCTAATTTTCGCTAATTAAAATAAAGGAGAAAATATGAAATTTTTTGATTAATAAATATTAAATATAAATTATGTATACTTTAAATCTATCTTCAAGGCTTTAAGATTTATCATTTTGCATAACTCTAAACTTAGGGAACTCAATATTTAATTATTTATGCCATTAGCGCTAATAGAAATTCAATAAGTTTAAATAAGACATTTTAGTTGAAGTTTATTTAATATTACCTCAAATCTAAAGTTACAAACTAAATACTTTCTGATTAAGCTAAAGCTTTTCCTAATCCACTTAAATCCTACAAACCTATTAATCCAGAATGATTGCATCTTAAATTTATATTTTTATAAAGAATTAAGCATAATTTCAAAAATCTAAATTGAATTATATTAACAAATAAATAAATAAATTATAATAATATATATAATTCCTCAACCATTAAATAATTATTATGTTCAATATAAAGTGCAATATTTGATTTATCATTGTTAAAAATATTCAAGTTAAAATTATCATATTTTATTTGTTAAATTAAAATTTTTAAATAAATTACCTAAAAAAATATTTTTTTAAAAATTTTATTATTGAAAATCTAAAAATCTAATTTTATTTTCAATACTCAAACTATAATCATGCATTTATAGTATGAATTTATAAATGAATGAATCATATTAATAGAAAAGCTAAAAAGTTATTAATAAAAAAAATAAATTTTACTTTATCTAAAATTTGAAGGTTTTCAAATTCATTAATTTCTCAATTTAATTAGTAAAAAACGATGTGTTTTAGGATTTTATTTTATTTTCGCTTTTATTTAGAGAAAATGATTTTATGAAAAATAATTATTATTTAAAAAATGCTTACTTTAGTGAAAGACTTATTTCAGTTAATTCTTAACACTGTTATAATCCATACAAAAATTAGCTTATTCCATGCTCATCAATTTAGTTTTAACTTTTTAATTAAAGATATGTTTCAATTAAACAATCAATTTCTGATAAATTTAAATTTTAAGATATGAGCCAATTAGTGATAAATTTAAATTAATGAGCCTCAATAAATTTTATCAGAAATTTTTACTCTAATTCGATTTGCAAGTTCTTTAAGTTTTTCAATAAGGACAAAGCTTTTCCTATTTATTTAGCACCTTCTGAGGTTATTCTATTATAGCTTTTAATTGATATTTTAATAGATTGTTAATAAATAGACCAACTAACTATTTACACTAATTCTAGCTTTAAATTTTGAATAAGTGAGCATTTCTAAATCCCAACAAGTATGTTGTTCAAATCCATATCGCCAAGATAAGTAGTCCTAAGTTAAGTAAATTTATATTTTAGATTCTATCATTTTAATAAACAAATAAATAAATAAATAAAATATAATGTAAATAACCTTAAGTGAAGAGCTATTTTTTTCAACTTTTAATATTGTGAAATTTAATCTCCTAATTTTTTTGCTGTTTCATCATTGATTTTAGCATAACTTAAATAAAAATGTAACAAATAAACTTTATACATAATTAATCAATTTTATAATTAATACTTGAATTCCAGACAGATTTACTCATGTTAGTAGTCAGTTTCTTTTGAATAAATAAACTTTTAACGAAAAAAAAAAAATTATTAACTCAGTCATTGCAAAATAAAGATACATTTTCTATTTCCCTGAAATTCATTTTATTTTATAGTTATTTGTTTTTATTTATCAAAAATAAAAAAACTAATTTATTAATTTTTCAGAAATATTTTCAATTAAAAAATACACAAATGTAATATAAATATAATTGATAGGGTTAAATTTGCAATTGTTAATTAATCAATTAATTAATTAATTCTTTCTTTATTTTTGCTTACTTACTTTTCTTGTCAAATTTAAAAATCAATTATTCTTTTTTAATTTGCAAAAGAAATTTTATTCTCTATATAAAAACTTTTCCAAAAATTAAATTCGTATTGTAATTGCTTAAATTTTATACACAAATAAGCTAATAATAAGAAACTATTCAATAATTAACTCTCCAACTAATTTTGATAAAACAAAATAAATAAATAAATAAATAACAAACAAAAAATTAAGAAAAAACAATGAGGTAAAGTTAACCAATAAATTATGAAATAAACAAATAAATAAAGAAAAAGGGAAAAAAAAATAAAATTTATATTTATTAGAAAAATGTTTGAATATTTTTTTGATGAATATGAATGACATCATTAAGATTTTACAAATAAACTGACTCAATTTAATATATAATTTTTAAAATAATTAAAATCTATTAGATTTTATTGTTTAATATAAAATAATTAGGTTCAAATTCGAAAGAAAATAAATAAGTATTTTTTTAAGTAGTTAATAAAATCATTTTTAAAATTTGAAATTTATTTTAATTTGAAGTTATTAGTTTGGATACTGCTTTTCTGCAGTTTAGTTTAGAGAGCGAGATAGAAAAACACAAATTTATAATATTATTCAGATTTTTGTATCAAGCATAATAAATTAATAAATAAATAAATAATTCTTTTACTTTTATAAAATAACTTTTTGGCATATTTTTAGGTTTTTTTAATTTGACTTTATCAGAGAGTAAAAGTGACTTTTTTATTTTGGGGACTTTTAGTAACATCCACCAATTCATTAAAGAAATCTAAAATTTTCTCTTTTGGAGGCTTTAAAATCGATTTTTAAGAGCCATTTTTAATTTGAGGTGAATGATTAACTGAGTTACTGTATGGCTTGGGATTTTGTGAGCTTTAAATTAATTAACTTGAATTTTGTTAATTTAATTCAGTTTTTTCATTTACTTAATTTTGTTGAGATGAATCTTAATTAAAAGAATTCTAAATATCATTTATAAAAGATGAAAAGTTAATATTCCGGGCTCTACTTTTTGAGTTAATTTAATTCTGAGCTTTCTGCTCTTATTTATCTAATTAGTTGCTTGTTTTATTTTCTTTATCTAAATTATTTTTACACATATTTAACACATCTTCATTTGAGCGAGGCTTTAACTCTCTTCTAGTTGGTGTATTTTGATTTGAATTATTTCTTTGATGCTAATTGAATTAATCATAAATCTTATGGGCAGGTGAATTTGAATAAATATGTTGAGGCTAATTTTTACATTCCTCAAGCAAATCAAATGGTTTGTATTTTACTGAGTTGACACTTTAGCTTATAAAAATTGAATGCTTATTACTATTTTAAATTCTGTAATCAAATATATTTTCTTAATTGTTACAAGAATACTAATTTGAATTACTAAAAGGAGATAAAGAAGCTTCTAAGTTTGGGTAGCCACAAGAAGGTAAGCTTCTTCTGGGATTATTATTTTTTTAATTTTCATCTCCAAAAAACTAAGTAGAGAAATCTTTATGAATCTAGTTTAAATCTATAAATAAATCATCATTGTTATTTATTTTATTTTATTTCCTTTATTAGCTCTAGCTTTTTTAAGGTACTTCTGGGTTAATTTACTACTGTTTTCTTAAATGTGTTGAGGGCTTATTAGGTTAGCTGAACAGAAGCTATTCCTCAAAAATTCTATCATTAAATATTTGCGGAGATTTCTATAATTCCCTTTAACTGTATTAGTATCCTAGTTGTTGTTACTATTATTCTATATGATGAGACTAGTAAAAAAGACTTCGAGGAGTATGAAATTGATTTGAGATTAACTAAACTTAATCACTGCCAAATTCAGTTCTTTATTCTTAGTTTCTTAAGGTAATCTGAAGCGCATTTCCAAATACTGCTTTACTATTTGATTAAAACACAGAAGAGTTTTTTAATTGCATTTTTAAATAATTATTGGTTAATTAATTGAGTGTTTTTTTTAGTTTTTATTAAGTTAGTTATTATTTAACTAAATATTTGATTAATTAATTAATTAATGATCAATTTAACTTTGCTTATTGTTTAAAAGCATAGTTAAAGTAGTGTTGATTAAAGTACTAGGGAATTACTATATTCTTGGTTGGTTAGATTACTTACTATTTTTTCTTCAGTAAATGTAAACTCTTTATTCAAACTAAGAATAAAATTATATAAATTGTTAAAATAATTTATAAGATATCTATTTCATCAATTTTTCTATCTTTTTTAAAGATTTTTATTAATAAACCTAATAAATAACTAAATAACCTCACTATTTAATAATTATTTTTTTATGATATAGATAGAGCAACTCAAATAAGAAATTTGATAATATGTCATTCATTTTACTTTTTGTTATAAATTTTTTTTTACTTTTATTTACATTTTGAAATTAACACTTTTTGATGTAAAACAAATAAACAAACATTTAATTCAAATAAATAAATTAATTACTTAATTATTTATTAATCAATTAATTAATAGATTCTTAAAAAGATTAATATTTTTTGTTTATTTTTTAAAAGAGCTCACCCTTTTCATTTAATTTAATAGAGTCAACTAGCTTTAAAAATGTAAAATATTAGTGAGTGAGCATTCATATATTTATTAAATAAATTCATTAATAACACAATAGAAATAACTCTAGTTTTAAATATAAGCTATAAAAAATATTTGTTTACTAATTTATATTATATACATATGCTTTACAAGATATTAAACAATTAGTTTCAGATTCTTTGTCTATTTATAGTGTAACAAACATAGTATAGATATTTATATTATTAATCTTTATTATAAAACAGACAAATTGATAAAAATTTTTGATTTATAAAAAGTTAATTTTTAAATAAGTTATCTTAACAGTATGAAAATTATTAAAGCAAATGCATATATATTTATCTATTTTTATTCTTGAAAATTTGAATTTAAGTTATATAAATATATACTGAATCTATCTATCTATCTATCTATCTATCTATCTATCTTATAAAAACAAACTAAAAAATTCTGAAAATGAGTAATAAATTTATTTATTTGATGTTTGATAGATAGATATTGATAAATTTTTTGTATTTATTTTAATCTCGTTTAATTAAGTATTTCTAAAATAATATTTAAAATATTATTTTTACAAGATTTACTCTTCTAGTATGTTCAAGCAGACTCTGAGCAAATCAAAATTGTATGTTATTCCAAATACTTTTTTAAACAAAAATCAGTCAATACAAATTAATTTCAAGAAGTGCAACAAACAAAATGATTAAAAAAAATAAAACAATTTCATGCTAATTTAAAAACTCCAATGATCATACTCTATTATTTACCTGTCATTTTTTATTATAAAATTTACGATTTTTGAAAAAATAAGGAATTCTGAAATAATTTAAAAAAAAAAAATTAACAAAATTAATAAAAAATTTGATAAAGTTTAGAAATAATATTTAAAAAATATAAATATTTAAATTAATAAATAAATTTTCCTTAAACTTAGAATTTAGATAGATTTTCAAGATATTTATTTTGCTTAGATTAACTTTTTGTTGAAAAAATCTTTTAGACAACATAAATTAAATAACTAATTAATTAATTATTTAAAAATGTTAATAGTATTAATTTAGTCACAATAGTGGTGTAATTTAGATATGTAAAAATAGCTAAGTAATTATTTATTTATTTATTTTTAGATTACTAGTAAAAACAAAATTAAAGTCAATTTCAAATAAAAAAATTTTTGAATATTTCAATTATAAATTTAAGATTAAAAATAAAGGGAATTTATTTTTGTAACAATCAATTTGTAATAGAAGGCATAAAATAAATATTACAAAATAGAATATTTTATAACATAAATTATAAATTTCATTTGTTTTTAAAAAAATGAATTTGAAAGATTTAGGATCTCCTTCCATCTCCGAAATGCAAAGATTGTGATTAGTTTTTAATATTTAGATTTCATCTGTTTAAATTAAACTATACTTGATAAATGTTTGTTTTTTGAGATAATTTTAACAATAAAATATATTATTGAATCAAATTACTACTTAGTTTAGTACATAGCACTTCTTTATTTATTGATTTATTCTTTACTTTTTTGTTTTTTATAACTTGCATGCAAAGTAAGAAGTATTTTTTATTAGTATTGACAAATATTAAAAAAATATTTTAAACAAAATACATTTAAATAAATCAATAAATAAAAAATTAATTTTCTTCAAAAATATTTCAACTATTACTTAAACTTATTTCTAGGTTTTCAAAATATTTTCATCCATCCAGGGACATTCGTTTTTTCTCCTTTCTGGATAAAAATATAATAAGACAAAATAGTTAATGTAGAGAATAAATGAAGTAAAACAATCATTTTGAATTTTTAGTCAAAGCTTCACTATTTCAAAATTATCAATTGAAAGTTAGATAAATTTTTGATTTTTATATATTTATCTATTTGAATATTTAAATTGTGTAATTTAGTTGAAATAATGAAATATTTAATAAATCAATAAGAGAGGATATTTAGAATAGATTGCTTATGAAAAAATTAGAAAATGTATATGTTTTTAAATCCTCCTCTTTTTGAATAAATGTTCAGTAAAATTTAATTATTTTTCATGCTTTACTTTTCCAAAATATTAATTAATACAAAAATATTTGCAGGCTCTCAACAACTAACTGTATCATGTAATTGCATTCTAGGTATATTTAGTATTTAATAGATGGATTTAAATTGCATTTTTTAGCTATTTATTTGTTTGAAGGCTTAATTTAAATTACCTTCTTTCATAGACTTAGATTTTAATTAATTTAAAGTAATCTAATTTGTTGTTTGTATTAAACAATATTATCATTTTTTAATAAAAATGTTGATTTATTTATGAATTACATTTTTTGCTTGTAAAATAATTATTTTGCTTCTCATTTTTTACATTTTAGAAAAATTTAGCATCAGTACAATAAAATAAGGCAAGGAGTTTTAAATAAGTTATGATATTTTAAATAAATAAATAGAAAGATAGGAACATATTTAATTTGAAAGCTTGATAGTTAAAAAATATACAAAAAAATAAATTAGTAGGTTAATTTTGCTTTTTTATTTGAGGTGAATTTATAATTTGAATTACAATTTAAGGTGAAAATAAATTAGTTATAAAATTATGCTTATTAATTCATATAGTAAGTAAATATATATTTTGTTATTCAATTGGATTGATTATCAAGTAAAAATATTTATATAAAAAGTTTACAAGATTTTAACTAATTAAATAGGTATTAGTTAGTAATAGTAGTTCATTAGAAGAGACAATACCACAAAAATTTCTTTGCTTGTTTCCTTGCTAAAATGTATGTATGTATGTATATATGTATGTTTGTCATTTTGTTAGTATATTTGTGTGTATAGTGTTTGTGGGTATATAAAAATATATGAATGGATCGATGGATAAGCTTTTTTTAAGAAAATAGACTTTGTTAGTGATATTACATAATTTATAAATTTTTGTTATTTAAAATATTAAGAAGAAAGTGAAAATAACAAAAGAAATTAAATAGGTAGAATAATTAATTAATTATTAAAAGAAAGATTTAATCAAAGTTTTAAGATCAATTAAATTAATATTGAAAACTAACTAACTAACTAAATAAATAAATAGATAGATAGATATATAGATAATTAAGTAAGTAAGTAAATAACTAAATGGGGTGTGTCAATACCAAAGATGTTTAGAAGGTTGAATAAATTAAAGTAGAAGAACTCACCAAGGATGAGCTCGAAAGTTTGAGTAGAAACTCTGGAGTTAATGTTAAGATGCTCAAATTATATGCAGATTTTTTATACAAAAACAGAATACATTTAATAGGTTGCATTAACTAATATTCAACATATGGCTCAGTATTCACTATATATGATGAAACCATTTAGCAATTAGCAATACTGAAGATATATGAAGACAGCACTCTCTCTTCTGTTTATAAGAATTCATATTAGTACATCTAATAAAGAAATATCCTTAAAATATACAACTTTATACAAAGTTAAAGGCTCAAAGCAACTTTCCTTGTAGTTGAATTATGTTCAGGTATTTATTATTAATACAATAAAATTGTTTTGCTATTATGTATGTTTCCAAATTGCCGCTCCATCAAAATCTAATCTCACAAAAATAACTTTAACATAGAAAAAAAATTTACAAGGAAAATGTCTGATTTCATTTAAAAACCAATTTGTTTTATCATTTATTTATTATCAAATGAATGAAAAAAATATATTAAGAAAAAAACTTGAATTTTATACAAAATATCTATGAGAATATTTATTTAATGATTTGTCATAAATAAAGTCGCTCTTTTTATAAGCCAGCCAGTCAATCACTCTTATTTTTATAATTTTATCAGCAAAACTAAAAGATTGCATAAAATTCCATACATTCACAACTAAAACTAATTTAGATCATGAAGTTACATAGCTTTGCTATAAAAAATAGGACTGTTTGAATCAGTTTTGATGCGTTTTTTAAGACATTTTTGATACAGAGTCATTATTATAAATTAATATAAAAAGACTTTTTTTTATGAGGTTATTGGATGGAAATAATTAAGTTAATTACCAAAAAATTAATTAATAAATAAATATGAGTAAAAGTTAACAAAATATATAATTTCAACAATATATTCATTTTATTTATTTATTTATTTATTTATTTATCTGTCTATTTTATAATGATGGATGGATGATTGTTTATTATATTGGATAATCTCATCTAATCTGATTTTTCAAATTAAATAAATAAATAGGTACATTGGAAACTTTAATATCTGAAAGAAGAAATGACTAAGACCCATTCAGCAAGATCGAGGTTTACTACATGGCGCAACAATTAATTAATGGCTTAATAAATTCAGCTGATAAATTATTTGATTTTCCAGAGATATCTACATAAAATATACTAATTGATAGATAAGGATACAGTTTAAAGCTGGGTAATTTATTTATTTATTTATCTTGAATGACTGAATGATTTTTAATTCCTTCTTTATATTAATACTTAATAAATTAAGTATAATCAAACGCATTTTTTTTTATATATTTAGAAAATAACTCTATTTATTTGCTTTACATATTTTTACTCATCTTTAAAACAGTTTAGGCTCATATTCACAGCTAGGTTTTCGGTTCCCCTTTTGCCTTAAGCAGTTTAAGCAACGCAAATGTATTAAATTTATAATTTTTATTTCTTACTATGAATTAATAATTAATTGGAATTACTTTTATCCTGTTTATAAACAATATTTTTTATGTCTCATCATTCTTTATTTAAAATAATTTAGACCGCTGTTCTTATTCCAAACATTGTAGATCACAAAGTTCATGCTAAAGTAAATAAATAAATAATTTTCTAGCTTATTAATTAAGGAAATAGCTTGTTTCGAATTTAAATTGATAAAAGAGATAGACAGAAGTTTACTCAAGCATTCGATTAGAATGTTAAATTTGATTTAAAAATAAATCTTTTTTATATAATTTTACTTGTTTTTTTATCATATATTTTCACATTTTTATGATGTTAATATTAAATAGTGTCAACAGAATCTTAGTTAACAAGCTCAAAATCTTGGACTGGTCCTTTTGAATCTAACCAACGTTAAAGAATTCTTCAATGATTTAAAACTGATATCTAAAATACAGCTAGAAAATGTGCAATCTCACAATTTTAACGAATTTAACTAGAAAGTTATTCGTCGCTTGATAAACTGCGATAAAAACTCGCAAATAGAGTTTCTTCTTGAAATAAAAAATATTTTAAATGAACTACTCTAAGATGAGAAGTTGAAAACTGGCAAAGACAACTTCTTCAATATTTTAAAAATTAATCAGCCTTACATGGTATTAAAAGAGAAAAATGAGAAAGACAGAAAAGTGTTCAATAGCTTTAACGAATTTTTGATTTTCCATGATAAGGATTACCTCCCTTCGATAGAAATCAGATTGTAATTTCATAAATTAACTATATATATTATTTACATTCATTTCACACTAACCTAATTATGGGCAAAAATAATTATTATTCATTCCTCAAATTTAAATTTCTAAGACATTCTAAGTATCAAAATTAATCGATGAATTAGTGAATGACAGATAAATAATTTATTTAAAATAAATAATATTTTTATAAGCAATAAAAGCTATCAAAAATGAATGATAAATAAATAATTTATTTTAAAAAAGCAATATTTTTATAACCAAAAAAAACTATCTTAAATGAATGAATCGAATTATGAATGAATAATAGATACATAATTTATTTCAAAACAATATTTTTATAAGAAATAAAAATTTTTTAAAATGAAAATTTCAATTAAAAATAATTTATTTTGGCAAAATTAAATTAAAATTTAAAATTTAAAAATATTCCTAAAATGAATTTCAAATGAATAAATTTATAATTGTGTTTGTTTTTTTAAGAAAATATTTGATTAATGTATTTTTAATTTTGAAACGAACAAATAGTGATCAGCAGATGATTGAGACTGACTTTGGGCAATTAGTTTAGGAGTTGAGATTGTGTGAAAATCTTTGTTTTCTGAAATTATTCTTCAGGAAGTAAATCTTTTTGAATTTATAGTGGCAAATAAAAATTTTAAATATTTAATTAAGGTCTAATAGATTTAATACTGAATAGATTGGAAAGCTAACCTCCTCTTTGTAATAGGCCTCTAATCTTTAATCTCTAGAAATAGAATTTTTGTAAATTAAGATTATTTTTCCTCTAATTAGAATATATTTTTATTGAATTTATTATAGGAGTAGTTAAATCAGCTCAGCAGGAATAGAAAGTCTTTTTGAACAGCTGCATAAAATCAAAACCATAAAAACTTTGAGCTTAAAATTCAAGTAATTTATTTGTTTAACTAAAAAAAATAATAATACTATAATTATTTATTTATTTCTATTTATTATAGGGAAAGTCTAATTACAGAAAAATAAGCTTAGAACATTTAGAATCATTTGCAAAATTACAACTAATTAAAACACTTAGAGTTAGATTTCAGGTAAAAATTCAAATTTTCACTAGAAAAAAATCAATCAATCAATCAAATAAACAAACAAATCAATGAATAAATAAATTAAACTAATTATTTTTATTTAAATTTTAGCAACTGCAGTTTAAAAGAGAAATCTTTGAAAGTAATTACAGAGGGAGTTTTTCAAAATAGTTGCATAAAGAGTTTCAAATTCAATTTGAAGTAAAATTTTCTTTTTTTCCTTATGATTCTTAATAATTTTTTTAACAAATAAAAAGCTAAATTCATACAACAGATTTTGAAATTTTCAGAGACTTTGGAAATAGTTTATAGACTGCCACACAAATTGAAATATTTGATTTGGACTTATAGTAATTAAAATTTTTTATTAATTCTTTGTAAAATATTAAAAATTTTTGAAAATAGATAAAACCACCTTGATAGTGAAACTCTTAAGTGTATTGTCAATGGATTGTCTGAAATAAAATCTCTCAAGAAATTAAGCTTAAATATTTCGTAATTAATTATTCAAATTTATGTCAATTTTGATTAATATCTATTTTTCTTTCTTTAGAAATAACAGCTTTTTCTCTGATGGATTACTTTACTTGACTGAAAACCTATCAAAACTGGATTAATTACAAACACTCCACCTAAGGTTACAGTAAGATCTAAAATAATTAATTACAAAAAAAATGAATTTATTTATTTATTTTATCCAATCATATAGCTAAGTTGGTTTAAAATCCTCAATTTGCAGACAGTTCACTCAGAACTTTAAGCTATATCCCAAGTTATCTAACCTCAGCCTTAGATTACAGTAAATTCTCATTTCAATCAAATATTATTTTAAACTATAAATAATCTACATATTTAGATACAATTACATAGATGACGAAGGGGCTGAAGAAATGGTAAAGCAAATGAGTAACTAAAACACTATCAAAGTCCTCCTCATTGATTTCTCGTAATAATATGATCAATTAATTAATTTATTTTATTATTTTATTTTATTCATTTATTCACTACTTGGTTTTATTTATATAAAATTAAACACAAACTAATTAACTAATTCATCTAAATAACATTAAAAATAAAAAAATAAGGAATAATAAAACCCATTAAAAAGATAAGGAAAGGTCTTTGAAACTCAGATTATTGAAAATGAAAAGACTCATATCTCAATAGATAATTTATTCTTTTTGAAAATAATCACTCTTCTTTCTCTCACTTCAATCATCTTTCTCACTCTTATATAAACACTTATCTATAATTAATTAACGAACTAACCAACTAACTAATTAAAAAATTAATGATGATTTCTCATGCTCTTAAAACATCAAACTATTAACTAAGAATATTTAAAGTTTTAATTTAAATTGATAAAGAAAAATAATAGAAAAAACAATAACTTTTTAGTTAAGTTAATAATTTAAAGTACTCTTTTCTTGCTAAGTCTTACTATTATATAAAATAAAAACTGTATTGACTAATTTAGTTAGTAATTTATGAGTGAATTAAATAATGATTCTATCATTAAAAAGGCTCAAAAATAAATAAATAAATAATATACAAAAACATCAAAACAAAAAAAGAATCAAGCATATAATTAATTAATTTTTAAATATAATTTACAAATAAATGTCTTTCTAATATTTCGGATTAATGCCTCTTTTAATTAAATTAATTATAATTTAGTCTATTTACTATATAATTTATGTTGTGCAAATTCATTATTATTTTCTCTAAATTTCCTCAACTATTTTTTTATTCTTCAACCAACAACAAAAATCTTGCTTTTGAATAGAATTTATTGAAATTCTTAAAAATTAAAAATTGTGTCAATTTTTAATAAGAAAAGAATAGATATTTAGTTGAAAAATTTTATATCAGATAATAAATCACTCATTCATTTATTCATTCATTCATTCTACTAATATTTTATTACTGTTAATTTTTGTTTAAAATTTTTACAAAATTTTTAAATTAATTATTCTAGTGAAAAATTGATTCATGCATTTATTCATACATTAATTTATGATTGGATCGATTTTTATCTGAAATAAAAATTAATTCAAAACTAAAGATTTATTTATTGAATAATTTAAATTTTAAAAAAATGATTTGCTTTAAATCATATTTTGAGTCAGTTAATCTTATAGGTTTAAATAATCAAGGCAAGTTAATTTTATTAAAAATTAATTTTTTAGAATTTTTATTTATTTTGAGTAATTTTCATGAATAAATACACTTAAAATTGCATCTGTAAATAGTAAATTGAATATTTTTTAGAGAAATCATAAAGTTTAACTTTATTAATTGAGAAGGATGTTTACAAAAATATTAATGTTATTGCTCTTTCTTTAAATAAAAATAATATGATTTAATGATAAATTAACAAAGGCAACTTTTAAATAACATTGTTCAACTAATTAATGGTGCTAAAAAATAATAAATGCTTTAAATTTCTTATTGAGCAAGTAAGCAATTTGGAAATTAAACATACGTTATAAAATAATTTGTTTGATATATTTAATAAAGGGATGAATTTATATATTTTAATTGATTTATTGGTTTTTTTGTTTGTTTATTTATTTATTTATTTAAGTAGTGGTTAAATTAATTTTCTTTTTTAATTGCTTATATATATATATTTATTTTAAACAGCTCAGTTTCCGAACTTCTTTGCCATAACAGCTCCAGGAAGGTTAGCCAACATCTCTGCAAAATCTATTTAGAATAGAATTATATTATTTGAATCTTCATTTATTATCTTATCAGAGTTGGAAACTCCTTCTCTTGCAAAAATTACAGGCTTAGAGAATTCTTTAATAGTGAATGAAATGCTTATATCTTCTTTATCAGGCTGTTCTGGACGCTAGAAGATAGAATATTTAGGGGCTTTAGAGTTGAGGTCAACAATTATGAATGAGTCAGATGTGTAGAGGATGATTCTACGAGGTACTTTAGGATGCTTTAAGATACCCATAATGTGGTTATTACGATTGAGATAAGACTAAGGCAATTTGTCGAAGTTGTCTTTTGTCCATTTACTTGGTTATTTAGTAATCAAATCGAAAATGGCGAATTTTCTGTTTTCGTAAGATAAGACAAGCTATTTGGTTGAGGGAAGTACTTTGATGTGATTAAAGTGGAAGCCTTCGCAAAGTTATGGAACTTCAAATAATACGTTACCCATATTCTTGGTCGATAGGCCAATTTCTACGATTGTGTTATTTATTTTTGATCCTATAAATACACTCTTGTTCTTAGGACCCAATACAACATGCTGACTTGTGGAGAGTTCTACATCTAAAGTAGCTATTTATTCCAAGGTTAAATCGAATTAATCAGTTAATTTAATCATTTAGAGATTTCTCTAAAAGTCAAGAATAAGCAAGAAACCACTGTTTTTACTTGTTGATTGAGAAACAGCTTGTCCTTCTGAAAATTTCACAAAGATCTAAGGAGGAAGTGTGCATAATTTTTATAATTTAATACTTTTTTAACCAGTTCCTGAAATTGTAGTCATTAAACCGAAAACGTAGGTTTCGTTTTCAGTTGAATAGGCAAGATACTCTCCAAGAGCACTAAGGGAAGCACTCTAAATATAGCTTTTAGTCTTTACTTCTAGCAACAATTAGTAATTTAAGTTATCAGTGTCAAATTCCCACAATTCAACTGAAAAAGCCTTTTTTAAGAGTAAAAAGTTGTCTTGAGTGATTTACAAAGAGTTTTCTAAGTTTTGGTCAAGACCTAGAATGTGACGTAATTTCTTTTTTTCTCCTTTCTTGAACCCAGCTCTTTCCTAGAATTTACCATCTTATTCAATCACATACTGGCAAATATCAGTAGTCAAACCACCAGAAATGAGAGCATTACCTTCATCGATCAGAATCAAACTCTTAATATCATGAGATTAACCTCTGTCTTCTGAAATCAAAACCCATTCTCCTCTAATTAGCTTAAAAACAACTATCTTAGAGTCAGCGCCAGATGCATAAAAGCAGTCTTTAGATTAATTGTATGCCAAAGTCATCACATCAGCTTCATGCTTTCTAAAAGATCTCAAAACTGTACCAAAACGTGTCTCAAAAATTCTGATTTGACCATCGCTGCATCCAACAACTAACTAGTTTTCCTTCATACTTAATATACGCCAGCCAACAGTTTTTTCATAGTTCTCCTTTACATTCATAGTAGCTACAACTTGCTTTGCTTTGTTAAATTTACGAATCAATCCACTATCATAACTGCCATAAAACTCTTCAGGGTTCTCACAATCCCAGCAAACATCAATAGCTCTAATAAAATAAAATTAAATATATTTAAATCAAAAGCATTTTTAAATGTACAGAAAAATTCTAATCAATTAAATTAATATTTTTATTTATTTTACTGTGCATATTATAAAAGTTTTTTATTTTAAAATGTTTGTTTGTTTTGGAATATTTTCAATTATTATTATTTATTTTATATTTCAAAAAATTATGAAATATTAATGAAAAAGTTATAAGACAAATTCATTATTTTGGTTAAATAGTAAAATAAATTTATTATTTTGATTAAACTACAAAATAAATTATTTATTTTGGTTAATTTGCATTATGAATTTATGCAAAATAAATTCTTTATTATGGTTAAACTGTAAAATAAATAAATACATTTTTTTATTTAAAGTGTAAAAAAACTAAGGTTAAAATAGAATCTTAATTCATAATTTTGGTTGCTTGTTGGAAGAGCTAGAACAAGATAGCATGAAACAAAATCATTTAATATTTGAATGTAAATTTGCAGCTTTATATTTAACCTAAGAGGAATGAATAGCTTTAAAAAGATTTTATAATTCTACTTGTTTATAATTTAGTTTGATTTTCAAAATATTCTAAAATTTTTGTCTTTTAGTAAATAAATGTAAATAAATTTATTAATTTTTACCTTTCCTCGAAATTTCTGACTGTTGAAACAAATCTTATTTTTAATCCTAATTCATCATCAACATTGAATATTCTTAAAAACCCATCTTCACAAGCTGTTAATATTTCTTAAGTGTTAGGATTCTTGCTTATACCCCAAATGTAGCCACCAGGATTTGTGTATTCGTGTCTGGGTTTAAGAGAATTGAAATCGTAAAGTTTAATCAAACCATTAGCACAAAAAGCTAGAAGAACTGTCTATTTGCTGTCTTCCAAATAATAAAAAACTAAATGGACAGCCTTTTCAGCTTCACTGTTTTAAAATTTAATGATTTGAGACCAATTAGTACTTCTCCATATTTCAATACTAGAATCAGCTCTTGAAACTGCAACGTAATTTAGTTCCTTACCACTATAAGCCATGCATTCAATCGATTAGGGGAACAATTTAATAAACTTGCAGATTTTCAGTTTGGTCTTGTAATCTTCCTTAGGAATTTCTTGTTTGCTACCTGCTTTGCTTTTGCCATTTTTAGATTAGCTTTCAATAGCATCATTTGCAGAATTTTAAGATTTGCTTTCTTTTTAAATTGCTTTGGTCTTGGTCAATACCTCAGTTTAAACTTATTTAGAATCTTCTATTTCCATTTTATCAAATTACTAATTAACTATTTATGAACAATTTCTTTGATATGCTTTGTCTGTTTGTTTTTTTTGAATAAAATTATTTTGGAGTTATTTTTATGCGTCGTGTAATTAAATGATTGAAAAACTCTATCTAATGATCTTGCTTTTTGTCAAATTATTGTAAATTTTGTAATAATTTAATTAAGGATATTTTTTGTTGTTAATTTTATCTAATCAAATTTATTTATAAAGTTAACATAATGCGATAAAGAAAGCAAATATCATTCAATCTATATACATAAGTAGCATTTACTTTTATAACATTATCAATCACTTTCTAATCCAATCATTCTTTTTTACATATAAATATACATACAAATATATATGAATTTATTTTAATCTTTCTAAGTCATTAATTAGCTTGTTCGATCGATCACTTTTGATTTTCATTTAAAAATAAATCTTCTACTTTTATTTCCACTCAAAATCTCATTTTTTTTATTTAGTTTAATGAAATAAAAAATAATAATTCTATTTCATTAAAGACTCAGTTTTTTGTCAAATTAATAAAAAAATCCTTTATTTAATTAGCAATTAAAAATTTTTATTGAGAAAAAATTAATAACAAAATTTGAAAATTTTTCATAGATTTATTGTGTGATGATTGTCATCAATAAAAATTATAATCAAAAATTAATTTTTTAAAAAAATAATAAATTAATTATTGACAAATGAATTTATAATATAATTGTAAATTAGATTATTAAAGTAGCAAAAACACTTGAAAATACTGGAGATTCAGCTCTAAAAGGCAAACATTTAGACAACAGATTGAATATAATTTAATAGGAGAGGAATGAGTTATTCTAGAGAGAGAGTAGCAATGTCAGTTTCAGGAGTTAACTCCGATATTTATAACCAAAGATCATACAATTATACAAATAGTTCTTATTACACTTCTGATTTAGGATTGTCCACTATTTCTTCGTCTACAGGCACAGTTCGTCCTCTCAAGAATACCAAAAATTACTTAAAAGATATTGAATGTAAGTTCAACTAAGATCCTGACCCTCGTGCAGATTTGCAATTGTTAAGCAGATATAAAAATAATTCTAATAACGTTCATTACACTGGAACTATGAAAATAGAAAAAGATATAAAAGATGATGAAGTCCCTTAAATATTTAGAAAAATGTAGCCTGCTAATGGCCAAGAAGCTATCTAGTAAAGAACGCAAATTTTCTAAAGTTCTCCAGTGAAAAAAAATATCATTATGAGTTAGCAAATTGCCTAAGACTAGCAGCAAAATTAGTTTAAGATTCTTAACTATAATTATGAAAACAACTCACAAATCAAAGAAGAGCCTAAGAAAGGATTTTTTGAAAAGCTGTTTTCTTTTGCAGAAACAAATGAAAATAAATCTAATTAGTAAATTAAGATGAAAAATTACAGATAGCCCCAAAATATATAAAATATGAATGATGTAGAGTCTTCTTTGGTTAACTTAAGACAAGATATGATAAATAATATAAATAACTAAAACGTCTAATTTAATTTTACTTTCTAAATGAAGTAATAATTATCAATAGCTATCGACTTAACTGATCGTGTTCTTAGAGAATAATCTACACCAATACTGAATCAAATTCTCAAATCAATAAATAGAGCCAGATATTAAGCTAAGCAGCAGCTTTACACTTCAGAGCAATAATTGATGGAAACGTTTTATGAAAATTTAGAGTTTCTCACTTAATAAAAAATTCTTAAACTAAAAGTACATCATTTGCCAACACAGGAGTAAGACTATGAAGAAAGGTAAATGTTTTATCAGCAAGCTTCTTAGTACATCCTAAATAGTAAAGGTTATTATCCCACAAAATAGCAGTTAGATTATTTCTTCGAAGAAATTAAACATCTAAAAGTCAATAATTCAGAATGGATGGATTTCCTATCAAAAAGAATCTGATACAATCAATATTCTTTCTTCATTTATTATATATTTTCTTAAATATTCTTAAGCATTTTTTATATTTTGTATAAATTATTTGTTTCATAAATAACCAATGTCTCCTTATTCTTTTTATTTTATATTTTAAAATCTATCTATTTAAAATTAATTTTCATTACAAAAGATTATTCATCCATCCAAGTTTTAAAAAAAAGCAAATATTTTATATTTATTTATATAAATGGTTAAATGTAGGTTTTTTTCTTTTATGTAATATAAACTTTAAGATATTTGTTATACTATTTAATATAAATAATATTAAAGTGCGATATCAAAGTAAATAAAGTAATACTTGCTTTACTTTAAATACCACTCTAATTTTATATATTTACATTAGTATTTGTTAATTAATTCTAGATTTTTAATTCAAATTCTCATCACAAATGATTGCTACCCTTAATTTCACATTAAGGAGAGTATTTTTTTATAAATAATTATTCCCTAATTAAAATTTAAAAAAATTAAGCAGCATATCATTATTTTTTTTCAAATTTACATAAATATCTCACCCCCTATAAGCCATAAAACTATTTAAGTATTTAGTTTGTGTAAAATATATTAATTGGTTGTGTTTTAGGCAAAAATACTTAAAAATAATGAAGAGATTGATTTCTACCAAATGAAAAAAATGAGATATTTCAATGATATATATAATTAATTTTTTGAATATTCTAGTAAGATGAATAACTAACTAGATTATATTCTAAAAGTAGACAAGAAATATAAATACATAAAAAGGTACAAGTTAACAAGAATGAAAGATGCTTGCTATCAAGGCTCTCACAAATAGAGCAGTGAGCATAGAAAATAAAAACAAACAATAAAATAAGAGACATAATTAATTACATGCTTATTTAGATATATAGTGGTTGGTTGGTTGGAATTTATATATTTGATAAATTATTTTTATATTAAATTTTAGTTTTTCTTAGATATTTGTTTTTCCAATTTCCTTGAAAAATTTATTTATCACTCAATCAATCAGTCAGGCAATCAATAAATCATTCTTAAATGGCACTGTTGATGAAAGAATTAGATAAAAATACGAAGCCATTTAAGAAGGTTTGCTGTTTAATTTATAAAAATCATATATAAATAAATTGATATATTAATATTTGAATGATTACAGCTAAGGCGTAGGCTATGAAACCTCTGTATAATCCTTTGACACCTTCTTCTTAAGCTATTAATCTAAGAGCATGGAAAGTACCTCCGTATCTCTTTGGAATCATACCTGGAAGATTACTCTTTAATATAGATAAATATAATCAATTTAATTTGAAGAGCAATTAAATATTTACCTAGCACTAAACTCTTCTAATAGCAGTTAACACTGGATAGGTCAAGAAATGACTGGCTAATGTAGAAATTAAAAAGCTTTATTTAGCGTTATCCTTATCATATAGAGACCAAGTAAAGGCCAAAACAGCGTTCTTAATAGAGTGACCTAATGCACCTAAATAGATTTTATACATTTGTTAGCTTTTATTTTGCATTTATGTTAATAAGTTAAAATTAATTACCTTTATAAAGTTCAAAGGGTTATCTTTTATGGCGCTTGAAGACGTCTAAAAAGCTTTTATATAATGCAAAGTTGGGCAATCTGTTTTACAAAATAAATCTGGACTAGATGGTTTGCAAAGGTTAGCACATAATATCGATAGCAGAACAAATTAAGAACACTTTTTTTTTATAAAAACATTTTATCATTTATTATATGAATGAATGAGTGATTTCAAAATCTTTTTGAAAATTTATCTTTTTTAATTGTGTTTTTAGAATAAAGTAGAACAAAACTTACTTGAAAAACCTCTCAATAATGAATTTCCTTGATGATAGAAAGAATACTAGGAGTAATCAAGCATATCAATTGAGTTGAAACGCAGAGTTGAGTTGCAAAATGTGTACATTAAACCTACAAAATTACCCTTATAAAAACCAAGGAGACCCTAGTTAGATAATCCTCTAAAAACTTCCATGTAAGTACCATAAACAGGAGCTCTGAAGGGTCTGTTAGTTCCTAAACAAATTTTATAAATTTATTTGATAAATGCTCATATTATTTTTTATGCTAAAGGTGAAAGCTAATTTGAATCTCTACAGCTAATTTATTAGTCAAATATATAAATAGATATTAGTTACCTGTAGCACCAGACTTGATGAGAAGCTCAAATTTACGTCTGTCTTAAACAGTAATTTCTTTGCTGACTTTAGCAAGTGCTTTCAAGTCTTATTCGACTGTATCTCCGTAAAGATTTTTATGAGGAATAACAGAGAGTTATAGAGAAACATGGGTGGTGATTAAAGGAGCAGTTAAAAAACTTTTATTAAATAATTATTATGAAATTTTGCATGTAAAAGGAATCTAATTTGGAATATTATTTTTGATTCTTATTAAGAAAGTAAATAATACAAAAAAAGAATAAATACCTGAGGAAAGACTATGCATAAAACTAAGCTGCTTAAAACTTAATATGACGTTCACCTTTATTAATATTTTAAGTTTTCAAAGCATTTTTCAAATAAAATTATTGAAAAAAAACATTTTATGGAAAATTTGGTCAAGAAGTGAGCAAATTAAATTGAGCCAAATTAAAAGAGTGAAATATAATTTATATTAACAGTCTAAAACTATTTTTACTAATTCTTTCCTAAATAGCAGGAGTGGTAACTAAATTTGGATCTGCTGGCTTTCCTAAGGGAACAAATTCTTATTCGTTGCCGCTTTCTAAAATTTGATTGAAATCCTTTCCCATTTATATAAAAATTGCTTTTAAGTGCTATAATATGCAAGTATATAAAAAATTAATTAACTAGCTAATTAGTTAGTGTTTATTTGTATCTTAATTTAGAAAGATATCCAAAATATTTATTGATTGCCTTTTTATCACTCAGCGCAAAAAAAAAAAACAAAACAAAGGAGCTAGCTTTAAATTCTAAATTAACTTTTGGTTGTTATTTTCACCAATAGAACTTTCTACTCGCATCAAAATCAATACATTTAACTTTTATATTGTTTTTTGATTATTTATTTCTTTTTTATTTAATTGTTTATTAGCTTGATTATTTTTACTCCCTTCTATAAATGCATGTATTCAATTTTTGTTTTACTTTGTATTTTAATATTTTAATTTATTTTGATAAATTGATTTTATTAAAAATCAAGAAATTTTTATTTGAAAATTTTGGTTTTTGCAAAAAAATAAAATAATTTTGAATTAGTTTCTTTCTAGTTGTAATTTCAAATAAATAAATTCATGAATATTCTGATTTATTAATTTGATTTTATAAATTGAAATTAACAATTAAAAAGTAAACAAATACCTTAAAATCAAATTTACTAAAAATTATTTTTTTAAATTAAATCTGAATTTTTTAATTTTTCAATTGAATTTAATTCAATCAATTTAATTGTTTTCTTTTTTTTAAATTTTGCATTTATGAACCAGTATTGTGGATTGCTGGAAATAAATTTATATGAAACTGAAAGCATTTCATGTGTATTTATAAATACACACAAATTAAGCTGAGAATGAAATTCTACCTAAGGAATGGTATTTAAATATATGCTAACTAATTGAAACAAGAGAAATAATTATTATATGTTTCTTGTTAGAAATAATTAGTGAATTTTGTTTTTTTTGTTTTTCACAAACACTTGAGCAACAATAATTGATTCAGTTAAAAAATTTCCAGTGAAAAGTAAGAAAAGGAGAAGAAAATATGTTAAGTTATTTAAAAATGAATGAATGGTGATTTAATTAAATCGATTGAAGTACATTTTTAAATAAATTGACGTTTGAATGTTAGATTTGTTATAGACTGGATGATATTTAAATAATTTGACATTATTTAATTTTAATGGGATTTATTTAGCAATTTCAAGACAATTTAAACAACAAATAAATCATCCTATCAGATAGATTTTCTTCCAATTTTTAATCAATTACTATTTAAAGAAAGAACAAAAAATCAATATCTCTTGCTTCAGTTTCTTAATTTAAAAAAGTTACATTTGAAAGTTTTTTGAAGAAAAATAGCTATTTATTTACTTTAGGAGGTACTTGAAAAAATATGTAAATCATTGTGTAGTTTATTTAAATGTTGGATTTTATATCAAAATTAAAAGTTTTTATTTTATAAACTTTAATATGTTGATTTATAATCAAAGAATATGTTTTAAAAATTTTTTAAGTGAATTGTTATGAAAAATAATATTTATTTAATAGCTTTGCTTTATTAAAAAAATATTTTAGAAATGTAAATGTAAAAAAAAGCTAAAAAATGAAGACAAAGATTGAAATATATAAAAAAAATTATTAATTAATTAGAAAGTAGCTAGTTTAGTTCTAATCTCAACTTTATTTATATAATAAGAGTTATTGAATTTTATATTTGTTTTGATATAATTGATTGCTCTTGGCTTTTCTTAAGTTAAAAAATGTTACTGACCACTTTAGTTTGAAAAGAAAGTACTATATTACCGAGAAAAGATAATCAATATCTAGAAATTCCCATCAGAGGGAAGTACTTTAGAGAATCTAAATTTGTTGTACTAATAAAAATAGGAGATATTTATATATTTCTTTATCATTTACACTTCTCCAGCATGAAAAACTTGTATTGCATTCTTTGATTATAAATATTGTAAATATTCAGTAATAAATGCGCGAATTCATTAATTTTTCTCTTTGAAAATCAGCACAAACTTATTCAAATAAATTTATCAAAAAAAAAAATAAATCTTGATTAATTCAATCTTCTAAAAAATTATTGATTGTTTGTTCCTTCTATCAATCAATATATCCATTTGATTTTTTTTCCCCCTCTTATTAAATACATTTAAAATAGTTCTACACTTCATTAAAAATAATATACTCAAATACATTTGATTTCACTTCATTTTTATATTTTAATTTGATAATTTAAGGATAGATTTTTAGTATTCAATATTAATTATTTTCTTAACTTGCCTGCTTAGCATAATTTATTTAAAAGATTTTCAATGTTTATTTGCTTCTATGTTTGTATGTATTTATATATGAATTTATGTATGCTTATTTGCTTATTTATTAAAATAAGTTGAGTAAAAAAATAAATCAAGGGAGAATAGCTTTCTATCTATCTAATCTTAAATTTTATATTGATTTTTATTGATATGAAATGAGTATTTGCTCAAAAAGCGCCAAATATAAATAATAATTAAATTACAATTATTTTTTGAAAGGGATATTATAAACTAAGAAAATGTCCTAGAATATTACCCTCAAAATATTGCTTTTATTTCCTAATTAAAGTATCAAATGAAATAAAGTTTTTAATTTGTTTACTAACTTGTAAAAATTTTTAACTTTTTAAAAAAATTGTTGTCAGTAAATAGAAAAACAAAAATCTATTTAAAATTTTTAAAAAGAGTATGGAGAGGATGGCTTTAAATAGAACTAATTTTAGGTTTGAATACATGGAAAAAGAGAAAGAAACATTTAAAAATGTTAATTTTTTTGACAAAATTAAAATCTTTTTACTTTATTTCAATTGGCTAACTCTCAAAAATATGGATTTGTAAAAATTAAAAACATGTAAAAATAATTTGTGAGGAAAATGAGCTGAACGTAATAGGATATTTGTATTTGAATTGATTGATTGAGACAAAAGAATTACAAATTTTATTTGCTACGTAGGTTATTAAATCTACAAGAAAGAAAAATAATAATTAATATTAAGGAGACAACATACAATTAAAATTTGTCTTAGCAATTAATTAAATTAAATTATATAAATAATTATTTGTTTCTTTGTAATTTATTTTAAGAAAAACATGATACTCAAAGAAGAAAAATCTGTTTATTCATTTATAAAATATTTATTTATTTGATTTATGTGTTTTTGAAATTAAATGAAATGAAATTTGCAATGGAGGCAGGCGTTTATAGTAAAGTAATTATATATTTTTAGTAAATAATGTGTTAATAAATAATTAAACAAATGTAAGAAAGAAAGAAAAAGGAATTACTTTTTATTTAGCAAATAAGAATGAAATAATTAAATGAATTAAGGAAATTAATTGAAAATGTTAAAAAAATACTGCTGACTTGCACTAATGTCTTGATTCTTTTATGAAGGATATATTTGAAATAAATGATTAAAAGGACAAATAAAAAGTCAGTGCTGAATAAAAGAAATAAGAGAGAAGAAAAAAAAGGTCAGTCAAAAGAAAAAACCAGCATAAATACTTAATGAATATAAAAAGATATACTCAAGAAGTCTTTAATTTTTACCTTGAAAAATTGCAAAGAAGGTCTTATAAATAAATTAACAAATAATCAAAAAAACAAATAAATAAAAGTAAAGAGCGTAATCTTAAGATTTTGGTCAGCGAGGGCTCACTAAGATTAAAAGGAAGAAAAACTATAAATTTAATAAATTGAATTATTAAATAGAAGAGGCAAAGGTAAAAAATTAAATATATTGATCGATAAATAAATAGATAGATAGATATTGATTGATCGCTTTAATAATTTGAATGTCAGTGAAGGAGCTAAATAGCAATACAAATATTAACCTTTATTATAAATAAATAGAAGGAGAAATGTATAAATAAAAGCAAAATGAATGAATAATTGCATTTATCTAAGAAGATAAATATATATGATTGTATGTTTGCATGTAATTATGTATGTGTATTTGTAAGATTATTAAGGAAATAAATAAATAAATGAATGAAGAAAGGAAAATAAATGTTAAATATCTAAAGATCCTTTAATATTTAATAAATACTTTTGAGTTAAAAAGGAAGGGCATTAAGAATTTATATGCATGCATACATGTATTTATGAATGAATGAATAATGCATGTATAATTAATTGATTAATAATTAAATGAACAAAGAATGAAGGAAACAAATAAAGAAAGTGTTTGAGTTATCAAAAACTATAAATTAAATTTGCAAAAATTAATAGATAGAAGAAATAAATACCTTTACAAACAAAAAAATATATACAAATATATAATAGGGAAATTAATTAACTAAAAAAAGGAAAAAAAAACCTAATTTTTCAAAACAAAAAGGGTGTCCTTAACATAAAAAAACCATTTTTAATTCACAAAATCGTTAATGGAATAATCAAATAATTACGCACAGTCCCCTGCTGATAAATCAGAGAGCATTTAAATGCCGCTGGCCAGTGAATAGGCCTATATAAATTTTTAATAGTTTTTAACTGACCTATCTGATATTGAAAGAGAAACCAAGCTGGAAGAGAAGTATCTAAAAGATAATTTCCGTCTCAAAGAGATCCATTCCACCCTTGAGCTCAATGTCGTTGAGAACATATACAATACTATTCTTTAAAAGTAATTCTTTACTCCATTTACTCACTTATTAACCAAGTAAAAATGCTCAAATCATGCCATCTACCTCCACTTTTTCTCAGTTTTCTATCAAGAAAAAATAGAAGAAAAATACTTGCTTTTGTTGTTATTATTAAATTTTTGTTTTTTTGATTGATTAAATCTTTCGGCTTCAAAATATACTTGACGCTTTATTCTTTGTCTTATTTACTATTTGTTGACCTCAGGATTTAGTTAGAAAATTAATCTTTCTCAATCTATCAATCAATCAAGCAAGCAGGCAAATATGCATGCAAATAAACAATCAAACCAAGCTTCTTCTGACAAGCTATTCGCAAATCAGCTTTTCAAAAATATCTTGCTAGTTATCACAGTCTCAACTTTCAAAACAAGAGCTTGTATATTTAAGCTGAAGTCGAATAAAAATATTGATGAATACATAGTAAAAATTGTGAATCCAAAGATCGATAATTAGTCAAAAAAGAAGCTTTTAACTCAAATAGATCCTTTAATTATAAACACAAATTTGAAGGTATTCTATAAGGTATAGAACTTAGTAGATGAAATGAATATAATATTTATAGCTAAATAAATAAGTAAAATAAATAACATCAATAAAATAGAAAGTGACTAAAAGTGGGATTAGATGGTTGGTTGTTTGTTTTTGTGTGCTGATCTATTTATCATAAGCCTTACATGCAAATATATATATAAATAAATAAATACATACTGAAATACAAGTTAAAATTACTTGTGGATGTTTTAACATATTTATTGTTATAAAGGAATAGATAAATGACAGATAAAAGAATGAAAAAGAACTGGACAGATGATGAAACTTCTCTGCTTCTATGGATTGTCAGAGTCATTTCAGAACGCAAAGAATAAGACCCTGATAAATTTGTAAGCCATTCACATAGAAATTAACTAACCAAAGAAATTAAAATTAGAGCGATTGATTCAAGTTTATTTTTATATTTTAGAGTTGTTCAAACATACCCCTATTGCTGTACTAAGCAATCGCTTGCACTACATCTCAATTTATAACTTAATATCAAACACGTCTTCAATTAATTAAGTGATTGATTTACAGTTTATAGAGATTGTAGTTGATAAAACTAAGGAAAACTGATTAGTATTTTTAGTTGGAGTGTTTATTTATTTATTTATTAATTTAAAGAAAGAACACGCATACTAAACAGCTATCAATAATTTATTTATTTATTTTATAAATGGAAATTTATATAATAGAGAAATTTAAATATTTATCTGATATATTAATAAATTTGTCAATGACTAATTATGATTGATTAATTTAAAATTTAATATAGAGCGAAGAAACTTGGATGGAAATTGCTAAAATGATTCCTTTTAAGGCATTCGAAAATTGCAAATTGCGCTGGCTCTATTTGAAGAAGAATAGTGTTTAGTGCACTCCTTGGACAGAAGAAGAAGACTAAAAGCTCAAAGAAATCATATAGTAAATATATAATATTATTATTTTAACAACTTTTCATCCAATCAATGTTACTTATACTGATTGTTTACAAAAGGAAATTGTTAGTCGGGCAGGAAGTAGATTATTACATTGCATTTATTTTTATTTTATTTTTCACTCTATCAGCATATTTATGATTTTTCTGCCAGCCTTTCTACAAAATTTTATCTGTAAAGTATAAATAGATACAAATAGATAGTCTTTTTCCTCTATTCATACATAAATACATACAAAATACATGCAATTTGATGATTCAAAAATATTAAAATTTGATGAAATTCGAATAAAATATTATAAAGAATAAAGTAAAAAAGATTAACTCACCATCCATCTTCAATAATTTCACTTTTTAAAACATTCCAAAGAGTTGGTTTTGAAAGTGATTTTTTTCAAAAGCAGATTTTCTTCAAAAGGGTTGTGATTTGAGATGGATCTTTTTGATTAAATTACCTTTATAAACTTAATAAATAAAGAAATTAATCAAGTTAATTGAAAAAGTTATTTAGAGTTTAATTTGATTAACTTGTTGCCGAAAATCTTTGGGTTTTAAATTGAGCTGACTTATTTATTTATTTATACTTATTTACTTACAAACAAAATATTTCTTTTCTAAATAAATAAGATTTAAACTGAATAAAAACAATAAAATAATCTATTTCCATTTAAATTTTTGTCTACAATAATTGATCGATATATACACTTCCCCTTGAAAATTATTATTTCCATTTATATTTATTTATAAATCTTTTTTGGAATATCTTTTGGCCACATTTAAATAAACAAATTAATCAATCGATTTAGGCATTCATAACTTATTAACCCAGCTTTGAAAGCAGGAGGTCCCGCATTAAAAACATTTAACTGCATTTTAGAGTGTTCAAACACTTAAATAACTGTAGAATTTAAAAGATACTTAGGCAATCAAAAGCTTTTTTTTGAGATTTGTTACAAGAGTGGTTAAAATATTTGATATTTTCTTTAATAGTATTTGCAATAGTGGGAAAGCAACTTACCACTACGATATTTTTCTCCACACAAATTTATCAAAAAATTAAAACAAAAATAAAATCAAATAAACAAACAAACAAATTTGTTAGACAAATATAAGCAAAATTAATTTTCTAACTCAAAAAAAAAAAAGAAAATAAAAAACATTAAGCTGTGGTTAATCTTTCTTTAATTTCATTCAGTGCGCAATTAATAATTAATTAAATGCATACAAAAACAAAGAAAAGTTTACTTAATTCAAAATTACATTTAAATTAAAAAAATTAACTCCGAATTTTTACGCACAAGAGAATGTATGACCAAATCAATCAATTAATTAATAAATAGATCATTTATTATTATTTATCGTTCAAAATCTTATTTTTTTACCTTATTTTCCTCATCTATTTTAATTTCTCTGTTAAAAATAAATAAATATTTCCTCCCTCTCTCAACGTTCAAATATTATAAATAACCTTTGTTTATTTTTGAATTATTTAATTCAAATTTTAACTCTTTTAATCATTCAAATAGTTTTAAATAAACGTTAACAATTTTCCCAAAGTATTTTGAATTAATTATTTCCTTTTTTCAATCAGTAAAATTAAACAGCTTTTAGCAAATTCAAAAAACAATATTCAAATTTCTTTATAAAAGAAAAAAGGGTACAAATAGCAACAAATGGAATGAAATCGCAAAAGACCTTTACAACAGCTCTGCTTCCAAGACTTTCAGAAAAGGCAAGCAATGCAGAGAAAGATGGAACAACCATCTTGACCCTGATATGAAAAGGTAAATAAATAAATGAATCAATTCGAACAATAATATTTTATCTTCATAAAATTATTAATTTTATGGTAAAAATGATGAAATGTAAATTAAAAACGATAAAAGTCAAAGTAAAATGATAAAAATTAAGTAAAAATGATTCAAATTATAGTAAATATCTTTCAAAGTAAAGCAAATATATTTCAAAGTAAAGTAAAAATTATTGACAATGAATGACTAAGGTTAAAGTAAAAAATGATGATAATACTACTACCAAACATATAAAAGAGTAAAATAAATGTTTGATCGATCTATATATATATTTTGATTTAAATTAGACAACAGTTGCAAGAATATATAATTTCGCATTAAAATTAAACATACTTATTTTACTGTAACTGAATTCGAGCTACTAAATATGTTAATACCATCATGTGAGATTCATGAATAAATAAATCAATAAATATTGTGATGATTTGTAAATTTATTTCTTATAAAAGAAAAGATAAATGAAAAATTGAATATTGCGGATGTAAATAAAGCCAATAGAAAATAGTTAATTGATTGATCGATTGAATCAATGATTTCGCATGAATTTTTTTTATTTAGATATGAATTACTCTATATCATTTATTCCTTAGAAATATCAAAACAAACTAAATTTAGGAATTATTCATTCATTTTTTCAGATACATATTAATAAAAGTAACCAAATTTTTTTTAAAAGAATGAGTTTTGGAAATAAGTAATAAATTCTTAATAAATAGAAAAAAAGATTTATCTTTGCTCATTAAATATTTTTAAGTGAATAAAAGAGTGTTTTTATTAGTGTTTTAGTTAAAGCTTTCATTATAAATACTTTATTACTGTGGAAAAAAACACTTAGGTATGAAAAGAAGCAATATTAAATTAAATCACAATATTTAGTGACTTACAGTTTAGAAAAAGATTGCACGGTCTTTTATTTTATTACTGGTGTTTATCAAATTACTGTCTTCTTTTCAATTTTACAAAAAAAAAATCCACAAAAAGTATTTCAATTTTTTCGCTCACTTATCTAACAACAATTTGTATTTCATCAAAAATTTTATTAATTTAGCTTTAATCAGAAATCTTATTTCATAACTTGAATCTTTCTTTCAATCCAGTAAATAAAATTCTAAAATATCAAAAAGGGGTTAATGGACTGACGAGGAAGACCTCCATTTGCTCCAACTCTCATATGAAAACGGTAGTAAGTGGTCTTATATTGCTAAACAGCTGAAGGAGCGTACTGAAAATGCAGTCAAGAATCGTTATAAAAGTCTTCTCAGGAAGGAAGAGAAAGAGAATAAAGTCCAAAGCTAACAATCGTTGATCAGTTTGTCATAGTGCTCTCTTGAGATCATCTCTTCAAGCTCATCCACACAGATCATACTTACTCCCACATTCGCTTAATCTATGAAGTCTCCTCCTACATCCCCAGAATAAAATAAGATATTTAATATAATTATCAAATTGATGAATAAAATCAGCTTTGATTGCATGAATCCTCAAAGTGCATCAAGCCAGAACAGATAACAAGATGAAAGAATAGAAGAGGAAGACTCCGAAGACGAATGCGATGATTAAAATGATAATGACGAAGATTAAGACGGAGAAAGTCATTCATCAAAGTCCAATTCTAAGAATTAAAACAAAAAGAAAAATACTAGCCAAAAATAATCTCTTAAAGAAGAGAAAGAAGAAAAAATTCTATAGTAATAGCGCAAATCCAGTAATGACACTGAAATGTAAATTGAGACAAAGAATGAGAACACTCCAACAGCAGCCAATACAGAATGCAACACTACAGAACTCCACTTGAGTGACAACAAAGTGACCACTTAATCCACAATCTTCACTCCTTCAAGCTCACCAAATAGAGCATTCTCTCATACAAAAAACGATGATGAAAACAATATCAATAAGTAACAAGTTTATCACACTTCTATTTTTGGATAAAAAAATGATGGAGAAAGCTATGTCAACTAAGATGATGTAACAACTGCTAACAACATTTGCTAAAATAAGACCAAAAAAGCAGAATAGAAGACAAAAAAACCTGTCAAGCAATCTAGAAAAAAAAAATAAGATGCTGAGTCTAATGGAAATGATGAATGTAAAAAGGGAAGTGTTAGCACATTTTCAGATGCATTGATGTTTTAACCTATTTTATCTAATTCTCGCTCTTCTTCTCCTTCTTTAGCCAATAATAACAATGGAGAAGCTAGCTGCAAGAATGCTAAAAAGAAAAGGCAATAGAAGCTAGAGAAAAATGATACTTTGTCCCTAACAACAGCAAGCACTGCAACAAACAGGGACAGTACTTTCAATTCAAAAAAAATAAATTCTTTTATTTAAAGAAATTCAATTAAGAGTTGCAGCACTCCTATAGGGTCTAATTCCGGATTCAACCCTTACTATTCTAGCAACGCTGCACCTAGTCCAAGTACTATGCTAATGAATTAGCTTAGCAGTTTTCATATTCATAGCACAGAAAATACACCTTCTTCTACAAATACTAAGAGAAGAAATACATATAGTACTACAGACTTTCAATCAGCTGCTTACCTTGAAAAAAGAAGATATGTTAATAAATTGGCAGACGATGAATCAGAAAACAGTCAAGAAGAAGAAAGAGGTAATTTTAATTAATTTAAAATTGTATGATATTCAAAATTAATTTTAAATTCTGTAATATAAATAAAGGCTAGAGAACTAAAAAAATAATTGTACTAGCTGGAAATGGAAATAAGATATACGGAGAGTTTAGTTAAAATATTGCTACAATTGAAGAAAGTGATGAAACAAACATTAAAAAAATGGAAATAGAGCAAGATTCCATGAGTCAGAATCAAATTATTGGACTTAATTTGCAATAACAAAATCTATTACACTCATCCAGTTCTGAAGAAAACATGGTTAATAATGAAAATTTAAACAACATTAACATTATCAAAAAAACCTGCTCTTCATAAAGCAACTCCAATAACTTGAAATTTAGTGGAAACAATAGTGCATTCAAGCAATTCGGCTCATCTCCTCTTCAAGGATCTATTTTCAAACCATAATAAACTATTTAGCTACATTCTCAACTATCTCCTCTTTCTAATTCCTCAATCATTCAGGAAACCATGAATAATTCTCCATTGAATTCTGAGCTCTTAATATAAAAACTCAGCCAATCTAACTTCTCCTCTCTTTGCAGTCCTTAAGCTAAGTAACAACCTAACTTAGTTGCAAATTTAGCATCCTAAATACCTCTCACCTCCAAGCCAGAATCATTTCAAAACAAAGGATTTTAAAAAAATAAAAACTTCAAATAACCATCTCTTTTCTAGCCAACTAATCCCTAAATGATACTAACCAATAACCAACAATGAAAGCAAACAACCAAATAAATATTAAAACATAACTGACTGCTTTGAATCAAACATTAAAAAATATATAAATACTTTAAAAACTTCGATAAAAACACAAAGAAACAACAAACAATAAAGCAACCAATCAAAAAATTTATTAAAAACCAATCTAAATTAACTTATAATGAAAATCTCATACATACATATATACATTTAAATTTATTAAATCCTAATATAATACTTACAAAAGAGATTAACAAAAAGTTTAAAACATAAGATTAATCAATTGACTAATTGAATGAAACTCTAAAATTAATTATTGTTATCCAGCATATATTAAATTAATCTAAAAACAATTAAAGTAACTAACTAAGTTAAAGAGTAAAATTGATTAAAATCAAATTCTCTAAAACTCGAACTCGAGTTTTATCTACTCTTTAACTATAAATCCATCTATCTATCTATCCATCCCATCGATTGATTCATCCATCTACATATAAATCCATCCATACATACACACACACATATATTGATACATTCTAATAAAATTAATTAATTATATTAGCTTATAAAATAAAAAAGAAAACAACCAAACAAACAAAAAAGAAAACAAAAAACAAAAGACTAGAATCATAAAAAAATAAATAAATAACGTATTTTAAAACTCTAAATACTATTGCTATTATTTAACCATTTCACCCGATAGTATGAGAATATAAATTCATTAATATTATAAATATAAATAACTTAATATAATTTATACCTCTATATCAATCAATATTTTATTTTACTATTCTAATTAAAATACTGAAACTTCATTCTTAAATCCTTCATTATTTATTTCTATTGACTTAAGTCAGCTTTTATTAATATTTAATCAAATTGTCTTCATATTCTTTTATTTCTTTTTACACATTTTTAATATGTAATAATTTTCATCATATAAAATATTTTGGTTTTTAAAATTTATTAAATTATTACAGAGCAATTTTTTTAATATTTAAACCAAATTAATTCTTAATTAAGTTACTAATATTAAAAATAAAAATCTTCTATAAATTTATTTATTTAGATAGATAGATAGATAGATAGATAGATAGATGATTGTTTTGTAATATATTTCAAGAATAGAGCTTACTTTCTAACATAAAAACAGTAATTAATTGACTGGTATAATATATAATAATGCTTTTTTTTTAATTTATGAATTTTGATATATTTTATTTTACTTATGTCATTTATTAATGATATATTGATTGGGTTTTTCTAATAATAATTAAAATATCTATTTTTATATTTACTAAAAAAGAATATTTTTTTATTTAAATAATAATGTTTTATTTGATTTTAGTTGTTACATTTGAAATATTTTTATTGATTGATTTATTTATTTAAATTCGTATTATTTACTTTTTCACCAAAATTAAAATTGTTTAAATTGTAAATTTCTTTAATTTGATTAATTGTATGGTTTAATATAAATTTCTTACAAAAATCATAATTTAAATTTAATATCCTGCTTATTATTTCTATTTAGGTTTTTCAATTTATTAGATTTTGTGGTGCTAAATATTAAAACAAAGTTTAATATTTTAATAAAAAATAATAATTTAAATTTAATTCAAATATTAAGGATTATTTAATTTACTTTTTTAAAGACATAATACAATTAAAATAGGATTAAAATTGAAAATATAAATTATGATTGCAATTAACAAAGCTAAATCAGTTTTATACTTTATTTAATTTCCAGTTGATTGAAATTTATTTTTCGTTGCTTTTGATTATTTTTGGTTGTTAAATCTACTTTTAAGAGTTGTTATTTTCTTAATTAAATTAATATTTTTAATCCTTTTTAGCAGTTTTATGAGTTAGCATTGCTATTTTTAACCAAATACTTTCAGCAAAAAGAGGCTTTGATAGCAAGAATTTATCAAATAAGTCTTCAGCTTGTATTTGAGATAGCTGTAAAAATTTTGTTGATTTTATTAAATAAATCAGCTTTTTCTTTTAAAGGATAGTTTTCTCAGATAAAACAATACGATTGGATAATTTATCCTAGATTTTAAATTTTGATAAGTATTTGGATGAAATAAGTGTTTCGAAGTAATAAAAAATGGAGTAAATATCTAGCTAGAATGATAAAGTTGTCATAATTTGTACTCTTACAATACTTTGCATTGTTTTTATGGAATTGCAGATTTATTTATATTCTTATAAGGATAGATTTTCTAAAGTAAGTTAGATGTTATTTAATAATTAACATTTCAAGAAAATAATAGCCATAAATTATTTATCAATCCAATTAGAATCAATTATTAAAGATACTAATTTTGAAGGTTATTCTAAATTAATTTCTTAACTCATTTCATAAGGACTAATTTCACTTGAAAAAGGAATCTTTAGTTCCAAGTGAGACAGGTTTGGATAGCTTAATTTATCCAAAAAGAAAGATTTACATTCAGTATCAAGTGTCTTATACTCCTCGCTATCTGTTTGTTTCAAATCGAAATAGTAACCTTAGAAACATACTGATAAAAACTAGAGAGTATTTCTACATTTTTGAATAGATTGATTAAGCAACTTAAGCGATTTGACAGTTAAATATTCATAATCAAAATTTTATTTTTTATAATTGCAATCAAAAAGCAATTGCAAATGTGTCAGATTTACTGCATTTTCAAAATAAATTGGCCAATTTTCAAAGCTGAAATCATTGATATAAATATTAGGATTTCGAAAATCTAAAATTAACTACTTTAAATGCTGTTTAGATAAAATACAGTCAATCATCTTGTTCCAGCAGCTGTCTTGCTGCTAAATGACTTATTTATGAAATTCGGATATCTATTTTTCTTCAGGGTTCATAAAATAATTTATCCTCACTCTTTAGTTATCGAAAATTATATGCAAAATCTAAAGTTTTTACAGCTTTGATAGATTGTCTACAAAATTATTGAGCTGCTTAGCACTTGAAACATTTTTAAGAAAAAGTTTTAGCTTTGTAAGCTCATCAAAAGATCCCTATTGTATAACTAGTTCAAAGAGGGAGAGTAGAAATTAATCTTATAACTAAGTTAAAATTTGCTAAGTTATTTATTTGCTAATGATATCCATTTTATAAGTTTTTATTTTTATTTGCTCTAATACATAATTTTGATATTTACAATAAATAACATCAAATATATTGATTATATGTATCTATGTATGTAGAATATTTGAAATAAGATAAACAGATAGATAGCAAAATTTTATGGAAAAGCATTAATTAATCTTATTAAATGTATTTTTATATGTTAATGTTTACATAAATATCAATTTTATATAATCCAAATGATAATATTGTAATTTGAGTTTATACATTTAAATACTTAATTAAATATAGAAATTTTATATATTACAAAAAAAAATGTTAAAAAGAATAAGCTTAAAATATTTTCTTTCATTTTTGTTAAAAAACAAATTTATTTTTAGATTTAACTTTATTTATTCAAGGCAACAAAAATATCTAAAATGTGAGTTAGTTATTTTTAATTGTCTTTTGGTAAAATAAAATATGCGAAAATTATATTTTTAGCACTTTAAAGTATAAATCTTAACTATTTACTTGATAATCCCAGACATCTATCATCCATTTCTATTAGTTAAGTGGATTAAATGCTAGATGAAAGATTATTTATTATAAAATTTTGATCAAAATAAAAAAAACATTTAGTTAAAATCAAATTTGTTTCATAACTAAAGATACTTAGTATATAAATATATTATTTTTGTGATTATTATATTAGCTCTTTTATTTTCTTTTGAAAAATATTTTGGTAAAATTACATGACCGGTTCCATAGTATAGTGGTTAGTACTGGGGACTTTAAATCCCTTGACCTGGGTTCGAATCCCAGTGGGACCTTTCTTTTTATTTTTATTCAAATTAATTAACAAAAGAAAATAATATCATAAAGATATACACTATTCAACCTTTAGTTAAATATCATTTTTTTCTTTTAATATCTCATCTAGATGAAATAAATAAAAAAATAAAAATGTCTTCATTTATTTGACTGACATCTTATGGTAAACTAAATTTTAATCGTTTCGATATGATTAAAGCTTTATTAAATATTCTTTTAATACAAAAATTGGATCCTCAATGAAAGTTACTTGAATTTATAATCTAATGTTTGTAGACACTGAATTTATATTGATATTTATAATAAAAAGCAATTTAAACAAAATTCAATTTGATTGTCAAATAGAATATTTAGCATAAAAAATTCTTTTATAAGCTTAATTATTTTGTATATTTAGACAGATATTTTTAATCATTTATATGTTTAGATTTGAGATTCTATGAGAGCCATTTAAAGTTATTATTATTACAAGATTTTTAATATTAAAAATGCATATTCAATATGTGTTTTTATTGTTGTTAATTTTTGAAAACAAGTATTTTATAAAATTATTTTATCATATTGAATTCAAAAATTAATCGACAATTATTTTATCTTAGATAACTAACTATGATAGACAATATTTTTAAAAATATTTTAAGTATCAATCTATCTATCTATCTATCTATCTATCTATCTATCTATCTATCTATCTATCTATCTATCTATCTATATTTTTAATTTATTTGATGTAGTACAAACCTGTAATAGATATGAAAATAAAATACTTTTTTTTTTGATTTCTTAAAAAATAAAATTCTTTTATTTATAAATCATGTATTAACTTATTAACTTAGAAAGTTCTATCTATGAGTTAGTTTTATAGCCATTTATTTGTAGGTAGAAGCTAATGAGCTTTGACCAATATTTATTGAGAAGGAATTAAAGAACGCAGATTTAGTTGAAGCCAAAGGATTTATAAAGTGGATATAAAATTAATTAGATACTTTTTACCTTTTTATTTTTTTTTTTTCTGCATAAAGCTTTTTCTAAATGTTTACAAAATTAACATAAAACGTAAATATTAAAAAAATAATTTTATTTGGATAGAAAGCTAATAATAGCTCTTTGGATTTTGGATGAAGCACAAAAATGAAACCTTATTTATTTTCGTAAATTTTGATCGTTTACTGTCTTATTGATAGTTGAATACAATGAATTTTTAAAAGAATTCAAAAAATATAATAAAAGGATGTATACGATTGAAATGTGCTTATGAAATTTATATTTGTTAAATACAAAGAGAGATAGATAGATAAACAGACTAATTGTCTGACAAATATATCAAAAGCGTCTCGATTTTTCATATCAGAAAAAAAGGATATTAATGTGGCGATTTAGAACATTTATCATATATTAATAATAAAATATCTAGTTTGAGTGATTGGAGAAAGATCTTAAAGCAAATAAATAAATAAATCAATTAATTAATTGATTGATTTAAAAAGATCTGACTAATTTCATTTGGATTTTATAATTATTTATAACTCATTTAATTACTAATTTAATCAACAAGATTGATAAAAAGCAGTAAATAAAACCCAATAGATTTAATTTAGAAAGTATCAATTGAAAAATGGAAATTGAAAACAACTAAGCACAATAGCCAAAAGCCGAAAAATTGTGGTGGGAACTTGAATTAGAGATGCAAGAAAACCAAAATGATATATAAGTTAGGGTTAAGATTGACGATCCTAAGCAATATCTCGTGAACGTCACTGCAGCATGTTTGTTGTAGGAAGGTAGTTACTACTAAGATAAAGATGAAAGAAGATATATCATCACTAAAGCACTTCTTGAGGTGGCTGAGTCTGATCCTGAGTTCATCTGCTAGTTGGCAGTCTACATCCGTAATGAACTTTACATCAGAACTACCACTAACTACATTGTAGCATTTTGTGTTGTCCACAAGAATACTCAACCATTCATCGAAAAGTACTTCAACAAAGCAGTACTTTTGCCTAATGACTTACTGGAAGTCTGTGAATTTGCATAGGTTCTCTATATTTTTGATGCAACTGAATTCAAAAATTTGTATCTTGATAGGATACTTTCATAAGATATTCGTAAGGAACTCACTTTCCGTAAGTGTTTACAAAGATGCGTCAGAAGCAAGTTTTCTGAATTCAACGAATACTAACTTGGTAAGTATTGCACTGAATCCTAACGTAAGAAAACAATGTTCCGTTACCTCTCAGTTACCAACAAGTAAAAGTGGGATTAAACTAAGAAGAAGAGAAAAGAGAATCTCTTAACCAAACTTTAGGCAATAAAGGAATCTGAAGATAAGTCCAAGAGAGAAACTGGAGACATAATGAACGTTGAAGATGCAATCAAGGCTTTAAAACCAGCAGTTATGAAGAAAATAGCCAAGAGATAGAATGCCATGAAGAAACACATGAAGGCACCTAAAATTCCTAACTCTACCTTGGAATCAAAGTACTTGACCTTCAAGGATCTCATTAAGTTCTGCCATATTTCTGAGCCTAAAGAAAGAGTCTATAAGATCCTTGGTAAAAAATACCCTAAGACCGAAGAGGAATACAAAGCAGCCTTTGGTGATTCTGCATCTGCACCCTTCAATCCTGAATTGGCTGGAAAGCGTATGAAGATTGAAATCTCTAAAACATGGGAAAATGAACTCAGTGCAAAAGGCAACACTGCTGAGGTTTGGGATAATTTAATTTCAAGCAATTAACTCCCATATATGGCCATGTTACGTAACTTGTCTAACATCTTAAAAGCCGGTGTTTCAGATACTACACACTCTATTGTGATCAACAAGATTTGTGAGCCCAAGGCCGTTGAGAACTCCAAGATGTTCCCTCTTCAATTCTTTAGTGCCATTGAAGCTGTTAATGAAGCAGTTACTAAGGGATTCAAGGCCAAGAAGAGAGAAAATATGAATCTTAAAGGTCAAATCGAAGCAGTAAAGGAAGTTGTTGAAAAAACCGATGAAGAGAAGAAAGATATGGAGTTGGAGTAAACCGAAGAAGGAGAATTTGTTAAAGTCAACGAAGGAATTGGCAAGCAATACATTAACTCCATTGAACTTGCAATCAAGATAGCAGTTAACAAGAATTTAGATGAAATCAAAGGACACACTGCAATCTTCTCTGATGTTTCTGGTTCTATGAGTACCTCAATGTCAGGTGGAGCCAAGAAGTATGGTTCCGTTCGTACTTGTCTCGAGTGTGCATTAGTCCTTGGTTTGATGGTAAAATAACGTTGTGAAAAGTCCTCATTCTACATCTTCAGTTCACCTAGTTCTCAATGCAATAAGTGTTACTTAGAAGTTGATCTCCCTGGAGACGAACTCCGTCCTTCTATGTAAAAACTTTTGCAAGAGAAAGGAAAACTTGGTGGTGGTACTGATTTCCCCTATGAGTGCATTGATGAATGGACAAAGAATAAAACTCACGTAGACAATATCGTTATTTTGTCTGATATGATGATTGCAGAAGGATATTCAGATATCAATGTTAGAGGCAGTTCCATTGTTAACAGCATCAAAAAGTACAAGGATGAAGTAAATCCTAACATTAAAATCTTTGCAGTTGACTTAGAAGGTTACGGAAAGTGCCTTAATCTAGGTGATGAGTTCAATGAAAACAACTACATCAAGATATTCGGTATGAGCGATTCAATCTTAAAGTTCATTTCAGCCAAGCAAGGAGGAGCAAATATGGTCGAAGTTATCAAAAACTTTGCCCTTCAAAAAATAGGACAAAAGTGAGTTTCTTGAGATTCTTCTATAACAAAAATCTCACCCCACCTTTTTTGTTTGTATTGCATAGCCATTATGAAATTTAAATTATTATCTATTTATTTAAGTTACTTACATAGTTTATGTATCGCAGTCTATTTAGCCTATTCAAATGATTCTGCAAAGAACAAAAAAGATTAAAATCTTTCAATTATTTATTATTTTTTTATATTTATTTAAAAAATAATTTCAATTTATTTTTCTTTATATCAATCATTTACTTTCATTAATTAAGGCCATCTTCAAATAAAAAATTTTATTTAAAAACTGTCCTTAAAAAAGTATTCATACAATTTCATTAAACCATTCCATATTTACAATCTGAGGAGTAGCGATTTATATATTTATCTATCTTATTTTATGTTTACTTCATAAAAAACTTTTTAATTTTTACAAAAAAAATATTATTTATTTTTAAAAATTGTTTGAAATGATTTTATAAAAATTTTAGAGTTGCAATTTTAAAAGTAAATTTATGAATAGAAATATTAATTCACATTTAATAGAGTTTTTTTAAGGCAAAATTTTTTATTAATTTTAATGTAATAAACATAAAATAAAATTATAGTTAATAACTATTTTAAATTAGAAAATATAAATAGTTTTTTATTAAATAATTTAGTATAATTAGCAAGCTTTTAAGCAATAAAATAAACTCTATTTGTATTTTTGAAAATAAATAATTTTTTTTTAATTTATTATTTGTTAATTTAATAAATCAAGATTACTCAAAATTTAATGGATATGATGATACCATTTACATTATTTAAATTTATACAAAAAGAATTGTTACCTTCAATTAAATAAATATAAGTCTAATAAAATTAACTAAATATTTTTACAAATCTAAAAATATTTTATAAAAACTTCTAAGCCAAGTTTTTTATTTAAAATTTATTTTTTATCAATATTTCTTAAATAAAATTACAATTAATATCTTAGTTGGCAGGTAGTCAGTCAGTCATGATAATATCTTAAATTGAAAAAACTTTGACTTTTTTCATTTAATTAAAAACAAAAATGGATATTTAAAAATAATAAAATAAGATTGTAATTTATAAATTTAAATATTATTTTTTTAAAAATTGCACCAGAAAAATTTTATATTATTTTATAAAAAATGATTTTGTTTTTATTCAAATTAATAAGTTTAAATAATAATTAAAATAATACATAAATTAATTTATAATTATTAAATTTAACACAAAATTTAGTCTAATAAGAATATGGTTGCCATCAAATACTTCAGAAATACTTTGTAAAAATTATTTTTTAAATTACAATCCAATAGTCTTAGCTAAAAAACATAAACTGATATGTAAATATTATATATAAAAATAAAATAAATTTATTAATATTGGAAACAAACAGTAATAGCAATTTAAAATAATTTGATTTGTGAAAATACATTTTAAATAGTTAATTATATTTTTTAATAACTAAAAATAGTACATTAAAATCCAAAATTTGTAATAAAGCAAATAAATTAGAAGATTCCAGAACATAAGATAGGAGAAAGCTATTAATAAATTTGTATTTTTATCACAAATAAATAGATAAGAATGAAATACAATATTTCTATTGAGGATTATTTTTATTTGGTTATTTCAAAAGAAATATCATGTGTTTTTTTTTTTTTTGTCATAGGTTGCTTATCCTTGATAAGAACAAATTTTTAATTTAAAAATGGCTTAAAAATGCATTTTAAAATGGTAGAAAGATAAATTAATGATGCTATTTTTTGGTAATAGGTATTAGTACTTTTTTCAATTGTATTTGGTATAAATTAATTAATATTTGGGATTTTTGTACACATTAGATTGTAAGTAAGCTTTTTTTTGATATGGTTAAAAATTTCTTATTAATTTCTTTTGTGATAGAATTCAAACAAACTTTTATTTAGCCCTTCTTTAGATTTTCAAAAATATTGTTAAGAATTTTACTTAGTACAGAGAAAAGAAGAGCAATGTAAGATATATCCATTAATGCTTTTTGTCATGCGATAAATTGAAATTAATACTTAGATGAAAAAAGAATGAATTTTTTCTACTTTACTTCTAAAAGTGTAAAGTTAGAGATCAAATTTTCCACCCAGCTTTCACATAATGATAAATGTTCTTATTTTATTAATTAAATTTCATTATCACACCTTTTTTAGTATAAATATACATTTTTTTATTCGGCTTAGATGTAATTTAAACTAATTTAATAAATGTAACTAAAAAAATTTTAGTTTTTTAACAGGTTTAATCAGATCTCTCAAAAAGCACTTCAGTGAGAAGGAAATTTAATTAAACAGGGTGTAACAATAAATTATTAAGAAATAAATTTTTAATTTAGGGAAATTGCTTAGGAAATTTCCTTTAATTCTTACTGAAATAATTAAAAGATAAAACAATAAATTATTTAATTTGTTATAAGTGTTTAAAAAATATAAAGTTTTTTGAAGTTTTTTTGTAGCCATTATAAACTTTTACAATCCATTTTTTCAATACTTTTAAGGTAATTAAGATTAAAGAAAATTATAGTGAAAGTAGTGCATTTGCTTTTAATTTGTTAAAGGATAATCATCAATTAATAATTCCATAGAAGGGTATCTGATTAACTTCTTTTAAATAAAATTGAAATCTTTTGAAAAAGTAATTAAATTTGATTCAGAGTGGGAAAATATGCTAACAAAGGAACTAAAAAATACAGATGACAAAAAAAAGATTAGAGAAAATATTAATTAATTAATAATTCAAGAAAGAGAGAGTATCATATTAAAGATTATTTTAGATTTATTTAAATGAATTAAGGAGTGAATATCTATTTGTATTTACTATATTTAAAATATTAAAAAGGATACATAAAGTTTTTATAATAATTTTATTAAGTTAAAAGAGGCAGAATTTAATTATTAAGGAAGTGGGTTAGTTAGTTTTTTTCAATTTAAGGTTTATTTTTTGCATCTATAAATAAATTAGTCGAGGAGTTTAAAGTTAGAAAAGGAGCATAAAATATATTTAATAATGTCTTCGTGCGATTTTTGGTTTGAATTTAGACTGTTATCAATCCATTTTTATATATAATTTTCAAGGTAGAATTTGAAGATTGGACCATAGTTTTCATGTCTGATAAGGAGAGATATCGTTGAATTATTAAACTGTTTGTGGTTTATATATCTTTTAAATTTCTTAAAAAAGTCCATTTCTGAAGTTTGAGTAGGAATACTGTGTGAGTTTTTGAAAATATTTAAAATGATGTCCTTGCATAACTCAATTGACTACTAAGCCAGGACTTGGTTATCTTGGAAGTAAATTTTAATTTACTGCTTTGTAAATAAGTGGTGTTTGACAGTCAGCGCTGTCTGTTTTTCATTTTGCTTGTATTCAAAAATGTAGCAAATAAAGCGCTTGAAAGCACTCATAATGTTTTTGACTACATTTTTTTTTGTTACTGCCTGCAAATCAATACCAATTAAGGCATCAGCCAAATCGTTTTAATCTTCAATTTCTTCTATATATTCTATTTAATTAATTTGAGAGTTGAGTTACTGATTCGAGCAAACTAACTGTTCGCTAGCATTGCTAGCATTATAACTAATGATATCTGTGTAACTGCTGTTTTTTTCATTTTAATTATAATGAAATGTTCTGTAGTCGAAGTTGTTTTGTAAAATTCTATTTTCTTGAAAGCTGGGTTTGTTTTTTTGAATTGCTTGATTATTTTGTATCTGAGAATTACTATAAATAATATCGTATGAAGTTAATTATCCTTGAATAGCTTCGTTTTGTTAGTATAAATTGTTATTATTATTATTATTATATAGATTATTAGTATAATATATGTTATTGTTAGAGTTGTTGTTATTTGAATTATTTGAATCTGATATATGCTCTAAACTAAAATCTTACACTTAAGGCATTTTTATGAGGTTGCTCTAAACAGCAAAACCTACTCCGTCATTTTATTGGTTTTATAAGTTTATTTGGTAATAACTTTCATTTTATTACTTAAAATCAGTGATTTCATAGTTATTTTAAGACTTTTTATTGGAAAGTTGTTCTTCTTACATTTTCCTCTGTAATGTCGATTAACTTTCTGCTTTTATTAAAATTTTTTTTTACTTTGTTGGATTAAGAATTGTGGTTTTAAACTTACTTGCACTTAGAGTAGTTTCGTAACTCAAGCATGTAGATAAACTCTAGTTAGAAGGATCAGAGTCAGGAATACAATTTGAGGATTTGTTAAAATTTTACTGACTTCTGAGAAGGCGTTTAGGTAAATGTTGACTCTATTCAATAAGTTTTTACTTTTTTTGTTATTTCTTTTGCATTCTCTCTTCTTTGGCTCTTTGCGATTTCAAATAGCTGCTATATTCTTCCTAGTTATCAAATTCATTTTCAGAATAGCCGCTCCTGTTGTTAGAAGGGTTGAAGGTACTGCTGTTTCCTTAGTAATCAGAATCATTTACGATATATTTGGAATAATAAATATTTGTCTAAGTGTTATAATTATCCTATTAAGAATTTAAATTATTTTCATAATTATTTGATTATGATTATACTATCTATTCTTATTGTTATTGTCTGTGCAATAATTGTTATTATTATTGTTAGTAAGGTATTTCATACAAATTTTTTTTTTAAGCATTTTCATTTAATTAAGGATTTTGATCACTACTTACAAAGATTTATTTAACAATTGAATCAGCATAGATTTGATTTAATTTAGGTTCATGAACTGTATAATTATTGTTATTATAATTATTATTACCATTATAAATATTATTAGCATTTTCATGAGAGGAAAATCCAATATTTTAATTCCTTTTTTTATTTGTCATAATAAAATTAATTTTAATAAATGAAAAATTAAACAAATAAAATTGTAATAATATTTATTTTTTTTATTTAAAAACTAATGTTTTTTTTCATTCACATATTCATATTGCTCTCTGCAAATGCGTTAAAGTTCATTGATATTTTCAAGATTATATGTTGTTTTAGTGGATTAAATAAAAGTCCAGAATAAAGTCTTACATCAACTGATAGCAGTCGTTTTATTCATTATATCCTTGAAATTATGTTTGGTTCTGGTAATTGACAGCATAATCCCTGCTGTTATAATCAGTCTATTTTAAAATAAAATATTATTTTTTTACTTAACAGTCTAAATTATGTTTGAAATCAAAACAAAATTCATAAAAAGCGTATCATAAAATGGTATCTGTAATATGGAGTTAATCATGAAAAAAAAAAGTAATAATACCTAATAATTCAAATTTTAAGTGAACTGCTCCTTAAGTCCATAATATGACCTTTCATTATTGAGATTTTCATAAGTTATTATTGGAGTATTATCAAATAATATTTCGTTTTGAAAGTAAATAGGATTACTCTGGTCACCCATAGTTTTTTTTATTAAAAGAGCAAGCTAGCAATTGGTCAATGAATCAATCAATAAATCAAACTATATTATATTAAGAAGTAATTTTTTATTAAAAAAAAATTATTAAAAAACCTTATCTTCTTCAATTGTTATAATATGAGTATTAATAATAATTTACCTTTGTTTAGTGTGCCTTGACGTAATTATATATTTATTTATATTGATTTTTCAGAACCAGATCAATTATTACAGCTTAAAATAATGTAGTGAATCTATTTAAGCTATATGCAATTTATTATTATTTGTGTTAGACAAAACTAATTTCTATAAATTTTTAAGTTGTTTTCAAGTGTATTTGTTTATTTATTTATTAATTTATTTGCCCCTTTAAGGGGAGAGGAGGGAAATTAACTAATCAATAAATTAATCAAATTATAAAGCAAGCATGCAAGAAGAGAAGCAAAATAATTTACTATTTATCAATTAATATAAAGTGGGAATTATAATTTTTACCTAAAAAAAAATATAAATTGTTTTTTAAAAATAATACTAAAGAAATATTTATAGTTAAAGAGACAAGTAGTCTGATTGGTTGATTTGATTTATTTAATTTTGCTTATTAAATAATCACTCATACTCACACACAATCAATATATTATTCATTTTTTCATAATACAAGCTTTAAACCAAAACAATTCACAAATAAATAAAAATTTTAAGAATTCACATTGATTTTCTTTATTTCTTTTTAAATAGCTAAATAACAAAATAAATAAATAAAAGTTATTTTTAAAGTAACTTTATTAAATCATCTAATTTACAGTTTTTTTAACAGCGACCATAAATATTATCAACAATAACTCTTTTTCATTAATCGATATTTTTGTCCTCACCATTTTATAAATATTTAAATGAATAATTCGAATCCTCTCTTTATATCTTTTTGACTAAATACCCTTATATTTCTCTATTGTATGCAGGGATTTTTATAAGTCTTGCCTATTCAAATTCATACTCTTATTAGTACCCATCATTCACTAGATTATAAGTTGCTTCACTGATCATCACTCTACCGCTCTCGCCATTGCTCTCCATCTTGTTTGCAATTACCACATCTGGTCCATAAATGTCATATCTTACTACTCCCGTTCCCACTACTCCTCCAATTATTGATCCCTTTTAATTAAATAATTTATCAAATTTAAAATTTTAAAAATGTAAGTTGATTTAAAACAGATAGAGGGGGAAAAAATAAATAGAAACTAAATGAACCTATTGGTTTATCTTTACATATATTAAATATGCGAAATTTCACCTAAAATTTTCTTAGTGATAATTAATTTATTGTAAGAGATGGGTAATAATTTGGGAAAAGCTTCATGAATTTACCCAAAAAATTCAAATTTGTTAATAATCAATAATTAAGAAAAAAAAAGCAAAGTCTAAGCTTACAGTGTGAATTCCTATTCTCATCTCTAACTCATCGAAATTTACTACAGCCCTTACTTACTGGATAATATCAATCATACAGAAACCCATTTTGATGACTATTTTTTTTTTAATTAATCAAAAAAGTTAAGTTAAGTAAATAAATAATAGCAGCGCGCGCATGAAAATTATTAACAATAATATACCATTTAGAGCTTCTTTAGCATAGTCTCTATTTTCGATGTTTACAAGTCCCATTACTACGTAGCAATCACCAATTGTGTACAATTTAAAAACATCATTTTCCTAACATTTTTAGTCAAATTTAGTAAATAGTTCTCTGAGCATAAAAACAACATTTTCTGGTCTCACGCTCGCTGAATATTTTGTAAATCCTGCGATGTCGGCATACAAAATAGTAACATTATCGAAATTATCTATTAAATTTATTGTTTTTGCTTAATTTTACAAGAACATATCTCTGATATGTGAAGGTAATAAATATTAAAGAAGTTTGTTTTATTCACTAACTTTGGCATCTAATTACTTTCTGTTCTAGAAACTTGTAATATTTAATTCAAGCTATTAGAATGAATTGAAAAGCTGAGTTAAAATTATAGCTATTGTTGTGTAGCAATACTCGATCTTAGCGATGTTGTTGTTAAATGAGAAAAGCAAGTACATGAGTATAAGTGCGATTGAATATATTATTTTCTCGAGAATGCTAATTTTATATGCAAAATGGATTAAATAAGTTGGAAATTCTTACTATTTTTCAAATTTGTTTACAATTCAAAAAGTAACTCGAAAAAATTATGAATAATTACTAAAAATTTATAATTTTGAATGCTTAAATCAATCAATATAAAATGAATGAGAAACTTTATATGATCTGAATTAATAAAACTTGTTTATTTTGAAGCAAAGCTCAATAAATTTGATCTGATAAATTAATTGCTTTCAAAATTTCAAGAAACAATAGTCATAAATTTGAAAGAAATGCTTATTAAATGTGAATAAAAAAAATTATTGAATTTGATAAGAAAATTAAGTAAATTTTTAAAGACCTTGGGAAATTTTCAATTAATTAGCAAAATGAAAAATCAAGTATTTATTTGTTTCAATAGTTGATTCAATCAAAAAAATTACTTTTTTTACTTATTTAATGTAATTATTCAACAAAATTCAATTAAATTAATGATTTGAATAAATGTATATGTTTACCTGTAAAATTTGATAGAGAGGAACATACTAAAAACTATTATCACTGCAGATGTTTAAGTTTCAGTAAAAAATTAATTTTTTTCCTGCTTTACAAAAGCATATCCTTCATATACCATGGCTCCAATAATTAAGAGAAAAGATGTAAAAACAAACAACTTGACATAATTCACGCCAAGCTTGATAATTTTTTGGTAACCAAATGTCAAAATAATAAGCATGATTATGCTAACTAAGTGAAGGATTAAACTGATAGTGCTACCTTGAGTACCTAAGTATTAATTCATAAGATTAATCATGACTAATTTCACAATTTCAAAGATAAGTAAAATTTAGCCTCTTTATTTCATCGAACGATTACTGTTCATAATTTTCTCCATTTAAAATATCCAAAATTCGTTATTATACTTACCCGCTAGTAGGTCTACAAAGCTAATTTAATTCACAATTTGCTTGTGATTGTGCTAAATTGTCGACAATTCATTTTCTATTTCATTAAAATTTTATTAAATACGTTCAATATCTATTGAATCATTATTTATTTCAAACTAATATTCAATGTTAGGAACTACCCCAAGGTCAGTCCCCATAATTCTCAAATATGTATCTTGTGCATTCTTTTTATTTATTTATTATAAATAATTATTTAAACAATTATCAAATTTCAGCTCAAAAATTAATAATCTTAAGTTACATTAAAAACAGATTATGGTCTTCCACTATTTTCTTGTTTTTCTGTGTTATTTGTTCCATCAGTAATTAATCTTTTTGGTATTTCGTTTTTATTTATTTTTACTTTTTTAAGAGGGGAAACTGCTTCAAGTTGGAATTATGACTCTTAGTATGAAGGAAAAGCTGAATTGACTTTAGAATAATTTCCTAATCTTTATGGTTAATGTTGCTATTGCTACTCAAATTCTTATTTAGCTTGTTAATTTGTTAAATTGGTAGAAGCTGCTAAGCAATTATTTGTTTATTCCAAAGTATTAGAAGAAGTAATATTTCTCTCTTGCTCTATATTGTAAAACCTGCTCAAATGTCTCTTAGTATCTCTTTAAAAGACTATCTAAAAAGTTTGTATGATTCCCTTTCCCTTTGCTTCAACATTTTTTTCTACAAGTAAAATCTTATACTTTAAATTGAAGTACTGCTAATTTTTGTTTAAGAATTCGATCTAATTTTATAAGATAAAAATTTAATTTCACTTTTAATTGAATTAGATTGGGGAATTAAAATTAGTTAGTTAATTAATTCTTCAATCAATTAACAAGGATTGAGTATTGTATTTTGTTTAAAATTTTTTTTTTTTCAGTCTTTGCTAATGTATTTAAATTTACTTGTTTAAAACATTAAGCTCTTGCTTCTGCTGATATGGTTACAGAATCTGCCGCTCCAGTGCTACAAACACGAGAAGCCATATTTACAGTATCTCCTATAAGCGAAAATTGAGGTTTGTGTCCTCCTATAACACCAGCCATAACTCTACCGTAATGAATTCCAATTTTTACGTTTAATTTATCACTTTTATTTCCGTATGTAATTTTTTTCGCATTTTCATACATATCATAAGCCATTAAAACACTATTAGTAACTGGATGTATTCTTTCATTGTTTATTAGGTATTTTTTTACTGGGGGAATTCCCTTCAGACCTTAATTTGTTAAATAATTCAAGTTAATTATTATTGCAATATTATTTAAAAAAATGATATATTTAAAAATGGATTGAATAAATATATAGGTAAAAATAGTTTCAATTTTACCTCCTGCTGCCATGTATGTTTTGCCAACAGTTTCAATTTTCTATAAACCGTAGTTGCTGCATGATTCATCATAGATTCTGAACAATTTGTCAAGCAACTTTATGACATTCTTTTTTTCCTACTCAATTACAGAATCGAAATCGCAAATATCGCAGAATAGAATGGCAACCTCTCCTTGATCTTCCTAATAGCTTAGACCTTTTTCTTAGATGTTTTCTCTGATGAATTTAGGCAGTAAGATAGAAAGTACATCGTTCATTTTCTTCGATTCATTCTAGAGCTGGTTATAAATTTAAAAAATGGTTTATAAATAAATTTATCTTGGTTTATAGTTGAATATGTAAATTACTTTATTAATTTTTTCGAAGTTTTTCCTCATCGCGATTTAGTAAGTGCAATTTTGATAGAAGATAAATAAGGTAAAAGAAATAAAGAAGCAATATGTTTGCAAAATAATATATATGTTTAAATAGGAATCTAAACTATCCGAAGTTATTGAGTCTTAATAGCGAAAAGTATAGACAATGCATTAGGTAATACTTAGGAATAGCTATGCTGTTAGTTAAATTGGAGGATTCATAACGATACTGTATTAAATTATTGAAGAGTAAAATAGCCCTTGAAGGATAGTGATGTTGTAGTCAAAATCATAAAAAATGAGAATTACTCTAGATAAAACCCTTACCAGCAGTTAAAGTGTGTTTATTAGGAAAAAACTATCTTAGTAAATAGGAGTAAACATGAACCCCCAAAGTAAAAACTGAATTCCGAAGCATACAGACAAGGTATTAAACCCGAAGGAGTAATGATTTATACTATTCATGAATTGGGCCAAAGCAAGTTCACAAATAATCGAAAACAAAAGGGTAGATATTCTACTGAAAAATATCCATTCTTTAGCCACTTGCTTCTAAAATTGCTTCTCAACGCTTTCCTTGTCGAACTTGAAAAAAATATTCTTGATTCTATAAGAATAATCATTGTAGTTTTTAGGATTCATCTCCATGACTATCTTGTCTGCGTCTCTGCCTTGAAATACCATCTGGACTATTTCATTGATTTCATAACCTTTGAAAAAGAACTTATTTTATAGAGCCAACCTGATAGCATTACGCTAGTTTGTTTTAATATTTATTTTATTTTATTACATTAGAATCTTCGATTTTCTATGAAGGTTTTTGACATTTGATAACCCTTAAGAAATATGTGACTTTTATTCATTCTAGAAACTGTTATTAATTTCTTGTATCACCATTGGGCTGTTTAAATTATTTGGGCTAGCTATGTGTTTGTTTACGCTCTTAATTTAATTGTCAAAACTTTCATTTTAATTTTCTAGTTTAGTGCCTGAGTGTGTCTTTTTTATTTCTAACTTATTCATATTAGCATTTCTCAACAAAGAATCTTTTCGCGTAGACATTTCTTCAAATTACTTCTATCTTTCTTCAGTAAATTTTCTCCTTTGTAGAAGGCTAAAGTTAATGTCTTACAAATTAATTGTATTTTTTTCTAGCTCTCCTTAGACAGATTGGTGAGAAAATCTTTTATTGTTTATTTCTGTAGAATTTTAGTCAATTATGTCATTTTGATTTTGATTTTGGATATTAGTAAGATTATGGCCATTATTATTTGTATTAACAGACTTTAAATTAACTAAAAAGTCATTTCCACTGTTAATTTAAAATTCATTGACTGAATCGCTTCTTCTATCTGAAAAAATGAATTATCCATTAATCTACTCTCTGCTTGGCGAATTGCTTGAAGAATTTTCAACCTTATGAGCTTTAATGAAGTTAAAGTTTGAATTATTTTCAATAGAATTTCTTCTTGAGCTCAAATATCCATTATTGTATAGCTTAGGAATTTCTATATTCAGTCTTTTTCTCTTTAGTTGCTATGGAGATGAGTAAATGCTTTACTTTGGAGATAAAAAGTTATTATCTTCGATGGGCTTTTAGTTGGATGTATTTCCTTATTGCATGTCAGGTGACATTTAAGATATCTGCTCAGTGGTATCTTTAATCATCTCACTTTTATCTTACTCATAGTAGCTCTCTAAAGCATATTCCTTTTGGATGCTTGAAGTTTCTGACAAGTCTTGTTTTTTAAAATTTCTCTGTATCTACATTTTAATGATAGGAAAAAAGACCTTATATACCAAAGAGTTTATCACAGAAAGTAGTAAAATCAAAGAATATGAAAGCAGCAAGTTAATACTAATGAATTGGTACAAATCTAGATCATAATAATTAGCTGAATAGTAAGCTAATGCAAAAATTATAACATAAGCAAGCTATCCCAATCCTATTACTTTTTAATGCTCAAAAAATATGTAAATACCAATTTGAATTTTGAGAACAAACATGACTATTAATATATAAATAACTTCATTTCTTTCAAAAATTATTCCAAGTTCATTACTAACTAAACCCAGAGAGTAATAAGGCAAACAAAATAAAATTAAGCCACTCATTATAGCCATAGGCAAGATATTTAAGAAGAAATTCTTAAGAACATCTGAAGTGACAATTTATTTATTTTGTTTATACAAGAGAGTATCATCAATTTGAAATGCATTTTAAAGTCTTTGATTATTTTCAATCGAAAATGAACTCGCTCTTATATTACTTGCATGCTCTTTTTAGACTTCTACCATACATTACAGTATTTCTTTATTATTATAGTAATCTTTTTAAAAGTAAATAATGAGAAAGTCTATAAAAAAGCAAATTGTATTAATCAAAAGTATTTCATTTTTATTGTAAATCAAATCACCAAATGAGCACTGCATAAAATTCCAAAAGAAAACTGAAGAAAAAATTAAAGTCTGTCTGTAGAAAGTAAATAAAAGCAAATTTTCAAAGTTTTTAGATTTCTATCTAGAATTTATAAAAATGAGTTTATTAATATCTCCAATTTTCTGCACACTTATTTCAGATAATCCATGAAAATACTAAATGCTCTATGATTTTAAATCCATATATTGAATCGAGTAATCAGCTTATCTCATCATTTATATATCATTAAGCCCATCACCTATAGCCAGTGTGTAAATTTTATCTAAATTGAATAAAAAATTAAATTATTTAAAATATATTTTGTATTAATTTTATCTGTATGCTTAATAAATATTTTTAATTTTAACATGGTATAATATAATAATTCATGTTCTTTTTTATTTTATATAAAAATCATATTTTTTTTATAATCATTATTTATTTTTACTGTAATTCTATTTAATACAATTTTTTATTTCTAAAATTATTATTTATTTATTTATCTATTATCAAACTTTGATAAATAAAATCAAATTTTGATAGATAAAAAAATTTTAACAAAATATAATATATTATTTAGTGCAATTAAGTAAGCGAAAAATTAATTAAATTAAAACTTCAAAAATTTTTTAATGATCAATAATAAAACATAAAAAAATATATTTGATAAAAAAATTTTCAAAAAAAATTGATTAATTAGTAGTATTTTGCCAATTTAAAATTAAGTAAATTAAAAATATTTTTGGAAATTGAATTATTATTATCTTTATTTATATTTGAGGAAAATTTCTGTAAAAATTTTAAAACATTATTTCCTAATCAAATATATGAAAAAGTAAATGTTGTTTAATAATATTAAATCATAATTAAAAGAGTTAGAATAAATATATGAATGAATGGAATTACTTGAATTAAAACTCTTTTTAATCATAACTAAATCTGATTTTTGCTACGGAGAGAGTGAGTATCCAATAAAGCTCTCGCAGAAAAAGGTCAAAAACATAAAGTGATCTTTATAATTCTATGTTGATAGGATTTTATTTAATGCTTCTCCATTAACTACCATGTAGAATTTCTTTGATTAAGCTGTAGTATTAGCTTTCATTTATTGTTTTTCCTAAAGTTTTTGGCCATTCTGAGATCCAGTGATTTCTATTAATTTTATTTATTTTAAATTATGATTAAAAATCAATTTTAAGAAGCTTACATCTTATAAATTCTTTTTGTTTTGAGAATATTTACTAACCATCAGATTCTAAAGAAAGCTTCACTTTTGAGAGAGATGATTATATTAGATAGTTGATTTCTTCATCAGCTACTGAGTTAAAGTGAATTATTTCATTTTTATCAGTTTTTTCAATAATTTGGGAATTATAGGCTGTAGTTATTGCTCTTATATAGTCGTCTCCTGTTAACATCCAAATATTTATTTATGATTTTTTTAAGTTTTAAATTAACTCTAAAGATCCTTCATTCAACTTTTCTTTTATTGAAACCATGCTAACAACATCCATTTCATAAAGTTATTCTCTATAAATCTACTCTGTCAATTTATGGAGCTGAGAGTAGTCTATGATTTACTTTATATCTTGATATTTCTTTATCATTTACTTAGCCAAGGATTAAGTGATCAATTTTCTACTAAAAATAATTCCAATTTATCCATTTTCAGTCATGTTTTGAATATGACCTTAATATTTTTCTTTCATTTATTTTATGTTTCTGATATAAGTAGGAAGGCTATTTATTTCTTCCCTATTTAATGTTTAATAATTCAATGATATATTTTTAATAAGTAAAAAATTTGATTACCTCACATAAATGTAGTAAAGGTCTTCACACTGAACTAAAAGCTAGAGTCTATTTCCTTTTTCATTGTAAACAGAAGGGATGAAAAATTTATGTTAATATATCTTTTTGCCTAGTGTAGAAATGTATTCAATATTCCCATCAAGTAAGTGGGATACACATCTAAATTTGCATTCGAATCTATTAGCAAAGCTAATGAAGAGACTATCATAAATTGATTAATGGTCTGTATATAAACTAGTCGTTTTTTTATTTACTGTACTTTTTGAAATATGACAAATTATCATTGCTAAAATAGCTTCTTTTTGATTGGAATAGCTTGAGGAGTTACTTTGTATCTCTTCATAGAATCTGGAATCATTTTACTCAGTAAAAATAAATTAATTTGTCGCTGAAGTCAACTTTCTTTTAAAGAAGAATTAATCTGTTTCTAAACTTTTTGACATATCCAATGTTTTATATTCTTTTAATTCTTAAGGAATTTTTTAAATTTCAAAATATTTTTTTAAATTATAATTTTACTCTATGTTTAATAACCATGATTAACATTTTAGCTACTGTTGATAATACTCTATAGTTTACTATTCATTTTAATATCTCCAATATCTTAACTTTCTTCTATACTTTTAGATTCTATTTTAAAATTCTAATCATCAAAACCTGCTTAAAATTTTATTAACTTTTGGTTGGATTTCATAAAATCATTTCCGTTAACTTTAATAGGTGAATCAAAATACTAAACTCCTTTTTCATTTTAACTCTCTATTATAATCTTATCTCTTTGTTCGTCTTCCTCCTCTTCTTTATCTCTTTCTTCTAAAAAATCTGAATTTACTCTTTTTTCTTCTTAATCTTTATTATTTTATTTCTTTAAAATAATTATTTTTTATAAATAAAAGTAAGTACTATTTTTCGTTTCTACTTATTTCTTCTACTTAGCTAAAATAGCTTATGGTATACTATGTCTGAGAAAAACCCCTTCTTCACCTGCAATATCATTTTGCTCACTTGTAACTTCATTTGTAATTACAGTTATTATTTATTTATTAGTTTTTTTTAAGCTCATAGATTCCTTTCTTGAAATTTGTTTATCTATTTATTATTTGTTTAAAAATTCTTATTAGTTAAAGTTAGTTTTTAAAAAATAGTAAATAATTTTCAATTTATTAAATTTAAGATAGTTGGCCATTTCTCATAAATTAAAACAAAACCATATTATAAGACTTAAGCTAATTTTAAAGCAAGAGTGATATAATTTTATGAATAAAAAATTAAATAAAATGCAGATGTTTCAAATAAACAATACTGAAATTTTTTGTTTTTTAAATTTTTTAGTTATTATTAAAAATTTATAATAAAATTATGAAATTTTAGAGAGTTAGTTTATTTTTACTGATGTTTGCCATAAAATTAATTTTAAAGAATATAATTGATCAAATATAATTAATTATTTACATGATGGTTCATTTGCAGTATAGTCTATGCTAACAAACTTTTTAATTTTAATGGGATCGTTGAAGCTTTCACTAATTATATATTATGTATCCTACAGTGTAATTCTATCTATTTCGAAAGACCTTCCTTTAGTTAAAGTACCGGTTTTATCTATAAAGCAATCAGTTATCAAGCTAAGGTCTTCAATAGGCTTTGAAGAGTTTTTGAGAAAGTAAATGTCGTCTTAAAAGAATTTACGAATTTTTTCAAGATAGATTGTTATTTTTGAATCTTTTTCTATTATATTTACAGGAGGAATTTAAGATTAGGATTAATTATCAGTTTTTAACAGTTCTTCTTTTTAATTAAAAAAGTTAAATGTAAATGTAGTTTTAAATAAAAAAAATTATTTAATCAATGAAACAAACAAAATTTTATTAACTATTTAAATTAAAAAAGAGATAAATATATATTAATTTATTAAAAGTAATATGAAGGTGTAAATAAATAAAAATTCGTTCATTTATTTTATTGCTTAAACAGAGTTTAAAATTAATAATATTTAATTACATGATTGAATTTCAAATGATGTATTAGCTACCAAAGCCAAAATCAGCTCAGTGATGTCACAGAAAAAATAATAAATTGAAGGAAGAAATAGCATGTAATCACAGAAATATCCCAATCCTATATAAAAGCTTTATTAGTCAATGCTTGGCTCGCCTAAAGAGTTATTTTTTGGTAAATCTCCAAAACAAGTATTTAAATGAGTTCGAATGACACTTATTAGACAGCAAAATATAAAAAGAAAAAAGTAGAGAGTAAAATATTTTTCTTTTTTTAAATTAAAATAGCTAAGTGGTTTTTTGTCTTTTAATTATAACCAGTGTTAATTTGTATCTTAATAATAATAGCACTCTTTACCAGTATAAATTGCAATTCCAATAACCCAATCAGAGTACTCAAGCATTGATCCTCTAAATCCTATATTTTCCTTAGCAACAACGGTACCTACTGGATCTTTTGAAACGTTTATAAATCCTTCAAATTTATTATTTCTTTCAGCAGAGCTGACATATTCTATTTTGCCTGTCAAAATTTTTTTATATTCAAAGTGATTTCCCTTAATTTTTGAGAATTTTGGTACTTTTTTTGTAATTAAAAAAAATTAATTAACATCAAATACTGGAGCAGTTTTTACTGATGGTTTTATAATAAGAGAGAAAAATTTACTTTGAGTAATTGGAATCGGATAGATTTTATTTTAAGTGGTTTTTCCGCAGCTATAAGAATTGTTAGATGAACAATAGCTGTTGTAGATGTCCAAAATAATTATATCTGCTGGGAAAATTTCATTTTTGCGAACAAAAACTATATCACCAACCTTATTTTTAGATGAAAAAAATAAAATGATATTTTAATTTTTCATTTTTATTATTTTACTTGAACGTCTTTAGTTTTAATTTATTTGTAAATCGAAATACTTTCTTGCTTATTGCTTTGTTTCAAAAAGTAATTAAAATTTGTAAATCTCTCGAGTATAGTAGCAGGGTTATTATTTAATTCAGAAGACCTCTTATATCTTAAATAATCAAAATATCCTTCCATAAGAGTTTAGCCTATAAAGGTCATTAAAATTGTCAATAAATACATTAAATGGTAGCTCTCCCTATAAATATTATAAAAATTCATCAGCCAATTAAATAAAATCATTTTTTAGTTTCGAAAAATGCATTTCTATAACTTGGTTTTTTATAAATATTTTTTACTACTAAAAGGAGATCCTATTTGTTTCTTCCATGCTATAACTAGGACTTAAAACAATAATGAGGTAAGTAATCAACGATAGAACGTTTCCTATTCTCATGAAGTAGTTAGAGATTATCACTAATATGAAATTTTTTATCTTTTATTTAAAAAAATTAAATATATTTTTTACTTTGTTGCATAATTATTTCTTCATTTCATATTCTATGTAGAAACAAAGACTTAAATTTTTTGCATCTTTGCTTTTATTATTGCTAAGTTGTTTGCTATTTTGCTTTTGGGTACTTAAATAAAAAAGAAAGCATTATTACTGTCATTAAGTTGAAATTTAAGGTGTTATCTAGCTAGTCTTTAGAGGAAAAGCCATTCAAAGAAATAACTTCTCCATTAATTAATTCAATCTGTTTACATATTAAATTAACGCTTTAAAAAAAATAGTGCAAAAAATGTTAATTTTTCAGTACTTCTCTCGAATATCGCTACGACTATGTCTTGGATTATATGTTTTTTATAAAAAATTAATTGTTTTTTGCCTAAGAATTGGATGGAGCTTTTCCATCTTCCCTTGAATTTGTTATTTCTTTTGCTGTAATTTAATTCTCTTGTTGCATCTTCTACTTTTGTTAACTATATTTATTTACTGATTCGTGATAGTAATAATCAAAGGTTTTTAATTATTTATTTATATTTAACAAAAGCTTCTTATTTTTTTCATTCAAAGAATTTTTAAAGGCAAGAAAAAAAATTTAGGAAGTAGAAAAGCCAAAATCAGATAATTAAATATAAGAAAAATAATAACTGGTATCATACATTCATATTTATATAACAATTTACATACATGTATGCGTTTATTTTTCGTTTGTATTTTAAAAATTATTCTATAGGAATTATTTGTAAAAAAAAAAATGTGTGGAATTATCCAAATATTTGTTACAATATTTTAAAATACAAAGAAAAAAATCTTCATTAAGTATACAAAAATAATTATATATTATTTATTTTATTTATTTCAATTTAACTTAATCATTTACTTGATAAATTTAATTAGCTTTGATTTTTGAGATACAATTTTATTTTCAAAAAAATAAATTATTAAACTTAAGAAATAAAAAAATAGCCTTATATTTTATTTTATAAAATGGGTGGTAAAGTTGTTAAACCTTCTTCTCAGAGTAGAATATTTAGATTTCCATTTTTTTTAAATTTAAAATTTATTGTTTAATTTTTTATTTATTTACTTATAGACACTCAAACATCTCTCAAAAAGGAAATTCTTTTGGTTACAAAAAATAACATTGAAGAGGTGATTAAAGAGAAAATTTAATAATTCTTAGCTATTGAGATGGATTTTAGGTAAATTTATATCACAAAAAAATCATATTAATTGTTTATTATTTCAAAGCTACACTGAAACATACGAATATTTGAATGGGATTAAAAGAATATTAAAAAATTATCGCTAATTGTAATCTCTCAAGTTTCATCTATCGTAATTACTTATTATCTTTTGGTATTTTAAATACATTCTTTACTTTTTCTAATTTAGAAAATGCAAATTCACTGACGAAGAAGCTCGTTCTTTAATTAAAACTCTTTCTATTCTCAAAAGTTTAAAAAATTTGTTTATTTGTATCAAGTAAATAAAATAAAAAAATAACAAATTAATTTTTATTTTTATTTATCTAATTTAGTAATGGTTATCCTAGTTTAATTTTAATTGAAGAAGTAGGATACATTTTAAAATAATCATTTAATTTACTATTCCTTGAGCTAAATTTTAGGTAAAAATTATTTATTTCAATAATATATAAAAAATATAATTGAAATTATTCTAGAATTTGATATTGTTTTATAAAGAAAGGAACACATTTTTCAATCTTTTTATTTTATGTAATAAAAATTTTATTTTATAATAAATTTAAGCTAATGTAAAGTTACTGATTCATGTATTAAAAATTTTAGCATAGGACTATAAACTCAAAAAAAAATAAAAGAATTAAATATCACTTTAAGGTATTTTTTTATTAAAATAAAGTTAATTTATTTTAATTCTACTTTCAAATTTAGCTCTAAAAAAATTTGGTATTTTCATAGAAAATTAAATTTTATTAATTCTTTTAAATAAGCTAAAACAAAATTGGAAATGAAGGATTCAAAGATATTATTTTAGGAATTCAAAATATGAAAGATTTGCTAGTATTAAAAATTGATCTAAGGTTTTTATAATTAATTAATAAATAAATTAGATTTATCTCATTTAATTTATTAAGCGATAACAGTATAGACTTAGATACACCATAGTTGTTTCAGTCAGTAGTTGAAAATAACCCAAATATATCTAATTTGTAGCTTTTCCTAGCGTATAATATATTAAAAAAATAGCTTTATTAATTGTAAATTATATTGCAAAACAGAAACAATTCTCTGAATCATTAAGGTTTTATTGATTTGATGTGTGACATAGCAAAATTAGATAACATTTAAACACTTATTCTTTAGTTAGAGTAAAATATCCTTTTTATAAAAGCAATAAATTTAAAGTAATATAAAAAATTAAAAGCAATTGTGCTTTAACCTCTTAAATGTTTAAGTCGATTTAACTCTATATTTAATACTTCAAGTTCCTCAAAAATTTCGATCTCTTTGTTAGGTAATTATAGTAAGTAATTTTAATCATTTGTTAAAATATTTAATAATTTAGTAAGAATAATCTCTCAAATATGGATATGAAGAATTTTTTCTAAGATGGTAAAAATTCGCTTGAAAGAATTGAAAACCTAAGTCTAAATTTTAAGTAAACTTCAAAATATTTTAAGACACTTACTTGTGAATTTGTTTAATTTTTTTATTTAAAACCATAAATATATTAACAAAAAGATGAAAATCTTTCTTAAAATCACTTATTTTTTCTTCTAAAAATGAATCCTAAATTTAAACATTAATGTAACTTTTTATTAAAATTATTATTATTTTTTACCCAAATAATGGTTTACTTTGGTCTTTAATAAATAAATCTTTTTATACTTTTTTTATTTTATTTAATATTTAAATAGTTAATCAACAAATAAATAACTTATTTAAAGATTTATTTAATTTCATAAATATTATATTTATGGTTTATTCATTTATAAAAAATTGCTAATAATTCATGATAGTTCCAATTTTTTTGAAGAAATTACTTTTATTCTTAAAAGTATATTCACTATATTTAGAAGTAAATAATTTTATCACATAAATATTTTAAATATATAGCTATTTTCAGAAAATTATTTCTCGAGTTAGAAATATAGACTTAGTAAAATAAGAAATATATTTTAATTTTTACTTTTGATTTTTAAATTTAAAATTGAAATTCAGTCAGCTATTAATATAAATTTAAGAAATGTTTTATTATAAATAAGAAAAATTAATTTATTTGATTATTAAAAAATAAAAATAGGTACAATCCAATATTTTTTGCAGGTTTGAATTCAATACTTGATAGTGTTAAGTATTGTTACAAATTGAGAACTTTTTATCTTGATTTTGAGTATTTTGTTTTAAAAATAATAAATGAACAACTATTTTTTTAAAACAGTAATTTATACTTAGATGGGCAAAGAGGAATTAAATTTTATATGAAATTGATGAAACTAAAAAGGTTAGTTTGCATATACATAAATAAATAATGATGATGATGACTTAAAGATCATTTATTAATCAGCTCTTTATTATATTATTTATTTTGACAGCTCTTTATTATATTATATTATTTTGAATGTTGTTTTTTAATTATTTGATAAATCAATTAAATTTATAAATAAATATATTATTAAATTAATTTTTATTGATTAATTAATTGATAATTTTCTGCCTATCAACTCTAATTACTCTACAAGAAATTAATTAGATTTTAATTAAAATACATAGTTAAATATATATTTATATACATATTAGCAAACACTTAAAATCAAGAAATAATTTGTTAAAGTAGTATAAGTATAGTAGAAGTATATTTTTCAATAATAAAATGAATGATGTTGGAGCTAAAAATAGAAGATTAATGCTATAATAAAATACTGTAGGGAATATAGTTATATCATAGAATAATGAATATGTTGATTTAAATTAATCAGCCTTTGTTGAAAGTTAATAGACTTCTAAATTGTATAATTATTAAACTCATAATTACAAAAGCTCTAAATAGAATTGCAATTTACCTTTCGAAGATGATTCTTTGCCATTGGCATCGCAAAAATATTAGATTATTACACAGAATAACAAGGAAACCGAGCCAGATATGAGCTACTTAGGTTAAAATTAATCCAAAATCTAAGATTAAAATATGACTTAGTTGAATAACTACATTGATTTAAAAATTAATGAAAGCAAATATTCATAGCAGCATAGAGAAATAATAGAATAAGCGGATGCAATCAATAAAATAAATAAATATATTACTCCTCCTCCTACTCTAATAAGATCTCAATCGCACCATCCAGATATATTAAGTGCAAATTAGAGCATATTTAAAGAGAATAATAATTCTTCTTCTTAAAAAAAATAAAAAATCTAACTGGGTAAATCTAGACTTACTGTAGGAATGCTCAAGTAATAAAATTTACTTATATACGGAAAACTAATCAAAAAGTTCATCAGCTAACTCCAACTAAAAACAAGATCATATCTCTTTCATCATATTACTTAAAAGCAATTTCAAATCATATCTGATAATAGCTCTTCCTATGCCTATTATGTCCAAAAAAGCTTGATAATTGATGATGTATTTTTTTCTTTATTTCTACTTTACTCATCAATAATATTTTAGTAAATTTCAATTTGAAAGTGTTTAAGTTTTTAAATTTATTCTCATGAATAAAATTGCTAAAAAGTCAATCATTTTGGAGATTGCACTAAAAATATTAAAAACATTTACTTAAATTTAAAATTTTAAGCATTGTCAAACTTCATAAATTAATAGATTCATCTTCATGTTTTTTAAATACTTAAAAATTTTTTGATGATTTTAAGTAATATATAAACACTACATGATTACTATAGCAAAAAAATGAAGTTTTATAATATATTTCCCTCTTAATTATTACATCCATATAAAAAATTTTATAAAAAATCTAATTAAAATTATCTTTAAATAATAAGCAAAACTATTCCAAATTGTATTTGAAGATATTTAAAAGTTTAGTAGGTAATAATGTTATACATTCTAATAATAGCTTATTATTAATATTTACTTTTATCAATAGGATTTGTAAAAATGGTTTTGGAATCAGAGTAATTAATTATTTGCTAAGTAATTTTTTATCTTTTTTGAATGTAAGTAAATATAAAGTATTATATAAAAAACTAAGGACTCTTTCATAAATTTACTACTGGATTTGATATAGATATTTCTCAATTTATGCTTTATATTTATAGTACCTATCATTATTAACTTCAAAAACTTTTTTGACTTTTTTCCTTGCCTTAATTTTATTAGCTGGTATTTACCAATAGAAATGATCCTTAACATGAATACAGTAATATTATTCAATTTGTTTTTATTGTGTTATATAATATAAAATAATATAATAAACATTCAGGCATATTATAAAAGAGGAATCCAAATGAAGAAGAGAGGAAAAATATTTTAAAGATATGTTAAAAATGAAGCTATGTAAATAATTCATAATTAATTAATTAATTCATTCTTTAATTTTTTACATTTTTATTTTTAAATATGTATTTAAATAATAGCTTTGATATAATTATTTGGGTTATAATTTAGCTATCATATGTATTTGATATAAATTAGCTATAATATGTCATAGTGCTAAAAATATTTAGAACAATGAACAAAATAGAAGAACTCTTTTTGAAATATGATAGATAAGTCAAATATGATATTATATTGCATATACTTTTGCTTCTTTTGATCATAATAACATTTACTCACACCTAGGCATCAGTTTTTGTTAATTTGGCGCTTACATCTAGTCCTGATGAAGAAAATTGGATTAACCAAACGCAAACTGTGAGTTCAAATTTAGATATTTATATAACAAGCATTTATTGGTCAAATATTACAATGACCACGATTGGCTATGGGGATATTTATCCAAGAAACAATAAAGAAAAAATATTTTTAGCAATTATAACAATTCTTTCTTGCTGTATATTTGGCTATACTATGAATTCAATTGGATAAATATTAGCTGATACATCAAAAGAATCTAGATAATTTAAAATTAAAATGAATGTAAAAAAATTTTATTATTTAAATTATTTATTAAATTAGCTATTTATGAATTAATTAATTTTTAACTTATTGTTTAAAAGTTGCTTGTTAAATAGATGTCTAAAAGAAATTTAGATCAAATTTTGTAAAAAAGAGTAAGAAATTATTATGAGTATTTGCATGATAAAAAGAACATTTTTGATGAAGAAGCTGAAAAGCTTATTGATGATCTTCCATAATCTATTAGATAAGAAGTTATTTATGATATTAATATGAAATTGTTAAGTTCTCATAAAGTATTTTCGTTGCAATTTTCCAAATAGTTCTAATAAGATTTATCTCTTTGTATGAAGATTTTAAAATATGGCCCAGAAATAAATATAATTTCATAAAATGACAAAGTCATTTAGTAATTATATTTTGTTTTAGAAGGTAACCTAGATATTAATATGAAGTTAGAGTAAAAATCTGTTTCTGTCAGTATCCTTAAGGTAATATTTCTAAAAATTAATTTATTTATTGTAAATCATTTTATTTTAATTAAAATTTTTCCTCTCTACTTTTAATCTACTCTGGTTTTTTAAAAAAATATATATCCCATATTTTAGGATTTGAATTTGATAGGATTTAATTAATAAGAATTATGGTGTTATTTTATTATTTCCATATTTGATTAAAATTTATATTTAAGATAATTAATCATTTGCTTATTGATTTAAATTAAAATTATTAGAAAGGAGATATGTTTGGTTAGATTGAATTTTTTTCATAAAAATCTTCTCAGTTTACAGTGAAAACATTGAATGTTGTAACTATTGCCTATATTGAATATTAGGATTTTACTAATGCACTTAAGAATAATCCATAAGATTAAGTAAATCAATTAAAATTAAATTTTATTTTTTAATGTAATTTTAACTAATAAGGAAAAGTATTATTTGATTAAAGATAAAATCAATTAGTACAGTGATATTTCAGCTTTAGATTTTTAATGCTATGGCTGTAAAAGGTTTGGACATTAGCTTTTTGAATGTAAATCAACGAAGTATGATTATAAAAAGAATAGAATCATTTAAGATTATATGAATGTCAGCAGTAATTCTACTATGGAAAGAAACTAATAATTTAAAAGGACAAGACAAAAAATGAAACACCAATAAAAATTTACATTGTTTGATATAGCTTGTTAATAGTAAGAGTTTTGTTCTAATAATGAGGATATAATTTGTAAATATTATTTAACTTACAAGCTATTCCAATAAGAAAATTACTATGGATTTTAAGATTAAACTTTTTAAGAAATAGTTGGAGATCTTGAAAATATGTAAAATACTTTTATCCAAAATCCTATTTGCAAAAACATTTAAATATATTCTTATTAGTTAACAACAATGTGCACCAAATACATTTTATGAAGTTTATACTGGTAGTTTACAAATAATAGAAGAGGAATCGAAAGATATTCATCATAAAAAGGCAAGAACAACTCCACCAAAAACTGCTTTGAAAAAAAACTTTATATTTCTACCGCCGCCTGAACCTAAAAAAGTAAGCTATAATGTTTTAATATAAGATAAAAATGAGAATACTATTGCAAATGATGAGGCAGATACTTCAATTATAGGTGGTGAAAATGTATAAAAATAATAAATATCAAAAAGTAATTTATTTATTTGATTGTTAAATGATTAATTTAAAAATTCTTTAAATTATTAGAAAAAATAGAATCTCCTAAAGTTTCGTTTAGCGCATTTCAATAATTAGAATTTTATAATGATCTAAATGAGCGACTTAATTCTACAAATATAAAATTAAATCAAGCAGGAGTAATTGATAAAAAGGAAGACAGCTAACTCAAATAGTTAAATTTTGCAAACAACTTTATGCTTTTAGGAGAATTTGATAAATCTAAAATATTTAAGGTCTATTTTCCATTCAATAATGTAGATTTAGTACTTTAAAAGTACAAAAAATGTCAAATAAAAAAAAAGGGATAAAATAATAAGAATAACATAAAATATAAAAAACATCATGAAAAATTTAAATTCAAAACTAATATTATTAATTGATTCACTTATATGCATAATGTATCTTATACAACTATTATTAAATCTATATATTTTAATATATTTATATTTATATGTATATTTTCAATAAATTATAATGTGACAAGAAATAAATAAAATATATTTTTTTTCATAATTAAAATTTTTGATTATTAAAATATTTTAGAGATTTTAGTAAATAAATGGACTTTTAAAGTATAGCTACATAGTAGATTTTTATAAAATAATACAATTTACAGATTGATAATTTTATGATGATGGAGTTAATTTGAGTTAGTATTTTAATTTAAGAAAAGGATTCAGGGTTCATATAAAGTATAAGAATTAGATTATTAAATTAAATATTTATATGATGTTTAACATATATAAAATAAAGATCATTTATCCATTGATTACTAGGTTTTTTAATGGAAGGTATATTATAATTAATAGTGGTGCAAAAATAATGGTTATTTTAACAATTATTTTTCAAATTATCACTTTTAATTTATTTGATATGAGAGTTATTCTTGAATTTTATTATTAAGATTTAATTAGTCATTTTAATATTAATTTTGTGTTATTAGAAAGAAAGTAAAGGCAAATTAAATTACATAATTTATAATGAGCATAAAAGGAATTAATGATAGAAGACATCTTTTTGAATCTAACTATATGTAATCATTTGCAGATTAAAAAACTAAAAATGATGAAATAGAAGATATTATGAGTATTTCAATTGATAGATCTAAAATAAATACTATTTAAGATATTAAAATTCAAATTGAACCTAATAATTAGTAGAAATTTACTAAAGCTGAGAGTTGTGATGAGCCTACAGTAATATAAATAGATAATTTGTCCTTCTCTAAATCTATGCTAAATCAAAATAGTGTATCTAATAGGAGGCCTATTTCGTAGATTTTAATAGATTCGCCCAAAAATCAATCTCGTAGCTTCCATAATTTAGATTCATAAAGCTAAGTTCATAGGAAGAGTAAGAATTTAAATAACAAACAAATAAACGAATGTTCTCCTGAAAAGAAAAGTCTTTTCCTGCTTGGTTCTCCTTTATTTTAAAAAATTCAAGAAAATGGCATGTAAAATGAAAAAGAAAAATAATCAGATTCACCATAAAATGGATATAGTTTATCACCTTTAAATAACTGCTTTTTGATGTTTAGGAAGACTAACATGGTTAAAAAATTCATTCAAAATATCAAAAAGAGGACAGAAAAATACAATTTCAAATGTCTTTCTAAATATTAATTCAATATGATAGGTGATAAATCTGCAGATTACAATTATTATAAACAAAAATAATTAATCTATGCTAACGTAAATTATATTTCAAATAATATAACAAAATTAATATTGTATTTTTCTATTTTAAACAGGAAGAAAACTTTGATACTAAAATTTAGAGATTACAGAAGCGTAATTAATTGAATTTACAAATACAAAAATAAACATTTATTATTAGTTTATTTACTTTATTTATTTTACATTAAATAATAAAAGTACTTGACAGATATCTATTAAATAGTGAAAAGATTATTTTTTAGCCAGTATTTAAATATTAAACTTAAATTACCTTATTAATTTAATCTTTTTATATTAGGATTCTGCATTTAGTATTTTATGGGACATTTTGACCACAATAATCTGGATCCTTATCATATTTTATATCCCAATTTAGATTAATTTGATAGATAGTGATTTCATTGATTTTAAAAAACCTCATGAATTCATTACAGTTTTTATAATACTGGAAACGCTGGTGAAAATTAATAGAGTAAACAACCTTAATTAGAATCTAATGTATTAAATAGCTAAAAATTAATTAATATTAGGCTGTTTTCAAAAGAGGAATGATAATTACAAATAGACAACAAATTCTTCAAGAATACCTCTCTCAAGAAGCGAAGTAATTACTTAATCTGAAAATTGATGAACTCAATAATTTTCCTAATTTCATTAAACTTAGATATGATTTGATCATTTTAGTATTTCATTTAGTTTCAGAAACTCACTCCAGCTTATATTTCCTTGAATATATCTTAGAGCTTAGGATTCTTAGAGTCACGAAAACCTACCAAGACTTATTTTAACAGATAGATTAGGAGCAGAAATATAAAATTTTTAGAAAAATCTCTTAGCTCTTTTTATTAGTCTTAGTTTTTATTAATCTGTAGGCTTCGATATTTATTTTTATTGGAGTTTTTAAAACTTAAAAAATGTCTGATCTCTTAGGATCTGATAATTTGTTAGACATTTATTTTGCTGGTATTTACTGGTCAACTATTACAATGACAACAATAGGCTATGGTGATATATATCCTTAAAATACAAATGAGAGGATTTATGTATGCGTTGTTTGTTTGATATCTTGTGGTATTTTTGGTTATTCCATTAATTAAATTGGATAAATTGTAAGCGAAATACAAGAAAAATCAGAGAGTTTTAACTAAAAAATAAATGTAAATTTAAAAATAATTAATTATATGACACAAATTTATTAATTATATATTTTTAGGCGTTAAATAAACTAATGAAATCTAGGAATATTAATAAGAGTTTAATGTTTTAAGTAATTAAATACCACGAGTATAGGCATTTTGAAGAAGAAAATATTGAGGAAGAAGGTATGGCACTCGTAAATGAGCTACCTAAATCTATGAAAGACAGAGTAACTTATGAAATGAATTACAAAATTTTGTATTCATAAAAGTTGTTTTTATTGAATTTCTCAAAGCAATTCCTTGATTAGCTATCATTAAGAATAAAACAAATAAAAGTGGGTCCAGAAACTGATATTTATAAGCCAAATGATTTAGATTTAAGAATCTACTTTATACAAAGAGGAAATATAGAACTTACATTTTTTCAGAATGAAAAGATTAAAAATTTTGGAAATTTAAAAGTAAGTGCTGTTTACTTTAATTTGTATTTTTAATTTTATAATAAATAAATCTTAAAGAGTAATTATTGTATTATTGCCATAACTTTAATTTAAATGAAATTTATAATAATACATTTTTAAAATTAATTCAAAAAATAAAAGGAAGGTGATATGTTTGGTGAAATTGAATTTTTTAGTTAGTCAAGTAGAAAATTTGGTGCAAAATCAACTTCTGTAGTGCATCTATTGTATCTAGAATATGAAGACTTTTACTAATGTTTGTAATTTATGGATAGAGATATTGTAAATGATATAAAAAATAATGTTAATGGCAATTCAATAATTTATTTTAAATTAATAGGAAAGCTATAACATGATTAAAGACAAACTCTAAATGGAGAATGATTTACTTCCTTTAGATAAAAAGTGCGAAAGTTGTGGGAAATTCAGTCATTCACTATTAGAATGTAATCATTTGCAGTATAAGCCAAATATAGATAAGTTGGTTTATGAAATAAACAAAAATTTCCCATAAATCAGAGAAGAATATTAAGGAAGAAGAAGATTTAGATCAATCAATGCAATCTCTGGAATGAACTAATTTATGTCCTTGATTAACATGATTTAATAGGAAGCTACAATAACAAGCAGCCAAGGAAAAGAAAAAGGTGAAGAGAGGAATTCATAAAATTAAATTTAAAGAGACTACAGTTTTGAAGACCAAGTAAATGAGTAAAATTATAATTTAAATACATAAAATAAATTAAATCAAAAAATATATTTTGAAATATTTAAATTAAAATTATTTTTTTTTATAAAAATTTATTTTGGTAAAAATTTAAAAGTTTGATGAAATTGATTAAATTATCTAATTTTAAAGTTTTTTTATTAATTAATTAAAATATTATAGAGAAAGTGATTTATCCTCATTGACATAAAAGAAAAAATCATTGATTTTTGATAAAGATGTAGGAATGTTAAATAAGTAACAGACTAAAAAAATAAATAAAATGAAAAGACTTTCTCTTGTAAAAATTAATGAGAGGGTGAATTATCCTGAAGATAATAAAAATTAGACTTCTTATGACGAAAAAATGATGGAGAGATTAGTAATACCTTAAAAAATAAATTCAGATTCATAACAAACATCTTAAAATTTAAATACAACTGATAATAATTTTAGTCAATTCGTAGTAAATAGTGGAAGTTATTCAAATCTACCTAGTAATTAAAATCTACCTTCGCCAAGGTTGTCTTCTCTTTCATAGACGCTAGAGAATCAAAGTATAAAATCTAAAAAAACTAAGAATGGAATTGAATAGAGAGTTATAAAATTTTAGGCCTAACCTCAAGATTATGAAAATTAGAGCGCTTTCAATGGATTTGAAAATAACTAACCAAATTCTAATTTAATTTCAAACAAATACAGTAAATTACAAACTCTTAATACAGAGACAGAAAACGAATTATTTAAGCATGATTTGCATTACAAAAAGTAAGAACCTCTTTGGTTTTTGAATTTTGATACAATGAAAAGTTTTAAAATTTATTTCCCCCATAATAACTATGAAAGAGTGATTTATAAATTCAATTAAAAAGTTAATTCAAAAAGGAAACAAATTTTACCATAAAAATAAGTAAAAAATAAGTTTTCTTTGTTTAATTTAGAGCAAAAAAAAAATTCAACTAAATTTTGAAGATCGTCGACATATTTAACTATTTAATTTGAGAGCAAAAGGAACTTTATTCCCTACTAATAATAAGTTTACTTTGATTGTTTTATTTAGATTAAACAAATTAATATATTAGAAACTTTATGCTAACTTGAGTTGTTGATATGAGGTTAAGTTAAGAACAGTTATTATTTAAAAAAAACTAAGGAAATTAATTTGTAATATTCTCCAATATTTCACAAATTAATTTTTGCTTAATTTGCTAAATCAAGTTGAAAATTTTGATAATTCTTTAAGACTCTATTGAAAAAATCAAAATAAAAGTTATTGTTATTTATATTTTGTAATTAATTATTTCATTGTTTATTTGTAAATATAATCAAAATTTATGGCTTGAAAAATGTGTTTGAATTACTAATAGAATTTTAAAAGAAATTATAAAAGTTTCTATCAAATTTTAAATCTATCTGTGTAGAAATAAAGATAGAATTTACATGAAAGTTTTAACGGTAAATTCTAAATTATAAAATACACAAAGGATAAACTAAATTGATTTTTTGTTACATATTTTTATACATATATATATAAATATATATATCTACTGCATTTATTTATGTAATATTTTAAACAACTCTATTTTTAACTTTATGATTACAATGCTAAATGGCTGCAAATTTGTTTAATAAATTTTTAACCTTAAAACACACTTAATCAATAGATATTAATCTTTTTTTCAAAATTAATTTACTAATAACTTTTAGAATCAAAGATTACAATTAATTTATAATTGATTCAAGCAAATTATAATTAGTTTTACAAAGGTAGGTTATTTTTGTGACTAACTTTAAATTATGGATGAAGGTGGGGCCTTTAAAAGAAGGGTTCTGTTAGATGAGAATTCAATGGAGATATTCAATTAACGTAAGAAGAATATTTCAAATGATTTTAGTGTGAATGGGGATGTAACTAGAAATAACTCACAAATACATAATATAAATAATGAAGTGACAATTTATAATATTTTAGATGAATAATTAAAATAGCATAGTTAGCTGTTTCCAAATGATTAAACATTTAATATGTAGAGCTTAAATCATGATATTCTGCAGCCGTCAATGGATTTAAATGAATAAAGAATTTAATAAAAGTCATTATCTTCCTTTTAGCAGCCCTAAAAACACTACATTAGTGAGCTTTCTGCCCCTCTAAAAAAGATAATTTCACCTTAACAAAGCTGCGAATCGATGCCTCATATAAATGGGGAAATCACCACATCTAAGAATGGGTTTTTGAAGGTTAAAAATAATAAGGCTGCTGAAAGCTCTAAAAATGAGATTATTGAAGAAGAAGAGAAAATAAATTTGAAAGATTAAAAGTAGGATAAAAAAACATCTATCATGTATATAGAAAAACTTTAAGGTGATCTTAAAAGAGATGTTAGTAATATCAAAAGAAAAAGTATTAAGGATAACTAGATGTTTCTCTTTAAAAAGACAAATCTAGTAAAGAAATTCATAACAACTCTACTGTCTAAAACTGAAAGGTATTTATTCAACAATCTTAGTAAGCACTAAATGAAGATTATTGATGACCAATCATGTAATTACGATTACTTCATAGCCTAAAAAATGATAAAAAGTGAGGTAAAATCTATTTTTTGTTATTTAAAATTAACAGATTTTATTAAATGACTAAGAAATATTTGAAAATATTAATTATAAATTAATTTTTTAGAATTAAATTAGTTTTTTCTAGTTTTATTTAAAGCTCTAAATATTTCAATAAGGTGTTATTTATTATTTTATTAATTATTCTTTCATTTTTTATTTGTTTCTGTCCAAATTTTCTTTATTTTCTTATGGCTTTTTTTGTTTTTTTACTCTGAAGAAGACTTATTTATTCTTTTTATTTTACAATCAATATTTTGCCTAAATTAATATTTTTTACAATTAAAATTGAATCTAGTTACTATTTACTCTCATGAATAAAAGATAAAAACTCCTACTTATTTCTTAAACAAAACTATATAAATTCCAGCTTATTTTCATCTAAATTTTTCAATAGTTGAATATTACATGAAATTCATAAACTTTTTTCAAGCATATTGCCATCTTTTATTACATTTCAATATTAATTACCCATTATCAATTTAATTACTTATTCTAATAAATTATATTAACTAAATAAAGGAACAATCATTTGGAAAGACACTCAGAAAATCATTTTAGAGTATGTATTATTTATAAAATCAATGTTAAATGTGATTAATTCGTTTTTTTTTGCTTGATTATTTAGGTATGATTTTGTCACTTTTAAAAAGCGAAAGACTGATTATTTAACCTGTAATAAAATTTAATTCAGTAAGGAATCCTTCTTAGTCTATATTAATTTTTTTATTAAATCAAATAGGAATCTATTGTGTCGTTGATTTGGGAGCTATTAAATATTTTTATATCTTTGTTTCTGATTTTTACTATTCCCTATTTTGTTAACTTTCCCTCTTCGTTTTCTGAAAATTAATTTGGATTAGCAGGCATTACACTGCTCACGTTAGTTTTAGATATTCTCATCAAAATAAATAAAGTAGCACTTTTATAATTTTAAAAATTGATATTAAATATCTAACTAAATATTCAAGGCGATCTATAAAAGAGGAATGATTATTGTTATGAGAGATTAGATTATAAAAAGCTATTTGAAAAAAGAAGCACTGTAAATAATTTTAAATAAAATTTTACTCTAAAATTTAATCTCTTAATAATATTTAGATTTGATTTTACTATATTAATCATCTATAGTGTTTCCTAATTTTCAGATGACTTAGATTACTTTTAGTATGTTATTATTTTAAGAATATTTTAAGTTATAAGAACGTTGAAAGGATTATTTGAAAGGTATGATTAAGAATGTAAGTATTCCATTCTAGTTAAAATATTCATTCTAGTCATTATTATCCTTTCGTTTGGAAATATCTAAGGGTCTATATTTGTGGATCTTGCATTGAGAAAATCTAAATTAGGAGAAAAAACATGGCTTGATCTAATTCCCTCTATTTAATCAAATAGTGGCAAATATATAGCAGGTTTATATTGGTCAACTATCACCATGGCAACTATTGGATATGGCGATATTCATCCTGTTAATACTTAAGAAATGATATATGCTTCTGCAGTTAGTTTGATATCATGTGGTATATTTGGTTACTCCATCAGTCAAATTGGTGAAATCGTTGCTGCCATCCAAGAAAGAAAAGAAACTTTCAAGAAAAAAATGTTGGTAATATAAACAAACATTTTCAAGTTTGATTGGAATTATTTTAAGTATCCTAAAAATAAATTTTATTCTTCCTATCTCAAAATTCAAAACTTACTTATTTTTTAAGAAAATTAATTAAAAATTCTTAGCTTTGTTTTAATTAAATTTATTTTAAAAGAAAAATTTAATATTTTGTAATTAAATTTTTAAGATTATCTGCTAAGTTGCTTATAATAAAAATTCAATAAAAAAATATTTTTATTTTAGCTCAAATGGAAAATGATTAATATTCAAAATATAGATTTTAAATAATTTTCAGTTTTTCATGAAATTTATAAAAAAGAATAAATAAACGGTTATTGAATTGTTGTAATAAATAAATGAATGCTTTTTAATGATAAATTTTTGGAAATTCAGCTAACTAACACTTAATTCTAATTTAATTATAGATACTTAATAGATAAATGAATCAAAGATAGCTAAATAAAAAACTTCAACATTAGGTGAGAAATTATTTTGAGTATTTACATAAAGAAGAGAATAATGAAGAAGAGGACTCTTCTTAAATGATTAACAATCTTCCAAGTTCCATGAGAGAAGCTATTACATATGATATGAATCATAAACTGTTGTACGAATAAAAAATATTTTCCCTTAACTTTTCTAAGTAATTCTTGGATAAGCTTTCACTTTGCATGAAGCAAATAAAAATAGGCCCAGAAATATCTCTATTTGAATAGAATTAATTAGACTAGAAGCTTTACTTTATTCTCAAGGGATCTGTAGATATGTTCATTACCATGAGCAATAAGAATAAATCTTGCAAAATCTTAAAGGTAATATTTTTCATTTAAAAAAAAAATTAACTATTTATTTTTATACTTTATTAGAAAGGAGATTTAATTGGCGAAACAGAATTTTTTAGTTAATCCTACAGAAGATTTGGAGCAAAAACATTAAATGTAGTTAAACTTATGGTACTAGACTTTAAAGATTTTTACAAGTGCATCAAAAACTTTCAAGAAGATTTTGTAAAAAAAATTAAATTTCTTAAAATAAAAATATTTTTTTCTATTAAAAATCTTCTTCTCAAAGAAATATGTGATAATAATTATACAATCGTTAAAAAATATTAAATAGATAGACATATATATTCATATTATGAAAATTAATTTCTTTTTTATTATTTAAGTGTAAAATTTTTCTTATCACTTACATTATCTTATATTCTCATATATGCTAACTAATAAAAATATTAGAAAGAGCTTATTTAACTACAATTAATTTTATTTAAAAGAACATTTTGTTATTTTAGAAGAATATTTTGAACATGAGCTTTAATTAATTTAATTTAATTTTACATTTTAATAAGCTTTAATAATTAATTTTTTTCTATAAAAAAAGGAGAAATATAATATGATTAAAGATAAAGTAGTAATGTATAGAGACTACACTAAATTAGATAGGAGATGCTAAAGCTGTGGAAAATTTACTCACTAATTTACGAATTGCCCTAGTTTATAATTTGTTCCCAATTATAACAAGATAATTTACAAACAAAATCACACTGAAAATCAGGAAAGATAAAAACAACAGAGGACAGTATTTTAGAAAACATGCTCAATTAATATTTAAAAAAATGTAAAGTTTGGAGTTGAAAGCTATCAAAAAGCAAACAATATAAAATAAATTTATCATGATGATACTGGACCAGATTCGCAACTATCATATGAAGAATATATTCATTAGCAAACTGAAGGTCTTGCCTTAGTATAGTAAGATGATGGATCTGAAACAGTTTCGTATTCACTTAAATTAATTTTATTTATTTATTTTATTAATTAAGTTTATAAAAATTAATTAGACTTCAAAATAGAAAGAAAGCATATACTCAAATTGAAATAGATATAAAACGAAAAAAAGAGAGGCACAACACTAAAAAATCCACATTTCATAAAGAAATCCCAGAAATAAAAAATTATGACAAAATGTTATCAATAGATGATAAACTTATAGAAAATAGGCCAAGATAGAGATCGCAATTAGCTTAGGAAATGGATGAAAAAGATTAAAATTATTAATTGAAATATTTAAATCCATAAAATATGATTTAAACTCAGTACTTGATACCTGCTAATTAGCAAATAGCTTAATTAACCAACTAATCAGGAGTCTCATAAACTAATATTTAGAGACAAAGTTCCTTTGGATAAGGATCTACTTATAATATACAAAATAGCTTTACCATAGATAACCCAGCTAATTAAGTCAAATAAATTTTATAGTTAAGCAATTATGTGAATTCTTAAACTTATATTCCTATGCCTAACGATTTAAATATTAAAATTGAAAGTGGAGAAAATCAAAATAGTCGGTATGACAAATAACCAACAAACATCAGTAGTAGAAGTCATTTCTAAATGGGTAACCCTAATTAGCTCTATTAGTAACAGAGTTATAACCCAAAAGTAATAAATAACATATTATTGCAACAATAGAATCAAATTTACCCTATTCTCAACTTTGATGTGTTAAAAAATTACAAGGAATACTTTCCAAATAATAATTTTTCAAAAATAATCAAAGCTCTAAAATCTATGAAATCATAACAAATTACAATGAAGTAAAATAAAATAAAAAAGAAAAAGGTCTTATCTCATACTGGTAATAATGGTAGAAACGTTGCAAAAACTTTATCTGTAAATAAATCTAGGTAAGAACTTTCTCTCTTAAGTCACTCCAACAATAAGCTTAGCACACCAAAGAACTTCCTTAACTCTCCCCCACCTCCTGTATGAGAGGAACTAAAAATATAAATATATAATAAACACACTTTTTAAAAGTAAATAAATTCATTCTTAAATACTAAATTTATTAAAAATAATATATATAAAATATCATAATAAAAATAAATAATTCTTTATTTTAATTTAAATTGTAACTTATTATTTGGTATTTTACTGATTAATTACATTTTATCATTTAAATTAAACTATTTATGAAAAAAAACTTCAAAGAATTTTTATCAAATTATTTTCAATTTATCATGCGTTTTTATTCTATTCATCTAATATGAAATGTTTTAATATTAATTATGAATCAAACTATGATGCTTATCAATACAATAGGTAATTAATATTTTTTGGTTATAACTTAAAAACTTACTTTTGCTCTCAGCTTTATTTTTGTCCATAGTATATAAGAGGCTGTTTATTAATAAAATTATCGATTGAGAATTTGATATTATTAAACTTCTAAATTTTATTTAATTCAAATTTTTTTCAAAATTAATGCGTTGAATAAAAATAGAATGAAAATATTAATATGAAAAAATAAAATAAATTATTAATAATTTAAATCAGTATTGTAAAAAATTATATTAGGTTGTGTAAAAATTAATTTCAGTTTTTCAAAATTTTGTTAACAGTTTAAATATAAAGAAATTATTTTAATCTAAACATAAAATTTATTTTTATTAATTTTACATTATATAAATATAAAATATAAAGGACAAACTAATTATTGTATATTATAAAAAAAAAGTTCTTTAAAATGAAATATAGACCATTAATAAATTAAAAATTAATGCAAATAAAATATTAAATTCTTTTAATTCATTAATTTTAATAACGTCTATTGATGCTTCTAAAGCGTTCTTGACCCATATTTTACTCAGCTAAAATATAATCTCTATTAGCATACTTATAGTCGAAATTGCATGCGACTTATTAACCAATAGTAACTTGTTGAGCGTTCATTACATAACCTCTACCGAAAGTGGAATAGTTGCTTGATTGAGCAGCCTATTAGCAGTTATGTAAATCTTTCAACAAATTTAGGATTGTAGGATTATTTTTATATTTTGAGTTTTTAATTTTGTTTATTATTTCATTTAGCAAACTCTAACTATTTTCAAATTAATTTTTATCAGCTTGTGCTAAAACTGTACCCATAGCTTCACCTGCAATTACTCTAAAGTGATTAATAGCCACTTTTTCATCATCTTCTTTTTCCAAATCTTTCTTCTATACTTCGGTGTTGAGAAATAGCTCTACCATTAAATTAGCTTTTTTAGTAATCTTTTTTTTTCCTTAGTTTAAGGAGTTAGCTTTTATCTTAGCACTACCTATTATTTAATACCTTTATTAGTCAGTTAGCTTCATTTCAAATTAAGGTATTTGTAACTCAAAAACAAAATCTTTACTTCTACCTGCCATTAAATGATTTAATTAAATTTCATATTATTTGTCTTAGATTTTTTTCCACTCTGAACCATAAGTTTTTGATACAGTAATCCCATTCATTAGCTCTGTATTACCAAAATTGACTGATATTTTAACATTTTATGCAACAAATGTTTTAATTCCTGCTAAAATAATAGTAAAAGCATCATCAATTTGAGAAATATCCCTAATAAAATTGAATGTGCCTTGTTAAAGTTGATTTATTTTACTTAGAGTTAAAGAGTCATGATCATCTCCAAAGCCAAAACAATCTATGCAAAAGGGATATTCTATTTTAGATTGATTCATGAAATGCTAAGTTTGTGAGAATCCGCAATTATCTTAACCATCGGATAATAGGAATATGCTAGCTAAATTTTTAGAGTTTGTTCTTTCTTTAATTATATCAAAAGCTTTTTGCATTCCGAAACCTATTTAGGTCCCTCCTCCAGCTTATAATTCATCAACTGTCTTCTATATTTTTTTTTTACTATTTTTAGTTAGTTAAGTTAGTTCTAACAATACTTTAGCTTGGCTATTGAATCCTACTAGTGAAATTCTATCATCTCCTTAAATAATGTGAAGGACCTATAAAATGGATTTCTTTACCAGCTCAATTTTCTTTCCTTGCATGGAACCAGATGTATCTATAACAAAAATTAAATCTAAGGGTTAATATCTAACTTTATCTTTTTTGACTTAATCAGCATCAAAGTCCTTAGCCTCAACAGAAACAACTCCAGGAATAATTTAATTATTCTTTTTATCCATAACAATTTTATTATTTAAAAGCTTAATTGATAGACTGAGATTATCTTTTAAAAAGTAATCTGCTTTAGTTTGATCACTGCCAGTGTCTGTATGTAAACCAGAAATCTGCTCTGCTAAACTTTTATCTTAAAAGCTGTTATCTTTCTTGTTAAAGTAAGGAATATATTACAAAGTATTTCCCATATTGATTTTATTATATTTTAAATAGCTATTTATTTCCTTTGTTATAATTTTTTTTAATTATTAATTAATTTATAAAAATAAATTGGGAGTAGATATTAGATTGGATTTATTCTATATAAAAATCAATCTTTATTATTTTAGTTTTTGATTAATACTGATAGATCCAAAAGTTGAATTATTTATAATATTTTGTCAAATTTTTTAATTAACAGGTTAACCTATTTTATCATCCTAAAAAATAAAGTGGATACTTGATTATATTTCTGTTCTTCAAATTTATTTTGCAATAAATCTAATTTCAAAATACTAATTTTTTAATTCAGAATTCATAAGTAATCAGATTAAGCTTTTATCTAAAAAACATAAATTCAAAGTCATTATTATCACTTTGTCCTGAGCAAATAAATATGTTAATAAATATCAAAATAATCATATTTTTTGTATTTAAAAAACATTAGATATGTAGAATTAAAAAAAATCATAGTAAAGTTAAAATACCAAAATTGTTAATTTCATAATAAATAATATTCCAATATATTTAAAGAATAATTGATTATCGAAACGATTGCATATTATTTTATTTTTAAATTTTTAATCTTTATAATATTTAAGGTAGATGGGAATGTAACTAGAATATAAATCTTCCATTATATGTTTTCATTTGAATTGATTTGAGTTAAAGTACATCCAGATTTTAAATTCTTTTGGATGAGCAAAAGCAATAATTTAATTACTTATTAAAAATTAGTTTAATTTAGTAAGTAATTCTATTTTAATTTTTATAATAAATACCTTATTTTATAAAATTTTATTTTTAATATGTATCTTAAAATTGAAATAAAATATTTGATATATTAAGGGGGAGAGAAATTCGATTTACACCTTTATATATTGTAATAATTAAATCTATTAATTATTAAAAGCATATACTGTCTAGTAAATAGCCAAATCATAGAACGTTGTTTAGCTTTTATTTTTGGATTTTGAGTACTTTTATTAAATACTATAATAGTATGAAAAAGATTTTGTAAATATTTTGATTGATTTTATCCATTAATTTGAATTTATGATTTATTTTTTTTTATACATTATGATATATTTTATAAATTTAGGTATGAATTTATTTTAAAAATAGCTATTTAAGAAAAAATATTTTATTTTATTTCTAAATGGTATTTTGTTAAAAAATAGGAGAGCTATAATTTGATCAAAGATCTGTTAAGAATAAATCAAAATTATAAATTTTTAAACAAAAAATGTGAAAGTTATGGAAAATATAATCATCATTTTTACAATAGTAATTAATTACAATATATTCCAAATATTTAAAAGATACTTTACTATCAAAATCTCAAAATTATATAAGAAAGGGATTAAAATTTCAAAAGGCATAGGCAAAAAAGCTCAAATGCTTTTTAATTTTACATTAACTCAGGATCAGAAATAGAAAAAATGCTAAAAAAAAAATAATTAAAGTGAATAAATTGGTTTAGAGGATGAAACATTTTTTTATTATGATGAGAATGAAGAAAAAGAGTAAGTTTACTATTTGAATTTAATAGTTTGTTATAATTAAAAATTATTATAGATTAGATTAAATTAATTCGCAGACAAATATAAGGGAATAATAAAAATCATTTCATAATGAAAGTGTGTACAACAAGTAATCCTCTCTAAATAAACGATAGAGAGTTAATTCAATTAAAAATGAAGCTTCAAAAGGGATTAAAAACTCAGAGCTATAACCTTAAGTTTTTCTCTCCTAAAATTAAGAAGAAATAAAAGCTAAAAATTCAATAAAATTAAGCTTATTATAATAAGAAAGCATTATCAATAATTAATAAATTTACTAAGTTGTTTAAAGTTAAATAGATAGTGTTGAATCTGATCATAGTTAATTAAAAATAGAAAATGCTCCTTATTGTAATAGAGAAGACTTTCTTAGCTAAGACATTACGAGTGCTAAGAGGAATAAATTATCAAGATTTTAGACAGAATTTTAAATCCTTTCATCAGAGCTGTAAGCTTAAAGCTTTGATAAATAGTTAATTTTTTTGTTTTAGCACTTCGATCGATTAAAGAATTATTAAATTTATTTTCCTCATAACAATTTGAGAAATGTATTAATTTAATATAGAAAAGTATAATTTAAAATTATAAAAAAAAGAGTATTTAAAAATAATAGATCATCGCATACCAATTAAACTAATATTAAAAAGGATAAGTCTAAAAATTTACCTAGCCCTTTACTTGGCCAATCATTAATAAGTATAAGTATCTCTTGACCAAATATAAGCTTTATCTTTAAATAAATAAATATAATTGCATTCTTTATTATAACTTTCCTTTTTAGTATTACAAGCTTGAATAACAAATTATTTCAATTATTTAATTCTTACATAAATGTAAATTTAATGTTTAACATTTCTTTGGAATATTTTAAAATTAATTATTTTTAAAAGCTTTTAGAATTCAAAATTATTAAAGTAATTTGATAAATTTGTATGTTGTTTATTTTTTTATTTAATTTTATTTTTTGATAATTTATATCAATTTATTTATATTAAAATGATCTTAAATACTCTATATCTATAAATAATTAATCTTGAGTTTTATACTTAAATAAAAACTTTAAATGCAGTTTATTGTATTTAAATTTTTTTAGTTATTTCCTTCTTTGCAATTCATGGTTTTAAATTCTTGAATATGAGGAAATGCAGAAATTTAATTCATAAACTTGATTAATTAATTAAATAAATAAATATTTTATTTCAATTTTAAAAAAATATTTTAAATATTTAAAAAAAATATAATCGTAAATCCTCATTCATTTATTAATTCCAACCCTTATTTCAATGTTTAAAAGAATTATGTTTTTTAATTTATTTAAATTATTATAAACTAAATAAAAATTACATAAAATTTATAAAATACTATTATATAGTAAAATTCAGCAATCTATTTAATTTGAAATAACTTTTTAACTATGATTAATACATAAACTATAGATATGCTGTTAGAAAGAGCATAAAAATTTACATATATTAAAAATATTTTGCATTGAAAAATTAAAGAAGATAAAATAATAATTAAAAAATATAAAACGAAAAATAATTTTTTTTTAAATCAAATATTTTGTTAATCCCAATGGATAATTTTTTTTAATTTCATTCAAAAATGCATGGAAAAATAAAAATAATTTAATTCAAAAATGAATCACATAATTCTTTTTTTCAAAATTCTCAAAAAATTAACTCGCAATAATTTTATAGTAAAGAAAAGTTTACAACTTAGCGGATTTGCGAATTAACCAACAGGTATTCTATGGTAGTTCTAGAATAAATATACTGGAAATATTCTATAATTTTTATTCTAAATATTTATTCTTATTTTTTATGTATATGTATTAGTAAATATAATGTCTTTTCATACTTAAATGTAATAACACTTATTTTTGAAAATCAAAAAAATTTTTCTCGTTCTCTTAATTAAATTTGATAAATTTGTATTTTTATTTACTTAATTGTTTCTTAACTCTATTTCATTTAATTCTTATTAGAAACAGCACTAAGATGAATTAAAATTTATCCCATTTATATTGTCTCTTGAAAAATGTTAGTGAGAGCTTTATTAATTAATAACTTTAATTTTTACTGTTTATATTCTAGCTAGGATTATTTGTATAAGGATTTGTTTCAAGTGTAAAAAAATTCTAATTTTCTAAAATAGCCATGCTAGCATCCCTTGGATTTGTAATTAAAACTTTTCCAGAAGAGTTGAATGTGTTATTGCTCCGTTCGTCGAATTATTTTGATGTTGTGGAAGTTTGTGACAAAGATTTTAAAATTTATTCATTGATTTCATTGTTTTCAAGAGCTAATTTTTTAATTAAGCCTTAAAATGAGCTATTCATTTAATTTAATATGTCATTTAAATTTGAAAATTTGAATTCATTTGTTTTATTATTCTGCTACTGTTGTTATATATCGACGTTTTCTAAGATATATTTTTATCCACATGGATTTATTTAGTTCCTTACTTAAATACTATTACCATGTTTTTCGTCAAAATATAATTTATTCTCACTAAATTATTAACTTTGTAGAATTAAAGGACTTTAAGTTGAGTACGTAGTATCAACACTCTTTTCTAAATTATTAGCAAGATATTTATTGACTCTAGTTTACTGAGATTATTATGAGCTATTATTTTAGGATTAATTAATTGATAGATACCTACTTAATTAATAAAGGTAACTCATAAATTTTATCTTAATTTGTTTCTTTCAAGTTGCTCTAATTATTGATTGTTTAAACCTATTACTTTATATTTTTTAAATTAATAAAAATTTTTATTTAAATATGTTTACTTGCTAACTAAAATTATTATTGCTTTAGCAAGAATGGTGTTAGTTAGATAGTTTTATTTTAACTCTATTTATTGGTATTGATTGTTTCAGTATTGGTAACAAAAATAGGAAATTTTATAAATAAATTGCCAATATGATAAGAAAAAGTTTCATAATTTGCAGAGCTTTGAGCAGTTGGTTGTGGAGTTAAAAATCTTACATTTCCTGTATTGTATTACTAAAATTATCTATTTTATTCAAAATTATCATCTTAAACCAATGCATTAGAAATATTTAATTCACTTTACTTTATTTCTTAATCAAAATAATTAGGGGCTTTATCAGAAATAAAATAAGATATCTATTATTTGTTTACTTGTTTTAAACTCTATTAAAAATTTTCAAAAAAAATTTTTTTTTTTTCGCTTTTTAGATTAAATTGATGTTAATTTTGATTTACTTCACTTTCACTTTAATTTTATCTTATGTACTTTGTTTATCCCCTCTAACATTTAGTTGTTCTTAATAAATGTTTTTGCTATATTCTTTAAAATATAAATCTTACTCTTTAAAGCTTTGGTTTTATTTTTTGAAGCTTAATTATTTTCTTTAAAGCTTTGATTTGATTCTTTAAAACTTTAATCTTCTTAAT